CCCCGACGCCTCCCTTGCTCCCCCTTTCCTCCCTCCCACGGCGAGTCCACGACTCCCACGCATGGTTTCTTCGTTTCGTTCCCTTCAGCTGAACCCACCTCGCGGCTCAGTGATTTGTCGACCGTGAGCACAACGGGCACAGCCATACGAAAGCTCCCTTGATAGGTGCATGTACGTTGTCGTGCGTTATTAGGCAGAGTGGTTCCTCAGCTCATCGTGGTGGTTATTGGGGTCGATTCCATCCTCCACCAGACACGCCGCCTCAACATTGCATCTACAAACACGCAACCAAGCCAAACCGACACCCACGATGTGAAGGGCCAATCAGTCAACCCACTCGGGTCGTTGAAACAGCCATCAGCAAACATCAGACCAACCGAATCCTGCTGTTCTTCACCGCGTCTCACCGTCTCACCTCGTCCATCCTCCGTAGGCGAGACGAAGCGAGACGAACATCCATTGCAAGGCAGTATCCCACAAACGCATATATGCATGCACGCCATCGCCGGATGTTGCTTCTCAAGACCAAGTACGCGTCACAGGATTTCATTTGACCATGGCACGCACTGGAAGGATGAAAAGTCTGCAAGAGTTGAAGAGTCTGAACAGCTCAGCCGTGTCCAAACCCTAAGTCTGGAAGCACCGCAATTGCTTTTGCCGGCCTCATACCCCCCAAAGGCTTTACAGTGCTCAATTAGGAACAAGTATGATCCGAGACGGAGGCGATCACGGCGGTATATTTTCAGCCGGAATAAGTTTTGGCAGCGAACAGGTTCTACATTTCGCTTCACGGCTCGGGCAATGCATCCGAGATACATGAAGAGAAGCACAACAGAAAGTAACGTACATTCACCTCGGACCGATGGATTTGTCTTCCCCAAACTGGCATGCGTTCAAGTTCTGACCTTGCAGGTTAGCCTCAAGAGGTGGTGGTGAATTGACGTCTACTCAAGAGACGTTTTAGTCGCCTTTGTACAACGTACATATGCCATGATAGCACAATTCCTGTTCGTTTCTACGCCTAGGATGCACTTTTCTCCAGCAATCTCAGGTAGAAGCTCCTCGTACGAAAGCCAGTGCCCCTATGTACTCCAGTAGTACTTCTGAATGGTTTAGACGAATAAGTAGAGGTGTCTACATCACCTGACAATCCCCCTCCAAATCCCCTTCAGCCGGGTTCCGGGCCGCCCAGCCACTCACAGTCGATTGCGAGCATTGCTTGAAATTTGCTGAAACTACCGCGCTGGTACCTGGCAGTTGCTTGCAGGAACCTTCGTCTATCGGATTCCTTCTAGCGCTATTTGACTCGTTTAGCCATCGTATCTGTCTCACTGCATTACAGCCTGAACATCATGCATTTAACGTTATCTAAGGGTGGCGATCATGGATTTCCGTGAGGACTCTCACGTAGACCCTCTGGGCTTGTATCTATTTGTTATTGTCATCTAATCGGTGGGGAGCTTCTTTCTACCCTTCAAGATTCGAGGGACACGACCTGGCTAGGACGTGCTCTGTCTTTGGTAGAGTTGCCAAGTGGCCAGTACTTGTGTCTCTTCAATAAACGTACCTCGATGTCGATGTCAAGTTCATGATTAGAAAGTAAGAAAAGGTTGACAGTAGCACGGAAAGTGACAGGCCAACTCTGTGAGGTGGTACACGATAAACGTACAATACAGTTAGTGTCTACATGTTTGAAGTAAACCACCCCTACTAGGAATGTATTATTCTCTTAGAATTTCTCAACTGGGATTAATGGCTTTGGTCAAGCAAGACATGAGAAAGGCTCTGGAGTGAATGATTTACAGTTTTGACTCTTATGAAACTTATCATATGGTACGCTATGCCTCAAACAAGTGCTTAGTTTCATTAGATTCAACTAAAGTCTGAGATCTCAGGTGACATATTGCCAATTTGTCCCAAGCTGCTAGTCTCCGTAGTCTGGTGCATCTACTTCCAGAGAGCATGAGTAGAAACAGAACTGTTTTTGAGCACATATGTAGACACGAGCTGACAAGGCGTCCTCTTCATGGGATGTTTGAAACAAAAATATATCATGACGAGCAATATTTTTCATACATGGAAACAGTTGCGTTAAGTTTGGCGCCAATGAACCTAAACATCAAGGCTTGAAAAGCCTATCTTCAGTTAAAGACAAACATCATTGTGTCCAACTAGTAGTAGGACCTAATCCTAGTCTAAATCAAAAGCTAGTCTCGATACGAATATAACACTTAATTGTATCAAACACAGTTTTCCGCAGCCTCAAGACAGAAGGTGGTATGACTGAGAGCTTGCACACATAAACTCGTGTTACTTGCGGCGGGCCGTTCGAGGTCCAGAAGCGGATACCTGCCTGACCCCGATTCAAGATCCAGTCGAGGACAAACAAATATCGTTTTAGCGATATCTATATAGTACTTGGAATGGAAAAGGGTAACACAAAGAGGGGTTGTGCTACGGAAAGATGGGAATGTTTGTGTTGGAGCTGAGGGAATATCAAAGGTCATTCTCGCTTAGAGGACCAGACAGAGTATCAGATTGACCGTTTTGGCTACTATTCTTAGCAATCCGTGTGACCAACTAACAGCCTCCAGGGCTGTCACTCGGCTTGTTTTGGCAATACAGCAGCAAATGTAGAGTGTTCGTGACGCTGGGTTATTTGAACTTAGACCGCTATGCTATCGCCCAATGTCCCGACACACGAATTCAAGTTTGTCAATGCGGTATTGGCAATACCACGAGCCAGACAAACTCATTGTTCTACTATCTATCCAATGATTGAGTTGGACGTGTTGGAAAAAAAGATGACCCGAGGAAAATACAGAGCAGCATAGATCGAAGCACCGCCTCAGCTTTTCGGTGCAATGATTCTCGGCTGGGGAGTTTACCTTGCCTCACCACCACAATGAAATTCCGGGACCAAACGTAGTTCTTCTGTTGGAAAAGCACACTCGAGTTGTCTATCAAAGCAGTGTATTTGACTGGAAGTCTACTATATTCCAACGCCTTAGGACTCGTCCTTCCCTCGTGAATATCACATATCCCTCTGCTCGCCGACAGGACTCATCAACTTCCCCTTTTCAATAGCACTCTTCACGTTGTTGATGCACCAAACTTCCATCTTAGTCTGTGTCTCCACCGTCCAGGTTCCCATATGTGGCAGCAACATGACGTGTGGGTTTCCAACCAAACCAGGATGGACTTTCGGCTCCTCCTCAAATACATCAAGACCAGCTGACCACACCTGGCCGTTTTCCAAGGCTTTTACGAGCGCATCTTCGTTCATGACGGCCCCACGAGCGGTATTCGTAATTACTACGCCCTTTTTCATCTTCTCGAATTCTGCTGTTGAAATGATATGACGAGTTTGTTTCTTATTAGATGTTAGCTTTAGCTAATCAACCCAGCAAACTACTCACATTTAAAGGTAGGTTCAACGACAATACATCACTAGTCGCAAGCAGCTCATCAAAACTAACATATTTAGCACCACCGCTCAACTCATCCGATAACTTAGTTCTGTTGTGGTATTGGGTTGTCATGCCAAATGCCGATGCCTTTTTCATCAAGTTGCGACCAATCCCACCCATACCCAGAATACCGATCACTTTTCCCTGTGGGTCATGGCCTAGAGGTGGGGGAGGAGAGCCTTTCCAGTGACCGTTTCGGAGCGCAAACAGCGCTGAACAGACGTGTGTTAGCTCAGGAAATCGTTGGCCGGGCCAAATTCTGGGTTGCGGATTGACTTACAAGTATTGAACCCACGGAGAGCTCCCAGAATGAGAAACATATTGGTATCGGCTGTTGCGTCGTCGACAGCAGTGGGGACATTGGACACCCGAATGTCTGCTTTGGTACAAGCATTAACATCAATCTGATCGTAGCCAGCCCCTATTTCAAAGTGAGCGAGGTTCCAACCCTGGTCAATACGTAACAGCAGTACCATTGTGTGCAATGAATTTTAGTCCCTTTGGAAGGGCAGCAATCAACTCCTCGTCGATTAAGCCAGTAATGGCCACACTTGTGAATGTACGGTAAGTCGCAACTACCCTGTCGAAAGCTCCAGACTTGCACTCTTTGATGAACTCGTCCCGAGATCTAGCTTTCGGCTCAATAACGTCTGCGATTGAGGCCAGAGACGACCAGGCATCGTGGGCACTATGTCCAGACGGTTAATTGATGGTGTTTGCGGGTTGCGGGCCCGCAGGCGCAGCGAAGAGAATAGAGAACCTACTGGTCAATCTCACCCAGTAGCAGAACCTGTGGTTTTGACATCTTTGACGTTGGGTTTTCGATTGTGGAAAATGCGTAAGAAGGCTTCCAAGATGAGGTACGATGGAGGGGTCTCGGCGGGGACGTTCTGTAGTGGGGTGATGCTATTGCCCCGCGGATGACTACTTTCGAGCTGATGATACCGGAAACAGCTCGATGTACGGATACTTGGTTGATCAGAGAAGATAGGTAGATTCCTGGAATAATCTGGTTCAGGATTGACATGCGAGAGTTAATTTGAATTTTGGAAATCGAAGGGCGCGTTTGGTCACACCAAGGTCCGCGGGGGGTATAGGCCGGTTTTGTCGGCAACTGATTATGGACGGGGTTTTACAAGGAGTGTTATACCGGAAAAGGAAATAAGGTCCATCATCAGTCATCATCGATTGAAGCAATTTTGATAATTGAGCCAAATAATGACTATTTTGAGCATTCTCCCTCCGCCTGTGGGCAGCGGAACTGATCTGTTCCTGTCTGGCTGGTGTTCTGGCTGGTGTACTCGGTAGAGTGACGTGACGCCCTTTTCAGCCAAATTTCGGCGTCAGGTACGGAGTACAGCGACCTTAGGCGGCATCAGGCCGTCAAAACCCGACATTTCACCACATTGACCGGGCGTTTCCCTTTTGTTCTGAGCGTGGGGACGAATGGGGTGCTGCGTGACGCCCTTGCAAGATTGGCGGAATATTCCATTGCCAGACCAAACATCTCAAGCCGAGTTCGTCCAACAAAGCGCAGAATATCTCTGCCAAATAGAACAACCCTTGAATTCCTGTTATCAACCCTCAGCTTCCGTCAGCAAGCTCATTACTAACGTTTACGAAGTTGATCCATTGCGTGTAGGCCTGGCCACTTTCTATTGCCCACCTGGCTCTCCGAACACCTTCCTTCCAACGACCTCCTCCGGGACCTCTATCTTTGTCAACAATCCCATTGTCTCCATAACCCATATCACTAGTATCCGCTTCGCAGATGCCAGATACTACAAAAAGAGCTGCGGTATTCATAAGAACGAAATGAAGTATCGGATCATCTCGCGGTAGTTGATTCTGCAGAAGTCTGGATAATATCTGAGCATTCTCTGCCGGTTCCTTGCCCGGCGAGACATCCTCCAGTCTGTGGCTTGGAAGCCCAAAATCCACTGCGGAAAGTTTGAAAGTCTCAATGTCAATTTCATGTGGTGATGGGTCCGACCGACTTGAACGATTGACCAATCTCCAACAGTACGACGGACCAGCACAACTGATCTCATCCAAATCTTCTTCGCCACAAACAACCATGGCTTTGTGAGCACCACTCATTTTCAAAGCATCCGCAAATACTGGCCCAATATCTCGTCGTGCAACACCTAGCAGGCGAGCTTCGATGTTGCCCTCCACTGGGTTGGCAAGTGGGCCAAGTAAATTGAAAATTGTCCGCCATCCAAGTTCTTTCCGAATTGGCGCAACGAACTTCATCCCTGGGTGGAAGACTGGCGCGTAGAGAAAGGCATAGTTGCTCTTCTCGTAGACTTTAGCAATAGTCTTGGGGGTTACAGCCATGAGATTTGGCGCTTTCGGTAAGACTGCGTTGAGCAAATCCGCGGAGCCTGACTTGGATGTAGAAGCTTTGTTGCCATGTTTGCTTAAAAACAGGAGAGACGATGCAAGTATAGACGATGTGGTTGAAATGTTGAAAGTATGATGAGAGTCACCACCCGTACCCACAATATCACACTATATGGTTTCAATTATTCTGTAAATATAGCAATTAGAATAGGTCACACTTACAAGTCCTCCATGGTAATCTCCTTCTGGCCTCCCGCGAGTTTTGACCACTTCCGCTAACTGCTCCCCATCAACTTGCGATGCGGCATCTCTCATGACTTCAGCGCATTTTGCAATAACATCGGCTCTTCTATCCCATCCGGTGAAGTGCAAGCAAGTGAGAAGTGCTCCTGTTTGAACAGGCGACAATTGGTCGGTAAAAATGTGGGAGATGGCGAGAGCTATTTCAGCAGCAGTGACATTGCTCTCGCCAGGGGACGGCCAAAGTCTTTTCAGCAGTGGAGTTATGGAAATATGCTGGGCAGCGCTTGGCTCAACATCAATAGCCATACTGCTCATTTGAACAACAATTCTGACCAGAAGTAAGCAATATTTCTAAAAAAAAAATCAAGTTAATTGTGCGGGGTTCCGATGTTGTACACAATTTAAAAGAAGCATGTAGATTTTTGGACTCAGTTGGCGAAGTAAAGTCTTGTTGACACCTGAGACGTAGGGCCACAACGAAGCTAGACCGGATTGGAACTTTTCGATGAACGAACTCCCAAGACCTTATGTATCGAACCTATCGTAACCAGAGCAGTCGACTTTAAGGTGATAGCTACCGTTCCTTAGCACTTGAATGATACTGACCTTCCAGACAGGATGATGCCACGAATATCTCCTCCTTCCCGAGCAATCGCGTCTATACTGAGATGTAAAAAAGCATCCAAGTCGCGAAGGCATTATGCTACAGCTGTGACTCCATCAACATCTCATGACCCGATTTCAAGAGTCTCTCCTCCGATAGCTCGATTTCCGCCCACACAGCCTCCTTCTTACAAGCCACCGGAGTTTCGCAAGTCTCAATTGCTCCGCCAGTATGCGTCCCTAATTCGATCAACGCCTCTTATGGTTCTCTTCCAACATAACAATTTAAAATCTCCAGAGTGGACTGGAATACGAAGGGAGTTGAACAAAGCCCTGCGGAAAGTCGACGATTCCAGAGTTGCTGCTGGGTTGCCAACGGAGAACCTAGGGGAGGGTGTCAAGATTCAGATTATTCAGACTGGCATATTCGAATCCGCATTGAAGATTGTGGATTTTTACAAACCAGAATCGCAACCGGCCACACTTGATCCAACAGACCCTTCGACACCCTCCTCTGCCACAATTCCTATTGTCAAGCCTGACGGCTCCAATCTGACTCACTCTTTATCGGAGGCGGCGCACGCTGCCATCAACAGAAAATCACATACACTCGCTCCGCTGATGTCGGGGCCAATAGCACTCTTAACTTTCCCTACCGTGTCCCCAGAACACTTAAAGGCAGCACTATGTATCCTTGCCCCGGTTCCTGGTCAGTTCCCAGCGCCGACACGAAGGGCAAACCCAGGATGGCATGATCTTCCGGTGCAAACTGGATTACAGAAGCTACTTTTACTTGGAGCTCGAGTGGAAGGCAAAGTCTTCGACACCGAGGGCACGAAATGGGTGGGTGGTATTAACGGCGGCATGGAAGGATTACGAGGCCAGCTGGTCGCTATGTTACAGGGACTTGGCGGGCATCTTACAAATACCCTGGAAAGCGCTGCGAAGAATCTGTATTTTACGGTTGAAGGAAGACGAACAATGCTGGAAGATGAAGGAAAAGAGTCGGTGGATACCAAGGCTGGCGAGGCCCCTAAAGTGGAATAATGAAGGCTTTGTAACTTGTAATCTATGTGGAAATATACTGTAATAAGTGAACATTCTATGATTTCTAGCATTTCAGTCCTCGGGGCATTTCGAATTGACGAAACGTCTGTAAACTGCTATCTTGTCTCCAGCCGAGCATTCATGCCAACAATACACCTGACAAGATCCCAATCCCCATTATGGCCTACCCAGTCGCACACCACAACTCCTGTGCTTCCATCACCCTGACGGTTATTCTGGGCACGATCTACGGCTTCATCAGCAGTTTCCGGATCATTGTGATGCTTTCGACACAGATAATCGACCATGTACGGATTCACTTTCGCAGCAACCTTATCCGGCCAGCAGTTTGCTCTCCAGAAGTTTGACGCACTTAAGAAGTTCATGAAAATAGGTCGTTTAGCTGCCTCCTCCTTTGCAGCCTCGGGATCGTCAGGGTTTGGAAACGTTGCTCTGGCAGCTCTGACTAAATGTTCTGAACAGAATGCAATCTTTTTCTCGATGTTCTGTTGGTAGGCAACTTCGTAGAAATCCTGGACTCGAATTTCTCCACTCGTACATAGCCCATCTGCACAATTGTCTGGCCAACTCTCGCCATCCATCGCCCAGCCTTGTCCATCGTTCTTATCCCGCAGACCAGGATGGATACTAAATCGTCGAAGAAGGACTATTTTACTGCGTACCTCCCCCAAAGTTGGAATACGATTCTCTGTAAACCAGCGACGGTCATCGCTTGCATAATGCTCATATAGGACTCTGCTTAGGTGTTCATCTGTAGCTTTACCTATGCCTTCCCTCTTCACCGAAACTATTACCGTTTCCGTAGGGTTTGCGTCAAGAAAAGAAAACACTGTCTCCACCAGACCGCGAAAGTACCTGCTCCCTGTCAGGGCCACTGGGAATGCACTATGTACCAAAACAAGGCCATCTTTAGAAACATCATCATGGCTTTCAGGCTGTACCCGAACATCGAGGAACCGAACGCCGTTTTCGAGCTGGAACTTCACACCGACGGATTGGCAGCGAACGGAAGGAAGAGCTTTGTGATAGGTTGGTGAGTTGTGTGTCCCAGGAATACTGAGAGCAGATAACGGAAGATGACTGGGAAGTTTGCTCATCCATGATTCAAGCCTTGATGAAGAGTACAACGCGAGGAACGAAGATTCGCGCAGATAGACACCCGTTAATTCGTATTGCGGATCTGGGGAGAGAGGAGTAAGGACGGTCGACTTTTCGTCTGTGGTTGGAGTGTCGATTCTGTATCTCTGCCCCTCTAGCTCAAACGTCAACCGAAGGGTACCGCCAACGTTGGTTTCTACATTTGTAGTCTTTGAAGAGAACGGCGCGATAGGTAATGAAATTTCTTCAGCAGTAAAACTCTCGGCTTTCTGAATAAGCTGCGCTGCAGTTGGCGTTGTGTTGTTGCTGCTGACAAGTGCGCTCAGACTTCGAGTGATTTTAGAGAAACCCCCACCGGCAATTCCGTGACCAGCCAAGTCGAATCGTTCCACAACTTTCAAGTCCAGGGGATGAACTGTGATGTTTCTGATCGTCAACGGGGGTAGCTTCGAGGTCATCGTTTCTATTGCATTGAGAAGTTGATAGACACCATTCAAAGCATGTCGCTGAACACATTATCACGTGCAACTGGGCAGTTTCTGGGGTGACGACAGTGGGCAGCAAATCTTGTTTTTTCTTCCCCTTTTTTAGGTTCATAGTCAGTAACCGGCAACTCATTGTATGTGCCTTTTTTATATAATACCTCGTAAATGTCATCGTGTCATAATGAACATATCGCGTAGGTGTTTTTTATATAATAAGTGCAATATTGTCCTAGATACGCGGCTGACCTGACCTAGTTGAAGCACCGCAAGATTTGAGTATCACAGCAATTGCGTTGTATGCGGAGGTCCACGTGTTGGAGGTAAGCCAAGTCAAAGGCTATTGGCAATTGTGTCGGGTATGCGGTCTAGCCTTAGTGCTGTTGCTACCTACCTTGGAAGCACACGATGAGACACATCAAAGTACAGTAGGCGTCCTCACACGTCTGAAGGTCAAACGTTAGAAGCCCTTGGGAAGTAACTGATCCAAATGCATCCAAGACTGCCGGAGCAACTCACTGTGGCAGCGATAGACTTCCCGCTGATTAACAAGCATCTTCTCCTTCAAATTAGATGGCGACGACCCCTCTAGTCTGTGTAATGTTATACTCGTACCCGATAGCCAATTGACTTATGCATTGCCTTTTGCATTAGGAAGAAAACTGTTTTGTAAGTTTTGTGAGATGAAAGCATATAGAGAGGACGCCTATAAGAGAAGGTCCCGCTGCACATTTTGAAGTTCGATCACTTCTACAAAGCCACCCACCAGCCTTCTACGCCAACAGGAAAACCCCTGTCAAATACAGCATCTGAGCAAGACAACAACAGCACCAGCAATATGTCCACCAAGCCAATCACTTGGAATAAGGAGTAAGGTCACTTGTGGCCCAGACCCCAGAGCTCTATGGGGTCGGGAAACTTGCACGATGACATGATAATTAACGTCTCCTAGGCGTCCTGCTACCCAAATTATTCCCACATTCCGCTATATTCTCAAGGACAACCCAACAATCACAGCTGTTGGTCTGAAAGTCATGTTTCCGCCTGGAGCTTCTTCCCCGCCTCACAGGCATGGAACAGCCAACGTGATAGCCCAAGTCATTGAAGGCAGCTGTACCAGTGGGATGAACGATGATGAACCAGGCATTTATGGTGAAGGAGAGCACTGGTATGAAGCTCCTGGATGCTACCATCGAATCAGTGATAACGCGAGCGACACTGAGAGGGCGGTTCTCCTTGTCACGTTTGTTATCGAAACCAAGATTTTGGAAGAACATGGATTGGGGGTTCTCGTGCAAGTCGAGCCGGAATACTTAGAGGGAGCCATTGAGCAGATGGCGCGATGCGGCTTTTCTATTCCCCAATGAGTGTTCCATGGTCTGTAGGAAGTCGGGCTTCTCCGCGTTATTTACAGCAATGATGTTGAACGCAAGTTTAACTTATAAGTTGTAAGAATACAGAGAGAGGGAAAACAATCTAAATTCTCCATAAGCGGTTCTCGAATAAATATACACCTTCTGGTGTGGGTTGTAAAAGCCAAGGTCCAAGGAATTATAACGTGTGAACGTAAGATTACAATGAAAACGTAAATTTACGACTACATGTCAACACTTCGGCAATAGCGTCGCTTTCAAAATCGATTTTTCTACTATGTGGGTGACATGAGGTTGAAATGTGTTTAAGTGACGGTACAACATTAAACATTTACATTATGAGTAACTCGTTAGGTGAGGCAGTGTTTGGTCCGACGCTTGGAAGCTTGCTTAATCTCAAGGGCTGACGACGCATCGTGCCACTGCTTTGATACTCTTGGCCTTGGACATAAAAACACGGGAGTTGCTTAAAACAATTTCTAAACTCCTCTGGATATATTTACAAGTCACGGTCAACATAGGCCTTTAGGCACGTGCTGGAAAAAACGACAGTCGGCAAACGGACCTTTGTCGGCAATTATTTTATAGACTTTATATTTTGATTTAAGCAAAAATCTGTTCCAAGGCAGTAAGATGTCAAGAAAAGCAATGTGGCGCAGCGGAAGCGCGCCGGGCTCATAACCCGGAGGTCCCTGGATCGAAACCAGGCATTGCTATGTTTTGCTTTTTAGATGGATGAAGTCTTTTTTTTTGGTGATTTTTAGTCGATAATGTCTTCTGCACCGTCTACGGATTTCTAATTGGATATACTAGTTAGTGCCGTCGACCTCTACTATTTTTGGGAGGCACGGAAGTCAGCTCGCGTTGCAGAAGTCGAGCGGAAGTAAGCTTTTATTGGAGTGAATATCAGGAAAACTATCTTCGTATTGGAAAACATCTTATACTCGACAATCGATAAATCTGCAATGAGAACCGAAGTCTCCGCCAGTAAACCAGAAGACCAATACCCAAGGAATAGCTGGCCAACATTTGTAGGTGTTACGTTTAAGCCTCAGGCTGAACAAGTTCTTGTTCCAGCACCGCGTCACGAAATCGCTATTGGATAATTGCACGTCCTCACGTCTCGTCGATATTTCAAAAATGAACGGAACACCCTCAACCTCTTCCTCGGCTGCGGGCACAGCTGCAAGTTCCTTTCCTACTGATCCGTCAGAATTTGACGCAGATGATAGAATCTCCTTTTCGAAGCTTGACAACAAGTTCCTACTCGTAGTTGCAGATGGAACGGAGTACGAATTCGACGACGCAATCAAACGATGGATTCCAGTAGTCGACGAGGCGCTATTGGAGCAGCAGCAGAAGGCATATCAGGTTGAGGGTGTCGATGAGAGCGAACCAGTTGATGCACTGAAGCGCAAGAGGAAGAAGGAATATGTTAACGGAGAAGATGTATAAGCTATACCCACCCCATACCAACGACATACTAACCTGGTGCATAGGAAGGCGGACGCGAAAAGAAAGCCCCCAAGAAAACCAAAGCGCCGCTCCCACCAAAAGCCAATACAGCAGTTTACGTAACCGGGCTTCCATTTGATGTCACCATACCAGAAGTCCATGAAGTGTTCTCGAGAAAATGCGGCGTTATTGCAGAGGAAATCGATAGCGGAGCGCCTAGGATAAAGTTATATACGGATAGCAAGGGCATCTTCAAGGGTGATGCATTGATTGTATTCTTCAAGCCGCCGAGTGTCGATATGGCGATTATGCTACTGGACGACACTCAATTCCGTATGGCCGATGGGGAAGGAAGCGGGCGCATGAGGGTCCAAGCTGCAGACATGAGCTACAAGAGAGTTCAGAATGACACTGAAGTTACGGCTAAAGATAAGGAGAAGGAAAAGGAAAGACAGCGGACCAAGGCTAGGGATAAGCAGAAGATTATCAAGAAGACTCAGAAACTGGATGCTCGATTAGCGGACTGGAGTGATGATGAGCCATCCGCGATACAGGAAACTTCGTCGAGGTTCGATAAGGTGGTCATTTTAAAGCATATGTTTTCGCTTGCGGAATTGGCAGATGATCCAGCTGCCATTCTGGACATAAAAGAGGATATTCGCGAGGAGTGTAGCAAGCTGGGAGAGGTTACCAACGTGGTCTTATTCGACTTGGAGGAGGAAGGAATTGCGAGCGTCCGATTTACAAACGCAGAAGCCGCCAAAGCTTGTGTTATCCTTATGAATGGTAGAAATTTCGATGGCCAGAAGGTAGAAGCTTACGTCTCGGAGGGCAAGGAAGTTTTCAAAAAGTCGAAAAAGAAGGAGGATGAAACTTCGCTTGACGATTGATCGATGGGCTACTGAGCGTAGGGTGATCACCGTGAGCGGGATCCTAAGACTTAGAAGATGTTGTACTTGTAACGATGATACCAATAATGCGGCATGAAACCAATATTAATTCATAAGATTTGTTCTGTACATACAATTCTAAGCGTAGCTATTCGTTGCATCAATGCTCTTTGTACGTGACTCCCAACGCCGAAACCTGCGCTAAACGCCAAAACCAATCGCTATCCAACCAGAAAAGTACATGTTACGCGTTAGGATCACTTTCTGGAATCTCCTCTTTCTCCACTGTGCTTCCTTCCACCGGCAACTCTACATCCTTGACAGGGTGTATCAGCATAGGCGGTAAACACATTCTTCCTTCGCCGCCTCTCATCCCGTTTACACCTTTGCCATCTCTCCCTTCATCGACCACGGTTTCGAATTCTTCACCACCTTCGTTGTTGACTTTTAAGCCCAACCATCTTCGCCACAGATTTGGAGCAAACCCGGCATTGTAGTACCATGTCATGCCGAGAAGATTGTGTTCTTTCTCGCCGAAAACACTGTTCTTGGAGCCCCCGGTTGCGCCATTTCGTCCAGCATTCATGACTCCAGACAAATAAGCAGTAGGCCACTCTCGGTCAACGTACATGGGGTGTGGCACGTAGACAGCTTTATATCCATGGTGTAAAGCGGCAGTAGGTGCCCACATTTCGGAGAAGGCATGGTGCTTTTTGAAAGCGGTCTCACGGTGCATGGTGTTGAGCAGGCGTTTGGACATCCTAGAGGACGTAACGATTGCCGCACGACGAGGAATTGCTCCCCCAGTAATGTTGTAACCAGTATAATCTTCCGCAAGAAGCCAAGAAGTACTCTCTGGGTCAAACAATGGGTTAAACGTGATGAGGTCTGCGTCTTCGCCGACTCCCCATTGGTACTTGTCTTTCTCATATGTATTAATAGGCACTGGATCATTCTCAACCTCAAACCAGTCCGTTAAGTCCAAAGGTCGCTCGGGTCCCCAGATTGGTTTCTCGCCTTTCGGAGTTGCCGGCATTTTTTTCGCACCAGGGATTCCGGACCAAATATCCTCTGGGCTTTTGGTTCCCATCTCCGTCTGTACCCTGACCATTTGCTTGAAGTCTTCCCATGAACCATGAACCGAAGGTATGTAGAACCTACCACTTCTTTCCCATAACCCTTTACGCGGTTGCTTCTTCGTCCAAGAATCGATTTGCGAAAAGAGGTTATAATAGTGGCCCGTGTAGCGAATATCAATCTCCCAATGCCAGAAATAGTCATACTCTTGGTGTTGTTGGGCAAAGTGTTGCATGGCCATCTGGAGGCCTCGGTAGGACCCGTGGATAGGTAAATCGGAACCCCTGGCGAAGGTATCAAATATGCCTTGGTAAAGCATGAGCATTTGAGTAGTGCTCCATAGCGTCGTGATGCTCCGAAATTCTTCTGGTACAGATGCGTTGAGGTGCTCTTGGTATGTAACCTCGTCAGCCCATATCGGATGTTTCCCTTCGTCCTTGACCTGTACCAACAGATGCACGTCGTATTCGCCGCCAGATCCCAAGGATAGTTCTGATATCATTGCACGCAGTTGGAGAACATCTTCTTCGCGGTATTCGAAGTCATCGTAGGATCTAATTACAACTGCCGAACGTGGCAACTTCCTTGTCGCCGTTGAGTTCGATACCGGTCCTACCTTGGAATTGTGGTCTTCCCTATTCATACTCTCTTCTGGCCGGGTTTCTTCATCCAGGATTTGGTAGGTTGTTACATGTCTTGTGGGGGCAACCTTAGGTTCAAACCTGTCGGCGTTGGCTTTATGGCATCTACGTTGCGCATCTCCCCAGTCCATATTTCGATAGTCGACCTGCTTAAGCTCTGAAGTTGCTTCATCAGTCCAAACAGAATGGGAACCTTCCATATCGCCGTGCTGCCCCGTCCCGGTACCACCGTATTTCGCTGAGTATCCGTGTCCGTATGGTCCCAGTCTTCCAAAGCGCTCGAAACAAATGTCCTCTGGCAGGCCCAGTAATTCATAGGAGCCCATTACGCTGTCGGGAAAACCGCTCGGTCGTCCCTCGTAGTAGTGTACCTGCGGCACCCGTATAGTTGAGTCCGCATCCAAAAAGCACTCTTTGACTAGCGCATATTCGCTCAGGTACGATGCGGTTGATTGATTCCGGTATGCCTCGAATGTCTTGCTCTTGGGTGTGTCTCGCGCTGGTACCATGGTTTCGAGCAACGTCTCGTTCGATGGAAGTGGCTCATCAGCTGCTAACGGGTATTCTGGTCTGTTCTCTGAAAATGGCACCAAAGTTTGTAGTCCGCCATAATATCTTGTGAGGAATGGGAATGATTCCCATGGTGCTGGCGGGGGTGGCGGTCTGTTTCCCACATTTCCTATTTCCACTCTCCGAGACGATACCACACTCATTCGTACCAAACTCAGTATGAACAATATTACTGTGGATATTAATCCGAAGCACATATACTTGATCACCCTATTAGGCAGTTTATATGCCGATGGCAGCGGTCTCTGTGACCCGGCAGAGGATTTCCTCCGCAGCATTGGCCGTCGCGAAGAATATGACCCTGATGTTTCCCTCGATGAGGGTGTGGAGGAGTCGTCTGAGGTGTATTCGGAATCATCGTCAGTACTTGTATCGTATCTATGCTTTTCGATATCGTAATCTTTTGAACTGGAGTATCTCGAGTGTGATGCTCGCTTCTTCACGCTCAATGGCGCGTCGGAATCCATAGGCCTCATTCCGAGGAATGCTCAGGCGGGTTTTCGGTGGAACGTGGCTCAGAAATGCTAGGATTGAGCTTTTGGACACTGTCAGTTTACTTGTTCGATTTGTAGACATGTAACTTACCTGTTGTGTGTAAAACTTCAAAGGATTGTAGAGTGTCTATGCTACTTTCTTCCTTTCTTCTCATTCGCACACATTGATGCGTTGCGATGGTCTTGTGAAAAGATGGTAAACATAAGGTCGTTGCTACTGGCAACGCGGTCGTGACAGTAGCCGAGTCCTCGTCTGCACCCCCAACATTTGCTGTGACCATCCCGTCTGCTCCCCTCCATGATCACCATCTGACCGAAATTCATAATGAGCTGCTATGTTGGAAGAGAGGGTGGTCATTGTCGACATCCAGGCTGCTCATTGACTTCCCAAACACGTTATGTTCAAAGTCCGACATCCCAAATGCATTCTCATTTACTGTCGAGCCCTCTCAACTCGCGGACATGACAAACTCACCAAGATGCTGCGGATAGTATGGCAATCGACTTTCGTATCGGCGACGCTGAAATGGCCAGATAGGAGGGGCGTTGTCATCTTATCTTGCATTAGCAGTCCAAATCAACCTGTACGACAGGCCAAAAAGTGCCTGCGAGGGAGTGATTGGCGTAGAAGCAAGGCTTCACAAGTTGATGTGCATAGTGTCTTCATCGTGTCTTCTCATCATCGAGTCCGCAGTCGGCGGCAAAATGGTTGTCACCGTTTCCTCGTCCGATAGTTACTTGGCCATTCGATACTTCCAATTCCGGACCAGTACATACATGAAGTAGGCCAGTCGTGAGAGGACTTCTCCCATTTGCTTGTGCGTGTGCATGTTCTGCACCGCAACCAGGTGGTGTCCCATCGTCGCTGCATCGACCAGGCCGCTCGTGGAGTATCAGGTAGGTAGGTAGGTAGGTAGAGGAGAGCTATCAATTCCTGATGTAGTGCTGCTGCTGCTGCTGCGCAGTACATTCCGCGTCGGGTGACATTAGCATACTACGCTGTCACGATCCGACTTGTAGGTAGCTCGGCAAAGTTTCCCTTCCACGCCTGGGTGCCTAGGGCTAGGTACTGTACAACGAAGACTTCAATGGAACATTGAGATACTGGTACCTGGCGCTGGCCTAGATGCGTTGTGTGTGGTGCTCTGTGTGCTCTGAGGAGTGGATTTTCTCTGGCGCTATTCGTACGACGGCCGGTTGTTTAGAGCGAGGTCGGACAGCTGGACTGGTTCATGTACCTTTCGTCCACTTGACTTGCCTGCTGTCCAGTTGTAGTTGGCTTTGCTTTGGATGCTCGCCGCTCCAGCTGCCTCGAATTGGAATCATCAACGGTAACGGTCAAGGCGGGGTCAATGGGTCCATGGGGCAACTGCCATGAGGGTCTTTCGTCTCAGCCCTATTCGCCCAAGTAGTTCTATTGCCTCTGACACAACGACAACATGTGACGTTCAAAATGCAATTGTGGGCGTTCCCCCAGATTCATTGGATACCTGGACGGTACCTAGGTAAGCCGCCTTGCTGTTTCTGCTTACTTTCCTACCCAAGGCATTCCTAGGTCCCTCCGTCGCAAACGCTGAGAGGTCACACTGCTCGTTTGGTCACACTACTGCCACGAAAGTGACAGAAAAGACAAAGCAAAGCCGTCGGATCGTCAACTAGAGCCGCAATCTCACTTGACTGGACTGAACTGAGACAGTGGTTAGCAGTAGCTTCACCGTTGCACGACCGCCAACCGCCAACCGGCCAGAGAGGACCGGAACCTATGCTCCGGCCCAACCATGCAGTTGTCCAACTTGTCCCTGAGGTTAGGTGGCACGAGTCAAATCATGGCTCGATGGTCGATGTACTGCAAAGTAATCGTACACAGAATAATCATGGCTAGTTTTGCCTCGTTCCCGGAGAAAACAACATGCCACGCCCAACGCATGCATGCATCCCGATTCTTTGGAGAAGCAAGAGCCTAGCTAAGGAGGGAGCTGTAGCTGCGACGAGTAGCAAGTGTTGTACAGATACCTAGGTCCAGTTAGCAAAACGTCAGAAATGTTAAATAATTTACTACGCAACACGGCTTTTTGCCTCCAATCACCACACATACGTCCCTTTTTCCGGATTGACCGTTACGCAGCGCCAATTTAGGAAATCATGTCACCCCGAAATGCCAATTCCGGCAGAAAAATGTCTTATTATTGTTTTGCCCTGGCTCAATTGGTCGTCGTTGACATCGCCTCTGCTTTTCGCTCTGCGTCACTCGTCACTCGTCACTTCCTCCCCGATGACCGGTCTGCTTGCCTCTCAGAAACGCTCCACCGCCCTTACCACAAACTGCAGCGATAGCCACGAGAACCACCCATGGCCGTTCCACCGTCCAGAGCAGGTCCTGTCAGAAGTTGCGGGAGGGAGCTCCTTTCGCTCCTCCTCGCCTTTCTGACTTCATGGGACAGCACATCGTGAGGTGGGTCGGTCGTCCACTCCGTCACAGCCATTGGTCCCCTTCTTCAGCACAGAAGCAATCCGACTCTTGCTCTCACCAGCTTAAAGCATACCACTTTCCCCGCTCTCCTTCTTTCGCCCTCTGACCTCTGACCTACAAAGATTGGTAAAAACTCTGCTCTGCCTTCTCCTATTCACGTTCTCTATTATCATCGCAGCATTTCAGATCGTGTGTTTTCTGCTTAGTGCATTCCATCATATCACTTCTGGCTGTTATTCACTCAACAATACAAATTCACTTTATCGTGTTTACCTCCAAACAATCTGCTTGGTCTACCGAAACATCGTATTGCTCCAGCCATCCTGTTTGGAGCACATCAGACCGAATCAAGCAATCATCCAAAACCATTTCCTTCGCCCGGGTGACTGCTAAAGTCTCTTCTTTCAGCTCTTCTGCCTTCCTCCTGAGCATTGAAGCTACTGAATTTGATAGGCATCACGTTTACTTGAGACATTGAAATTCTCCAAAAGACTAGGTGCGGTCACTTTTCCCAGCTTACGGCTGTTGTGTTTGCTAATGAGCGATAGGTGATGGAGTTCCCCAAAACAAGTAATCTCACAACGCAGGTTGTAGTTGATGGCCATGACTCTGGGCGAGAACCCCTTGTGAGCTTGACACAGCAACAGGTAGTACAGATCACACTCTCTGGTCTTAATCTCTGCCTGACTATCTTCGCAATATGTGTCAGCATCCATTTTTTGCAACCTTCCCTCGCATGCATGCTTCTGGCCTTGTCACCAATTCCCTTGATCATCCACAGAGACTACTTGAATTTCCTCTCGCTCGGTCCAGGTGGAACCCCATCGACATTCTACGGCTATCTCAAAATCACCATCCTACGCCTTTTTGCACTTCCGGACCCATATACGCCTGCCACCGTCGCTGAAGCACTGTACCCTTCCGAGGGATACTATCAACGTGCTCACTCATGGTTTCCGACTCGGAAAGGACCTCGGCCAACCATCGCTGGGATTGCTCCCCAACGCCAAATCGACCAGACGGGATGTCCTGACATGTATCAGCTTCTACGCACCAGCTTGATCAACCTGGCCGCTCGACATCCTGACAAATTCCGGATTGGACAATCCTGTTTTGAGAAGAAGGGACTTGCTCTGTTTGCGCGCAATCCAATCAACAATACCTGTCGTGGTGAAATTGTTCACGTGCACCATAGCGATCGAAGCATGCACATGAATCTACATCCTGATGATGCCAAGATTGTGCTACAGGAAGGTTGGGGTGAAAGACATCCTCTGGCGAGAGGTGGGTGGATGAAACAATACGTCCCGCGCGAATTCCTCATGGTCTACTCTCCCCGCGATCGTGTCGAATTAGAAGTCGTTTGCCGAGTGATCGAGGCAGCAGGCTTTTGGGTGAGTGGCGAGCGCTTCGAAATCACCATTGATTCGGAACCGTTGGAAGGGGCTTCGATGGAAAGTTGTGGGAAATAAAAAGATAATATTTGGAGTTCAACGTATGGGATCGGGCGCAGGCGTGGACATAGGCATAGACTGCAAGACTTTTAGCCAAGAACGTTTTATTGTGTTTGGGATTATCGGGATGGTTGGGTTTGTAATTATACCATGATTTAGTTAGGTTGCGTCCCACTGAAGGCGTGGTTATGGGTAAGTTATTTATGACCGGCGAAGCATCATACGTGGAAATTGTCATTGAGAAAAATATAACAGAAATTATCACATGTTTTTGGCATTGGAATGAAGGGCAAAGTATCTGCTTAAGTCGACATTTGCGTGATACGTCGAGTATGATAACTTTTATCACTTGTTGCCTCTTTTTAATTCAAGTCTGCGGGTTCGAATGTTCAACTGCTGGCACGAACCGACTTGGAAAACGATCATTGACTCCACACAGACAGAGGCTGTAGATTCATAACACAAATTAGCTGTCACTGACGTTGACATATGCTCTTCGTCGGCTTTTCCATCTCGGGGTGTCCTCTGCGACCCGGCGCCCTGGTTTATTTGTCGCTAGTGAGTTCATTCGGCTGAGATACCATTCTGGACAGAGACGCAGGATTCAAAGAGGTTCTCAGGGGTAGTCTGCCTTAAACATTGATATGTTCTTCACTTTTAGGGACATTTTAATTCAGACGACCGGTACCATATTAAATGTGTACATCTCAGCATAGTATTCACGTTTACCGTCAAACCAAGACGTCGGCTTTTTGGTATCAATGAGTCCACATGACTTCCATCAGCTTTAGGTGAATTAAATAGCTATTAAATTGGGTATCAAATTCGAATCACATAGCGTGACATCGTATGTATATACATGTAGATATCGATACAACGACTTCCGAAACGAAGTGCCATCACTTCACGACCATATGAAATTACGCATTCCGACAGAGCGCGTATTACTGTGACCAATCGTCATACACGCCTAAGACAAGTTGGCTTTGTCTTGCTTGACCTCGGCGCTGATCCCAGAGTGGTCACCCTCAGAATCATTTGCTGCTGCTTCGACGATCGGGCCGGTGTAATATTTCCGACCACCACCATACCAGAAGACTGCGGAACAAAGGAGGATGAATATCAGGAATACCACCGCGTAATTCATCTGTTCTTGTTAGCCGGCAAACATAGCAGAAACAAGATTACTCACAGTATCAGCCGCAACGGGTCTAACCGTTGGGAGTAGAAAGATGATGGTAACGAATAGGGTCCAGATGCAGGCCCAATAATTGACAGCGGCACTGAACTTGCCCATATGCCACGGTCCTGGCTCGAATTTGCCAAAGGCTAACTTGCAGCTAGATTACGATTAGACATGGATCAAACCCGTTCGTCAAGAAAGACTTACACAATTGGGATGATATAACTCCAATCAAGTGCGATGGCGCAGATATTGAATACGCCAGCAATCGCTGCATAAGAGCCGAGTCCAATCAAGTTGATGCTAATGCAGCACGCGACCGAAATCCAGACAGCATACAGAGGGGTTCCGGTAAATGAGTTGATCTGGACCCAAATCCAAGATGCTGGAATGAGACGATCGCGGGAGAAAGCAAACACGGTTCGGCCAAGTGCCTGCATAGCCGTGAAGCAGACAAACTTGATGATGATGAAACCGCATACGGTAAAAAAAATACCACCGGCCCTTCCGAGACTGTTGTAGTAAATCTGAGCTACCGGCTGTGCGAGAGGACTGGCAAGAATCTCTGCAGTGTCACCCTAGGTGAAGACGACAGAGTTAGCTTTTGGGATTGCCTAGGCGCGTGGCAAACTTTGATGTATGGAGCACTTACCATGCAGAAACACAAAACGATGTTAAAGAGGAAACCGGCTAGGTAGGTGAACAGCATCGCCATTGAAATGGCCCATGGGGCTTTAACTTCTGGTTCAGAAATTCTAGTAATCATTAGCAAGAAAAATTTTGTTCGAAAAGACACGAGACATACTCTTCCGTAATATGAGCGGTGGCGTCTACACACGATATAATTAGCAGGCGATATCAAGACTTCGCACAAGTTTAACTGTACCATAATCTGTCATTGTCCACGACACTGACAAGAAACCAAATAGGAAGCTGAAACCAACAGGCGTCCATCCGGATGTCGATTCAATGTCGGTAAAAACATATTTCGCGGAGTGCTTATTGTCCGTCTTCGCCAGAAGAGCGATCGAGCAGGAGACGAGAATTAGAACGTGAAAGATGACATAGCTCTTGGTCAATTTCTCCATCCAGTAGGTGGACATGGAATTGACCAGCCCAGTCAGAACCGTCAATGCTGCCATAATGCCAATCGTCTTGTTCGTGGTGATTTCGTAATTAAAGGCGCCTAGTTCCTCATTGAAGCCCGATCCCATTGCAACTGCCGCCAGTAGCATTTGCGCTGCTCCATATTCAGAAGATGCCACACCAGCGACTTGCCCGAGCAAGTTGATCCATCCGGTCACCCTGGAATCTCAGCTTGTGTCACATGTTTTGCAGTGGGTAGATTGTCTTACCAGCTCAGCGACGGCACCCAATCGTGTGGCGCGAGTCGAGAAATTGTGAAATATCTGCGAATGTGTGAGTATCGGTATGCAGGGCGCGTTGGGGAAGTCGTACAAGCCTCCAGAGGTAGGATATGCGGAGACGAGCTCGGCTACAGACAACTTTTAAGAGGTGAGCATGATGGGCGCATACGACCATATATACATATATATACATCTATATATATATATATATAGATATTATGGTCAGGATTTCCGTTCATTTGGAGCACTCACGGCAATACACATACAACCAGCACCAGAGATCAGCCAACACCACACAGCGGCAGCAGAACCTCCCGCCGAGATAGGGTAGACGAAAGTGGTCATGATGGTCGAGAAAAGACCGCTGATACTAACGGCAAACGAGAAGGTCGACAGATACCCAAATTCTCGTTTGAACACCGGTTTATACCCAAATTGAGCGGCCAGCTGGGCGTCGGCATTGCTCAATTCCTCAAGGTTGACGGTCTTGGAACGTCCATCGGGCGTGTTGATGGCCACCAAGCTCTTCTTGCGATGGCGAACGTCGGCATCGCCCGCAGGAACCACTTGCGGCGCATCTGCTGGGACGACTTGGGGAGCGTCTGCCATGTTGTTGCGAGGGATGATGACTGATAAAATTACTGAATGTAGCTAAATTTCTGGTGTTTTGAACGTTTTGGACGGCTTGGTTGGCACACGATCAATTCATGAGTCGCAAAGGGTACCGAGTCGAGCTTGGGCGCAGTGGAAGAGTCGCAAAGGCAGCTGGCGCAAAGGCAACCGGGCAGTCAACACTGAGAGGGCAGAACAATGTTTGGATGAAGTCGGAACTGAGTTGGAACTGGATATATTAATCGAGAGACGTCCAAAGTAAGTACCCTTCGAAGACTGAGTTCTTCTTGACGGGGGAAGAAGTGAAGAAATTGGGGATCGATCTCTGATAAGGACGTCGACGGATCTGTCTCGGCTCGACCCCTGCTAGAGGACGGATCTTGGCGGAGCACATGGGAGGCCCAGCGGTCAGTGGTGGCATCTGGAAGCATTTGGAGGGGGGTTGGAAGGGTCCACCTGAAGTGGTTTGCGGGAGGTCACGGATTATTAGTCAGCTAGAGGTCTCCAATCAGAGCCGGGTCGTCTACTCCACCTTGTCGAAGCAATTCGAAGCAACGGCTGTGAGAGGTCAAGAGAAGCTTAACTGCACTCCATCACGTGCTTATTTTCTCTGAAGCCACTACCATTTACGTAACTTGCGTCTCCCCACAATATAAGCGAAGACACCGCTGGGAATTTCACGGCCATCACCCCTCGAGCGTCACACGGCTTGCGCTCAATAAGGATAAGGCCGGCAAGCTATCTTGGTTCGATCTTCAGCAGAATTTTTCGAGGTGGGCTATCGGGTGGATTACGGAGTACCTGGGTACCATTCACGTGAACTATTGATCATGTGCCAGCAGAAGAGAACTGTCAGGTATTTAGGTACAAGGCAAAGGCGTTACTCGTGGGTACCATACCTCCCAAACAACCATATTCGAGTACCTAGGTACTCAGGGCTCTCCAAGACTTCAACGTGCTCGATGAACAGATTCATGACCCTTGAGCTTCCTGCTCCACTCGTCGCATCCTCGGCCATTCTTGAACCAATAACCATGAACTGGCAAATTAGCGAAACGCAATCCGCACATGGTTGCGGCACATCACTCGTGGACATTGCTCGTGGTGGAGAAAGTAGGAGAATGCCCGTGGTGATGGACGGGAATGCCGTGAGTGGACACAAACAAGATAAGGATTTTATCGTGGACGGCAATAATCTCAATAGAACACAGAAATCTCGGTGACTTGTCGACTTTCAACCATTTTCAACGTCGGGTATCAACGACGTCTTTCTTGGCACACCCACACCAAATACTGTTTCCCGTTCATACTCGTAAGCAGGAAGTTGGCCATCATTGTTGCAAGGCGCCACTAGGTGATGTTCAAAACCCCCCCTTCAGGAAGCAACACTTGAACTATCAGGTATTCCACGACAACGCCAACCGCGGCACGAAACACAATATCATGACTGGCAGGACATAGATTCAATGTGGAAGTTGGCCGAATGTGAAGGGCCGCTTCATTACCACACGAATTTCGGGTAACGTCTTTGTCACTATTCTCTCAATTCTTTAGTGGATGTAGTATGATTATGATGGTGCCGAACATGAGCTGTCCATCATCTTGTCTTCGTCAACTCAGCCAGCACTTTGGAAGGGCAGTAAGCTCTTTCGCCTGGCCGAATTACACGATTTGGAGGCTAATGATAAATTTCAGGCCTTGTTCGATTTCGCACGACGATATGCAGCTCCCAGCCATTGAAATAAAAGGTGTCCGTCCTCTCTTTGAGTGGAGATGAGGTTTGTACTACTTGCGTGTCATTCAAGACTGCTGCTTGCCGTTTTTTTCATGAAGATTGGCGACGGCAAGCGGCTGGAAACACGGCTTCGCAGTAGTGACAAGACTATTTCACTTTTGAGAATTATGGGCAGGCAGTCAAATCAGGTCATAGATGTTTCTTTTCCATGCATAGTTCCTATTGTTGCTGTGCTTAGTTGATTGATTCTTGCTATTCGGCTTTCCAGCAAATTCGGGATTTATAGATTTTTTTGGTTGCTCTAGATCTCACGTGTGTTGCAAGGTTGGTATATGCATGAAGGGATGTCTCGCTGAACCATTTTCCAAATGATTCAGATGACCTTATTCTATTCATGTATATACTACTCTTCCCTTGTAATGATTCAACTCTGTATTTCTGTAGCTACCACTCATATCTGCAAATTTGGGTCGTTCTAGATCGATAGCCTGTCTGGCGCGAGAAATTTCAATCTCAAAGGGAGCCTTGATATAATGATCTTGGATGCTTATCATTTTGACAACAATAGAGTTATGACGTGAAGAAGACATTCAAAAGTGGTCTTGTTTCAGGTTGTAGTGCTACTGTATCTAAATTACTAGTCAGAGATACGTTGTTACTCTGATCTGCCCCATGTGTTGGCAGAAGGCGTCTAGCTGGTAAAGGTGTCAGAAGCTACTTCGAAATTTGCTTACTCGTCGGACTTCAAATCAAAATCCAAGTTCGCAATTTATAATTCCGAGTTTGGAGCTGACGATACAAATTTCAACTCTTCATCCATCATGTCCCATGGAATGCTATTAAAGCATACATTCAACTTGCTAGCTGTTTGAAGAGAGAATAAGTTGTTTTTTCCCAAACAAAATCCACGATTGAAAGGTTATCTAACCATACTGCATTTACTCGCATATTTGAAACTCTTCCGTTCCTGACAGGAGCCCACTTCGGCGCTCAAGATGCAAGTTTGACCTCATAATAAAATTAAGGCTTGGTCACGACCATGTAACACAAGTCACTATGTTGACTGATGCCATCTACTTGATTCAGTATAGCTTGTTGAGTCTACAGTCCTGGTTTTGTATGATGTTCTCACATTCCTGGCGATAACCTTGAGATCATACCTCCCTGCCAATTCAGTTACATTTCAAGTACATAATATCTTTTGCTCTATGTTGGCGTCGCTCAATTCAATTTCTTGGCTACTTATCATACATCTTGATGGGATTGACCCCTCGGTCGGGATACATGCGCTCTGATTGTGCATTTAGTTCTTAATTTTAGATGGGCGATGCAAATTCATCCGTGGAGCTCATCACCTTTTGCTGGATTATCTACTCGAAAATGAGGGAAGTACCTTGGGTTTCTCTGGGTTTCTCTCCGGGCATTTCATCATCCCATTGCCTAAAAGGATAAGAAATACGGATTGTAACATGTTATCTCAGTCAAGTGACGAGACTAAGATGGCAACCATTTTGGTTTCTTGCACTCATTTATCTCTGGGCGTTCGGGACATTAGGCACTGTCGCAAAGCTTAATCCAAAACTACCAACATTGATCAGTTTTGGTTGAGCTTGAGCTTGAGCTGTCGCTGAGCATACAAGCAATGGCTAAGTTTCATGCCAAGTTGGCAGATGAAGATGATAATTTCACACGAGTTTGCACGAAAGACAGGAGAGCGTTACTACTTTACAAGATCTGGGGACTTGATGGGTGATGAAACATGCGGCTTCACGAAAAGTGCTGTTGATTCATAAAGCTTCACGTTGGCGCCTGGCGAGAATGAATAAAGTTTGACTGCATTTCAAACACATCTGGTCATGACTATTGCTAGATATCTACCCAAATATCTACCCTCGCCATTATGCCACAAACCCTTTCTTTAATCACCGATTGTACATCTTGCACAAATCCTTACTTACATCGTGGCGCTGGAATTAGTCAAGTTTCTAATCTCCTGGTTTCCATGTTGCTCTTGAACACCTCTTTCTTTCTTTCTGTCTGTCCACTTCTTTCCTCCATAAACGGCAGGACCGTTCAGCGCTCGGGCGCCCGTTGAATCACTTCTTTCTCGTCGCCTGAATTTCAAGTCACATTCATACTTCAGTGACGTAAATCCGACGGTTAGTTTCGAGTAGTGGGTTCTTTCATCTCTGTCGGCTTATGGCGGTGGAATATTTCGGGTGCGGGGATTATGCAAATATTCAAAATGCCCAACCACGCTGTCAGCCATCGAGCAGTTGACTCCAATGAGTCGGCGGCTTGATGTAAAGAATCATAATTGATCGGATTATGTATTGCAAGCTTTTATCATTGAGAACTCATTTTACTCAGCTTTAATTCCCTTTGAATACGTGCTCCTGTTGCTTGCCATAAGCTCCAATCTTTCATAATTGCATAAATCGCAACGACGAAAAGATGTCATCTGATCCATAATTATCAGAATGAGAGTTTGATGACCTCAACTTTTGGACATCCCGACTCTGGATTGGTGTTGATATCCAACCCCTCAGTGACTAAAAGCCGCTAGAGGGCTCTAGTCCCCCATCCACGACAATACGTAGTTCCTATGTGCATTTTAGCGGCGGTACTTGGAATTAGCGCAGACAGATTTTTCCTGTGCGCAACAGTATATATCCTCATTCTCCCCCCGCACCCCTCTTCCTCCTGTGTTGCAAATATGACTGATACTTTCAAGAATATTGCCTCCACCGGTGTCTGTTCGGTCTCACCAGCCCAGCAGCACCAAACCAAAACCTTGGGAAATACCAAGTCAACTGAAAACACCGTCGTGGTTCCAGCGATGGCGTTCGAAGTTGGAAGAGTTGGATTGCGCAAGCAGCTCAGCTTCTTCAATGTGGGAATCCGGGGGGTTGCAAAGAGGGTTCGAGAGTGCTTCCTTCGGCGATCAGAGAAATCTGTAGTCGAAAAGGCGTCCTTGAAAGATGAAGTCGTTCAAACTGAGCCGTCTACTCAGTCTGTCGAGGAATTCGAAGAAGATGAGCAGGTGTGCCTTGCAGAGTTCGGAATGGCAGCCGACCTCGCACGATGGAAATGGTCTGTTCCTGTCGTCGAGGTGGAAATCGAAGAACCAGTGGCAACACTCGGTTCCAGCTCAAACATAACATCATCGATCGCCCATGGGGTCGAAGAGAGTTTAGTTGAAGCAGCTCAATGCATGGACACTGGAATTACTTCCAAAGTCGCTGATGAGATCGAGGAGCGTTTGGCTGCATTAACATCTTCAATCGCCTTTGGCGTTGAAGAGAGTTCAGCGGCTATAACATCCGAGATCCAAGGCACTGAGGAGGTTTTCAAAGTGGCACCGCTTGTCTTCTCAAAGAGAGCGTCCGCAACAGCTGCCCCTGGGGCTGAAGTGGTCGCTCCTCTTGGCTTGAGGAAAAAAGCAATCTCCTCAGCTGCCCATGGGGCTGAGGAATGTTTGGTGATTGCTCCTCTCTCTTTGGGCTTGGGCAAAAAGAAGAAAAAGCCTCTTCGGAGTGCTCTGAGGGGAACAACGGCTACAAACAGAGTCGTCTCCAAAACTGTTCGTTTTGAAGATGACTCGAGGCCATTGGCTTGGGGGGCTTGGCAGTATCATGCTGTCTTTCCTTTCCTTGCTGATGAACCTCCAAATTGCCGTGTGGGATTGTCAGAGGTGGACCTGAAGCACCCGTCGCTTTGCAGTGGCGTGGTTGACGGAGGGCGAGCCTGGTACGAAGGCGAGTGGCGACCATTTCCCGGGAAACCAGGTTATGAAGCCCGCCGAACTCCGCCTGAGATTAACGACGAGGGAACTCGTGCTGTGATCAAAGTGCAGAGTGACGCAGCTCGCGAGGCCAACCGACCCAAAGGTCCTCGAGCTGAATACTCGGAGACTGATGACGAGGATGACCTGGAGAGTGAAGTTGGGCTCTCTGAGTCCGATGACACTCTCTGAGTGGGAACTGGCATCACCTTAACTGGTCGCCGAGGCATGACTCATCTGGGGACTGAAGTTTGAGTTGAGTTGAGGTTCAGGGAAACAGACATGGATTGACGATGGAAAGTCTTGAAGTGTTTGGGACTCAGTTTCTCGACCAACAGTGCATTGGATTGTACCAATCATTCTTTCGAGGAAGAATTGGCGGGCCAGCGAGTGGACTGTGGTGGTTCGTATCATTGCCTTCGCTTTTTTGGAATCGATTGAATTGAGGGTAATTGACCACATGGATTCTGTCGGGAGTTGGCTGGTAACCACGCACATCCTGATGCCGTGACGAGAGTTACTTTGGCCAGTTGTCGCGAAGGTGCTGTAGCGCTGGAGGTGAAATGTGGCTCAGTCTTGCAAAGACAATAAACTAGCTCGTGGGTGGCCTATCTGAGGGGTTTGACAGTGGCAATTGGGGCAAGTGGGAATTGGGGGCTCCATTGAGTTGTCCAGATTTATTTGGCTCTTGAAGGAGCTGCTCTGGAAATATCAGGTCTATGATCTGGGCCCAGATGTGACTTGTCACACTGGGCTATTGAGGTATGGTTGGATATAGAATATCAGAAATATTTGCAAAGGCCGGGCCTCCATCCAAAGTCAAGCGAGATGTTCACAGCGCAAATTGGTACTATGACCTGTTGGGATCAAAGGATGTTCCCTCATGTTCTAGATAATAAGATGAAACAGGCTGTCGATAACTGATTGAGTTACCTTCAATACGGCCATGTGTTACGTTCGATAATACGTTCAAGTAAGCTGGAATGTGCACCCCAGGCCTGAGTCAAGGAGGCTCACTCTCAACTCATTCTGCACATCACCTCATATTTTCAGCAAACCACACGCAGAATGTTCAATCTACGGCCATGAATTTCTCCCAGACTTTCCAGCTACTCAACGACTTAAATTTTACTGCGAACTGTGCGACAGCTGAGGCATGGCGTGCCAATCACGCCTGGACCCCCAATGGGAACAACAATAATGTGGGATTTGCAAACGACACCACCAACTTCAATTTCATTTCCATGGCCTGGCCGGCCGCAAGATACCCAGCAGATAATATTGAGTTGTCTGCATTTTACGACAGCATATCTACTGAAATCCCCAACGAATGGACGAGAAGGGCTTTCGACGCGATCGACAGAAGCTGTATCGCACCATCTTTAGCACGACGTATCACGATGGCGAGCCTCAACTATACACAAAATTGTACTGCAACGAGTCAACACCACGCAAAGGTCTTGTGCGCGACGAACAGGGACAGCGTGCCAGCTGGGATCTTATACGGTGGGGCTTTCCACAACCAATTGTCAGATCGGAGGAAAGTGGATTTTGCATTCTTTGCCAGTAATATATCGGAGTTGGATGATTCCAATGGTGTTGCCATGATCAGAGATTCATGGCCGTATAATGCATCTGCCATATCCAATCTGACGCTTGCGGAATGGGCGCGAATTACAATGGAGGCTAATACCAGCGACATATTTCGGAACGAGTCTCTCGATTTTCATTCATTGATCAAGCAAATCTGCCAAACCTGTATCAATGAGTTCTGCACAGTCGCACATTACAAAAGAAATCTGGAGGTTGCAGGAATAGGTGTGAGTAGATGTTTTCCTTCATCCCGAGCGAGTCTGAGAACTTCCGCTGAACCAAAATAGATTGTAGTGTCCTACGTGCTAGCCAGCACCGTAGCAACACTACACGTCGCCATCTATGTCGTGTCACATCTGATGAAGATTGAAAGTTCTCTCTGTCTTCGTGCAATTAGGGAAGCGACCGAAAACAAGGAAAATCACAAACTTCTGAAAGACAGCACATGGTTCTTCATGTTCTCGCTAGCCATTGCATTTGTGGTAGTGTTGAACGGCCATCCCGCATTGTCAGATACTTTCTACGAAACATCGGTGGCAACATCGGCCTTGTACCTCGCGGTCTCAGTATATCTCGCGGTCCTATTTTTCAACCTTAACGAGTCGGATCGATTACAGAAGTATCGATTTGCCACTGGTGGTCTTCTCTGTGTCGGAATCTTGATCTACGTGATAGAGGTAGAAGCAACGCTAATTCATCTGGGTTCTAATTCGGGACAAGGAGACTGGCCTTGCTTTGGCAGTATACTCCAGAAACTTGGTTATGCCGGCACGTCCTTTTATGCAGCAGTCATCGGGATCGGTCTCATAGGGGTTGGCATGTGGTGGACCATCAATATTCTCTCCCGTTTTCGCAAGTTTCGTCAGCATCTTGTTCGTCCACGACGCTATCAAGCTTATATCGTTGGCTATTTTCATGGGCAGACCCCGCCACAACACATTTCACAAATGTTCTACACTGTTCGGATCGTGACTACCCTCGCGTTCCTTGCGATCGCCTGGCTGGAGACCTTTTACATCATCTTTTTGCGTAAAGCGCTACATTCATTTCACGACGCAGCAGTTGAAGAAGATGACTGGGGATTTGGACAAATCCTCGCTGTTCTACTGTGGCTACCGTTTACGGCTGATTTCAGCTTTCAACTTCGTAAGTGCAAAGTCGCGCCCTCTTGATTTTGAAAAAATAAATGCACGCGACAATACAAGAATGTAGGTGCTAATATCTTTTCGAATAGTCAAAAGATGGAGAGATCTTCGTCGATTAAGCAAGTCATACGAAAAAGAACCCGTTCAGAGACTTCAACACTCCACTCTACCTTCCCTGCACATACGCTACCCAACACAGTATCATGAGTACTACCAACAAGAAGCAAGGAACGTACGCTCTGAGAGAGGGGAACTAACAGGTGATCGAAAGAGTTTGGCGCTGAGAATGATCAATACATTTTGAGAGAATATTAATAAGCCATGCGTGTTCACAAGTGTCGCTGAATACATCAAAATAAAGCTGTGGTTTCTGGAATACCAAGTATGGCACTTCTTCAAGAATTGAATGATATCCCAAGAAACCTTGATTGCTGAATCTTTTTCTTGCCATTCCAGCTGGAGCGATTCTGCCCAGGTGGTTACCCCTTATTAAGCGAGCTTACGTAAAGCCAGAAAGCCCAGGGCGAACAGTCGCAACTTCTCTCTCCCAAGTTTGAAACGATTTGAGGACCTGATTCGTGGAGGAAGAATAAGACAGCCTGGCTCCAGCGGTCATACAGTGGGCGGTGGATTTTTCTCAGAACAGCGACGCTTTATATCTCCGCCAGTCACATCAAATATCCACAACCCTTTCGGAGAAATTCTTTCTGAAAGATCAATGGCAGCGAGAATGGCAAATGGCTATTTATTAATTCAAGCACTTGCGGGGAGAATACTTCGGAACACGCTTTGATAACTGGATTCCTCAGTGCGTTATTAGGAAGTGATGCAATGTGGTTGGCAACTTTGGCTATTTCGACACCGGACAAACTTGAGAGTAATAAGCGGCCATGCCTATGCAGATCGCTTCGCGTAAATAGCACAATCAGCGTTGCTCTCTCGATTGGGATGGCAACGACAACGAGCCTCAATACTTCAGCTGTTTGATGCGGTACTATACGATTAAAGACAGAACACTGGTTGTCAGTTCATTGCAGTGCAAACAAACTCAAGCGTTTAGTGGTGCCCAAACCGGATGTCAAACATGTCGCTGTGCTCGCCAGATTCGGCTTGAGTGGTGGTAGGCCTTTGGGCTCCATCCCGATGTTCTCTACTTTGTGCACAACGGGTCTGGTGGGCCTACATCTAACAAAGCATACCTGCGCCTGCACTTCCGACTGTTTGACCCTGAACAGTCACTGCTGGAGTGAAAAGAAATCAACTGCTTCCCCGGCTTCTTCTGGCATAACATTTGTGAAGATGGAATCACAATTTCGTGTACATATATATTCTACCCATTCCTTTGTGCAGGCATTGTGTACAATCCGGACCCTGTGAGACTCAGAGCTGCCGGCTTGGACGGGCCCGAGAATTCGGGTTCAAGCTCGTATTGATGAGAACTTGTCGGTACCCGTACCCCAACGCACTAGCCAAGAGGGGAAGATAGAAGGCTAGAGATCATTGGGTAGAATACACAGCATACCTGGGTACCTACCTACCTAGGTAGGTAGCGTCAGAATTCCGGCAGTTGTCGCTTGCGCAAGATGGTAGCACTAAGCCGGCTATTTCTATCTTCACACCCCCGCTCATGGCATTCTCATGGTAACTATCGGAATTGTGAAATCCCATCTGCGCGGCGTTTGGCGGGTTGGAGCTGAATTGGATCTCTGGCCTTGCTGCCGTGATCCGGATGGTTTGAATCGTCTTATCTAAGATGAAAGCACACTTTGCGTTCAGTTGAAACTGGCAAAAAGCCCCAAGAGTTGAAAATCAAAAACTGTATTTACATATATACATATATATGTTAAATGCAGCTTCGGTCTACACGGGCTCCTCCATGGTAAAATCCACTTGCGGTCTTTTGCGGTCTCTGGCGGTCTAGATCGGCGTTTGGCAATACGAGCACTAGTACCGGCAGTTGAGATTTAGTGCGATTAGCGTAGATCCGATCGGGGAAATCGAGAAATCGAGAGCACGCGGTGGTCCATGCGCCACGCGTCGCGCGACCGTGTCGCTGCATCACCCCTTCCCCCATATAAGCACCTGCCCCCCCCCCCCCGGTTCTTGCCTCTTTCCCCCCCAGGTCTCGTAGATATCCAAAAAAGCAACTTCCAGTTTTTCTCTTCTTCTGAACTTTTTTGACTTTCCACCCTTGACTCAGTCTTCTTCTTCTCATCGCACTTGCGTCTTCTCTTTTGCTTCTTGCATTCGAACCCATTCACCCAGACAACAATGTCTCGCTTCAATCCTGCCCATTCCACTTATGTGAAAAAACCCGCGCACCCGGAATCTCCATCTCCATCTCCGTTTGGTCGCCGAAACCCCTTTGGAGTTGGCAGAGCTGCAACCGCCTTCGGCAACCGAGTCCGAAGGGAAGCCGAGGCCGCCCGCCCTCCTCCATCGCCTCAATATGCCAAGTACGACTACTCCTCTGATCACTCTGAAAGCTCCGACTACACCACTGAGCTCAACTATGGCCGAAGAGGCTCTGATGGCCGCCCTCCTCTCTCTCCTCAGTACGCCGCCGCTGCTGCTCGAAACAACAACGCTTCGCATCATTCGGACATTTCCGAATTCTCGCTCTCCTCTGCGGAAGCAAGCCCAGCTCAAAGTCCAGAGCCGAGCCCGCAACCCAGCCCTGAATTGAGCCCTCAACCAAGTCCGGCACGTCAACGCACGGAATTTGATTCCCTTCCTCCTCTTTCTCCTGGAGAATACTCCAGACCACAATCACCAATTGGCTCCGACTTGGGTTCAGAGATCTACTCCAGACCACAATCGCCAGTCTCTGACGCAGGTTCAGAAGCTCTGCCTCACATCATCATCAACCACGAAAAACTCGCGGCATTCCGGGATTGGAAACCATCTGCAACTCCAGCACCGATCAGCCCAACTCCACCACGTATCAACAGGGCGACAAAGCCTGTCTGGGACAAAGCTTCCGGAAAATACATCAACCGCCACATCATGCTTCCCGCTCCAGTTCTTCCTACTGCGGCCGAGGACATGGAGAGGATTCGAATCGAAGCTGGCTACGATTCGGACGACGACTTCTTCGACACGAAAGAGGAACTCCTCCAACAAGCGGTTCGCGGCATTCAGAAGACCGACAAAGGTCTCAAATCACTCATCGAAAAACCTGCTTCGAACACCGAAGTGATCAAACCGGCTCCTTGGAAAATCGAAGCAGTCAAACATACTCCCGCGCCAGTTATCGAAGAGATTCGCACTTCAGCAATTTCTCAACTTCCTCAAACTCCAACTCAAACAAAAGTCACCATCGAACAAGCGACTCCACCTCCAGCTCCATTTCTTTCCGATGAAGATTGGCATAGTTTCAACATCACGGTCAAAGTTCCTCGCATTCGCAAGAAACAAAATGGGCAAAACAAGGACGGCTGGAAATTCACTTGGTTCGGAATCATCATCTCAATCTTCGTTGCCTGGTACTTCGCTGAGACCGCGGTCTGCGAATTTCATTGCAAACCTTTCCAATCAACCACGGGCAACAACTGGTATCCTGGCATGCCAACTTTCGGTCTCGCTCTGCCATACAAACTGGACACCTGGACAGGCGAAGTGGTTTCTCGGACTTGGCACAAAGTCGATCGCTCTCTCGGGCCTCGAAGCTATCCTCACCAACATCGGCCAACTCCAGTGGCAAATGCTTCGGTCAGGAAGGAATCGAAGCAATATGCTGGGGTGATTGGATAGGTGGATATTAATTGTTTCATTAGTTAAGCCAATACAGTTTCAGTTGTAGCTGGTGCTCCTGCAATTTGATAGTGCGATTGAGCGCAAGTTCTCGCACTATCATTGCGCAGTTGTAGCCAAAGCTCCTGGCTTGAGGCATTTATTCTTGGGGTTATCATTGGTTTCTTTTGTTTCTTTTGTATAATAGTTTTACAACAGTGTCGATCAGAAGTGAATAACTCAGGCACTTATCTTTAGATTAGAAAAGACAAATTCAAAAAACATTCAAAAATCTTCAATCTTCTTTTCTTGAGTGAAAGTGAAACAACTTCAATACATACCATCTTCTCATACTCAGTTTATACCATCCGAGGTAGCTTTACCTTAGTATAATCACTGGATGGAAAAAAGTACTCGCACGTTTTAGAATGCGTGGCAGCATTTATCAGCCCTTCCCTTGCTTGTGAGTTCGAGGTCGGAACGGGATAAGTTCTCAGTGGAATGAGAACCATCCTACATGGCTGAGAAATCTCCAAGATGTGGTTGTCATGAGCTTTGAGTTACTGCTTGGTCCAAATGAACCATGAATGGCAGGCTTTCAGATGTAACTGGCAAGAAAACTCATCATTTGCAGATATTAGTGGGGAGGCTTTTGCCATTGAACCTTTTGATTACTGTCAATCACCCTTTTCGCAAGTTCCTGGACTGTATTGTAGGTCTTGCAGAAAGTCAAGTTACACGATGGAGCGGGGAAGCTGTGAGGTGGTTTAGAGAGTACTTTGTCCGGGCGGAAATGTATGTGGAATTCTTCACCTATGAAACCACAAGGTTCAGCGGATGCTGCAATATTGGACTCCTTTGTAAATTAACACTCTTAATTTCATACCCTCTAGGACTCTTGAACGGTGGCTTGAACATCTCAATGGAGCACAGGAAATACCAATGTTATTCCCCTGCTTGTTGATGTTCGAAATCAACTAGATATCAATTGTGTGTATAGGAATGTATACACAAATAAGACAATTAAGCTTGAGATTCTCAGACAAATGTGAAGTGATCATGCGGCAAGGCAGATGAAAGTGGTAGACCCTTGTCTTTGTCTCCGTTCTTGCTTTTATGTCCTCATTGTTCACTTCACTTACTCAACAAGACAAAGACGTGTCAGAAACAGCCCATTGTTCGGATTGTTGGTCGTGTTGTCGAAAATTTCCAGATTCGTTGGATTGTAGCTCACTTGCAAGTGGAGGAGCTTAAAATTTTCTGTTGTGTTATTGAAGTGTGGGGGTTCATAGGGATGTAGGTCAACTATAAGTGAAGGAGTGTACGTACGTCGATGCGGCCCGTATTGTCACTACTTTTCCTGTGGGTCTGCTTTGCATAGACGGTTCTTATGCACAGCGATTTAAGGACATTGTCAGGGATTCAAAGGCTTTGTTTAATTCTTGTTCCGTCTGGTGGGTTGAACCTCGTCTAACGTGCTAACTGAATTAGAGGGCTTGTTAAAATTCTATGCGATTCGGAGATATTTTTTCAGATTCAAAGACGATTCTCACAAACTCACCCGGAAGATGTTCATTATTCTATACATGTTAATTTGTTAGGAAGTTCGTATGTTCTCCAAATAGGAAGTGTTCAGGTGCGACCGGTTCCACTCACTTGAGAGATAAGCGACTCACGCTACGATCAGGATGATGAGGATGAGGAGTACCTATGCATACTCTCGAAGAAGATTTACCCACCAAGGGCTGGGAGTATCATCATGAATACCTGAAGCTACGCGCTTGTCAATCAAATTGTCTAAGAACGGCTCCACCGCATCTGACCCTGGTACAACCCCATCTGGAGCTGGCTCGAACCCGGGCAATGTTTCCCGCGCAGCGAAATGGACTGGTTTCGTGATGTCGAAATCGGTATTGCACAGTATACAAACCCGCAATGGCGACCTAAAATCCCAGCACGAGATCCATTGTCTCGTACACTCCAGACCGATGAGGTGCCGCCCACACGGAAGTCTGATAGCTTGTTCAGTAGATTGGTAAAGTGGTTCGAGACAATAAGGACAATCCTCGCCGTGGAGTTCGGGAGAGGTGTTGGGTATCATGGTCGATATGCCGCAGAGACGGTCACACAAGATATCGGTGTGTCTACCGGGGCGATAATCTAGACGGTGTTGAACAAATCCATTCACTCTTTCGTCAATTATGAACCTGGCGAGTGCTCGTCGATATACCGTGCGGATCTTAGCGTACCAGTTGATCAACTCCATCGATAGGACTTGATTTTCTCCAAACATTTCCGTCATGGTCATATGGAGACCGGCGTCCAGATAATGGATAAACTCAAGATCTGCAATTGGCATTCTGAAATTCCAATCGTGTCTGCTCTCTGGATCATAAGGATGCTCTGTGCCAGACGGATCTTTTATTGTTGTCTGACCGATGCTTGGATGGCTCCTAAGGACTGTCTCAAAGCGTTTTCGTGCTTCAGTAGGTGCATAATCAGAAAGTTCTTCAATCCATGTTAGCTGCTCGTACGCAAGTGGATCGTCGACGCAGAAATCACAAGGCCTATCCAAGGGAACCTCAAGCCCAACGAGCCCCTCACATACCTCATGAGCCTGATAAGAAAGGCATCGCTGGGTGTACATTGCCTCCTCCCAGGGCTGTAGGTGCTGGCAACGCTCGTATTTGAAAAGAACAGTCCTGCACATTTTTATTTCTGAATGGTTGAGGATGAAGTGAGTAAAACAAAGAATTTTGCCAAACAGGAGGAAAGAATCATATATATATATATACCCAGCTCAAAAGCTGTTCTCAGTTCGACAAGACTGTTCGTCTTGATCAGAACTGTACAACAACATACATGGCCCCATCATAATCCAGTAGCAAACCTGAGGCGGATGATTTCCTGCTGCAACTAGGCATCTGGCTCAGGATAGACGGGAAGGGCGTGAAAACAAACCCACAAGTAAAATTGCAAAGAATGAGCGTTATTTTGGCCAGCGAGACGGGAGTGAGAGAATGTCATCAACCCAATAATTTGTTTTATTTTCATCAAATCAGTGTTCCCACCAACTGTGGCAAGACTAATTCCCTAGCAACAAGAAAAAGCACACAACTTCAGCAGAAGTAAAGTGACAAAGGCAAGAACATCATTCGGGTAATTCTACCATCTAAGAACTCAGGCTTCTGAATTGCTCAATCTGATAAATAAGAACCCTAAGTGCTAAAAGAGATTCGTAGTGACAAGTACTCCATGCTTACGGCTTCAAATCATCAGCATCAATCGTCGCTGGGTTGACTGCGTATATTTGTTTGGTGGCAAAAAAGTATAACTGAGATCAAACACAACACATGCGATTATCGTTTGCGTTACTTCCGAAAAGAAGCAAATACACAAAATTCAAATCTCCTTGGAGAGTTATGCCTTTTGTAATGCCCTCGCTTTTGCCTCATCGAATCTCCAAATCCCGCCCGTCTTCTCTGGCTCTGGGAGTAACCCGATGACAGGACCTAGCTGTTCTAGTACCTTATCCTGTGTAGCCAAAGAAAAATAACGTCGTTCCCAGGTCCTGCCCTCCTCTTTCTCTTTTGTTCGCATCTCTCGCTGTGAAACCTCTATCTTGGTTTTTTCCTCACCAGTCAAATCCATGTTTCCTGCAGCGATGCCTGCAGCAACCTTTGACCACGCTCTCCTTGATTCTAATGGATCTTGCATTTCTAGGGGCGCCACTTGCAACGGGGTTGTTTTTGACTTATCCGCATCGAACGTCTCGAGAAGTCCGGTCTTCTTTCCCGAGCCTTCCGTAATGTCAAAACTCTTGGTCCATTGTCCGCTAATCGTGTACAAAATTTCCTTCTCTTTGCCTGTAGGGTACAAAGTGGCGACAAAACTATTCTTCTTGCCAGACAGCCAGCCTTTTCCACTGTAATCAACCTTTGCAGTATATCCAGAATTGCTTGTGATGTATGTTTTGTCGTTCAGCTCGATAAAGGGCGCGCCAAAAATGAGCCCTTCGATATGCAAATTCGGAAGAGTAATGAGGTATGTCTCGCCGAAAGCTGGGATCGAGTAGACGGCGTGCCCAATCTGTTTGACATATATCGTTCGTGAAAACGACGCCTTTTGCGCGTTGTAGCCTTGCAGAGATACCCCATGCTTCTGATTTGAAATGTTATAGGCTGTAACAGGTGGATGGTGACTAGTAATCTGACTGTCAGCAAGGCTACCAGAAGCCCTTGTCGGGGTTGCCTTGATTATACATACCTGACTTGCTCCGAGACCAATTCTGTCACGCCAGCTTCATCCTCCCATTTGCCAATGAACAGTTCTCCCAGGAATGGATTCAACGGTTTCTTTTCGTTCCCGAACTTCTCACTGCGACTTGCATATTGCTGCTTCAGGGTGCTCAAGAACCATTTCAAGACTAACAAGGCGCGCTTCTTTGGGTCCTGCTCAAGAGCGGGGGCGACGAAGATCGAGGGGTGTTCTGCCCAATATGACGAGAATTCCGTCAACGATGTTGAGGAGAGGATGAAAGGAGGGGCTGTCAACGAAGATAAATCCCCAGAAAACGATGCGATTGACTTCAAAAACGCGCTCCAAGAACCTCTGTTTTGCGCCGATACACCCGCTCCTTCCTTCTCGCTCGACGCCATTGTTGAATTCGCGATGCGTATGAGGGGTTGGAGATGCGACAATAAGGGAAAGTGGTGGAAAAACGATCAGGTACTCTTGTAGTTCGCTCTTAGTGCGTTGTTGTCGAAAAACTGGGTTTGATAAATCCGAGAAGCAAAGATCGATGTTATGAGGACGTTGTACTGTATGTCGAAATAATCAATGTTGTATTAAAGAGGTGCAACTGTTGCGGTTATTGGGCTTGGGGAGCTCCGCTTGCCCCACGATTTCCTGCTTGCCGCTTGAAAACGTCATCCACACGTAGAGCATATATTCTGGCGAGGGGGCTGTGCTGTACCTGGCAATCCAGATCTGAATCAGATCTGCAGTAGAGTAGATACGTCTAAGGCTACGCACGTGAGAGAAATTTCAGTAGCTATGATTTTAACTTAGGTCAGTATTTGTGAGTTTGTTTCAAGGTCTGCGTGGCACGTTCACAAATCAGCTGCAGAAGCAAAGACTGTAAAGCAATTTGGAATTCATTTGTTTGTAGGTAATCATTCATCATCATTGTTTTACAGCCCATCAATTTCATGACCTACTTCCCGTCTCGAAGTTCCGGTTCCGAGTGCTCTAAAGCTGACCAGCGGTGTTGAAATCCTTCAACCCCTCAGTGACACGGGCGGACATAGTCTTCTCTCCCTCTCTGACCCAAACACGGGGATCGAAGAACTTCTTGTTTGGCTTATCTTCACCATCTGGGTTACCGACCTGCTGCATGAGGTAATCCTTCTTGTTGAGAACGTAATCTCTGATTCCGGTGAGGTAAGCATATTGGAGATCTGTGTCGAGGTTGACCTTGACGACTCCATAAGAAATGGCATCAAGGAACTCCTGCTTCGAAGATCCGGATCCACCGTGGAAGACGAGGAACACTGGCTTCTCCTCCTTGGCTCCGATGGCGTCCTTAACAAACTTCTGGTGCTTGCCGAGGAGCTCTGGGTGAAGCTTAACATTTCCTGGCTTGTACACACCGTGGACGTTTCCGAAACCAGCGGCGATGGAGAAGTAAGGGGAGATTGGCTGCAGAGCCTTGTAAATGGCAAGAATATCCTCAGGTTGGGTGTAGAGAGAGTTGTTGTCGACATCCTCGTTGTTGACACCATCCTCCTCACCACCAGTAATACCGATTTCCTAAAAGCGTTAGAATACCACTTCTCGCGCCGCAATGGGGACGTACCATTTCGAGCCACTGCTTCATTGGGGCAGCACGCTTAAGATACTTGGCGGTGGTTTGGATGTTGAACTCAACCTCCTCCTCACTCAGATCGATCATGTGGCTGGAGAACAAAGGCTCTCCATGAGCCTTGAAGTACTCCTCATCGGCATCCATAAGACCATCCAGCCATGGTAGAAGCTTCTTGGCGCAGTGATCGGTGTGTAAAACAACTGGAATACCGTAGGATGGAGCAATTGAGCGAATATAATGGGCAGCAGCGATACCGCCGGCAATTGAAGCCTCTTGTTTACCGTTGGCAACGCCCTGTATGCTTCATTAACATTGATTCTAGCGCGAGAGATAGGTATGTTTACCTTTCCGGCGAAGTAGGCAGCACCACCTTGGGACATTTGAAGGATGATAGGAGCCTTCGCATCGCGGGCAGCTTCGAGAGAGGCAACGACTGTGGACGAAGATGTGCAGTTCTGATATGTGTTAGTATACTGTTCTGGAAGAGCTTGCACTGGCACGTACAATAGCTGGGATAGCGAATTTGTGCTCCTGAGCATAGTTGAAGAGCTTTAGGACATCGTCGCCGACAATGACACCGGTCTTGCGGGATAGAACGTCTTGACAACCCATGTTGGTGACTGGAAGTGATTCTGTGATGATTGTGTCTTCTGCAAGATGCAATGGTCAGCGAAGTGTGCAATTTATTGTCTCGAGTTTTTCGATTTGCGGGGCAGTAGAAGTTTGTTTTGGAGGGGCTTGGTGGGGGTTGGCCGCATGTGAACATGTGCAGACGAGGAAGCAGACATGGCATTAAGGTCACTCACATTAGGAGTGATGATTTGCAAGATTGCAAATGTAATATGAGACTTTGACGGCTGTTGAACTGGTTCTGGGAGAGTGAATGTGTTGAGAGGGAGAGAAGTCCTGCTAGATGGAGGGGTCAAAGTAGTAGGGCGCCCGGCGTCAGAGGCGGGTCGCCAATGGTGTCGAGCTCGCGCGAATCAAAATGCAGTATTTGGATCGATTCACTTCGATTTCCCTATGCCTTTGGCAACGGGTGTACTTTCGCACCGGCACAAGGCGAGAACCGGGTCTGGCAGGACTACTGTGAGCGCGACTTACTGACAATGTTGTAACCTGGTTACAAGAGCTCGATTGTCCAGTTGACAATTCGCGACGGCCTGACCGCTCGATATCAGATACTCATATGACCGGCGGCGGAAAAAAAATCCCACAATGATCCGATAACGAATGGCCAGAAAAATTTCTGTTTGTCAAGCGTGATGAGGCCTATCAGTACTGTCGACTCCCACGCCAACCCCGATGCCGGCTGAGGTATATACCTACTTTGAAGCCTTCCAAGGTTCGAAGCCTCCTTTCTCGTGACTGGAACAAACCCCGCTGGGCAGCGTCTAAGTGGTCACCAATTCTCCGCATCTGGAGGACAATTGCAATCGCGTCCAAATCCTGGGAGAGCGGCCGGGGGTTTGGATAACGACAGCTTTATTACGAGTACAACGCAACGTAAAAGCGATGATAAGTTCCGTTGCGCCATGGAGAGGAGAATTATGGCATGGACTGCTCTCTAAACACAGTGAGTCAGAACCGAAGTAACGCTATGGCTGGAATATGGCTGTCAAGTTGCCTTTTGGTATGCCGAATAGAAAACCAGAAATCCTCCATATCGCTAATCTGAGCTTTGTATCTACAGATGTACCTAATTAGCAACATGAAATTCAACTTTCAATACTCATCCTTTGGCGAACCTTCACATCAGACTGGCATACTCAAACAAATCCATGGTATATTATCGTACATCTATACTCAGTACATTTTTTACACTCAATTCTCTGCGCTAACACGCACCGTACGTCGAATCGCAGTTGGTGCACCTCGCAGTTTGATATCAATTCTGAAATCTCCCAAGTGCTTGACTCTCGTGGCGTCCTCTAGCTCGTCAACAAATGCAATCTCGTCTGGCGATACGTTTATTAATGCGCCTTTACGGTGTTTGGCCAAAAACGAATTGACTTGTAGCGCAATGTCGGTCGTTGAAACGCTGCCAAATATGCCCGTCTGTAGTGGCTTAATCGAGGTCTTCCCCCCAGCTGCAACAGAGACAGCCGCTTTCGCAGGTAGTGACGGCGACATGCGCCTTGGTATAGCCGGTGCCGTCGTTAACGGCGTTCGTAAGAATGTGATGTCTTGATGTTCTGGCAGGACAGAAGATAGAATTGCGGAAGCTTCAACAGGCTGTCAAAAGTCAGCAATGGAGATCATGTAGACCTAGAGCATGGGGTTTACGGTAGGTGTTTCTGGCCCTTTCTCTGCTTCTGGAGCGGAAGGTGGCACAATCTTCTCGGCTTTCCTGGGCTTTTCTGCTCTTAAGAACGGTACATATCCTTCTGGCTTTGGAGCATCCTCAGCTGACAGTAGAGCATCCGCTGCCGCCTTTGCAGCTTCATTTGGTATGGCATCTTCGTTTGCCGGTAGTAATCCACCTTCAATAACATCCTCCTGTCTTAGCCCCAGCTCCTTCATCCTCGCAGCCGTAGCATACTCAGCTTGTCGTCGAGGGTACCATTGATTTCTCATCACACCAGCGACGATTGATACAACGTTTCCTGCGCACCTTAATAAGCCACGTCCAGTGATGCGTGTATAATTCTGATCAACATACCTTTCTTTCCAAATCCTTTGATGTCTTTCAACAAAAGAGCGTTGACCTTGTTCGGGGTTCTGCTAAGCTTCTTCTTTCCACGAATTTGCTGTGCTGGAAAAAGAACTTTCTCTCCCATATACCCCAACGTCCGCCGCACGCAAGAAATACATTGTGGTACTCTAGACGTCAGAGGCGATGCCATTGTAGAAGTGTTGCGGCCGCAATTGAGTTGTCGAGATCGTACCAAAGCTTCAGACAACCGTGAAAATTCATGATGCTGAGACGCGACATATTCTTCAAGACACACCGACGGAGGTGACGGATGTTCATACTAGCCGAGGCCGACCGATTAGATTGATTGCGCATCCGCCAGCAATCTGACATAAAACCATTTCATCACCGGCCAGCTGATATTTCCCCTTCAAGAGCCTAGAGAGGACTCGTAGAGATGGGATGGTCATCCTGGTATGTGTTTCTCAATACGAACTCTATGTTCTACGTTGCTTGATAGTAGATCGCATTTCAGCCAATCCGGATACTGTCGGATCGCCAAAAATGAGGACTGACGACTCAGGACTAGGTACTTTCTTGACGCGGCCGACTTGCATAACTGAAGAGTTCTGGTATGGGACAGCCTCATTGTAGGCATATTTCGGAAGTTCGACACACCTTGGGACATTCTCACCATGCCCGAGAGGCCGCTCACAATTGCATACGCTGCTGGCGCAGGTCTCGCTGCCATTGCCCTCGTCTATGTTTTTCAGCCCACTTTCTTTATCGACGGGGAATCTGCTGGGACTTCTGCTAGCTCGAGGAAGAGGGGAATAGTTGGCTTGTCAAATCCAGCAAACGATTGCTTCATCAACTCCGTTCTGCAAGCGCTCGCAGGCCTAGGCGATCTGCGCATTTATCTTATACGCGAAACGCATCGGAGAAAGTTAGAAGGACCGGCGGTATACTCTTACCTGGTACAAGATCCTACAAGAAAAGACGTTCCCGCATGGAAGCTCGAAGGATTGCAGAGCGGACTCACTACGTACGGCCTAAAGGATATCTTAGATGCTTTAAACGAAAGGCCGATATACAAGAAGACTGTTACAGCTGCTGGATTTGTGAACGTGTTGGAACAGGCGTTTAAACAGAGAATATCACGACAACAGCAGGATGCTCAGGAGTTCTTACAGGTAGTTGCTGAGAGATTATGCGACGAATACCATGCGGGTCAACGAGCGAGAAATGCTGCAAAGCTACGGGTCCCAAATGGGCTGAGCACGACCATTACCTCAAAGGACCTGGAAGTCCCATTAGATGAGCCTGCAAAGATAGACTCAGATGGGCTAGCGGTGCTGAGTAACCCTGCGGGCAACATAGAACTGCCAGATATTGACGAACATGGAGAGGGAGAGGATAGTAGCATAGACGAAGAAAAGGAGGAGGGGTTCCCACTGGAAGGTGGTTCCGCACAACAGATTGAATGCTTGACCTGCAAATACCAGCCCAAAGCCACCGAAACAATCTTCTGTACTCTGTCCTTGAGTGTACCGCAAGTTAGCTCGACTACTCTAAATGCTTGTTTTGACGACATGTTCAAGACTGAATACATTGAGGATTTTAAGTGCGAGAAGTGTCGTCTTGTGCACGCACTTGAAACTTTTAAAGACGAGTATAAAATATCGAACTCGGAAAGGTTCAAAGCCAAGGCTCAAGAAGATATCCGGAAAATCGAGGAAGCCATAAAAACAGACCCAGAACAAGAGCTCAAGAATGTGCAGTTGCCAGATTCAAAATTCGCGCCAAGGAGAAAGATCGCGAAGCATGTCCGGATTACAAAGTTTCCAAAGGTTCTCGCTATTCACCTTTCAAGGTCTATACATAATATTGGGCAGTCAACTATGAAGAATTCCGCCAAAGTTTCATTTCCGGAGCGGCTTCGGCTGGGCGGCCTCCTGGATCACAAAATGTATCGGCTTGTGAGCGTTGTTTGTCACAAAGGTAGCCATCATTCAGGGCATTACGAAACTTTCAGACGTCAGCATCTTCATGCTCCATTCTCAACACCCAACACTTTTCACAGGGCCGGTGCATACAGTAAGCCACAAACTCCTAATCCTTCGCAGATATCTACACCGCAAACATCAGCCATGTCTGTGATTGAAGATTCAAATCCGGACACTTCTACGATATCTTCGACGCCTGAGTTACTCTCTCCAGATTCCACATCTTCTACTTCGCTTCCATTGTCTGGAGGCGATCTTTCGTCCGTTAATGGCTCCTCAATCAAGCCACCTGGCTCAACGTCGCGCGATCCGGAAACGGGCAGTCTGCGATCCCTAGCTCGGTCGGCGAAGTCTTCACTGTCTAAAGTTCCCAGCATCCACCGTACATCTGCCACTGCTGTCTCGAAAGATACATCAAACCGTACGTCTGTTAGTGATTTGGTGCGCGGCAAGCGGAAGAGGAGTAATCGATGGTGGCGAATAAGTGACGACAAGATCAAGGAGAGCAAAACCTCTGATGTTCTTGGTATGCAAAAGGAGGTTTACATGCTATTTTATGAATTGGAAAAAGAGGACGGAAGCCCTTGAGGTAATTATCGGCTCAAATTGTTCCAATGAGCGGTGTGTTTAGAAGAAGCCGGCGTATTATGGTGCACATAGGTGGTATGGGGTCATCTGCATTGCATGGTTCGAAATGGAGTTCATAAACATCTGTGATGTACGTAGAAATTGAACCTGACTAGGTGGCATATGGGAACTGTATGCTTTGAGCAGTGATTTAGTAGAATGGTGGAAGATTGAAGAGCATGTCTGGTTATCTGTCCCTGGCGTGGAGGAGACAGAATTCGTGTTCGAAGAATGACGGGCTGTGTTGGAAATCATCAGCTAGTCTATATAGGAAGATCCCAATATAGTTCATAGGAGATCATCACTATCGCCATTTTTACCTCTAGGTTTGTACTTAACTGGAAGTAGTCTATTGGCAATCCTATAATGTTACGTCTGTTTATACAAATTAGGTATGGCCCTAAAACCGACACTGCTCTATTAGCCAAGTCATGATCCAGAATTCTGGGAGTTGATTATGAATAATCCGTCTTCCGCTATATCCACAAGACCAAACAAATAATCCAACCAAGCATTCTGCTATTTCATCTTGACCACCAATCAAAGCTCTACTCTCTTTGTTCACCTCGGTGAGGAAATGTAATAATTTACAACTTAGCAAATCCAAGTTTTGATGTGTTTTTGTCAAAAATGATCAACTTGGCTAGTGAAGCGTGTTGGAAATAGTGATCCTTTCATGGGCATTAAATGAAAATTCAGACGGTGATGAATGTTCAGATGAATGGCTCCAGAACTTTTGATGAAAAGACCGTAATCAGAAATTGTTGGTATACCGGGCATATTTCTCAATTCAAATCAGCCTAAGAGAATCAGATGACGGAGAAATCTGCTGAAGTCTATGAAGCACGGGTAAGGTGTATCACAAGTTTGCCCGGTCCTCGCTTATTCGGTGGGAGCAAGTAATTGGGTACTTATTTCTAAAATGATAGAAGAATAGTTTATGGCTAACTCAATCTGAACCGAGCGACCATGATACTCATCTTCCAGTAAATCTCATATTGATCCTGGGGTTTGGAATATGGAGTGAAGTCATTGATTTTAAGAATGGCTGTTCTCAGCAAGTAACGTTTATTGTCAAGATAGCACTTCCACTAAATGCTTGTTTCGAAATCTCGTTCTGTGATGATTTCCCGCCCTAACAAATGTATGTTTGCGAACAAATTCTTATTACATATAATTACTACAATCCTGGGGTAGACTGCCTGAGCTTGTTTCAGTTACAATTTTTGTTTCATGCTGAATGATGAGAAGCAGCATATGTTCCTCAAAAGAAGCCTCGAACAGATACACTACATTAATCGGAATTGAAACATTCAACATAGAAAGGGACTGTCGCTTCTCCAAGGGTTTGTTAACATTTCACCTTTCGTGCTATCTATACCAACCCTCCTCTGCCGAGCTCTGATGTAGTTTCCTCATCTTCCCGCACCTTCCCCAACCACACAACACCAGTAGTGAAGTCATTTTTTTCATTCACTCGATATATCGATCTCGTGGACAAAATGGCGCCTCGATGGGACTGCTATCAGCGTGCAGTAAACAAGACCACCAGTAACGACAACGTCAAATTCCAAGCACCCTCTTCCACCTGCTCAGCTTCAACTGTCAAAGTTTACAACACAGATCTGACAACTTCAACTGCCATGCCATCAACCCCGAAGGAAGGCAAAACTTTTGTGCTGCCAAAATCAGATGCGCGCGACTCGATGTACGATATATTTCTTCAGCAGGGTTGCTCGACGATCGCAGCTGCTCCCAGCACTCCCACCACATACACGCGCCTATCTATCAAATCAAGAGACATGACACCATCTCCCCTTACCTCAGCATTCAAAAGAAATGGACCATCACCAAGTTCAACTGCTGCGACAACTTCATCGAATACGACATCTTGCGGTACGGGTGGAAAGAAAGTTAGATTTTGGATCGACAACTGTTTGCAACGCCCTAGAAACTTCAAGGAGGAGCAAAGAAGTGACCAGTGGCCAGAATCTGCGACAATCGAAAGACCGGAGACTTCTGTCGTGGTTGCGCGTCGGATGATAGGTGCAGCTCTAGGAATCAAGCTGGCGACGAAGTGAAGATACGGGTATGGCTGCTATGACTGCAGGATTAGAGTGAAGATTTTCTGAGACGGCCACAATGGGATGATACGATAGAGGGCACATTAAAGCTAGCCGGTGTGCTGTGTGGATTGCAATAGTGGAAGAGTACTAGGTGGCGTTGCTTAAATAGTCTCGAATGAGGTACAAGTTGCTTGAAGGTATAATAGTCATGTCAAGATGGGTTTCGTTTCATCACATATATTGCGGCAGACGATTTGCTTGATATAATTGAGGATAAAATCAATCTCATCAACAAGTCCTACTCCCATTAATTATATACGCTCTGCTATTAAGATGCATGAAGAATATGCCTCAGATCTTCTCATTGATGACAGGAGTTGGTGCTCTGTCTGCGTCTGACACTCTCTTATCGTGAGACGTCACCTCCTCGCCATTTCGTACAAACTGACCCCGACTCATCTGGTTCATGTGATCTTCCTCACGATCCAATTTATAGTTGTCCAGCCAGAATAGAATGCCACCAGCAAATGCAAGGCAAGCGACAACACCGTAGTTCCATACGAGCAATGGGTCTTCGGCGAGAGCAACAAGCGCTTGTGCCAGAGCCGATGAGAATGCATTCATAAAGAGTGCAACAGCTTGGACGAAAGATCGCATGTTCGTTGGGGCCTTGGTGAACGCGTATTCAAGGGACACGACGGAAGCCATGATTTCGGAGAAACCAATTAGACTGTATGGAACAATCTGGACCCAGACTGAGATATCTGCGTATCCATCGTCTTCACAAGAATTGGCGGCGTTACCGCAAGGGTGCATCTTGTAGATATAGCTCTGGGTAACTGTAGCGCTGACCATGGCCATACTAGCAAGGAAAAACCCGGTCGCAATACGTTTGAGAGGCGTGTAGTTGAACCCAAGCTTTCTGAGACCAGGGTAGACGACTCGATCCATGATTGGGATGAAGATGATGATGGAGATAGGGTTCAGATTGGAGACAATATCGTTAGGAACAGAACCAAGTTTCATGGTAGCCGCTTGAGACGTCAAGTTGTTTGTCATTTGTCCGTAGGCCAACCAGTAAAGAGGATACCACAAGAAGACCTTGCATGCCATCAATCCACGTCGGACTTCCATTACCCAGGCATCATCGAAAGTCATCCAAGCTGGCTTGTTAGCTCCGAGTTGAGATGGCATAGCGGCATCCCAGAAGCCTGGTTTCTTGATATTTCGGCGGAAGGTAAAAGGGTTCAAAGACCATTTGTCCTTAAGAGCGAGCATCCAGACCTTGTAAGCCTTTGCAATGACGGAACCTTCAGGCTTATGGAGGACATATCTGGATTTGCAGAGTATTGTAACAGCAGGGCAGAGACCTTTGAATATGTTAGAGTGAAAACCGAGAGTTTCCCATCTGACAAGACTTACACAACATCAATGTAGGCAAGAGGAACGACAACCAGAAACCAACGTATTTCTCAGCGTAAACCATACCAATGGATCCCACCAGGGAGCCAACGTTGATCATCAAGTAGAAGTATAGGTAGACACGAGAAACGGTCACGGCAGGATCCATGATGACACGCTCACCGGTCTTTGTCGTTTTTACGCGCATCACAGTTTCGGTACCTTCTTCGCATTAGTTTGTTATTCTCAAAAGAGGCCAGAGTATGCTTACATTGCTCAGCAATCAAAGGAGAAATATTAGATTTGAAACCTCCAACACCTACACCCATGATGACGATACCAACAGCGAAGCATGCGATAGCTCCATTGGGATGGACAATGACTGGTGGAATAGCAGAGATAATGAGAATAACGTGTCCCACCAGCGCAATCAGGCATGAGACTTGGATGGTCTTGAAACGACCCCAGTATTGATCTGCAACATAGGCACCAAACAAGGGCATCTACACACAAATTAGTAAATGTGCATCAACTCTTAGAGGTTCCTCTTGTGAGCGAGATCGTCGAGCGCCACAAGCGTCTATGCAAGACATATATCGCGCCATTCTCGGTGGGCTTCACGGGTGGCTTGTGGAGAAGCAACTTACAATGTACGCCCAAAATGCGTTGAAAGTTGTCAATCCAGTAGAAGCACGCTGTCCCATGTCCAAAGCACCAGATTGACCGGAGAATCCAGCACCGGTGTTTGACCCTTCTGGCATAGGTTGCTGGATGAAATTGACGACTGAGTAGAGGTTAGTACTTTGTGACATCGAGGCGAGCGAGATTCTTTTCGAGTAACTTACACACTGCAGTCGTCCCGTAGTATGAGAATCGCTCGCACATTTCCACAAAGGCAATTGTATAGGCCGACCATGGAATCTGTCCAGAGACTCGTCGAAGAGTTGCCATCTCTTCCTCGGTGGGCTTCTCGAACTCATCGGTATCTGTAAGGCTGTTCTCCGTTGGCGACACGACCTTGGCGGGCGCGTGGCCCTTGGCCAATTCAGCAGTCTCGAGGTCACTGGCGGCGTTCATGATGGGAGATGAAGAATGGAATACCTGAGCGAGCACTCGAACGAGGGATATCAGCGCGACTTATATTAAAATCTGTCGCGTGCTGGCCCCGCTTGAGAAACCGCCTGGTGTCTATCTGGACTCTGTTGCCCAGCCTGTAATCGCTGCAACTCTTATCACCTACCAAAAAGGGTGTGGGCCAAGTTCCGAGGCAATATCAAAGAGAGCAAAGATTTCTGTTAATCTCGCTGCAAGCGTCTGTCATGTACGTACTTTCAACGCGCTGGACACGAGGGAAACCACCAACCCGGAGCACTGGCTTAACGGATGCAGTTTGAGTGTGGTGCCACAGCCAAGCGACCGATCACAACCATCACCACCAAAAGGACTGCCCGCAATATGGAGCTGGTATCGACCATTGTCAAAAAGAGAAGGTCGTTTCCAGGCCAAGAAGGATGGGCTGGGTGCCATTGGGCGGCTTACAGCCGATTACACCAACTAAAGCTCCCAAACAGCACGACCAAGAGTCTGGATAAGACTGGCGCAACTCCAACTTCAACCCGTCGAGCACTTGGAGGCGAAGGAAGCCCGTTCGATGGGAAAGATATCAAAAGCCAAGCGCCCAGTGACGCCGTTCAAGCGCCAAGTGCCGCCAAGTGCCGAGAAGGTCAAACCAAGCCACGACCAACCAACGAGATGATGAAAGGAAAAGTGACGGTTGAAGGCAAATTCATCCAAGACTCTTGACTATCGGGCGACATCTCCCAAGGGAAATGATTGGCAGCTGTCAAGACTGGACAAGACCGCTAGAAGCCTGAGAGAAGCGATGAGATCGGGCAAAACGAGAACAGAGGGAAGAGAAGCAATTCCCCAGGGCATACCGAGGGCACGGGAAGGACGAAGGCTGCTGAGGGATTGCCTCAATTTGCCACAAGCAACGATAAGCTTCAAAGGAAGCCATTTTGATAAGCCACGCCGTTCTGTGTACGATGAAGCAAATGTTCCAAGCGTCGGCTGGCTGTGGACGTTGAACGAAGACGTTGAACGTCAGCCAAAAAGAGCAGGCCGAGTATGAGCATAAGCGAACGTCACGTGATACTCTTGCTTGCAGAAACCTTTCCCATCTTTTCTTTCTTATGCTAGTGTGAAACTTTCAACTTCAACTCTTCTTGACAGTTTTGTACGGAAATACCTGATCATCTTCTCACCGGCTTTTTGAATCCCCAGTTCGTTCTTGATTCGTCATTGTTGGGCAGTGGAAAGGTGAAATGTCATCTCCCCAACAGGACAGCTTTCATCAGTCGAGGCCGTAGTTAGGAATCTTAGTGAAAGTTCTTTTATGAAGTTTGCTCATTCTTATTTACACTTTTGAGCCCTCACAATTAAACGACACCCTGATGCTCTTCTCAAGCTAGTTACCTGCATTGTACAGCCTCTTAGGTAAAACCCAAGTCCCTGGATGCTCATGGGACTAAACAAGGATACCAGGCAACGAAAAGGGAGAAGCACTCTCATACCCAGAAATCCCCATCTGCACCGGGGTGGACTGTGGTGTATTTCCCCAGAAAGTTTCCCCGCACCTGCATAGCATACGCGAGGAAGTTAGTAACTCTTTCCTAAGTTCCTTCTGCATATCGCTTCCCATAACGGAAGGTCGAAGTGTATCCACACTGGAGTGCCTGAGTGTCTGTTTGAGATCTCCATCTTCTTAAGTTTACGTGCTCTCAATTCGAGGGCGCTCGACGCAAGTCAATTCTTATAGTTCACCGAAGCGTACTTGTTACAGTACTCACTCGTATTCCGTTGTAGGGGGAGCTGCTTTTTCATGTAAGCAGACACCAAGCAAAATGAGTACTTGTTGCACTATTGACCTCAACAAAAAACAGAACATTTCATGTGATTTACTCCCATTTTACTCAAGTACACTTTCACATTAATTGTCTGTCATAATTTGGGCAATGGAAACCTCAAACTGGGAATCAAAAGTGGGTAAAGAGCTGCACAATGTCACATGACGAAGTTTACGTCTCACCTCAGACGACACGTTCTGGATGTAATACAAAATCCCCGATTGTTAAGTTGCCTCTTTCTTACAAAGCCCGCGGAGAAATTCGTTTCGCAATTTACAGCTCTCAACATTGATTTATAAAGCGTCGACAATGTTGTTTTCTTGTTGTTTTCTATAAATTAGCAAAGCTCGGTCCTACGCATGACTTCCTCAACCAAAACACTTTGAATTTCAAAACACAATGCCTTCTAAAATGATAACTCATTTCCCATGGGCTGCATCACCATTTATCATGAATGCACCAATGGAGGGATTCGCGGGCGGTGAATTAGCAGCACAAGTAACTTTGGCAGGCGGCTTGGGATTTGTTGGTGGCACGACAAACCTTGATAAAGAAATGGAAATAGCCTCGTCCATCATCTCAAAAGAGCCTTCTTTTGGGAATTATACCGGGAAAACGTTCCCCATTGGTGTCGGATTTCTGGTGTTTATAACAGATATCGAAAAGGTATTGCCTAGTGTGGCGAGGTGGAAACCGAAGGTTGTTTGGTTGTTTGCCGCAAAGGAACTGAGCGCCCTGCAAACCTGGGCTGAGCGGATTCGGGAGGTTACCGGTGGAGAGAGTCAGATATGGATACAACTAGGCTCGGTTGCAACATCTCTAGAGGTTTTGAAGATTGCCAAACCTGATGTTGTTGTGGCGCAAGGGAGCGATGCTGGCGGTCACGGAATCGACCAAGGAGCAGGAATTATCAGTTTGCTTCCTGAAATGAGAGACGCCATGAATCAAAACGGCTTTGAGAAAGTCCCTATCGTGGCTGCTGGTGGTATTGCAGATGGTAGAGGTGTAGCTGCTGCGCTGACATTAGGCGCTGAAGGTGTCGTTATGGGAACTCGCTTTTTGGCTTCAGAAGAGGTTCGACTTCCCGATGACAACTATCGACAGGCTGTTTTACAAGGGAAGGATGGAGGTCAATATACCGTCAGGAGCCAAGTGTTTGACGAACTTCGGGGCCCTACTATCTGGCCAACTGGTTACGATGGTCGTGCTGTTGTTAGTGCAAGCTATCGGGATCATCTTACAGGAGCAAGTATCGAAGAATTAAGAAGCAAGACCAGACAGGCGGAAGAGAAAAATGGGAAAGACTATGGTGTACAAGGGCGAAGTGCTGTCTGGGCGGGAGCTGGGATTGGCCTGGTCAACAAAGTACAAAGTGCGAGAGACATAGTTTTCGAGGTACGGAAAAGCGCAGTGGAAACAATCGAAGCGGCAAGAAGTAGGGTTTAGAGGTCGAAAAAAAGCCGTTTCTTCTATTTCTGGCCATAAACTATTGTATAGTTGTGAACAAATAGAAATGTACAATTTTGAACTACTTGCCCAATTCAGGCTTCAACACTGTGATGTCAAAATCCGGCGCCACCCAAATTTGCTGTAACGTCGACATTCCGCAAAATTAGGTCTCTCGTCTCTTGTCACTCCTGTTAATGACATGCGATTGCATCTCCAACAACGACTAGTCTTTGTCCCAAACAAGCTTGACTTTCTCCGGATTTTGCATCTTCAGAGTAATAAGTGCTCTCGAGTTCAAAAGCGCATCACTGACACGCTTCGAAGTCTGCAACTTAGTCTCTCCATCTAGAGCATTAACCCTAACATGGTGGTGTGCCATAAGTGTAGCAATCACAGCAACGAACTCGACTTGAGCAAATTTCCTGCCAGGACAAACTCTTGGCCCATAAGACCAGGGTATAAATCCAACAGGTGTAGGCATGAGCTCTTCGTTATCGATCCCCTCTGAGCCATCCCTCTGTACAATCCAACGCTCTGGCTTCCACATGTACGCATCTGTACCCCAAACCTCGGGATCGGTATGGATACCGAGCATGTTTTCCATGACCATCGTGTTCGGTGGAATGATGTACTCCTTACCCTTGACCTTTAATGGCAAAGATGCTGAACCTGTCGTTCGAGGAAGTGTATTGACTGGTCCGTATATACGTATAGTTTCGAACTACATCACATTAGTACAGACTCGAGTTTTTGCGTTTCATAACGAACCATTACTGCGAGGCACCTCTTGAGCTTCGGAAAATTATCTTTATACTCTAAATTGGTAGGATCTGCATCTTTGCCAACGACAGCCTGCACTTCTTCTTTGACCCATGCTTGCCTGACTTCATCATTTGCCAGTAGTACCAGAGCATAGTGCAATGAATTTGCTGTTGTATCATGACCAGCAAAACTATAAATGAACAGATTCCCGTAAATCTCGTCGTTGCTGAGTGTGTACTTCCCTTTACCTTGGTACTTTTCCAGATCTGCTGCTCGCAACAGTGCACTAACCAGAGTATCTTGGTCTTGACTTGTTTCATCCAGTTTCTCGCGTTGCTCGTCGACCATCTCAACGAGGTACTGCTTGAGTTCTCTAATCGAGGTTTCTATAGTGACGAGAGGATTAAGCTTATCCGGTATAATGGCTCTGAGACTTTTCGAGAGAGAAGAAGTTACAATCACTGCAAATATTCGCGACAGAACGCTTTCCATGGCTTCTTTGAATGAAAGTTGATGCCCATCCTCAGCCTTTGACACATCATTATAGTGAAACTTCTTGCCGAATCCTGCTCCTGTAATGACATGGAGCGCCAAAGTAGTGGTATCTACGTGGGTACTCGATACTATGTTGGATTCTGCAATGCTGGTCCACTTATGAAGCATACCCTTGGCTTGAGATAATGACTCTGACCATACCATATTACTCTTCAAAAATCAGTGACTGCTAGTTTGGAAAGATTGTTCAAGGGCAGGGATATAAGATTGATGGATAAGGCTTACGTTTCTCTCGTTGAATGATGGGGCAGTGATTTTTCTATGGCGTTGCCATTCTCCGCCATTGGCAGTATCAACATTTTCACCGAATAGGTCGAGAGGTTTGTACAGAATTTCTGGCTTTATGAATTCTTTATATCGATGCAGAACATCCTCACAGGCGGCTCCATCGGCGAGCATAACCCTTATCCCCGAGCTATTTACCATAAGAAAAATCGGACCTAATCGTCTGTGAACTCTGTTCTCCTGCTTAAAACGATATTGCCAGGTGTCGAAGTCCGCAAATTCTCCTAGATTGTAAGGAAGTTGTCGGATAAGAGGTGCTAGTATCGCTATCAACGTCGTCCAAACGGGCTGAACCATTGGCTCGGCTGGAGTGATGACAATTGGAAGTCCTAGTTTTCGCGCTCTATTGTACACGATTGCTGTCTTCGCAATGTGCCATATTATCGCAGCTGTTAGCAACGCGATGAGCATAGCCTGAATCGCCATAACGACCAAAGATGAAACCTCTCTGCTTTTGGGGCTGGAATCTGGAAAAGAAGTTTTTAACAAAATTGATTGCTTGTGGCCATCAAATTCATCATCCGAAGCTTGTCGTTGCTATGCTTGATTGCGAGATGCCCGACCGTGTCATATCTGACAGCAATTTGCCGTATTCCCGTGTTGGTTGGTTTGTACGACAATGAGTTGCTCACGTGCTAGTCTCGATGATATTATCTGGAAGCTGTGCGTCTTCCGTCCTAATTCGGAAATGGCTTTTCACCAGGCAGACTTCTGGCCCTTTTACCCAGCGATCTACGAAAGCAGTGTCGCAGCTTCCCGAACAGATTCCTTTACTGGTCGACCTCTGAGATTTTTATTGCGCAACTACCTGGAGCACATTCACTCTATTGGATAGCTTCTATGCGACGTCTTTGTGGCCGCCATTCTCTCATCTTTGCAGAGCGCACCCTAGAGGGCGTGACGACCCCAGACAACTCCACCAAGTTCTCAAGATTCAGCCCAGGCGGAATCGTGCTCTTTGCTGCATCGGGTGTTTGACCAATGGACATTGAAGCTAAAAAACACACACTGTTCAAGGAATTGCCAAAGATGCATCTGATCAGCTTCCAGCACCGTCGCCACTTGCGACGTTGGAAACGGCCAGGGCTGAGTTTTCTCGCTTAAAGCTGGGGAAGCTGGAGGCAGGCCATGAAATTCAAGTCTTTGTGATCGGCAAAAGAAGGTAATTCCTGGGAATCTTTGGGATGAGCAAATGTGCTTCGGTGTCTACTCTAGCTAAGGATGCAAAGATGAGCGAATGCAAATCTGCGGATGGTACTGTGGTTTTTCCAAATGTGCGAATCGCGTTGTATCGCTTAAGGGGTCACATCGTTAATATTGACCCTGTCATTTGTTTAGGACCAGTGAGGAGGGAATACATAAAGAGGGCCTTCTCGCCAGGAACTATTTGCAAGTAAACAATTTGAATGTTCTATTCTACTTCCTTTCGAGAAGACGTCTCTCAAATATAACATTAATCTTACATTGTCACTTTATTACTGCATTCATCCGCCAGTATGAAGATGTTCTTATTTCTAGGAACATTAATGCACATCAGCATTACTGTTGGCGAGAGTCCATCCAGGTACCTATCAAGAATGTGTTTGCCATCGAGTTATGGGAACAGCACTGGCAGATCTAGTCAAGACTCGACGATCGCCCGATACCTCTCGTACGAGAATTCACCTTTTCCCTGTGAGCGAACACTGTACCTTCAGTGGGCTTGCATCGCCAACGGTACCGAAACAATTGACTTCCTTGCTGAGCAACAATGTTTTTGCGGCGGTGGATTTTTCAGCGCATCTGAAGGGTGCGATGCCTGCTATCGTGCACATGGACTTGTCATGTCAACCTCGCCCGAAGAAGAAGCATCTTATCTCTCAAGTCTAAGTACTGCTGAATGCACCCCAAACCCGCCAACACAAGGGTTCACGAATCTCGTCGCGACTGTGGATTTTTCACTCATACGGACACGAAGTACCACGCTTTCAGACGACAAGTTCCCCAATCAGACAGCTGTCAGCAACTATTTCACAACGACGAAAGCACTTACACCTGGCGAGGTGACGGGAAGTGCGACTGCGCGGAGGACAAGCTGGACGAATTGGGACGGCGTTAGATTTACACCGACCCCAGTTTCCAATACCGGAAGCGTCCTAGTTACAAGTACTGGAAATGGACCACCCAGCTCAAGTACCAGTAGCGCTTCTAGTGGTGGTATGGCAAAGAACGTACCAGGTCTTGACCAGCTGGTTATGATGCTCTTTAGCATCCTTCTCATAGTTTGAAAAGAGTATGTAAATAATACGAGATCTGATTCGGAAGGTTCAACAGCTCGTGGCACCGGTAGATTCGATGGAATCAGCAACAGAAGTACATACCACTGATAGTTTACTACGACCCAGAAGCCCGTGGGCACATCATGGTTTTAATGAGGAACACGTTTCTTGTGATTGGAATTCAATAACGAACTGTTAGAAGGCAATTGTCCAAGCAAATACAATTACATTTCCCAGATCCACTCACTTATAAAATTTCAAATTAATTTAGAGTTCCCAATAAGACCAGAACCACACTCTTTTTGAGGATAATGTGATTTCACACCTACGAAAACCTGCTCAAGGTGGATTTAACCTCCAATAGTTGACTAAAATTTTCTTTGGGCATGATACGAATTTCACATTTATGTTGGAAGAATGTCGGTAATGAACTGGATTTGACAACTTCAGCCCCATCCAACCACCACTCTGTTTACATAACCCATCACTGTGTTTCTGGGTTATGGCGTGAGAATCTCTCTATTATGATAGTACAGAATTGTGATAAGAAGAATTAAAATATATTTCCTACCGCGGCTCTACTTTACAAGATAAACTGTAACCAGCTTTTTATATTTGGACATACTTTTTCAAAGCATAAGAAATACAAGTTCCAAGAATCCTGTCATCCAGACCACCATGTTCCAACCTGCCCTCATCCTACCAACACCATTTGTGTTCTTGGTCCCCTTCGTCTTTGCCATAGATGAACCAGCAGATGGCGCGCTCTCTCTCGCGGTAATTTTCGCCGACCATTTGCCAACTAAATCCCCCTTTTTTGAAAGCGGTGCAACAATCTGGACTACTTGACCATCCAGCGAGGTATCTTCACAGTCATAGATCGTTCCCTCAATAGCTCCCATGATCGGAGTCCATAGTAGTGTCCCATGATGTCCTTTCCTAACACCCAACACATGTTGTTCCGCAGGCGGCAAGTCCCTCGTCGTCACTCTTCCTGTATCCCTTTTGAAAGCCAAAGAATACCCGGTGACAGTCCTTCTTCCAACCTTCACGTCTTCATGTGGAAGTGGCCGACTAGTATTGTATAATGTCGCGCCAGCTAAAGCAAAAATACTGTCGCTATCAGATCGCGAGAGCGTAAGTGGTGTGGTGTAGTTCATCAAAATCTTGGGTTCGATTGATACAGTCCAATCTTGCTGCGGAAACGAACATGATTTTGGGTTATCTGTTTTGCAGTGGAAACTTGTGACGGGAATCGCTGTCCACAATCTCTCATTTGGTGTGTAGTCGACGATTCGATAATCTGTTGGGATAAAATCGGTGCATGTTGCTGAGACTAGGGATATGATTGAAAGCGGGAGCGAGAAGAGGGAGATATTTAATCGATACATGTTGTGGATGGATTGGTGTCGGTTTCTTCGACTGACTTTTATTTTGAAAGGCAAGATTACCTGTCGTGCTCATGGGATTTCCTTCCTACTTAAGCTGTCAAGCAACCAGAACTAGCACTGCCTCGAGGTCACTCCTCCCACGACCGTTTGCTTGTTTATTTTAATCATCCTTTAATCTAGCGCTTAGAATATTTCAGCATATACTTGGTTGCGTTCGAGAGTTCGCGGTACATAAAACGTTTCTCATCGCCAACGCTCAGCCCGAATGATGAAACAAGAACCACTAGGCCCCGACCCCAAGTTGGAGATATCTCCAATACGAGTTGAAGAGTAACCCAACTCCAACATTTTGTGGAAACAAACCAATGTAAGGCTAACCGCCTGGAGGAAGAGTATGTTGGTGTTTGTTGGCTCGTAGCGCTGGGGACTTTTAGAATAGAAAATTAAGCGGGGATGTTGTTGGACGGTACACTTACCAAACACACGATGAACGCAAAAGCTGTGACTTTCAGTCTCTCTTAAATCTTAGAAAACTCTTCTATGGAATGGCGATGAATATGAAAGATTTTGTGAATATACTGTAGAGGTTTCTGGTCAATTAAAATGAATACCACCCGGAATTTCAGGACTTGACCATTCACCACAATTCCATTGAAGACATTTTAGATCAACTTGTTTGGCGGAAAGAATTGGAAATATCTCCTACCGAAAGAAATCATAAAGTGAAATTCGAGTGAATAAGTGTTGAGATGGATGCGAGAGTCGCTGCAAACACTCGATCACGAGCTTTCCACAATCAGAACTATAATAATGACTCACAATGGTTTGTTGAAAACGAATAAAATGATACTAAACAACGTATCTCAGTAACGTCTCAAAGCGCCGATAGTAGAAAGTTCGGGCGGAAAAGTCGCCAGTGCTTTTCCCACAAGGCGGACTACGCGTATTTAGTTAGCGAGGTCTAGTAACTCCACCTCTATGCTTACAGGCTTACAAGTCTAGTAGACGCTTCCTCTATATCTGGCATCTGAACTAAACCCAGTTATTAGAATTTAACAATCACCGCATAGCCAGAGCTGTCATCTCATCATGAAATTATTGATAGAACAAGCGGCTGGGCGTATCTGTAAGCCACTGCATCGGAGAAGTCAAGCACCAGGCTCTTGTCTGCCTCGCTCACTGCCTTCTTCAGATTTTCCGAATGACTTGTACTTTTGACTAGAAGATGGCAAATAATTCGTCGTTTATGGAAACGGGTCTGTCGGTCCTTTGAGAGTGACTCCGGCTGGATCCTTGCTTGGGGTTGCGCGATATGCGATTAGCAAGAAATTTCCAAAAGAAGCTTAATAACAAGCGACTGACGGTGCACCTCATGGTTGCAGATATGTTGACTCTGTCTCGGCTGCAATGAATTAGAGATGACCGAGAGCGTGTACTGTATCATGAGAAAGATATGGACAGGACTGTCATGCCCGTTACTGAATGCCACGTGATTTGTCTGCAGATCTCAATAATACCTGTCTTTCGACACAAAAGGTACGTAGCAAAAACTATAACTCAGGTTAGAATATCATAGCTTCGTTTGAGGATCCATTCAGGTAGAGATGTCCGAAATTGCTGTAGTTTATAGTTATGGCAGCACACGTGATTGACCTCAACGAATCTCCTGAACTAGGTAATGGGAATCAAATCAGCCACACAGTCAAAATGTATCAAAGCATAAATGTCGCACCTCTGAAAACCACTCCAGTACAGCTTTTTGGATTCGGGATACCAAATGTCGTAACCCGGAATTACAGGCATCGTAAAGAAGCAGGCTATGTTAATGCAGATAGGATGATCTCTTCAATGTCGCTGGATAAATCGAAGATATCATCCGAACCTTCCACTTGGCAGGTGAAGAACGCACAATGAGTTGTTTCTAGAAAGACATCGCCAAGGAGTCTAGAGTCTCTGTCAGAGGGGTGTGTTCCGTTTGGTTGGGTGCGGGGAAGGGCGAGGCTCAGTGTATTATTATTGATGTTGATCTCTGTGATTTTATAATGGGGGCTGGTGCAAGCTGTACGTATTCTGACAGCGGGTTGGACCGTCAGATCGCCGTGGGTGTTGGAAAGCAGGCTCTGAGTTTAGAAAATGCAATTGCTCGTTAGGTTGATTTATGTGAATGGACATGGATGTCGGCAGTTTATGGCGTGGGTTTTGTATCTCTAAGGGCGAACCTACGATGAGAAAATTAACATAGTCAATAAGGTTACCAGAGGCTGGCTTCTAGGTGACAATGATTCTATGTCTTGGTTTCCTCGGGCTTTCAGCGACAATATGAGCAGGATTGGACTGCTCAGTAATGTTCTCGCATGGTTCGCGGATACAATGTTGCCTATGATGAGGCGTGCCAGGCTACGTTCGAGGCGTCCAGTTACAACAGGAGCTGCATCTTGAAAGCCGGTGATTTGACGAATAATTGGAGAAACCAACTCCTGAACCAGATTATGGTGACGCGGGTAGTTGCTCAAAACGAAGTGCTGCGACTTTCCGCCAGCTGGACGGATGCCAGTTTGACCTGAATCGCGCACTCGTGATTTAATCGCGCAATAGCTTCATGATTAAGGGACTCCTTGAAACGAGTTTCTTACGGTCATGCGTTAGGCTCAAGGTCGAACCCCGAAGTCACGCCCCTTTTCACTTGAGATTGGCAAACTTTGTGGACAACGTGATTGATATAAAATGAAAGAATTCAAACAATTATTAAATAAAGAGAGCTGTAAAGGATTTCACCTGATACGTACGGGTAAACATCCCCATTCCAGCAACCGGTGAGTTGAAGTGAAGCGGGCTTTGGTGGTGATAGGAAGCGGCGGAGAATTGGTTTAGGCACGTTGGGCAGCTAGAACCGTGACCGACGGTCTGATGTGTCTCATCAAGAATCACGAGGCCAGTCCCCAATCAGCCCTCTAGGTACATGTGGTAGGGACAATCAGATGCCAGCCAAAACCAGTATGTACAGTACCGTACAGCAGAGACGTCAAAGTCGCCCTCGGACCTACCGGCTGCAGGTTGATGCCGTCAGCTGAAGAGAAATGGTAAAGGCTCTCCAATTACAGTAATTATTGCTTGGATGGCGGAGTTCTGGGTGGTGGCACTGGCTGCGTGCGTACCGGTCTTTGAAGTGATTTTGCCCCTCTTTCAGGCTCTGAATAATTCCCAATCAACGAGGGCTTTAACGGGGGCTTTAACGAGGGCTCAGGACGAGTAAAGGGCGTTGCGATAATGCATTGGGTCTTGGCATGTAGTTGGAAGGGGGAAGACTCGATTAAGGGGCCAAAGTGGTCAAAGGTGGATTTAAGGTTCTCGCAGCAAAGACAAGGTGGCATCAGAGCCTAAGGAAGGGCTAATGACGATATCGAGTACTGTGTACTGTGTATGGATAATAATGTGAGGTGATTTTAATTGTAACGCGAAAACATTCTTGGGAATGTGAAGATCAAAGAAAGACAGGCGTCTCTGTATTACATACAACAAACCCTCTTTTCGGGAGCCGTTCGTTTGCGGAGGACAAAGAGGCAAACCGAGTACTGTCACTAGGTACTGTGAAGAATCAAGGTACTTTGTGCAGATACGGAGCACCGCGACCGGCCCGTAGTCATTCATATTCACCTCGTAATCCTTTGTAATAGTTACGAATAAATAATATCATGTGTCGGTCTGCGTTCTATTTTGGTGACATGGCATTTTATGCGGTGCGCGGAAGTGAATTGACTGGACGCATTATTTCGACGTTCCCAACTCCAACCTGTAATTTGCAGCGTCGCCCACAGAGCCACTTCAAACATTCGCCCCGGCCCACTTGCAACCACCGAATCCGGGAAAGCGCGCACGTCTCGGCGCTAAGCTCAAGCGAGAAAGCGTCTTCCTGTGATCGTCTAGCAGCTCGCAGAGACAGTCCTCGACCTTCTCACATCTCGACCAACGATCCTCCTCCACCTCCCCACCACACAACCCTCGACGACATCGTCAATATTCGACGAGTGAACCATCTACGGAGGTGCACTCTGGACAGTACTACAGGCCGGTCCACGATACATTCATCTGCCCGCACGATTCCTCCTCTGCCCCTCTCAATTCCCTCTCGCAATCACGTCTCCGGTCGGTCTCAACCAGAACAGGCCCAGTCTCCCTTGGAAGCCGCTGCCCAGGTACGTACCAGCATTCCCCTCACCACCTCCCGTCTACCAGACCGTCACAACGAGACGATTATTGTCAGCGTCGACGCTTTTACCTTCGTGTGGTAATTCAAGAGCGTCAAAAGCAAACTGCATCCCATTGATGCGGAGCCGCTTACGCAACGCATTCAACCACACCGCTTCCTTCTCAGCCTTAGCCTTCACCACGAACTGGGAAACAAACCACCTACTGACACAAACCTTCATTTTTAGCTGACCGTCTCCTCAACCACTATTTAATAACCCTCTGCAACCTCGATCTGCTTTGTCGATCGATTAATACTACACTCTCAGACTCTTCGACTCGTGTATCGGACGCCCGATACCAGAGTCCATAGTTCAACCTCAAGATGACTACTATGGTGAATCCACCCACTTCCAAGTCGAAATCCAATCCTCTGGTTTATACTCCCTTTCTTCAGCCTCCATATGAGCACATTCTTGTCACTCTCTTCCATGCCAGTGCGTGCTTGATTGCGAGAGGAGTCATCAGTTTGAATCTCGTCCTCAGCCTCGTGCTAGCAAACCATCCACCTTGTTTACCACACAGATAGCACAGCCCAAGCATATTTAGTTGACACCAGCGTACTAACTCTTTTGGGTAGGATCTTCGCGTCGGCAACAAGTACCGTATTGGCCGCAAGATTGGTAGCGGTAGTTTTGGTGATATTTACCTTGGAACCAACATTATCTCCGGCGAGGAGATCGCCATCAAGCTCGAGAGCGTCAAGGCCAAGCACCCTCAACTCGAGTATGAGGCTCGTGTCTACAAGTCCCTCGCTGGAGGCGTAGGAATTCCGTTTGTCCGCTGGTTCGGAACCGAGTGCGACTACAATGCCATGGTTCTTGATCTCCTTGGCCCTAGTTTGGAGGATCTGTTCAACTTCTGCAACCGCAAGTTCTCATTGAAGACCGTTTTACTTCTTGCAGATCAACTCATCTCCCGTATCGAGTACATCCACGCCAAGTCCTTCATCCATCGTGATATCAAGCCAGACAACTTCTTGATGGGCATTGGTAAGCGTGGTAACCAGGTCAATGTCATTGATTTCGGTTTGGCCAAGAAGTACCGCGACCCCAAGACTCATTTCCACATCCCATACCGTGAGAACAAGAACTTGACCGGAACTGCTCGGTACGCTTCGATCAATACTCATCTTGGTGTTGGTATGTTTACCCAGTGCAATTTGGATCTCATTATGCTAATATTCAACAGAGCAATCTCGTCGCGACGACATGGAGTCTCTCGGTTATGTCATGCTTTACTTCTGCCGTGGCTCCCTCCCATGGCAAGGATTAAAGGCAGCCACCAAGAAGCAAAAGTACGACCGCATCATGGAGAAGAAGATGACTACTCCCACCGATGTTCTTTGCCGCGGCTTCCCCAATGAGTTTGCCATCTATCTGAACTACACTCGCTCCCTCCGCTTCGACGACAAGCCCGATTACTCCTACCTGCGAAAGATCTTCCGTGATCTCTTCGTCCGCGAAGGCTTCCAATACGACTATGTCTTCGACTGGACCGTTTATAAATACCAGAAGAACGCCCAAGCCATTGCACAGGCTGCTGGTCAACAGCCAGGCGCCCAAGAGGATGAAGAGAAACCACGCACACGCACAAACGCTGCTACTGCTGGTGGAGCGGCCCCTCAGCATGTATCCAGCGCTTCGAAGCCACAAGCAGGACCAGGAATCTCCGGATCTCGCCGCAAGGTCATTGAGCGTGGTGCCAGCGGAGCAGGGGTTGAGACTCCAGATACCAATCGTGCTGTTGGTGGAAGTGATAGGATGTGAGTGTCTTGCTAGCTCCGGTTCCTTGTAAGGGAATTTTTCCTCTTCGCGTTTAGTGTGCTTCGATGACGCTGGCCGCGGGGAGAACAATATGCTGACTGGATGGCTGACGCTTTAGTCTCCGAAAATAGGCTTCGATCTGCCTCGAAAGGTGCTACACCTGGTGGAAATTCCTACGTCCCTGGCTTTTCTCGAACAACGAAGCGTGACGAACAGAGTGGACAGGGTCCGTGGTACAATTGATTGATTTACTTGGGCGATGCTACTTGGCCGATTTCGACATTTGATTTTGAACCATGGCAGTCTCGTCTTGCTTATTACACCACCTCGCTGACCATAACCTGACCGTCCACGACGATATTGCTCGGTATTGGCTCGACACAGCGAAACTCTTCTCATTACGCGTTTTCTTACGGCTTTCGAATATATGATTTCTTCACTGGCTCGACCAGCTTCGACCCTTGCATGACTACCTACGTTGAGTAGGCTCTGTCAGTGAGGCCGTAGCAATCGAACGGCACGTCGATGTCATAACATATAATTTCGAAATAGGCTTATGCAGCTTATGGCATGTCAAGTGAGAGCTCAGTCTCGACAAACGTCGACATACCTAGACGCATTCTAGACACGAAATGATTAATAGTATGGTCATACAAGCTCGCTTGCTTGCGATATTTGCCTTGACGATCGGCACTAAAGCACTCAGAGCAGACCCTCTGTTACACGAATTACTTGTTTTGCTACACACGATCTCTTATTTCTTTTTCCGGCTCATGTTTTGTTTTCGACTGGGTGGATGGGAGCACGCCTGGGGATGTTTAATGAAGGGGAGGTGTGGTTGGCGATTATGAAATCTGTCGAAACACTTGGGAATTCTCGCAAGCCAGGTTTCCAATTATGACAAGACATGAAATATAAACGCCAGCCAACATTTGGGGATTTGACATGGGAAGAGCCGTGTCTGGGGAGGTCTCGTTGTATTTTTTCGTTTACGGTGCGCGAATATTTCCTTTCTTTTGAAGGGCATGCCGTTATTGAGGACGAAGTCAGGAGGGGTTGCCGGAGCTGACGACGGATTCATGGCGCCCCTGTATGTCGATGCATGGTATTACGAAACTGGAAGGTGGGGATCTTGATCTGATCACTAACTCCGCTCTATTCAATAATAATTCGCATGTTTATCTTCTCTCCCAAACCTGACTGTAACGATAATTTGTGAGTCGTAAGTGAAATCTCATTCCTTTTTCAACTGCATCCATAAAAAATGGCAAGGCGACGTTGCATTCTGATAAATGAGCATAAGTATCGTTTTTACCACCTCAATCCAAACGTGCAAGAGCATTTTTCTTGCGAGGTGAATAGAAATCAGCCTGACAGAGGTTATAGAAGGAATTGAAAAACGCTTCTCATGGCAGCTCCAAACGGTCAGATCAGTCACAACCACATCCTGCGCCGTACCGTGTGTGATGAGGTGAGGGCAGATTCTAATGTTTTTAGAACTGATGCTTGCTTGGACGAATGTGAGATTGAAAACTGGAGTGTTGAAAGATGGAAGGAAGAGGCTCGTGTCATTGTATGGTGTTGTGTGAGGGTGCGCAGGTGTGAGACTACTAAACGCAATTACGCTTCGTGTCGCAGAAGAGTAAAAACCAACGAAAAGGACCAGGTTAAGAGACAGCGACAGCAAAGTAGACAAGATTATTAGAAGCAGTTCATGGAATCACATCGAGCGAGATACACCATCAACAGGTTCAGATGACAAAATTCTCGACTCCATTCCTATAGAAACCTATCTAGATCCCCTTCTCATTTTGCCATCCCAAAGTTACACATCCAAATTCCTTGAAACCATTCCCTTCCCTTCCCGTCCTTCCCATACTACTGTCATACACCCGACTCAAATAAAAGAGAAAAAAATCCGCAAGAAAACGAGCGCTCTTTCCAGCTTTGCATCCACCACGAGCTCCTTGGGGAGCTATTTATCATATTGTACATTATTTGCATCGGCTGCTCTCGAAAGATGTGCAGCAACGAATGTCGAGAAGTAGAGTAAAAAGGGCAGAACAAAACATATAAAGCCAGAAACAAAAAACACAATCATGATATATATCAATCAAAGCCTCCAGCTAGCTATTCGTAAAGAGGCGTTGCAACAAAAAAAATTCCAGTTGATATAGGGAATCTCAATACCTCTGGGCAAAAGCAATAAACAAAAATACTGCTGTAAAGAAACACGACAATCTTGTCCAGCAACGCCTTGTGACGCCCCCAATACTGATGTTGATTATTTAACAGAAGAGGGTATCCGCCTATGATCTTCATATTCAAATCGATGTGTTTTGGTTTCGCTGGCAGCAGGCAGTGATAGATGGTGTGATGAGTAAGTCGCGAGCTCTCCCGCTTCATTTTAATCTCTCTATACAATGCCACAATTTCGTGGTAGAGCCTGTCGAAAGGTGGTCTTGCACCCGCTGTTCATATTACGTTGACTCCAGTATTTTGGACACTGGCGCCCACTTCCTTGCCGCTTGGGCTCATTTCCCTTCTGCTCCCTCCCGGGCTCAGCACTTCGCTATCCTTCCGACTACGTGAAGCCTCCTCTTCCGCATCTAATCTTTTACGCCAGTCTGCAAGACTGCCGCTGAGCCCTTCAGCCTTTCCTTCGTCAGCTTTCGTGGCCGGGGTTCGTTCTTCAAAGTCAAAAGTGTTACTCAATCGATAATTCTTGTTCGTAGTCTCCCAGTGTGTTCGCAACGTCTCTAACTCGCTAGCGAGACTGTCCAGCGCCATAGAATTACGATTGTCATTTCCATACAGAGAGGCTTCAGAGACACTTTCGGCAGCGGAGAGGGACCTATTTCTCTGGTGCGTGGGGACGGAGCCCGCTGGCTCTACCTGCCTTGACTGCCGTCTGTAGTTATCGACGGAATGTTCAACCTGATCGAGAAGAAGTGAAACTTTTTGCTCAGCATCTTGAGCTCTTCGCTCAAGGAGCGTGTTTTCCTGTTGTAGCTGTGTAAGCTCAGACCTTGCTTGCTTTGCTGAAGTTAATTCTCGTTGAGTTTCTTGATGGCTCGAACGAAGATGATCTCGCTCTTGTTGAACAGATGCTAGCTGGCTTCGAACTTCCGCCATCTGGCGTTCTAACTGCTGGCCTGTGGATTGAATCTCGACCTGCAAAGACTCGATTTGTTTCTTCAAAGAGGCTCGCTCTCCTTCCCATTCGGCAGGAACGGCAGATCTAGTATTTGCTCGCTCCTCATGTTCCGTGATCTGATCTTTCATGCGAGTGTTATCGGACTTATATTTGGACAATTCGTCTTTCATACGTTTAAGCATTTTTTCAGTCCCCTTCACATAATGGACGGCGGATTGATAATCATGCTCTAGTTGACCAAGCTTCTCCCGATATGCAGCTTCGGCGTCCTGTTCACGACTTTCATACATTTGTTTTGCGTTCTGATGATCTTCGTTCATGGCAGCAAGTTGCTGCTCCAACTCACGAAGACGTGCCCCGTCAGGTGTGTTAGCTCCTGATTGCGGACTAGAAAGACCCCGCGTGCGGGCCGCGCCAGCAGGACTGATACCACGCTCGCCTAAGATATCTTTCAAGGTATTGTGCTGAACGCTGACAGCATTACTTTCCAATTGTTGGCTAGCAAGTTTATGTTTCAGGTCGGAATTAGCAGCCTGAAGAGTCTGGATCTCGCGCATGTTTGATTGAAGTTGCTTGCGGATCGACATACCTTCCCGGCTGGCTTGTTCTTGGTATGCTTCAAGACCAGCGATGCGTTCTTCGGCACTCCTCAGTTTTTCAGAAGCTGTATTGGCGGCTGTTTGGTATTTCCTAGCTAGAGCATTAGCAGCAGCTACCTGCGCTGTTAAGGCAACTCCTCTCTCATCTGTCGTTGAGCTTTGATTAGCAAGATCCCGGGTTGTAACCTTGTCAAGTCCGTTGAGGACAGCCTGCCGATGTGTACGAGCTTCGTTGGCGTACTGTTCGGCTAGGTCTTCTGCGTGCTTGAGTCTTCTGGTCGCATTCTCGAGCTCGGAGGTGCGCTGGTCGTGTTCCATTTTGAGCTTGGCGAGCGAGCTTTCGACCGTTTCTCGTTGCGCCCGCTCTTCGTCAAGTTTCCGTTCCAAAAGATTTTTCATATCCGCAGAGGACGTAATTGCTTCCCTCAATGACTCAAACGTGTCGTTGTGATCTCGCGATGAAGTTTCCGCTTCGCGATACTTCCGCTCCAGATCTTGCTTTTCAGCTTTGAGAAGCTGCACAGCTGCCACGGCTTCGGCACATGTGATAGCCTCCTCCCGCGCTCTTGTCTGATACTCATGCAGTTCTGCTTTCAACAGCTCGACCTCGGAGGAGTTTTGTTGTTTATAGGCCTCTAGCTCTGTCATTCTTTGCTGAATCGAGGTCTGAGAATCTTCTGCCAACATCCTCCCACGCTTTTCAGAATCGAGCTCCGAAGCCATCATTTCTAGCTGATTTTTCAACTCATGTTGTTCGGCTAATGCTGCTGCGAGCTTTTTACTGATATCAGTCGATCGGTCACCAGCAAGCATACCTAGATCTCTCACTTCAGTATCAGGCTGAGGAGTGCTACTTTGACTACCAGAATGTGCGGCCAGCTTTGCCTTCGCGTACACTGCTTCGCTAATGGCAGAGTCCCGTTGCTTCTCTACCTCAGCAATGTGCTTTGCAGCTATGACTGCCTGCTTGTCAATTGATCCTTGTACATTGGCTAACTCTTTCTTCATAGCCAACAAGGCTTCTATCAGAGGTTTGTCATCGTCGTCGAATGACTCCGCAGCTCGCTGATCGAGCAGAGGACTGCTTGATGGATTCGGAGTATAACCTGCCTTCCGAGCCAGTTCGAGCTCCGAAGCATACCAAGCATTCCGGTTCTTGGCGATGTCGAGTTCCTTTAGAAGCGCGACGGACTGTGAATTTCGTGCCGAACCCTTGCGACTTAAGGGATTGCTCGTTTGCCTTGAGGGAGGTGGCGGAGAATTTGTGCGATTTGTAACATTTCTGAGCGAAGAGAGAGAAGAATCATTTGTACTATCCAGCGATCCCTGCTGTCGTGTTGATCTAGATTTAGATGACGATCGAGTCGATCCAGCTGTTGTCATACTTACAGGAGGCGCATTCTCTGCCGATACATTCTTCTGGTGCTGTTGAGACTCATTTGGGGTTCGACGACCATTAGCGGCGGGGTTTTCTCTTTGTGGACTATCTCTAGGCGCTGGGGATATTGTACGGCCCTGATTTTGATTAGATATATTTTCCATCGAAGGCTTACGCAAATTGGTTTCAATCGCTGGTCCATATCCTCGTTCTGGTCGTACAGGACCCTTCCCTCGCCCATTGTTTTGCATGCTTCCTTGCGGTGGTGGTATATTGCCTGGTTGCGAACCAGGTGGTGGCCCAAGAGGTCCGCGAGGAGCTGGTGCTTGTTGCAAAGGTGGCGGACCGGACGGAGCCTGTGGTGCTCCTGCAGCTCTGGGTAGTTTGGAACCATTGGAAAGGCCTTGAACCTGAGGGTTCATCCCCTGAGCACCAGCCTGTGGCCCTTGGGGTTGAGCCGAACCCGGGGCGACGCCATTACTATCGTTTCCGTTGACTCCAGGAGCCCCATTTCCTCGACCGAATGGAGATTGATTCATAACACTCTCACGAGGTGGCCCATTAATCCTTTTCGGATCCGCTAGCGATGATCCATCTCGAGAGGTCAAACCTCGCTGAGCTGCCATGCCTGCTTTGTCCCCTCCGCTGGGACGTCGTGCAGCTCCCACACGCTCACCTGAAGGCGTTTGTTGTATCTGTTGATCATTTGGATATCGAATCTTGCTAGTATCCAACAAGTAAACGATGGTCAGATCCGACGCTTCACGAGTGGCAGTACTCGGCTCTCCAGCCAGGACAACAATCTGCTTGTTATGCGCCGTCATGCTGTGGCCGGACCGTGGCGACGGGGAAGGTCCCATATTTTGAAATGTATACCACCGTCTGGTAGATATCCTAAATGCCGCAAGGTCGCCAAGATCTGCCCCTTCCTCGGTGCGTCCGCCAAAGATATACATTACATCGTCAACTATCGCTGCCGCATGACCTTCTCGAGGAGCGGGGATATAACCAATACAATCCAGTGAGGCCCAGGAATTTGTGACCGGGTCGTAGCACCAGACATCATTAAACCAAGTGAAGCCATTGGTCCCACCGAACCTGAAAATATCAGTATAGAATGCCTAAACAGGTTGGATGACTTACAGATAAAGCTTCTCATTATATGTCACTACAGAATGGTTTGTTCTTGCTGGTGGAATTTGTCCCGTTGGTGGGCCTCCGTCATCGGTATTACGAATGAGCATTTCCCATCTGTTGGAGGGGTTTTGCAGTTGATTCAAGTCGAATGCCACAAGATCATTCATGAAGTAGCCTTCTACTTGGCCGCCAAAAACATAAATCTTTGATCCAACAATGTTCAGAGAGTGGCCGTATCTTCCGGACGGACGGGGTCCTGCTGGAACGGCTCTTGACCATTGTCGGGTTGCTATTGCGGTAAGCACTGCTCATTACGAGAAGGGGAAATCAACCTACAAGTATTGAGGAGATACAACGTTTCATCAAGGACGTCCGAGTCTTCCATCTTGGTGTCTCCACCATACACAATGAACGCATTCCCGACCAACAGACTGGCATGACCAACTCTTGGACCTGGACCTTCAGCTGTTGTTGCTAAAGGATAGCAGGCCATGTTTGCCCCTGCTTCGACCATCCATAAATCCCCCTTTACTGTCGAACTATTGATGAGACCCCCCATTAAATAAATGTCGCCTTCTTTCGATGCCACAGAATTAACGGCCGCGCCATATCGAGGGAAGGGACTTGGATGCGAGGTCGTATATGTTAATGTCCGCTGAGACCAGGGATATAGGGAGGCATTCGGGTTCGAAGTCACTGGCCGTGTAGGAGTGGTCCCGTTGCGTAACTACGATCAAGTCAGCTCTAAGGCGCAAATAGATTGCGCATTAAATCGCGAAGCTGTACACTTACTGGTAGGTCCTGCGCAGGTTCAGGATTTGGATTTGGCCCTCGGCGCCCGTTCGCTTGCTCTGGACTCGGAGTCGCATTTCCAGCCCCTTGAAGTGAAGTGATGGAATTGTTCACGCTGCTCGCCGGCGTCGACGCCTGTACGGCTCCCTTTTCATTTGTGCGAGGCGTTGGGGCCGAATTCATTGAGGCCTGCGATCCTGCAACATCTCTGGTAGCTTGGGCTTTGTCTGCGTTCTTCTTGCTCTTGAAAAGGAAAGCCATCGTGCCATTCGCGGCGGACGACTGCGCGCCCTATGCCAGAGGAAGTCGTGTAATTCTCGTCCGAACGTTGAAGTGGTTTGTAACGATTGAAAAGTTCAGGGCGCCGTGGTTGGTAGAAAAGGAGGAAGTCTGAGCGCTCCCCGTGTTTGGAATGGCTGGGGGATTATTCTGTGATCAACCGGCAAGAGGATCGTCACGTCAAATTAATGACGGTCGCAACAATTCGGCGAAAAGAGGAGGCGGTGGGTGAAGGTTGCGACTAGCAGTTGATGCGACACGACTCGAGGGGAGGTTGGAAATTGGTAGGAGCTCTCAAAAAATGGTGAGTGAAGCAGAGCGAGATGCAAATTGCGGGTTCGAAGGGTTGATGGGGTTGGGGGTTGGGTTTGGGATCCCAGGATCTTGCTCCAAGGAGGATGGATGACTTCGGTTCGAAAAGTCGCTTCTTCTGAACACCGTAATTCGAGCAGCGCTTGGCACTGAATCAACGACCACGAAGTGATGATTATCAAGGTGTTGTCGCCGTCTCACGCAAGAACCGCTATGAATAGCTTCAAAGGGGGACGGATTCAAGGAAGACTACCCAGCGCGGGACGATCGATTGGTTCAGCAGGCCCGAAATGCTCATTCAATTCAGTCAGAGGTAAGATGATTTTACAGTATATTTGGCTTCTCAGCTGTGCCGTTTTTACCCAATATCCACCAGTTCTATGGCGTACAATTAGGGGAATTATGGATTAGTCTCTCTGATCCGCCCCTGAGAGACGCCGGATCGTGCTCTGATTGCTTGTATGCTGTCCACCTTTCCTCAAGAGGCCTCTGCCTGCATCTGTTTCAGCGCGATGGCGCATTAAACATTTAAACACCCTAAGCTGGCTGCGATCAACGCCATCATTACACAAGCTGTTCAAAGAATCGTGATGGCAACGAGAGTTTGCTGCTCCAGTTGGTGTTTGCACTCCATATTCATTGCTTCACAAGCTCGGTGCGAATGCTGCGTGTCCATGCACACCGCAACGGATCCAGTCACTGATACATGGCTATATGGCAATACATGGTTATATCCATATACTTGTAGTCGAAAGGTCTTTCACCAGAATTGGGCCGTATTAACGTCAACCTTCGTGTCGTTGTCCTCAGCAAGACTGGACGGACAACGGATCCAACGACGACCTTCTCCCGGATCCGCGGTGCATATATTACCTACATGTCCCAGTTTCCATGCACCGAATCAAGGGATATGAAGGCGTATCTTTAGCAGAAGGAGGCAAAGAAATATTCCTCCGTATTGGGCTTAGGGGGCAGCGATGCTGCACGCGAAGTGTATCCGCATCCTAAAATATCTATGGCTGTATGGATGGCCACATTGCTTGTAGTCCGGAGGAGGTATGGATTTATCGACAAGTCAGGTCGAATCTCTCCTCATAACTAACTATCGTGAATCCGAGGCATAAAGCTGAGATAACAAAAACACCCTCCGTGGTTACTTCATCTGGAACGAAGATTACGTTCGCTTCTATCTATTGATGTTCAGACCAGCTCTCCGTAGCATCTTGTCATCTTCACATTTGGGACCAATTCCTTGACTTCCGCAAAGTTATTGTTAATGGTGATTTTGCTTCTGATCGATTTTATCGTGTACGGTGTATTGCACACCTTCGTGGTGGTTTATTGGGAGTTACATACTTCTTGTCGCCTTACCGTCTGCTTCTCTAACTTGAAGTACAAAAGGCACCCCGATTCGATGCATTCATCTTGCGAGCCTGCCTACAAGAAGTCTTTAGACCACAGAGCGCGACTCACAGTCATGCTTCTACCAATCCGGTCACCTAGTACTATGAAGTGTCAAGTCCTCGGCTCTACTGGAGGCTGCTTGGACAAGTGCTTTTTCGATTTCAGCAAACAAGCCGAGTGTGATTCGCAAGGCATACTCGCAGGAGACCTCCGAGGTGATGAGGCTATCCGTTCGACGAGACTCAATTGGATAATGGTGTTGTCACCTGGACAATCGTATTATGTCGGCGGTTACGCAAAAACGTCAGTTCTAATAGCTGTAGAACTAAATGTTGAATGGATAAGTTTCGAAGTGGAAAAGAAAATTGGAAAGCTTGAGATCCAAAGTCTAGACTAACATACAACATAAGTTCAGTGAAATTCGAACTGATCGTTGGGGGTCCAGCCACACTACTTCTGAGTGTAAAGATTGCTGCACTGCAGATCAATCAAACCCGGCGCTGTGGTTATTGACAAGATACATAATAACTTTAATGTAGAGCTGTATAATGCTCGTCATGAACCTAATGAAGGCAGGCTTTTGTTTCTTTCCTAAGCCACAAGTCCATTCCCACGCCGCCCGTGTAGAACTAAGTCCATCCGATGCGGCTCCTATCGGCAATAATTCACTTGGCCGATGATGCGGCAGCTTCCACGCCCACGCCCACTCGTGACATGGCTGCATAACGAGAGGCAGCAAAGCAACAACATCACTCGAATTACAATATTATTCGACGCAGTTCGGCAGCCTTGGCCTTCCTCACGAGACAATTGCTGCTGTGACCTACTGTAACTCCAGTCGCCCAGTGCTTTTCCGGACTCGAGGTAAGTTTCTCACCATAAACCGCCCCCTCAAAGATACTAGTGGTTGAGTCGGCGTGCCTAACTTCTGCTTATTCCAGCTCGGAAAGCTCACCATTCACGCGCATTCGTCTCCCTATCGAGCTGGCTTTCGTGACACCTTCCTAGACAGTTCGAACGTCCCTCTGATGATCCCTAGAATTTGCTAGAGAGTGTTGCTCTCAGAGTTGTGGCAATGACCGCTGTTGCAGTCCAGCATGGAGCGCACCGCCAACAGCTCCCAAGACAGTCTCCTCACTCTTCGAATATGTCGTCCCCCCATCATTCTCGACCGCAAAGCTACTCGCAGGGTCTAGTACATATGCGACAGGAACTCCCTATTCAAAACGGCACTTCTGGACAAATGAATGCCAGACCAGCCGTCAGTAATGACCCGATTTCTGTGATAAATGGGCATGGAGCGCCGCAGACGGACATGGAGTTGAGGAGAGCTTCAACCATGTCGGCTGCTACTTCGAGTAACGAGCAGTCATCTAGTCGAAGGTCTTCGGTGAACCTGCGACCTACCTCAGCTCCGGGAACAGCGGCGGAATCTTCCCAAGAGGAATCAGATGTGGACAAGTCCAAACGCCGACCACGACCTCTTCTCAGATCAAAAAGTGATTTTGGACCCAGAAACGAGGATGCGGGCTCGCAGCAGGAAGATGAAAGTTGGAAAGATTGGGGTGCGCGGCATGGATTTGAGGACCACTATGCCTCGGAAGAGTATGTTTCGCAACTGGCAAATGTAGGTCGTTCTTTCCCTAAAGTCTGTGTTCGGTTGAGTATGAACTATCGTCCCGTGTGATTGCCTCATTAGCCTTCAGCATGCTCCAGATCTTCTATTCGTGTTAGAAAAGCCTTCACTCTGCGAAGATGGACCTTCCGGAAGTGGAGGGGCTTTCTGAATTCAGGAGTGGTATCAACGAAGACCGCGGCGCATGGGAGTATCTTGGGAGAAGACTATTGAACATTGTCGATGATCAGAGGAACTTGATTGCTGCTCAAAGACGGCATGATGCATTCATGCAATCTCAAATTTCTTGGACTGCCTTCAATACAGATGTTCTAGCTAATCCGTACAAACAGAATTGGTACATGTACTACACCGATAAAAGACATGAAACCACCGGGAACCCAAAACCCTTAGGCTACGAACTTCAAGACTGGCGAATGAAAGATCGACTTAAAACTGTTTCCGCAGCATTGGCGATATGCTTGAACATCGGTGTAGAACCACCAGACCAGTTGAAAACCACTCCTGGCGCCAAACTAGAGGCCTGGCAAGATCCTACTCAACCTCCCGTACAAAAGGCTCTTGATTTGATCGGCAAATCCGTGCAGGCGCAATACGAGACGCTAGCCATTCGAACGAGGTACAAACAATATTTAGACCCATCTGTGGAGGAGACGAAGAAATTTTGTGTATCACTGCGACGAAATGCAAAGGATGAGCGTGTACTCTTCCATTACAACGGTCACGGTGTACCTAAACCAACCGCATCCGGAGAAATCTGGGTTTTCAACAAGAATTACACACAATACATCCCCATCTCGCTCTACGATTTGCAAACATGGCTTGCGGCTCCCACCTTTTTCGTCTGGGACTGCTCGGACGCCGGAAACATTCTCAGTAATTTTCACCGGTTTGTGGAAAAGCACGAGCTGGAGGAAGAAGAAGCTCTCAAAAACGACCCGACCTATCCAGCTGTGAGCTTCAGGCCTTACATACATTTGGCAGCTTGTGGCGTGAAAGAGAATCTGCCAACCAATCCACGCTTACCGGCCGACGTTTTCACTTCGTGCCTCACCACGCCAATAGAGATGGCCCTATGGTTTTTTGTTTTACAGAATCCCCTGCAGTCTGAATTGACTCCCGAGCAGGCCAAAAAGTTGCCAGGGAGGTTGCAAGAGAGACGAACACCACTTGGTGAACTGAACTGGATCTTCACAGCCATTACTGATACGATTGCCTGGACCACACTCCCGAGACCCCTGTTTCGGAAGTTCTTTAGACAAGACCTTATGGTTGCCGCTCTTTTTAGGAACTTTCTCTTGTCGCAGAGAATCATGGGCGCATACAATTGCCATCCTCAGTCATATCCTCCACTCCCCGATACTCATCAGCATCCTCTCTGGGAAAGTTGGGACCTGGCAGTTGAAATGGCTCTGGCTCAGCTGCCTATGCTCGAAGCAAAAGAGAAAGGAGAGCTTCCAGAATATGATTATATCAATTCCAGCTTTTTTACAGAGCAGCTGACGGCGTTCGAGGTGTATCTCACCCAGGGCGCCGTTGAGCATAAAGCTCCAGACCAACTACCTGTTGTCCTGCAGGTGTTGCTAAGCCAGCAGCATCGAGTGAGAGCGTTGATCCTTTTAGGGAAATTTCTCGACCTTGGTCCTTGGGCTGTCAATCTTGCGCTTAGCATAGGAATATTTCCTTATGTCTTGAAATTATTGCAGTCAGCCGCGACAGAACTGAAGCCCGTCATGGTTTTCATTTGGACTCGCGTATTAGCTGTCGATTTGACATGTCAAACTGACCTACTTAAAGATTCTGGTTACACTTACTTCGCCAATATACTGAAACCAGGCGAGGGTCTTCCCGTCGTAGATAGTCTGGAGCACAAGGCAATGTGTGCGTTCATTCTAGCTATGCTATGCAACGGATACAAACAGGGGCAGATGGTTTGCAATCAGTCTGAGATCATGTCGCACTGTCTATTACATGTGCAGAGTACAGAGAACCCCTTGCTCAGACAATGGGCCTGTCTGTGTATCAGCCAGCTCTGGAATGATCTTCCTGAGGCAAAGTGGAGGGGAATTCGAGAGAACGCACCTATGAAACTTTCGACGTTAGTAAGAGATGCGTGCTGTGAGGTTCGAGCCGCTATGCTGTACGCGATGACCACATTTTTGGGAATTCCGGATCTCACAGACGAGGTTGCCCGAGTTGAAGAATCCATAGCCTGGACTGTCATGGAGATGGCTTATGATGGGAGCGCCATCGTCCGGAAGGAGCTTTTGGTCTTCTTTTCCAAGTTCATTCAGCGATACGAAAGCAAATTATTTGTTGCCGCTTATGAGCACATGATTGAGGAAAGAGAGTACCGTAGATTTCCACCTCAGGATGATGGGCAGGATCACCAGATGGGTTTACATTATATTCGAAAGGACCAACGAAATCCCGACGGCTCGATCAAGGTTGCTGCTCAAGGACTCTCACATAATTCTATCTTTGCGGCGGTCTGGAAGCATGTTCTGATCATGGCTGTCGACCCTCACCCAGAGGTACAACGAGATGCTCAAATTGTTGTAGACTATATTAATAGTGCGATGCTCCAGTCGCCAGTTGGTGGACCGGCGCAGGCACTGATGGATGATATTGACCGACTACGTTCAAAGACAGTAGCATCAAACAAGAAATCTCCGGATCCAAGACCCAATACCCCCTTGAGGCAGGAGTCAGTTTCCGGCGCCAATATCCAGCAAGGATTGTTGAAACGGACGGCAAGCTATCTTTTCACTCTTCCGTCCCTTCCTTTTGTCGGTTCATCTGAAAGCTCTCCAGACATAGCAAGTCGGAATGTGCCAAAGTCGCCAGGTACTCAACGCAGTCCCTTACCCATACGATCGCGACTGCCAGCGGAGTTCAACACCCCACCGGAACAGAATGATACTACTACAACTCCTGGCACGTATCACGCAGCTAATGAACCAAGTTCGGGTGGATTTCAACCCCGGAAAATGTCTATACCAGCTATCATTCCCTTACGCAGTAATTTCCTGGAGTACGCCGTAGAGTACTTCCGTGAACCTCAAATGAAGCCAACTGAAGCCGAAGAGCCAGGTAGCACAGACTACAACGAGAGACTATGGCGTCGATCCCGCAATGAAGCTATCCTACGGGAGACACAACCGCAGAAAGATATTGCTGGCAATGGGAAATGGACCAATCCATCTGGATTCTTCAACAACCAAAGTCAGCCCTCAAAAATGATCTTACATCAGTTCGAGGACCATCTTGCTGTTTCAGACGATCGAGATACCATTTGTGTTTGGGATTGGAAAAAGCAAGACAGGTTGTGCCGATTCTCTAACGGTAATCCAGAGGGTTCTAAGATCAGTGATTTACAATTTATTAATGAGGACGACCAAGCACTTCTGCTCACCGGTTCTTCTGATGGTGTCGTCAGAATCTATCGAAATTATGACTCGGATAAGAAGGTTGAGGTAGCGGCGGCATGGCGCGCTTTGACTGATCTTGTGCCGAGTAACGTAAATTCGGGCATGGTTTCAAACTGGCAGCAAGTCAATGGCAGGCTTCTGGTAGCTGGTGATGTCAAAGTTATCAGAGTTTGGTCAGCCTCGCCAGAGTTGTGTATCATGGACATTCCAGCTCGGTCGGGATCCTGTGTCACTTCTCTCACGTCCGATCAAATGACCGGCAATGTTTTCGTGGCTGGGTTTGGGGATGGCGCCATTCGAGTCTTTGATGTACGCCATAAACCTCAAGAAGCCATGGTCAAGAAATGGAAGGATGACTCGGACAAAGTATGGATTAAAAGCGTGCACATGCAGCGAGGAGGCCAAAGAGAACTCCTGTCAGCCAGCAGAAATGGAAATGTCAAATTGTGGGACATTAGAATGGATAAACCTCTACGTACAATCCATACAACCAGTGACACTCTGAGGACGGCGAGCACTCATGAACACCTTCCTGTCTTTGCTGTGTAAGTAAGCTTCTTTCATTTGCGCTCTTCTATGCTAATATTTGATAGCGGCACGGGTAACCATACCGTAAAGGTTTACAACTTCGAAGGCAGAGTGCTGTCACGAGTCGAGCCATACTCTAGCTTTTTGCATCAAGCTCGCCAGTCCGCAATATCTGCCACAGCATTCCACCCTCATCGAATGATGCTGGCTTGTGCCGCTAGGGGAGACAACCACATAAATCTATTCACGTGTGCCGAGAAGAGAAGTGTTAATACAATACACGATTACTGAGAGACGCATGTTTGTCTACACAGAAGAATGATTAGAGTATGCGATGTTGAACTTCATCGCCTCAGCACAAGGCATCTATATATTCGAGAGTTAAACCGGAAGTACTTAATACTGGGGGTGTTTTCTGCATGGATCGGAGGCTCACATGAGCTCCCGCGGCGTTTGGCTGGCTACAAAGAGCTGTTAATTCGAGATTGGGCGGGATTGATGGCGTTGAAGTTTGAGAGTCTTGTAGTAATGATTAATACGGAATCTGTGTCATCTATTATCTTGTATACTATTCAGCAGCGCGGCATCATGTTTTAATGAGCCTGGTCTGCAATTAAATGGACAGTAAGAGCCTGTGATTCAAGAGATTTTGAGGGGCTTTCCATGTTGCAACATCAGCAGCACAATACATTTGTTTATAGTATGGTTCAACCTCTTCGTCAACTTGGTGGGGTACGTACGGCCCGCCCACCACTGGGGATGAGGTTCAAAAAAACTGCAGGGGTCCAACACATGGATGTTAGGCCGACTGACTCAATGATTTGTTTTCTTCCATGGAACCACTCCACATAAAACAACTTTGGTATCTAGAAAGCATTCTGATATCTGCGCAAACCTTTTGTTCTTATTAGATTTACAAACTCTTTATACCTCGAACATAACTGCCAGCGTTCTTATGGCTTCAGAGCAACCAAAGGAGGTCCCCGCGGACCCCGCCAACCCCTCTACCCCAGCTGCTGGTGAAGACGCAGCTGCCCCCTCGAAGAAGGGCGCAAAAAAAGCCGAAGCAAAGGCGAAAAAGGAAGCTGAAAAGGCACGCAAAGCTGCTGAAAGAGAGGCCTTAGCAGCATCTACTTCTGCGGCGGCTGCAGAAGATAATGCGAAGGATAATTACGGCGAAATTTCCAAGGACCGTCCTATCAATGTCGAAATCGTACATCTACGCGATCTTGCAGAAGAACATGTTGGGAAGACAATTAAGGTTAGGGCTTGGATTCAAAATGCCAGAGCGCAAGGGGCCAAAATGGCATTCGTGGAGTTGAGAGAGGAGGGAAATTGGACTGTACAAGGTGTGGTCTCTGCTTCCGCCGAAGGAACACCCGTCAGTAGACAGATGGTCAAATGGATTCAGGGATTGAAGCTTGAGAGTTTTGTTTCTGTGGAAGCCTTGGTGCAGAAACCACTTGAACCAGTCAAAAGTACAAAGGTCAGCGGGTTTGAGTTGCATCTCACCAAGATCTATCTTGTGGCTCCAGCGCCCGAGATGTTGGGTTTGGGTCTGGCTGCTGCGAACCGACCGGTGGGAAGTTTAGAGGATGAAAGCGTCGGTGAAGCCCTTGAAGGTATGTACTCCTAAAAACATCTCGCATGAGGGTGCTAACTTAAGGCAGGTTTGAGCGTTACGGAGGGGACTCCCGTGGCAAGTTTGGCAACACATCTCAACAATCCTGCCATGCACAAACGTGCTCCTGTCAGTCAAGCAATTGCCGACATTCGAATTGCTGTCGAAGATCTGTTCTGCGAGTATCTACGCGCTCGTCGTTTCAAGCGATTCCATCCTCCAAGTCTGATCGGTGCTGCTTCTGAGGGGGGTGCCAATGTTTTCGCGCTTCCATACTTCGATAAACAAGCGTATCTAGCACAGTCACCTCAATTCTATAAACAAATTGAGATTGCTGGCGGACGAAAGAGGGTCTTCTGTGTACACCCAGTATTCAGGGCCGAGAATTCTAACACACCTAGACACATGACAGAGGTAAGTTGAGTAGTCGTCATATTGCGAATTATACTAATATACTCTAGTTCATGGGTCTTGATCTGGAGATGGAAATCGACGACCATTACCACGAAGTGCTTCATTTGCTTGAAGGAGTCTTCCTATATATCTTTGGCAAACTTGCCTCCGAGTATCGAGAGGAAATTGAGTTGATCCGCTCAGTCTACCCATCTGAAGAATTCCTTCTTCCAGAGCCTGGTAAAGAAGTTCGTCTCACATTTGCGGAGGGGCAGGCACTGCTTCGTGCTGAAGGGCCATCTGAATTCGCCAATGTTACTGATGACGAGGATATGAGCACAGCCCAAGAAAAAGCTCTTGGTGCCCTAATTCGAAAGAAGTATAACAGCGATTTCTACGTATTGGATAAATTCCCCGTCGATGCGAGACCATTTTATGCCATGCCAGACCCAGAAAATCCAAAAGTCACAAACGCATACGATTTCATGATGCGTGGGCAGGAAATTCTTTCAGGAGGCCAACGTCTACATTTACCACATGAATTAGAGGCTACTATCCGAGCCAAAGGATTGGACCCAAATCAACCTGGTCTCAAGGAATATGTTGACGTGTTCAGGAGCGTTGGCGTTCCCCCACACGGAGGTGGTGGCATTGGCCTTGATCGTGTTGTTGCATGGTATCTGAACTTGCCAAGTGTACAATTGGTCGCTGATTATCCGAGAACTCCAAAGAGATTAGCTCCTTAGTTTCTTACCAAATACTTGTGTGTTCAACGGAAGGTCCTGCAAGGGAAGAGGTGCATCTGGCCCGACTGGGGAGATCATGTGACATCCTCGAAAAAGGTGTTGCTGTGTTGCCGAAAGTGAAAAGTACTAGAACAATGAAGTTGCACGAATTTTAGACATTTATGTATTAATTTTTATGGCTCTTATCGTCATCTTTATTACAAATCTATCCAAATTGCGATTCAGGACTAATTGAACAGCATACTTTATCTATTGGATTTGCACTTTGAATCTGAACATCCATGGACCTGATCCCCGTAGTTTATTAGTCATCCTGTCATTTCCATCTTCAGGTCGTATGCTCCACCGCAACTACATCACAAAGTCCAGTGATCTCAATGTAATGACTCAGAATACTTCTGGGGAGTCTAAAGAGAATCACCTTGCTTGCCATATGTTGCAATCATCAAATTATTTTACAAACCCGACCCCTTTCCCGCTCTTCCGCTCCACATTCAATACCTACACGCCTGCCATCAGCGAGTGAGGCAGGACTCTGACGCGTCGGAGCATTCGTTATATAACGTAAAAAAGTCTTTCCACCTTGGAAATCACAGTTTTGGATACCACGACAATTTTACTTGCAACAATTCTTACAGCTCTTTTTCCAATTGACCAGTCAGGTCTCAAATATGGCTAGCAAAATCCTTCACGTCCTTGCTTCGGATGAGAATACGCCGCTGCTTATCGCCGAACCAGCGCTCACTCCTGGACCGGAAGCTGAGATCCAGACCGCCAACAACGGATTGAACGGTCAAAAGTCTCACGTGAATGATGAAGGGGAAGATGATGGGGAGGATGAGGATAAACCTTTACCGAAGTTACAGATTGCGTTGTTGTGTTTTGCGAGGCTGATTGAGCCGATGGCGTTTTTTGGAATCTTTCCGTTCGTGAACAAGATGATCCAGGAAACTGGTGGTTTGAAGGAGGAGGATGTGGGGTTCTATTCGGGGTTGATTGTAAGTTCTTACGTTTGGCTTCTTGAATTGTAGAGGTAATATGTCACATGTGTGTCTTTGTTGTCCAAGACGGTTGATCATCAAGATGTTTATTGTGTCTGAGAAGAAACAAGTTTTAGAGACTCGGAACGATGCGGATATGAATTCATGCTAATATGTGGCTCAAGGAATCCCTATTCTCACTCACTCAGATGCTTTTGATGATTCAATGGGGCAGAGCTGCAGATCGGATAGGAAGGAAACCAGTGCTAATTTTCTCTTTGGTTGGAGTTGCTATTGGCACGGCTCTGTTCGGGTTGAGCAAGAGAATATGGCAAATGATATTCTTCCGCTGTTTCGCTGGCGTTTTTGCAGGTACTCTTGTGTATGCATCTTCTTATTCGAGAGTTTGGGAGAGCTGGAGCTAATGTGACTTCTAGAACTGTAAGGACGATGCTTACCGAGAATAGCACGCCCAAAACCCAGGCGAGAGTATTCAGCTTTTTTGCCTTCAGTGGAAACCTTGGGATTTTTCTTGGACCTTTAATAGGTAAGCATTTATATTTTGCTCATAGTTTTGGCTAACAATTATTAGGCGGTATCCTACAGGATCCAGCCGGGCAGTACGGGGGAATTTTCAAACGTATATGGTTCTTCAAGGAATTCCCATATGCACTTCCCACCTTTGCCAATGGGTCCATAGCGATAGTAGCTGTTGTACTTCTTGTGTTTCTCCTCAAGGAGGTTGGTCTCTACCAGATATTGTCGACACCTGACTGACGTGACATAGACTTTGAAACGAGAAAATAAAGACGAGGCTGCTGGAGCTCCCCCACCAATGACCACCTGGGAGATTATCAAGTCGCCTGGGGTAGCTGTCGTTCTATTTCTATACGGACACGTTATGCTTCTTGGTATCGCGTTCACAGCAAGTATGTCTCTGTCACAGTAACCTATTTTGCTACCATGCACTAATAATCACTGTTAGTCACGCCACTATGGTGGTACACCAGCGTTGAGAATGGTGGCTGCGGTTTTACGCCAATCCAGATCTCAGCATTCATCAGCATAGTCGGGATTGCTCAAGCGACATGGCTGCTAGCAATCTTTCCGCCACTTCAAAACAAGTTCGGCACAGGTGCTATCCTCCGCGGAAGTCTTTACGCTTGGCCGTTCTTCTTTATGGTGTGTCCATTTTGCAACTGGTTGCTTAGAAAAGAATGGAGAACTGCTTTCTGGATCGTTGCTCTTACCTCGCAAATATGCGGTAGCGGTGTCGCGATGGCTTTTAGTAAGTGATAAGTGACCGTCCTCCACACATTCATCTCTCAAACATCTATCTGCACTGCTATTGTACTGACCAAGTACTTAGCTGGTGTCCAACTTGCGCTTAACGACATTTCACCCTCTGCTCAAACACTAGGAACACTGAACGCTGTTGCTTTGACTCTAGTCTCTGGCATACGCGCTATAACACCCACATTATTTACAAGCATTTTTGCTATTGGCGCGCGCACACAGATACTTGATGGCTACCTCGTTTGGGTGATTCTCATTGGAACCGCACTCTTGGGAAGTATCACCGTGAGATATTTGCCTGAGAAGGCCGAAGGGATATTGAAGAAAAGTACCCGTGTCGCAGATGAGAGCTAAAATGTTTTTTCTACCCAGAAAGACAAAGCTCGTTGTTGGGGACGATGCTTAGCATGTTTTCATGGAGTGAAGAAGGCCATCGCAAAACCAGCAGCACGAACCTACTACTAGGGTCGGGCAATCTCCTGTAACTGTGATCAAACAACATAGGTCATATATATTATCGCCAGATACAGTTCCGATGCTCGCGAGGGCTGAATCTTAGACTAGAACGATAAATTAATTTAAATGCGATCTGATACAGATTAGTACATAGACAACATAGCATAATATATGGTGCTGATATTTGCAGAACCAGAGGAGCTATGCATTATTTGACTTTTGCGAAAGAACAGTTCAACTTGCTTTTTTGACTTGAAGAGTGGTATTGATCTCTTCCTAGCCCACAATGGTCCTGTTGGGAACTAGTAGGCATGTCGCTCGTCGGAAAAGAAACTGAGTGAAATCTCTCAAGTCTACTCTACGAATACACTACTGCTGTTCTCATCTGGTGCCTAGATGCTGGGCCTCCCCTTCCATGTAAGGACACAGACGTCATAGAGTCCTCCAAGACGATTGCTTAATTTTCGATACCCTAGAAAGATCAAACTTCCCGGGATTTCATCTACGAGACTACGACTGATGAGCAGCTCCGAAGTATTACTGGTCTGAGTCGACATAAGTCAAGGGACGGGCGGTGCCTGCATCTGTGCCAAGTTGAATCTGGGTTTCCAACCGTTGGTATCTACTCATGTCGCCAGGAGATACTTTGAAGAATAAATGCGGCTTGTAAAGTCTGCCTCTCACTCTATTCTAGTATCAAAAATAGTTGTAGATCTTGAGCGTTCGGACTTTAGCATGATCTCAATATTGCACCCCTAAAATGTCTCCTTCAAGCGAGATCCACCCCGCATTCACCAGGACATCTCATTGGTTGGCCCGGAAACATTAACAATCAGTATGGACCCTTTGGGTAAACCACATCTAAACAAGCTTTCGACCGGCCCATTGTTCGCGCTAGCCGCTAATTTGACTGGACATTAATCTAAAAGTAGTTCCCTGCATGTAATTAGCTCGATGTGGAATTCGACGACGACCCCTCACAAAGGAGAGTATATGAAAGAATAACCCCGCAGCAAGCAAACACACTCCAACAACCTCATCTCACGATCATGTCGGAAAAGAAATTCCCGTCTTCGTTTCTCCCTCGTGGCGATGCTGCGAAGAGACCTTCTCCTTTAGGAACTGCTGTCTTCGTTGGTCTGCGTACAGTAGATATATTCATTCAATATGGCATTCTCGCCAATCACCTCGCGAGCCCTCTTCTAGACCTCATCGGCGTCGAGCACATTTCCTCCTTCGAAAGCCCCGGCCCAGCAGCTGTTGCTTTCGGTCTTCCACTCAAACCTCTAATAATCCTAGGCATGGCAGTCGGAACGGCGATAAAACAAAATTATTGGGTTTTGAGTCTTTCCAACGAAGAGATGCCGGTTGGGAATGCAATCAGTATCAGTCTCTTCAACACGATTTTCAACTCTGTAAACACGATTCTATCTTTGACCGCTGCGTCCCATTACCTAACTGGCTCTTCGTTCTGGGAAAATCCAATCGAGGTCACGCCTCTCTTCCTGTTCTTCACAGCAACCTACACCGCTGGAACACTTGTTGAAGTCGGCGCTGAGATTCAGAGAAAATACTTCAAGCAAGACCCAAAGAATAAAGGAAAGCCATTTACTGGCGGACTATTTGGGTTGGCCAGACACATTAACTATGGAGCTTACACTGTTATGCGAGCCAGTTATGCTTTTGCCTGTGGTGGATGGGTCCCTGGAATTTTGGTCGCTGGCTTTTTCGGGTACGATTTCGCCAGAAGGGGCATTCCGGTTCTTGATGATTATTGCAGTAAACGAGTAAGTCATGAGCTATATATCTAACTTAAAAGGTGCTAACTTTTGGATAGTACGGAGATGACTGGAAGAAGTATAAGCAAGAGGTGAAATGGCAATTACTTCCTGGTATCTACTGAAGAACCCAAGGATTTAGAGGATTTAGAGATGTGAGTGTGTTTTCTGCGGGACGGGAACGGTGTTGGTAATTTAGGGTATACAAGCATGGGGTCATTTAAGCAATAGGCATATACTTCTTACCATCTCCACGCGCTCCAGTGTCATATCCCTGCCCCTGATTATGTGCATAGCCAGTTTCCATGGCCATGTTCTCCCGGATCTGGTTAATCCTTTTCTTGTGCGATGCTCGACGGGTCATCATGACAAGTGACACAAAGCTAAGAAGGTAGACAACTGCCTCGACAATAGTGACATACCATGTCCCTTGCTGTGTCTAGTTAGCACTGTTTCAATTCATTCGAGGCTGTGAGGATAATCACCTGCATATTACACAACTTCCCAAAATTGACAAAACTTTGGACTTGTTCTTGAATAGCATCTGCCGTCGCGCTACATGTATATCCCCAGATATCCTCTCCATTTCTCAGAGCTCTGAAAACTCCTGCCACAGTAGCCCATGCGATAAGGTGTGCTAGCATAACCACATATCCAAAGACACTCGTCACGCTGCTAATCTTGTTGGCAGTCTTGACGCCGCTGCAACAGTACGAAATAAGAGTCGAAAGATTAAGGACGAATGTAATTGTTGCGATAGCGAGAACCATAATCGAAGGCCAGATGACAGTGCCTTGATTCCATGCGGATTGACCTCCTGCTTTGGAATTCTTCGTCGTGAAGTATTTGTAAAGGGAGAAGGACATGGTGCCCATCATTGCCACGTTAAGGATGAGTGTGATGAATCGAGATATGAAACGTAAAATTCTTATCTGCTTCTTGTATGCCTGATGTTGATGTCAGCTTCCTGTCCTTCTTGATCAGGGTTAGTATCTCATCATTTTTGACCGACATACCAGATCTTTTTTTTCGTAATCAGGAAGTGAGTAGGACGGTTCAGGATGTTCCATACCCCGTAATGGCTCAACACTTTTTACCGACACGTTGACGCTGCCTCGCTTCTTATTCTTGTTCCAAAAGGCCATGATTGCGACCGAATCGTGAGTAGAACAATAATGAGCAGCTTCGCGTTCTGGAATATTAATTCTCGTGCACAGGTCCTGGACGATAAGTACCTAACAATAACGACAAGGAACTTTAATTGTTCAAAACCGAGAGAAACAATAGAAGAGAACACGGGAAAGTAGAGAGACTTTATCCCAATCGCGATTGTCTTTCCCTGCCGTGGGCTGCGACATTGTCGAAAGCTTATTAGCTGTCATAACTTAAAAGGCTGATTCTAGACACGCACTATTGGCAGTCTAATGCACTCGATACCACATTTAGGGCTGAGGAAAGAGCCATGATTTGTTTTTGAGGCTTAAGGCTGAACTATGGCGTTGCTGAAAGGTGATGTGGGGCGAGTACCTCGACCAGTGTTAGATGAGCACGCTCTGGTTTTCAATTTAATGGCGTGTGCTCTTCAACGTTTCTCGGCATCACCGTTCCTCAAATGAGACAGAGGTGTGCTACGAAATGATATAATATGGTGCATTGCTTCGTGATCTTGTTTCCTTCTCATTCACCCATTAGCAGCTCTCGATTCAGCGAGAAAGACTTGCGGCAGGCAGCAGATTCAACTGGAAGTACTAAGAAAGAAACGTATGTATAGAGATACTTCCGCATCAATAGATATATAACAGATATATAGCATGCGTCTATCAGGAGCCAATGAGGCTGAATCTTAGGTTTTGACTGCTTGAGCAGAGACGATTTGAGTCCTGTTATCTGCTTAATCTGCACTCATGAATTGAATGTCCAACATCTGTGACATCTGCAGTTTTCCCTATGAGCCCAAGCGAATCTAAACATTTGCCGCTCTCTGTGTTGCCGCTAATTTTTTCTTGGTTTGAAAGCTTGCGACTGACGTCTCGCTTAGCATTATATGTTTGATCTACCGTGAAAGTCTGAATCTAAAAGATCTTGTCGATAAAACCAAGCACACAGAAGGCTTCGAATTATTGGCTTGTAAATGAGTCTCACGTATATGGAGCTAGCTCTGAATCGAACAGTAAAAACTCCGCACTAGTGTCTGTATTCACCGTCGAATTTGTGGTAGGCGGAGTGAGCATGGAGCCGAAAGCATCTTCAAAGCTTGTACCTTCAATGAATGAATCCCACATCGCCTAGTTGAAAATAGTCAGCAGTGTATCAACAACACGAATCTCTTGAACGCCTTACCCAGTCGATATTCATCGTATCCAGCGGCACTTCGTTCTCTAATCCGATAATCCCTTGCGAAATCTCGTTGGAAAGGGAAAGGGCACTTGTAGCGGGTACCTCTGGAATTTGGGGATTCTCCACGGTTTGAATGATTCCAAGCATGTCAAGCATATGAGCCAAGACACGGTATACTTTCTGAGCATCCGGCACACTTTCTTGCGCATAGTCCCATATTCTGAAAGCCCTCTGTAAAGCAGCAATGATCTGTTCGTCACTGAAATCTGTCCCTGATAGTTGCGTTCCGTTAGCTGCTTCCGCGACTCTTCGATGTCTAAGATCTAAAGCCAATATCATAGACCCAGTAATGAAGTCCTGGCTTGTAAAACAAAAGCGATACCAATGTCGTGTAAAATGTATATGTTCACCCACTTCTCCCTTGGCTTCCTGGTACAACAGATCTTGAATTGACAACAGGGCCATCGCGGATCGAATGCATCGATTCCGAGATGGTTGGAACCGTCTTTCCAATCTACCCTGTGCCACAAATTTGCGATGGAGAACACACATCGCTTGATGAAACAGAATTTCGAGCTGGAACCTGCGACTAATTAAAGTCAGTGGATCCCCTTTCGAGTCTTCCAAAGAGCGCATTTGAAGATAGGCAGGCATCTCGGCCTGTGCTCTTGAGAGCTCATCATCCAATCTTAGAACCTCCTCGTAAGAATAGGGTTTGAGAGAACTGAGCAGATCGACTATTCCACCAATAGCTTTAAGGAGGATATCCTTGGCAAGCAAATAAGATACAGGCGTTATCTCTGTCCTCGGCCTCGACGACGGTAAATCTGTCATATTCTCATACAATTCCCAATCGTAAATGTTTCGTGGCTCTTGGATATCATGAGTTTCAGCTCTGACCATACTTGGAAGACCCATTTGAAAGGAAAATATGGCATCTAGTCGAATTATGCAGAGCCATATTCGACGTCTAAGTTCGCCCTGCAGAAGCGATATATTTGGATATTGTGATGGATCCCTGGGAATCATCATTAGTTGTGATTCTTGGTGCAATAGCACGCCGCACCTATGATAGCCCATTTGCAAAGCAATTCGCGTGACCATTCCCCATAATATCCAAACCCCTCCGCCGGAATCACTCTTGCGAGCGACCTCCCCAAAAGTGTGGTAGAGTAATGCTTCAATCGTGTGAGGAGCACATGCTGTTATGTCGCCTAGAGTAAGACATTGAGCTGTTCTGAGGCGATAAAGTTCGTACATTTGCTCCGAGATACCTTCATATTCGGGAGGCTCGTCCTCTATGAGATGATAGGATAACACGACAAGACCCATGATACCAAACAGTAGAGCGATCCACATGGTCCTTGTCTCATTTGGATTCTGCCAGTGTTCTTCATACTAGATAATTACGGTTAGCCCTGTTGAATCAGAACAAAAATTGCGTATCAAGTACCTGTTGCATAAAGGTAGGTCTGTGCAGGATATCTGTAGTATGTTAGCGCCTTTTGCCAGAGTAGTTCGAGAACACATACGAAGTGTAGGAACAGGCGATTCGTCATTGTCCCAGAATCTGTCCAACAGTTTGTCAACGGCAGCCCTGTCTGGTATTGTGGCTAAGATTTCTTCGAGTGAGGCCGGCTTATATTGTCGCAGCAACATAGGTGGTCCAGTGGTGTACGAACCAGAAGACGAAGTATGAAGCTTCAGTAGATTACCCGAATCCTGATCTTTTTGTACTTGACTCCATAATGTCTTAAGGTCAGATATCTAACATTCCCGTTAGTGGAAGTACCATAACGAAGATCCCATAATCATTTCCATGGACTCACTTCCTGGAAGACATCACCCCAATGAGTAGTGCCTCTGTATAATGTATGGTTTTCGTCGACATTCAATACTCCCGAGCCGTGGCTAATCTCTGGCTTGAACTCAGTAGGGTCTTTGACTGTACAGAGAGATGTCCCGCCAATGGGAGACGGTCTATTGATCTTCGGCTGTACCGATCGGTATGCAAGATCACCAGATTTTTGACTTTGAGAAGCAAGACTTGTAACAAGAATTTCTAAGCGATCAATCCTTTCCTGCATGCTTTCTGCGTGCTTGGGTTTGATTGTGTCAGAAACAGCTGCAGGCTTGGGACCTCGAGAGCATGTGTATACGCATGACTGTGGCTCTTTCCTGACCATACAGTTCTGGCATGGCTCTTCGCGATTACATTTCAATCTTAGTTTCCGTATCAGCATTCACAACGTAGGACGAATAGGGGAAGGAGAAATAGGCGAGATACTTCCGAGTCCGACAGGGTCCGCACGACAAGGGAGTGCGTACGTTTCTGCTCTCCTTTCGTTTTTGCTGCCTCGTGGCAAGAGAAGATACTGAAGCCGCGGATAAGGTAGCTTCCATTATGATCTTGATCGCGGAGACATGTCAGTATGGTTGTAAATGCCGGCCGTTGAGAAGGAATAGGCTGGATCGTAATCACGTGAGAATCCGCTTGATGCCTTGTCCGCGGATCGAGGCCTGAGCAGGCGAGAATGATCCACTCTTTCTTAACGACATCAATCCATGGGAAGTATCAAAATATCGCTGGAAGAGAAGTCGATACAAGAAATACTGTTTAGCAGCTGTACTTCTCAAATCAATGGCTTGAAGTAACATCTACTGAGCTGTAAGGAAGTAGCCTCACACTTATCCCTGTCTTTGTTCCCATTCAAAGATATCCTCTACCTACAGGAGTACAATTCGCATCACAAATTATTATCTCTTGATGATGCGAAAGACTACGTCTCTCTTTAAGAATCGAGGAATGGCCTACGTCAGCAGCAATTCAAAGCTTGTTCTCTTTGATTAAGTACCTACCAGCTTGTGAAACAGGTTTGTTGACTGTGACAAGGGCCGGGAGCAGAAAAATGTTGAAGCAAGATGGGTCGAGATTCTGATTGCAATGATACATCACGGGCATGGAGGTTGTTGCAAACCTCTCCACCAAGACTTTCGTTTGTTCTGATATTCCAATGTTCCACGAGCTACGCGGTCCATCTACCACTAATATCCTAAAGCTCAACAATAGCTTAAACTAAGATGCTTTGCACCGGAAAGGGCACCAGCACTCCAAAAACTTCTCAGCCTCAACACAAGCACAGCTGCTGTACCCATATCTCTCACCACCATACTCCCACACAGGACTCTCCCAAGATCCCCAGTTTCCGGGTGTCGTCACAAATTTAGTGCTTAATTTCAGCGGCTCTTCGCTGCTTGATCCCCATAAAGGGATGACTTCATTCGAATGACGAGGTTCGTTGGAAGAGCTTCCCCATGGAACGCAGGTTGGCGAGTAGATGGTAGCCTTGGAGTAAGCAGGAACCTTTTCGAGTTGACTGGATGCTGGACCTCCTGTATTGGTTTCCCATGACAACATGCAGAGATCGGGATCATCTAAAGGTTTGCAATGCAAGATTGCATTCGTACAGCTTGCGAGGAGTAATACGAGGATCGGAGCCGTGGCTTTAAAGTTGATCAGCATTATGCTTATTTTGTTGGCAAGTTGCTGAAAGTGATTTTGTTGATGATGGAAGTTTTGAGAATATTGGATACGGAGACTACAGGTCAGATAAATAGACGAAAATATGAAAAAGAATGAATCAGTGACGTGAAAGAACTTCTCCAACAGTTTACTGAATCCGCAGATAGGCAAGTTGAGGAGCTGAAATTTCAGACTCTAGAGCTGTACGATTCAATCTCTGACTAGTCCGGCGCAGTACACCTTTTTCACCATTCATGCCATTCAAGCAAAGCGTTGAATGTACGCAAATTCTACAACCCTTTGAAAAGAAAAGAGAAGAGGAGGATTTAGGCAGAGTTTGGTTGATGAATAATTGGTACCTTTGCTGCCATTAACACCATATCAAATAAGATAGGTGAAGATAACAGTCTTGTCCCGAGTTCATTGGAAGAATAATATCGCTTAGCATAATGGGCCCTTGGAGACATTATTATGTTGCATCGTTGTGTTATCAAGTATCTTACTCCTCCAAGTATGTTCCACCTTCTGGGCTAATTAATTTATCCACAAATCACTTGCCTCGAAGCCGACTCTGAACGTGATTTGGAATTCCAATCCAAAAGAAGTAGCTCTTCAGCCACTCACGAAGGACAAAAATCAGCAAAGGTGTAGAATTCCAAGGCAGCAAAAGCATCAAGCGGCGAGTGGAAAACAAAAGGTCGCCGCAACGGACATGAAACCCAATCAAGAAAGAGATATCAAAAATGCCGTAATAATCACGCCAAAAAACAAGTGCCGTTATTTTTCTGTGTGACATATGTTTGACAGCCGCCGCGACAAGACGTTTTGCCACCAGCTAGGGGGTTGATTCTCGGAGAAATGTCCGAACACGCCCCTCCAACCCCGCCAAATCGTCACCAGCGGTTGACTTCTTGTCAGCGTGAAAGAACGCCGAGTGTCCGAATTGAGGCCATACATTCTTGCATCGTGCATCGATAATTGCTGACCGATCAGAGAGAAATGTATGATAGGTTGATGTATTAACAGGTGGAGTAATTACCCATGATCGCATTTACAATGACGTATGGGGAATCCTGGTACATTATTTTCGAATGCCATATGCTCGACTATGGGATTGTACAAAAGGTGTCTTAAAGATCATCAAACCTTCCAATAATCGAAACAATTCATCCATTGACCTGTACCTGAAAACCACCCTTTAGCCTTATCCAACCAAAACTAAAAACTTTCAAAATAACCGCAAACATGGTTGACAAATCCAATTTTACACCGCCGGGTATCACTACGACGGCCGCCAACCAGGCTCAGAAGGCAATGGGAGACAGACCAACCACTACAACCAATGAGCCAAATTTTCGCGACGGAGAGTCTCAGCTTACCCTTCAGTGGTACGGCAACAAGGGTATGTATTTCTCACTCGAAAGTGGTTTTTCTCAGATATTGATTGACATTGCTAGATGTTCGCGTCAAGGAATCTGGTGTTCCAGCTATCACAGAACCAACCGATGTAATTGTTAAAGTTACTGGTACCACAGTATGTGGCTCCGATTTACATTTGTACCACAAGGAGATCATGCAGTAAGCAGAGCCACAAGCTTAACGTTCCAGCTGTAAATATTGCTAACGATACATATCTAGACTGCAGCGTGGTGATATTCTAGGACACGAATGGATGGGGATAGTCGACGAAGTCGGATCTGCAATCACAAATGTCAAGAAGGGCGATCGTGTTGTTGCTTCTTTCCAAATTGCGTAAGTACACACCAATCACTACAGATATGGGATGAGACTAATACCTATTATAGATGCGGGACATGTAAATTCTGCAAAGAGGGTTTGTCATCCATGTGCGACAAGACCAACTCATCTTCAGTACAAGAAAAGCTATACGGCAAGCCATTTGCTGGTCTCTTCGGATATAGTCACTTCGCAGGTGGCTTTGCTGGAGGACAGGCCGAATGGGTCCGCTGCCCATATGGTGATACCAACTTGTTGAAAATTCCCGACAGCGTTCCAGATGAGAAAGCACTTTATCTTTCTGATATCATCCCTACTTCCTACCACTCGACGGTATGTGCCGACGTCAAAGAAGGGAAGAGTGTTGCCATTTGGGGTGCCGGCCCAATTGGACTTCTCGCGGCGAAATGGTGTAAACTTGCTAAGGCCTCAAGAGTTATTGTCATTGACAATGTACCTGAGCGTTTAGCTTTGGCTCGTGACACAATCGGTACGGATGTTATCAACTTCGATGAGGAGAAGGATGTTGTCTCTGCTATTTACAAGTTGGAGCCCGACGGAGTTGATTGTGGAATTGACGCGGCCGCGTTCAGATACACAAAGGGAATCCTTCACACTGTCCAAAGAGCTGTCGGACTGGAGACAGACTCTTCTGAAATCGTTAACGAAGCTTTACGAGCAGTCCGAAAGTTTGGTACCATCTCCTTGGTTGCTGATTATGCAGCCCTTACAAACCAGTTTCTGATCGGTGCCCTTATGGAGAAGGGAATAACTCTCCGAGGAACAGGCCAAGCACCAGTCCAGAAGTACTGGCATGAGTTGTTGGAGAAGATTGAGAGCGGAGAGTTCGACCCTACAATCATCCTCTCGCATCGTTTCAGCATTGAAGAGTTTAGCGAGCTGTACGAAGCATTCGACAAGAAAGAGATGGGTATCATGAAGACTTTCGTCCAGACGAAGTTCTCTGGTCCACCAGCACCTGGCACGCCTCCGTTGTCCAGCCTCAGGGCAAAAGATGTTAAGCCTTCTGCCGTTGTCTAAATCGGACACGTCTTTCGTCGCAATCGAGTTGCTTCGGGTGATTGCAGGCAACTAGAATAGCGCGCATTTTCATTGAATATAATCGAGATACCACTTCCAAGAATAATTGTACTTTGTGTGCTCATCACACCCGTAAACTTATTGTGCGATTTTTGTGACATGGTATTTGTATGTCTAATCCCACTCATCATCGTCCTCCACAGTTGCGCTTTTCTTGCTCCCTCGTATGCCTCCCTTCTCCCTTTTCTCCTCTTCTAGATCTTCCGCATCTCGTCTGCGCCTCGTCACCCTCATGTCATTGTCTTTGATAGCACCAATCTCAATCAAAAGATTGTCGATAGCCGACATACCCATTCTGACTCCTCCCATTGTCATGAGTGTCACTACTTGCTTCACAATATCGCCGTTGTTGTAGATCAAGATCGTTGGACAATTCCTATCCGGATATCCCTCAATGGCCATATCTCCTCTGATCTGGCAGAACTTAATCTCCCCGAACTCAGCTGCTGCCTGCCTCCATAATTCTGTTAAGATCCTGCTTTCCACATTTGTTCCCAAGCCACTCGTAAGATTTACCAACACCGGACCATTCGCGCTCGCATCCGTTACTTCACGAGAGTAGTCTGGCTTCGATAATGGATATACAGTTCCATGTACAGCTTTTTTGGTGAGAGAGGCTAGCTCCTGAACTCGTTGTTGTCGGTACTGTTCCAAGAAATTCTCATCCTCCAGATCCTCAAGCTCGTCTAGCTCATCAATATCCTTTCCTTCCAATCTATTCTCATGTGCGAGACGGCGCCCCTCGATAATCGCTTCCTCGATCAGCGGTGATGGGGAGGGAGGTTTCTCAGGGATTACACCATGCTTTCGTAGAATATCGTTCCTGTATTTATGTAAGACTAAATATTGTTTAGAAAACAGCCGATTTACCACTCAGTATCGGCATTTGGGTCATCTATTGGAACGTTAATACGTTCATCCATAGGAGCCGCCATCTTTGTAAGTTGATGAAGCTGTCGTAATCATATTGAGTCCCCAAAGTTGCCTGGGAGAAGCATGACCCTGAGTGTACCTGGAGGGGCATCTCGGAGTATCGCCGGCCACCGGCATCACAGCCGTTGAGCTCCCGCCTCGAAGTGAATCGAGTCAGTGCCACGTGACCCACAGTCATTTTCGATTTCTTCGCTAGCTTAGCTCTAGATATTGCCCCATCCAGCGTCCCCTCTTCGAACCTTTTCTGCTTCCCAGTAACGACAACGACTGACACTCGCCATCTACGTCTTCAACAATCTCGATACCGACGAAAGACCACGTCAGTCAAATCGAATAATAAAAACAAAAATCACAAACCGACAAGATGGTAAGGAACTCCCCTTTGCCTTCCCTTGGATACGTTGCGGCATGCGGTGAAGGAGATTCGGCACACGACCGAGGCACGATCAACCTAAAAAAGTTCTCAAAATGATGGAGATTGATGGGAGGAAATATACCTGAACGAATGAGATGGGTCGTGAGACACAATTTGGGATTTGGATGGGTTGCGAGATGATTGCGAGATGATAAAATTTGGAAGAATATACGCTAATGAGGTGCTGCCTGTTTAGGTTCTCGCAGTCGATCTTCTCAACCCAACTCCAGCGGCGGAGGCTCGCAAGCACAAACTTAAGGTATGCATCAAACCAATTCCGACAGCAATTGTGTGAAGAAAATAAGAAGCTGACTTTTGCCACCCATAGACCCTCGTTCCAGCTCCACGATCATTCTTCATGGATGTCAAGTGCCCCGGCTGCTTCACCATCACAACCGTATTCTCTCACGCACAAACCGTCGTTATCTGCGCCGGATGCTCAACCGTCCTCTGCCAGCCTACCGGTGGAAAGGCTCGTTTGACTGAGGGCTGCTCATTCCGAAGAAAGTAGACTTTTCGTCTGTCTGCTTTCTTTTCCTCGTTCCGGTTATGCATTCACGTCTTCGATATGAGAGTTTAGATTCTTTCTGCGCATATATTTGACGGATAGAAGATGGACATCAACCAAAATTCCTAGCAGCAAAAAGGGCGTTTGGGACATCCGGATATCTTGCATCAAATTCTTTCCTTGTCGTGTGTACCGTGGCGGTGGGGGTTTCTCGATGTGCGAATAACAACTTGCATGGGAACGGCGGAGGGCGATACACCACATCAGCGTTTATGATTTGGTTCGCTTTTGGTGGATCAATCTTTGATGCGAGGACGTGGTCTGCTTGTTCGAGGAATGCTACATACCCATGCAGTAGATATTGGGGATTGTGCTTTACGAAAATAAGAAAACCACAGAAATCTTGTCTTGTCTTTCTCAAATGTGACATGATCAAAACGGAAAAATTCGTCTTCTAGAAATCTGTGTTTTATGTTGCAGATTGTCGGGACGTCTAATTATCAACCTTCATGTGGTAATCAACAGCAAGAGTTTCGCTTTTGTGATGTATAATAGTATTTGAGCTGTGATGATGAGATTTGTCAAGTCTTCTCTGGAACTAAGACATTGTTTAACATTTTTTATCTTATGCCTAGTGTCCTATTGATACTAATAAAGAATACGTCCAATGTTGACCGGTAGTTGGCATACGGCAACTTAGGCGTTTGTTTTTCGGCTCATATTTATACCTGTTCTTATGAGGTCTGTCTAACTAATACCATCCTGGAATCTAATCGATTAGATACGCACTTACCATTCGAGTTTCCGGGTACTCAATGTCCATAAGGCTGAATCAATATCCTCAAGTGAATATCTACATGTCGAAAAAAAGCTGGCTCAAGAGAAATATTGCCTACGCCCCAGAAATTGGTAAATTCGTCTAGTATTGAATTGGTTGGTACACCCATGCCTACCTGCTCGACACGAAACCCGCGCGCTCCTCACGCCAGGCGCGCGACAACCAATCCACCTCATTCACCCACCATCGACGACCTCAATTATCCACGCACAAAATCTTCATAACACGGCATAAACCCCACCAGGTATTCAAACGTCATAATTGATAGACTTGAACCGACATAGCTGAAGCTTGGAAGCAATTTGTCTGCAGCACTTGCACAACCGCAACCAAACCAACACCTTCATTTCCGCATAAGAACAAAGAGTAATTGAACATCTGACTGAGCAATGGCTCACCATCACCAAGCCAAACGCCCATACAATGGCTCTCAGCCAGCAATTACATCCTACTTCTCATCCAACGGAACCTACACACACTCCTCTTCACACGCCCCAGACACACGGCCCCAACCACCCGCAACCGTTCAATCAAACCTCCTCAGCGTAGGCATGCGAGTTCGCAAAAGCGTCCCGGGAGGCTACAAGACCGGCTCTCCCTATTCCTCCTTTGCTCTATTCTCCGACCCCTCAATCAAGAACCCAGAATCGCAGACCTCGTCACCTAAAATCAAGAAAGGGAGCCGGCCACGCGCAAGAGAACTCACGCCCTTCTGTGGGATCCTGAAAGTTGGGGGAATGGCCCAACAGGCATGGGGAATTTACAACCCGTCTGGCCACGGTCAGGAATACGACGAAGCGCACATGTCTACAGAAGAAGAAGACGAGGATGAATGTCCATTTCTAAGTCAAAGCTCTACGATTTCTTCATCTTCGGTTCAGACGCCCGTGGCCAAATACCCGATTTTTGGGAACCAGAATCCGGGGAATAAAAGAAGGTTTGATGAAGATGAAGTGGATGTTATGGTTCACCATTCAGGGTTTGGGGATCGTATTCTCGCGAAACCGAAGCGGAAGAAGGGGGAATTGAACACAAAGTTAGGGATCGGGCGTGTCCCCGTTATGGGATTTGGACAGGAGAACGGAGCTGGGGATTTTGAAGATGCTGAGTTTTTGGATTATGAACTTGCTGGAGAGGTGGAGATGGGTGGTGTATAAAATGCTTCTTGGGAAAAAATTCCTTTGGGAGGCTGTATAAAGTACATGGTCTGTATATTTGAATTGGTTGTTTGTTAGCGCATGGGCGTCGGGGATCAGTATGGTGTTCTGGTTAAAATAGGTATGGCTGGCATAGCGCTATCTGGTTGAGAGCGTTGGGTGGGATATCCAAAAGGCAAAAGCATGGTTGGTCTGCTCGAGTTTGTATATTGCATTGTTATAGGTCCGCAGGTATACGGTTACAGTCTTGGTTGACCACTCAATTGAGTAAACAGTGTGTAGTCACCAATATACAATTTCAACAAAATCTTAATTGCGGTTTACAAATTTCAATGATTCCGGGCTCGGGGGGGCCCTGGAGAAAGCAACGTGACATCCTGCAAGCTCTACTTCGCCTAGGTGAAGGCAACAGTTTAAATCTTGGATTGGAAACAGGTTCGCCGGAAAGACTCTTCCCGACAATGGCAAAGGGTAAAGTAGAGTAACTCGCTAGGCGTTGAAAGAGGGGATCGGTCAACGTGAGGGGTACCAGAAAGTTTTCTTGATGGTGGCTGAGTCGCTACACCTGATCAATCTACATTTACCCATCGACACTAAAGCATGAAGTCCATGAATTGAACAGGTTCCCGAGTTTGATCCGGTGAAGAATTAGTTGCATGTTGCTTTGTGGAAGCTGTGGTATAAACGAAAGCAAACGTCCCAAACCAAACCATGATATCCCGCCTAGTGAACTCACATAACACGCCCTCATGCGTAGATAAAATCCCTTATGTAGCTGATAGATGATGAGATATGCCAAACTCCTCCAATAGAGGTTGTGTCCACAACCCCGCCGTTTTCAATAGTACACCGTCCGTCCCTATACGCCTTGCCTTTACCCTATCATAGAAGTTCATCACTGCCGCTAGCGACGCTCTGCTCAATCGCTAAAAGGATTTCTCGTTCTTCGAACACAGGTCCTTGGCCATCGCATCGCACTACTCTTTTCAAACGATCACTCACATCACCAACGTCGACAAGACCTCGTTGGAAGAGGTCATGCTTGATGATATAATCCCATGTAGCCCCGGCTGCAAGAAGCCGTTCGCCACTCTCACTGGTGACAATTCGATGACTTGGAGTCTTGTTATCATGTCCAATTAGAACTTCCGAGTAGAAGTCCGTGGGCGAGAAGCTCATAGGCCCCGTGGCCTGGGGTGACTGAGAGCTGGTCCGCTGGGAGTGGTGAGACGTCGCCATCAGGATCTGATTCTCGGTCTCGGTCTTTTGCAATTGTAACTTGAGTCGCTCGTTCTCTTCGGCGACTGTCGCCGAGTTTTGCGTCAGAGCGGCCAGTTTCGCCTCGAGTTCTTTCACATGGCGTTCTTTGCGCTCGCGGAAGGCTCGTTGCCTAGCATGAAGTTAGGTCAGCTCGAACGATGGGAGGAGAAGAAAGCGTACGCTGCTCGATTCTGCGCCTTGCGCCGTGTCTGGGCGGGTGTCTTCTCGTCATCGTCACTGGGACTTTCGCGGCGTTCTTGGTCTTGGTAGTTGACGGGGTCAAACCCTCCTAAGGCCGGATTATTGTTAACCTGCTGCGTATGCTTCGGTAGCTGCTGAACCGGGGTGACGGGTGTTATTGACTTTGCTATAGGGAAATGCTGGTTGGCATACGGGTCGAATGTCTGGAAGTCATGGAACGTTGCTTCCTGAGCTTGAGTTAGGAATGACTGCAATGGGTGGAGCTGGTTACAAACTGGAGGAGAATTGTTGCTGTAGTCGTCAGAACCCATGGAGAGTGAGGGAGGGCCTGGGGGGGGTAACTGGTGGACTGGGAACCCATACTGCTGGGCTGAGGCTGAGAAATAGTTGTTGTTGAAGTCCATTTTGAATGAAGGCGGGGACGGTCAGGGCCGCGGGCCTCGCGAAGGTGTTGAAGTGGTGAGAACCGCGATGGTCTTGCTAGGCTCCGCCGTGCGCTTTGTGTTCGTCGACTCTCTTCGAATATTGCTGCTGCTGTATTGCTGTATCATCAAATAGAAGCCGTTTACATGCGAACGCGATCGATTTATATGCCGAAACTCTGGTGATGTCGGAGGTGAAGAACAGAAGGCTCAAAGACGCTAGTGCTGTCGATAAGCCTTTTACAGGCGGGACACCAGGGAGGGCCAGAGACTTCTACAGTAGGGATTACACACACCCCTCTCGCCTCTCGTGGCATTATTTGCCAGCGCTTAAACTGGCATGTCATGTCAGACAGTCAGACTATTCCGTGCAGTTTCCACACAAACTTCTTCCATTTGAATTCTCACTGCATCTGCTGCGGCAACAGAAGCCTTCTCTTTAGTGGTACGCTTGACGTTTGCCCAACTTCCCCCCATTCCGTGCCTTATAGGAACATGCCAAGTCTGGCCCTGGATTTTTTCCACCTGATAAATCATAATCCTGACTGTCTTGGCTCACGTTGCAGATCATATTTCAAGCTCCTGGACGATTTCTCTCAGCAAAAGTGGTTCAAGGTCAGCATCAACAGCATCAACAACCCAGGGCTGAGAACCCAAGAAGAGTTGTGACGTGAGACTCGGCAAACCCTTTCTGGACTTCCTTTTCCGAGCATTGCAAGCGCTTCCTACGAGTGTTGATGGTAGCAGGCGAATCTGGGTACAATTTGTGCAGAAGAACGATGAAGACAATTGGATTTGTGTTCTTCCGCATAGGCGGCTTCCTGTGAAGCTTCAAGCATGTTCCTTTTCTATTTCAGCCTGTTGGGCTCGCGAACTGTCATTAATAAGCGTTTCGGAAGCGAGGTACTATTCTCGAGTTGGAAAAACATTTTATTCTGCGTTGCTTAAATTTGGTTGATACTGTATTAAGTTTGAGCGGTGACGCTGTCACTCAAGGAATGCAAGTGAGCGCGGCAGACGCACGCCAGCATCGCAAAGTTATCCTTACTCGTGCTCCATGCCCTTTTCTGTATCGTCTCATGGGAGTTTCGCTGTGTGATTCGCGCCCTGACACGCCTAAATTTAGGCGACTTGAAGTTTGGAGAACTACTCCGCGCCCGCTGGGCTTATGCCATTTATAAAATATCACTGATGTTAAGAGGCACCTGTCCAACGTTTCTCGGCGTTTACTTGCGTCTTGAATGGGTGGAGTCGTTTTCTGGTGGAGTTTCTGGTATCTGGCATTTGGTGCTCTGAAATCAAGTTGACTGAGTAGCTCCGCTGTGAACAAATTGTTCATTGAGTTATCCCCCGTTATGGTCAGGATCAAAAGATGGCAACTCCCGTCCCAAGCTGCTGTTATTTGACTGGGCCCATGAAACGAAGGAAGGCTGCGTGCCACCTCCTCGCTTGAGAAGCACAGAGTAGTATATCGAAAACCGATCAGGTGATGCATAATTCGATGCTGGGCTCCAGCCCTGAAGTTGCACCATCATGTTGTGCTACTACATTGCATGGCACCTGGTTGTTGGGGCATTGAATGCACCCGAAGTTGCCATATTCTTTTCCTCCTATTGTTCTTCACAGCCATGGCTCATAGAAACCTTCAAAGCCGGTTTTCATATGTGTATACGAAAGCTTTCTTTCGGCCCTCATACAGAGATGGGGTGTTATTTTCCCCTTTTAAGCAATAACGCCTTCTAAGTATGTAATGCGTTCGAAACGAGAAATTAAATGCCGACCTTGTACTCTCTTGCCGGCACTGGGTTGCAAGGAGACTCTGGAACTCTCCTTAGACTGGGGTGGCTTGACGTCTGAGACGGGATTTCTAATTCTTGCTACGAACTTCTAGGAATTTGTATGAGGTACTCCGCGGTTGTGGGACAAACACAGAATATACCGTGACGGACACGTGGATATTGTCTCCGACGTAGCATTGCAGATATGCAGAGACGCTCCCATATACAGCCACCAATAGACTCTTTGAAAGACGCTCAGGCTGACCATCGCCGATTGTTTCCCAAATAACGCATAAAGCACCAAGAACCACCGATGTCGCCAGCAAAGGAAACCAAGGCGTTAACATTCTTTACTGAGGATACCTAGGCGTGTGGCCGCTCAGTAGACGCAGTGATGTTTCCGTGGGAGTCGTGGACGGATTTGAGGTGTTTACTCCCCAGTGTTCGGGGCGTTTGGAGCAGCGGAGCTTGTGTAACATACAACCGAGGATGGGCATATGCCACGGCTCTGGATTTGGAATTTTCTGTAACTTCAGTGTGGGCAGAGCTATCATTGGGTAGAATACGAAAGGGGCCTTTATTTATTTCATACCTCTAATTGACATATGAAACATCTAAAAGTGTTTATACTGTTTGTTAGGAACAATCATGCTCGGGTGGGAAGAAAACTACAATGTGGGACAAAATATCAGTCAAGTATCAGAGGCGTAGACGCTTCGTTAAGTCAGCATTGATTGCCAGTTTACAGTAGCCAGACAGTAAATGCAGGTAACTATTCGTCGCTCTTGAAAAATTAAACAACCAATATCTATTTACCAAGAAGGAACAATAGTAAACACATCATTAGGCTGAAGTGAAGAGTGGTAAATTCTTGATCCACTCGCTTATTTCATTGCTGGTATATATTTGCAAACAGCACTGTCTTCACCCAATCACAGAACAGCCTCTGAATTGGTCGTGAACAGCCTCCGAATTGGTGTAGGGGTCAACATTTCTGGTTTTCACGATTCACGGTCCACCGTCGTCTGAAAATTCCAGGAGCCACGGGTTCGATTCCCGTATTCGGAATTCACTACTTGTTCACTGGTAAATTAGTAATTCTTCAATTTTTGTCATAATCGGATGGTTTTTTTTTGCATTGTTTTTTAAACAAAGATTTCTTTTGGCGAGGTGATGGGATGACTGTGAGGAAAAAGTGGGGGAAAAAGCTACTAACAATGGACTAAGGCTTTGAGCAAAATTGTGAATTCACTGTGGTTACAGATTTGTTGCACGAATTTTCAGGCGAAAAGGTGCTGAATTGTGCAACGAATCTCGACGATTTCAATACTACTTGGCCGGGTTTTTCATGAGCGCCGCTGACAACCTGATTTCCTAGCCGAAGGAACACCAAAATCGTGATAATCAACCGACTTAGATCATTTATACCTAATTACGTTTAAACCAGAATACTCTCAAATAAACTCTACGGTAATTTGATACCTTTTCTTACTTTAAGCTAAATTGGAATTCTAGTTACTATTACTCTTTAAATCGCTACTGTATACACGCCCAAAATTTGGTTAGCGCGGCACTCATGAAAGACTCGCCCAAGTACACAAGAAGGAACGTTCTCATTTGAGAAACTCGGCCATTAAGCAAGCAACATTTTGACTACTTCGCGACGTGTCAAATAAAGCTCACGTGATATAACAATCTGCCGTTGATTTTCAAAACAATTAAAAGGCTCAGGTTTCCACAATAAGAAATTTACATTTCATATTTCCATCTGCTCATTTGATCACTCACATGACAGGTTCTGCTTCAGCGCGCGGGAATCGTATGTACGTCCCCACTGTTTGGATTTGCCGCGGACCGTTCCGTCAACGCACTTCGTGGAGCCGCTTTTTCCTGTCCAGTGCCTGTTTTTTCCCTTTTTCTTTGGACGCCCACAAGGTTTGCACTAGACAGGACTCTCCTCCTTCTCTCTGTCTCAGTAGCCTCTAGGTGAACATCGTATAAACCTATGCCCTATACAGCGACGAGTGGAGCCGTCTCCGTTGAAAGAGACCTACACGGCAAAATATACGGAAGAAAAGAGACCCCACTAGAAAGGGAAAGCGACGATTCAAGAGTCTATAGTATATAACCCCCTGTGATTTAAAGTCTCAAACTTACGAATAAAGATATTCGTTTAAAGAATAACTCCGTGGGTTAATTATCACCTTGGGCCATAAAGCGCTTTTGCCAACTAGAGGAGGCGCATAGAGATCAAAAGCGAATGGTTATTTTGAATGCAAGAATAGTCGTTAACAGAGAAAACTAAGTGAAAGATATTTCGCCATCACTCGAGAACAGTCAGATATGAATTCTCTAAACACACCTAGCAGTCGTTCACCGTGGGGTGCGCTAATTCATTGGACACGAGTAGTACTTTGTCCACCAAAACCCAAACGCAACGAAAGAATTCTTGATTTCTGATTAAACACAATTGAAGCCTAGCTTTGAAGCTACAATCTGATCAAATACTAATCACAACTTTTTGATGGACCAGGTCAAAAGCCAAAATATATCACGTAACCTGTCCAATGAATTAGCGCACCCCCTGGTGGTTCAAACAGTTTCCTTATGTAATCTCTGAGTTGAACCGATATTTCGTACACGCTTGTAAAACAATTTTTTTTTTCGAACTCCTTTTCTGATTAATGGCTACTTCAACTACTCTTGTACTGATAAGTGTCCGATGGTTTGCTCGGAGGCTCGAGCAGCACGCAGAATACGTTGGATTTGCCCCCAGCAAGAAACTTGACGGATTTCTTGTAAGACTCGCAGGCTAACCTGGGTGGGACAATCTAATACTGATACTACGTGAGCACGTCTTCATAGGTAAAGTTTTAGCAAATACTCGCGGTAAGAAGAATATTCATACATGAATATTAAATTCTCGACTGCAATATCTCGACGTCTCGCGGAAATGCTCCAGGACATTGCTCCTTACTAGTCCTTTACCAGTATCCGGGCGCCATCAAGACTCCTGAAAAAGGACTCAATTCACTCCTTCGAAAATGCCGCTATTCTTGACAGTCTTCTGTTGTTTTTAGAGATACTTTTTACAAGGAGTACCAATTTCTCAAGGGAGTCATCGCGGACCCCTCTAAATTAATTGATGCTGGGGTCCATGCCCCATTTTATGCCAAGCCTTTCCGCTCGCTTATCACAGCGGAACGTCGACGTTGCAGCGTGGTTTGCGACTTTCTAAACACGACTGACAGCAATAATCCCAATATACCTTTCTTGCGCTGCGATTCATGAAGCTGAGGAGCGGAACCCTTCAATCATGAGTTATAGCAAGAAAGATGAAGACGGCGATGCCACAATCATGAAGGTAGACAGAACCTCTGTCTTCCAAGAAGGTTCGCAGAAATTATACCCCCCATTCGAGCTCCTGCTAATCCTAGACAGCGCGACTGTTCAATTCCTCTCCAATCCAGCCTCGAAGATGTCGAGTACTTCTTACCAAGATCGCGCTGCTTCTCTATACAGGAGAGAAATTTCCCACGAACGAAGCTACCACCCTGTTCTTCGGAATCTCGAAACTCTTCCAGAATAAAGATGCCAGCTTACGGCAGATGGTTCACCTTGTCATTAAGGAATTGGCTTCATCCGCGGAGGATATTATTATGGTCACAGCAACCATTATGAAGGATACCGGTGGTGGAACAGACGCAATTTACAGACCAAACGCAATCCGTGCCCTATGTCGGATTATTGATGTAAGAGGTTACGAGCTTTCTCGCGGACAGAAATATATTAATCTTCGTAGGGGTCTACGGTCCAAAGTATCGAACGTGTCATGAAAACGGCGATTGTTGATAAGAATCCCTCCGTATCCTCAGCCGGGTTGGTATCTTCATACCACCTGCTTCCGATAGCACGAGATGTTGTACGCAGATGGCAAAGCGAAACACAAGAGGCCGCAAGTTCTACCAAATCATCTGGCGGCTTCTCGTTAGGCTTTTCCACCTCCTCAAGCCAGGCACCTGTAAATAACTCGACCATGACACAATACCACGCAATCGGCTTGCTATATCAAATGAGAATGCATGACAGGATGGCATTGGTTAAGATGGTTCAGCAGTTTGGAGTAGCAGGTGCTGTAAAAAGCCCTGCAGCCACTGTCATGCTAGTCCGACTCGCAGCTCAATTGGCAGAAGAAGACCCTCAGCTTCGAAAGCCAATGATGCAGCTCTTGGACGGCTGGCTCCGACACAAGAGTGAAATGGTCAATTTTGAGGCTGGTAAAGCGATCTGCGAAATGCGAGATGTTACCGATGCCGAGCTCGCTCCAGCTGTACTTGTTCTTCAACTTTTCCTCACCTCCCCAAGAGCAGTCACCAAGTTTGCTGCAATCCGAATCCTTCACAATCTCGCATCCTTCAACCCTCAAGCCGTCCGTCAATGCCTTTCTGAATTCGAACTTCTCATTCTCAATGCCAATCGCTCAATTGCGACCTACGCTATCACTACGCTCCTGAGAGCCGGAACCGAAAACATGGTGGACCGGTTAATGAAGGTGATCCAGGGCTTCATGGCTGATATTACAGATGAATTCAAAATCACGATCGTGGAAGCTATCCGGACAATGTGTCTCAAATTCCCGAGCAAGCAAGCGGGTATGCTAGCATTTCTCAGTGGGATTCTACGTGACGAAGGTGGTTACGAGTTCAAGCGTGCTGTTGTTGAGAGTATGTTCGACTTGATCAAATTTGTGCCGGACTCTAAAGAAGATGCTCTTGCGCACCTATGCGAATTCATTGAAGATTGCGAGTTCAACAAGCTCGCTGTCCGGATACTGCATCTTCTGGGAATTGAAGGGCCAAAAACGTCACAGCCCACCAAGTATATTCGCTATATCTACAATCGTGTCGTATTAGAAATTGCCATTGTCCGAGCTGCGGCGGTCACAGCTCTTGGCAAATTTGGTGTCGGCCAGAAAGATCCTGAGGTCAAGCGAAGCGTCACAGTATTGCTTACTAGATGCCTGGACGATGTCGATGATGAAGTCCGTGATCGTGCTGCGCTTAATTTGCGTCTGATGAACGAATCCGATGAAATGGCGGACCGGTTTGTCAAGAATGGTATGACGAAGCATCCCGAACCATTAGAGAAACTATTCTAACAAAACTATAGAAAACACCTTCGCTCTACCGTACTTTGAACATCAATTGGTCATGTATGTTACTGCTGAGGATAAGTCAACTTTCGATTCTCCCTTCGACATTGCAACAATTCCTGTTGTCACCAAGGAGCAAGCGGACGCGGAAGATAGAACGAAGAAACTTACAACAGTTACGCCAGCAGCGAAGGCGCCGAAGACCGGACCATCGAAGGACCCGGTGTCGAGTGCTGAGGCGTCAGCGAATGCCTCCGCAGCGGCTCAAAAGTATCAGGAAGAACTTCTGCAGATTCCAGAAATGAAATCATACGGCAGTGTCTTGAAATCCTCGCCGGTTGTCGAACTGACCGAGACAGAAACAGAATACGTTGTGAATGTTATCAAACACATTTTCAAGGAACACATTGTCCTCCAGTACGAAGTCAAGAACACTTTACCTGACACTGTGCTAGAGGACGTTTCTGTTGTTGCAACACCGTCGGACGAGGAAGAGCTTGAGGAAGACTTCATTATCCCTGTGTCAAAACTGGCCACAGATGAGCCAGGCACCATCTATGTCTCTTTCAAGAAGCTAACCGGCGAGGCTTCGTTCCCAGCAAGTTCTTTTACCAACGTCTTGAAATTTACAAGCAAGGAGATCGATCCTACGACTAGTGAGCCAGAAGAGACTGGCTATGATGATGAATACCAAGTCGAAGATCTCGAGCTCAATGGAAGTGATTATGTCGTACCTGCTTTCGCTGCTGATTTTAGCACGATCTGGGAAGAAGTCGGCACTGCCGGAGAGGAGGCTCAGGAAACACTGCAGCTCAGTGGGGTCAAGAGCATCGCCGGTATGTCATTCCTTGTAGTTTGTTGCATTCAATTACTAACTCTAGCAGACGCCACCGAACAGCTTACAAAAACTCTGTCACTACAACCTTTGGATGGTACCGATGTGCCTGTTAACACGACAACACATACCCTCAAACTGTTTGGTAAGACTGTTACTGGTGGAAAGGTTGTAGCAAATATTCGGATGGCCTACTCCACAAAATCTGGGGTCACAAGTAAAATCGTGGTCCGCAGTGAAGAGGAAGGTGTTGCAGAATTGGTCATTGGGTCTGTTGCTTAGTTTAAGCGGGAAGCAAAGGAGTTGAGCATTTTTGGTTGATGCATTTGGTTGACGACTAGATAATGATCTCCCAAAGCCCCAGATTGGCTTTTTGGGGGTTCAGTGAGGAGTCCAAGGGGTCACTAAAATTCCAATGAATTCCAACGAAGATGAAACTACTCTGAATTTTCTTTTATCGCTTTTCCTTTCTCTGTTCATACTGTACCAATACCTAGCAGACCGTTTTGCTCGTGGGCGTGGGTTTTTCCCGATGCCCCCCTTTCCAAATCCGGCTTCTTGAATTTCGGCTGAATGACGTGGGGCTTGGCATTGAAGTCGCGTTCCTCCACAATCGCGACAAATTTGGTCTATCAACAATTTTTCTCCCTACCCTTTTCACGTTGTGATAAAAGTTGAAAGATTGCAGCTGCTCTTCGCAGAATCACTCGCAATCATGGTTTACGTACGACAGGAAAAGCTGCCTAACCTCAAGGAATACAAATATTCAGGCATCGACCACTCCCTACTCTCGAGATATGTCCTCAAACCTTTCTATACCAACTTCGTGATCGAATGCTTTCCTATGTGGATGGCACCGAATCTCATCACGCTTTCCGGGTTCAGCTTCATTATTCTCAACATCTTGACCTTGTTGTGGTACACGCCTACCTTGGATCAGGACTGCCCGCGATGGGTTTACTTTAGTTGGGCAATTGGGTTGTTCTTGTACCAGACCTTTGATGCGGTCGATGGGTCTCAAGCGTACGTTTACGAGTTCAGATACACTTAATATCTGCTAACCCTTCTGCAGACGAAGAACTCATCAGAGCGGGCCTCTGGGAGAGCTGTTCGATCATGGAGTTGATGCGCTCAATACCTCGCTCGAGGTCCTTGTTTTCGCAGCCTCGCAGAATTTTGGCATGGGATGGAAAACTGTTCTTACGCTCTTTGGGTGTATGTTGCCATTACTTTGTGTGGAGCACCAGCTAATAAGATCGTAGCGCTCCTGACATTCTATGTCCAAACATGGGACGAATACCACACCAAGACCCTCACTCTCGGCATAGTATCTGGACCAGTCGAAGGAATTGTCATACTCACACTGGTATATGCGTTTACGGGTGTCATGGGTGGTGGTAGTTTTTGGCAACAGTCAATGCTCCGAACAGTGGGCATTCCCCAGTTCGCATTCATCCCAGATCTCATCTACGATATGCCATTTACCGAATGGTGGATGGTCCAAGGTGGAGCTGTATTGGTTTTGAACACTGTGCAATCGTAAGTCTTTCGAAATTGCGTTAGTCTTCAGGCACTAACGATTACAGTTCGCTCAATGTCATCAAAGCCCGTAGAGCGCGTGGAGACAAGTCTCGTGGCGCCTTGCTAGGTCTTGTGCCTTTCTTCACAACCTGGACTCTGATCCCAGCATACCTATACCTTAACCCAGATATTCTACACAACCATCTCGTCCCATTCGTTGTCTTCGCCGGATTGGTCAATGCGTACTCCGTTGGTCAAATGATCACCGCCCATCTTGTCAAGCTTGACTTCCCTTACTACAATATCTTGGTGGTACCACTTGCATATGGCGTTTTTGACTCTTTAGGTCCATTCTTACAAAGCCATATCGGCATTGGATGGCCAAGTGCACTGGGAGACGGCGGTTACCAAGTGGCATACATGTTCTCAATGTTGGGTATGGCAATTGGTGTTTACGGGAGTTTCGTGGTAAGTCATCTCCACACACATCCAACTCTACATTTCTAACATCATCTTAGGTTGATGTCATTGTTACGATTTGTGATTATCTCGATATTTGGTGTTTGACCATTAAGCACCCGTGGAACGAGGAGGAAGAGGCTAAGAAGGCCAAATAAATGGCATTTAAGATACCCGGGACCCTGCCTATCCACGAGAGCGGCATAAGGAGGGCGTTAGGTTATAATGGACGACATGCGGTCACATGTTCGTGCTAAATATTGGTGGAAAATGCCGTAATGTCGAAACGTTATTGGGATGGAAGCAAAGGTGCACTCTGGCTTCTAGGGGATTTGTCAAATCAATGAAAGAAAGTCTACAATACTCTAAGAAATTTCATGAACCATTTACATCCGAAAAAAAAGGCACTTGCTTGTATGCACATTATTCTTTAAAATGCCATCTTCAAGTATTTCAAACGGAGGATATACATATATTACTTCAAGAAATCGCCCTTTGTCTTTTTCAACATATTCGTATAATAGGGCTGGAAATTCAACCATGCTCTATACCTAGACCCTATCGATTGTTCGGTGAAATAAGCAGTCTCATGATCGACATTCTTAGGCCTTCCACCGTGAGCGGGACTGGCGGCATCGATCATCAACTGTGCGCGGCAACATCGGTCAAAGCAACAGAACCAATAACATGCTTCATCAATGGTAGTACCGACCGAAAGCAGTCCATGATGTTGGAGGATGGCGACCTTCGTGTTAGGCTTGATGATATTAGCAATCATCTTGCCCTCGTCCGTCGACAGTGTTACACCTCCGTACTCAGTCAGAACCTCATGCGAGCCATAAAAGCGGAGCGAATCTTGGAATAACGGCGGCAGCGGAATCCCAAACGCACTATAAGCTTTCCCAGCAATCGAATGAGCATGGCACACGGCGTTGATCCAAGGATGCGCTTTATGAATCTCCGAATGGATCGCAAACCCCGCGGCGTTGATAGCGTGGTCCCCTGAAATCACCTCTGCATCTTCCGTCACCTGTACAAGATCCGATACCGTGATGTCTTCGAAATGAATCGTATATGGGTTTATCCAGAAGGTCTTCGGGTTGATGGGATCACGCAGGGACATGTGACCTGCTAGACCTTCTGAGAAGCCTTCGGCCGCGAAGACTCGAAATGCACATGCCAGATGCTCTTTCTGGTATTTTTGCTCTTCTTCTTTGGTGGAGAAGGTGGGCATTGAGAGGGTGCTGGCGCTTTTGGCGGAGGCTCCTACGGCCATTGCGCGTTGGTCGGCGCCTTTTTTGTTGAAGATGTCGGAGCGGCCATCGTGGTTGCTGGTGGTGGGTTGAGGCTCGGTTGATGATGGAGACATGTTGAGAAGTTGTATATAGGGGCTTGATTGAGTTACAGAGATCTAATGTTTATGGTAAGAGGCTTGTTTTCAATAAGAGAGGATAGCATCCTCGTGATGCACTTACTCTGGGTCGAGTGACCAATGCGGCCTCGTCTATACTCGCTTGAATAGGGGGGTTGGAGAGACTTTTAGATATTCGAAGGATGCTAATAACATAGTAATATCAGTGCTACCGTATATTGAACGCTGTATATGCAAGTAAAGGGTTTTGATGTTGCACCAGTATGTTAGGCGTTGTATAAGCGGGGTACGATAATATTCCGACAGAACATTTATTTCAAGAGTGGGGAATTATGGCTAGCGGTACCAAATATACTAAAATGTCAATTGCACTCCCATTACGGTTTCATGCTGAGAAAAATCTCTTGCATTGATACAGAGATAATCACTAGTACCAATAGTTGTAACGACTAGAAAATGTCTGTAGAATGGTCTAGTAATAGCAAATTGTGTCCTTTACGTGCCAGAAAACGACAAGCCCATAAACACAACTATCCTCAACTCGCAACAATTTGATTTTTCGTTTTCGTTTTACTGTACTTAACTTTACAGTGAGCATTCGAATCATCCAAACCACCTATTCGGTTGCTAGTAGGGACATGGAAGACATTCAGGCCCCAAGAAGATGCAGTCGTGTCTGCCAATCGGCCTTCGTAGCACTACTATGTCCGGATCTAAATTAGCCCCTGCCGAGTAACAGATACGAGAGCCGTGAAAACATTCGGAGCCATGCTATTGGATACAACTTACTTCAGTCGACATTTTTTGAAGTCCAAAGTCCGAAAAATCTCATAAAGCAGGTCGAGAAAACCGTGAATGTCCACAACTTCACAACGAAACCTCTGCGGTTTCCCTCTCCGATGCCTGGCGAGCAGATAAATACACAGGTGATGGCTAGATACCTTGCAAGACTCGCAGAGGTACAGTATTGCTGTAGCTAGTGCTACTTCGCATGAGGTCATGCATCAGGGTACATGAGATCGCGAGCAAGATACATAACGTTCCTATATCCCAATCCTTCCAGTATCCAATTCCAATTTTCAAATTCCCCATCTCTTTCAACTCAACCCAAACAATCTTACCACCATGCCCACCTTCGCCATCCTCGGCGCCACAGGCCTAACCGGCCAACAACTAGTCCACACCCTCCTCCAAAACCCCGAGAACAAACTCAATTTATATGTGCGGTCTCGCTCCAAACTCACAAAACTATTCCCCAACATCACGGAAAATAAACAAGTACGCATATTTCAGGGGAGCATGAACGATATCAAACTCGTCAGCGCGTGTCTTGATTCCACGAAAGTTGTATTCTCGGTTCTAGCTTCGAATGACAGTCGTCCGGGGATGACGATTGCGAGGGATGCTGCTGCTACTATTTTGAGTGCTTTGAGAAATTTGAAGGACAGAGATTCAAGTGCGAAGTTACCAAGGGTTGTGGTACTAAGTTCCGCGTCAATGAACCCCTTGTTATACGCCAACGAACCGTGGTTGGTTCACCTGGTCGTGTTCAACGCTTTCTGGCATATGTACTACGATCTTGGGGAAGCGATTAAGCTGTATATAAAAGAGATTGAGGGTGGGAATCTAGGGATTGATATTAGGTTTGTGGAGCCGGGGGCGTTGAAGGAGGGAGATGTGAGTGGGAGGGTGAGTTTGGCGAGGGATAAAGTGACGGATGTAGTTACGTATGGGGATTTGGCGCAGGCGATGGTTCAGACGGGTGAGGATGAGAAGTTGGAGTTGCGACGGGTTGGGGTTGTGGTGGATGGGAAGAAATTGGGATTGCCGCCGGGGATAGCTTTGACGGTGCTGGATGGGCTGGCGTGGAGTTTTGCACCGTGGTTGATGAGGAGTTTTCAGTATTTAGGCGTGATATGAATGGATGATGAGCTGTGTTTATAGACTGGATGTTGCTTCAACAAGATGATTAGTAGAAGTGCCTGAAGTATTTCTCAGTAATCTGTATCTTCACTTCTCGGAAACACTGCCTACGCAGATGGAATCATAGAAAGTTCGCTTTCTTTCAAAGTGTCAAAGAAAACATATCCTACTCCGCTTACTCTCGCTCACCCTTGCTAGCCTCATAAAACCAGAGTCACAAGATCATGTCCCTAAAACGTCCTAGAATCTCATTCTTGGAAACTCGCTTTCATGTCAAAAACAGCACCGAGACGCAATTCTCCATCAGCAAGAACAGAGCTAGAGAAAAAAGCGAACGCGGTAGATATGAGAGAATCGAACCAAGTAAGAGCGTTGCTTCAAAGATCTGAACGAGCAAATAGTAGGTTGTCGAGTATCGGGAAACCGCTTATCGATCATCAACATCGATCTAAGTTGGGCAAGAGACTCATGGTCAACTCTATGGAGTACAGGTGCCATACAATAATACAATAAAGACTTACCCTACCTAGGATTGACTGTAAAAATAAAGAATTGTCAGTCAAATTCCCGTCAGTGTCAGTGCCAAACAGATATCAGATTTCATTAAGACAAAACATACAGTCTACACACGTTCAAGCATGAACACAGCCCAACAAACCACAAGCTCAAACATGAACAAACAGGTCTAAAATCTATTAGATCTAATCTCTCTACCACTCTTAATCTTTTTTAATCTCGCCACCAAAAACCACGCTCACATATCGACAGAATAGTCCAACCCACAGTGCCAAACACACTGTCATTCGCATTGTATAATCTATCCTTCTTTCCATAGTGATATACCCAACGCGCGCATAGAAAATAAGTGACCTAATCATACAGCCCGCAATCATATATGTGTATGTTGAATTCCATCTCGCTCACAAACACCACCAGCGCCTTAAAGCACGTTTTCTTCAGTAGATTCCGGGAACAATGACCCATTTGACCTGCTTGCAATAATTCTCCCATCCTTTCCCGTACTTCATCGAGCAGCGCTCCTCATCTCTCCAGCATCTGTGTACGAGTAACACAGTCATAAAAATCGCGTACGTCCACGGGAGGAAGTCCTCAAAGCCACAAGTCGCACACATGCTGTAGCTCAATATGAGATCTCCTAGGTAGTTGACGTGACGTGCCATTCCCCACCATCCAGAGCACAGTAGTATCGAGTTGTGCTCGAGTCCGTCTGCTGTCTTATACTTGACGTGTAAAACTTTCGCAGGCGCACCCCATATTTGACAGTTGCCTTTCGTTCGTCGAACATGATCCTTTTGGTAGTTGACGGATCGGAAAATGATGTAGCCGCTGATACCAGTGGCAAGAATCATCAAAGCATGTAGATTAGAAAGTGCTACAGGGTTTCGAGCCAAGTATTGCGTCTGTAGCGTATACATCGCTGGTAGCCAGACTGCTGATCCCCAGGCGAGATAGAAACCGAAATGTTCATGACAGATGTCAATTGTACGGAGATACCAGTCCTCGTTGATGAAAAAGTCCACAGCGTAGATGCTGTGGAGAATTGTCGAAATCACGATTGTATTCGTAATGTACCCGTGAAGCTGATACTGGTAGGCGATGAAGGAGAAATCACTATTTGACATTAGCATTTATCATAGGAATGATATGAATTCATTAGGTAAGAATATTTGGTCTATTTCTAAAAACTTTACGCGGACTCTAGAGCATCGAAGGGATTCTCCAGATGTTCAATCTACAGGCAAGGAAGCGAGTCACGTGACATTGAAAATAAATAGCCAGGCTAGAGTCTTCGAAAACCCACTCAATGGCTTATAGAAAGTAAAAATTCGACTTACATAAGAGTCCAAGCAATGATTCCAGGTCTTCCATTGGTGAAAAGCTTGAAATCGAAGGTATTTCCCAACCTTGGATTTAGCTCAATTCCCATGTACATGTCGTATAAAATCGAGCCTAGACTTAATTAGCTCCATGCTCAAATGTTCAATTCGCAAAGATAATCATACCACTGAACTTTCGGTCAAGCTCATGCGTTGGGCTTACGTGGGCCTTAATATATGCAATACTGGCGAGCAAAAACCCCCAAATATTGGCAGCGACCAATAAACCCTCCCAATTCTTAGCCAGAATAGCAGGATCCAAGTGTCCAGAGATTGACAATCCAAAGAATAGGCCGTGTGTAACGAACCATGCTAAAAGTCCGTTGGTTCTATACTTCAAAAGGTTTCCGGCAGGGGTGAGTTGTCCGGTACTGATCACGCTGGGAAGAAAAAGATATAGTCCAGCTTGAACTAACAGCCAAGCACCATATCCAATACTGGCTGCCATCGAAGGACGTGGAGCGTAAAATCGAAAAAAATTGATAGGTCCCATCTCCAGCATCAGTTGCCAAGCCATATTGATGGATCCGTGGAATGAGGACAGACTGATCCAGTAAAATACCACTAGTGATGGTGAGAGCACCATGACGCCGGCGCATCCTAACGCGTGAAGAAAAGATCCATGATGATGGCTTCTTCCCCAAGAAATGCTGGAATCACGAGTGCTTGAAAATGAAGCCAATCGAGGACGTCGCGGTGAGCTGGTCGTTTTCTCTGGGGCTGAGGCAGGTGTGATGCCGTGTAAGGCCTGGGAAGGGAGCACGATCGACTCCATGATGGTGAAAGGACAGCGCAATTGCAATTGCACCTCGACGAAAGCCAATTGACGAGGTAATTGATCGTCGATGGAACTCTTCGACGGGTGGTGTCGATTTATGATCTTTTCTCAAAGTTGTTGAGGTTCGGTAGTCGCCAGCAGACGGGAAAGTCAAACCCCAAGAATACGTGAGATTAGATCGGCAGGGGCTACCAGCGGGGAGCCTCGACTTGAGAGCCGCGTTGCACTTGCAGTGCAATCAATTGCTGGCAGCAAACAGTTTGCCGGTCAGAGCAAAGTGTTTTCGAATTGCGTGTATATGGTGTCTGCGGTGGTTGGTGATACCGACTCCGATTGCCAGAATTTCAGTTTGTTGTCGTAGGTCGATTGTTCGGAAAAAAGCCTGTCGTGTCCTAGAAAAGAGAACGCCTCGAGGGTGATACGCTTGCGCCTCTAGGGGGACCAAAGGAGCTCAAAACACGTGGAATGAGCTTGCAAAGAAAGGCAAAGCAGACTGCTTCGTTGCGGAGGATCAGATTGATTAGTCGCGGCCTAGAGTGTATCTCGTATTGAAGCTCTCGTTGGCTGCGAGGTATTCAGCCCTCGTTCGACAGTCGCTGCGCAAAATAGCAACGCGTTCCTGATTCTCATGCGCAACGTGAAGCCATCGAGACTCGACCGCAACAACAGCGAACGGCGACATCTCTTGGTGCTAAGCCGGCCTAGTCTCCTCTTTAAACGTGTTTATTGTCAATAAACAGCTCGAGTGGGTATTACTTCATCAACGTCATCATTCACAATTTCGATACACTAAACATCACTGTCAGTCCGTCACCCACGTCGACGCAAATCAAGGACGTCCAGTCGAGATCCTCATTGCGATCCGCTCCACTGGGAAACCACGCGGACGGCGGCAACCGGTCTTGGTTGGATCCTCCCACCGACCTGGAAGACTGCGACGCTTGGCGGGCCTAGCGGATGGACGACGAGCACCCAGGAGAGTTATAGATCTCATGATATACGAGGCGAAGTGGTGGCATTTGCGTAATGGAGTTATGTGATGAGGTCTGGAGTTGATGCGGCTTGGAGAGGGGAAGCGGAAGAAGCATGATGTGTCGACAATTGTTTGACGCTCTTCATAGGACCATCTGACATCTGCATCTGCGGCTGGTGCCTTTCAGGGGTCCACACCTCAATAAATGCATCTTGGTTGGAGAAGTCGAGTCCATTTCGGGCATCGTGCGAGATCTTTCCGCTCACTTGGGCAGATCGTGGAGAAAGCAGACATGGCAGAGTCGTGGTCATGGGCGGTCGTGATTCTCCAATAGCAGCTTCCAGCGGCAACCACAGAGAATATTCATGGCATTTGCCAATTGCATCCCGATGAGGCTACACGTTTTCCGAATGCCATATCACCCTTTGGCTTTTTAAAAGCAGTGTTTTGCGCGACTAAATGCAGTTAGCATGTTGTCGTGCAGAACAGACGATGCGGACTCACTTGACCCCTCGACACAACCTGCAAGATCACTTGCAAAACATGGAGCAAACAAAGATAAAGGATAAAAGATCAGAAAAGTTATACGTACAAACACTACCATCTATGTATATATATTCAACACCGATTGCTAAGCTCGGATTTCGCACCATCCAAATTCGGAAACGGTTCGTACACTCGTATAACCATTTCCGAATTCAATACGCGTACGTACACAATGCGACTACGTAAGGAAGATAGATGGTGTGGTTTTTCTCTTTCTAAATCAACCATCATGTGCCAATAACGCCGATCGATTCTACCTGTCGTGATACAAAGTTTAGTAGTATTGAATAGGGTTAAACGTGGTCACGCTCCCGATACACGGTCAAAAATACTTTCGCAGTTGGAAGACAAATTATTTAGAACACTCCAGAACACAGGCTTACAAAAGCCAGACCAGACCATACTGCGCTACCTTCTTTAACATATGTAAACGACAATCCGGAAAATCTACGCTTCAAGCTCTAGTTACAGGGCTACAAAATGTCCTAGTTGATAGTCATTCCCTTGTAAAACGCCCCAACAAAGTCGATCCCTCCAGCCCATCGGGTATATGCCTCATTAATCGTCAATTCTACCAAGCTGTAATATCATCCACTTCAGAAACCACACTCTTTTGCGCTGCCGCTCCAGCGGCCTTGTCATCCTCCTCTGCACCCTCCACCCCAGGACCACCCATTATATCTGGAAGCGCCTCTGCTAAGAATTCCAAGATATGATGATTGACCTGCTCAAATTGTAACAAAAACGCATCGTGACCTTCTGGCGAATCTATCTTCCGCAATCTTGCATTTGGAATGGACGCAGCAATTTCCTTCTGTTCATCAAATGTGAAGAGCCCATCGCTCTCGATGCCCAGCACAAGTGTCGGCTGTTCAATTTGAGCAAGCGCTTCCGCTATAGGATTAGCTGAATCGGCAGGAACACGATACCTCGATACGTCGTGTGTATCAAGTTTGCGAGTTATAGCAATGTAGCAGTTTCCATCGAAGCGTTTCACGAATTTCTCGCCCTGGTAGCGAAGATATGACTGTGCAGAGAAATACGTCGAAGTGCCTCGCTGCCTATTGGTCGGACGAGTTTGCTCTTGGGAAGAGGGAAGTGACGGCGTAGCACCGTGGAACTGTGGATCGGTAAAGTTTGAAGGGTTTGTGCCATTTGTACTAGAAATTGTCGTCGAGCTGCCGGATCGAGAAATTGGCGACCTGGTTGATCGATGCCCATCATTGTGAATCGCCAAATGCTCCTCAGACGGCGTCGACGGCCGTTGATATCCACTGATGGATTGCTGCTTCGATGCATCAGGTGTGTTCCGACCAAATCTGGCCTCGAAAGAATTCCGGCTTCGATATGTGAGCAAAGCAGACATGCGGGCTGCACCGAGTCCAGCTGAGGGAGGGTCCGAAAAAGGGTAGTAACCATCGTCGTATTTAGGATCCGCATAAATGCTTTGTCTTTGTGCTTCACCCCAACTAATACCCCAAGCACTATGCCGACTGGATGTTGCAATTGGTACGATTGACCGGACGTATTCTTTGCCAAAGTATGCCCATTCCAGTACCAGCATCCCTCCCATCGAACCACCTATCGCAGCCGCGACCTGGCGTACCCCCAATTCATCCAGAAGGAGTTTGTGTAAACTATGACATGTCAATCTCGATAACCAACATGGGCTCATTCACCGTACTTCACATCGTCTCTCACAGTTGTAAGTGGAAATTCAGGACCGTATCTTTCGTTCTCTGGATTCCCATCTCGACAGGTGACAGGACTCGCTGTACCATAAGGACTTCCTAAGCTGTTCATGCATACAACGAAGAATCTTGATATGTCGAAAGCGCGTCCTGGTCCACCTAGCAATGGACCCCACCAGTCACTAACATCGGCACTTCCAGTCAAAGCATGGCAAATAACCATCGCATTATCGCGGTTCGCAGAGAGCTTTCCTCTGGTGCTATAAGCGAGAGGAACATTGTGCAGGGTAACGCCGGATTCGAGAGTAAAGCTGGGGATGATTGCGATCGTTTGGTTTGGTATCAGAGATGCGAATGGGTTCTCTGGCTGCTGCTGCGTTCTTTCTTGGACGTATTCAGTTGGGGTTTTTCTTGGTGGTGGGGTAGTTGTTGGATGGCATATACTGACCGTAACGTGCGTTCTTCAGCCCATTGGGCTCAATCGTATCTGCCATAACACTATATATAACGAAGTGAAAATTGATCTTTGGAAAGTAAGACTACCTTCCAATTCCAGTATAATGTCGAGATTTGCTTCCTACAGTAGGCTGAAATGCGTCATGCGCACCCAGTCATATCTGACAATATAAATATTTAAAGTGGGACCAAATGTATTTCAGCCACTTTGGTCGGGTTGAAATCCCGGTCGAGCGCGAGAACATGCCGTCAAGGTCCCCGCGTTTGTAATAGAGCTTCAAAAAGGCGAAACCAAGGAAGAAAGCTGAACATGATATTGTAAATATCCGCATCTGCTGATAGAACGTAAATCTAAATAAATGTAATCCTGAAACCAAAGCATGGTACATTTATTTGCAGTTCCAAACTCCGATGTTTTTTCCGACAGGTCTCACCGGTCCGATGCACTCTAGGCTCCGATAGAACAGAGCCGCATCGAAGTTGGAACGCGGTCGCGGGTGAATTCTTTCATGACAATGCTAGCTAGCTATTGTACCTCAATTTCCAACCACCTTTCATAGTGCTATTGTTTTCACCCTCAAGTATTCTGACTCACAGAAATTTTCTTACTCTTGACAAACAGCTCGCTCTGCGGCATACGATCCTTACTATTAATTTCGAGCGACCAGAATCTCGCATAAAGCGACAACGTTCGAGCAACATCTCCCCACATGTATCAAATTTGATATAGCTCAACATCGAGGCGGCGATGGCGCCAGCGAAGCGGAAGACACACGACGGGAGATCCTCGACAGATGCAGGCGAGAATCGGCCATCACCACATCGTCCTGGAAACATGAATCTAGGGCAGCATGACAGAGCAGCAGACCCTCGTAATAATGGACGAAGGCGCTCAAGTCGAGGAGGACAAGGAGGTGCCGGTGGAGGAAGACCCAATCGAAGAAACGAAGATCGCAATAATTCGAACCAATTCACAATCGGCGCGAGAGAAAATCAGACACCAGGACCTAGCTCTCCGCCTCCACGACCGCAAAGCGCAGTACAAACGCCAACTGCTACACCTAGCCCTGTATTCAAACGGGAGGTCGCCCCATTTGATTACACCTTTGTCACTGACGAGCGAGTGGCATCTTGGAGTACGGGTGGTCGTGACGAGGTTGCGAAAGCGGGCATACAGGCACGTCAAGATGAAGATTCAATGGATCTGGCTTCCGTCTTCCACGAGCTATCACGCGCAAGTCTTGATGGTCGAATCGATGCATCCGAATGCGGTACATGTATCAAGGACATACTAAATTCCGAACCAGCTTCAGAAGACAGCAGCTCTGATGGCTCGTTTGATGCTCATACATACTTTCTGGACATGATATCTATGATATACGACGCGGAGGAACCACCTTTCAATCCTGCGCTGAAAGCGTTTATCACTGCGACAGGAATTTCACCTAATCTTATGCGCCAAAAGCTTGATGCGCAGCTTCTACAAAACCTTGGGTTGACAAGGGACACTTTTATTCGAGTCGGAATTCGCCAAGCAACCCACTTGCTTTATCGGCAAGCAAACTACAATCTGCTCCGCGAGGAAAGCGAAGGATACTCCAAGCTTGCAACTGAACTCTTCGTTTCGAGCGGAGGTAGCGATTCCCTGGTGGATCAAGCAACTCAGGCGCAAGCGCGAGATGCTTTTGAACGGGTTAAAGGTCTTATTGGAACTTTCGACCTCGATGTCGGCAGGGTGCTTGACATAACGTTTGACGTGTTTGCGTCGATTCTGATAAAACAGTACAAGTTCTTTGTCATGCTACTTCGAGCTAGCTCTTGGTGGCCTAAGCACGACCTCCACGGTGAAATTGCCAAGTTTGAAGGACTGCCGTCTTGGGCATTACCTGGATACACGGAATCAAAGGATGAAGAGGAGGCTGCAAGGTTGTACAGAATCAAGAGAGATTCAGCATTCTGGGACCGAGCACGCCTAGTTGGACTGGATGCATTCTTCGAACTAGGAGGTAGGAAAGTGGTAGATGCTGATAGTAAAGCTCGACTCCTGGGTGCCAAGGGGAGCTTTGACGAAGAGCAAGACGCTGATTGGAAATGGATTGAACAAACTGGGACGTTTCCACCAAATGGAAACAAAACCGCCGCTCAACTGCTAGGCTTCAAATTGCGATACTACGTGTCCCCGGGCCGCGACAAGGGTGAAGATTTTCCGGCGAACCTCATGTATCTGGCTGCTTTGCTCATTAAGATTGGCTTTGTGTCTTTACGAGACTTATATCCCCATCTTTGGCCGTCAGATGAGCAAATGTCAGCTGTCAAGGAGAAGAAGGAAAAGGAATTGGCAGAGAAAAGCAAAGCAGCTCGCGGCGGAGGTGCAGCTAATGCTTTAGCTATGGCGGGAGCACTAGCCGACGACACCATACCTTCTGGCGGGAGGACGCGAGACACAACTACAAAAGCGGACGACGTCTCAAACACAGAGGGCAAAACCGAAGATAAAGAGAAGCCCAAAGAGTCCGCGGATCAAAAGTCCCTACTGCTGATCAATCTTTTGACTATCGGCGCAATTCCGGAAGCTTTGTTCATCCTGGGTCGTTTTCCATGGATTCCAGATGTCTTTCCTGAGGTCATACCACTTATCAATCGCATATTAGACCACTCCATCAGTGATGTTTATGCTACGACCCGACCGATAGCATCATCAACTGTGGCTTGTTCTAGCAAGAAGTTTGTAAGCCCAGATCAGAGTGGAATGCCGAAGGGCCAGATTCGCCTTGCTCAACCGCCGACCAAGTCGCTGATGCGATGGCCTTTCCCTCAGCAGTATGATGACCCTGCTTCTAATACCAACTATAAATTTTATTGGGAAAGCTGGGCAGACATAATACCAATGTGTCAAAACGTGGATGATATCTTCACGCTTTGCGGCACACTGCTCAACTATTCTGGTGTCAACATCGGGCGGCATCCTTCCCTTTTATCGAAACTCGCTAGAATTGGGGCTATGAGTCTCTCAAATGATAGTTCTAAACAAAACTTGGACAGGTGGCAGGATCTCTTAAAACGTCTTCTCGTGCCAGCGCTCAGCTTGACGAAAGCCAACACTAGTGTGGTCAATGAAGTCTACAACATGCTTCGCTATTATCCGGTCACTATTCGATATACAATATACGCAGAGTGGTTCGAGGGTCAGATATCACGCCTGCCTGCAATGAAAGCCGCCTTCGCGCAGACTCGACTTGAAACACTCTCCACTATGAAGCGAATCAGTAAAACCAATATTAGTTCAATGGCGAGACGCCTTGCCAAGGCCGCCTACGCATCGCCGGGAATAGTGTTCAGTGTCGCTCTGAGCCAAATCGAGTCCTACTCTAATTTGACAGATGTCGTGGTGGAATGCGCCAAATACTTCACCGACCTCGGTTATGATGTTCTGGTCTGGTCGCTCATGAGCTCCCTCGGAGGCAAGGACAGAAATCGGAATAACTCTGAATTTGCTTTGCTTCCAAGTAGATGGTTGATTGCGCTGTCAAAATTTTCGGGCAAGGTGTATAAGCGTTATTCGATCATGAACCTTTCACCTATCATCCAATACATAAACCATCAACTATATCGTGGCAATGCCACCGACTTAGTAATTTTGAGGGAGCTCATTGCTTCTATGGCGGGAGTGGTGCCAGATACGGATTTCACGGATGCTCAAATCACCGCGATGACTGGTGGGCCCGCTCTTCGACGACACACATTGATCAACCTCCAAGATTTGCGTTACGAATCAGTCAAAACCGCCAAGCGTCTAATTCGAGCCCTGACTGAATCCAAGCTTGCTGGCCAGTTGCTGCTCTCTATTGCTCAGCATAAGCAATCAGCCATTTACACCATCTCTGACGAGGAAGCTCACATAAAAATGCTGGCCACTATGGTGGACGAAGCCCAATCTATGTTATTTCAATATTTGGACCTCCTCCGCAGCAACCTCAGTGTCGAGGAGTTTGACGAGCACGTCCCTCGCATTCCTGATCTCATGACTGAATTTGGACTTGCTCCATCTCTTGCTTTCATGATCGGACGAGCTAGCCTTGTTCATCATATATTACAACTAGCGCCACCAGTCCTCAACGGCGACCGAAAAGCTATCATGTCTCCTCCAGAGGCAAAGACCGATACAGAAGGGGATATTGGAATGAATGAACCTGGCGACAACGCCGCCATCGGTGATGGAACCAGTGCGATTGTGAAGAGCGAAAATGACGTTGAAATGGCTGATAAGGACGGCAGATCCTCTGGAACTCCCAATCCAGTGCAAAATGGTGCAGGCGATTCATATGACAAGCTCATGGAGCCTTTAGTGTCTTGTGTTCAGACCGTCCTCTCAGAGCACACGTGGAACGCGATGAGTCCCGATTTCTACGTAACCTTCTGGTCGTCAACACTGAGTGATCTAAATCCACCTGACCTTCTTTACGATGCGGAAATCAAGAAAATCAGAGAGCAGGAGAGAATTGTGGGGAACGATCGTGCTGACATGTCACGATCCGGCTTGGCTAAGAAGGAAGAGACGAAGAAGAAATTGGCTGAGACGCGAGAGGATATTCTAGCGGAGATGCACAAGGAAGTCGATGCCTTCACCAAAGGACGAACCCGTTTGCTGAAGCGAAAGTCTCAGTGGCTGCAAACTTCCGTCAAAATTTTGCCCGACAGAGTCAGTGACGAGTTGCTCGAGAAGTGTTTTATTCCTCGACTGCTGCTGTCACCCACAGATGCAGATTACTCGTTCCGGATGATAAAGTTCTTGCACGATAATGCGGTACCAAACTTTAGGACACTTTCGGTATATTTGCGTATCTTCAGGACTAACCGCCTTCGCACTATAATCTTTACATGCAGTGTTCGTGAAGCAGAAAATCTCGGACGTTTTCTCAAATCAGCACTTTTGGATCTTCAGAAATGGCATTCGGACAACGCCATTTATGATGAGCAAGCCTTTGGTCGGCGCAAGAGCCTAATAGGATTTGCCAAAAAACTGGAAGCTGATGGAACACCAGTTGCTTTCCTTCCCTATGAGGATTTCCAATCTCTCCTCTTACGCTTGCACACTGCCTTATACTCCTCGCTCCATGATTGTTTCGATGGAACGGAATGGATGCAAATCCGAAACGCAATCACGATATTGAAGACCGTCGCTGAGGTCTTCCCTACAGTTGATACTCAGGGTTTGGACCTCATTGCACAGCTCGAAGCTCTCACTGCCAGAGAAAAGAATGTGAGAGAAGATCTTGCTCTGACAGGGAACGCTGTCTTGGTCCTTTTGAAAAGACGAACCAAAAATTGGATAAGCCAAAAGAAATTTGCGCCACTAGCTGTGAGTTAATATCGTTGATCAGACTTCGAACGATGCTAATCATCTACAGCCTCTTCCAAAGGTAACAAATGGAGGCGCTGCTCCTTCATCCGCAAATTCGAAAGCCAGCACACCCAAGACTTCCCTAAAGCCTACGGCTCCCGAATTTCAACCTAAGTCCAGAGCAAGGTTAGTGTTCCAACCTAAAGTATCTCCAATAATCTAGTTGTCCTAATCATCCTTTAGCTCTGCCGGTGTGTCTACTCCTAAACCCGGAGAAGTAGAGGACGGCGAAGTCGATGATGCAAGGCATGCGAAAAATGCTACAGCCGCAGCGAAGAACCTTAGTGATGCTCAGCCCGCGGCGCCATCTACCCCCGCAAACCCACCTCCTCAAAGATCGGAGATTCTTATACAGAGAGAAAAGGTCAAGGCTGAGAGAGCTGCTCAAGCCCTTGCGAATGTCCCTAGTCGACCCGAAACTTCGAGACCGCATACACCAAGTACAATTCTTGATCGCGCTCCTCCGAGTCTACCTAACCGCCCAGATGCTCCGATTCCCGCCCATAGTCATATTGATAGGCATCGTCACTCCGAGCGTAGAGATGAGCGAAGCCCGCGGGTCGTTGATTCGGCTCGAGTGGACCGACCTGGTGACAGAACTCGGGAATACCCTGCTGGAAATCGCCGAACCGCAGAGCCAAATCCACGAGAATTTGGGAGAAGCACAGATAGGGGCCTGATTCCTGATCGTGAGAGATCACGTCCAGAGCCGCCACCACGATGGGTTCCGGACTCCTCGCGAGAAAACACAGAAAGAGGCCTGAACGGGTCTCGCTCCAACGACAATATCGGCCGTCTATCTCGCGAACATGCAATGGCTCCTCCACGGTCTACCGCTCCCTTGATCGATCGTGGTGTCGTGGTGAACTCAGATAGGCTCTCTCAAATCAATTCAGAGAGTAAAGATCTCATAGATCCTGGAAGAGCTGCACTCATCTCATCCTCAGACGCTCGATCCGATTCGCCACGTCGACATAGGGACGACGTGAGAGATAGACCGTCACCGCGAAATCAATCACCTAGACGGCATCCTTCTGATAGAGATCACACAGATTCTAGACGTGATGATAGGTCGACTCGCGGAGGGCCCGCTGATGTCAACACGCCTCCTAGAGCTCGACATGATGATCCAGGTGTTGCTCCCATAGGACCTCGGGGCGACAGATCTGTTGAAAGAGCTCCAGAACGCAATGACCGGGCGTCCTTTCCTTCGACGCCTCCTGTAGCTCGTCCTATTGATCCTGACCATGGTCGATTGAACGCTGGCAACCGTCAACCACCGCCAGATCCAAATTTTGGTCGCCTGAATCCTAGTTCTGCACAAGACATACCTTCAGGGCCACGGGATAGGCAGATACGTGGGGCAAATCGTGCAAGCGGCACTCATGCTCCACGTGGAGACGGCAGACCTTCAATGGATCAACAGATACCTCGTCCGCCAACCCCAGATAAACAACCGCCGACGGGCCCGTCATCTGGGAGACACCCTAGACGATCTACATCTGGCCAATTTGACAATGCATCCCATCAAGGTGGCATGCCACAAAATACACCACCTGCTGGTGGTTCTGCGCCTGGCGTTCACCCTGATAGACTCAAACACCTACCACATACACCAAATCAGCCGCATATATCTCACCAGCAACATACTCCGCATCAACATCAACCCCCAATCCAGCCACCACTTCCAATGAGTGCCCCAATACACCCTGATAGATTGAAGAAACTTGGCAGTGATGGTCCAAATGTGCCATTGCCTACTGTCAGCCAAATGAATAACAATCGACAGAGGCCTCCAGTGCCATCACTTAATACTAGTGGGCCTCCATCTGGGCCTAAGGGATCACAATTGAGCCCAGTAAATCCAAATCCCAATGGTATGGCACCACCAACTGGGCCAGCGTCTGCTCAAGAACGAGCGCAACGTGGTGGTAGGAGGCAGCTTGCTGGAATCAACAATATGTTACAACAAGGAGGTACACAAAATGGATCAATTAGTGTAAGGGGTCGTGGCAGAGTTAGTGCCGGTCTTCAGCAAGAATCCCCAATATCAACCTCCCCCAACCAGATACCTCCACCTCCACCTGGTCCTCCTCCTGGAAGGCAAGCCCCGAGAGAAATCAGCCGAGATATGGTCAACCCTGCCCGGGCTGACTTGATCGAGGGATCTATGGATGAGCGGGAGAAAGACCGCAGTAGCAGACGATCAGGTCGTCACAGTAGGCGAAGCTCAAAGAGCCCTGGTCGTGAACGTGATTCGAAGCGTGGTAACCCGGAGGAAGACCGACCTCCAAGGGGAGACTATCGGGAACGTAGAGGTGGTGATCGGGAAAATGATAGAGAAAGGCATCCAGGTCGATCACCAACGCGTGATCTAATGGCCGGCAGGGATGGAAGTAGTGGAGCTCCGCGGGAGGGTCACAGAGATCGTGACTCTAGTAGACGTGATGGCAGAGAACGTGATACTGCACGAGAGCCACACGATGGACAGTGGCCAGGAGAAAGGGGGCCAGAGAGAGCCCCAGGGGGGCGAGGTAGAGAACCAAGGGGTGACGGCCGTGGAAGTGACGACCGTAGAAGTGGCGAGGGACGGGATAATCGCCCAAGCAGAGGGGATGAAAGTCGGAAGCGTCGAAGTGATGAAGGAGCGATCGACCCTCGAGGCCACGACAAAAGACCTCGACGTATGTAATAAGCCATGGTATCCGAGATTGTCGGTACGTATATCGCGAATGGCATTGTAAGATTTCGTGCGTCATTTGAAGATTTAGATATGTCTTCTAGAACATTCACCTTTTTAATTCATATGCATTGGGAGGGCGTTTGAACGTCGTCAAAATACGATTAGTGCATTTCATGGTGGCGAAGGGCTATTCATTTTAAGCCTATTGGTGGTTCTTACGTATATACGTACCTACAATCTCCTCTACCGTTTCTCCTTTGTGTTTGGAGGGTGAAGTTGCTACAATATGTATGAAAATAAATAGTATAGGAGAGAAATATTTAGGGTATTCTCTTTGAAAACTTGGTTAGAGATGATGCCGTTGTGGAGTGAAAGTGTTGCCATTGTTCGAAAGATATGCACCTCTGTTTCTTTGAAGACACGAAAAAATCTGGATATTATCTACAAGTAATATCTTACAAGTGTAGAGTACTGATCTGATACCTTTAAGCTTTACCCCGGCTCGCGCGGGACAAAATAGATGGCAATACCAGCTTATTACTCTGTAAATTTATTACATAATTCAGAGCGGGCAAGCAGCTTAAATTGGAATTTTGTTTGAATAAATTTCAAAAGAGTATATCTATATGGTATAATTAACGCATTTATTCAGAGCAAACATCGTGCTGCGACTGCCACTTATCATGTCCACCGCGAGCTGCCTTTCTCTGCTAAAACTACACTTTTCCTGCTTTGAAATAGTCTTCTTTCACATTGAGAATACGAGTCGGGAAGAGAGTAACCATGGCATATATTCATTCAAAGACGGATATTAGATTGAGTATCACGGAGCAGGGCCACATTGTGTATAGTTGTGGAAAAGAAACAATCACTCAAACTGCGGTTGTGTAAAGAACTTAACCAGTGTATCACAGCTACCTCCCGTATGTCCCGGAGAATGTTGCTGTAATGACTGGGTAGTAAGGCATCGGATCCCTTCACTAATTCAATAGTCCGCGGTGTCGACTAGTACGTGCTTCAGTTTAAGGGTTCTTGTGGAATAATAGTTCTCTGTCTTTCATTTGAAGACAAGGGCGTTGAGGTTGAGATCTAGTGTTTGTGTTTGTGTTTATTTCGTTGCGCGCAGTCTATGTAATCATCAGAATCAAGTATAGGATAACTGAATTTAGTTTTCACATTTATTTAGTACAACTGTTTTATGATTCTCCTCCTCGGCCTGTCGTTCTCTAAAAGACAAATAACAGTCCTTGTATTCCTTATACTACCTATGAAACTCCAATAGATCGTTCCTTCGTATAGTGTAGAATTTGGCCATACCAGTGCTTTCTCCACGTCCTTGCGGGCGTCTTTGTTTCGGATAGTCGACATTTATCTTATAGCACAAGGATCGAGGTTATCCGCATTTATAGCAAGGGGTATGTAGGAGGGGTCTGGAGGTCCAAATACGGCCTCTGGATCTTGAGATCCAGGGCTTGGCCGCCTATTGTGATTTGTATGTCTGATAAGTTATTGAGATACTCGTTGTAACATCTTTAACGTAAAGCGGGTGAAGGAAACGTAGTTGACAGAACTTATAGGTATTTCAAAGTCATGCGATAAATGTAGAGAAGTTGAGGGGTATGATTACAGAGGATAATGGCTGCCGTTAATTTGAGATTAAGTAAAATCAACCAGACTCGTGGTGGACAACTTAAGTGTTAGTCACCTACGCACTGATCTATAGACTTGACAAGCCGATTTCGAATAGAGCCCCAGGAGGTATCATTCACTCATAATAATAGACGGAGCATGTGATATTGTGCCAAGTTAATTCACCAAATGTGTAATATTTCGTCAATTCTTTTAAGAGAATATTGTGACTCGACTGCCAGTTGTTTTTGTTTTGTCTTCCACGAGAGCACTTGTAATTCGAGACAAAAAAAGCTAAGCACTCACCCATCTATTACGAATCCATATCCTAAAATTGGGTTGTTATTAGAAGGTAATTTACTAATAGAAAAATGCATTCTATTAGTACGCGGTCTAACGAGGTTGTCACGATGTACCTCACGATATCAAAAAATATATCTTCAAAACTCCAAAAAGATATCTTTCGCACTTGCCCTCGGACGGAATCGAACCGGCAACCTCGTCATATCACGTGATAGTGAGTTTACTAGTGACGCGCTCTACCATTGAGCTACGAGGGCTGTTGTGATTGGTTGAAGAAGATTTTTATTTTTATATCTATATACTTTACCACATTGTGAGCTACACAGACGAGGCAGACCCACTAAGAATCCGTTTAGGTAAACGAACCCAACCGACTCGCGGATACGGTAGTGGGGACCGGGCGACTACCCGATGGGTGGAACAGGGCAGGGACGGCTCCGGGAGGGGGTTGCAAGCGGACTCTTGGTTCCGCTGTCAGAAGGGTCCGAGCGGCTTCATTTTCTTCTCGATCTCGCTTGCGTTTGGCCTCCCGGTTTAGCTTGACGGCTCAACTGCTAGTGTTTGGAGTTGCTCCGGCGGTGAAGATGTATGTCTTTCTAGGCTTTGGTCTTTGGAGGGGTCAAGTTGGGTAAGCACTTAAATTCAGAGTGAGTGCAACTGAAGACGGCCCCTTTTTTGTTTGCTTTTTTAACCGAGTTAGACTCGTCCGTTTGGAGTCGTGTTTTGCAATTCAAAATTACATCTTGGTGATCTTGTCCGGTATTCATTAATCAAGTCCAAACACATCTGAATCAGTCTCAACTCCAGCGTCATGTTTGAGTATGTAAACTCCAGGATAGACCTAGAAACATGGAAAGTCTTCAGGGAAGGCAAGACAGCTAAACCCTACTGTCTCTTCCACGGGTAATAATGGCGCCCACTTAGATTTCCCACTTACTCACGTCCTCCCGACCAAATCCTGGGGTTTACTAGTAAGGATTCTTTATCGATTCTAAAGCATTTCCTTGAGACACAAAAATCGTATCGCCAACTGCGGCCAACTACGCGACCAGCTCTTAGTCAATTTGTGCCCAATTGGGTAGGCAGTCAACTAGAACAACTGCCGGGAAGGACTCAGATTTAGCAGGAGGCGAACAAAAAGGTCTGTGTCTATCATGGCACCGATACGATGTTTCTTCCGAGGCACAACTACTTTTCGGACACGGGCAGCAGGAGATAAACACTTGACCACGATCGGGATGAACAGAGGTGGGTGTGGTTTTTTGTGGATAAGTAAGGTTTTCGGACATTCGATCTCGATAGAGTAGTGGTACGTGGACCCTTGGGTGGATAGGCATGTGAGGTGGAGTTACATTACTGGGATTTGTTGGTCGTGAGGGGTCTTTCGTTCAGTGGATCACTACTATATTCTGTCCGTATTTTACAAGGCACATCGAAGTGTATTTGCTTTATCAAGTGGGGATTGGAATATAAGACTCGGATTGTCGGATGAACATGAGTGGTATAATTTTATGGAGCGCAATGAGACGGATACTGTTTCCATTTCGTGGGAGACTTGAGGTAACTTGCGAAGGACATTTGTAATTATATGACAGTGTCGTAGAAAATAACTTTTGTTTATGGAGTGACGAGCAAACACTCTTTGAGAACTCGACTTTTGAGATTCTGAACAAAATTCAGTCAATTTCGATTTCAACAAAGTAATAACAGCAGATACCTACGCAATCATGTAGTCAAACTCACGAAATCTTCAAGTTTGGCTACAATAAAAACCACAAGGAGACATAGACTTTGTATTCAATGTGAACTTTCACTTGCACGTGTGTCACAAAGATGTATCAAAAAGAAAACCTCCGAGTTCAGTAATTGGAAGTAAATTATATTTACTAATTAATTAATCGCCTTTTTATATAACTCTATAGGTCCCATATTTACAAATCTATCATCACGCTTCGTCATTATATGCAGGTCATCAGAAACAATAAACACAAACTACCACGGTCCACGATCAAATGTAGACGTAGCAGAATGGGCCAGCAGTGGTACTCATAAGATCTCTGATCTTGATATCTGGTGCGTTGACACCAAGACTGATAATATCATCGAGCGTACCATCTCTGCTTGGAGGAGAGTTGTTCAGAGTGATGGTACCACCGATTGCGTTCTGTCGGTTCTTGATGTCCTGGTTTTGCCAGATCCACCAAACACGATCGATTTGGCCGTGGTGAAGCCAGAAGACTGGGTCTCCTGGAGATGTGAAAATGTCTCCTCCTGGGTCACCTGCGGCGATGAAGTGTCCTGCGGTGTGAACACCGTACTCTCCATTGGCAAAGTCACCTTGCATGGTGGTTTGGAAATCGTCGATAGTAGTGTATCCGGTGATAAGGTCGGTAGTGTTCTTCTCCGATGCGTAACGAGTGGATACCCATGAAGAGACGTCACGTCTGATACAGCGAGGGTTGTAAACGGTTCCGTTGTTTGGGACGAGACCGACACCCGATAGGGTTGGCGAGACAGGGCCAAGGTTGACTTTAGAACTTTGCGAATGTTAGAAGTATTCTCCTCGCAAGACGATGCATAGACTTACTTCTTGAAAGGACCGGAGTTGATGCAACCGCCACCGGCTCCTGGTGGAACGCAGTTGAGTTGAGTTGGGAGCGCTTGGGTGCAATCGTGGGCTTGGAAAACACCGTTGCCGCTCATACTGTAGTCACTTCCATCGAAGATTGGTGAGTTGGCAGGGTCGTTAGCCCATTTGCCCCAGTTCCAGTACTATCCGGTTGATTAGTCTTGTATGTAAAAGCGGGACATAAGAACTTACAGGTTGGTAACCTTGGTAACCGCACTCATTGCGAAGAGCTTGCTCATATGTCCAGGTGAAATATCTGTGCCACGACAGGAAATTGGCAGTGCCGTGGATTGATAGAGTTTGATTGATGTGGGTGTAGAGGAAGTCATCGTAACGAGACTTTGCTCCAGGGACGACCTTTGAGTCAGTGCGAGCTGGCTTGGACATCAGACACAGAACGGCATCTGTGTATGATTTGCGCTCAGCCTTAGACAGAGTTCCCCTACTCGAAATTAGCGCCAATCTACCAGAAACTGCCGGTGGGGGTTCTCACCATTCTCTTCTCACAGCGGTGTTTGCCAAAGTGCAGGTTTGCTTAACACCAGCAAAAAGCTGAGTAATTTGGTAGGTTGCGAGGTTGAGAAATCCCTTTGCTGCGAGAATATCGGTATCAATGGTAAGTGCTGGCAGAGAGCTGGCGGTGCTGACTGCCAATAAAGGCGCCAGAGCGACGGTCGAGAAGCGCATTGTGATTGTCGGATCTTCTTCGAGAGTTGTGATGGAAAGTTTATCACTCGGAACTCTGATTGTTGAATGCTTGGTCCGTTGCTGAATGCTGCGAATGATGATAATTTGGGGACCAACGACGAGTATTAAAGCAACACCAGCCCTTGTCTATTTCTGAGAGTCTATTGATATTTTGTACATCGGACATTGGTGGGCAATGCTGCATGGGTCTGCGGGGCAATACTCTGCAATTTTATGGCCCTGCAGTTGGAGTTTTGTGGTCTGTAAGGTAACATCGGCCAATGGCCAGTGGCGAGGTGTGGGGAATACATGAATAAATTCCACTTTCGAAACGGGTCTGGCCTCAAAAGAAGCAAAGGAAGTTTCCAAAGACTCTGCCTTACGACAGTAGGACTGCAGTAGTACAGAGTGACAGCTCTTCTTAGAGCATTATTTTGGCGTCTTGGAGCGCTGTCACGTTGTCGAAAGATAAACTAGCGATGTACAAACTCTAAAGTAGCAATCAGGGTCCACAGAGACTAGACAATAGTCTCTACTACAATGGATTTACGGACCCGGAATATGCACGATACAAACAAACGTGTTACTCAGAATCAGGAATTCAATTCGGCGTTGAACGAATTTACCGAATTGCCGAGTCAATTTGATCGACTTATCAAGCCATTTCTTCGCCGGCGACGCTATTCAATGCTTTGCCAAAAAAGCATGTTGTCCGTCTCCTAGGTTCACAATGTAACTTGATGCGTTATAGGAAGTGATATGAATTTCTATCTCATTATTGATTTGTCGGCCTGGCCATCTATGTTTGGGGCGAAGCCACAGAGAGGTGGGGTTTTCTGACTGTATTGGGGAGGTAATCTATGCAGGTCCTCTCTACCTTTTCCAGGGTACTGGGTCATGCCACGATGATCTTCAAGAGGCGTGCTTTTGCCACGCATTGCTTTGCAGCAAAAACGATTTGCCGGCAGCCGAAAAGATATCAGTCCACATGAGGAGTGGGATTCGAAGGTTCTGTCAGTTCTTACTTTCGATGAACATTTCCTATTCTGGAGAGATACGCCCAATGGACGAGGATATCGCGGCAAGAACCTTCACAATATTAATCTTGCTGTTCTGAAATTCAATATGTCTTTCAATAGTCTTCTCGCAGTTTCTTGGAAGTTGGAAGGGCTGAGACCAAAGTCGCAGATGCTGAAAAGTCGGCGCGTGTTGTTGATGTTCTGCAATTCTATATATACTTCAAAAGCTTTCACTCACTTCCTTGGAAGAACTCAACCCGGAAGCATAGGGTCATAGCCGCTTCAAGTTGGCGAGCATTTTTACCATTCGTTGTACTCACACTATCACAAACCTTCGAATCCGACACTCAGAATTTCCTCCACAGAAGTAACACAATAGGCGGTGTCCTTTTAGGTAAAGTCGCTTTATTACCCTGCTTCCTCAATCCATTGCCTTGTCTACTGCTCCTGATGTCTCCTTCCACTTGGACCAGAGGAGGAAGGACAAGTCAACGGAAAGCTACCACTCGACAGTCAACAGCTGGTCTACAATTTGGGGATCAAAAATGATTTTTTTGGTTTTTCTTAAAGTATTAGTAAACTCAAAAATGTGAATTGCAAGTCCTTTCTCCTCATACGGAAGAGCCGCCAATTCAACGGCTGCAGGATGGTTTATTTTGTGTTAAATGATGTCAAAAAGCTGCCCAAAGATTTTTTCATCAAAAGGACAACGAAGTAAAGCATCAGTCAGATATACTTGTCAATATTGAATTACCAAAGTAATTGAACAGTAATCGTGTACCTACTCAGATAGAAATCGGCGGCGTAATTTTCCAAGGGGATGACATCTCATGGCTTCTCGAATGAAATGTAGTGGATGGAAATGCAACCGAAATACATACAACCAACAGGTTCTGCTGGCTCATTTGACATCTGATAGGTAGATACCCGTAAGAAGGCGGTAATACACCAGTGCGTCAAGCGTCTCACAAGACACCCGTTTCACTAAGACTTTGTAAAATTTACTGTATCTAGAATTTAGAATCTTGGGTTGAGTATCCGTACGTGAGGGTAATGAACTTACAAAAGGAGGTAAGTCTACTCCATACTGGTCTTTCACAATACGTATTTGGATTTGATCTCAATATTGCGGGATACCTGTCTCATAGACCCCCAACACACCAGTGACCAAAAAACAATGTTCCGAACACTAAAAATATCTCTTGCAAGCCGGTACAGAAGATCGTCAAGATTCTAAGATCCAAAAGCAAAACTATTTGGAAGGTGCTGAACAAGTCTCTGTGACCATTCGAAGCACGTTTGAGGGGAGTGCCATGTTCCATGGAAATACCTTTTCGCAAAGTTTCAATCAATTCACTTGCGAGAAACATCAGCTCAAGACTCGCAACCATATTCTTTCGGGCTGTAAAACTCTTCAGCTTCTTCAAATTTGCGGATTTTAGGAAGTAAAATAGACCATCAGGGAGACAATTGTTGTTTTCTCCACCGAGAGCTCAAGCATATGCTAAATTCCAACCGTTCGGGCATGTTTCTAAATGCTCACGACAACGTGAATTACTGCGCTCGGTCTGAGTTTACCGAATACGTCCCTGGCTAATCTTTATCATATCTATCAGTTATCATTTGCAGCAAGAACGTGCTGACCTTGTGCGTTCGTGTGCCTGGACAGTCCCAGATTACGAAAAACGTTCTCGAAGCGTTCTCTTTGGACTTCCCTGGCCTATATAAGCAGACTTATGACAACGTATTTGGGCTAGTATATCCGGGTCAATCGTTGTTTGGTATGCTCGATTTCCATAATTCCCAATTACCCAAAACTAGGACGATTTGGTCGATACCGTCGCCATTAATTCCACGATGTTACTACTTTCCATCAACTCTTCTTCTTTTGAGATGTTTCCCGTACCCGGAGCATCACTAATCCTCGGCACGACCCTTTTGTGTCGATTACATGCCGAGTGTTGGTGCGTGAGGTTGCGCGCTCTTCTGCTCCACATGGCGAAATATCCAACCTCTCGCATCTCCCCGATGTGGGCCACTCCGTCCCCCACTTGTTGCCCCGTCTCCCGCTTTCACAATTTTCATCTTTCACAAGTTGTTCTGGCAAAACCATCTGGATAATGTTCCTTCCATCACGGATATTCATGAAATCTGGTTCTTGAAACTTAGCATCAAACGTTTGCTATCCACGTCGTCGATCGTTTCTTCTCGCTTAAGCCAATCTGATGAGCTGAAACAGTCCCAATTTCAGCAAAGTTGCTCACGGGTTGCCACACGTGGGAATCCTACAGGAACAAGCTTTCTTCATTTTATGCGAAGGTGACAGAGTTGCATTGTGGCGGGGAAGAACGATTGTAGGGTACTCATTTTCATTGGTGTAGACTTATCCTTCACTGCGAGTTCCTTCGCTTAGAGGAAAGTCTCATGTCTTCGAATCACCTCGGCGAGAGTTTCGCCCTTCGCAGCGGACCCTGGCTATCAAGATCTCATATCCTTCATGAGGACCCTGGGTACAACAGGGATAAATCTTCTACAAGCCTTCTCGGGGAAAACAGGCTAAATGGCGTGTGTAAGGTTGAGTATGGTTGACACATCAGTGACCAAAACGTAAGGCTCGTGTCACTCATGGCGAAAGCTATGGCGTTCTACATCGAGTATCCCCAGAAACAATATATTGTTTAGGATCAAATTGTGTGGCGGTTTGTACTTCTCGAATCAAAGAGTTTCTTCTGATCCAAGTTCTTACCAGTAGATGTAAGCACGGTTTGGGGAAGAAGCCGAAAGACAAGACATAAGTGTATCGCTTGCACCGCACAGATAGTACCCCCTTGTCGTCATTAATACCTCGAGTACCGCTTTTTGACTAACGGCAATTCCACCGTATTCAGACGCCTCAACCGTCCGGTATTACCCTCCCGAAAGTCCGGGTTTCCAAGTGTGGCAGCTGAGTTGAACCTCTATCACTCCCCTGAAGCCCCTCGATTGCAGGGACGTTTTCAGTCTGGGAAAGGTTCTTCAACGCGCAAAACGTGCATACGCTTCCTAACAAGTATAAGATCATCACCTGCGTTAGAACCTCCCCAATTACATCTGGAGGCTCGAACCCGATCTGTTTCTTGCACCTTCATATGATTACCAGGTACTAATACGATCGATCTCGCCAGCGAGGATCAGCAAACCATCGCCCTGGATAGAGTTCCATTGACTTGGCTACAACAACCGCGAATCTCTTATATGGTTATACACGCGCTTGAATCGGTATCATAGTAGCAATGGCGCCTTCAGCTCCCTCATTGTCTCTGGACAATTACAACCTACAGTTCGAAAATGTAATGCGACAGTCGACCTTGGATCCTATGACTGGAGCACCACTCAGCGATGACAAGTCTACGAACGCACCTTCTATATTAGCGATCAACGGAGCGCTATGCGGAGTTACGTTACTCGTTGTTCTGGCGCGATTCTATGTTCGGTCTGTGATGTTGAAAAGTGTTGGTGCCGATGATTGGTTCATGGGGTTAGCAATGGCTTGCGGCGTTGGAACTTTCGTCTGTTTCATTGGAGAGACGCATCATGGGATTGGAATGAATTCAGACGCAATTCCATTCGCGGAAACAATCAAACAATTGCATTGGAACTTTGTAAGTCCTCCTAGTGTGCTTTGATGGCGTCCCGAGAACCTACTTGGGATTACTTTACGCCGACGTGCTAGAATATACAACTAACTCCCCGTACAGTTCCATTCCATTATCGTCACAGTAGGAATCTCCTTCATCAAACTATCCATTGCTTTCTTTTTGCTGCGGTTGGTACCAAGTAAGAAATACAAGATGTTTCTGTACTGTACTATTGGTATGTTCGCTATACCTTAAAACCGATTCAAGCACAAATGCTAATCATTAATCACCCATAGCTTTCTTAGCGGCTTTCCTGCTCACGAGTGCTTTTGTAAGTCAAATCTCATCCAATAAGCTGGTACTCTATTAATACTTCTGGTATTTAGACTATTATATTTGCCTGCCTTCCAGTCAGAGCAAACTGGGATCTTGTGCTTGCCAAGACCGCGAAATGCTACAGCAAAGACACCTTTACTGCAATCGTAAGCCTAAATGAATTTGCCGAAGAATTTGGGACCATGCTAACTTTTTGGTTTTAGGGACTTTTTAACAGCTGTAAGTTATCGAAAATTGGTGGTTGGATAAGTGCTTGAAACTAATTACTTTTAGCAATCAACATCATCACTGATGTCCTGTTCGCTACCCTACCTATCCCTATGGTTTGGAATTTGCAAGTCAACATGCGAACCAAACTCTCGCTGGTTGTCATTTTGAGTTTAGGATTATTGTAAGTCTCCTGCCTCATCTTTATGGCAACTATCCACTGACCAAAACTCCAGCGCCTGCGCCGCAGCAATAGTCAAAACAGTCCTTCAGTCAAAGCTATACGTAACGCCAAACACCACTCGAAACGATACCTATTTCATCTGGAACAGCGTCGAGCTCTACATCGGAATCCTCGCCGCATCTCTACCTTCCCTACGACCACTATTCAAGAGCTTCCTCGATTCTACAAAAGCGTTGCGCACGAAGATGTCCAGCAGTGGGAACCAGAAAATCGGTACCAGACACAAGTATTACATGCAGGAAGACGCGATTGCGATGTCCAACATGGGAAGCTCGAACGGGAAGAACAGGAAATACGATGTCAAAGTCACAACCAAGGACATGGACAAAGACGATTTCGGTACCAAGAGTACGCAAGATGGTGGAAGCAGCTACGAAAGTGTGGAAGGCATATTACCGATGCAGGGGATACAGAAAACAGTCAATATCAGCGTTACGAGGTGATGAATTGGAACTTTCTCATTTTGGGGAACCGGTCTGGCTGGCCGTCATGCAAAAAATTTATGTTCTTGAAGGTGTTTTAATTTGGGTACTCTTTTTGGGGTGCAAGCAGGATACCATTGATGCGCTCGCGGCATGTTTCGTATGTATGGTGTTATGTATTATGTATAAAGAATTGGATGAGGGTACGGGTGTTTGGACCGGCTGGAGGAGGAAAAGCGGTTACTGTAGGGGCATATTCAGTTACTGTATTTTCTAGCACAATACAGAGGAGAATGTCTGAAGGACTCCCCACAATACTACAATGGGCCTTTTTGACTCTCAACAAGTCTTCAGTCGACTCGCTTGGTGAATGCCAGATTGGAAATGCATTTGACCCAGGAGGCATTCCCGTCCGTTAAACGTGCCAGTTGACATTTGTACGTGGTTATGGGTGCCTAATAAAAGGTCAAGTCCAAGATTTCTTACTCAACTTAAACAATTGAAATATCAATACGACCTTGACTCTATCTTATTATAAAGACGGCAACTAAATTATGCGTTACAGCTTCTGTGCTTCATAACCTTGGCATTGGCTGAAGGCTTTACGATTCATTCTTTACATATATTTGCATTCTCTTAAAGTCTTTCGACTTAGTACTTTTCCTCTGCAACTTGTCGACCCTTTTACGGGGGAGAAAGAAATCCATTTTGACTGATAATGTACAGAGTGTATAGGTACAAATTGGGCGTAAAAAATAGACGTCAACGTTATCAGTACACTGAGAAAAGGTTTGGCCGAACTATCTACAGCCAAAAGCCTCTTGGTACTTTACAGTGACCTGTCTCTTCGGTTCGTCTATAGAAGTGCTAACGCACCTCCTAGAAGAATTATACTAAATCAGCGTGGTGTACAAGATAAACAACGAGAGAGATCTTAGAGTTACTTTAGATAGTATCAAAAAGCCAACACCTAACAAGTATTCGTCTATTGCCGAGTACTTTCATACGCCCAATCACTTATGTACGCCCTGAAAAAGATGGTTACAAAGCAACTTGAATGGCCAAAATACAGTAACTGATTGTAAAGCATACTATTTCGTGCGAAGCAAAAGCTCAGAGAATGGGGATCTCTACCTAGAACCTGGATCTGACTCGTGATGTCTATAATAAATACTATTTATGACAAGAGAGAGTAAAGCTTCGTTCTCGTGGTCGGCGTCCAACGCCAGATAGCTTCAACTTGGCTTGAGGTAATGATAAGTCATGCGACAGGCGACAGGCGACAAAATGTAGCACATTTATATATTTTGACTTTGATACTGATGAATCATGGAAGTGCGATATACACGAAAGCTCACCAGTGCCATCATAGTTTTACTGTCAGACTCGAAATTTCGATCTAACCGATGAACAGAGTCTCATATCCAATATAAATGAATTGTGGCAGTAATTAATATTGCGCCATATAACTAAAGCAGGTCTGATGTTCCCAATCCTTCTCTAGACTCCTTCATCTCAAAGTAATCATGTAGCAACCTTAATATAGCAGGCCCTTACAGCTAGCTACTAGGGTAGGATATCTGACGACTCGGTGGATACTGAATAGATACTCAATGGGTACAGAGGGGTACTCTGATATTGCGACATGCAACAAAACTCAGTCTGATCCCCACTCGTGTCCCAAGCAAGACTCCGCCAGTAAATCATTAATAAAGCTTTGTATTCTCGGTGTCTGGCAACTTGCAGGCAATTAACAGAGTACGACATGCAATAAGGTCTATCACAGTTCGATTAAGGTAAAACTGTAGCCTAGTTTCAACCGATGATCAGAAATACGATATTCAGCAAAAACAATTTGGTGTTTACTGACCGACTCGTGGTTTCACTTATAGTTGCCTACCTTCGTAGGTATGTAGTCTTGCCGTATTGAGCCTTACAGCTCCTTGTGCAAGATGACCTTGTGATTCGACGGCGACTCGACGGGTACTCGATAGGTACTCGTTGGGTACTGTAATTGCGACATGCAACAAAAGCCATCCCAGGTCAAGAGTAGATCTTGGATTTGCATTGTTTCAGGAAGGGTGTGCAAACGCTTAGTTGAGCTACAAAAAATAGAGGTTTTGACTGACTGATATCTTGCGACTTAAGATCATTAACAAAATTGATGCAGGCTAAACTAACACATCCATCTGAGAAGAAGCTGTTAAAAGACTCCGTAACCTACAAGAATAAGCATTAAGCTATTTAGGAGTTTGATGGTGCGGCGGTCGTCGATTTTACAGATTCTAGGGCCACCGGTCTTTGGGCTGAAAAACAAATCTCAACGCTTGATCAATCCAAATGATGAGGTGGGAATAAAAGCTACTTGGGATCATGTAATTGATATAAAGAGTGTCGACACAATTGCATGGATTTAATTATCTCTGTGAGGTGATTAAGTTCATGAGTATAAGTGGCTTGGACCTAGGACTTCCCGTGTTTTGTTTTGCCCAAAAATCTCACTCGAGAAGAAAAAACAAACGTGAGGATATATTGCCATATTTTATTTGTCCTCCTACTGGCGTGCTCCAAGAGTATGAGAATTCTCAGGTCGGTCGATGGGGGGGAAATAAGGAGATGTTGGTTTCACAAGGGCTATAATATAAAATCGGCAAGAATAACTTCGTGGCAAGCGTTTAAGCATAAGTAGCTCAATCACTGATATGGGAATGTATAGGGGTAATTTCTCGCAGAATGAGATCGAAAATATGATTCGGAAAATGATGTGTAGGAGCACTACATCTGTTGTGAAAGGCTAAATTTTCTCATCGTGGATCTGGTAGCATGAGGATGAGAAGTACGTCGCGCAAAAAATAGCAATTATCAAGCAAGAGCCCATGAACGTACTTAGGATCCCGTTCTCAAGTATAATCAAGGCTTTTATATCTGCCTGCTGACCATATATACTCGAGGAGCAAGTGGCCCGTAAAAAGGTCGTAGGAATTCTTCTGTAATTGAACTAACCAACTTTCGTATAAATGAATGCACTTCTTGACGGCTTAAAATCATCAATCAAGTAGGATTAAGATCGAATGACTGTTTTATGAGGCTGAGCGGACGAGGTGTGCAAATTTCAGGTCAGGCGCGCTAGTTGAGCTCCTACTCGATCCTCCAACATCTCTGTGCAAAACACTTTTCCCGCGACAACACATGTAAAATCACCAAAATTGTGACTAAGATGATTTTTTGAACGAGATGTTTTTAAATTCTACCAGAAAAATGAAATGCTTGAAGCGACAGAAAACAAAACCAAAAGCAGACAAATGCATCATTTCGCAGTGGAAAACCATATCCCAACCAACGCCTATGCAATGGAACCAAAACGAATGACAAAAGGAAAAAAATGCAACCCAGTCCTAAGACTAAAAACCTCCCTAAAATATATCATGTGAAGAAGAGAAGATGAGCGAATGTACAGTACAAAATGAGTACCCCGCAAAGTTGAATCGTGGAGATATTTTTGAAAGCGAAAGTGTATGAGATCGAACTCCCAGAATGGGATGTAAGAAATGCTAAACAATGAATGTGGTAATCGTACTGCAAAGTGAAAGATTGTAATCGCACCGAAGCGTAGATGTGGACGAGCTCGTGCCAAATGAAATGAGTGTGCTGTGAAAGAGTTGTAAAACGAGTGTGCTGGTCGCGAGCTGAATGAAGTTTCAAGGTAGCTGAGCTATAAGAAGGAATGTGTGTGAGGCCAAGCTCAGGCTGTAGTGAACGTTTAGCGAAAGAATGTAGTGGAACAACGCTCCGAAGTAAAGACCGTAAATGTGCTGATAAGCGATCGTATGAAGTGTAAACTTCAGAAAAGCAGTCTGTTAAGTGAGTGTAGGTGAAACATCATGTCTGAAGAAGAAAGCTCTAAACCTGTAAAGAGTGTGAGAGACAATATATGTCTCAGCAAATCATAAAAGAAAGTTTTGCTATTTCGTGCTAGCGAAACGAGAGAAAATGAAGCGACAGGTAATCATTCTAAAGAATGTCAAAGCGAATGTGCTGTACACAGTACAGATAAGTGAAATGGTAGTGATTGTAAGATGCTTCCCGGCATCTAATAAGAAGCGAGTCTCTTGTGTGAGTAGGAGTCACGGCTGCTATGCTGAGAGACTATAGAGGGTGTCTTTCTGACAGGGAGTTGGTAGTTGAAAGATCCAAAAAGTTCTTTGGTACTGGTCAATGGAGGGTCAAACTCCTCAGGAGTAGAGCAGCCAGAATAGTCGTCAGAATCGGAATCCCAGTCGAACTCGGAAGACTGTGGTGAGCAAGACCCATACGAAGACCCAGATCCGTATGATGACGATGCAGAACCATATGATGATGACGCTGAACCGTAAGAAGATCCTCGATCGCTAGATGAGGAGCGGCGAGATGGTGAGGATGAGAGATATTCAATTTCATCTAAATCCTCAGCTGTGATTGGCTTCGCTATGCGCTCGCTAATTGACCGGGTGATTGGACGATGAATTGATGGAAGTTGAGGAGATGGTTGATCTCTGTATGTCTTCTGAGCAGGTTCTCTGATATTTGCAGATCGCCATTGCTGGGATGGAGCTGGAGGAGAACGACGAGAACGTTGACCGGCGGCAGACTTGATAATGTTAGTGGAATACGCAACACATTTGCTGCAGAATGAAGGACTTACCCAAGTAGAACGTCTCTTTGGGAGCAATGGATCAAATTCCTCATCCTCGTAAAGGGTTTCAAGAGTTGTTGGTAGAGAGTATGAGTGTGTTCTTCGCTTTGGTGGTTCTGGCTGAGGAATCCAAAAATCATCATCAAACATATCATCTTCAATAGAAGCACCGCATTTTGCGTTGCTCATACTGTCTTCCATGAGTGCTTGGCTCAATGCTTCAATGTGATCTTTGACATTCTGAGTGATGATATCTTTAGCGCGGGTGTCGGTGATGTCGCCAGCCTTCCCATAGTTGAGCTCCTTGATAGGGAGAGACATGAGGTACTCTGTAAGAGCAGCAACATGTGGAGCGGCCTCAAAGCTTGCCTTTCGACTTCTGATCTTGGGTGAGGTCTTCTGTTCGATTTGTCCATTTTCACGTCTAAACTCCTCGAGTCCATCTTCCTCGCCCTCATCGCCACCTGATAATCTTCTGTATTCATGTCCTGCTGAATCTAGGGTAATGAGAGGCTTTTCAACTAAGTCGTCTGAGACTGCAGACACCGCGTGAGGCTCCATGCTCTGTAGGTTGGGTGACTGTTGTGGTGATGTTGAAAAAGAAGGAAAGGAAAAGATTGACTCTGTTTGCTCGGTTTGCTTCATCTCTGATGAGGAGTCCATTTGCAAAATGCTAGTTGTACGTTCGGGCAGGAATTTGAGGAAATTGTGTGGCAGATCGACTGACAGCACAAGATGAAGTCCCTGGGAATCTGTGTGTGATGCTATTAAAGTTGTGTGGACAGTGTATATGAAAAGAAATATTAAGTCCAACTCGAGATTGTCGGAGTACTGTGTTGATGAGAGAGGCTTACTGTTTTGGAATGTTAAGAAGATCAAGCAGCTCTTCGACTATATAATCCATTGACTGAGCGACGGAGCAAGGTCAGACGACCATGGGGTTTGTGAAAAGAAATTGTTAGTCGCATTGTAAACTTGATCATTCCAGAACAATAGGATGGGGAGGATCTCAACAGTCAATTCATGACGAATTGCTACTAAATGGCAGTGTAGGTCACAGTGGAATCCTGCATACCATGCGAATGATAGCAACTTCCTTCACGGAATAGCCAAAATCTGGGGAAATGCCGAGAAGGATTGGCAGATCTCCAGATTATGCTGAATGGGAAGGTAGAATTGCTGGCCTCATGTCAATGAGCTCAACAACTGGGGAGTACTGCGCAGTTTTCTATTCCAAACACAATCATTCTTACCAATAGCGAAGCAATAGTACATCGAACGAAGGTTGTTGTTGTTGAGTGGCTTAACCAACTGTCTTCGTAGCCGGCCTCAAACGTGATCGCGGTCCAGAGCGAAGGAGTGCTGTGTACAAGGGTGCAGAGCCTCCAAGATAAACGTGCAATAAACGATACCAATTGCATGGCCGAAAGGGTTGGGGAGCTCTGCAGGTGGCAGATTAACGAAGTCCAACGCGCAGAAAATAAAGTGTTGCTTAGAGGGATGCAAATCCGATCCTGTTGGTACGGCACTAGACCATGTTTCCGTACTCAATCTGGTCATTTCACAATCCCGCAGCTCGCTTAGTTCCCGACGTCCAATGGGTATGAGAATCCTTGACTCTATTCAAACAGCCACATCTGACACTTTCCAACTGGTCTCTCGGGCATTAGACGTCACGGTAGTCATGGAGCCGGCGTTCTGGAAATGTCATGTGCTCATGCGTTGGCGAACCAGGTGGGACAGTAGGCTCCGAGACTTCTTCGTGACTTTCGAGATGCGGTAGAGCGAAAGGATGTATTTTGACTGGCGTGCGTGGGTTTACGTCGTCGTGTGGTCGTCTGTTTATGTTTTTGTTTCGAAATAAGGACAGTTGGAAATGTCCCGGCTGGCGCTAGCAAGTGATATTAATAACATCGGAAAAACTAAAAACCGTCCTTGTCTCAGCTGCTGCCGGAGAATCGCCGGCTGGTCCTCCGACCAGTGATTTTTTGTCGCCGATGCTCAGCCGACTCAGCCTTGCGAAGTTCAAAACCACAACCTACGTTTTTTTTCTGCATGAGGAATTTGCGATCTCATGTACTTTGGGGGAACTTGAGACGTCGTGAAACTCCTGTGATATATCCATGGAGATTTTTCTTCAGTTCGATGGCGCCTACCAACGATATAACAGCCACACCCGCTGCCGACCAACATATCAGTCATGGCGGGAAGGACTATACCACAATTAAGGAAGGACTAGCTTACATCCTCATACCGGCGTCAGCCTCGAAGATCCCGCAGACCACTCCAAAAGGGGCAAACGCACCCCAATCGGTTTTTTACAACCCCATACAACAGTTCAATCGCGACTTGAGCGTCCTTGCGATCAAAGCTTATGGCGAGGAAGCAATAGAACGCAAAGAAAGATCTATCGCAAAGAACAAGCAGAAAATACAGGACAAGAAACGAAAACGCGAGGATGATGGATTGCGAGACAGTTCACGAAAAGCTGGCAAGATTGAGAAGGAGAAGGGTGCTATTGGAAGTGCAAATCCTGGGCCAGCCGCGGAAATAGTCTCTGAGTCTGTAGTGGAGGAATCAACAGATACTCAGCAGGATAAGGAGAATGGTTCAGTAGAGGCTGCAAATGCTGTCGTGGACAATTCTGTGTCAATTGGAACGAATGGAGATGTTGAGATGGTTACAGCAGATGAGCAACTGTTAGTGGAGCAAAAGGCAGCCAGTGCTAAAACCACTGAAGCACCATCCATCGAGGCCATTCCTGCAAAGGACAATCTATCATCCCAGCCTAAAAAGCCAAGTTTTACAATACTAGACGCATTGTCAGCTACTGGTCTTCGTGCGCTGAGGTATGCTCATGAGATCCCTTTCACCACCTCTGTGACAGCAAATGATCTTCTGCCGGATGCCACCAAGAGTATCAAACTGAACGTCCAACACAACAAATTGGAAGACAAAATCCAAACTGTCACAGGTAATGCCTTGTCTCACATGTATAATGTGGCATGCGGTGAGTACAAGGAGAACGGAAAGCCAAAAGCTAAATACGATGTGATTGATTTGGACCCATATGGAACGGCTGCGCCATTTCTTGATGCCGCCGTCCAGTCGGTGAAGGAAGATGGTGGACTTCTATGTGTTACATGTACAGATGCTGGCGTATGGGCATCGAATGGATACCCAGAGAAAGCATTTTCACTGTACGGAGGAGTTACAATCAAAGGCCCACAGTCCCACGAAGGTGGTCTACGGCTCATTCTTCATGCCATCGCAACGTCTGCGGCAAAATACGGCCTGGCGATGGAACCACTTCTATCATTGTCAATCGACTTCTACGCACGGGTATTTGTCAGAATCCACAAGTCCGCAAACGAAGTCAAATTTCTAGCTGGAAAGACAATGGTGGTATACAATTGTGACGAAGGATGTGGTGCATGGACAACTCAGACCATTGGCAAGAACAAACTCGCGGCGAACAAAAGTGGAAAGGGACACTTTTGGAAGCATGTATATTCTCAGGCACCATCCGCAAGCGAACATTGCGTCCATTGCGGTATGAAAACACACATGGCCGGACCTATGTATGGCGGACCTATGCAATCACCCGAATTCATCAAAAAGATTCTAGATGGATTACCCAACGCATCAAAAGACACCTACCAAACCCACGCCCGAATCGAAGGCATGCTATCCACAGCACTAGAAGAACACCTCCCACCCATCGTCGAAGACACCAACTCACCAACACACCCCTCCAAAACAAACCGCTACGACCCCGCTGCCCTAGATCTCTACCCCTTCTTCTTCATCCCATCCACCCTCGCAAAAGTCCTCCACTGCGTCACGCCACACGAGAACGCCGTCCGTGGCGGCCTCCGCCATCTCGGCTACAGAGCCACGCGTTCCCATACCAAAGGCGGCTGTATCAAGACCGATGCGCCGTGGGAGGTTATCTGGGATGTGATGCGCGAGTGGGTGAAGCAGAAAGCGCCAATCAAGGAAGGGGCGTTGAAGGAGGGGAGTGCTGGGTGGCGGATTTTGAGACTTGGTGAGGGTGAGGTTAAAGAAGGAGAGAAGCCGAATTTGAAGGTTGTGTTTGATGAGAAACTGGGCATGGAGAGGGATGCGAAGAAACTTGTGAGGTATCAGATTAATCCGAGGGAGAATTGGGGGCCGATGAATAGGGCTAGTGGGAAGGATAAAGCGTAGGGTTTGATGTGGGATGGGAAGCTTGATGAGTGGATGTGGATCTAGATGTGGTTGAGGAACTTAGCTGTTGTAGACTTGCCATGGTTTATGTCTACGTAGCTAGCATATATCACGAGCGAGTTACCTGAATGATCAATTATACCCAAGTGTTTGTTGATCTCATCTTGGATACCGAAATATGGTTTAGTTTGTTATGTGGTATTTGTCGTTTCAGCTGAGTTATTCAAAAAGCAAACCTATTTATTAGGCTAGCCAAGTCTCAGATTCTTGGTTTACCCTACTTTCTAAGCGAACTCTCATCACCCGATCTATTTTGTTGCTTAGTAAACTCATATAACAAGCTAACCACTATTTTGGAACAAAGGATGAAAGCCCCTATTTAAACTGTCGCCTATTACTTCGAGTTCGAATGGCTCTAGGCTGCCTTTTAGGCGAGTAAGGGAATAGACAGTCAGATCAAACCCAAAACTTGAAATTGGTTGGGCGAAATGCGGGAAAAATAGAGAAGGACACAAACCGTAAAGTGCCACCTAGATTCTAGACCATGATATCTCATAAATAATACACTCACTACGAAACTCCATTAACCAGCCTCTCCCCCTCCGCCTCCTGACCCTCCAAACTCCAATCCCTAACCGCCCCCTTCCAATCCGACACCCTCCCATTCGTAATCTTCACCACCACAACCCTCACATCCTCACCCTCAATAAAACTCTCCCTCCCCCCATCACAATCCTCTCTGCGATCCCACCCACCCCCATTCTCCTCCCCGCCATCAAACGTATTATTCTCCAAATGCTGCTCCTTATAATACCGTTCCTCCTCCGTGCCTCTCTCCACTAGCCGCGCTTCCCCGTTGATCGTCGCGCTGATACTGCTTATCGCGCTGGTGTTGAGGTTCAAGAGAAGTGCTGCGAGAGAGGAGCGCGAGGCTTCTGGTGGGGGAGAGCCGGTTCTTTCGGCGGTGGAGCCGCGGCGATTGGTTGGCGGGCGGTGGGATACCCAGTCGTGGACGAGGATTGAGACGTGTGGGTTTGTGATTAGGTTGTTGGTTTTTTTGGAGGAGGGGTTGGTCGTCATTATTATGGTTGGGGAGGTGCTGTGGGGTGAGGTAGGGAGATAGGTGTAGTTCATGAGCGAGACGTGAGGGTAGAGATCTGTACAGGTTGCGAGATGAAGCTGGAGATGTTGTTAGCATTGGTTTGAGAGGTATCAGGGGAAGAAGTACAAATCTTGCGTTTTGGAGACATTGCGCGACTTCATCTGGGAGAGTGCTGGTGATTTGGAGGTTTGTTGCTCCAGATGAAGCTTCATAGTTGAGGGGCGCTTCTGACGCCATGCTGGAATTTTTTTAAATGTTTTACCACATCTATAGTTTCAAGTGGGTTTGAAAAGCTATGCTGGACTGTACTAGGCAGAACAATTTCCAAATTGTGGAGTTGTGAAGATTCTTGGAAAGATTTGAAAGATCGAGGGGCACTTCCAGATCGCGGGACAATCTACAAGGTTGTTAGATGGTCCGTGCTTTGGGTCTACTCGAATCCAGCTCGCTCTGTTGTGTTTGTTGTCTCCATGTACCACGTAGACACACACTTATGACCAGTATTCCAAGTGTCGTTTGCCAGGCTGATATTGATATATTCTTTTTAGCTCATACAACATAATCTCATCATAACAATGAAAACTCCATCGCGCACAAACAAGTACAACCTTAATTCTCCACCAAGGCAGTGGAAACAAAGAACGCAAATCGAATATGCGGAACCATACAAAGTGCGCCGATAAAACACGAAGAAGTCACGGCTCTCTTCTTCAATCCTCGCTCCCTGTGAAAACAGACATGTCAAGTCGCTCAGCATCCTTCCAACAATCCATGCCATCGGTCACGCGAGCACTCAGAGAAGCATCCGAGCCATTATCAGAAACCCTCCAAGAAGACCGATTTGATGCATAGCAGAAATCTTGTTGGCCGATGAGCTTGAAGTCGCAGCTGGCGTAGCTGTGGGAGTCCCGGTTCTACTCTGGCTGGCCGTACTGACGACGCTCACACTACTCGTCACACCTGTTTCTGACTCCCCTGCGGATGTAGCCATAGTCTTCGATGATTTCGCTACCGACGTAGAAGCTGAAGGTGGACCACCAGCTGCTGATGAGAGCTATGGGCAACCATTAGTCGTGTGTCATCTGAGAATGAAGATATGCCTACGAGCTGAGCGGATAGTGTAGCTACTACTGGGGTATTTCCAGCGACACAGTTGTTGCTATTTGTGCCAATTTGGCCAGGTAGGCAACAAAAATATCCGTCACCTTTCTTGAGATCTGTTCGATTCCAGAGAGACCAAGAATCATCCGCACATTGCGGGCTTGCCTTATAAACTGCTTCACATGTGGTACCTTGCTAATATTAGCGAGGCATATCTGGGGGAGGCTACGGATTACCTTTTGGACAGCAGTGACTCTGCGGCGCGACACGGACGCAGTCCATAGACGACGGACAGCAGAAACGATCACACGTCTGGACATTTGACGGGCAGGATGGGGCACTCAATGCCCAGCCTCCTGATGTATCTGCTCGAGAGTCAAGGAATCGAGGCAGAGGCTCTGCAAATTGAGAAGCAAGGATCTGAGTGCTTGTAGTAAGCAGGACGATGTTTAACAAGAGCATATTGGATTGTGTGCTATTCGCTCGTCTGTAAGGCGTCGATTGATAAGGCAAGTTGTCAAGTGAAGACTTGCTTGGCTCTGATTGTGATAACCACAAAATATTCTATGGGCGCTCGCTGAGCTATTTGTAGTTGCACATATACCTACAGCAGTCTCCATATTCAGCTTCTGGAAACACGCTGCAGTACCGCAAAAACACTGCCATCCGACTCAGCCAGTCAATATGATGGGGGCTGATATGCACCATCTCTTCCTTTTCCTTCCAGTTATTTTTCAAGTATACCCTACGGCTCTCTCATCGTTGTACCAGCGGTCTGAAATTCCTATCAGAGATACATACTGTTTTGTGGCTCGACAAGCCGCCATGGAAGATGCCGAAAATATGTGTCAGCTCTTGCGGCAGTCTCTGTTCAGCTTCAGTTGATACACCCAGTGGCGTTCCTGTCTTTTCTGATACTGAAATTTAATACGACACGGATTGTGGGGTATAGTCTCATGTACCGATGGCTTGCATTGCAAGGCGAAGCTTCATCATACCATCTTTATCTGCAACAGTCATTCGATGGTATGACCTTCTGAGGAAACTTATAAGGAAGACATTTGTCGTTGCATAGTCTTGCTGTCCACCCAGAAAGAGACCATTACTATTAATCGCGTTATGGATGCCCACCAAAAAGCTTCTCTCTGTTCTGAAGGCGCTGCCAGATGGGTAACTGAAGACCTATTCTGATCCCCAGAAGTTCTCAGCCTTGACCTCAAAGGATTAGTATTTGCTTTGGAGCAGTGCAGCAAGTTTTCTCAGCTCGATCCTTTTCCCAGTTTGGAGGTTATGTTGCTCGATATTGTGAATTGTCGATGAGCTCTGGGATGAGCCCTACGTTCAGCTCTCGACCGCATTCTGAAGATTCTCCAATGTAGCAGTGCCAACCATGGTCTCGGAAAGAGCTTGTAAGACCATTATGATAAGTGGTTGACTTTCTATGTCTCAATAGGGTAGCTACTGAGTACGCAGCACTTCCTTTCCTCTAAGTACATCTAATTGACTATTACGCGAGAGGATTTCTTACCTGAAAGTTGATACTTATTCAGTCAATTAGAAGAAACATAAGTATATCTACTTAAATACATGAAGCAAGTATAGTTTTTGATGAAATTTTCTGTCATTTCCTATATCCAGGTGTTCTGTCAGTACTGCAAGGCACTGGTGCAAGACCGAGGTAGGGTTGAAGCGACAACTGAACAGTCGGTTAATGCAATACACAGTTAGTACATCTGTCAAGACGATACTAAACAAAACCAACTTTCGGGAACTTTTCATCTTCGTCTAGGTTGAGTTTGCAAGATCTCGTTGGAGGCCTACCATGATGCTTACCGCAACTTGAATCAGTTATTCGACATCCGCCTCGACTTAATTTGCCAACGAAGATACAGTCCATAGCTAGCATCTAGCGGCCAATAGCCAAGTTTCAAAGCGGAAGAATCTGATCTCCCACAAGGACTGCTGCTATTTATTCCCCGCATCCACGATTTGAGTCCCTTGATCTCCCCAGATCGTGACCCTGAGCCTCAATGATGGAAAGATCGAGACCTGGTAATCTCGCTTACGGCAATGGTTCAACGCTTGGCAGGCGATGACGTAATCTCTTCACACCTCCACTGGATGTCCACAGACTCCACGCCGGAATCAACACACAAAGAAGCTTCATCCTCGGCCAGACCCATATCGATGAACAACACGCCTGCGCTCGTGCAATCGTTGCCAAAGAAACTCATCGCTCTAACCAGAAACGACTAGCTCACTACACTTCCTCCTCCTTTGCTTCGCTGGCCTTGAATTGCAGTCCCACTTGGTCCTCCATCTTTTGCTAACGAATCAACTCCCGAGCTCTGCTCTTGGTCCCTTTCGTCATCGTCAACTACGAAAGCCACAAGCAGAGACTAACGACCAACTTCTAATATAACCTTCCCCAGCCATCTCGACATCAAATTTCCTTCGACTCAAGATCAACATCAGTTTCCATCTCACCCACATCGCATTGTCGCATCGCAGGAAGTTCGAAAGTCGGTCGCAATACCCGCAAGGTGCGTTTGTCTGTCTCAACCGGAGCTGTGGAGCGATTCCACGATGTTTCGGAAAACGATCATGGCTTCAAGCTAACGGACAACACCACACAGGTCGAATTCTCGTCGCAAATAATTAATATTATCTAATAAACAATCTACCAAATACCACGAAATGGCTCGTTCAATCCGTAAGTCGATGCCCTCTATCCTGATTAGCCAATGGCAGATACTGACAACGACGACAGGCGGTGCGATGGGCACTGTGTCCCTGATTCTGATTGCCGGATCTTTGGTGTTGATGTTCTTCGTCGTCCTCTCCGGTGTCAAGAGAACCACTCCTCTCGATAAGACCTATTTCCTACGAGCCACCACATCCGGCGTTCAAGGCGCAAGACCTGTGTCGCAATGGAACTACTTCTACGTGTGCGGTGAGGGCAACAATGACTGCGGGTCGCCGGTTCCAGCTCTTCCATTTGGCTACGCTTGGGTTGGTGGTGGTGAGGGTGCTCCATCAGGTCTTCTCGGGTATGTCGCAAACTGTATTCGAGCGCCAAACAATCGCTAATGAAATATAGATCTCACGGAAAGGGTACCACTTCAAAGTACTACTACTACATGTGGCGCTTTGGATGGGTTTTCTACCTCATTGCTCTTATCGCCAATGTCATGAGCTTCTTGACCTGCCTCCTCGCTCCATGCAGTCGTTTGGCTTCCGGAATTTCTGGCTTCTTCGTTGCCAATGCTTTGTTCTGGTTTACCCTTGCTGCATCATTAATGACGTAAGTTACTTCCCCACACTTTCTCTGTGTATCAAACTGACATGGCTTCAGTGCAACCTTCGTTAAAGCACGCGATGATTTCCGTTCCAATGGACAAGATGCCAGCATTGGTCGTTACGCTTTTGGCTTCACCTGGGGTGCCTGGGCCGCCATGTTTCTTGCAACCGTCTTCCTGTTCCTCGGCTGTGGTGCCGGTGGCAGCAGCAGCCGAAAGGAGAGAAGGTCGACAGTCATCAATGGCAATGGCACTACCGATCGCGAGGTTTCAATGTTCCGTCGCAACCGAAGCAAGCGTTCCGCTCGTGGATCTTTCATCGACAACGAGAGCCAGCGTCGTGTCAAGGATGAGTACGCTTAAATGCGACAGATCATCTATCCGCATGATTGTTGATTAGTTGTGGAAGAAAGTGAAAGTGTAGTAAGTCATAAGAAGAATGAATACCCCGAGGATATCGCTACAACAGGTTGGTTTGGATCTACGTTGAAACATGTACATGGAGCAGGGAGAAAGTGTCACTCTTTACGGCTTATGGCAGGCTGGTGGGAAAATCTTGGGGAAGATTTGTATATTATATACATGGCGTTCTTTGATTTGACGCGTTCGCTTTAAATACTTAATGTCTATAAAGAATATAATCAACATAAATCAATACAAGTCTGACAAATCATGTCTAACAAATCATGTGTGATTCAATGCTTCATATGCACATGTTTCATAGGTCCACCTTCACAACATACTGTAAGTAGCAACATCTGTAATCGTTTCATGTTTGATATATTGAGGCTAACAGCTTAACTCAGCGTAAGGTCGTTGTATACTTCGGCAATCATAGACATGATGAAAAGGACTCTCACCTACCAAACACAGACATTCAGTGCATTAAATTACAGATTCAACACTACGACATCTATTGGAACACCTTGCTCTCACACAGCAACTTGTCTCAGGACGCTTTTTAAAAGTAATATAATTCTCACTGGGATTTGTGTTCACGTGCTGATCAGGGGCAGCCTCTCCTCGTACTTATTGGCAAGTTATTTCAAGTAGTATATTCCAGCTGTTTAAATTTCATTGTCTGGAAAATGTGCTTATACAGCTTTCCTAGTAATTCCGGTTAATATGGTCCCTGTACGGGCTGATAGCGAACCAACATGTTACAACAGTACCATTTGTTGGACTTGTCTGCACCTGCGATATGCTCTGGATCTTCGATACCATCGATCCGCCAGAAGAGCGAAGACCAAGAGGTCCAATTTTCCCTGTCATCTTCTCGTCTTCTACAACGACTCTTCACGAAATGAAAACTCAACCCATAGAATCAGCCCTCGTAATAGGAGGGTGCGGCTCCCTCGGTCACGGTATCGTGAAAAGACTTCTCGAGATTCAGCCTCCTATCCCTATATCTGTTTTTGATTTGAATACCAAGCCAAACCGATTTCCGGGAGTTCAATACTACGAGGTCGACATCACAGATAGAAACAAAGTCGACCTCGAACTCAGCAATGTGAAGCCACAAGTCATCTTCCACACTGCCTCTCCCCCAGCCGGACTTCTCGATCTCGAATTCTACATGAAAGTCAACGTCGAAGGAACACGCAACTTACTCGAAAGTGCCAAAGTTCGTCCCCGACCTCTCCCCCTTCCTCCCATAACAAAACTAACAACCCAAGACCCAAAACGTAAAAGCCTTCGTTCACACCTCATCCGCCTCCGTCATCCACGACGCCCACACGAACCTCATCCTCGCCGACGAAACCACCCCCCTCGTCTACCTCCCCGCCCAACGCGAAATCTACTCGCACTCCAAAGCCGTCGCCGACCGCCTCGTCCTCGACTCCAACAGTCGCTCCACACGCACCGGCTGCATCCGGCCCTCGGGCATGTTCTGCGAGGGCGACCCTACACCCGCTGCCTTCGTCGCGAACGCCGCTCAAGGAAAACTCAGGTACAACATCGGCGGCGGCGAGAATCTGTTCGATTTCACGTACCAGGTTAACGCGATACACGCGCATATCCTGCTCGCCGAGGCTCTACTCACGCGCGGGGACGAGGTAGGCGGCGAGGCGTTCCTGGTTACGAATGATGAGCCGATGCCGTTTTGGGAGTTTGGGCGGTTGTTGGGGGATGCGGCGGGGTATCCGACGGATAGGGAGAGGGTGAGGAGTTTGCCGCTTTGGGTTGGGTTGGTGGTGGCGGCGGTTGCGGAGTGGGTTGTTTGGGTGGTTTCCGCCGGGAGGAGGAACTCGAGGTTGAATCGTGTGGCGATTCGGTATAGTGCGTTGACGAGGACTTATTCGGTGGAGAAGGCGAAGAGGGTGTTGGGGTATAGACCGCTTGTTGGGTTGAGAGAGGGGATTGAGAGGAGTGGGAGGTCGTTTGGGAGGGGGGAGAAGGGGGTTTAGGGTGGTGAGGTTGTGTGGTGTTTCGACTGATCGAATGTTTGGAGTTAAAGAAACTACTCGAATTACTTATAACCTACTTAAATAAGAATATGTGAAGTTTGAATATCAACAGTCAAAACGGATCAGATTTAGCAAGTCCATTACTCAATTCAACTCAATTCAATCAATACACTGGTTCTTCCCCATTCAGCTACAAAATTCCAGATTGTGAATACATGATCCCTTCATACATCATCTAACTCATCATCGATCAGATGAGTCGAGTTCAGTTGAGAAGAGTACTTATCCTCAACTCGTGGTTGTTTGATTCATAGGGTATCTGAGAAGTTGAACATTTTGCAAGTAAAATGCCATTGCAGTACCTGTTTAGTCTTTACGAGAAGCACGTTTCATGAATGATCTTCCTAAAGCTACTCTATCAAGATATATAGTCGATCCTCGTCTGTGGAAAGTTACTAGGATATAACTTGAAAACCGAGAAATTATACACAAACTAGCGACGAGACGTTGAAAATGACGAAAGCTATTAGACTCACACTCTACACGCCCAACTTACTCGAGTATAAAACATAAATACTTATGTTTAAGTTTATAGTGCCTAGTTTAGCTATTAGCCATGATAGATTATAAGCAAGGTAACTAATCTAGTCAATCATAGTGAACTGTAAATCATGAAAACGACCATAATCGCGGGAATCAAACATCAAACATTGCCTAGATCAAATTCAGCTCGTTCTGTTAATATTAAATAATTAATAGCCCTCCATCGTACTGATCAATAAGGAGCCCTCTTTGCGCATATTCCTTTTCAAGCCTCGGGTCTAGACAGTTCCACAGTGTCTAACCACGTCTGAAGTTCTTTCAACTTCACTCGTCTGGAGGCACAACAGTTAGAATACAATGGTTGCAAAATACGCCTAAAATCCCCTTCGTCGTTGGTTATTATAGTATCTGGTTGCTTCAACGGATGAAAACCATAGGCGAAAACACACCGTAGGCGGAAAAACCAACCGCATATACCACTTTCCTACGCGATCATCCTGTTTCCCGTTTTTTGATTCTCCATCACAAGTGGGTTTGGTGCGGATGTCCAACTGCATATATCCGGCCGTTGATGGGATTTGTATTTCCGTCGCTTCCGCATGTAGGTAAACATCCGAAAGGGAGTTGAATTCTTGTAGTTCCAAAGTTCTAGCACATCAATGGAAAGAAGTGTTATTTGTATGACGGGAATATACTTGACCTGGTAATATAAAGGTTATTCAAAGACTAGCTAGAGTCAAAATGAATCGTCGGATGTTCGAGTACAGCCCGAGAGGGGACTTGACGATGAAGTTTGAACACTCTCGGATGGTCTATACTTGAAAACGCTTGAAGACGGTCGAACTATATCCCATGTCACAAGAGGAATTTGCGACTTGTTGCTAGATAAATATCACCTATAATGGTGTTGTTGGTTTACCAACCGAGTTCACACCCTATGCAGTCATCTCTCATCAGCCCCTGTCCAGTCGGTTGACATCAAAAGATCAAAGTTGTGAAAAGGTGTGTTCCCTACAACTAACTTCCACCAAAGACTCTCAAAGCTTGCGTGCTAGATCCTTACATTCTAAGTTCAAGGCCACTCAGAAATACGCTTCTACAGATAATCATGTCCATCACTCTGCCGTCCTTCGCGGGTTACTTACCCCTCTGGCTCCTCCTCGTAAGCTATCACCCAGCTCACTTCACAACCCCAACAAATCTAACCCACCCAGACATCCGCAGCCGGAATCTTCAACATCATAGCCTGCTACACCTCACCCACCCTCGGCGGCCGACTATTCCAAGGCCCAGCAGGCAAAGCTCAAGTCAGCGGTCTCAGCAGCCGGCTCTTCGCTACCTGGACCCTTACTTCGACAGTCGTGCGCATGTATGCGGCGTTCAATCTTGACAATAAAGAAGTTTATGCGCTTGCTTTTCTGAGTTATATCATCGTGTGGCAGTTCTTCCTGAGTGAGTGGTTGGTTTATGGGACGGTTAAGGCGGGGAGGGAGATTGTGCCTTCGTTCATTGTTTCGACGGTGGGCGTGACTTGGATGTTGTCGCAGTGGAGTTTTTATACTGGGGTGTAACTTGGAGTGGACTGTTTACTTAGGAGTTAGGTCGATGATTGAGGGAGACAAATGTAGGAGGAATGTATCAATATTTCATAAAGAATAGATTTGCAGATGTATTTGAGTGGAAAACCGGGGAGTGGACCATTTTAAGGGGGGCCAGCACGTGACCGAAGGATTATCCTGCCGACAACGGGCGGAGCATTCGGCACCGACTTCGGTTTGTCCCGCATAACCTTAACTGTGATGCACAGAAATCTACAGCCTTGCCGCTCCGCCTCGCAACCATCACCACCATCGCAATTTATTTTTTCCTCCTCCACGGATCCGTACCGCAGTCTACATGCGGTCAACAAACGTCTACACAGCAGTATCTGACATCAGCAGATATGAATGCTAGGCTTTGCGACTGCCATTTTCCTCATCCGCCACCTTAGGTTCCCGACTGTCCCCGTCCTCACATCTCCATGTCAACCAAGCATCTCCTTCGTCACATCCATTTCCAGGACTTGGTCCCGTTCCAGGCCATCTCGAAATTACAAGATATCCTCGTTGCGCAGAATCTGGCCCATAAAGCCTCTCCTCTCACCAAACCCGCACCGCTTCCTACAGTTGTGTCCTTTACCCCATTCCCCGTCTATACATTCGGTCGACGCGATCTGCCTACCACATTCGCACCGGCATTTCTAGAGAAACTACAAGAACCACTAGCACCCAAAGACACCCAGACAATTCGCGATATTTTGAAAAGTAATGATCAGTTGGATAGTTTTCCAGACACTCCTTGGACCCGCGCAGAGATCGTGCCTACCCTCCGGGGTGGCCTCACAACTTTCCATGGCCCAGGCCAGCTAGTTATATATCCTATCCTCGACCTCAAATCTCCTCTCATTCGAAATCCTCTACCAGACACTTCAGAACCAGTTCCCCACCCCAACGGTCTAGATGTCCGCTCTTACATCTCCCTCCTCGAAGCCACAACCGTCGATGTCCTTAAATACCTTGAGATTACCGCACACTTGACCGGCGATCCTGGGGTCTGGACCCAACCTCGTCACCGCGATGTAGAACTATACGAGGGACAGAAAAGAGAAACCCCCCGCAAGATTGCCGCTGTAGGCGTCCATCTACGAAGAAATATAACATCCTATGGCCTTGCCATAAACAACGCCACCGACCTACGCTGGTTTGACCGCATTGTTCCATGTGGTCTGGTAGGTAAAGGTGTTACCTCAATCTTCGAACAGACAAAACCGATATGGCGCCGTAAAATCGCCAAGGAAGACCCCTTCGGCGACCACGTCAAATTGTTAAACTCCAGAATAGCAACATCCTGGGTCCGCGACTTCACAAAAAAGATATGGAATTCGCCGCTCGTAAGAGAAACTATCCCAGCCATGTTGCCTTGGTGGTATGATGGTAAAATTAAAAGCGCGGATTTCCATCTCGGAAGGCGGTCGGATTTCTACAATGATTTGGGACCGTTTGAGAAGGATGGACTCGTTCAGTACATAAGGGTCGGAAGTGGGGTTGAAAAGCCAGGGGGCGTGGAAACGCTCGCTAAGTTTTTGGAGACTGGGGAAATGGACGATCCGACGGTGAAGATTAAGACGAGGAAGCGAGGGCCTATGTTGATCTCTTTCAAAGATAATGATTCGGAGTTTGAAGAGGCGATGATGGCGTTTAGTCAGAGTACAACCAATGTGGACCTGCAACCGGAGGTTGGCGAGACGTTGTTGAACTCTCGACGGAAGGGATTTAGAAGTTTTAAGATTACGCTTAATCATGATAGAACTGACCAAGAACCGGATCTCGAGATTGATAATGGGCTGTTGGACTCTCGACGGAAGACTGACGAGGACCTGGATTCGAAGGTTGATGATATGCCGTTGGAGTCTCGACAGAAGGGATTTGGAAGTCAAAAGAACTTGGGTATCTTGGACGAGGATTTGGACCCCGAGATTGTGGATCTGGATCCCGAGATTGATTATATGAGGGGGTTTAAAAAGTATACCAACCTGGGTTATATCAATCCATTAAGACTTCGAAAGAAGGGGCATAAGAGTTACAAGAACCTAGGCATGGTGCGAGGATCTGGATCCCGAGACTGAAAAGTGATTGCGGGAGTCTCGACAGAGGGGTTGGAGACGTTATAAGAGCAAGCGTAGGGAGTGATGGGGAGACGAGATGGTTTGGGGGATTGTATATAATGTATATCACGACACGTAGAATTTTACATAATAGGACTTGGGGATTGCGAGGAAAAGCTGTATATACAAGATACACTACAGGTGTGAGAGTAGGATTAGAAAGTCAAGAATTAGAAATAGAACATCAATTTTACACCTTCCATCGCACTACCTAGCCCTTGTTACTCCGTATTACCTCCCTGTTCTCTCGCTGATAAGTGACACACCCTCTGCCTGCACAATCTCAAAATATCCCAATTCGAGCTCCTGACTTATATTTCTGGCCTACATTTCGCGCTACAACAACTGGGTTTCTTGAATTCTTGGCGATGGACGGACGGGGTGGGGAATTGTGAGGTTGGGATTGTATATCAGGAGTAAGGTATTGCCTGGACAGGCTGGACTACGATTTATTAGCATTGCAATCTCACTTACACGATGTCTCAATTGATTCAGAATTGCCTGACTCAGGACTTGGATTGCTTAGATAGTGTGAGTAATTTAAAAACATAAGAGTACAGAAGTAACTTGAGCTTGTTCGATTAAGTCTACCGAATTAGATCCCACAACAGCAGACACCTCACTCAACTTAATACAACTACTCCTTAACACACCAATTTTCACACCAAGCACACTCAATTACTCATTCACTCACTCATAAAGACCCCTATCTGAAAATTATGTCAACTCTCATTAATCAGCACAATTATGTATAACCCCATTTCAACCCAATTCCATACAACCCAATCAACCCAACCCATCCCATTGCTCCAATTTCAATTCCCATTTCCCATTTGCCCAATTCGCCCGCTCGCTTTGCTAAAAACTCCCATTTTCTGCTCGCTCGCTAGGTATCAATCAGTCGAATCATTTTAGTATTCCACAGAGCATATTGAGAGCTCTCATTCCATTTGAAAACTGCGAAGAAAAAAAATAAACATGCTCATGAGCGACCAAAAGATGCCATGTGTATATGTAAATCTTCTTTTACTTTCCCTTCCTCCCGTAAATAAAAAACACTCAAGTTTCATATTTTCGTAAAAAAGTAACTTTTTGCATCTTGAGAACAATATCAGATGATTATATGCAAGGTCGAATGACAGGACAAACTTTGCTTCTGCTTCTTCGTTCATTATGCTTCGTTTTGGTGGGTTGATGATGTATGTCCGTTTCAATTATTTCCTTTCCATGTCACTAGGAACTTTGGAAGTAGATATCAAAAGGTTTGTACTTCGAAAAACGGAAAGGTCATAGACTTCCTGTATCGTTACATATCTCAAATTAGCCTGATCGTTTCCTCGTAGGCAACGGATCATCTGCATCTGGACTCCACTCCTCAGGCTGAAAGTTTGGATTGTTGTAGTGTGCCGTATTATAATGGCTGTTTTTGAATGTGCTAGTCAGAAACTGAACTGGACCTTCATGGGCCCAACCAGCTTCCCATTCATATTTGCTAGGTCGAAACGAGCCGCCTGCAGAACTGGGAGAAGGAAGTTCAGAAGGAGGGATGGAATGTGTTTGTAGAGCTGGTGGGTGCGATGGGTGCGGTGGTAAGTGGGAGTGAACTGGTATGGTAGTATTTTGCGTATACGCAGGATGGGATGCTACCATAGGTTTCGATAGTGACGAGTTCATCATAGGCTGCGCTGAATATGATGCCATGGTAGTACTTGATGGAGTGGTCGCTGACGATGCTCCGGGTGAGATAGGAGACATTGAAGAAATCGGTGAAGCCGCATATGTTCGATCAATTGGCGATGTATAATGTGTTGAAAACCCGTGATGTGACTGCTGCAATGGTAAGCCGCCCCCGAAGCCAGGCATGGTAAGCAAGCCGTGAAGATCTAGATTGAAATCCATAGGGGTACTCTGAACTGAATGCTGTTGCTGACTGAAAGCCACTCTCTGAACTTGAAGACTCGGGGTATGTATGACCTGAGGTAATGGTTGGACGGGTATTGGTGGACTGTCCTTGTACAGGATATCGTAATGACTCGGCCGGTAGAGGAGATAGATCATCGGCCCTCCTGGATTAGTTGGTACTCCATTAGCGTCCTCGGATTGTAAAATGTGCGTGTTCACCGATGTGCCTTCACTTCTGTCCAGGTACACAATCTCAACAGCGAAACCAATGGGTTTGAGCAAGACATCGATAAGAAGAACCATCCCAACGTGGTCAATCTCATTATCTACCGGTTCAAGCACATTCTTTCTGTAGCCATCCACGCCAGCCACATCCTCAATGTAACCCTGATACGTCGTTCGGTGTCCTGCCAGCCATGAACTCGCTAGCAGTCTGAGGTGGTACACGATGGTGTTTGAGATCTCGGGTGTGTTGAAGCGCTCCTCCAGCAAGGCCGACGCAGCCTGCGGCGATGTCTGAACCAGGCTCGCCAGGTCTCTTAACAGATCCGTCGTCACCTCTACCATGTCCTCGAAAATCCATGATTCGAATCCGCCGGAGACCGTCAGCAGGTTGTTCAGAGATGTCATGCGAGCCACTTCCGTTTCCAGCACGGCCTTGTCCCCGGTACGTAGCAACGTTTCGAAGTAGGAGAATCCAGCCGCTACACCATGTCAGCAATCGACTATTCAAGATACATGCAAGGCCCGACGTTGTGCAAGGCATGCATCGTGGAGCTCGTGGGGTAAGACCTACCCCGCCATCCACAGTTTCCATCTCCAAGTATCGGGCGGTAGTGCGAATATGTCTGGGGGAGGTTCTGGCGACAATTAGTCTGATGGTCTGCTTTACTCGTAATATTGACATACTGCTGTTTTCGCAACGTAGATTGGGTCAGCTCGCGCATACTCTGCTGTGATGGCCGCGCTGCTCTTCTTCTCGCCCACCAGCGGACCCTGCAGCCATATCAGTTTCGGTATGGCCCGTTAGCCTGGCGGACTTACCTCTAACGGCGGCTGGAATTCGCGAGCCAATGCCTCCTGGGCGTCCATGTCGTTCATGCCATTATCGGCCATCGTGTATCGCTGTCGCGGGTGGTTGTTGTGGTTGTGGCGGTGGTTGTTCGGGTTTGGGTTGGGATTTTGATTGTAATGCGTGGTGAAGATGGGGTCTCGAAACAACGTAGGTCCGCCGTTGTCAGTGACGCTGCTGCTGGGCTGGAAGGCTGCTGGATACTCGGCTCCCGGCGCAGACAGCCCAACCCCAACCCCATACGCGTTGAAGGAAAACGGAGTTGCTTGTGGCTGGAACATTGAGGATTTGGTGCAGGCTCGACGAACCCAAACAAACGAAAAACAATTGATTTCGGACGATGTCGACGACGAGCGACTTCGCTGGAGAAATTTACACGCGGCAGCAGAGGTTCCTGTACGAAGAGTAACCTTACAGTCCTGCGCTTCGGACGGCCCTGGCCCTCGTCTCGTTTATTCTGTGCAACGATGAAAAGCAAAACCCCGACCAACAGCAATGGCTCAATTGACGATTCGGATATCGCTGCCGGGCGATGGTCGTAGTCGTGATGCAGCAATCCACCACTGCTTGATCTGCTCCTGAGGTGTCGGTGGTCGAGACAAGAGAGAGCAGCAACACCGGAGGGCAATCTGGAGGATATTCAACGTCTCATCCACGATGCGAGGCCGGGCCCAAGCTTCACGGAATCTCGAGCTCTGCAGTCTGGAAGCGAAACGGCCAGCTCAAGGGTTGTCAGCTGTTGGGGGAGGGGCGAGACCGGCAGGTGGTGTGGTGGAAGAGTGGGAGTGGCAGAGGGCGTCGAAGAGGATGGCAGGTCTACTCGTTGAAGTCGACAAAAGAATGCTGAGAAGACAGAAGGAAGAAGGCCTGCCAGTGAGAACGGCGTTGGTGTTTGGGAGAGAATGCCCCCCTGGACTCGTGCGCTGGTGATTGCTCGTGGTCCACGGTGAGGAGACCTGGGAAAGGTGCATCGGCGAATGGCGCAAAGCGATTCAGCCAGAAAACATGCAGCGGCAGCAGGGACAAGCAAGTTGCAGCTGCAACGGCGGCACTCTTCGAAGGGTAGGTTATTGTGACTGTTATGATATCGTTCGTGGTATTGATATTACGTCGTCTGGCTTGGCTGTCTTTGGCTGTTGGTGCTGCTCGTCTGTCGTCTGCGTCGTCTAAATTAGTTGCACTTCGGATGAGGCCTGAATATGTCTCAATACCTCTCTATGAAGCTTGCTCGTGCTTGTGCGTGGTGCAATGGATGAGGAGCATATGTATGATTCAGCTCTGGCTATGGATGGACGAGTCGGCTGTTGCTTCCGGGGAATGAAGACTAATAGTTGTTGATTTTGGCAATGTATATCTCCTTTCTTGTCATTGGCAATAGGGCACTGGCAAGCTACAAGTTCAAGGAATGATAGAAGGGGTCAGAGACGAAGCAAGTGCAGCGAAGAGAGTACGCCGCTCTGTTCTTGTCGAGCTGTGTGGTCACAGCCGCTCTGCCGATATATTGCTTCTGTCATTCAGTCCTGCTCTTACTGGCAAAGGCAATATGTAATGGCGATACTCCTGCTCCAATTGACTCTGGCTGGTCCTTCGCTCTGGCAGCGAATCTGGCCGTAGATGAAATGTGGTAAGGCCCCGCCTTCGTGCTGCGTGTTGCCGTAGAGCGGAGCGGTCACTGCAAAGCAACTCTACTCGACAGAGGGCGTCCGATGGCCGTGATGTTTGCAAGTCGTTGTCACTGTCACTCGCTATCGTCAAGAGGGCGCGGCTGCTCTCCTGTGATGGCCCGTCCGAGGTAGGTGTGGGCAAGGCAAGATACAAATACCAAAAGCTTCCGAATCCAGATTCCTATACAGGGCCGTGCAACGTGCTACATTCAGTCGGCACCACAGTTCACAACACGGTACATGTTTGTTTTTGTATCCAGTACCCGAAAGTCTTGTATGTAGGTGAAGAAGTGTGCAACAACAGCAGACCCACCGAGAGACTCCCCTTTCGCAGCGAAGCGAGGATAGGCCATTTCTCTGCCCAGGTGGACGGGGACGGGGACGGGGAACGGGAAAGGAGACGACATGATGATCGTCTCAGCCTTTTGGGGCCGATGGATGGACAACCAGGGTCGAGGCGACAGATTCCGGCTCCTCCCCGCTGCAACAGGAACAGGGAAGGAGTTTTGATGGTTGTTGTAGCCGAGGATCTGAGGGGCTGGTCTGTGACGGTACCTAGGTAGGTATTTGCCTGTCTTCGTGTCTATTTCGTGACTGGACCGGTACAAAGTGACAACAAAGTAGTGATCCGACTGCATTGAAACGATACATGTACTATATATATTTTGCTCTTGATTTGAGGGTAGAGTTTGGATATCACAGCACTAGTGCTAGGAAAAGGGGTAGCGAATGTAGTTCGAGTAGCTAGGGCTGGCTTGTCATCTCTCTCGACGTCAGGAGCAGAACACGCACTGGCACACACTTCTCACAACATACCATTGCACGGCCTCATAGCATACACCTTACACAACACCAACAATTCCCCAGATTTGTCTCCTCGTCCACCGACGACGACCCAGTCATCTTCCACCATTCCCCCACACAAAACCATCCTAACTCAAGCCTCTTGCTTGTTACAGAGACTAAGCACGTACGATCAGGCACATGAGCTGCCTTTCACAGGTCCACGCTCCAGCCACCAGTTGCAATACGATGTGGAAGCCAATAGCTACGAATCCCCAGGAGTTCGCGCGCGCTTGCGGCGTTTGTGCCTTCCCCGGGTTTTCAATTCCCAGACCGTATGACAAAAAGTAAAGCGCAACACCCAAACACTGCTGCATGTCCGAGACATATCACATCGTCCCGGCGCCGTGCCATCCTCCTTCAACGCGCAGAATGAATCTGATCGTGGCCGTCCGACGTCAGCCATGATAGCCAGGACTCGGTCTGTGTTCGCTTGTTCTTGGGTTCCCCAGCCGGATCACCAAAAGAACATATGTCGTGTCCTTCTTCCCAATACTCGGACTCACACACCACGTAGTGTTCGCCCACCATGGCCCAGAACGAGGCGGCCATGCCCAATGGGACTTCCTGATGTAGATATCTAAAGTACAGTATTGCCTCCGTACGGCCAGCAGCCCTCGGAGAAGTGAACAACGGGGGGCCCATCGGCGATGAAAAGCACGACACGGGTAGCTGCACCCAATCTCAGAAAGTATCTCAGATTCTGAGAAATGTACACTTCACCAACACACGCACACAGACTTTGCAGAGTCGCAGAGCAGCAGCGAAGTCGTCTTCGCAAGACGATAGCTCGACCATGCCAGAGCCCTCGAATACCCCAGCTTCTCCCAAGCCCCCACCTAATCCGCCAAGGTCATAAACACTTCTCCGCCCCTCATTGGCGGAACCTAGAGGAACTCACCCATCATCACCGGGCAGCGTGCGTCTGTGCAGCGTGCAGCCCTCCCTCCAGAACTAAAGACGGGAGCGAGCGGGAAAGCAAGCCTCCCCGGTCCCCCATCCTCACCCACCCTTTCGTAGACTGCCGTCTCAACTACAACACCAACGAGCTGTTCATTCCACACACCCAATTCAAATCTGAGGTATCGCAGGGGGGTGGCGGAGGGCTCGAGCAAAGAGCAAGAACAATTCTCATGTGGTTTGCCCATGGCCGCTCCCGCGAACACTCCATCATGACCTCAGCAGCAGGAGAAAAGGAGCACATGCTCTACGCGAGACCGGCTGGTTACATAACTACCGGTACTTATTCGAGGGCACGTACATGGATGCACCACTTAACATTTCTTGCAATCCGGTATGATGATAGGAAAATTTCGCCAGTCTATACCTGCGTTCGGCAATGGTGGCGTCGACAAGTACAGGCTCCTGGGACGGAACGAGTACTGAGTACCTACCGCTTCAACAACTAGTCCGCCAATTGAGGGTCTACCCGTAATCGTTTATGAGGGCTGGCCTTCCGGGCAATATTAGGAGTTAGGAAACGGTATTGGGGGGTTCTTGGATGGTGCTGAGGATGATGCATGGAGCTATGCTGGTTAGGGGTATAGGCCGAGACGTATGTATAGGTTATACATTGACAGGTGTACTCGAGATGCGTGATGGATGAGTTGATTGCAGGATTGGAAGTAGAAGGTTGCATTATAGTAGTATAGTCTACCTACAATAGTCTAACTCAAGTAAGACAGCACAGGAAGATGGATTGTTTAGCTTTCCACGAATTGGCCGCTCCATCTAGTTGCGTGGAATAAGCGAGCTCTACAAATGATATTTCAAAAGCGAATCACAAATAGGCACAACTGATATGCTAGCGGAGCTCAAAATGTATTATCAAGGATGAAATAGATCCAAGAACCTCTCATTTAGCTAAGACTACTCCTTGTCAGATAGGAGGAAAACGCCTATGCTAAACACACCATAACGCCTGAGCTATTTTACGCTCTATGCTATAATGCTCGTCTCCAGTTCCACAGCCTATCCGCATCGCCTCCTGATCATGACATGTAATAATGGTGACCCGTAAGATTCACCTGTCATATCCTCATGCGTCTGGAATTTTGTGACCTGAGAGCTTTGTTGCATTCGCAGCTGCCCTCGGAGAGACGTCCCCTACCGAGTATACACGCCTCGTAATCCTGCATCCAAAAAAATAAGGCCATATCTGCGTAACGTGTCCTATCAAGGCAGATAGGCACTCTTCCCCTTCCCACCTTTCCTGAGTTTGTGGCCATTCCATACTGCTCTCGGTCCAGCACCTCCAAAAGAATTCAAAGTGTTGCCAACCTCATCCATCCCATCCGAAGGTCTGAAACCCTCGCCATCAGTAAAGACAGTGTGGTATAAGGATCCTATAGCTGAAGTCCAGGCTTGCATGGCACGAAGACGTTCTGCATCGCTGTTATCCTCGATCTCTACCGTTCCATCTTGTTGATTGATCTTTCCATTGACTTTCTTGTCGACAATCAAGAAACCTAGAATATCCTGGACTTCAGAGACAGGGATTTTAAGGGCTTTGCCAATGAAGGCGAGGTTGAAACGGGTATACGGGGCAATGAGCTTTTGGACTGCCTTGGTCCGCATGTTTCGTGTTACTTCATCTATGTTTTCGGCGATGAACGTGTCTGATAGCAAGTCCTTGTTGTTGTTCAAGACGGATTCGTACTGATGGATATCATCCCTCTGATAAGCGTCGACAAGATCTGTCATTGCGGCAATTCGAGGATCGTTTTTGTACGGCTTAGTCTCTTGTGACTCGAAGGGGTTGATGTCCGACTTCATCAGCATGGTAGTTAGCACCAGGTACTTCAACACTTGTATTCGCTGAAGGGAACCGGCTTCGTCGTAATTGCGAAATGATTCGAAGAAGTCGCTCTGTGCATCCTTCCAATTCTCCTCACTCATATGCATCTTGCCGCCGCATTCCCGAATGATACCCATAATTTTTGGATGAGGCACCGCTGACCTAACTTTGAGTGCCCGTTCGTACAACCGCTTGAGTTGCTTGTTGTTCTTGGTTTCGGCATACATCTGAATCTCGAGTGCATAGATTTCTAAAGAGTATGTGCCCTTGCTAGGATCCTCTGTACCATCCTCTTTCTCGCATGCGGCATGTAACTCTCGAATCTTCTTCGTGACACCAGCATAATCCTTGCGGTCGAGGAACAGTTTTGAAAGCTTAATGTTGGTCTTTAGCCAAAGCCTTTCGTTGTTGGTACTCTGAAATGATTGTAGTGTGTGTGAATAGAACTCCTCCATGCAGTGGCCAGCCTTTTCGTCTTCAGAGCCCTTTTCTATGTAGTCAAGAATGTTGTTGATGGACTTTTCAGAGTAGTTTCGTGTAACAGCGCTTTTCACATAAGTGAGCAATTCGGTGTAATGTTCGACGGCCTGGCAAAGTCAGACCCTCACGCCCAATAGAGACACAAAAGTCAATCGCATACCTTATCATATTGCCCGAGCTTGAACTCGAGCTTTATCGCCTGTTTGAGGCCTTTGAAGCCCCAGTCACCTTTCTCAGTCTCCAATGCTGGTACACCTAGAAACTCTTCAATGGCTGCCTCAGGGTCTGACGCCTTCATCTGCTTCGCGTTGTAATATTTGTTTTCGATATCGACATCGCCACTCTCTTCATCGTCATCCTCCTCGTACTCAAAATCGTACCTAGTAATCCATTAGACATGCGCATCTAAAGGTGGATAGTAACGTACCCCTCCTGGTCAGAATCTTGCATAAAATCCTCGTCGTCAGACATTACTGCGATTTATGACTTGAGACAGTTGAAGAGATGGGTGACTTAATCGCAGATTCGATGAGGTCAAAGATTCATATATCGCTGGGAAGAGACAAATTGTAGAAGAGTATCCTTTTGATGCGATGATGATGTTGTGCCCGAGGCTGCGTTGCCTAGCTCTAAAGCTGCTATCTATTGGTTATCTGATGGACCCATAATTGTGCAGGGATCTTTGACTGCCACAGATCTGGTGCCTTGGTATTTCACCACCTCACGCCTCGCTCTGACACTTGCACCTAATCTGAACTCGACCTCAAAACCCTTTATCATTTACCTCTGTGCCGGTGCATGCTCGATATTGAATCGGTAGAGTACTCGTATCAAAGACGGTTCTATACAAGGTTTTACCATTTGCGCATCGCGCTTCCTCAATAGCCAACCACCTTATTTACCACCGTCAAAATGGGAGGCGATCTCAACTTGAAAAAGTCATGGCACCCAGTGCTTATGAGCAATCAGCGGCGGGTGTGGGAAGAAGAAAAGAAGGCCCTTGATGAAAGGAAACGTACAGACCAGCGGATTAAGGAGCTTAAGGAGGAGCGGGCGAAGGAGGAAATCCAGAACAAACTCGAGGCAGCGGGCAGCAGAAAGCGCGTAGACCGAGTCGATTGGATGTATCAAGGACCTTCGAGTGGCCAAGCTGGTACAACTGAGGAAATGGAAGGCTATTTATTGGGAAAGCGTAGGATAGATGGGCTATTGAAAGGCACTGAGCATAAAAAGCTGGAGAAGGCCGCCTCAGAAGAGAGTTTCATGGCATTGCAACATGCAAATACCATCCGCGACACAGCATCAAAAATCCGAGAAGATCCCATGCTAGCTATCAAAAAACAAGAACAAGCAGCGTACGAAGCGATGATGAATGATCCGATCAAAAGGAGACAGATGCTTGCTTTGGCTGGGAAGGCATCGTCGACTGATGTTGCCGAGCCAGAGAAACGACGTCGGCGGCATCATCATCGCCATAGAGATACTACGGATGAGGATAGGGAATCAAGGAAAAGGCGTCGTCGCAGTGATAGTCGTGAGCATCGAGGACATAGAAGTGGATCAGATGACGAGCGAGATTCTAGACGCAGGCGTTACAGAGATTACTCGGATGATGAAAGAGACTCTAGAAGGAGAAGGCACAATGAAGATAGAAATGGGGAGAGAGACGTACGTCGACGCCGAAGTACTAGCAGAGAATCATGGCGGCATCGTAGTGTAAGCAGAGAGCCTCGACCACACCGAAGCGAGAAACGTCACAGTGTTCCAAGCAATTTTGATTCCTCAGGTAAACGTCCGTTACAACAAGTTCAAAATAGCCAAAGCAGGCAAGAGATATCGGCCGCCGAGCGACAGGCGAAACTTGATGCTATGAGAGCAGATGCGTCCGATTTAGACGCGGATCGAGAGAACAGGCTCAAAGCTTTGGCTGCAAGAGAGGCTGCTGAGCGGGAAGAAGAAGATAAGGCACGTTCAAAATCCTCAAAGTATACCGATAAAGGCAACTTTATGAAGAGCGTTCATCAGAAGGCTGGCGAGATTGGGTTAGCGGATCGTATAGGTCGCGGTCGGCAAGGCTTTTCCAAAGACGATGATTAGACGTCTTCTATTCAATAAACTAATAATTATCATCACATGGCTTTACTCATTCAATTAAACACTCGTGACCTGATCCGACTGGAACCGTCACAACCTACCACAAGCGATGACAGTTCTGCCGTTGCGTTTGTTCGACAGCTTGGGAACAAGAAAATCTGGCACTGGCTCCTAGATGATATGTTGTGTGGCTGAGACTTGATGTGAAATATATCAGAAAGTGTGGTTCCTAGAAAGTCTGATGCCATTTCACCCAACAGCTCAGCGTCGATTCGCCAACAACAAAGGAGTACCAAACCTACAGATGGTTATTTCGAAATGCCATTTCACAACAGTTTATTTCGCTATGGACCCAACCTATCGGAGTCATAAAGAAGCGCCCACGCACACCGATTTGAGTCGTCTTTGTTGTAGTTCTGTCTCTTCAGAATCTCGAGAGTGATTTCTTTCAGCACAAGCGTTATACGACAAAGCACACCGTTCAAAAACAGCATTACCGCTGATAAGGCACGCCCTTTGAACAAAACTACTCGTTGATGAAAAGTCCCAACTTTTTGCATCACAGAGATTGTCCACAACGAACTCGATTGGTTTCCTTTTCTAGTCCCACCAACTCTTGCAACATCATCCGCAAGAATACATTCCGTATTCACTATGTCTTCACTCAGCAAGAACAAGCTCAATCCTCATATTCCAACTGGTTTGCAAGAAGAAGATGACAAAGTATACGAGAAAATATTCGAATATCTTAAGGACAGTAAAGAACCAATACCAAAAGTTGTGGTTATATCGGATATTCAAAAGGATGTCGACGACCTTGTGGCATGGACTATGTTGGCAGAAATGCATCGACTCGGCGTTATCGAATTGAGGGGCTTCGTTACCAATTTCGTACATGCGAACAGACGAGTGCGAGCAGGTCGTGGTGCCTTAGACCTGTTGAATCTCAAACATATCCCTATTGCACAGGGGACGGAAGGAACAGATGATGTGAAGGACCTCACGCGTCAAATCAGGGACTATGAGTTTGATAACTGCACTTTCATGGCCGAGGAAAAGGAAGATCGGCCGGAAGCCGGCTTCGAATTACTTAAGAAGCTTTGCACTCAGGTCAAGCACGATAATGAGAAGTTGACTGTGCTAGCTATTTCCAGTCATCGAGATCTACGGCAATTTATGGAACGAGAAGGCGAACTTGTCGCAAGTGCTGTGGATAAAGTCGTTAGTCAAGGCGGATTCTACGAATTAGAAAACGACAAGGTCAGACCGAGATGTGACGGAGCGAACATCAAGTTCGACCGCGAAGCAGCGAAAAACGTTTACGCATTTTGCGTAGAACATAACATCCCATTGAGAGGGTTCACAAAAGACGCAACGTTCGTAACCCACATCCCCAGCACGTTCTGCAAGAACCTCGAAGAAGATGGCAGCGTCATCGGCAAATACATCCATTACGCACAAGTGGAAATGGATAAAGTCTTCTACGACGAATCGTTCGATCCTAAGAAGAAATTCGCGGAGTTCATGGATCCTGGGTGGATTCTCAAGAACAAGACTAGCTGGCCGAGGAAAATTGAGTATCCATATCCCCCGGTTGAGGAAGTCATCCCGTATTTTACGAAGCTCCTTGCTTATGATGCTTTGGCTGCAATAGGTGCTGGTGGCGATGCGTTCATGGACGCGCTTGGTGTGCGGTACAAGGAGAATCCTGCGGTCTTTGAGAGTGCGAGAATCACGCGCACATTCGAGTTGATCAAATGGACTGAGGAAGTTGTTGGTGAGCAAATCGATCCCAAGGATGCGAAGAAAAAGATCAAGATTACTGAGAAATTCGAAATGTATGTTGGACAATGCAATTTCGATGATCTCCCTACCGATATCGCCAACCCTGACCACGCATTCGTCAAAACCAAAGACGGTGTCGTGCATCGCTGGCAAGAAGAACACCTCGTCAACGGCAAATTTGAGATCTCAAAATGCTCTAAAATCATCAGCCACACCGACCTATCACTCGAATCCAACGGCGACATCTCATACCACTGGCAAACGAGAACACTCGAGCTAGTCAACAAATCACAAGTCATCGGCAAAGCAATCGTAGGTCCTCGAACCCATCAGAACTACCAGGCTCCTATACAGACTGGTCAAAAGAGGATTGATGGGGATAAGATGGCTATTGCTATTCGTGCTCTTACGAGGGGGTCGCTTCTTGCTACTATGCCTCGTTGATGAAACAACAACGTATTTGGGTATAAATTGTATACAACAAATATCGAAGACCGGACGGCGTTTATTGGAGTTGGCTTGAGTACTTTTGCGTATAGCTTGGGATTAGAAGAAAGTCGCGGGACATGTATATGGTGATTATATAGGGACGATTTGTTGTGTACGTCCGTTGCTTTAGTTCTCTTTTTGTAATATTAGGTTATTTAATATATCTCCTTGGAACGCTGTCATATATCTCCGTTGATTCGCATTTTTCATGGTAAACTTGGAATTCCTAAATGTATGTCCTTAAGAGAAATTACTGGTTTCAGAACATTACTACTATATTCTTTGAAACATGCTAAACAACCATGATGTTTCAAGGATGCAATACTTGTCGAACAATGGGGAGAGCATTAATCCTGAGATTCCCTGGCAGGGAGCTTTCTTGCGGCTCAGACACAACTCCCCAAGCCTTGGTCAATACCACAACGTGGGACCTTGGAGTATGAAAGACGTCAACCATGCCAAACAGACAAAAATCAATCTCAGAAATATGGTTAAGATCATAATATTAATATATACATCCCAACCCGACCAGAACCCAGGAAACGTCAGATTTTGACGACTTCCTTGCCCATCTCTATGCACACAAGAAAGAAGAACCCCGTGTCCCTATCTCCGAACACCACCCAGCTAAGTTTCAAAGCCTCCCATTTGCAATTTCAGAAACGCTTCTTAACCTCCATCCATCCTAGCAACCTCCCGCGAAACGTAAATTAAAATTTGTATATCCAAACGCCCCAAATCTCTCTCAAAGAAGCCCCCAAGAATTTGATAAATATATGTGCATGAATTTGCTAAGGTGTTGAAGTAAGCCCCCTTTTTTCTGCTCATAGCAAGAAGAAAATGATTGGTTCCTGATTAAAAAAAGTGACGTCGAGGGACAAAATCGAGAAGGTGTAAAAGCCTGACTCGGTTGTTGATTATCAAATTGTCAACGCCGGAACCGTAGAATGAGGGTATGTCCGGAAGGGTTTCAGGTGGAATGGAATAAAAATGTAGGGGTATAAGTCGTAGCCTCGAGGCTCAATGATAAGCCTGGATCTTGAGTGACCGTGAGGTTCTGTCGAACACAATATCCTCGCTGAATCAGCGCTATCCACCCAAAAAATGATAGTATGTACTTGTGCAAATCGCAAATCGTAAGTTGACGCTCGTGAAACCTCCGACTCCAAAAACGAGGTATCGAACCCCTCATACACCATTACCTGAAGGTATCAGATGGCCATTTACATGACGCAGCATTTGCTGTCGCCCTTTTCGCCCGTTCCCTTTACACTCAGAGCGACTCTTGCCGCCTCTGTAAAGGCTTCGTTAACACCTCGATTTCGCATCGCGGAGCATTCCAAATACCGCAAAGCGCCGATTCTGCGAGCAACTTCGAGACCTTGTTCGTACTTGATCATTTCCTTCTTCTCTTTCTGTCCTCCTTCCGCTGTTTCTCCTTCCTCATCTGCACTTTGTTCTCGCAAATCGCACTTCAACGCCACCAGCACAAGTTTAACCCCTTGGCAGTTTTCCGCGATTTCCCCAACCCATTTAGATTCGACGTTTTCGAGGGAGTCTTTTGAGTCGACAGAAAAGCAGAGCATGATCGCATGCGTGTCATCGTAGGAAAGGGACCGTAACCGGTCAAATTCTTCTTGCCCAGCGGTATCCCAAAGGGAGAGTTCGATGTGTACACTGTCGACAAATATATCTAAGTATCGGCCCAGTCAGCAATTGCAAGCGATTTAACACCATTTAGAGCCGTCATGCTATCTCGTAGAGCGGAGTTTGTATAGCATACCGTGAACGTAGTTTTCGAAGACAGTGGGTTCGTAAACAGTTGGGAAGTAGCTGGCCATACGTTAGCGTCGCATTTGGGAATAGTCGCCGACGCCAGAACATACCCTCTTGTGAAAACATTCAACAAACTCGTCTTTCCGCAAGCACCGTCTCCTCTATGCCATTGGGTTAGCTTTCTATTGTCTCGGCTTCCTGCGAACTGACAGGTCATGCGGTACGACTAGGCACGGCGCATTATGCTGAGGCTTGTCTGATAATCACATACAATAAAACCAGCTTCCTCTGGGTTGTCTTGTTTCCTCCAAGTCCGCACGGCATATTTGAGGTTGATTGTTGTTCTCCGGGTCCGGAGGTCGCTGATGACGATAGCGTAAAGTTCTAGGGGGAAATGAGGGACGGTGTTGCGACTTGAAGGAGATAGGGTTCGTAAGTGAAGGAGGCTGTCTGCGTCGGATGGATAGGAGAAATAGAAATTGTATGTTATTCACGATGGAGCAACCAAGTAAACACGGGAGAAGGTGGAAGGGCGGAGGTTATAGCGTTGATGGAGAGTTAGTGTTAGATGCACCCAAGGAGCCGAAATGAGGTTCGATATCGGCACGTGTGCCAAGGGTTTCCTCACTGCAATTGGCATCTCAATCAGAAGTGACCAATCTTCCCTTTCTAAGCTTCTCAATCTTTTTCTTTAACACATCATACGTCGACGCAAACAGGCCACCTTTCTACTTTACTTTTTTGCAAAAACCTGGGGGTCCGAGGGACAATGGTGGCAAAGAGGGTGTGGTGCTCGGAGACGACATCACTTCACAGCCCTCCTTCTAACTTCAAGAATGGGATACCATTCGAGCACCAGGGACCTTGCTTGACAGGTCTTATTCCTTGGATGGAGCTCTGTGACCTGCACCTGCATTGCAGCGGATGATCGCCCGACCATCCCACAGCTAGCCAACCAAAATATCACCCTCGAATCATGGAGGCTGTCAATCATTTTGCGACTGCGACTTCACACAATTCGTAAGGGGCTCAGGATCTGAAGTTTGTAATTTTCAAATCTTTCGCGATGTCTTTAGCCATGGAATTGGTGTACGGAGTGCAGTGTCTAGACAAATCCGTGGCAGTGCACCACCATCTGACTAGGTACATACCCAGATTGCTTCACGTCTCCAGCGGTTAGCAACTCCAAGAGAAGACTACTCAAAACTACCTGGCTACTTCACGGATGTGCAAGAATACCACATTTTCCAATATGGTGGTGTCTATCGTGGCTTGCAATTGTGCGTAAGTGGCGGCCAGAATTAACTAGAACTTTCGGCTATTTAAATCAAGTAAACCCAAATTCCTACTGACAGGTGTCACTTATATACAGAGGTACATGTTTTCGTTGGACTGTTACCTTGATTCTAGCCCCTTAGGAATACAGCAATACCTTGGCGTATGATGTGGTCTTCACGTCTTTCACCAAGTTGTAACAAGGGAACAGATTATCGACTGTCATTGTCGGCACAATTTCAGTGAAACACTTTCACCGCGAAATCAGCTCGAGTGTTCTAATAAGGCTTGGCTAAACATGACTATAAATAGCAGCTAAGAGTAAAATTGCTGCTCGTGTTGTGTCGATTGAACAAGCTAGAGTAGCAGTAAGATGGCATTCCGCAAGATCTAAAAACGTCGCCATTGCATCGACAGACTCGGACAGAGTCACGTTTGGTTTGCTTTCAGGGCACATTGACACTTCGAAACGACTTGTCTTCGATGTCGATAACCTCAACTTATGTCACTTATGTCATCTCACTAGAGCGGACGTATTTGATCACTTCGATTGTCTACTCGCTCGTGGCTATTGATTTGCCTATCTCTGAAGCCCATGGCGGCCACGTTTATGATTCACGCTCATCAAGCTATTATTCCAGCGCCAGCCGAAGCTAGACCATCATCAGTGTAAGTAAACTCTCATTTCTCTCCTCTCTTCATTAAACCCTCATCAAATAGCCTTCAAGCGTTTATGTTCAAGAACTGAAGTTCATCACAGGAATACATTCCAGTTACAGGGCACATATGTTGAACTGCGAAACTGCTCAATCACTCACGAGATTCGTGCCACTTACAAAGTAGCATGCTAACAAATCCTCGATGTTCCAGTAGCTATTAAAGCAATGATTTCTTGGCACTAGCGATAATTCTCTGTATCACTTCGCAAAGCTTCGGACTTGTTTAAAGAGCAAGGTGGTTAATTTGCCACTTAGTACAACATTATCACCAACCTTTGTCGTACGACACACTCGCAATCCGAGCCGTCAAACATTGTGCATATCACACCGCGTCACTTCAAATGAGCCTCGCTCCTTTTGTGAATTCGAAATCTACGGCAATGACCTTCCCCGCTGGAGTATCTGTTGTGCTCGGTCTTGTTAGACAGATCAGCTGCATCAGCTATTCGGTTGGTTGGTCAAGAAGTCAGTCAGTCAATCGAGCAATTTGGAGTCGGACGTAAGGTACCAGAGACTCTGTTAGTAAATGGGTATTTGGTATTTCGTTGTTAAGACGTCTGAGAAGATGTCGTGCTCACGACGGGAGGTGGTCCATTGCTCCTTCCACATTTTCCTCCGGAATTTATCAGGAAGAAAAGAGTCTAATCACCTTCTTTTCTTTTTCATAACACGAAATCTTCAAGTACACCATTCAAGATGTTTTCCGCTACCATTGTATTGGTCTTGACCCTGTTCTTAAGCTCAGGAAATTGTGCTCCAAGCCAACAATCGTGCACAGTCAACTCTCTTTCAGCGTTCGAAACAGCAAACGGGCCAGTTGAAGTTGATACCAATCCACTGCACGCATTCGAAAGCCCTAAGATCCCCGCAATCAATAGTACCACGTCTGAATATTGGTATTTTGATTCTGTTTCAACCGATGGTACAGCTGGAGCTGCAATCACATTTTTCAGGGATCCTGTACTCGCGTACCTTGGTCAAGGAAATCTACGTGTCATGACTGAAGCTGTTTGGAGCAATGGTACACGTTTCAGTGACACGGTGTTCGTCGAAGATTCCTGCATTACTGTGTGTGGCGGGGAGACAACAGGTGTTTGGAGTTCGCCAAGTAAGAATACCGATTTCACTTTCAAGATTTCGAAAGACTCGAAAACTGTCGATATCGCCGTCTCAAGCCCCCTTGTGACTGGCACGTTCCGTTTAACGTCAAATACACCAGCTCGGTATCCACACGGAGAAACCTTTCCTTCTCGAGATGCATCTGTGGCTTTGGCACCGGAATTTTGGTGGAACGAACCAATTCCTTCCGGCACGGCTCACGTTTCCTTGAGGCTGGGCGATACGCCTTTCGAAATCGAGAGTGGCGTTGGTGGACACGAGAGAAATTATGGCTCTGGTGATTATGTGGTGTTGGCAAAGAGCTGGTCGTGGATGAGATTTGCGGCTGGTCCTTATACGTGAGTTCATCTCTTCCACAACATGAGAGCAATGTATGAGACTACATGCCTTACCTTCTGATAACAGTCCAGCCTCAAAATTGACCTTGAATCACACTGTGCTGCGGCATCATGCAATCTACTGACAATCTGCTCATAGAATGGTTCTATGGTCATGGACTTCTGCAATTGACGGTCTTTACTACCCTTCAGCTTTCCTCGCCAAAAACGACAAAGTAATATTCACAGCGACCCATAGCGTCGAACATCCTACTGAGAAGTTCGTCGTGCTTCGAGAAGTATTGGGACCACCAGGTGTTCACGGCACCTTCGGAAACGATAGCCCAGGTTGGGATGTATTTCTTGTGGACCCGAAATCACTTACGCAGTATTACTTCTCCGAACAGCACAAGAATATTATGTTTGAAGCTCCTCATGGTCAGCCAGATGAGTATACTCGATTTGTTGGGACTGTTACGTTTACGGCTCCAGACCAGACGTTTATGAAGGGTGTTTCTATTGGAGAGCAGAGCTTTATTCGTCCTACTAAGTGAGAAGCTCGTGTTGAAGAGCCTTGCCTGTGTTTTTGCAGTATCGGAGACTTGCGCATGTTTTAAGATGATATATGCCTTGTCGGTTGCTACGAGTTGTTCTGGCCCTCTAGTATCACATTTGCTTTCAAGTACAGTGTCGTTTACGCCTAATTAGACACGTAATTAAAACTAAATTTAGAACACTTTAAGTGTTGCCACCTTGTTAAACCGACTTGCCCACCCTTCTGATCGGTTAATATGACATTAAATGTTAAGACAATGAGGACATGTACTAAAATCTTGACTGTTCTCAACTCGACATATTAACTAACGATGGAAGAATATGCGAAATGCTTCATAAGAAAAGACAGAATTAACTATCCTAACAAAGTTTATTGCCTATTCTCGCGGAGGACAAAATAAGTAGTTGTCACCTACCCGCAAATCTTAGACTAAATAACAAGTTGACTTCAAATAAACCTTTAAAAGTCTTATTATTTACTAAAAACAATTGACAGAATAGTTATAACGTCTCAATTTGATCCACTAAATATACGATATTTCGTCAACTTATTAGTCGAAGAAATACACTATTTCGACTGCTACTTATTTTGTCCTCCGCGAGCTATCCAATCAATTCACATCTCACATCTCCAAGTTCCTCCACCCCTCGCGACCCCTTATAACCCCCTATCATACCCTTTATCACCGTCGCTCCTAAAAATCGCCACCGAGTTCGGAAACACATTCTCGTTCCCCTTGCCCTCAGCAATCGCTTCGCCGTCAATATTAATCATCTCCTTGACGCCGATAGTGTTTAGGTTATACACATTGACGTTCTGGATGCGAGCTTCGAGGCTGAAGATTCGCGTTTGGCATTTTGGGGAGGAGGGGTTTTTGGAACAGTCTGAAGGTGTGTTAGTGGAGAGTATTAAAGGGGGTAAGCGAAGTGGAGATCAAGTACCGGTGGAGCAGTTACTGAAGAAACTGTACAACCCAGCGCCGTAAACTAACAGATCACGAGAATTCAAAACGCGAAGACCCCATCCACCACGACAATTTCCATCATCCACCTCGCAAGCTCTCGGGAAAATCGGATCGTTCCACCCCTCCACCGGCTCAAAAGGCTTCGTAGCAGGTGGATTAGGTTGATAATACGCCGTCTCCGTCTGTAGTTGCCCAGCGAATACATTCTTCGTATTAGCGAACTGGTATTGGTACATAGCATGATGTTCCGACGCGGTTCCCACAAGGAAAATATTCCCATCCCTGGACTCCGAGTAGAAGCCTCGTCCGCCGTAGATGGTGGTTTGTCGGAGCTCAGGATCGTCGATATCGTGGTCTGCGACCCAGAGCCAGACGTTCTCGAGGTAGAGACCCGATGCTGAGGGGGAGAGGTAGACGCTTGCGAACGCGGCGATGCAGATGAGGTTGATGGATATGGTGTTTGGACTTGCGGGACAGTCGGCGTAGCTTAGTTGAGAGCCTTTGAAGCCGCCGATGCGTGTGTGGACGTCCCAGATTCCGGAGGGGGTGTGTCCTGGGGTTGCGAGGTTCCATTCTATAAGGATGGCTCCGGATGTTGCGCCTTGGGTTGAGAGGATTAGGTCGGAGAGTTCGACGATACCTGCTTCGCCTGGATTACCGACGCGGAGGACAGCTTTGGGCGAGGTGGGCTGGGAGAAGTAGGCGCCGTATCCTAGGATGACGGGATATGTTTCTCCTACTATTTTTGAGTTGGGTGGGATGTAGATGGTTGAAGTTACTTTGTAGGTTCCGGCGTCGATATAGACGATTTGGTCGTTTTCGGCAGCACTTTGGATGACTCGGGCTAAGGCGAGGGTGTCGTCTGTTTCGCCGTCTCCTTTGGCACCTGCGTCTCGGACACTGACGAATCTGTCGAGTGGAATTCTTTCGTATTGTGGCTTTGATCGGGTGTAGAATCTTCCTCTTCTTGTGAGAGATTCTGGTCGATAGAAAGGTTCAGATGGTTGTTGTAAGTTTCTAGGAGCGGTATCAAGAGTATATTGGTGACCTTGAGCCCACGCTTGAACCTTCTTGTAACCAGGTGTGCCATTTAGAAGTGTTCCACTTTCTCCTTGGACCGCAACGTCGACTTGGTGCAGTCGAATGTTTTCAAGAACTAGGTTTCCAGCAGTTTTCGGCGACGAGTCTAAAGAGTGAGCAGTGATTATACCAACTTTTGTCCTTGAAATTATACTGTCGATGAATGTTACGGAGCCGACAGTTTGTTTCTGGGAACCCCCGCTTGACATATTGAGTCCTGTTGTACAGTTCTCGATCTCAATGCCCATAAAAGTCCAACCCCAGTTCCAAAATTGATTGATAGCGGTGACTGAATTAGAGAGCTTGATGTTCCGCATTGTAAATTGTTGGTTTCCAAGAGACATGCCGTAGTTTCCACCGTAAAACTCTAGGTCACTCATGAAGCCGCCGGAACCTGAATCATTAGCAGGTGTGACAGAGAAAATAATCATCACCGAAATGCTGACATACCGTCTTCGATAAATATGCCTTGGTGTTGGGTACCCGGGGCATCACTCAATTGGAAGACACAATTTTGTAGACTGGTCGCTTGTGCCGTGGGCCAATGAATTCCGGTAACAGAGCTTTCCGCTGACACGTTTCTGGTATCAAAAACAAAATTTCGAACCTGACGATAGAACAGATTGGTGGATCCGAATCCTAGTTTACCGCCTGCGGCATAACGGTTTCCGTCGATCAAGCCAAATCCTTTAAAGTCTGAAGTGGCATGAAGAATTGTGAGGTTGTTCGGATTGCCGATAAGCTGTGTGTAGTAATAATCAATGATGGAAGACGAGATTTTGTAGGTGCCAGCCGGAAAGTAAACTACGGCTGGTGTGATCGTGGTTGAATTGCACTTTCCAGGCTCACACCTTCCGCCGTTTTTAATTGCATTATTGATAGCGGTAGTATCATCAGCTTTTCCATCACCTAAAGAGATTAGCATAGCTTTTCAAAACACACACTTTGAAATTACCTTTTGCTCCAAAATCTTTCACATTCCGATAAACCTGGTATTCGCTTGGCTTTGAGTTGAAAGCAGCTACCCCCTGGTGCTTGATATGCTCAAACCAATAGGGTAGTGTAGGGGGCGAATTGTCTGGGTCATCTTCTGGCGACCCATCTGGTGGATCGGAGTGGCCAGATTCTTGGGAGACTTGAAGAACCTGCTGATGTGAGGAAGTATCATGGGCACCTTGAGCCTGACTGCTAGGCCCGTTATAATGAACGGCAGAAGACAACTCGCTTGTCATCAACTCTACAACAGAGTCTACCCATGGTATCTTCAAGGAGGTAGCGACTGTATTAGTTACCCCTAAAAGAAGAAGTTGCTTAGCACGGAAGTGCATTTTTGCAACAAACTGTGTATGCTCTGAATCTCGTCGAGAAGAAAGATGTGGATGGAGACAATGAGTTGACTTGAATCTGTTGCAAGATTTTAAGTTCATCAAAAAGAGGATAACATCACCATTACCAAATATCCTCCACGCTATTGGTACCTGGCCGCAGCAACGTAAATTTGGTGTTGTACCAATGTCACACGGCGCGAGCCGATGTTTAGGTAGGACAAATATTAGGTTGTGCCTGTTCAAAAGTTGCATCGTACTACATCTGTCAAGAAATTTAGTGGCTACCAGAAATGAAATGAGTCTACCCTCGGGAAGATGATGAAATGCGGCTTTCCATATGCTGATCTATTGTAAATTGCAGCAGAAATTGTGAAACACAAGAGAATAATCAACGGGAACGCGTAACCTGACTTTGAGCTGAACCTCACAAGTATGAACTGATAGGCCGTAATGTCGCAAGGGAAATTTGCTGGCCCAGTCGGAATGCCTTTACGAGCACGAGATTTCGTCACCACGTAGCTGGAGTCGAAAATGTACCAACAGACCAACGTGTAGATCATTCAGCCGCAGCTTGAATGCTTCCTCAAAGTCGGTCTTAATTGCTGGAGAAGAACAACTAAGAATTCTTGGGGACTCGTCCATTAGAAGAATGGTGACAAGCATACAATAGTATATATCTGGCAGAATAATCTTTACGAGGTAGCTTGTAGATCTCGGTAAGTAGATGATTGGCTTCAGCATCTCAACCAACCCGAGTACCCTTCCACATGTGTAAGTTGTAGCATATTGAGGCGTAATAGAGCAAGGGTTCTTCAAAAATACTGACAACGTAAGGGTCCTCCAGACCAACAAACGCAAATTTGGTCTTCTGTTCAAAGGAGATAGTGTTGAAAATCGGATAACACGAAGGCGACGCCTATGTATCTGTTAAGGAACCAAATAATGGCATAAAATGATCAACTTCCTTCAACAATGACTTATCTCGTATTACTGTTAGATAACTACCAATCCTCCCTCGGTGCTCCCTCGTGCTCGACTAGATATTTACTCCAACGTCAATTATTCGCAATCTTGGTATTATTTCGGCGTCGAAGCTCGGGTCCCAATTCCATGACCTGGATGTCATGTCAAAGAACAATTCAACCACTCTTTGGCTGAGTACCTGGGTGGTAACAAAATAGTCCATCATTCGTGCAACCCTCATTTAACGTGTTTGCCTTTAGGTTTTTCGGACCGTCCTGCTATATTTATTACTGCAAGGTATTCTAGAACTTAGGTGTCGTGCTTTATGAAACAGAGGTGGAATCGTGAGAATCCATGTCGAATTATGACGTGCTCGTAGCATTGAACTTGTGATATCACAATTTAACATTTGTTATTGTTTACTGGTAAGGGTAAAGTATACCTAGGTAGGTAGGTAGCTGTGCAATTGAGTGTTAAATGCAGGTGTCTTAGAGCTTGGTCGCGCTCAAGAGTAAAAAGTGACGCGTATGGCGCCCCACTTTTCTTAGCCTGCTACTTTTATTCCAACCCCCTACTAGGTACCCTCCTATATACATATAGCTAAGAAACGCAACCAAAGTCTTTCTAGATCTAGCTCTAACTCTCTGAAACATCTGATTTATTCACAACCTATAAGAAATCCATATTAACTCGTTCTCACCAAGCCGCGAACGTGGAGCTGGCCGCTTATTGCGCTGCTCAAAAACATCAACAATGATTGCTTTACTTTGAGGTAAAGAGTCCATGTTTGAGAAGAAAGGTAGGCTGCTTGACTAACTCTAAGTGGCCATCCCCTAACCAGATTCTAAGACGTTTGGTACTATGTATCAACCTCGACCAATCACACACGCAATGATTTACGAAGCATGATACAACTGCTTAGACGGAGTGCGAAGATGCCGCAGAAAACGATCAAATCAACACCCGAGACCCGTGAAGGAGCTCATTCTGTTACATCTCTTACCAAGCAAGCTTTGGCAATGAAATGTTCGAAGAGCAAGCGCTCTGGACCAATTCATAAAATGATATGTTTACCATGAGGCCTTTCCTCCAGTACTCGAGTGTCCTTCGGCTTCCAAGCAAAGCGTTCAGAACAAGGAATACCGCCAAATGCTTGTAAAAGCTTGAATGAAAGATCACAACGTATGGAACATGAAATACGCCTAGCTAAGGCATGGCTCTGCTTGAAGCAACGTTGAACAATCCTGCTGACAATTTCCAGATGATAGAATTACCCTTTCCAAGGAGAATAGCACATTGAAGGAATGTGTCGTAATCGTAGTAATCTACAATTAATGAGCTTGACGTCCCGAAAGGAGTCCAAGAGCGAGCGACGACTGAACTTTTCCGGCAAGGCGCCTGACAGTGAAAGTCAGAGAGACGGTCAACGGCGGAACGGTTTCGCAAATGCTTTCACGAGCATATCCAAAAACTTCCCTCGGCATGCGAAATGAAATATCTAGGCGCAATATAACTAGTACGTCGAATGTCACTCCAGGTGGTGCCCTTTAGAGATTGTGCAGACCATACTCTCTTGTTTTCGATCTGCATCACCAAGATATTTGCTGGCTCATCGAGGGAAACGAGATATGTCGAACCTATCTCAGAGCAAGATATGAAAACGCCTCGTTTCTGGGCAGCTCTTTTGGTCGCTTATAATCGGCCATCACCTGATGATCGCGGCACCAATGCATCGCCATCTGTTACGACCAAGCTTGTTGATATAACATCAAATGTGTTGGTGGACTCGAAACGGCTCAAGGAAAACACATCCACATTTTGGAACCTTTGCTTATTGCAGTTCGTTTTTGTGGCAGTGGAAAAGTCTCAAACTCTATACGATTATCTGCCATGAATGTGACGATCGCGAAGTTTCGGGCAGCTGCAACAAATGTAACCTACATGATGTTACTTCCTGGGCGCATCAGTCCCAGACTCCGATACTGATAGGGACATTCTCGAAGACGCAGCCGAGCACGCCGAGACAATACCAAGTCCTGGGCAAATCGACTGTCATTGGCGCATGGGAGATGGCGTGTATCAGCGGGTTTATACCGTTCAGCATTAGGGGTGAGCACCCTATTGCACCTCTCATCTAGCCCCACACGATAAAGCTTCCCCTCAGAATCAACGGCAATACTCCATCTTGATATTTCTCTGTGCATCCATCAAGTCTTTCCAAGATCACAATATACAGCTTATGTTTTTATCCATAATTACCTGCCTTTTTGGTCTGAAGGCGCTCGAAACACCATGTTGCAATTCCACGTTGACCATACAGATCTCGTGCCTTGTTGCAGCAACTGGGACACCAACCCATCCCAGAACCAATCTGCTCACACCTATGAGCTATCAACAAGAGAAGATGCATCGGTTTACGCTCCAACATATTATATGCAGCTATATACTCTTCCTTCCAGGCGCCTCGTCCTCAATTCATATGGTTTCTATGGTGCCGAGCTTTCCAATCTATGCCGTCGCCTGGAGTGTTTAAGTCTCGGTTTGACCAAATCCAATCATTGTGCAAGAAACGGATGATAAGTTGTACATTGAAGGAATCAGATGCGGCACAACCGCCGAGGGAGGGTACTGCAGACCGATTGCCACCCTATCCTGACGGTTTGGGGAATCAGCATCTGCATGTGGTGAATGTACGACTCAACCGGTTGTGTAACGACTTGAATAGCCGGTGACCTATCCATTGGAATTCACGTAGAAGGTTTATAGAAACCCTCCCGCATCCGCCCTGCAGGTTTTGGAATTTGTCTCTCTTCATCTTCACAAACATGTCGGACTCCTCACCCCCCAGAGATGCGTATGGGAAGGAGACTGCAGTCCCAGCAACAAAAGAAACTCATTATGCTTCCGGTTCTTCAGAGGCAGAGTTGGCTGATGCAGGTGTTGTGGTCAAGTCGGCGCCACTAGGTAATAACCTTAAGTATTTAAATAAATATATGTTATACTAACAAAAGCAAAAAAGCGAGGGAATTGAAAGGGCGTCATATGCAGATGATTGCGATTGGTATGAGTGTAACTACCTCTCATGAATCGAATCGGAAAGCTGACTATCTACTTAGGTGGAGCAATTGGAGCTGGTCTTTTCATCGGATCTGGAGGCGCGCTTTCTAAGGGTGGCCCAGCCTCTCTGGTTTGTACCTCTTGTTTTGGATTAACAACCTTAAGCTAAGCGAACTTGCAGGTTCTTGGTTATATGATCGTCGGATCTATGCTCTTGTGCACTGTTCAAGCCCTAGGAGAGCTTGGCGTTCTGTTTCCAGTCAACGGAGCATTCTTTACTTACATCGTTCGTTTCGTAGACCCTTCATTGTAAGCGAGAAGTTCACTCGTTTGTGGAAGCTATACTAATTTGGAGGGTAGTGGATTTGCTGTTGGGTGGGATTATGCTATCGGTTGGTTAACGGGTAAGATATTCCGCGTGCTCTCTTATCCGCTCATTATGTCCTTGCGCTAATCCATTTTCAGTCCTGCCGTTCGAGCTCGTAGCTGCTGGTATCACGATTGAGTTCTGGAGAGACGATATTAATATTGGAGTTTGGATTACAGTCTTCCTCTTTGTTCTATGTATCATCCAAATCTGGGGCATTAGAGCTTATGGCGAAGGTTAGTAAATATTTACCTTTAGCTGAAATCATATTGTATTAACATCATTTAGTTGAGTTTATTCTTAGCATCATCAAAATCTGCGGTTGCGTTGGCTTCATCATATTCGGTACCATCGTAGCCTGTGGAGGTGTCGGTGATCAAGGTTATCTAGGAGCAAAATACTGGCACAACCCGGGAGCTTTTGCCAATGGTTTCAAAGGCTTCTGCTCGGTATTCGTCGTTGCCGCATTTGCATTTGGCGGGTATGTGCTCCCCGGGTCTTTGGCGATAGAGCATACTGACCGAGAATAGGACTGAACTAGTTGGCCTTGCTGCAGCAGAAGCAACCAACCCATTGAAGAGTATTCCTCAAGCAACAAAGCAGGTGTTTTGGAGAATTTTTTTCTTTTACATAGTCTGTTTGTTCATTCTCGGGCTGGTTGTCCCATATACCAACCCGAATCTGCTCAATTCTAGCGGCGCCAACTCAAAATACTCGCCATTCGTCATTGCTATCAGACTAGCCGGTGTCAAAGCACTTCCATCGATCTTCAATGTCATTATCACCATTTCGGTGATTAGTGTTGCCAACTCCTGTACATTCGGATCGACTAGAACCCTTCAGGCTCTTGCTGAACGTGGTATGGCACCAGCGTTGCTCGCGTATGTTGATGGTAAAGGCCGCCCGATTTGGGGTGTGGTTCTGCAACTCTTATTCGGTCTCCTCGCTTTTGTCGCAGAGAACAAACAGCAAGGTCTAGTGTTTAATTGGCTTTTGGCCCTCTCCGGTCTATCATTCTTCTTTATTTGGGCCTCCATCTGTTTGGCACACATCAGATTCCGGCACGCATGGAAGGTCCAAGGCCATGTCAAAGCCGAATTGCCCTTCGAGGCTATGTTCGGTGTTGGAGGCAGCTATTATGGCTTGGGAATGAACATTCTCTGTATGGCTGCTACGTTCTACATTGCGCTTTTCGTAAGTAATACATTCCTGGCCCGGCATGGACGACTACTAACAAACTTTAGCCAATTGGCGGAAACCTAACTGCTCGAGCTGCCGCTGAGAACTTCTTCTCCTACTACCTCGCTGCTCCGGTGATCATCGCACTATATCTAGGCTGGAAGATTTGGACAAAGGATTGGAAGTTATACATCAAGGGCGTTGATATGGATATCACTTCTGGTAGAAGATCGTTGACTCTTGATCCTGACGATATGCCACCACCTAAGACGTGGGCAAATATGCCAATGAGGTTTGTTAGAGCTTTATTTTAGGTCGATTTTTTTGTTGGGGAGGATATTATGATATGTGATTTGATTTTGGACAAATGTGCGATAGATAATTGGTTCTATTTTAGTTCAGAACTTGGCCCTAGAGCTACGAGTGTGGGTCTACGTGACGGTAGCTATGCTTTATTTGTTAATCACAGTTTGTGCATTCTCTAAACACCTTATTCCGCTCTTTTAGTATGATAATATTATTCTGCGCGCCTGCCAATTTATCGTCGATGATCATCATCTGACAGAAATAGCGAATATCAAAAATTGCCTTTTAGTGAGGAAAAAGAGTCTAAGATTTCTTGTTTACTGAAAAGGGTAGACGAAATACACGATATTGTGCCAACTTGATTGAAGAACTATGTAATACTTCGTCAACTTGATTGATTAAAGATTAGTTTAGAGTGTCAATCCCCACTCATACTGTCCACCGCGAGGTTGGCAATATTTTAAACATCGCTGTGCTTGACATTAAACTCACCCTCCTTCTCCTCATCGACCTCCTCCAAAAGCCCTTCCTCCTCATCAACCATATAGAACTCATTTTGAGTTTTAGCCAGCTCCATCTGCATTAATTGCCTACGTCTAACAAGCGCGAGAGCACCTGCAAACGTAGTCAACACAACCATCAAAGGAATACTTCCAATGAAGAACTCCAAGCTCTCATCCCAGACAACCCAGAAGCTTCGCGCGAAGGTACCTTGCTGTCCATAGTAATCCCATTCCGTGGAACGGAACTTGACGTCGCTAATTGGTGCGTCCTTGCCACAAGCCATCTTTCCATGAGGAATAGCCTGGTCGCGATCAACGAGTTCAACACTCTGGATTTTCAAGCCCTCCTCCCATGAATCTTGCGAGATCTTGATCTCTACAGCCTTTTGTCCTGCTTTGCTAAGCTCATAAGTTCCTGGGTTGGTCGAGCTAGTGATATCGATGTTTGTGACGTCGAAGCGGAGGACCTCAACTCTAGGCTCGGCTAGCGTAGCGATATGTTCGTAGCTGAGTTCGAATCGACCGTATTTGGTTCCTACGTTGAAACTCTCATCTAGCATCTGCATATTGACCATCAAGCCCAAAACATCCGAGGTCAGATTGGCAGGAGTCTGGAAGGCGAAGACTTTGGTTGGGATCTCGAGAGGGAGGATTCGCTTATTGTTCAGCTCCAAGGAGTGTCTGTCTTCTCCGATAGTGAAGTTCAACAACTAGCATACCGTGTTAGCATTGCCCTGTCTGATGATGTAGAGGTCTTGGATCCTACTTACCAACGAATTGTCCGGCTCACCCATGAAGTATTCTCCCTCAAGAGCCCTGACACGGAAAGGACATCCTAAACAATCAAGCTTGACCACATAGCTTGACTCTTCAACCACCTTGGTAACAGCTGCTGCGACTGATGGTACTTTAGAGCCATGGTCAAGGTATTCATCAGCTGTGGGATCTGGGTGGTAGCTCCACTCGTAGTCCCGGTAATTATCTGAAGTTGCGCCTAGTGATGCAATGACACCTGCGGTAAGGAAAGGAAGAAATGTTAAGGAATGCATGTTGAAAAGAAGATATATGAAGATATTATGTGATGAATTGAAAGAGAGAAGATGGATTACCTAGGTATTGGAGATATGGTGTGGCGTTGTCTTAAGGGGCTGTGCTATTCTTGTCGATCTGGGGGCGATAAGGAGTCAAGGAGAGGTCTTTGTGGTCCGAGCTTCGTATCGACGTCTTCTTTACTTCGTTTCTGATGGCAACCTCTCTCTGTATACGGATTTCATCGATTTATCAAAAGAATTGCCAACTTGGATTTAGAGCTTTATTGAAGAGTCCTGTGTGTTTTCTATCACTATGATTGTCATAACCATGGAAGTTTTATTTTTGGATTCTTTTGGTGTTTGTCGTCGAAGTAGCTCTCGCCGCCCCTGCAGCTCACTCAGCCTCACTTCGCGAAAGATGGGCGGCAAGATGGTGCAGCCTCATCTAATATGGCTGGTATAAGTAGCTGTGTGATGAATCTTGAGGCCACTACGCTTTCGTATTGTGCGGATTTGCTTTACGAACGACAAAAATGCTCGACCCGCTAACGGCCCTATCACTTGCCGGAACGGTAGTCCAATTTGTGGATTTTACTACCAAATTGCTTACCAAGAGCTACGAATTGTACAAATCGAAGAAGGGATGTCTGCAAGTTAATGAGGAACTAGAAGAGGTCACGTTGAATCTTCAGTCGCTGGCTTTAAAACTTAACAGACCTCTTACGCTCGTCAATATCCCACACGATGAGCAAGATAAGGATGCGAAGGCTCTAGAAAAGCTATGTAAATCATGCGTCACGCTGTCTAACGAAATGATTAAGAGGCTGGATGGAGTGAAAGTGCACGCAAAATCCGGATCTTTCAAGAGTATGAAGGAGGCTCTGTTGGCAGCTTGGAGAGACGGACCGCAAAAGAATCCGGCAGGAGAAATTGACAGTCTAGTTATGCGACTTCAAATGTACGAAAATGCATTGAAGACTCGGATCCTTGTTGACTTGCGGTATTTATAATCTACTGACCTTCTAAAGAACGCTTACCAACCTTTGTTGTAGACTTCAACTGAATTCTGTCTCGCTTCAGATGTCTGAACGATTTGCTGAAATGGATGTCCAGTCTCGTAATATCATTACGGCATTGCTTGGAAATCAAACGTCGGTTGCTAGAGATCTGCAGGAACAGACTCTCGCTTTAACACAAATGCTCAGTCGAACAGAAGTTGTAATTATCAACCAGACCCGGGCTGTTATTCTGGATGCTATACGATCTGGTGCCGTTACGAGCCAAGCCTCAGAAGCTGACCAAAGCCTTCTTAACGGAGTACGGACGCAAGAAGGTGATATAAGACTTTCAATAGAGATAAGCCTTCTACAGGATCTTGATTTCTCTACGATGAATGATCGACAGTGTGAAGTATCTGAAGCACATAAGAAGACTTTTGGTTGGCTATTCGATAACTCCTTGGATAATGCCGCACCTTGGAAGAGCTTGACGAATTGGCTTCGTTCTAGTGAAGGTATCTACTGGATAAACGGAAAGGCAGGTAGCGGAAAATCGACCCTTATGCGTTATATTTACGATCATGGTCAGACCAATACTCTTCTGGAGGAATGGGCGTTACCAGAAAAGCCTACGTTTGCTTCCTTCTTTTTCTGGAACAGCGGAACCCTCGAGCAGCGCTCGCAGAGCGGTCTCCTGCGTGCGTTATTGTTCGAGACTCTCAATGAACACCGAGATCTCATTCCAATCGTGCTACCCTGGCAATTTGCAAAAGAGTACTCGAGACATTTGGAGGGTATCAAAGACAAGGTTCGGTCGGGTGATTTTTGGCATATTTCCAAACTCCAAGCCGCATTTCGCATCCTAGTCACACAGAAAATCGTTCCTATAAAAATGTGCTGGTTCATCGACGGTCTTGACGAGTATGAAGGCGACCATGAGGAGATCAGCGAGCTCTTTCGCGCAGCCGCTACGGCAAACCCAAATGTCAAGATTTGCATCTCAAGCCGTCCTCTTCTAGCTTTCGAGGACGCATTTCGAGCCTGTCCAGGTCTCCGACTCCAAGATCTCACTCTCCGAGACATAAATGAATATGTCAGTGATAAGCTCACAAATCACCATCGTTATCGAAAGCTTGCCTCTGGTGCAAACAATAAAAAAGCCGCAGCACAACTTATTCAAGACATCGTGGCAAAGGCTGATGGTGTATTCCTCTGGGTAACACTCGTGGTCAAGTCTCTGCTTGCAGGGCTTGGTAACCGCGACGGTATCAAGGATTTACAACGGCGCTTAAATCTACTGCCCAACGATCTCGAGTCTCTATACGCCCATATGCTCTTGAGAATAGATCCATTTTACCAAGAAAAGGCATCAGAAATGTTCCAATTGATTCGAGCATCCCGAGAATTGACGCCGGTCTATTATGATGGCGACTCGACCAAACAGATGACGCTTTTTGCATTAGCACTGGCCGACGAAGATGATTACCAACTCGCCGTTACAACGCCGGTCAAATTGTGGAACACTGTAGATATACAAGAGAGGTGCGAGATCATGGCCGATCGATTAAAGTGCCGATGCGCTGGTTTAATAGAGGTTCAAGAATTCGATCCAGCTGCGCCAGGCAGCATGACACGAAATATTAAATCTGCCATTCGTGCAGACAGCAAGGTTCAATATTTACATCGTACGGTTAAAGATTACCTGGAAAAGCCTGATATCTGGAACAGCATACTGGTCCATACTTCTGAGTCCGGGTTCGATGCAAACAGCCGCATGCTCAGTAGCTGTATTTTGCAATTGAAAACCTCTATGATTTCAGTCGATAAACATGGCCTATGGCACATGGCATTAGATGCGATGTCCTATGCATATCAAGCCGACATGCAATTGGCCATATCAAATACGGAATTACTAGATCAGCTAGACATAGCTATGTCCACGCTTTATAAAACACCTTTAGGAGGACACTGGTCAAGCAACAGCCCAAACAAACTCTCAGGTTATATCACAGAAACTTGGAACAGCAATATGTTGTCATTCGCAGTCCAATTCGGGCTTGCTGCGTACGTCAAAGAAAAGCTTGCGGAGAATATTAAGTACGGCACAGAAAAGAAGGGTCGACCATTAGTAGCATATGCTCTATGCCCATTGCCCTTAGTTGAGGATTATCCGGCCAATGCTAAAGTCGTCGAGATGTTATGCCAATACTGTCCAGAAAATGTTCTATATAACGATACGGAACATGTTCTGGCAGAAGCTGTTAATTTTCAGGTGGGGAAAAGAAAAATCCAGACAAGGCAGCTAGTAGGTTCGAATAAGAGCTGGGAAAGAGAGCGAGTAGAAATGTTTCGACTGCTACTTGAGCACCACTATGATGTTTCTCAGCGCTCCGCCGATAGAACGTCATTTTCGCCGGACCCTCCTACTGTTTACAAAATAATAGAAGCCTTTGGGACAGGTCTTTCGCAGGAATCTATGCAGGCCCTCGAATCTGCGGTACCCAGCTGGCAAGTTCCAGAAAAGCAAGTCACGAATGTTATTGCAGTCAAAGAAAAGCGACGCTCAAAAACAGATTTTCTGCGAAGGCTACTCGGCAGAAATTGATGCCAGCAACGAAGCACCACTCAAGATAGAAACACAGATTAAGATGATTATGAACATATCTATCATTAGTTCCTCCCACTCCAAGCATTATAGGGTATAATATTGGCAAAATTTATAGTCAATGCCAATGCTTCACAAAAGTTCAGATACCCAAGACCTAGGCGGAATGTCCTTTCTCGAAGCAGGTACCCACACCTCCTGTTTTTCAACGAACGGCAAACCAATCCTAACCAGTTACTTTGCTGGACGAATACTCTGCGGATTATGGAAAATATCCTTTGGATCAAGAACCTTCTTCAACCTTTCCAACTCTGGCAAATTCGAACCAAAGTACCGTTGTTGAGGATTTGGTAACGCTGGATCGACATAACCAGCGTAAGCCCCCAAAGTCTTGCCTGGGAAACCAGAGTTGATGACATCGTTCATCCCTGTGATGAAGTTGCGAATCTTACTTGTCACGCCTGTGATTCCGACTCCGTAGGTTTGGAGATAGAACAATGCATCCCGATGGCCGTAGGCTGTTGCAGATGGTGCGATATCATTGATTGCTCCTCCCTCGAGATCGAAGATGGCAAACCAGATCAACGTTCCTTTGTCGACTGTGTCAAGATATTTGAAGAAAGCATCGATGGTAGTGGCTGGAATGAGATCCGACTTCGTAAATGCGAGGTTCTTGGAGTAAAAAGACGCGCTCAGGGCACCTAGATTGAGAAAGACGTCTTCAGCCCAGTGAGCGACTGCTCCGAGGAAGTTGTTGAATACGATGACATCCGCCTTCGAGTTGTCGGGGAAGACCGAAGTCATATTCAAGGCATCGAATTCCGCTTTGGTTCCAAAGAAAGTACCAGAGATGATCATACCAACGGCAGTGATAACGACCTGACTAGCGAATTTTCTGCTAAGATCTGGGTTTGAGATCAGAGTTTGCCAGTCCTTGAATCGCTGCGCATGTTTCGTATATGGTGTCCCGGAAAAGGTGTAAGAATATTCCACCATTTCTCCAGGCGCAGGCTGTGTTCTGACCCTGAAGTTTGTCACAATACCAAATGAAGCGCCTGCTCCCTTCATCGCCCAGAAGACTTCCGGATATTTGGTCGCTGAGGCTTTAACGATGCTAGAGTTCGCCAGGACAACCTCATATTCCAGAACGTGATCCATGGCAGATCCCCACATACGACTGGTTGGGCCGAGGCCTCCCATTGTTGCATGACCGCCTATTCCAACATCTGGACAGGTTCCATGGGCCATTGCGCGATTGCCGTTGGCGAGGAGATTCTTCGTAACAGCTTCCAATCGGGTTCCACCGCCAATAGTGGCTTCCCAGCTATTTGTGTCCATAGAGAACCCAACGAAGTTCTTCAGGTCGACTACTATGGTGCTAGTGTCTCCTCCGCCGAGAGCTGATGTTTTTGTCAGTAAATGAAGATTTGATCATTGTTGTGTAGAAGGTTCGCGTGAAGTGTATCTTCTCGAAAAGAAAGGAACTCTTTTACAGGATTTCCCAATTCATATTTCCAGATTTTCTAGGCATCGAGATCATGGATTTGACTTACCATAGTTTGCATAAGAGTGTCCTCCGCCTCTAGGCTGAACGGTATAACCAGCTGTAGCTGTCGCACACTTTACAATTTCAGAAACTTGATCCGCTGTCTTAGGATACGTGACGGCGACAGGATGCACAGCAACGTCCATGTTGTAGGGCTTCACATCTTGGAGTTGGTACAACACTTTCGAAGGAAAGGCGACCAAATCTCCATTACCACCAACAGCGGCTTTGAGGCAGACTTCCATTGGACTTGATTGATGGGCCCCCATATTGAACTGAAGTCGAGGTTGTCGGCGTGGATAAAGAACCCAAAGAAGGTGGCACGACGTTGCTCTTTATTCTCACGTTTCTCAAGGCTTGTAATTGTCTGTGTAGTCTCACATGTCACACTGGTTGGTTATTAATGATGTACGCGGGGATACCTCCCAAGGGTGTGAATGAGTTGCATGGTGTTTGCTGACGCCACTTCCAGGAACCCGCGAACAGCATTTTGTATTCACGTTGACCTGTGGGCCAAAAGGGCTGAATCAAGAAAGCAGCCCTAGTTATGAAACATCAGGGTATGCGCTGACCCTGTTTGCAGCCGTCAATAAATGCAGCTTATTATTTACAATACGCCCATCATCCAATGGCCATTGTGACCCTCTTTCGAAGGAATCCCCCTTTCCTTGGCCCATCAGGGGAACCATAAGCGAGGTGGCGGCTTTCCAGAAGGATTGGCCGATGATATTGAGGCGTAGCGGGGTGTGTTCAGGGGTTCGCGTGTCGTTTGTTGCCCCTCCAATTGCACGCTCGTGACTCGGCTCAGTGACCGGCGACCCCTGGAGGGAAGGCGGCATTGAACAATCATTTGCTGGGGAATCCTACGGGAAAGCTTATTCTGAAGTTGTGCTTCCATTTGAATAAGGCTGTGAGTTTTCGACCCCAACGGTGTCTCCATTCGGAATGCGGGACCTGATCCTTTCGTCAGACGGCAGTACCGTCTTCTATTGTGCCACCGCCAGTGGGGAAATCATTGATTGATTTTCATTATCAGATGAAAACGACATTGTGTCGCTCTTTGTGGGTTGATGAGTAAGTTGGCTTGAAAGCACCGCTTGAATATTGTGGGAACTGAACACAGGATGACTGGAGTCAGCCGACTGTTGCGTGGCTCACTGTGCTTGTTGTATACTGTTTCATAAGCGGGTACTCCGTCAGATGTTGCAAAGTCGAGTTATGAATTTCAGTTCTGCTTAGTTGGAAGCTGAAAAATAAAGTAGCAACCAGGTGTATTGTAAGAGACATCAAACATTTGATTATTGGCACCATCAAATTTTTGGTTCTCGGGACTTTACATAATCTGACAGTGTGTTTCCTCCTACTTCCACGAATTTCGTTTCGAGAAGTATAAGCCGGCAAGGTTGTAGTGAGGCTTTTCCTGCCTCCACAGTATCACTAAGACGTCTTTACCACCGGGCGGTTTAGCACTCGGCCGTGACGGGACAAGCCGTTGCTGATGGCCCCCTTCCACATTGCTGATTACAGCTCGTACCAGACACGTCTCCGGTAGGTTCAATCACGCATCATATCTTCGGCTCCATGGCTGTGCTGCTAAATATCCGTTTTTGTACTTTGAGCAGGCCAAGCCCGATCATCAAGCAACTCTTCCGAAGTTGCAGAGGGGTCAGTCGCGAAGAAAGGAATCCGTCGGAGTCGAACGGATCTGATATCAATATCAACGACCATCATTGTTTGTCCCATGAATTTCTCTTTGCTAATTTTTGCAAGTGCAGTTAACCTATTCGAATGGTCCCACGGATTGAGGTCCATTTGCGAGCTGTGCGAAACTGCTGTGCCAGAATTATAATCGATAGGCGAAGGAGCTTTCGAAAGCTTCTCTTCCCATTCTTCATCGTCGCGAGGTATGAAAATTTGACAGGAGTACTCGGGTAACCCTATATTAGTTGTGTCATCATCGAAGGCTCTCAATACAACGACGAACGGGAGTGGCACCGTGGTGTAGCCTCTAGGGTTGCAAGTGAAGTACAGATAGCCACCTTCAGAACAGCGAAGAATTCTTTGTGTTTCGTGCCATGCCCCGTGTGGTTCGACCTTGGTAAGCTCATAATCTTCTCTTGGCATCGTCCGAATTAGGAACTGATTCGTGCGATCATAGTCTCTCGCACTAGGGAGCAGTATTTCTTGTCTAATGTATATTGTCCTCAGCTTTGCAAGAGCTACATGCTCAGGTACAACGATCACCGGTTTGAGGCGGAAAGTATCTCGAGCAAACTGGTCGCCTCTGGCAGAGACTATTGACCGAATGTATACGCCGAGGGGGCCAAGATAATTGTCTTCGTAGTGACATTGTAGGATTCCGATGTAGTCGTCGGTTTCCCCATACCGGATGATTTCCAATTGCACACGCAAACCTTGATTTGTCATTGAGTAAGGTGTAGAGATTTCCCAATTTCGATATGGCACAATGGAGCCAGCATTTTCGAAATTCCCAGGCGACGGTGCGAGGAATCCGCTCAAACCTCTTCGTCGACTCTCGGAGCTTTCGGTGGCATGATACCGAGGAAGAATCACTTCTGGTTCTTGGTCGTCATCTGTGGTAATGGTGATAGCAACTTCCTGGTCATGAGGAATGCTGTCCATTTGAGGACTCTCCTCCCAAGCAAACAGTGATTGATCGTCCGAATTCTTCATAATTTCCTCCTGGAGACGAGTGAAGGCTTTTTTGCCCTCGCCGTATAGTAAAGGTAAGTTAACGCCAAATATGCCCAGCAGGCAGTACGCAATATCCTCAGCTCTTGTTGTCACCCTTTTCGAAGCCCAAGACATCCTCTTAGCGACGCTGACCTCCTTCACATTTCCCCCTGCCAAAGTCTCATTGTCGATTCCGGTTATCCGAGAGAGAACACAACTCAATTGACCTTTCTCGCCAATCAACTCCCAGTTCTGATCGTAGAAATCAACTCGTGAAGGGGCGATCAACTCTTGTAGAGTCCAACCTCTGGTAAACCATCTGCAATCTCGTAACAGTTCCTCGAAATCGATCCCGGCTTCATCATTAAACAATTGCGTTCCAAAAACTGACGTGACTCGAAGGAATATTTTAGCGTCAGAAAGATAGGCATAGCAGATAGCAGCATTTTGGTACCAGACATACATGCTATTGATAGCTTCCGAAAGCTCAGCACTGCTACTTTTGTCGATGCAGCACGTGTCAATCCAGACATAATCGTAACCATCTTTATCAGCTTGTTTGCAGCAATGCTGAATCTTGCTATAGCCTAACCGGACTTCCTGAGGATTAGTTGTCCCTTTCATAATTCCTTGCATGTCTTGATAAGTCACTTCTTCCGTCTCCCAAGTGTGCGATAGGATAGCATAAGCTGGAGTCGCATCTTCGAAGAAATCCTCGAGTACTAGAGTTTTGGTGTTTAGCAGGCGCATTTCGGTGGTTTATCTTCTTTTGCCGCGGTGGAAAGCGCATATGACATGAATTCTAGTAAAGTTTATCTTTGCTACAACGCATGGCGCAGGACATCTTGTCAACCTGGAAACTTCGTCCTGTTGACGCGAGGTGTAAGCGGAGCGAGACCCACTGAAGGGGTTGGGTAGATAAGCATCTAGGCTATGCGAATCGACTCTTTAACAGACTGTATTCGTATTGTCAAGAAGTGAAGAGTGTCACAAGTACTAAAGAAGTACCACTTTCAAGGATGCGAGTTGTGAAGTGTGTCAGATCAGAAGTGTTTCGGACTCTGTTCGGAAGTGCAGCTTTTCTTACGCCCACGTGATGTTACCCCTGGTAGCGGAAGACAAAATAAATGGCAGTCGAAACATAATATTTCCTTAATTAAGTTAACGAAATGTCGTATATTTAGTGGATTAGTTTGGAACATTATCACTATTCCGGTAAATCTGATTTTTTCAGCCTTATTCGAAGTCGACCTATCTTATTTCGTCCTCTGCGAGACATTCTATTATGCAAGGTATTTCAGATGAAATGTGTAATTCATATATGTAGGTTTCATCTTCTCTTCTGACGTATTGGAAATGTTGAAATGGACTTTAACTTTCAGAGAATCTTTTCTTTGTTCGCCTGGTCGCCAGGAGTTATTCTGCTCGCGTTTGAGGAGTCATCACAAAAGTCATGCTCTCCTTCATTATTTCATTCACTCTTTCACATTAATAATTAGGTATTCTCTTAATTATATTGTTTTTAACGTATTAATATTGATGTTCAAAGCATATTCAATCATGGTTTTACAAGTCGAAGATGTCCTCCCAACCGGTCCCTTTTGAGCATTGGATACTAGTTGTACAAAGTGATTCAAACATACCACCTTTTAAAGCCAACCAATCTAACCACGCCTTTTTCGCCTGTTTTAAAGCCTGTAGTACACTCGACTTGGAACTTCCAATATCATACAAAGTACACTGCGCCTCATACTCAGCAGACTCGATGTCTCCGAGAATGAAAGTTGTCTTCGTCGTCTGATTCTGGCTCAAGGTCGAGCTCGAGAGATAACAACCCATCTTCGTGACCGATGACTCGTAAGGGCCCGCTTGGGTCTCTTACCAGAGTCGGTTTACCATCTGGTCCAATTGCAAATCGTAGTGGGTTGCCTCCGACTTCATATAAGTCTATATGAGCATCACCGTCTTGAGGTCTTTGTTCAGGCTCAGCGCCGGTCGCACGAATTGTTGGACTCGAACTACCGTCTGCTGCCTGTTCGCCGTTGTCCATGAATCCCGTGAAACCAGCTCGGATTGTGGAGCATTCCGAGTTAGCGTAATGGTTCATTCGATGCGGAGATACCTCAACTGCGTTGGCCCCAGTCGGCAGAAAATCATTGGCATCTAGTGCCCAACCACCATTGTTATCAGATTCATGTACTTCTTCCAGCGTCACAGTACATTGACCTCGCGATTGAGGTCTAGAAGCAACATTCACCTCTGATACCGCGCAACTACCGTTGCATTCCGAAGCAAGGTTCCAGCAGTCAGGGCAGAGAAGGATATTCTCCTCAACAGGTTCAGGTATCCCCTGAGCTAATCTCTGTCTTCGGAGGAAAATCGCCTCTCGCTGTAGTTCCTCTATTGTTGTAGCCGCGTACGAGTAGGAGGAAGGAACTGCGAATCTTGGGTCATTGGACTGGATCCGATCAAGGAACCAGAACAACTGTTGCTGGTCTTGTGTGAATAAAGTCCAAGGAATGCTTGCCACTGACGGAAGGACGATGTCGTAATCGCATTCGGCATAATCCATTCGTTCGAAATAGAGCGCCACGCGATCTCTTTCTGCTTTCTGATCTAGAGTACTTTGGAAATCTTTCCATTGGTCTGGAGTAGCAACTTCTTTCAAGTATTCCGTGTAGCTGATGATTGCTTGGTCGTATTTATCCGGTTGGTCTATAGGGCTGGCGTAACCAAATTGAACACAAAGCCACGCAGAAAGAGGAAGCGTCTGCCGACGAGAACCAGAAACTGCCGAGGGATAAAAGCCCCAGGGACGGTTTCGGATAACCCTGCGAAGATTCCGAAAGTCCTCTAGCATTGGGGCACAGCCTTCATTGATTTCAAGGTATTCGTGCTCGTACCTGTCCATATCAAGCTCTAATTCTGCACTTTTTGAGAGTGATATAGAATTGTTTCCCATATATCTGTGGGCGTTATACCACTCAGTAAAAGACATGTACTCGCCTCTTTCTATGAAATCGTCGTCGAAACTCTGATTGACGCTAACAAAAGAAGATATAGTATGATAACCATACATGTTGTATTCCGCCTCGCGAGCTATTTCCCACTTGGAAGCGACCGAAGGTAAAGCAACAAGGTTGGAACGCTCGCACAAATCCATGGAATCTGCAGAAAAATCTTGCGATTGGGCCATGGACTGCGAGCAACTTGATTGGCTTGTCTTTTCAGCTTGAGCTTGTGGGACTTCTATTGGGTAAGGTACGTCAAACTGTGGCAGAAATAGTCCGTTGATGACAACTTGAAAATGGAAAGTCCTATCTACAAATGTCATGGCTCGGCCTCTGGATAGTTGCTCTTGTCGTCGAAGACATTCTTCCCAGAGCTGGGGCCTAAGCATCGCGAAGGCGACCCCACACTGGGACTGTGCCTCATCGTCAAATCGCTTTCGCAAGACATCGATATATGGAGAATCGTCAGTGAAAGGATGTAGCCTCCGACCTGCTTCATAGTCGGCGAAATGTCGCGTGGTGTGAGCCTGCCTTGCTTCTGTTAGCAAACCTTGTATGATTTCTAATCGTTCATCAGTTCTTGGGTCATCTCGCTCACCGTGCATGTATTCAAGAACGGCTTTAGCGGCTTCCATATGCTCTGGTAGCCGTTCGTTCTCTGCGGCCTCTTGCTCTTCATTTCGACGTCTGCAGCGTTTGCAGATACGTCGAAATCTAGTACGACCCATAAAGATATCACAAGCGTCTTCGCACCTCCCCATGAGGTACTTTATCGTCTTCTTACCACAGCAACGAAACTCCATTACAATTCCAGAGCACATTTTGAAGAGTCTTTGTGATAAGTATGTTTCTGCAACGCTAACTTTTGAACGAAATTTTAAACAACTTTGAAAACTGACTTATCTTTTGTCAGTAAATGACTGTGAAGAGGTTTAGCTCCCTAGGTTTTGTGGTGGTAGAGAGATACATGGTGACACTTATATAGAACAGTTGAGGAAATTGTTTATGGGGGGCGGGAAGTGATCTTTGTACCAATCAACAAAGCGTCACAAAGAGTGATAAAAGCTCAAAAGTTGGAGACTATGCACTTGTTTCCGTTTTATAAAGAACCAGATGTATGTCTTTGTTTGATGTCTCGCCAGTCACTGGGTAGAAATCAGCACTTGTCGGCGAAAGACTTCTCATTTACTGCGGATGAGACTGCTGGGGGAGCGCTCAATGATCTGATCAAGCTGCGAGGTTTGTTTTGTTGTTTATTTTGTTGTTTATTTTGTTGCCTGTGAGATATTCGAGAGCAGTGAGCAGCCACAAGAGGCGGAGTCGGTGGTAGCAGGCCATCTGGAACTACCAGACCGTCGAACGTCATGAGAGCTGAGCTGGTTGAGGATCATATCATAGCATACGACAAATGGCGCACAACACATATTCTGCCTATTAATAAAGCTACGGTAACCCTTGCAGTTCTGATAGAACCAACAGACGGAGTCTTAGGTACTGATTGATGAATTGGGAAAAACCCAATCGTATGTAGGTTCATTATCCAAGGGCGGAGATAGATGGACGACATAGCCCAAGACAGTTTTCGGGAAATATGGTAGAGCGATAAGAGGTTGTAGGTTCACAATCCATGAGAGCAGGTTGATGTTGGAAGAGTTAAAAAGTTAAAAAGCAGCCGTCGCGGTTGAGGGGACAAGGTTACTCACCGTCTTCGCGGCAGAAAATGCTTGATTGGGTTCCAACAGGTTGGAACATGAAAGTTACAACACGCCGCGTATTATTCCAACTACCGAGTACAAGATCCATGTAGTCAGCGTCTTACCTATTGCACGTCGTATCACGAACCATAGCTTGCTCTGTCTCAGGTATGTAATTCTTCTTCGTCTTTTCTCATTACGCCAATCAAGTTGAACCAACAACCAAGTTTCTTCAGCTCATGATCCTGTTGGATCCAGATCACGTTTCCAGATCAAGATATGGATCTTTTAATGAGATAAAAATTATTAGAACCTGTGTGTCTGACAACTCAAAGTAGGTTGTTTCCAATGAACATTTCACATCACTCACTTTCGTTTACCATCTGAGACCTATCGCGTGCTGCTTCTCATCCTCAGCCGACGGCGTATTGGAGATATCTCGCACGTTTTCTCTGGTGAGCTTAAGAGCGCCATCGATAATATGCTCCAGGCTAAGAAAAAACTGGTGTAGCTTTACTACTCCGTAGCTACTCCCATAACCACCACATTCAACATGTCAGACAACGAGATGTCACCCGAGGAAGAGAAACCCAAAATCGACAACACAATCCTGATCAGACTAAAAAACCAGAGCGCGCAAGAGTCCACGTTCAAGATCAAACCCACGACTTTGTTCGAAAAGATCATCAACGCATATGCCAAAATGCACGGCAAGAAGGTCGACACGTTTCGCTTTTTCTTTGATGGCCATCGACTTCAAGCAACTGATACACCGAAGTCTTTGGAGATGGCCGATGGTGATCTTGTTGATGTGTTTTTGGAGCAGACTGGTGGAGGGTGCTGATTTTCGGGCTGCGAGAGTGAGTGATGTTACAAAGGAGATATGTCTCAGAGGGAAAGCTCAGACTTGCGGTACATGAAGCGATACATGATTTTGGGCGACATGACATTTTGAGATTTCGGCGCATGGGCAGACGGAGTACGAAGTACAAAGGGAGGAAATAGGCGGTGTACTGAACTTACTATTACGCAACACATAGCAGCAGCCGGGACAAAATCTGAAAGGCAATCGAGACATTCCCAGCTTTTTCCCATGCTTGAATATATCGCCGCACTGTAAGATCCTAAGTAAAAACCGTATTTCTTTGTCAACAAGTACACCATTCAAAATTCGCTCATTGATTTTACGTTTCAAATCAAGACAATCTTGTTGTCAGAACAGCGAAACCCAGAACAGTTCTGCAGTGTACTTAAATTCCCATAAACACAGCAGACATTCATCGTAATCACTATTCTCAAGCCAAACAGTTTTTGTACTCGTCTAGAACATCCTCTCAAGCATCCAGGAAATATTCCAATCACTATCCACAAGCCAAACAAGCACCCCCTCAACCAACTAAACACCCTTCACCCAACCACAACAATCTCACCACCCAAAATGTGTCGTCGTCAACAAACCCTCTACACATCATGCTCCCACACCACCACCACAACCCACGTCTGTGGCCGCCAACGCCGATCCCCCTGCAATGTAGAAGACTGTCCGCCTTTCCAATTCGTAAGCAATGTAGAACATACATTTTGCACACTCTGCACGGCTTGCCGAGGGCAATCGAATGGGGATAGAAGAAATGCGTTTTCAGGATGATGGGGTTCCAGATGGGAGAAAGACGCAATTTGCGGTGGTTTAGTAGGGGAAATGAGGGATGGAGGAAGAGGAGGATATTTGGATGATTTTGCTGGAGTTTGAGCAACGCTGAAGAAAGAGGATATCTCAAGTTGGAGGAGATATAGTAGAGAGTCTAAATTATTTAGATATTCCTGAGGACCATCAAGAAAAACATCAAGTAGCGCTACGTGGGTATATCAACAAAAACAAAAATGCAATCAATCAGTCCAAACACCAAAATCTTCAAGTTTCCTTCGGTTCCACCCCTCTTTTCATCTGCTTCGTAACATATCTCCTGAACCCTGACCAACGTCTCTTAGACTTTTTGATAGCCTTCTTCCTCTTACCCTTAGGATAATTGACGGGACTTTCACCACCAACAAATATAGCAACATCATACAACAGTCCTCCAACTAAGCCACCAGAAATGGTCGCTCCCCATGCACCGTAAATCCACCAAACATTTCGATCCGTGAAAACTCGTGAACCGTACCCAACAACTGCCGTTGCAACTCTAGGGCCAAAATCTCTCGCGGGATTGAGACATGGCCCTGACATGTAACCAAATGCCATAGTGAGAACTGTTACTACTAGTCCAACGATGAAAGAGTGCATACCTGCACCTGGGGGCGCGTTCGAATCATCTCCAAGTGCGAGGATCGCACATGAAAGAATCGCGGAAGCCACAAACTCACTACCGAAGCATGTTCCAGCTCCCGCAAATTTCGCTGGGGAGGTAAAAAAGGCTCTTGCCGAGCCACCAGTAAACAAATCAACAGCAATCGTACTACCACCACCTGCACCGATATCTCCTCCAGTCGCGTCATACGCCAAGATGGCAGGTTGGTATATCCCGTAGGCAATCAAGCCTGCAAAAAAGCCACCTAATAATTGGGCGGCGATATAAACCACCGCTTTGCGAAAGGGGAAACCACGAAAGACGCAGAGAGTTAGCGAAATGGCCGGATTGAGGTGACCTCCAGAAATACCACCTGCTAGGTACACCCCAATCATTACACCGAGTCCCCAAGCCCAGTTTTGAGACTGATAGGAACCAGCAGTGCTGTTCGATGTGACTACTGATATACTCGTACAAAGACCAACAAGTACAGCAACCATGGTCTGTATGGATTAGGTTAGATGTAACTTATTATTTGTTAGAGGAGAACTTACAGCTAGACACTCTGCAAGAGGTTCTCTATACCGGGCCCGAATTGCAGACCAGCTATTATATGCGTCACGCTCTATCAGTGTACGCCGCGTTTCGTCGTCCAACTTAGTGAGAGGCCAGTCACCTCCCTCACCAGCCTCAAGGTCAACGTCTTGCAACGAAGACGGGTCACTCATCTCCCCATTAGAAGGTCTTTCTGGAACGTCTGAAAGTCTTTGAGGTCGCGCATCTCCAATATCTGCATCGCCGTGAACTTCAAAAGGGTTGGTCGATCCTGACTGATTTGTTGTTTGTTTCCAGCCCTCCATAGGATTGCCTTTTTCTTCGTAAGGCGAACCACAATCATTGCTTTCGGGGTTGGATTCCAATGCCAAGCGATGATGCCTGGTGTTGTTCGTTTCTTGATTGCCATATCCTCTGTTCCCCGCATTTCCTCCTTCATTTCCGATACGCGACTTTCCAGCTTCGTGTCTCTGATCGTTGATCATACCAACTTGTGGAATTGCCTCGGAATCCCCTGGCTCTTCCACCTCGGCCTGTTTATCCTCACGCAAATCGTGTCTGCCCTGCGGGCCTTCATCCTGTCGCCTCATTCCAGGCCGAAGAACCCGAGGCAATGGCTTTGCAAGTCCCCATAGCGGCTTTTGTTGCGTTTCTTGATATCTGGGATTTAGTTCGTGGTAACCCGGTTCAACGTAACTCTGTGCATGGTTCTGAGATATTATCGGTCTCGCAAGAGAGTAGTGTGGTTGTGGTGCAGGCTGACGGGCAGCAGATGGGATTCTTAGGGATTGCTTCGCAGTGCGGTTTGTCGGTCGTGTCGTGGTAGAGGCAATGGGCCTTTGCGGTCGGTCTTGTCGTGAGGTATGCTCGCGTGCGATGTTACTCCGTTGACCAAACTCTGATGGCGGTTGGTCTTCTTGACTCATTGCTCCAATTGCCAGAGATATGTTGCCAACACTCGCAGGTAGACAGCTGGGAAAGGTGCAAAAAGAGGAAGGGTTGATGAGGAGAAATACGATTCATGGCATGATTGTTGGGTTGATATAAGAAAGCAGAACAGACCTACCGCAAGCGTATCCTATTATGCTCCGTGATATCGTCATGAAGAAGGGTCCTCGAAATGTTTAAACCGGGTCTCGGGCTCCAAAATTGTGCTATCAAAACTTTTAAGATGGCCGTCTTTTTTTTGATTTGTGAGGATTCTCATTTTAGTACAAATGGTGGAGTTTCGGTGGGCCAGCAAACGGAGTGACTCTCCTAGCGAAACGTCGATCGCGGGAACTTCTTCGAAGTAGAAGAACTTCAGCAGGTACCACGTCTGAACGCGCCAGTCCGTTGGTTTCAACCATGTTGATGATCGATAGTGGAAAAGCATTTCTTGATGGGATGCGGTTGGAGTCGTTGGCAACGACACTCGATGCACGGGCCACTCCACTCTGGGCCGGATTTCAGGCGATCACGTGGACTCGTGAGAACTTGACAGGGGCGTCGCGTCTTGCAGCTGGGTTGGCTTCCAAAGTTCGACTCCCAAAACTCATATTCTCTCCGAAAAAGCTTTTGGTATTGTCAATAATCCGCCCCATGTCAAGTCTTCGACCCTTCAATTTCAATTCTGAGCATCTCCCGAATGGCCCGCCTTCTGAAGAGAAGCCTTTGACCAATCCCATGGAAATGCTCCTTGCGCGTTACCCTACGGGCAGCAACCTCCAAAACCCAAACTTTATGCTCATCCACGCACGCCCAAATGCTTTCGATGAATATCAAGATCCTCTTTACGCTGCTCTTGCCGCTGGATCCACGATACCCCTGGAAAAGTCCAATGATCCATTGAGGAAGAAATTTTGGATGAAGACTTATTCGGAGAACGAGGGTATACTGGAAAAACTAGAAGCAGAGGGCATACTGCAACGGACTGGGGAGGAAGAGAAGCAGGGCTACATCACCTTGATTGCCGTCGAAACAATCCTTACCAGAGGCCAATGGGCCGAGGTTTGCAGTGGATGCGGAAGAAGAGAGCAGCTAGGGGAAGACGAATCAAGAATGCTTAGATGTGCTGGTTGTCAAGAGATCTACTATTGCAACAAAAATTGTCAGACTGGTATGTCTCATGCTTTACTTGTGACCCTGTTTTGCTTCTAGGCTAACGAACACAGCTCATTGGTCGGAACATAAGACACACTGCAAACAACTTCGGAAGTCGCGTTGATAAGTTCTGACGCCAAAAGTATGGGCGTTAGTCACGAAAAGTTTGATGACCCGAATTTTCCGCAGAGAAAGCCTATTAGGCTAGGAGAAAAATTGTGGTATCTTGTGAACTCATTCCTAGGTGCAGAGTGGCTGAATAGGTTTTTTGGTGCTTGGGTACTTGGTGCTGAATTGTGAGCTCATAAACCTTCTCATTAGGTCCTCGCTAAACGACAACGACGCTTGGATATATAATGACATAAAACAACAGTCCATTCCTCTGCTAACAGATAATTAACATCCTTAAGCACTTGCTATTCGCTGTAAATCCTGGCCTCTCCATCTTCTATGACCGACATCATCCTCTGCATATCCAAGGCAAGAGCTTCCAAGCCAGCCGTCCCTCGCCTTCCGTCACAAGTTTCGAAAGTGCTGAACTGTTCAAGATGAGTATCTATGACCCTGCCCGGATAATTTATGGAGATAGCTTGTGGTAATTTGGTTCTAATTTCCCTTTTGAAATGGCTGTTAGCACATATGAGCCTAGAACTAATGATCGTTAAGTGTTCCCGTTTGTCCTCCTTCGACCGGTTTCCAAAGTTCAATGATCACAGGTCACCAATGCCACCTTTGCAATGCCTCTCCTATCGTTTTCGATTATCGGTGTTCAGTCGATAGAAACCTCAACTTTACCACGGGCGAGAGAAGTTTCGAGCGTTTTCCAAAATTTCCTCCGGAAATTCGATGTCTGGTTTGGAGGCACTTGGTGCCCGTACGAACTGTAGCCCTCATCACACCGATCAGTAAGTGCGGCTTTCGGCTTGCAACCAACATAAGCCGATCCAACATGTCGCCGTCATGTGGCTAACTTATGTGGTATAGACTACGCCATCATGCCTCGCCGTCTCTTCGAGAGTCCAGCACCTATTACACGTGGCATCAACAAAGAAAGTAGAATAGAGACATTCCGCTATTTCCGTATATTCAGAAGAGAGGGTGGGTATTTTAGGGTTCCGCCGATGTGGGTAAGTAAGGAAGATCGGCCTTACATACATTACGACGCCTTAAACCAGCATGGTTTGGTGCGGGTAGTGTTCATAACCATGAACGATGGCGCACAAAACTGGATTAAAGAAGTTGAAGATTTTCGAATTATAGACATCAACTCGAGAGAGCTTAAGGACAGCCTGGACATGTCACCGAATTATAGGAGGGAGTGTTTTCGGGGGTTGCCCAACTTGAAAAGGCTTACCATGTCCCTCCACGATCATGATCCGATTCATCCGTCAGATATCGATTGGCTACAGGAGCAACTGACTCTTTCTCTTATATCTTTGCGCAGGCGCCCAGTTCCAGAGATTATTTGGGAGGGTACAAGGTTTTGCAAGAAACATCCTGGCTCGTTTGATATCAATAGTGACCAGGAGATACAATATGTGGTTGTCAAGAGACCCTGGAGAAGGGCCTCATGCAGGCAGTAGTTGGACAGTTAATCTCGGCATTACAGCTTCAACATGGGTGCTAGGTCTGGACTTCTGGCTCCTGTACAGTGCTAGGAGAGATTCATTAAAGATGTTTTTCAAGAGATTGAAAATCCTTGGTCAGGTATCGATGTATTCATACAAAGGCAATCGACCCGGCCACAGCGTTTAAGCACTGGTTTATTTGCAAAATTCATTCAAAATTTCCAAATGTACTTGATTGTAGTGTATTGTGAGGTTATGAGCTAGAAAATAATGAGTCGCTCTCATTCACCATGGGAATTCCAGAGGCATTATTCACCAGCTCTTGAGTTTCTACTGCCGGGCTCAGTATGACGCTAATGAGCATTGACATCTTACCGCAGATTTTCAGCTTCCTTCTCCACGACATTTGTCTTTCACGTTCCTACTACTGCGGCCACCTCGTGTAGGAGCTCAAGAATTCTGCTTGACCTAAACGACTTGCAGATCACATCACCTCTAAGATCAGAAGGAGGTAGACGTGAGCGCATTCGCATATTTAAACATTTGTAACTAACGCGATTCATAGACATATCCTACCCTGGAAACGCTGAGGCTGTGCTTTCCTCGACGGAACTCATTCGCCAGCATGGACCATGACGACAACCACACTGGAGACGATTCTCCTCTTTCATCTGAGGAAGTGCTTGCAGACGACTTAAGCAACAGTCTTACCGCAATTTCGATTCTCTCCGATCCTTTTAGCTCAAGTCAAAAAGTACCTGCGGATCGTTCAGACCTCATCACCTCGGCGCCCTCCGACCATCAACCCAGCGAAGGTTCCCAAGAGCTGGATGAGTTCCACCTATTTCCAGAACTCAGTCCAGAGCTTCGCACAATGATATGGCGGTACACTTTCCCCGGTCCACAAAAAGTGAACATCCATCATGGAACGAAAGTCACATATGATACACAGAAAGGAAAAGGCCTTGACGAGGGCGTTGACTCGACAGAATTTCCTATTGCTCTACAAATCAACGCCGAGAGTAGAGCAGAGACTTTAAAGCATTATATCTTGATCCATCGGGACAACTACGAACAGGTTGTCGATTTGAAAGGGGTTTAATGGCACCATGACAACAAACCAATATGCATTAATCCGCAGATCGATTGCGCATACTTCAACTTCGAAGATTTCTCAGAAAAGACCGGGGCTTCTGAATGGTGGAAATATCTTTCTGCAAAGCACCAGCCTTTCTTGGCCAGCCTTAAAGAAGTCGATATTCGAAACGTCAACTTGTTGTTAATTTACAATCCTCCGCACAGAACCCTGATGTCACTCTCCAATCAAGACCCACTCTTCAATCGAGAGTTGATCTTGCAACGCATAAAGTTGCAACCGGTTCTCATCAAGCTCTTGGAAATCATTTTGCTTATGCCAAACTTGTCGAAACTTTGCTTTCATATCGACCCTATGACCTGTACTTACCGATTGTCGTCAAATTATTGGGAAACAGCAGAGTTAAAGAAGAAAATCCTTTCCGTCTTGGGTAACCATCTTTATCCACCTGTTTCAAATAACGTCAGCAAATTCATCTTGGAAATTCTACCATGGCAGAATGAGTACGAGAGCTTTATGTCGAAGAGAAGCCATGGACAGATGGATATCATTGGCCCAGTCATTCTTCTCTCTTCTAGGGTTCGTGACGAGTTAGGAATACCTTATCTTTAGGCATATAAAGTACAGATAACTCCACCACATCGGATCTCTAAATCTCTATACCTGGAGTCATCAAGTTGGGCAGAGTCTCGATAATGGAAACCTCAATAAGTCGAGAGGCACACCTTCATAGCGAGCGCGCAATGCTGTATTTCAAATTCAACATTCGATGACTCTTACCTTAGGGTGATACTCTCATTGGAAATGCCAAAAGTTGTAATAGGAAAGCATTTGAAACATTTTTGAAACTTAACGTTTTTAATGCATAAAGATTTAAAGAGGTATGAGATGGTTATATGCTAGAGATTCTTGATATGACATCGAAATGGTCGTATTGGCCTTCATCACTTGGTCTTTCTTGGTGATATACGCGAGATAGTGCCAGTCTTCGAGGGTTCCGCGAGCATACTGAGCAATGGGATCGATCGGTGTCCGGATACGGTTAAACAACTGAATTTAAGTTCTAAGCTTTGAGCTAACAAACAAGTGTTCGCATTTTTCCTGGCTTGTACCGTTCGGCTATTCCGTATCAGGACACAACTTTCCTTACCAATAAACTCTCTGCGGCATCCTACTACGCAAGAGCACAGTTTTCCACGATCTGCTACATTTGAAAGTAAGTATCTTAGCATTGCTGCAGTAAATATGCTGGAATTTTCCATTACACCACCTCTTTCCAAATGTCACTTCACTTTTGGAAGTCAGGTCGTCACTCCCAACAGACAATAGGAGCCTGGACAACCTTGTAGTTAAAATCATACCAGACGCACGTATTGTCCTTTATTTCTCAACCAGATCTATCTTTTCCAAGACTTTCTTAGTATGCAGTAAAACCGTTTCTACCGAAAGATTCTAGAGGCACAGAGCCACGTCAATTCTCATCTACAACATCTCGTCTGGTGACACAGAGGGCTTGTCATAAAACATGGACGAGGTTCGAGCGGCCTTGTTTTCTAATCTTCGATCTTCATCTAAAGTCGAGACTTTTCAACCAGAAGTGTTGTTGAAAACAGGAGCTGTCAGAGAGAGATTTCGGGTCTTTCAAAATGACTGCGATCTTGAAAGCGGAAGTGACCCTTTGGAAGATGCAGTCATTTTCATGAGCGTCCAGACTATTATCGACAAAAGCACTGAGTACAGTGTTGCGCTGACGAAAGATGTGAAGATCGAACTCCGGTGGCAGAAAGTATCGCACTATATATGGTTCGTGACGGGGCTTGTTAGCTCACAAAAGACGAGAGGTGGAATATGGGGTCACGTTGGGAACGGATTTTAGGAGTTGAAGCATTTATGTGTTCTTGCTCTTCGTGTTCTGGTGAGTTTTTAAAGGGGCAATCTTGGACTCTTGCTAACAATTTGAAGAAATATCTCATAGCTCAATCGAGTATCCATATCTGCCCGTCCTCGCACAATGACAAAACTCTCATACAGCTACCGCTTGAGGCGGAGACCAGAGTGAGAGATATCTCACCAGTCGACTATCCAAGGATAACCGCACATTCATCCAAAGAGGATGCTTCAATAACGTCTCACGTAGGAGAGGAAATAGTAGATACTGCACGAGAAGCAATAGATTGTAAAATTAACAGCGTGTCAGAGGAAATGCAAGAAAAAGCTCTTGAGAGCTTAATTAGGGGCTTCGATAAAAAAACTCATTCAATTCATAGACGCACCTTTCATAAATGTAATCTATCGTCAATTGACCAGATCCAGGACATTGCACAACAACTATACATCGAACAGAGCTCCAGAATATTAGACAGTCACCGAACTCCTGGCTCGTACCTATCTAGGAAGTTCAGAAGTGCTACAGAGTTTGCGCCACAAACAGGAAGCAAGAAACTACCTATCAGTGAGACTTTGGAGCAAGAAGACTCACCAAGTTCAGTAGAAGAAGTCGAAGAGAATGATGTTTGGATCGCCAGACAACTACAGCCTCCCGCAAAATCACGTTTTCAGAAAGGTTCTAGACATGACAGCAGGAAAAGAAAATTCTCTTCCTTTGTGATCCCCTATACTGCTCTCTCTGAGATCGCGTCACATCCGCTGGATTATACATGTCGGTCAAAACGTGTACAGTCGGGAGTGCCTGAAGCGACGCAGACGCCGACACTCGATCTATCCGACGGCCATACCAATTATGACGTTGGCGAGGACATGATGCTAGACTCTGTCGTCGAAAATCCAGAAGCCAAACTATCTATGGATCATAGTATGACTAGTACAGACGAAGAAGAAAGCGACTTTGAGGTTGTCGAGCCGGACGATGATGGAGACGGCGACTACACTGATGGTGATGATGACCGTGATATTACCAAAGAAGATGATCCCGACCGCATTAGGACTCGAAGCCGCAATACAACACCCCAAAAACTCTCTGGCAACCTTCCATATAGAGCGCCAAAAAGCTTGAATGCCCTTTCTGGCGCGGAGTCGACCAATATCAGCCCCATCAGTCGAAAGTCACCAAGAGCTTCGCACATAACATCAAAATCAAGCAGTCTACCTCCGGCAGTGACAGAGAAGACACAAGAAGTTGGTAAAGAAGTAGTGCAGTCCAATGAAGATAAAGGGAATGATGGAAGTGAAAGCACGCCAGATACGAGCTCAAACTACACGATTTGCTGGATGACAGCAAACATGCCCCTTGAGGGTATGAGCATCCAGCCAGTCCGACCTGGTTTTGCATGCGAGATGTGCAAAGAGCGTCGTAGAAGGGGCATGGAATCATCTTGCTTTTATTTTGACACGACGAGGGATGGTCGTAAAAGTGTTCAATTTTATGGGCGGATATATGATGAGTGATGGATAAATGGTTTGACATACAGGAAGTGTTTTTCTGAAGGAATGATTGTGCGATCTAGAGACGGAAATAAAAAACATTGGCTTCAAAGTCGTGTTCAAAAATATCTTGTTGGAAATAAGCAGTCTAGGTAAAAGGGGAAGGGTTAGGTCATTTCGCATAAAATTGTGCATTATTTCTGAGTGTCAGAACTCTAGCAAAAATCTTCTGGTGTTGAGGTTAGGCAAATTTGAAAAGCTGGATACAGGGAGTCATGGTTAAGACAAGCTACAATATTCATGAAAGTTGTACATACCGCCTAGCTTAAACCTCGATTCTAATGACGGAGCCCTGAAGCAAGAGGTTCAAAAGTACAAGATGTATTGACCAAGTCTAGACTTCTTGAGCGGTTACGTACTTGTGAGATCGGGGGTTTTTTTTTTCTTACTAGTATGAACCTTTCATAAGTCTATAATGTAGACCTCCATCCTAGCTTCGCGTTTCCCATGAACGCGTGAAACGGTCCGAGACAACACAAGATTACGGTAGCAACCTGTAATCCTCGTTATTAATGTCAAGAGGCGTCGAAGGCATGCAAAACTTGACAGAGTACGAGTCTCAGATATTCACATCAAGCCAACGGAATTCATTATGACATGATCTAGTAATTAAATCACATTACTTTTCAAATTAGTGATTGAGTGTAGGTAACCATCAGCATAGCAAATGTGAGACTAGCTATTTTGTGTTACCAACTTCCAGCAGTAATAATGTTTAGCACAATGAAACATTGTGTGCAGTAAACTGGGAATCAATACATTACTTTTGAACTCGATATTCATTACATTCAAGAATGAAATTTGCGATTTGTACAACTATCACTATGATTAGAATCCACAAAGCCTTTGTATAACATCACTATGAATGAATGAACTAAACTATCAAACCTATAAATTCGTCCTGATTCTTTCCTAAGAAACTCCCTTCTTCTATCAGTTTTACCATCTGTATATCACCGTGTTGTAAGTTTACACAAAACTCATCTGTATAAAGTTTCTCTATCAACAGCCAAACCGCAACGGCCATTAAATCCTAGAAAATGGAAGAAACTACAGAGCAGAAAGCGACACCTCAGGCGGTTGTGCCGACGTATATCCTTGACGCTTTTATCCCTGGTAACTATACCCCTTCGAGAATTCTCCAGGACCCTCAACTAATCATATTTGCATTGTAGGCTACTCCGCGCTTCACAACGTAATCCTGCACGTTTTGGGCACAGACATAAACTACCTGGTCTCCTCCGCAGCAATCCTGTGGCTCTTCTCAAAAGTATTGTACTCGCCATGGGAGACCCTCATGGATCTCGTCGAGGAATACTTCATGTCCTCCTTAACCATCGAAGAAAACAACCGGGATCTGTGTAAAATACAACTCGCATACTTCGCCAAACGTGAAGCTGAATTGCGGATACGATCTATAAACGCAGCTCTCAATCACGACCCTGAAGAGCGGACGGACGAAGAGATGGTATCAGAGATGGGCTGGCTGAATTTTGCATTCAGCGATGCAAATACACCGATGAGGTATACCCCTTCGACAGGTACGTATCGCACGAAAATCAACGGCAGGACGCATTATCTGTATTATAACAACCCAGTTGGAAGCGATCTTGGGTTCATGCCACCTGCATCGCTGAAGATTGCTTGCTATGGACGTTCCACACAATCTATAAAGCTCCTTATCCGCGAGATGAGATTCCTTCTACCAGGATCGTGCAAAGAAAAGCCTCACGACAGTATTTCGACCGAGGTACGACAATAATGAAACGTATTGGGCGCAGATATCACAACGCGCTTTGAGACCTATGAGCACTGTTGTGCTTGATGAAGCTGTTAAGTCGAATCTCTTGAAGGACATTAACGATTACCTCAAGAACGAGACTAAAGAATGATAGGCTTCGTCGGCATCCCGTATCCAATAGCATTTTAACACGGTCGGATATAGGTATAGCGCACGTGGAATTCCTTATCGTCGTGGATACCTCCTTTATGGTCCTCCAGGAACTGGCAAATCTTCCCTCGCATACGCTGTAGCTGGGCTCTTTGGCCTTGAGATCTTGTTCTTGTCACTCATGGACAAGAATCTGGATGAAGAAAAGCTTTCGGACCTCTTCGCCGCCCTACCGGAGAAATGCTTGGTCCTGCTTGAAGACATCGATTCTGCTGGCTTGAATAGGGACATGGACGAATCCGAGGACGAAGATAGTGAATCCGAAGACGAAGATGATTCTAAATCTGCCAAGAAGAAAGCCAGCAAAGAGAACAAGAATACCTCAAAAAACAAGGGGATTTCTCTGAGTGGGTTGCTGAATACCATCGACGGTAAATCTTGTCCATATACTGTGAAGTGCGAACGCTAATAGCTTGACAGGTGTTGCCTCGAATGAAGGCCGTGTGCTCTTCATGACCACCAACTGCCCAGAGAAGCTTGATTCAGCTTTCATCCGCCCTGGTCGTATTGATCTTCAAGTAGAATTTACAAATGCCACGCAATTTCATGCCAAAGAAATATTTGAACGCATGTATGCTAGACAGCCAATTAGAACCAACGCTTCCGTTAGTACACCCGAGGCAATTATCGATGAGAAGGAAACAACATCCGAGGACAGAATATACGGGGAAGAGATTAAGGCGATGGCACTTGAATTTGCTGATCATATTCCCGATGGCCTGTTGAGTCCGGCTGAGATCCAAGGCTTCCTCCTAAATCGTCGAAAGGAACCGAAAAAGGCTCTAGAAGAGGTAACGACCTGGGTCAAGGGGCTTTTAGAGTCGAAGAAGAAGGGAAAGAAGGTTGTTGGTGCTCAGTAGAGTCTCTACTTTCTGATTGTTACTGCTCAAACCGGAAGCTAGTACAGAGATTTCGATAGATAAAATAGACTGACGTCGTAGACGCTTAAAGTAGAGGGAATAAAAAAGTTTAAGTTAAAGCTCTTCGCCAAAGATCCCTAGCTCGGTGGTCCTAAGTTTTCCAGATTCATTGGCTGATATCGTGTGATTTGAAACAGGGTCCAACATAAATTCAATCTTAGAGACCCACTCACCTCATTTGTGTAGTTTTGATGCTTTGCCAGCTAAGATAGAGCCAAAGAGTTCTTGGTAATCGTGTGAGGCTCTGTCGACACAATTAAACGAACGAAAATTGACAAATTCTCTTGCGAATTGTTGCAAACTTCTTTTGGGCACAGCAAGCGCATCAATTCATGTTAGCCTTCCCAAATGGTAGAATCTCGCAAGTGTCCTCAGTACGAAAACAAACATGAGGAACAGCTATTAGATTTAACAACGAACAAGTATTTCCGGGTGAAATCTCCTCTGCGAAAGATGCGAAGGGAGACTTCGGTTTGTCGCGGCCGTATTTATGAGTGAGGTGGTTGAGATACACGCAAGCCGCGTAGGCGGATGAATAGGACGGTGCCGAGGCTCACCGCGACATGAGGCTATGAAAATTCCCGGCGCAAATTATCCACGGAAAAATAACACCAGATCATAATAGCCTTTTATCTCTCTATGCACTTAGTGTGAAGAGGGATGAATTAAAGGGCCTCGTGGCCTTTCCGACTCGGAAGTAATCCAAGAAAAAAAAAATAATGCGGAAACACCTGGAGGGAAGCTTCTATGGAGCTTGCAAGAAGCTGAGATAGAACTTCAGTTGGCAGCCAGACGCGGCCTGGAGATGGAATTTTTCTTGATCCTTCTTTGCTTTTGCTCTATTCTTCATAGCTCGCAAGCATGGCACAGTGCTGCAAAGCACCCTAAAGCTGGCACGACACACGATCATACTCACGCCTCAGACCCAAGTCGGCTGGTAATGTATGTTCAGACATTCAAAACACCGAACAAAGAACCTCTATCATTGCTGCCACTCATCGAGAAGCACACCAAGGTGACCCACATTATATTGGCATCTTTGCATCTACATGATGTTCCTGGCGAGATTCGGTTGAACGACGACCGACTTGAGTCACCAGTTTGGGATGATCTTTGGCATGAAACTTGGTTGTTGCGGCAGAATGGTGTCAAGGTGATGGCACTGCTGGGAGGTGCCGCAGGAGGGACTTACAAAAGACTAAATGGAACTGATGCTCAAGTAAGAAATCCCATGGCCATACACGAGGATGGACGCTTACTTGTTGTACTCACCAGTTTTACGCCTACTACAATCCTCTACTTGCGCTCATTCGGAAGTACCATTTTGACGGGTTAGATTTGGACGTCGAGGAAAATGTTGACATAAGCACACCGATTCGCTTGATGACTGCTTTGCGTCGAGATATGGGTCCAGATTTTATAATAACAATGTCACCATTGGCATCGGCGTTAACTGACGAACTCGGGCAGAACTTGTCTGGATTTTCGTATTTCGAGCTCGAGAAATTCGCAACCATGCCAGGATCCGATGAGAAGCTTGTATCATGGTATAACGGCTTGTTTTACGGCCCATTTGCTAGAGGACCACCTGTTTTTGATGCGTGTGTAGAGGCGGGATGGGACCCCTCAAGGATAGTAATGATCGTGCTGGATTGTGCAGATGATGGCCAACCGAATGGCTTCGTCCATATCGAAGATCTCCAAGAGACCATTAAAAACCTGCGGGCTTTATATCCGGGCTTCGGCGGCATGGGAGGTTGGGAGTATCATGATGCAGGAATGAGTGACTGGGATGTATATCAACCATGGCTGTGGGTGAAGAGGGTGGGCGATGCACTATTTGACCCTCTACAACAAGCTCTCGGCAAAGGAGTCGCGGATGAGTTGAGATAACAGCATATAACTCGAAACGTAACGCAGTTATGACCCTTTGCACAAACTCCTGTCATAGTGCCTGTTCATAGATTCCGTCGACTATTATGGATGGCCAATTGGAAGAAGATGCGTGTAATTAAGATGCTTTTATTTGGGGATAGACACCAGGCCATTGGAGTAGGGAGTTGTAATTCATAGGATGGACACGCAAAGCCTGGAACAAGTCAGCTTCGAACACAATCACGTTATGGATAGACACCAAACATACCTATTCGTTGGCTATATATGTGGCTGCGCAGTCCCAACTGGCCCGCTAAAATCACAGTAGAGGTTTGTAGCTAGTACATTAGATCCAGAGATAAAAAATAAATACAGTAACCATTTAAAAGAGGATGTGGAACGGCACTTCGTAGGCTTTCAAGCTGGAAGACGTTTTGTTTTGGATTTTGAAAACACACTTTCCGACTGGAAACCGTCTCACCTACGCGTCGGTTTAAGTTCGGCACAGCAATGACGCTAACTGCTTATATAATCGTGTACTCCCTACCTCCGGGCTACTTAAGGAGGTACTAGCTAATTAAGTGGTTACGCTAGCAGCTAGTTATTTCCAGGTTTAGCTTGCGAAATACTTCTCTTCAGCGACTGCATTCCCATGCGCTATAAGTTTCTTTCCGCAGCATTCGGAAGTAGTGATGATTCTGACACTGCCGAGCAGGGCACTTTGCTCTTGCCCCGGCCATCCCCTAGGACCGGTCATCAGTTCCTTTTTGAGCAGGTTATCCCCGAATACCAACATGCCCAAACCTTCAGTTCGGGACTGCTCCCGTAGCGGGGAATTTGCGACTTTTCGCGCCCAATTATCATGACCTACTTTCCAGACGTCGTGACAGAAGTGTGGTCATGAGTGATACGAATAAAAAAAGGTTGAGACTCAGCGTACAGATCTGATGGGAATATAACAACAGCTTCAGGGTCCCAATATGTCCGAAGCGTCACTTCCTGTAGCGGCGACCAGAGGCCGACAACATCAGACGTTCATTAAGGGCTCCATCTTCAACAGAGACCAGGACAGCCTCGTCGCGAACTGCAACGACGCAAACGATGAGTTCAATCAGAATTACCTAGGTGGAAGCTGGGCCTTTCCAGTCGCTCAATGCCCCGCCTTTGAAGTGAAGCCGGGGCTTGATGTGCCAGACCAATGGTCTAATGATGGCTCCCAATGCTCACCAGTATTATCTCTTGAAGATCCGCAACCGATGAAGATTATGTATCCGAATGCCCTACAGCTGGATAGCATCCACAGTAGTGATGCTTGCGGTTTCTTTCAACCTGTTGCCGTTCCGCCGGGCTACCAGTCACAGTTTGTTGATCAAATCTCAGGACACCAGAATAATTATATATCACATATACCACCATATATTCAGGCAACTCCTCCAAACTGCGAACACCTTCTTGGAATGTTTCAACCTGCGCCGCATTATAGCTTGGTGTTAAATCAACAGGCGGATCCGATGTGGTTGAACTCTACTTATATGAGTCAAAAACCGATTAATACCATAATAAATAACGCTTCTACAACCGTCCAAAGCGCTCGTTCTCCTCTAAAGCTTTACTGGCCAAGTGAAAGGAACGAAATTCCAGTCTCGGCGCCAAAAAGAAAGCGAACTAGCCCGGAACCCTCAAACAAAAGAAGCCATGCAGCAAAGCCAGAGAAGCCTCTGTCTGAATTTGTTGTTGTCTTTGAGAACTCTCCGGGTGCTTTGTTAGGCGTCAAACATCGGCGGAAGCTAGATGATCCCGTCAGAAAAGCTGCGAGAGATGTTCGCAAAGCCGGTGCTTGCCATCAGTGTAGATTTAGGAAACGAACTGTAAGTCCTATTACAGCCCATAAAATGTGATCCTTTACGATGCTAATGACCTCTAAGTGCTCAACTGGTTCTCCATGTATATCTTGTCTGAAGAATGGAAACGGGTTGCATGAAGTAAAGTGCCAACGAGAAAGTCCTTTTGTTGGAAAGCTCATGCATCAATGTAGGAGAGAGACTCAGTCCCAGTGGAGTTTATTGCTAACGGAAAGCAGATTTCATGTCTTCTTCGACGAAACGGGTTCTTTCCTTCAAAATAAAATATACGCAAACTTCTCAATCTAGTTATAATGGAGAAAATGTCACAATTGATGGCATAGGAAGAACATCTCATCCAATAAAATTGCGAGTCCGGAGAACTCCTCTGAACGGCTTACCTGCTGAGGAACAGGAGACCATCAAACGTGTGATGAGTGTCAAAAATATTCCGCCAGTTTCAGATGACTTTGAATTTATTCTCCTCGAAGACGATAATAAATGTGGAAAGGAAGTGGAGCAGTGGGCTATGGAGTATACCTCAAAGTTCGTCCATGCTGCAGGACCGGAGTTCCATTCCACGACGATAGCGCAAATACTTGGAACGGCATATGTAAAAAAGAATTTACCAGAGGTCAGCAGCCTGCAGTTCTTGGTTTACATCCACATTTCATGACTAACAACGTTAGTCTCAATTGGTCTCGGTAATGTTAAGAGTTTCGTCGTTGGCGTTTGTTCTCCGCGCTGGTGTGAGATGTTCAAATTCTGATATAAGCCGCCCTGGGTATTATACCGTGCAAGCAAGTATCGACACGATCTTATATGAACGGCTTCAACTGGCTGAAAAGGAGTTATTCCAGATGCTCCAAAGACTGATATTTCGAACCGCCGGATGTCTTACGCGTGGACAAATTTTCCCTGTTGCACTGGTTCTTTGGCAGCTGATGCGATTCTTGTCATTGAGTTCGAGCCACCTTTCTAACATTGTCCAGAAGTTTCGACCGCAAGGTAGGACAACATTCTCTGTTTGCGTGTATGACTGACCGTTATGAAAGCACAATCCCAAGCTGACTATCAGTTCATTGGGCTTCGCCTACTCCTCTCGACTCACATGGCACTTTTCCGCTCCAGTAACCCTCTACTTCTTGATATCAACGACAAACATAACAGAGATCTCATTGGAGGTGACGATGAATTGGCAAATCTTTGCGCAAAGATGCGAAACGTCGTTTTGAATTTCCGAGAGAAAGGTGCACCAGAGATGAAGGGTAGCATTGCCTATAAGAAAGAATACTTCGACCTTTTCCGAAAAGTATACACGGGCTTATGATCTTTTCTGCATCTCGGCCCACTAACCCATTTCTATACTTCGTTAGAAAATCGGAAAATAGCTGTTGTTGTCAGTATGATCGCCAAGTCATGTGACATTATTTGGGGGCTGGGATCTACGTCGGTTGTCTCTTCCCAACCACCTTTTGGAAAATAAAGCCTTTTCTGCCTCGAAGGCTTCAGGCAACTCAATCAATATGTTGTTGTGTGGGTCCAATCCAGTTGGAAAGAGTCACGAGTGTTTGGTCCATTCCTATTTCTGTATGGTTTCTTCTCGACCTTCCCTGTATCAGGAACTAACATTACATGGGGTGTTGCACTTTGCTAACAGATACTGCGTTAGTTTTGTTAGATCAAAACCATTCCTTCTGTCCAGCCTAATGGCGTTCTCCGTTGATACTAACCCGTTAAATCGCTACGCCGTGCATCAGATCTCGTCAGCTACTATGTCGTCTCTTTCACCTACGCTTATCATGGTCTCCGACTGTTCCAAGACTGGGGTGATTACTACTAGGCATCCTACACAACAAAAGCTATAGATCGCTAATGGTCCACCCCATGGAAGAGACTGTGCGCCCAGCTATGCTTCTAAACCTCGCCACATTCACCCAAGCTTGGCTTAGCGTACCTATATCGCGATATTTCTAGACATGAGAATCATGTTGACCCTGAGTTGAACAGTCATGCTGATGGCTTGGTCTGCCTAGAATATGCCGTCATTCTCCGGTCTTATCCTACATACCGTTCAATTGAGACTGGCTATAGTCGTTCGAGAAATATGCTACGACTCTACCCTATTTATAATTCAACTACAAGTCAAGAAGGCTGCCATCTCAATTGCGGTACTAGTTGATATCATTTACGTATAGCTTGGGAACTTTTCACAAGGACAATAGCATCTTGTATTCAAGACGAGCCTATCACCTTTACCTTCGATTTTGTACGCTGTCAGCTCTTCCTATCTTACAGTTCATCTCTACACAATCACTTCCGCCAGCCTATATTCACGGAAAATTCTGTCAAGTCTACTGTACACATAATCAAGGTTGGTTGAAGCTTAGATTGTTCTTTACAGAGCGACAGCTAATCACATCTCTCAGAGCCATCAACATTATCCACAACCTCAATATACAGAGCTTTCGTTTTCACATTCACAATGTTACCTGCTTCTTCAAATATGACCCTGCAGATGTCACCGCCAGAAAACCCGCCACAGCCACAACCTGATGATCCATGTATGTAATCGTCTCTCCACAACTTTTACCTGTAACTAACAAACTTTCAGACTATGGACGACAGCACTACAGCCTGGGAAGCGAATAAGCGTATAAGCTCATTGGTCATATGTAGCGTTGCATTGGGGTGTCCTGGCATTTCACGGTGGCGCAATGGGTAGACATTAGGAAGTTTGGAAACAAATTATATCGGAGTCACAGCATTCATTGGTTGTATTCTGTACCGTTGCTTATATCAATAATCGTACCACCTCTTTACCGAACATTCTATGCTCATCTCGTCTTACTTGCCAACCTTTACGAGATCCGTCCTTGCTGACCACTCATGGATCTGATAAGCTAAACGGTAATCAACGGACGCGGAGATTAACACCCTCTAGTTTTTGTGCTATGGATGTAAAACTCCTCCATGATGTAAGCTCCGCTGGTGAGAAGTCTAATTTAAGGTTTGGCTGGTAAGACCGGGTATTGAAGTTCGGAAGAGTCTGTATGATTGCGTCTCACCCCACGGACGTAGGATGTGGCAATGGAAGTCTGTTTCCATGCCAAGCTAGGATTTTCTTGTGAGGCCTCGGAAGATCAACAGCAAATCCGAAGGCCAGTTTCATGAGGTGATTAGTAAGGCGGCCCAGATCGGTGAAGCAAGTGGAATGGTTACACAGATAGCGGTTGCCAAGGTCGACGACTTCCACTATGCAAGTTAGCTCTTCTGAGTCCATGTCAGCACGTGTCTTCATGTGGGGAGTGGGAATCAATCTTCCCAGTTGGGGTGGTAAAGTTGTCCGGTTTAGGTTTATAGTACGCCGGTTGGGGCTATGAAGCGGTAAAAGAGGGGAAATAAGCTTATTTGAGACTACCGGTGGTTTTCTCGTATCTTTCCTTAAGTGGAAATTCACGGGGTAGTTACCGTGCACGTATAGGGACTTGGGAATGGTTGTCTGCAAGGGGTGGTAGTGGCGTCCGGTTTAGGTTTGAGGTAATGTGGTTAGGGCTGTGAAGGGGTTCGGGAAGGAAGATGAGCTTAGTCGGGACTACCGGTGTTATTGTCGTATCTTTCCTCAAGTGGAATTCCACGTGGTAGTTGTCGCTCAGGTTTAAGCCATAGTTTTGGTAGAAGTCATGACGGCATGATTGTGAGGATGCTGTGCTCTGCATTGAAAGTGCCAAGAGTTCACCAAATTGAAGTTGACTCATAAGGAGTATTGAATAAGAATGATGTGTATGTACAGCTCTAATCTGTAGTAAGATAGAACTTATGCTTTTAAGTTCAATCCATTTACGTGAAATCCTCCCAAGCCTTCCTATCGGTTCTACAAGACATGTCTTCTAGACCCATCCCTATCTAGAAATTCGAGTAAATATCCAGAGCCCAGTCACGAATGACATGCAAAATATGCTTCCGTGATGGACTATCAGATTTATGCGAGAATAATATAACTGAATCGTCCATCTTGTTTATCTTTTTCAGGTATCTCGAAACAACGCCCCTGCACAAAACCCTCAGTGTCAGACGGCGGGTAGGCAAAACAATCTTCGCAATCCCTGCTACGGCGACCTTTACAGCGAGGACAAGCTGATAATTATGTTATTAGTACAGCACAGCCTTCGGCGACTTCGAATAACATCAAAAAAGCTTAACTCTACCATAAAATTCAGCAACACTAGCTCCAGCACCTGCGACTAAAAATAGGGCATTTGTCTTTTTATCGACCTTATAAGGGACTTCCCATATCGGAGAAGCATGACTAAGAATGTCTATATCCTCTTCACTAGACGTTTATAAGTAATTATAAGTACAAAGTTGGGAAGAAATACTAGTCATCTATATTTGCATATTGGTTAAGCTTAGAAGCTGTACCAAAAACACGGGTAGAGAGAAGGATAGTAATGACGAGAGCGAGATAGGAGAGTTGCATGTTGATGTAGGGTTGCCAATCTTGAGTATGTGCTAATGTTTTCTGGAAGATAAGTCGAAATGTGGTTTGCGACTACTAATAACAACAGGAATAATGAGTAATTAGAACTATAGTATTTGTATCGCTTGTCTACCAGTTGATCTTTCCAAAAGAGTACATACGGCAGGCGAGAATTGTTTATTTCGTGTTTAAAGTTTACTTGCTTGAAGTAGATGGAGATCCTCAGCAGAACAGTTATTAAATAGGCACAATACTTATTTACAGCTCCAGCCCACGGCATAATGAACTTGAATTTAAGTTTGGTTCCAATTGCGTAGAATCCTCAATCTACGCTATCCATTCTGCTTGACATGCCTTCTACACATGCCTAGAAATGTTGTAAAGCCTTATCACAACTGAGAGATGCAAAGTTGCTCCAACACTGGTGGAAACTCAGATCTAGCTGTAGTTTATATGAGTGAACCTTTTATCTATCTCGGAGCAATGATCCCGCTCAAGACCGGTGTCGTTACTCCAACCATACCAACAGTGATCGCACTCGTTGACGCAACCTAATGATTAATTTATTAGCACTGTACAGCATCCCGTGGCTTTGAAGCAACATTAAATAGACTTAGAACATACCCATAAACCAGGAAAGCGAAGAGGATGTACCTGCAACTAAATATACTACATTTGTCTTTTTGTCGATCGCATGACATGTATCCATGGTGGAGACGAATGGCTAATAATGTCTACATCCTCTTTACTAGACGTTCGTAAGTGACTGTTAGTATGAGGAAAGTGAAGGAGAAAAACCAGTCTTCCATATTTGCATATTGATTAAGCTTAGATGCACGAGGAGGCTTTCCAAATACACTCGAAGAGGTAAGGGCGATTAATAGAGCGATATAGGCAAGATTCATATTAGTGTGAGGTCGATAATGTGAAGTATGTGTTAATAAATCGTAAGAGGTGACTTAGTTAATGTGATTTGTTGCTAGAAATCACAAGTACGAAAGAAAAATAAAACTAGAGCTATAAGAATTAATCGCTTATTTTAAGTAAATCTATCTAAAGGAGTATATGTTGTTAATTCGTATATAATTCTCGCTAGTTTAAAGTAGAGGGAAGTAACTAAAGAGAGGTAGTATGTAGTATGTAGTGTGTATTTATAGCTAGTTACTTTGAAAGAAATAGAAATATGATTTCAAATTCGAGTTATTCAAGTATAATACACCTAAGCCAATTTATCTAATGTACTTAACATGCATCTTCAGGATCGGTCTAGTAATATTATATCACTAGCACAGCCTAAGTATAACTGAATGTAAAAGATACTCTAATAGTGGTATATATTCAGAGGTTGGAGAATACAATATAACGGTACTGTCTGTCAATCTCGATACACTTTCCCTGCACGAGATCATAGCAAAAACTGCACCAGAGCGAATTGTAGTAATAGCACGCTAACGATTTCGTATTAGCACAGCACAATTTCCCGCAACTCTGGGGTAATATCGAAAAAACCAAAACATACCCGTATACTTAGAACCCGCAGCTCCATCACCTGAGACTAAATACAGAACATTTGTTTTGATATCGAGCGTATGAGAAGTCATTATTGGTGGAGAAGCATGACTGATGATGTCCACATCATCGTTACTAGACGTTCGTAAGTGACAGTAGGTAGAAGGAGTAAAAAGACATACCAGTCGTCTATATTTGCGTATTGATTAAGTTTAGAATTCTTGCCGAGGACGAGGGTACAGAGAAAAGATGATCAGAGTACGACGTGGAAGAAATACATGTTGACGTGAGGATGCTGATATTGACTTTTGAGTATGTCTAAATGTTTAGTAGAAGATAAGTAGCATAGAAGTTATGATTTGTCACGGATAATTGTTGACTAGAATAATAACCATAAAAGGAGGAGAGAATTAAAACCATGAGATTTGCATCCCTTTTTCATGTGTTAGCTGGGTCTTTCCAGAAGAGTACTTAGATATTTACGGTAAGCGAGAAGTGCTCAATTCGGTTCTCAAACTCACTAACTTAAAGTTGACGGAAGTAATTAACGAGAGCACTTGTATGTTCGCAGCTCTAGTATATATTCGAAACAGAATATTTGATTTCAGTTGTAACCTACTTAAGTAGAAAATTCTCCTAAGTATATTTGTTTATTCTCCGGTATGTGTCTTCTGGGCCGGTCTAGCAATGTTGAATTACTACCCAAAATCCGATCACAAATCTGAAATGAAAGTCGACGCGCTAATCGTCGTTGACATTCAAGCCAGGTAACCCGAACCAAATATAAGATCTACTATTAAGTCTTTGGATAAAACGTCCCTGCGGAAGACCTTCATCAGGCCCTGCGCCTCTCAAAACCACGCAGTCACTGCATTTTTTAGTAACGCAGGCTATGTATTCAGCTTTTAGCATAGCACAGCTTTCCTAATCTCAAAGCAATATCTAAACGGTTACGTACCAGTATAAATGGCACCAAGAGCTCCATCGCCTGTGACTAAGTACAGTGCCTTTGTCCTTGAGACGATTGGAGTACACTTATACTCCATAGGAGAAGTATGCTTTATGATATTAACATCTTTCTCACTAGCTGTTGGTGATTAAATGGAAATAAGTAGTAAAGTTTTGGAGCGGAGGTACCAGTCTTCTATACTTGCATATTGATTGATCTTGGAATTCTTACCAAGAACTCTGGCAGAGAGCAGAGTGATGACGAGAGCGATGTAAGAGAAATACATATTGTTTTCAGGTTGAGTAATCATTAATGATTCGGGGGAGGTAACCCGAAGACTTAATGCAATTTGTCGCCGAAAATGATGAGTTGAACAATAAGTATGAAAGACAGAAGAACCCAAGAGAAAACGTCCGACTCATAGATCCCATTTGCCGTCACAGAAAAGGTACTAATTTTTATCGCTTGACTATATCTTAATATTTTGGTCTCTCCAAAAGAGTGTATACAACAAGCGAGAAATGCGTGATTTGGTCTAAAGCACTTGTTCGAAAGAGGTGCTTGGGTGAATTAGGACACTATTCTAATTTTGGAGGGTTGGAAAGTTCTTGCGGGAGAGTTGAGGATATTGGATGAGGATATGTCTCAATCATCTTGTGATTCAAGACACTGCCACACAATCACTGACTGTAACAACATGGCATACACTCGTAAGCCGCATCCGGACGACAAACATTTGACATTCACGGTAAGTGGTACCAGTTAACAAAGTGTACCGTTATATGATAATCGATAATTGAATGACATTATGATCTCAAATAGCATGGCTAAGGCGCTGATTATGAGCAATTGGAAATGAAAAACTTCGGTCTCCGGGTTTTAAATCATCAAAATTGACATAAGAATGTACAACCGCGATTCTATGTACACATTCCCGCCCCCTCATATTTACATTTTCATCCACGCCACCTTTTACCATCGCCAATCCTCTCAGTCATAACACATCTACAAACCAAACCACGCAAGATCAACATCCTCATGAATAGGAACAGTATGTCCAACACCCTGGCCAGAGTACCCAATCAACTTGGTTCCATCACCATAGATCTTCTGCGTGTATCCAGATTGCGGGGTATTAGCATTATCCTTGGTGAACGGCACATTCAGAACATTAGACCACTGCTTGAGCGCCTCAGCAAAGTTAGGATATCCAAGAGTGTTGTCAGCGGTTCCGTGCCAGCTGTACATTTATTAGTCTAAAGTTGGTACTCCGAGAGGTTTGGGAACTTACATAAGCATCTTAGGTCTCGTACCGTTATAGTTAGGATAGTAGCTGCGAGTAAGATCACCCCATTGCTGAGCTGTCTTGACGGATTTTCCACCCGCACAGTCGTTATTCCATCCAGGTGTGGCCATACCTGCAGTGGCGCTGGCGACGTAGAAACATCCGTCTGGAACACCGCTGTAGGATGAACCGGCCTTGAAGACATCTGGGTAAGCTCCAGCAAGAACATTGGTCATCATTGCACCGGAACTATTTAGTGATTGTTAGCATAGATATTTTTGGAATTTCTGGAGAAGGAATTGATAATATACCTTGATCCAGTAGCATAAACTCTATCTCTGTCACCTCCGTAGTTCTTGACAGCATAGTCGACCATGTTCACGATTGTCTTGGAGTCTCCACCAGCATCGTGAGTGAGGGAAGTCTTCGATGCAACATCCCAGCATCCACCGCTTGATGGCGAACTTGGGTAGATAACAATAAATCCCTTTGAGTCCGCAAGATTTGCGTATTTGGATCCAGTGAAATAACCCTGTCCGGTACCAGTGCAGTAATGAATAGCGACGATAATTGGTGCAGGATTCAATTTCTTGGTTGGAAGGTAAATATACATTCCAGCTTTCGTTGGGCCAGCTGTAAACCCAGACACTTTAGTAAGCTGGTTCTGTGCGGCATCTGCAATTCTGCCCAGCACGAGGGCGGTGGCTAGCAAGCTTGAAGAGAAATACATGATGAGATTTCTATGAAGTTTAATGCTTACAAGTCCAGATCATGGACGGAGAAGCTTGTTATATATATGACCCCGGAAGAATATCCTCCATCCCCGTTTGTCCGATGTCTCATGACGAAGAGAGAAGAAAGTCCCATATTCGATATCATCATTTACGAACTCTGCCGGGCGGGAGATTGTGGGACCCAACACGTCGCTGCCTATGTGGAGAGACGAAACAAATTACAAAGGAAGCAGCCAACCGCAAGGCTTATCTGAGAAATAAAAATAAAATACACAAATGATTGACTGGAGCCCTTCCGAGCACCAGGGTGAAACCATATTATACGCCGCCCCGAATATTATTGAACTTGCATTGATAGCCTCATTCGCCGGATTAAGAAGGGCACGGCTGGATCAACATCTTTGAGAGGCGAATAAAGTTGTTCAGATCTAATAAAAGTGTTGGGGTACTTGTCAACGACGAATCCTCTGGCAACAATTCAGCCTGTTTCTCAAAATGAAGAAGTCCACTTTGAAAGTTTCTTGGCATCACGAGGCTCAATTCCCCCGCATTTTGCAATATAGCCTCCAATGTAGATCAGATTGATGCGACATGAATAGAGACCCTTGCTCATTCTCCTTCGAGTTCCAAAACGGCCTTGGAGGAGCACAATATTTGTCAAATTATTCGAATACCGTTTCTGTCAACTCTTTGATCAGCCAGCCGTGTCTGGAAATTGATCTTTGTAATCGGTGGTGCCTGCTAACAAGGCATCGAAATTCGTCCTTACAGGCCATCTCAGGTTGTCACTTCGTGCTTTCTTTCTGACTTCCTGGCCGTGATCAGAGATGTCGCTGTTATATGCTTTCAATCCTGCAGGACGGTGATGTTGGAATAGTCCTGGTCGCACAGTCAGACAGTTGTGATGTCCTTTCCCAGCTGTTCCGTCGCAGAATTGCTTGAGCATAATATCAAACTGCCCTGTTATCTCTGTAACACCCAGATGGTACGACAGCCGGCGAGCGCTAGCCTGTGTAACAGCATAGCCGAGTGAGCATATTCCATCGCCGGCATGAGAGACAACTCGTGTATGATTGGGGTATTGTGTAAGATCTTTGACTTCAGACACAGAATACATAAATTGTGTTTCCGGAACAGTTTGATCGTCTAGACGAACGACTCTGCCTTTTGGTATCAAATCCGCCCTACCATCTCCTCCCATTCCTTTGACCGGAAAATTCATTCCGCAGTGTCCCAGCCAAAGCATTTCCCATTCATCGCCGTATGGGGACTTTGATGGTTGAAGAGTAGACGGCAAATCGTAAAAATCAAGGTCTTTCGAAGGCAAAGCATCCGGACTCGACGGTGTTGGGTAAGTTGAGTCTGCATAGGCTCTGCTGTCCGATGCCAAAGGCTGGATGAGAGCTCGGGACGACCGAGAAAAGTCGTAAAGTTGATCTTTGATACGAATGTCCCAATCAGCGTCATCTTCAAGTATCAGCGCCGTTGTTAGATTCCTTCGGACAACTCTACATTTCTATCATTAGTGTCGTTTCTGAAACCTCAGCTTTGCTTGAGTAGGAGTTCACTTACTCACTAATGGCGTTCATATGTGCTCGCCATGATCCTATGTTGCTGTCACCGCCAGCCGCCGAACGTCCCGTGCCAAAAGGAATAGCTCTATCTGGTACTTGATCGCCATGTATAGCATCGATAAAGTCAAATTTGATATCGCTCAAAGCAGTCGCCAATATCATTGAATCTCGACGATCGGTTCTCTCTGGCAAGCTGACCACAAATATCTGCTGAAACTGTTCGCAGTCGTGTTAACCTAATTTTTCTCTATTATGATGTTGACCTACCCCAAGAGTCTGATTAATGGCGACAGGTGATGAAAGACCAGATTGAGAAAATCCCAGAGTCGATGGAATGCCACTGTGAACATGTGACTTGCTAATTAATAAGACCAGGAAGAAAAGCAAAATTGCGGCGAGTATGGCCTGCCATGGTCGTCGTATCAATGCTTGAGACATAGTTATTGAGAGAACGAAAGTATAACATGCGAAAATAAAAATGAACATTCAAGATGTGATATTCCAATCCTAGCGCCGAGCATTTCTTTCATTCCAGAGCCAACACTTTTAGCCCCCAACATGTTGGAGCTGCGCTTAAAATTGGCCATAGTCAGCAGAAACCACACAACACGTCCAATGAGCATCCTTACCACAATCTTTACATCTATATTGAGCTGAATCACCAACCAAATGCATTGAACTTTTTGTAAACGGTATCGGATCTGGCAAACGGTGACCAATTAGGTGGACAGACTCGTCGCTTATACTCGACTCATCCGCATATAACCCACCTGAGGTAGTTTGAAACCCGCAGTGAGTCGCAAGCGAGGTATTCATTACATCTGTGTTCAAGATGAGGGGATGATTCCAGCATTGGTAATTTCTGATCTGCTACTTCAGTCATGAGATTTTGCGGAAAAATTTAAAATAGACTGTTGAGTATAGCTAGGACACCGACCTTGTCTACTCACATACTTTCGATGCTGTGGTTACCTGTTGGACGCCATCCAAGTAGCACTTTGCATCTATCCATACATCAACAGCCTTTTCAGCGTTGGTCATGGTTGAATATCTTGGCTATGCCATTCTCCTTCGACATATGAGACCGCCAATTGAGTTCCGCGGCGACGTCTCTTTGAGCCTCCTTGTCACCTGGTGTATTGAATCAACACGCAGTAGGAGCCTAAGGGGGTAGCTATTCTGGTAGCTATTTCTGGAAGCAACATCTGCAATTCAAGTATCTGTGTGATCCGATATACATCAACTGTAGCTTGCCTTCAGTTGCCTGCCTTACGTCTCTTCAGGTCCAAGAGCGAGGCGCAACGGCTTGGGCGACTAGTAGACGAGCCGTTATGTTGGCAGTGGCTAAAACCTGCTTGAAATTATGAGTAATTGAGATTTATATACTGTGCTAAACTTAGCTTTCAGCTCACCTCGATTCAAAGCCATCTGGATAGCGCAAGCCGTTACGACGCTTCGTATTCTAAGAGTGTTGAACGAAACATAATTTGGGGACTTTTTGCGGGGAAGCCACGAAGGCAACAACACGTGACTTAGCTTCAGTGGCATCGACCCCTGAATTTTGACGACCACATTCACTCCTTCGCATCTGGCACTCTACCCCAGAAACCACTCCCAACAGGAACCACTATGTCCTATATCCCTTGCGGCTGCGTCACTTATGATTCTTGTCGCGACATTGCAGATGATATATGCAAGAAGAGCATGTGCTCAATCTTCGTACGATGCAGAAGGAGGAAAGTGCCACGCGCAGTTCTCAACAACGTTACAGGAACTTCGAAAATGAGTTGTCAATTGGTTTCCCACTCTTCGTCAACATGCAATGCACCGCCGTTGATGGCGACTTGAACGAAGTCGGATTTGTGCTACTAATGCTCGAGTCCATAGAGCACGCTCACAGGAACTGGTCTCTGATTCGCCAACCCTTTAACCTCAATAATCTCAGTAAAACCCCGACAAATGAGCTTTCCCCGCTTTACTAATGCAGGTCAAGTGAATTATGGTCTTGAGGTCTGATGAGACTACTCCTATCATAAGGTTTAGGTAAGACATGTTTTCACAATTGCTCCGCCTCAAGATACTTAGTTCGCTTCTCCTTGGAAGTATCTTGGTGATCTCTCAAGAGTCCTAGTTGAAGGTCCGCTTTTCTCTAAGGCAATGGTTTGATCATAAATGGGATAGTTGCCTGTGAATCAGGGTCTTGAGAGCTGGCTATCCTAAACCGGAAAGTGTGTACGCGAGCCAAAGCTATATATTCAAAGGCGAACTTCTACTCTATGTAAGTTCGGTTCAAATTTCAACCATGGCTCCTGATATAGCTGCTCTATCTTTCCTGTTAAGTGTATCTACGACTGCCGATTTGAGTCACCATGTCAAGGTCTTGTGAGTAAAGATGTCATTGCAAAAGTATAGAGCACTAACATGATCAGTGCTGGAACTTTAAATGGCGGTAATAACTTTCCTGGTGTTGCCCGGCCATTTGGAATGGTGAAGCTGGGACCGGATCTACTCAACATCGGCACAGATTCATACTCTGGATATCTTGCAAATGGAAACTTTTCAGGATTCAGTTTGATGCACGAGCAAGGAACAGGAGGAGCACCAAAATACGGAACCCCAGCTCAACTCCCACTGGTGGGAACCATCAGCAATCCACTTTCCAGTATCACCGTTCCAAGATCATCAAAGCCAGATGAAGGCTCAGTCGGGTACTACAAAGCGACAACTGGTCAAGATGTGGTTGTCGAACTTGCCGCTTCCGAGCGGGCTGGGATGTTCAAATACACTTTCCCCGCTGGGAGCACTCGTAATAACATTCTTGTTGATGTTAGTCATGTGCTTCCTTCATTTCGGGGTCAGGGTTTGGGTCAAGGATATGCTGGTGGAGAATTTCAAATCATGTCTGATGGACATTACGAAGCATCTGGAGTATATAACAATGGATGGAATCGCTCACCGGACTGGACTATATATTCATGTGAGTTGAATTTCTATACAATATGGCGCCATATGCTGATATAATTTAGGTGGATATTTCAATACAACACCCACTACTGCCAGCTCCTTTGTAGGACCTGTGGTAGTTAGAGGAGTTGCAAGTTCCACCTCGTCAAGTGTTCCCGTTGGTGGTCTCTTTACTTTCGACGAAGGGGCTGTCTTATCTCGAGTGGGGATTTCATGGATCTCGAAAGAACAAGCTTGTCGCAATGTGAATGAGCAAATCCCAGAGACAGCAACTTTTGACAATGTTGTTCAAGCAACGAAAGACGCCTGGAACTCTCAAATCTTCTCAAAGGTAACGACTACATCGACGAATGCCAGTAATCTGGAACTTCTGTACACGTCTCTTTATCACATGAACTTGCTCCCGACCAACAAGACTGGTGAAAATCCAGGATGGGAATCTACCGAACCATACTATGACGATATCTTCACATTTTGGGACACATTCCGTTACTCGACTGCACTTTTACAAATCATCCAACCGACAATGTACGAAGAGTTCATCCGCTCAACCATCGACATTTGGAGACACGACGGATATCTCCCAGACGGCAGATCCTCAAACTACAACGGCCGAACCCAAGGCGGCTCAAACGCCGACAACGTCTTAGCGGACGCATACGTCAAAAGCGTGCGCGGGAAAGTGAACTGGGAAGACGGCTACGCAGCAATGGTAAAAGACGCCGAGGTCCCACCCCCAAACACCAACCCGCCCGATCCTATGGCCCCCGAAGCTTCTACAAAGGAAGGCCGCGGCGCGCTCCCAGACTGGCTCAAATACGGCTTCATCACGACGAAATTCTCGCGCTCCGCATCACGAGCTGTGGAATACGCGTACAACGATTTCAGTCTCTACCAAGTCGCCAAAGGCCTTAACAAAACCGCCGACGCAGCTAAATACCTCACTCGCTCCCGTAACTGGCGGAATCACTGGAATCCAAAGCAAACGGCCATAGGATTCTCCGGGTTCGTGGTCCCGAGAAATGAGACGGATTTCCTTCCTGTCAATCCGCTTACGGATGCTGGATACTGGGGTGATGCGACGTACCAAGTAACCAGCTGGGGCAATTCCTTTGGCGATATCCACGACATGGCGAAACTCGTCGAGTTGATGGGCGGACGTGATACGTTTCTTGCGAGGTTAGACGCGACGTTTACGCCTGGTGCGAACCCCGCGAATCCAAATGGTGTGTTATTTGATGCTACGAACGAACCGTAAGTCCCCTAACATCCCATTCCTCCTACACCAACTCCCTCTTTCACATCCAAAGGAGAAGGAAGAGAAGGTTAACAAGTGCCAGCACATTCAACATCCCCTACCTCTACACCTACATCTCCCTCCCCAACCACTCCGTCCAGCGCTCGCGGCACATCGCCAAAACCCTCTACACCACCACGCCCACCGGGCTCCCAGGCAACTCGGACGCCGGCGCCATGCAATCCTGGCTCTTGTGGAATATAATCGGTCTCTACCCCGTCACGGGCCAAACCACTTTCCTGATCCACGCGCCCTGGTTCGAGAGTCTGACGCTGGAACTTGGGGAGGGGAAACGCTTGGTTGTGACGAGTGAGGGAGGGGATGGGACGGGGGATAGTAGGATTTATGTGCAGAGTGTACGGGTTAATGGGGTGAGTTGGGAGAAGAGTTGGTTGGTTTGGGAGGATGTTTTCGCGGAAGGAGGGACCTTGCATTTTGTGCTTGGAGAGGAAATGGTGGAGTGGGCGAAGGGAGAGGTGCCGCCTAGTCCTGCTAGTTAGAGGTGATGGTATGTGGCGATGTGAAATGCGGTGATTTGTTATACAATGGTTGTGGAGTTCTGTGCTGCTAAAATTGTTGTCGGTGAGACAGTGTGTATATGTGTATGATAATTCCTGGGTATGTCGCCAATAATGACATTCCATACGTGCGGCCCGTTCAAGCAGATGTGCAGTGGTTTGGTTTCTCTTTGCATCTCTGCCATGATCAAACGAATCTCAGAAGCAAAGATACCTTCTCTGCTACGACTAGTGCTGATAAAGACTTAACATCTAAACAATCTCCAAGCAAGTCGATATAGTAATAGCTGCCAGTGACCCATACAAGACGACGATGGCAATGGTAAAGTTGGTACTCCATGTCGTTTTTACCTCCTGCAAAAAACGCGGTGGGACGCATCCACTCCAGCGAAGAAGATCTCCAAAACTGGCACTAGTATCGTATACGCTACTCTTCGGCTGTCGACCGCTAGATAATTGCAACCTTCACTGTACCCAACTCGGACTCAGTCAATTTGATCAGATGCTTTTGTAGACTCCAGCGCCTCGAGAGACATCGATTCCTCCTGCAGATAGAGTCCTTGCGAGTAGCGAGGCCGGGATTGGAATATTTCATGCAAACTGCCTCCGCAGCGTACAAAGATGGTGAACTGCATTACAGATGTCAAATTGACTGTGCCGAGATCCTATCATCTGGCATACGACCGTTGCACAAGCGTAGAAGTTTGAGATCTCAGGTACCTCGAATTCCTCACACCCTCACCCACACTTCCAGCATCAGAGCGCTTTTCCAACCTCGTACAACAAAACCTACATTCTCGAATCTCACATTCCGTTTGCACATACTCACAAACCGTTGAGAAAGCTCCTTGTTGCCAACAAGATTCTCATGCAACATTTCGTCCCTCCGACACCCTCATCAAACCTTATAATTCGTCCCCCCCCCAATTCTGGCTGATGATTGGCTGTACAGCGATCTCGACGAGCTAGCGGGACGACGGACGGCATCGGGAAAAGTCCCACCAAACGAACAGACCTGGCTCTGGCGCCGGCGATTGTCCCATGACGCAACTCGAGATTCGAGTTCCTCGTTCGAGTTGAGGAATTGAAGCTGTAAGTCCCGAACAAATAAGGTTACGGCTGGCGGCGATAGCAATGGAAGTCCGTTGAAGAAAATCAAAAGAAAAGGGGTTCCAACAACTGCACACCGCACTTCAGCACCACACTGCTGTCATCGCGTTGGGTCTCAATTCCATTCCAATCCTTCGCCCAGGACCACCCCATGCACGATCTCTTATCCCCGTCGACCATCCCCCTCTGCTGGTGCCACGCATCCAGGTCTTCATTTACGTGCTGCAACGAGGATTCGCTTCCGCTTCGTCGGTTCTCATGGGATTGGAGCGATGGAGAAGAAGGCTCGCTCCGACCCATCGACGGCGTGAGGTTCGCATCCCCCCAACCCCCCCAATTGTTTCAATGCCTCGAAGAAGGGCCCTAGAGACACATCATCAAAGCCCAAAACTCCCACGTATTGAATTCTCTGAAACCTGAAATACATTTTCCTTCTTGTTGCGGCGGTCAATTGAGTGAGCCCCCGTGCGTTACACAGACCCAGAAAACGAGGAAAGAAAGAAAGAACAAACGGAATCCGATAATTGAAAAACAGAGCAGGCAAGACCCGGAATCTCACACAAGTCCCCTCAGCTTCACCAAACGAGCTCAACCAAACCCCAGCTCAGGCGCATGAAACACATGGACATTTCCCCATTGAGCTCCTCACTGCCGTCTGCTCTGACAATCTCAATTCCACTCCCTTGTTCCTGTTCCTGTTCCTGTTCCTGAAAGGCGCACGCGAAAAACAAAGTACCTGCTCGAGACTTGCGACTCGACTTGGTCTGTCTTCTAGAAAACACTTGCAACAACGACGCGCATCACTCGATGCGCAATTGAAGCGCCGCGCATCCATCTGGGAGCATGCACGCTTCGAATTCGACTTCGCACGACCTGAAGGACTCGATCCACACATCTCAATTGCATGCGCCATCTCCTCGAACGTTGTGCGCTGGGCGCCGTTGCGCTGTGCTGTGTCTGACGGATACCGACAGTGCGCTGTAGGTACGCGTGAACCACGAACCACGCAGGTTTGCGCGCGCGCGCAAAGACACTTGACAGCGCGTCGATTGGGGAATTAAAAACGAACGAAACAAGAAAATATTAAAAAGGATCTGGGGTCTTTTTACGTGTGAGCGTGATTTGCGGACGTGGTTGGTGGAGAGGGTAAGGAGAGTCAAAGGTTTCTCGGCTGGCCACTCGATTTATTCCAGATTTCCCAGCCTTCGAATATCACGAAGTTCGAGGTCTCGCAACACGAACCACCACCACCTCTTCCCTCCCACACTCGTTATTTGCACACCATTCCACATTCTTGCTTGCTTCGAGTCCAACCTCCTCGCACAAGCAGAGCAAACTTTTACATTCCTCGATTCCCAATTGAGAATCACAACACCAACGCTAGCTACTTGACGCCGCAACTTAGTCCTCCCTACGTCAGACTCGATCTCACCCAGCTCAACCCGACGCGGGTGAATTGAAGGTCGCGTTCACATTGTCGGCGCCCGGTGATTTGGTAACCCCAACAGCCGCATTGACGAACCCAATCCCTCCACACAATAACGACCTTTACGACGTAAACGAACCTTTTACGCCAGCCCCCGCGCAGCGCCAGCAGCAGCGCCCTTTACGACGAACACACATCGAAGCTACCTCTGTTGGCATCTCTCCTCCTCGACCTGCACGAGTACGGCCGATCCAGCGACAGCAACCAAGTGAGCATCAGGAGCTTACCCATGACTTCGAAGACGACCTCGCTACCTCAACTCCTCTAGGTTCTAGCTCTGCAAATCATTCACCCGAAGCTGAACGAAGACCTCACCGGTCCTTGCATATCTCCAAAAATACAGCTAGCGCAATCCTCTATACGCTAGAGGAGGCCCTTCGACACCCTAACGCTTTCACCCCAGATCTGATTGAGGAGAACGCATTGATGTCAGATCTTATTGGTGGGGGTCCTTCAGCATCTGCTGGCGATGGACGCGGCAATAATGGCGGCGGTTCCAGACAAGCTGCACCGGGCACCACTGGATCGCCTGTTATCAAAGGCCCAAGAGACATAATGCGGGAGCGCGCAGCCCGCGAGGAACGCAAAAAGGAGCAGCAAGAAAGAGAACGAGAAGCAATTGAGAGGGAGCGGCAAGCACTAGAAGCCCAACGAGAAAGTGATCGCCGAAGTGCAGAAAGAAGAGCTGCTGGCGTTGCGCAACCACAAAGAGTGGAAGGACAGCGTGGATCTGGAGGAACCACAGGTCAACGAATTTCAGATAATTCTCAGAGATCAGACAGACGCTCAGGAGAGAGGGCGGGCACATTACAAGGCGTGGGAACCGGTGGGAGAGCTGTGGGGGGAGGTGAGACTGCTCCTTCCGCGAGACCACGACCTACACAATCTCAGCAACAACCACGACCGGTCCAAACAGAACCATCACGGCCTAGACCTGCACAAGCCCAACCTGGGCCATCTATGGAACCAGTCATCCCACCACCAGAAGGAGCCCCCACTGGAACCAGGTCCTCTTTCCCACATGCTTTTGAGAGATGGGAGACGCTGTCTGCTCATTGGGAAGGACTTACATCATTCTGGATCCGAAGATTGGAGGAGAACAGCAATGAGATCAATCGAGATCCCCTTTCACAACAACTTTCTCGCCAGGTCACAGACCTCTCGGCTGCTGGAGCCAATCTTTTCCACGCAGTCGTAGAACTACAACGATTGCGAGCGTCTTCCGAAAGAAAATTCCAGCGTTGGTTTTTCGAGACTAGAGCCGAACAAGAGCGTGCTCAAGAGGTTCAAGCAATGATAGAGGCTAGCTTGGATGAAGAACGACGAGGACGAGCAGCAGCCATTGCCGAAGCCATCAGCCACGAAAGAGACCGAAGCAACACTGACAAACAACTCGCCGAGATGAAGAGAGAACTGCAAATTTCCAAGGAGGAAGCGAGACGTGCCTGGGAAGAGCTTGGTCGTCGGGAGCAAGAGGAGCGGGAACGCACAGCTTCATTGCGAGAAGGCCAGCCAACTATTGTGGGAGGCGTGCAGGTTGTTCCGATGATGCAAGGCGTCCCGAGTGGACATGGAAGCTCTCGTGATATCCCTCCTACTAGAGAAGGCCCGTCGACCGCTGGACCACCCCAAGAACCGGAACCTTCTGCAGCAGATTTTGATGCAGCGTATACGCAATATTCCCGAGCCCAACGAGCAGAGCCGGTAGATCCGTTTGTCGAACAGATGTCATCTCGACCTACTCAATCTCGATCACAGGCTCCCCAGAGTGCAGCAGTCACAACATATGCTCAAGAGTACTCCCAAGCGCCCGCAGTCCAGCCTGCTTCACCGTCTGCTTTTTACCAGCAACAACAGGGTACTTTGCTCCATCCAACTGATCGTGGATCATCCCGAGGAGCACCATCTGAAGGTGCGTTCAGCGAAGAAGAATATGAAATTGATCATGAAGGTCAATTTGTTCTTGATCCTAGTGGCAACAAGGTCCCGTTCCGTGCGCGTTCTGACTACGATACAGATGAATACGATGTTGAAGAAGATCGCCAACGAGAGCAAGCGAATCTGCAGAGATATGGAACCAGTGCCGAGTACAGACAAAGCGAAACTGCAACATCCGGTGCAGGAAGAGAATCCTCGACAAGCCAACCTTCATCCAGCGAGCCAGGAGGCGCTGATTATACAGGAGCCGGTTATGGTGGTGGATCTGGTCTTGAGTGGGGAGCTGTTCCTCGCCATCACCACCCAACTCGACTGAGTGACGTACTCGAGGAAGACGAGAGAAGTCGAACCAGTGCAAGCCAAGTTAGTCGGCGAGAATGACTGAGGTGAAGAAACTGTTTATGTTCTGATTTATTATACCATTGCTTGCGGCAATCATAAGGAAACGAGGTTTTTGAAAGAGATTATGATGGAGCAGCATCTGATGGCGTATGGGGGGGTGTCTGGTGTACCAAATTTGAGCGAAGTAGCCATGGCCGGCATTACAGCATTTTGAGCGAAGTATGTACGATCATTGTTCTAGGCGATATGCTAGCGTAGAGAAAAATAATAATTTTGTGAGAGTAATTGAGAAGAATACCTAAGTATCTACGTGTAGTGACGAAAGTCTGCGGCTGGTGCGGGGAATGTAGGCACCTAGGTAGGCCTTGAGTGAGGAGGAATGTTGTGAAAACACAGGCTTAAGCGAGTTTTCTCACGCGTGCGATGTGCAACAAAACTCATCCAGTAAGTCATGTGATCAACATCACTTAGTGGTGGATCGATGCGGGAGCGGCGAAACTATGAGCCGTGGACCTCCAGAAATCCATTGTAGAGCATCATGAGCTTTGAAATACTCAACGCGACCATGTCGAAATCAATCATACCAAGTCGGCGGTTACTGACCACGTTCTCCCAATCTCTACGAAATGAAAACTCTCGGTCAATTGATACGCAATGCTGCCGTTTAACCACGCTTCGCACCCAAGCTCAGCAATCATGTCAGTCGATTTCTGGACGGCCATTCAGCACCACAACCATTCGACCATACAAGACAGTACAGGAGCAACGTTCACGATATAGATCCGGCGTATGTGCCCTCAATACTGTATACATTCATCCACTAACAACCCTCAGCCCTTCTCATGGAAAGCAGGACTCCTCTTCCTCACCTCAGGCGCAGGTCTAATCTACTACTTCCGCTCCGAAAAGGCACGCATGGAACGTAAACGGATAGCCGAAGCTACAAAGGGTGTTGGGAGACCGAAAGTCGGGGGGCCGTTCACTCTGACGGATCAGACGGGCAAGCCGTTTACGGATCAAGATATGAGGGGCAAATATTCTTTGGTTTGTCAACCCCTCGCATACGGTTGGGTGTGGAACTGATGGGTTATAGGTGTACTTCGGATTCTCCCACTGCCCAGATATCTGCCCCGAAGAACTCGACAAAATGGCCCAAATGATCGATCTCGTGTCCACCTCACCCACCCGAACCGCATCCACGCCGTCCCTCCTCCCCATTTTCATCACCTGCGATCCCGCGCGCGACACCCCCGCGGTCCTCGACGCCTACCTCTCCGAGTTCCACCCAGCCCTCATCGGTCTCACAGGCACATGGGAGCAGATCAAAGATATATGCAAGAAATACCGGGTCTATTTTAGTACGCCGAGTGGGGTGAAGAAGGGAGAGGATTATTTGGTGGATCATAGTATTTATTTTTATTTGATGGATCCAGAGGGTGATTTTGTGGAGGCGATTGGGAGACAGCATAGTCCGCAGCAGGCGGCTACTATTATACTGGGGCATGTTAATGATTGGAAGAAATGAGGGGATGATGGGACAGTGTAGGTTCGTGTATTCTGTTTTGTATTGTAGAAATTCGAAGTCTGTGGTTAAGGAATTGGAAGTGATGGGTTGGTAGATGGATATCCCTACTCAGAGTATTGTACAATTGAGACATGTGAATAGTTCTAGAGACAGGATCTGGTTTTCATGTCCTAGGTGTAAAATTAATTCATCAACTGTCACTCCTCCTAGGTTGGCTTGCCCCAACAGATCTTCAATTGTTGCCATGGCCATTCTTTTGCTTCCAAAGTTTAATACTAGACCCGAAACGTCAAGGAGAGGAGAGTTGTACTTGCTAAGTGCAAGTACAATTGGTAATAACTGCAACATAAATTGACATGTTCCTCTACTAGCTGCTCCGCCTTCTAACTAATGGAGATATGTTTTCAAATGAAATCACAGTGTTCCAAACGCCTGCCTACCTCGGTTAATGCACAACTCCAAGAGTCCCTTATAGTTTGAAAAACGGTTTCAGCACAATATAACGGAGCTCCTCTTACTAGACTCCCACCACTCCCCTAAACACCTCCTAAATTCATACTCCACACTCACTAGTGCCAGAAATCATCTATTTCTTAGCCGAGAACTAAAAAGTAAGTCAAAGTAGCAAGAGAACATGCAAATTCACTTTTTTTTCTGAAATCACGGTCTCTGTTCTAAATAGCGAGTCTAGATGTTCGGAATTCTGAAATTCAAGTGCGGGAGAGACTTGGGTGGAGAGAGGGGTTTAGGAAGAGAAGTGGATGGGAGTAATCGTCTGCTTGGGGCTGGTGGGTTTACGGTGAGATCTAGTTTTCTTGGTCAAAGACACGCTTTGCTGTGATACGCACAGCGTTCTGTCATTCACGCACATCTCTCGAAAACGCGTTCTCGCCATGAATGAAACGAGTGGCAGTTAATCTTCCTTTTCATTCGATCCTCTTGGCAAAATCACCTCTATCCCTACCATTATTTTTCGTTGACCTCCAATTCCAAACCCCATCAACCCAAAAACACCCCCTTAAAACCAAGCACAAGATAATTCAATCGACTAACTAAAAAAGTATACCGCCGTATACCACGGACTTTATTCCCCACTAACCATTCTCACAAGAAAGAAATTGCAAAAAGAAAATCACACTGGAGAATGCAAGAATTGAACTCGCGACCCCTCCCATATCACTGCCTGAAGGCTGGTGCTAAGGGAATATCATACCACTAGACCAATTCCCCGTGACTGATTTGATGGATTGGAAATTACTTGTTTGCATTTATCAAACACTGTAGGATGGAGGGGTGCGAATGACCCAGAAGTATTAAGGGTCTGTGTTTGTGAAGCGAGACGAGGCCCGCTTCTTTTGAATTTTTGAATACAAGACAAGGAAGTTGGAATTTTGATTCATTTGTCTAAGAAATGACAAAACTGCAAGATAGTCTTATTTTCCAACAGATGCAACATCAAGTAAGCGCTGCAGTGCCACTTTATTGCGCCTCGAGATCGCATTACCGCTTGTGTTTGTGTTCGGCAAGTTGTGCTTCCACCATAGCCGCGGGCCTGAAATCCTGTAACCACCAACAATACAAAGTTTGGCGCTGGGAGTTCGATTCAATGTTTTTTGGTATAGGAAAGGATGTTTGGTATGATAATACTTTGACTGATCATTAAAATGGATAGTAGAATATACTGTTGTTGGAGTTAAGAGTTTGAGAGTTTGGTGTTTGGTGCGAAGTTTTCAGTTCCGTTTTCACCTACGGTTTCACTTGTGGCAAATCTTCTTGATTTTAACCTTAAGACTTTCCAACTAACAGATTACTTCCTATCTTACAATTATAACAAAATGACCAAAATACTCACCCAACAGGCAGACTCACTAACATCACTCTGTTTCAGAACCTCATATGTCTCTACTACGCCTTCAACCACTTCTCGCTTAATTGTTATAAGCATAGCCGACCTACCAACGAACCAACTGAGCGGTCTCTTGTCTGCGAGCAAGTACAAGCAATTGAGGCTGATTTTAGGATTTCAGAGACCAGCACACGATGGTGAAGGCCAAGTATCGCCAACTTTTGTTAATTCCACGGTGTTGGAAAGTTGGCCTGTCGCAATGCTGAGATTCTTATAAAGGTGGGCTGTATTCAGTGTCAAAGTTGAGTATTATTATCACCATCCTATCAATCCCTTCTCTTCTCTCCAATCTCTTTCTGAACTTCTTACTGTATTGTTGCAAATCTACCTCGAGTTCTATTCAGGATCACAGCTATGCACCTTCAATTCCTCACCCTAGCTGCCATTTTAGCAACGATTTCGGCCCTCCACCACAACGATCCAGCTGATATGGAAATCCCATCTCAGTCCGATGCATGCCAATTTCAAGTAACGAAGACCATTACTGCTACACATACAGCAGTAAGAAAGGTTTCTGTCACTGAAACAGTGGATGCCTCAACGATTGCTACTGCAAGGAAAGTCAAGAGAGGTGACACTCTTTCATCTGTTTCTTCGGTTGAAGCTCTATCAACTGCGGATCACTCATGGGAAGGTTCTGCCACAAAGATTCCAGTTTCTACCACTGATCATACATGGGAATCATCAACTGCTACCCCAGAAGCTTCAACAACCGATCATGCTTGGGAATCATCAATTTCTTCTACCGACGTTGCAACCGAAACTGCCACGCACGCTTGGGAATCGACAACTGTTACCCAAGATTCTTCCTCAGGTGCTCACAGTTGGGAACAATCAACCGCTACTCCTGCAGCTTCAACTGATGCACATACTTGGGAGCAGACCACGTTCACTTCTTCAGTTTCGACGACAGCTCATGAATGGGAAGGTTCAACTTCTACTTCCCTGGAGTCAACGACTACACATACCTGGGAAGACACCACACCATCTCCATCTGCTCCAACCGAAATACCTTGCGCCGACTGCAACTCTCCTAGCGAAACAACAACACCTACCACTCAACCAAACCCCTCCAACTGCCCAGCAGCATGTAACCCTCACCCTGTAAGCCCTCACCCTCTCTCCCTTCTCATTCCTCCTCCCTTCTAACCAAACACAGGGTTTCCCATACCAATGCGACATCACAGCTCCCTGCAGCAACGCAGGCTCATACACCTATTGTGCCTGCCGCGCTGGCTACCGCGCCAGCGGTCTCAGTGTCGATGATCCACGACAAGCGCGCTTCGAGAGTGCCGAAGGGACGTTTAGGGTTCATGTTGCGCCTGGGGTTGTTTGTGATGAGCTTTGTGAGCCTTCTGTTAGTGGGCAGGAGAATGTTTGTAATGAGGTGACATTGAGGAGGGGGTGTTGATGGGAGAAAGGGGGAGGGTTTTTGGATGGGATTTGCATTGCGAGTGGCGTTTTGGTGGGTATGGTTGAGGATATATGTTTTAATGTTAGTTTAGTCGTGAGGAATCAATTTCAATTTCTTAAAGGAGGACACATATTTGAGGTGACTAGTAGCACCTTGGAAAAGTTGTAGAAGTCGTAAGATAAATGAGCAAGTAAAGATAGAACGGTAATGATTTTTAACACCCCGAATTTTCATCAAATGCTTCTTGACTGTAGAAACCACGTGCAAGGAAATGATATTTTGCCAGTGAGTACTGGATACGGTCACGCTGTAGGCTTTGTGAAAAGTTTGGTTGGATGACGGTAAGAACGTGGTGAACATGCTGTCCTTCAATAATTTACTCGTAGATGTGGACTTCCGGTCTAAATACTTTCTACTTGCAAGGAATTTTTTTTTATGGAGTCTGCAATTTGCATAGTAGAAATACCTTATTTACAAGTAATGGTGCCTGCAGCATTCAGTCCGTGTCTGAACACATAATATTTTCTTTTTAATGGTTCTTAATTTTACATACATGATATTCGGTAGCAACCGCAAAAACATCAATCGTCTCATGAATATCAACTCAAGTTTCTAACTGATTTCAATCACCGGACCAGTATATGTCTTCCTTCCCCAAATTGCATAATAAATACAAGCAAAAACAATAGTACCAACCATCATTACGCTACTAAAATTCATAATCTTTAACGACGGATCCATCATGATAGGCCAAAAGCTGAAGAATAGAATGACGACCATGAATACACAGCCAAAGGCGTTGACGATTGTTCCAAATGGCTCTCGTATCTTGAATGGTCCCCAAGTAAGCGAATTCGAGTTCGCGACGTTGGTGAGACCTTCGGAGATGCTGCTGTATGGCTTGATTCCGCCAGTCATTCTTCGGTAGAGAAGTAGGCTGTTACCGATGAGATAGGAGGTGTATAGACCGTTGATGGTCAACGAGACGACATCGTTGAAGGCGACTGAGGATCCCAAAATTACTAGTGCAAGGAGACATGCGATCAGTGTAGTAAGAGCGATCGAGATTAATGGAATAGAAGTTCGTTGATCAACCTGTATGAAACACTTTAGCTAGGAACACGTAGACATTAACGGATTTTAAAGACATACCTTGCTCAGGTAGTACCAACCCGGAAGACCACGATCTCTCGCAAACGACCAGGTCATTCTCGAACCAGTCGCGACAAACGAGATAAGAGCGCAAATCATCAAGACCGTCACAACAGCAGACATTGCCGTGGCACCCGCAGCAGATCCGACGGCTTGCTGAAAGATTGCCATGAAAGGAAAAGGTGATGCGAGTACTGTTTCCACATCGCCCAGACAGAAAAGTGCTGCAACAAGCATGCCGATTCCCATCAGCCCGTTCAGTCCGATGCTAAAAATCATTGCTCGTGGTACGATAATTGAGGCGTTTTGAATTTCTTCCGACATCTGCATATACGGTCAGTATTTTATTGAATGGTAACACAACATGGTTTGACTAACGTGCACTGCCGAATCTGCTCCGAGCAAGCAGAATATCGGTCCCACAAGACCGACCATGAACGACAATCCCTGAGTCTTGAAACCGCCACCGTTCATGAAGACGGTAAAGACGTCCTTGGCACTGCCATGAGGCGCCATGTAAACCATCGGGATTAAGATTGCGAAGAATCCCAGTACGTGAAAGATCAAGATGATTCCTTCGATCTTTGGTAGTGCTCTGCTGACAACTGTGTTGATAAACACTCCGAAGAAGAGAGTGGCGTAGAAAAGCAGAACTGCTTGCCATGGCTGGGGAGAGTACTCTGCGAAATTCAGCGCAATGAGGCCTTGGATCAGAGAAGCACAAAGGAAACCTCCTGATGCTACAGCCGCTTGCCAACCAATGACAGTGATCCAGCCTAGAAAATTTAGTAACGGATCAAAATTTAAGAACAACGAGTAAGTTCTCACCAATTAGGTAACTCATGAATTTTTGCGCCGACCGTGGTGCCAGCATTGACACCCAGTGATATTGGCCTCCAGAAGTTGGTGCCCTATGATGAATTAGCGAACGAAGTTCTGAGGTGTCAAATAGTTTTCGGTTCTAGTGTATACGCACATTGACGCAAGCTCCCCCATCGTAGTAAAGACTGCGAGCGTGCCGACCCATACGACTAGAAAGCCATATACAGAACCAGCGTACCCGCCGTTGGTAAAACCAATTGCCAAAAGTCTGTTATTCCAATCAGTCCTCATGTTATAATTTGGACTGTTGTCACTTACAGAAGCATACCTTCCCATGTAATCATCACCGTACAGGAGAATCCCAACATACTCATGAAACCGAAGTTCCTCTGTTGAGAATCAGTATTGTAAATTTATCTTACCAGAGCTTCAAAGGGGTTGACAATTTGAACAGACATGGCTTACCTTGAGTACTGGTTTCTTTCCTAGTCTAGAAAGTGTCTCATTGTCGCGATCCGCAATAGTCATATTCTGCTCTGTCGTGTCAGAGCCAACCTCAAGTGAGGATGGCTCTGGCTTGTATTTGCTAAGCTCATAAGCCATTGTATAGAGTGCAATTCTTGACGACTCAAGAGTCAATCCCACGATATTTTCTAGTCTCCCAACTCTAGAAAATAACACAGAGTCCGACGATAGTACTGGTATCTCGGACAAAATGAAAGTGATCGGGAGATAGCCACGAGGTCATGGTAAAAGCCCACGAGGCCTGTCAGCAACGTGGTATTGACACTAGAGTCCAGCAGGTAGACGGAAAAAGTGGACCGGATGTTCTTCGAAACACATATAGCATCCCCAAAGACTATGCTCTGAAAATTGCATATCAAGACCGGTTATTCCAACCGCATAACTTCGCGCACGCCATACGAATGAAGAAATATCAGCTTGACGAGCGACAAAGGTGTTGCTCGGCTAGCCGAACATACATATTTGACTTGCAACCCCTGAATTTTGTTTGCCGGGTGTCAAGGGATTGAAAACGTACCAATGTTGGTATGTGGCAAGGTGCTTGGAAGAACGGCTCAGTTGCCGGTAGAAGGAACTTTTAGTGAGGTACTTCGGTAGGTAATATATGCCGGCTGTTTTTGTGCTAGCTTCTAGCCGGGCAATCAACATCGTCCAAGTAAATCATGTTCATGCGAAACCATTGGTGGTACCGATAACGGCGCCTTACGGCCCGTTGCGTTTTATTAATTTGGGTTATCATTTGTACCTGGAATTGATGAGTATGCCAAGTCATTCCGTGTGTACGAAGTAAACCCTGAAAGGCGTTTCGAATTTTCAGATATTATCCAACCGAAAGATACCTAAAGATACCCTCGTGGGACAAGCACCTGTTCTTAACATACATGATTCGTTAACGATTTGTGTTGGATGCTCGATGGTAATTTCCGACATCTAAAGTGGATGAAGCGAAGAACTCGCAATCATTGCTGAAAACGATAAGGGCAAGCAAGCATGGCATCAAACTCTATCGAGAATGTCTTGAACATGGTGTCTTTCGATATATTAATATATATTAATCGCAAACATCGCTCACCCGGTCAAGTACCGTCAAGCCTAATCCAATGCAGGCGATAGCTTGGGACGAGATATGATTTGTGGGTTGAACCAATCAAGGACCTTGATGTCGTAGATGATGCTGTGATCCAGTTCGCTTGGAACACTAGTCGTATATGTCGAGAACGACCCCAGCATTAGGTGACCTCTGTTCCTCTCTATCGTTTCCTCTTCTGGAAACCTACTTTTTTAGACTTTTATGCAAAAGCTCGCCATGTCGCACAACATAATCGCAATAAATGTACAATGTTATGTTTTTGTTTAATGTGCAGCGTTTTAAAGTAATTCCCTGTGCATGCCAATGATGCGGCTTTGATACGCTTACCGGCTTTCATGGTCGGAAATCCCCACCTCCGTCGCATCTGAACTCACGACACCCCAAGACCTAGTCTGCTTGATTATCTTGGTTTGACTGGAATCACTACCCACGTCCCAGTCTCGTTCGTCGTATGGATTTACCCCGACTGATATTGTGTTGATGGTTGCATTCTTGATAGGACCCATCTCGTGTGGAGACGGTCTCACGGGTCGTATTGGCGCCGATATCTTCGACAGCCTTTTGCTGATTGCTGAATTCATTGGAGACTTTCGATCTTTCCCGTATGATCCGCCAGATTTCCCTGGGGGTTCAGTTCGCCGAAGCAGATCGTCGCTTCTAATCATGCCGCTCTCCAACCCATCCATGAACGGCTTCAAGTAAGGCACACAGGCTGTTACTATTGCCAGTGTTTGTGCTAAAGCCATAGCAATTTGGATAAGCCATTGATCGTATGAAACATCTTTTGTGTTTTTGGTTATGCTGAGCATGATCATTTGGAAAATAATCGCACCTATTGTACTGGCAAAATGTTAGCAGGTACAAGTTATGAAAGTTAATGAGAAGAAACTCACAAAGCTCTGGTGGCGAAGCAACCAACGACAACGACCTTACGCCGCATAGGTAGCTGAAGATTCCAGACAACTGTCCAGGGAAGCCCTATAAGTAAAAGATCGATGATTATGTTGACTGAGTTGCTGTATGCCCAAAACATATCTCGATCAATACACTGATTCCGAATCGTATCCCATACATTCGGCAACTGACATTGAAAAACCAGTACTATAAGCGACGAGGAGGCCCAAAGAGTAATGATACCAATAAGGCCTAGTGTCGCTTTTGCGTTATAAGTTGCTGGCGAAATGACTCGAATAAATATGACTACAGAGAGCTTTGAAAACGTCTGGCTCAATAACCAGAGTATGTTTGCGGTATAAACGGCCTGCAATAACTTAGTGGTTGAAATTTCGTTATTCAAGGGAAATCCACCTTTTGAAAGAGCACGATCTGCTGGGCAGATAGCTCATGGATGTGCTTCCCAACCCCATTGAGCACCGAAATGCCAATTGCCACCACTTGACCGATGCTTAACAACTGCAGCACAAATTAACTTTGGATAAGCACCACGATTAAAAAGTTCCTTACAAGAGATGCCGAAATCATGGCATCATCAATGTTGACTTTCTTTGAGACCAGCCATTTCGTTGCAATCCGTGTTGACACCGTGAGAAAGCTGACTATGACAAGAAACCAAGTAAGAACATTTATAAGAGGTCCATGATTGTTGGGCCCGTCCAGGGGCTGTGGTGGAAGAGTTACAGTTGAAGTGGTGGCGTCGGACATCTTCAAATCCTCCACAAGATATTCTCTTGTTGAAGAAAGTATGATGGAAGCTCATGAGAAAAACACGAGTTAAATTAAGAAGGGAATAAGACCTCGAAGATAGGTTGGAAGCGTATTTTGATAAATGCTAGCTTCAGGAACAAAAATGTTTACCGAATGAGCTTCCATCATCCGGTCCCGAGTACTGCTCTTTCATAAATAGCTAATACTTTGAAGGTCTTAGAGCATAGACGTTTTGATTGAGTGTTGGCACCCCCAAGAGGCGCTGGCAAGGATGGAGGATAAGGCGGTGGGTGAAGGGAGGAGCTCCGAAAAGAAACACTGTTGAAGATAAGTGAGTGTAGATATTCGCGCTCACTCGGTGAGTGTCTGCTTCCATATTGTCCAATGGAATGGCAGAAATATATGAGACTCGCAACTTTCAGGCTGAAGTAGGACATGGCTTACACGAAAATGCTCCAGGGTCTACCCAGGTAAACCCTTCATACTCTGCCAGTTTCGCCTCGTCAGAATGTTCTTCGTCAGTGGCTGTTAAACCGATCCCGATGACTTGGACTCACAACCAAACTCTTCGGTTAATGAATGACTGCAACCAGAAAAGACACTGAGTGACACCAGGACATAATTCTCTAACGAGAATCTGCAACAATGATCTTCGTTTACATCTCCGATACAGAAGCGGGATTGGTTCCGGCTGTTGATTGCCAATCATTGGAGGGTAGCCGGAAAGGTACCTACAATGTGGGAGTCGTCTCGCCCCACAGATATTTGTTGTAATTGTCGTTGCCATATGGACCCGAAAAACCATCTGGCAGCTTTAGATCAAGATGTTGTATTTGCTGCCCTAAATCGAGGTGCGGGCATACTAGACCCGGCTTACGAGTCTGGCAGAACCGGCAGTTGTCGAAGAATACCTTCTCTAGGAAACGAGCATGTAAAGTTTGTCCCAAAATACGGGCCCGTTGCGCAAAATCCAAGTAGAACTTACGAACGCCAGAAGCAGTTGACCTGATAAGGATTCTTTGACCGTCGAGTATCTCGGCTTCGGAAGCAAAAAAACAGCCAGGAAGTGTGACACTGTTGCACATGCAAAAGCTACCATGGTCGAGTCTTCTAGAAGTGATTTAGCTCTCTGGGTGTTGCACCTTGATGATTAGAATTTGAGGAATGAAACGATGAACATACCACCATATGCAAAGCGCCAGTCGTACAGGTTGATCTTAAGAATGCTGAAAAGGGGACACGGCATCAGAAGACTCATCAATGCACTGCAGCACCGGGCTGACGGTTCAACGGCAATGGGCCGGCACATAGTTGTATCCGTTGGAGATATAGATTAATATCAGGTAACAGTCTGTCGGATCCAGACCTAACATTTGACAGATAGATAAATCGCAGAGCTTTGGAAACGCAGGTCTGCAACCACTTTTCCTAAGCCTAAACACGAAACAAAAGAAGAGTCCATAACAGTAACGTTGAACGCATTGAAGCTACTCGGTGAGTATTGATATCTAACTGTCATTTCGTCCCTAATTTGTTAGCTCAAAATGCAGCCATTATCAATTATCTTAGCCGTCTGCCTTGGGCTAGCAGTCGCAGCGCCAGTCAACTCTCGAGAAGCTCTCCCCGACATGGTTGCTGACGTCTCCGTGCCTGACGACTTACTTCGACGTGACGTTGTTGCAGACGTTACAGTCCCAGTTGACCTACTCAAACGGGAGGAGGTCATTGACGTTGATATTCCGTCTGACTTGCTTTGAAGCGCAGTTTTGGACGGGGGCCATCAATATGCAACCCAGGAGCGGTCGTGCTGGACGCAATATCTGAACTTCCATGCGGGCGATGGCAGGCGAAGTGGTTCTTTTTGCCATGGAAAGGAGTGGCGATCATCAGCTGGGATCTGTTTTCGGATTGTTACTCAAGTCATTACGACCAGACATGTTTTCCTCCAGAGCCATCTGAAAGCCGTCTGGAAATGAAGTTGTGGTGAGCATATTATAGCATATGTCAAAGAAGTTGTTCGTTCCCAAAAGTCTCGATTTTCCAATGGTTTGATCCTTGGCAAACGGTCAAAACGTGACCTATGAAAACGTGACCAAAGCTGAGCAGTATTTCGAACCTTTCAATGATTAAAGTCTCATTAAACACCTAAGAGCAGTATTGTTATTACATGAACTTAGTCATAACACCTGTAACTGAGCTCTAACTATCAGATAACGCTCTCAGCTGTTTACACTACAGATTTCACTTCCTGTTTACCGAAAACCTCAACCAACCCACAAAGGTACTGAGAATAACTGACAGCAGCAATTTTTAGGTGAGTCAATCGTCATTTTTGATAATGTTGTCGCCCCTATTCGGATGTTGTCCCGAATCCCAGCCTGCGGTTTGCATGCATAAGATCCGATCCTTCACAATGCAAGAAATTCCCACAAATGCACAGAAATGGCACAGTACCTGAGGTGTGAAGAGTACAAGATGAACTATATATTTGCATCGGAGAATAAGTCTGACCCTTCTTTACATCACAAGAAAACCGTCAAGTGCTCTAATTTCTTTCCCCATCACATCTATAGAATTAAGTGCTACTCGGTAACTAAGTTCACTGCTACTACTCAAAATCCCTTCCTCTAAATTCTTCTCCTTTGATCAGATATCCCTCCTGCTCAACATACGGCCACGGAAACCAAGTGTCCTTCAGACCAAAGAACTCCCTAATAAGTGGCAAATACTTGCTGTCATTACTGCAATACTTCATCCTTTCAATAGTACTGATATTTTGAACATCATGCTTGATGTACTTGAAACATCCATCTCTCTCCTTGACCCATTTTCGAAGCTGACTCCAGTCTCGACATTTCCGTATTTGACCCTCGCCAGGTTTAACGCCTCTGTTTGTGAAGCGAGGTGTGTCGTCCGCGTTGCACTTGATGTCGTCGTAGAGGGCACCGAGACAGTGTAGAACGTGGGAACGCTCGAGAGACTGAGGTACTCCCGTAGAATACTCGTTTATGGAAATGTAGATGTTTCTCTGACCACTAATTAGTCATGTAAATGAAATCCAAAAGATGGTGTTGACTAACCAAACAGTGCAGATTATGATGTCCATTTGTGATATGTATACTCTTTTTCTTATCCCATGGCCATGGTTGACTACGTTGCAGTCCAAGCATTTCTGCTTCCTCGTTATCCATGGCCATGATACCTTCATTAGATTCTTCGTCTTCGTACCATAATTTGTTGCGTTCTGTATCGTTCGGGTTACTCCGATCAGTGTCCCAAACGTATGGAACGTCTACGTTGTTTATAAGGCCAGCTGAGATTGTGTCAGCGAGTGCGATGGTGTATTGAGGGTTTGCAGTACCGTATTTCGATTTTGCGACAGACTCGTCATGAGAGTACGAATAGATTCTGAGGATGAAAATGACGTTGAAGGTAAGACTTAAAATCAAGGCTCCTGTTACTGTTGAGTTTCTTGAACGTCTTGCTTTTGGTTTTGATGAAAAGTTATCGTTGCTTTCTACAACTTCGCAGCCAAGTAACTTCTCGTTACAATTCTCCATGATGGTCTGTCTACTCAACGTGGAAAATCATCAACTTTGGATTTCATCTCTTGCAAACCATCGTTCTAGCGGCTTCAGATCCTGTGGTAGGCAATCAATCTGTCTCGAATCGGGATCGCCTTATCGTATCATAGGAGCAAAGTTTCGAGGTCACACGTACCTTGATGAGCGTAATACAGAACATCAATATGAGGAGACTCTTGCTTTCTCGTATGCTTATAATTTCACTCATCTAATTGACACCCGCTTCAATCAGTTCCCGAAAGTTAAATACCATGGTTTCAGCAATTAGCGATAAAGGGATCTTCCAGCACTCATCATGGTCTCACAACCACATGCAGACAGCCTTCCGACGTCCGCAAGTCAAATTTTCGAATACCTAATCAATCTCTGCACAGAAGCAACCTTGCACTCTTCGATCACCTTTTACTCTCCCAGCGAAGCAATCCCATTATCCAAACGAACACCCCACATAACAAAGCCCCTGTACGCTGCCACAGTAAAAGTACTGTAACCTGCATATATCCGAGGCTTGTTACATTGCAGCTCAAAACTGGGGCTAAACACACAGCATGCTGTTGCATGCATCTTCCCAAACAAAACCCATGCATGTGTGTATCCCTCTAATCAGCTTCTCCGTTGATAATTGCACAAACAACTTTCATTTACGTGCAGTATATCCAACAAAGCATTGGCACGATAAACTAGCATTGGATGCAATGATAGAAAACAACCTGATGATACAAAATACGTGATTTCCCGGTCAACCGAGATGTCAGGATGTTGTGTCGGTTACTGCAAAGAGCCGGCCATCGTTCGCATCGGCTCGGTTGTGCAAGTCGTGGGTTGACAATACGCAGTGAGTTGTATACCCTTGCTCAGGTGCTGAAACATCTCCCTATGAGATTTAACGTAGAAACGCCATCAAATTAATCAATTCATCTATTTCGACATCGCTGTGTCATTTTGTATTTCGAACTGATACGCAAAGGTTCTGGATCTCACCAACATGCCTCTCCTTCCCTCCCCACGAGCGAAGATGCCTTCATTTCGCCTCCATGAGCAAAAGTCGGACGATGAGTTTGAAGCTATAGTAGATTGTGAAAACGCAGGATATGCAACTCCATTCAATGGGTTCTGGGAGGTATTGAAGGGGCCAAGTGTAGATGGTTTAGTGAAGAGAACAGCCCAATGGCATAGAGATGACAAAAGTAGTAGATGGGTGTATGTTACTGATGAAGAGACGGGAGAATGCGTTGGAGCCATGGAGTGGAATTTCTATGAAGAAAACCCGTATAGTCATGGGGCACCAGAGCTGATTGCGGACTGGTGGGACGAAGGTAAATTCTCCGCGCTTCGCTGTTGATGAGGAAATTTGTTTAGTTGATGTTTGTCCTAGGTACGCCAATCAGAAAATTATCAGATTATGTCCTCAAAGCGTTCTTGAAAGATCGACCGCACATTATGGGAATACCCCATGCCGGTAACCACCATAATGGCCTCAGTGGCGTAAATCCTTTACTGATAATGTTGTGACAGTCATCTCCTATTGCGTTACCCGACCCACTCATCGACATATGGGCGTTGGAACCATGATGATGGAATGGGGTCTCAAAGTCGCCGACAAAATGGCTCTGCCAGTCTTCGTGGAATCGACCGAAGATGGTGAAAAATTCTATGAGAAGCACGGCTTCAAAGTGATAGAGTCTTTAGTACTAGACGCCCCGGTTCCAAACCAGGGCATCGACTTCGAGCAAGTCCGCGAGCGATTGATGCCAGTACCATACTTCGTTATGACCCGTCCGCTAGGAGGCAAGAGCGGTCCTATCAATGACCCCAAGCATTCGAACGGTATCAAGCAGACTAATGGTGCTGGCACAGCAGAACCAACAAATACCATCTCAAATGGTTCATACTTTCAAGTTCAATTCGTGGATTGTTCATTTACGAACTGCCATTTCAACAACTGCTCGATCTCGAACGGAAATATACTGCTTCGGAATGAAGCACCCATCACACAAGATCCGTCCAGTAATCAAGTCAATACGCTGGCACTCTAGAATCAAACCGAGAAGTATGCTATACGGTATTGTGTATGTTTAGATATCTGTCGTTCAGGAATTGTGAAAACATCACAACTGCAAATTCGGGCCAATGTTGAATCAATAGACTACTAGATGATATGTATCTGGTCGTCCAGAAAACCCATAATTTCAACTATCATGCACAAGAACAACGACGCAATTATACTTGACGACTTACACGTTGAAGGCCATGCCCGGCTTACTTTGTTGTTACAAAAGTGATGAACAAAAACGAAAGGTGTTGAATCAAAAAAAGAATGATCATGAATGAGAAATTGTAGGCCAATATATATGGATCACCATATTCATGTCAGGAATATCGCGATGAGTAATAGGACGATTAATCTCCCTGCTCCAAAAATAGGCCTATACCACAGATTGAACCAATCCACAAGGGAAAGGAGGTAAGGGCCAGAGTGTTTGGCAGGGTAAGAAAACTCGAAAGAGCATCTTGTGAGAAGAAAGAAGCGTTCCAAGAGGGGAAGCTAGAGGGTATATGTTGCCATTATACATATATGTTACATTCTATTTCGAACCGTCATACCCATTAGTAGCTTTGTAGCTTTGTCCTGTTTATCCATAGCGCCGTAAATCATTATCGCTAAATCGCATCAATCGTAAATCCAAAAGTCGTACAGTATTATCGTTCATGAAATATCGAAACTCCGGCTGGGCCAGGTCGCCCAAGCTTGTCGATTCCTAAGCATTCCTTGCCATTTCTACCCCTGTAAAGTCCAAACCCGTAAAGCGCATGTCCGCCATTATCTTGGGTAATCATCAAGCGTGTAACAAGATCTGCTTTCGATCTTGGTGCGCGGAAAGAAGCATCTTCGAGCATTCTGCTAGCATAAAGGAAGCTGAAGATTTCCGCCAAGCAGTCCACATCATGCGGAAGATGCATCAAAGTTCTTCGTGGGAGAAGAGACAAAAGCGCCATGACGTAAAATGCTAATAGCACTATGCATATATAAAAAGCCGGCATGTTTGGATACATTCGAGCCTCATTAGTAGATGGAGATGTTAAGGCGAAGAACAAGCCTCCCGCAAGAACAGGAAGAAGAAGAGCCAAGAACGAGAAAAGCGACAGTAGCGCCACACGGAAGTGACCACCACTCAGCGCGCTTATCGTGCACTCGAGAGGGAGGGCGGCAGTATAATCGACGAGGAGCGAGGTACCAGCTGTAGCTCCGTTGGTATTTCCAAGGTCGGCGTAAGGTTGGAGCTTGCGGATACTCATGTCGATAGATTGCATGAATAGGTAGAGAAGCATACCCAACAGGGAGGGAACGAAGCTGTAGACAAAATTGGCAGACGACCACCCGTGGCGATCTGTAGCAGCTGGTTGTAGAGGTTGGAATCCCTTGGAAATAGAGGTCGACGGCAGAAATGACACAATGATGATTGCGAGCGTTATCAAAAACGCTGCTATAGCCCACAAGACAACATATGTGTCACGGAGATACCATGTGATGGAACGAAATCTGGTGGCTGCGTCCAAGCCGTTGGCGCTCTTCTCAAGGTCAATGGAGGATCCAGCTGGGCCACCAACTTTTTTCTCTGATATCTTCCCCGATTCCAATGTGTAGCGTCGAGTAGAGCTGCCCTCCTCACCAATGCAATAAAAGAGTCCTTGGCTGCGATGTTGAGTCATCCAGTATCCCAGCCTATCACTCCTCAATTCTAGTCGAGCTCGTAATTCTTGCTTGCTTCCCATGGCATCGGTTCCAGCGTAATCATCCAAGCAGTTGCTGCGTGGTAGTAGGGATATGATGTCCGCAAGAGAGCGAGGGTCCCACATCAACCCAGTTACCCTTCGGAAGAAGAACAAACCCCTGATAACTGTGCCAACAAGCACGAAGATGTACAATGCTACTAAGGTCCATGCGACGCCCTGAACGGCAGTCCATCTCCATATTCGTATTTCATCATCGCCGATTCGATTTGTCGCCTGGGTGCCATCCTGCTCTAGCAATGGAATGACTGAAAACAAACAACTCTGCAGCGGTATTGTGAATACAATCATCCATTGAAAGAGGTTCGCGATTCGAATACTGAGCGGACCACTCCAGTGCGGCCAGAGCATAGTTCGAGGGAAGATCCCTAGAAACAAGGCATCTGCTCTCATATATGCATCATTCATTGCCAACATGGTGTAGGGTAGCACACGAGTACTGGCGGCCATCATTGCTTGTACGTAAAGCATTAAGATTGCGGCGAGTATTTGCGGTAGGTAACCGAATGTGAAGTATCGTCCTCCATGAATGCCGCCGGTCCACTCGAAAAGACCTTGGTGGTAACTTGAGAAAATAGCGCAGAAAATGATCGCTGCTATCATGAGCACACAGAAGAATGACAGAGCGAGTATGGACAATGGCCGTAACGTAATTGGAACATAGGTAAGCGTCGGATATCTTGGAGTGTGGGACGGCGCATCAACAGGTATGAAGATTTCGGGGCTGACGGACAAGTTCTGTCTTCTAGGTATGGGGGAAGGACTTGAATGTTCTGATAATGGCCGTGTCGCATTATAATTGAATAGTCGTCCTTCAGGAGTTGGCGTTGAGCGATGCTTCCTCGTCAAAGCAAGCTCTTCTCGTTGTCGCTGTGTTGAGAGGTATCCCAGACCGAGGTCAGGTACAACGCGATTAACAGGGTAATCTGAACTTGCTTCTGACAGCGGCCGCCTGGCGAAGGCAATGTCCTCCTTTATCGTCAATTGGTCGATGGCGAATCGTATATATGGTGTATCATCCACAGGTGTAGGCGGGCCGGATTCAGGTCTCGTTCGGTCCATTGTTTCCTCCCTCTCTCGTTCTGCTGCAGCGAGTTCGTCGTTGCGAATCTGTTCCTCGTCAAATCGCACAACGAGTGGAGTGTTTGAGGCATGTGCGGCTTCGTTGAGGCCAACTGAGTCTCGTCGAGTATCTGGTCTCACGGTTGAGAAACTTTGAGGTGAGCCTTGCGGGGAGTTTTGTTGCGATGTTTGTTGTCGTCCATGCCATGGAATTACGGTCAGGGCTTCTGAGATACTCGATGTAAGGGAAGAGCAGTGATCGATGTGGGCAAGAGCTGGTAAAGGTGGGAGTTCGGATGTTGAAACTCTTTGTAACTGAGGACGTTCATCTGGTATGAGGTTAGCAAAAAACAACCCGATGGACAACGCATTGGGAGCGGCTCACGATGCACTCTTTGCACGTCAATATCTCCAAGATTCATCGTGTATGGAGCTCCACCGCCTTTTCGATATGCAGAGTATTGCAGACTGCATTGTTAGGGCAATGTAGGACTGATAAACAGTCTGGTGAGTGGCTGTTTATTTCAAAGATGGCGGGGGGTGCGCAGAGGCTGGGATGATTTTTCAGCCTCCCATTTTTTCTCGAAGAACATCAAACAAGCGGTCCACCAAATGTGACGATACACCCCAAAGATGCTCAGATCTCTGGAACCTTTGGTGACTGCCAGCCATTTTTGATGGTGTTCAGATACTTGTCGAGTTTCAATGTCTACCACGGAGGATACATGAAGTAGAATATTGGGCGGAAGAGCTTGAGAGGGTCCTTCTTTCGCACGTGATTCCGCTGCATGACCTAAGCGAGTGAACTAGTCTGCCCCTGATGGCATCAGGTTATTTCGACTTCGACAGGCTTTTAGTTGACTACATACATGCCATCAAACACTTTCCGCGCACTCATGAAAGCCATTTTGGAGATCACGTATACACGGCTCGGCGTCCGAAATACCTAAAAATTGTCAATCCCGACGAATTATGGGCACAGAGATGTGTGCTTCTGGTTTCAAGATGAACAAGATGACAACTCCAGTTTGTCCCTCCAAGTCTAAAGCACTGTTGAAAGTTGAATATAGTTTGGGGGAAAGGCATTTGTTCCGATGCAAATGCGAGGTTCATCAAGCTTTGAACTATACTTGTTTGGTTATGGAGGCGGCAAGGGTAAGTCTAAGCCATTTACCGAGACACTGCTCTGAAGATTTACATATAAAACATCCCATGATCACACGATCGATTGGCTTCAAAGCGTGGCAAGCTTCAAAAGAAGCTTCCAAGATGGCTCGGTATTTACAGCTCGTGGGTCACGAGGCTGATTTCATGAGAAATACCCACCTGTGCCGCATTCACGAAATGATTATTGACTGAGTCTAGAATTATAGGAAGTCATCTCGGGTTTCTTGCGCACTAAACTTCAGAGTTCGGTGTTAGTCTTCCAAGTATAGCTGGAACCAAGGGGTCCGAATTAAAGATGCCAACTCCTTAGTGGTTGCTACTATGTCTAACCATCCTGGATGTATTCATCATCTGCTGAGTTCTTCGACCAATCCGGCCGAACCAAGGCACTTGAAGAAGTATATAGCCAGAAAAATTGACGACAAAAGAGAAAATCATGCTCTCGCGCAGCATAAATCAATCCGTGGCAATACATGTATTGTCACGTGTGATATGAGCTTTCTGACATGACAGTCTGACATTCTGCCTCCGGTCGTTCGGAACTCAGATATGAAACATCACCAACATGCAGTCCAGCGGACTCCAGCCGCACCGCTATTCTTCAAAGACATCACCCACTTAGAAAGCTACACGCCAGTCGCCCCAGTACCCAAATGTTCCTTCGCGCGGCGACATAATTTCTGGCCTGTTTTACAGGGCATAAGACCCTGGTTTTCGCGCCTCTCGGCCGTCCACAAGGCGTTGTTAGAGGCTGTGTTGTTTTGCTTAGCGAGTTGCTTTCACGTCAACAACATCGCATCTCGTCACTTTGTATGGCTAGATTGGAATCTGTGAGCAAAGCTTGATGTTGTATACATGGAATTCAGCGAGTCAGGAACGTGCACAACTTATGAGTAGTTCATTTTAAGCTCCAAACTGTTGGTGATTTACATTTGGTCAATGTGTACCACCAACGTCGTCAGGCTGTGCATTATGGACCGAATAAGTCGCCATTTCAGGGTTCTCGAGGGTTTGCCGCAATTTGTTCTGGCACAGTATATATAATGCTCTCCCTCTTCTGCAGAATGCTATTTCTGAGCATCGCTAATTCGACGACAACATCCAGTTGACTGCAAAGCACCTACTTATAACGTACTTTCTACGTCTGCTTAACATTCTTACTCAAAATGTCAACATCGATACATCGCCATGCACCGTGGCGGAAAGCGGTCCTCATACCATTCTGGGTGATTCAAATATGTACTCTGTTGGGCGTAATTGGGGCATCTGCTCTCTATCTTGGTGTGCTCGCGTTTGGAAGAGATAGTGATCTGCAGCAAGCTTTGAACGAACTAGGAGACGAATCAAACGGCGTCACTCTTAAAGACATTCGGGATGCTTCCAAAATGTTTGTACTTCCATATCTGGCATGTTTCAAAAGTTAACCTTCTCTCAGTATTGTCCCGGTCTGGATAGCAGTCTCATGTGTTTGCCTTATACTCACCATATCGGAGATCATCCTCCTTGCTATTCATAAACTAAAGCCTATCGTCTTCGTCATCATGAATGCCTTCAAAACGGGCGCGTGGACTGTAGCTTTTGTTGCAAGCATGATTAGCGTATCGAGGAACGATCCTAAGTTGCACGGGGCTGCTACAATCGCGGCGGATGTTGTTGTACTGTTTGTGCCATTCGACCTTCATTTTGATTTCAAGTTTCTAACTTCTCTGTAGTATTGCTTTCTGGATTCCGTTCATCTATGGTATATTCGTCTTCGTCCGCAACCGCAAAGCAAAGAGGTCATACGCGTCTGTGGACAAGCCACTACTCGCACAAGAAACCTCCTATCCTCCACAATACAAGAACCTCACGTCGGAGGGCTCATTTGTGCCAGTTGAGCAGCCGCCACCTGCTCGAGAAAGACGTGCCAGTTATAATCATACACGCGACACACGATTCGAAACATTCCGTGAGCAGCGACGCAGTATGTCAAATCCTTCGAGTCCCAACCTCGATACGCCGACTCACTACAATTCTGGTGTTCCACAAGTAGTGGTTGGGCATCATGACCTGGAGGCTTTTGAGATGGATAGTGCGAGGCAGCACTTGAGATAAGGGAGCGAGCGCGGTTCAGTTGAAAATTACATGTTTTAAAAGTACTCAGATAGGAAGAATATATACCCCATTAGCGTACAAAGTCACATCTGTCTCGCTCATCATACAAGCCTAAAATCTAAAGCCCATTCGGAGCTGTGAATATAATGATCTATCCAAGCTGGTAACTTTTGACTCCATAAGACTAAAGTCAATTTCAGTCACTTCCAAAGTGATGGCAATCAACAAATGGCCTTTTAAACGTTTGACTTGACGCGCTAACACTTATGTCCGGCAGCTATCGACGGAGCGGGTGCGGGGTTTTTAGCCTCTCCTCTCCCCGCAGCTTCTGTCGACCTAATGAACAGTCTCCCCGTACCCAACTTTTCCTTTTACACAAGAATGATAGGGATTGTATAGATGGTTTGTCCTCCTTCTCTCTGACCATTATCATCGAGCCAGGATATACGGCGATTCGCGGAACATCTGGAAAATGGTACAAACCCGAGAGGTGCCAATACGCGTGAAAGCGCTTGATGATAATCCAGAAAAGTCCGCGACATTCATTTTTCTACATGGGCTGGGTGACGATGCTGGTGGATGGGTCAGTGAGTCGTTTTCAATCCCACGTGCTCGTAGATTCAAGAATGAACTCTAAGAAAATTTTAGATATCGCGCAACAATTCCAATCGGCCCAAAAGTTACCCTATCTGAATTGGATTTTCCCAAATGCATGTTTTAATCAAGAGGCTAGCACGAACGCGTGGTACACACCGACTGCTTTCTCTCCGATACCTGTAGGGAGGTCTTCTTCGGGAAATGCTTCAGACTCAGAACACCGGGAAGATCACAATGAGGCTACTCAACTTGAAATCCTCGAATCCGCAGAGTATATTTGCACATTGGTTGATCAAGAAATCGAGAATGGCATCGACGTGGAACGCATTGTCATCGGCGGTTTTAGTCAAGGATGCGCTGTTGCTCTTATTACAGGCCTTGGAAGCAGATATGCTGGGAAAATTGGTGGGATCGTGGGATTATCTGGATATCTTCCTGACGGAAAGGTCATTGAAAACGCGATGAAGTCCACTGAGGGAGACGGCAAAATGAAGCTTTTCTTAGCCCACGGAGCAAGAGATATGCTTGTACCTGTAAGTATAAATAGTTTCGCACTCAGAGCAAAAATTTAAACAGCTGACTTGCATAGATGAGAATCTTCAGAGCTTCGAAAAAAAGATTGGAAGAGATACTTGGTGAAGAGAATCTTGATACACCTACATACGAAGGAATGGGCCATACATCATGTGGAGCCGAACTTAGAGACTTGTGCAGTTTCCTAGAAAAAGTCGTACCAGCGTAAGAAATAAACTCTGCTCTTCTCGAACCCAAAACCAGCATGCAGATAACACGAGGCAAACATCTCAGAAGATATCGTCCACTCGGAAATATATTTGCTTACGGTCACCTGATGCCCACGTGCTTGATTTCCACCCCTGATGGTTTCAGATACTGACTTGTGAGGCGTTTTCTCAACAACACCATGAAATCCTTCTGGCCATCTCATCTCGGCCCGCCTGCCAAGTCTACCAAGATGGACAAATTCTGGCCCGCTTATGGGCATTGCTGTTCAATGATCAACCTCGGGCTGAAGTTCTCAAGCTCTGCAGCCTATCATGAGTTTCCAAGCTTCAGCCCCTCAGCTGCTCTGACTGGGATTGCAGCCTCTGTGGGGGAGAGGCAACATCATGCACCGTGCCGACGTAAAATGACTCCAGGCGACTACCAAGAGACTTTGTTCGAGATTCGAACGAGGCGAAGTTTGCTTGATTGTTGACTTCAAGCATTTCTGCCAGTCGCGTATAATGGCTATTAGTGAATCTACATTTGCTAGATCATTGGAGACTTCTCCTCTCGTTTGTGCACCCGTCTCTACCGACTTGACAACCATACCGGTTTTGAGCTAGGCGCTGCCTTCGAGTCTCCCAGGAAATACCTCAGCTTCTATTCGCGAGCAGTCACAAAGATGCAGGCGCCTGCAGCATGTTGTCTGTTTTGGATGATGGTACTCGTTGGTACCACACTCGCAGTGCTCACTCTGGACATTGTACGGGGTCCTCATTACTATGAGGACATCGATGCTCGACAAATTGAAGGTCGTGCGACAATCACTTCGGTTCTTTACAACAACGTTTCCAGAGGGTCATATTATGTGGAAGTGGATGTTGGAACGCCTGCGCAAAGACAAACGCTGTTCTTAGATACGGGAAGCAGTGATACATGGATTTTAGACTCCAGGGCGGACTTGTGTGTCACTCCACGTCTTCAACAGAGACGTTTTGGTGGCTGTGGAACTACTTGTAAGTGAATGGCAGGACGATCGTCGTGGAAATACTAACAATCTTCCTAGTTCAACCTTCTAAGTCCTCTACGTTTAAAGTAGCTGTAGAAGATGCTTTCAATATTACCTACCTCGATAGAACGGGCGCGAGCGGCGATTACATAACGGATACATTTGCAATCAGTGGGGCAACAATACCAGCACTTCAGATCGGATTGGCTTCTAGATCATCTATTGGGTCTGGCCTGATGGGAATCGGTTACAGTGTCAATGTTGCATCAAATTCACGCGGGAATGAGCTACCGCCATTCAGGTACCCCAACGTTATAGACAAGATGTTAAGCTCGGGGGTCATCAAACGAAAAGCTTACAGTTTGTATTTGAACGATCTTTCCGCCTCGACTGGGTCTATCATCTTTGGTGGAATGGATACCACCAAGTATCACGGGAATCTGTTGCAGCTCCCTGTTGTGCCTTCCAGATACCGCAATGGCACAACTGTCTTTGCGGAATTATCTGTTGTCATGACATCTGTAGGGATTACCGGACAAGCAGGCAACGTTGTGAATTTCACAACAACAGGATTCAAGGAATCCGTTCTGCTGGACTCGGGTACGACGTTTAGTTATCTGGACCGCAATTTGGTACGATCGATTTATGATGCTCTCAATGTTATAGATGACACGGATCAGACCGGTCTTGCATTGATTGATTGTGCGATACTCGCAAACTCGCCCAAGCTGACACTTGATTACGGCTTTGGGGGCCCAAATGGTATGATCCTCCGTGTACCAATTGATGAGGTAGTATTCAATCTTCGAACGCTTCTTAACGTCACGGAAGATGATCTCCCTTACACTGGATTTCAGAGTACGTGTGGTTTTGGCATTTACACGAGTGATGAGGGTGACGATTCTCTTCTTGGCGATACCTTTTTGAGATCTGCTTATGTCGTTTATGATTTGGAGAGTAACCAGATTGCCATCGGCCAGACGAACTTCAATTCAACAACCAGTAGTGTGATTGAGTTCTTAGCGAATGCTACAAGCATACCAGAAGTGAGCGGAGTCGCAAGCAGCGCGGAAATCACTCAAACATCAATTGGTGGCTTACCAGGGGTTGGAGCAAATCCAACAGCGACTGGCTCTGGCAGGAGCTCGACGTCCACTGGACCGGCTGCAACTTCGAGTGGTGCGGCGGCGGGAGCTGTAAACATACCTCCGCTTGACACGACGGTATTTCGTGTACTTGGGTTATCCATAGCTCTGATGGTGATGGGCGGTGGAATGTTTATATTATGATGAGAATTTGCTGAGGATGTATAGGAAGCGGACCTGTCACATGTTCACATTTGGCAATATTCGTACGGCGAGCATATACCCATTACATAGCTTGATCGTCGATTTAGCTCGCCTACTCCATAGAATAGAGAGGAACTCAAGTTGGATGATTTTTGAAAATCCTCCACTCAAAATCTTCACTTTTAATGTCATTGTGAGTAAGCCAACAAACTAATACCTAACGTTCATGCACTGAAGTCACATTTGGTATTCTCAGTTGTTTCTGCATTTCTCCTGCTGCGATCCTTTCTTATTTTTTTGCACCTTTACAGTTTCAATCAACGACATCGATCTCAATGTCACTCAACCATTCACAAGATTTTTTCCTGTAGTGGAGTTGTGTGATAGCTCCTACAGAGGTGAATGAAGCCCGTGATTTCATAATTAATGAAGTATACTAATAATCCTCAAGTTTTAGATTGTCTCGAACGAAGGAGACTGCAGTTTAGGGAGTTTCTCATATTCAACGCGCCTCAAGTCCGCCAAAAATGGCCCTTCAGACAGGGATTTCCCTCCATGCTTGTTATGAAAGTTTTCTCCTCACTATTGTATTTCCACACCTTTTGCGCAACACACTTCGTCTGATGCGCACTTACACTTCAGATGTAGTTTTGAGAATGATCTCTATAGATGGACAACTGATGGATATACAGCTTTTAGGTGGTCATGTTGAGGGAAGATAGATGCAAGATTTTTGCATCGCGGTCCGCCCTGTTGGAGCATGAAGCTTGTGACTCTACCATTTGGACGACAATCTCCCGTGACCCGAGAAGAATCTCTGTACTGGTAATTACGACAGTTTCAGCTCTAAACCGAGCGAAGAAGCTTCTAGGCCCATAGACTTCTCACTTCGAATCTCTTCAGCTCTGAAGCAACCTGCACGAGATTTTCACGATGCATATCGAACTGAAGATCGGAGGGCTTTGACATGCTTCCGAACACCAAGGTCTCACCATGAATGTTGCATGATCATAAGCGATGGTAACGAATAATTGGAAGAAAATCTTGACATACCCGAATTTCTTAGCGCTGCCGAAAAAAGCAATGAGTAGGAACGGGATGAAGAGATCTTTAAGCACTTCAAGATCTCGAATCAATCTGCTCTGCTTTATTTTCAGCGTGATAGAGCCAGAGAACCGCACAGTATTTGTCTCTAGTATGAAAGCTCCAGATGTAGTCAGTGAGGAAACAAGTTGTGGTTGGTTTCTGTAAGCGGTTTGTGGCGGCAAGGGGCCCGGCCAGCCCTCTGGTGCTCTCCCTTATTAAATACCTAAGTACTCCACAGTCAATTCTCACATCAGTAGATCCCATCATTGGTCAACTTGCCTGGAGAAAAGTGCCCGCAAAAGCCGCCATGGCTTTGCAAGGCCGAACAAGTCACGCCAACCTCACACGCGGGAGGTACACAGATCTTTCATGGCATTTCGCTGATCTTTTGACAGGTCTATTTGAAGCCAAGAGCACCAGGTCCAAGAATCCGGGGTCGAATCATGTTGGGCTATTATGTTCTTTTTCTCGGCTCCGGCAGCTGGAAGATAAATTTCCAGCCACTTTTTGGCTCGGCAAGGTGCCAGATTCGCGAGGGATACTCGTGTAAGGACAGTCTCGATTCATCCCGCCATCTGAAAGATCATATTACTTCGTATACCCCTGAACAAATCGCAGTGGGTCTTCTAGAAGTTACGGTAAACAAGGGCTTTGTGGCCAATAGTAAGTAGAGGATTTGACTTATCGTTACTATAAAAGGTAAAGCCGACTGTAATGCACGGATTCTCCACTGTGGTTTATTCAGGGTTTGACGAAGTATAATTTATCCCTTCCCATGTCTTGTCTCCTGCGTTTTCTGTCTATATGCAATATGAATGGCTGCTTCATATCTGCATAACTGACAGAAAAAAAATGAAAAGGAGTCGCGGTTCGAAGAAGAAATTCATACCTGGGGAGGTGGTTCTTACTATAAACCAAATCACGAGTCCAGGTTACCACCCATCATGGCAATCTCTCTTCTACCATGCTTCTGGGCTGATTTATTCCGATGTTATGCGGGGTAACCTTGATGAAGTCTGGAATTTAAGCCCTCGCCAGCCAACATTCCTGGACCTGCACTAGGTATTGGAATTCTTCGGCTAGCGAATCTCTATCTATATATCAACAAGATATGATAACAATGGTCCACCACGAAGAAGCTCTGTTATTCTCGTCGACCGCAACATATTGCAAAATGCAACTTTCAGACTCTTCCAAGGCGACAACTTTGCCCTTAGATCCGACAGATAAGAGCAAGACTGAGCGACTAGCATTAGCATGTCGTTCTACTTCCAAAGAACTTCAACAGCGTCTATCAATCGCCTCGGATACATCTGATCCTGGTCTGGATGATCCCTTTGCTTCTTCGACGTCCGATTCTTCCAGCGAAGATCATGATGATGATTCGGAAGGAGAAGCTCTCGAACAAGCTGCTGCTCATTTATGGGATTCTTGGTGGTCTCCCGCGAAACAAAATCTTGAGATGCGCCAGTCCTTTTACCAAGTTACTCCACGCTCAACTGTTAATATAACACCGGAACCACTGTCTCCGTGTAATCGAAACTTTGCTTCAGAGAACTTGTCAGACTTGACATTGTCAAACGAACCACTATCTAAACTACATCGATCTTCCGCTATTCGCAACGCCAAGCATCAAAGTCGATCACAAACACCTCCTACTCGTCAATCACAACATGCATACACAACCTTTCCAACGCAACCGCCTCCTGTACCTCCAAAGCCCCAAAACTATAGGCCGCATGGAAGATACAAGTCATGGCCCACACGCTCTTCCTCTCGTCAGATGTCAAGACCTCCTCTTCAAAGAACAAGAGCCAATACCACCCCTGGCAACCCCTACGCTCCCGTCCACTCTTCGGGTCTCAGTATCATCACCACTCTATCACCAACACCACAGGGCTCAAGACAAACCTCCTGGAGCACCACCTCCGAAGACCGTCTCTACATGCGCTCATCGCTCAACACGCCACCCACTCGACCACTCATGGATTTGATGAGCAACGAGATTTGCCCCGAGATCTCCTGTTTCGAAGACGATGACGATGACGAGAAACTCGGTCTTATTGATTCGTTGGGTTCGAAGCTGCATATCAGAACTAGTTGTGGTGGTGCTGCGAGAGATAAAGTGTTTGATGTTGAGGAGAAGAAGAGGAGCTCGAAGATTCGAAGTAGGGCGAGGAGTGCTACTGGTGCTATTAGAGATGTTTTTGTGAGGAAGAGAGCGGGGACGGTTGGGTGTTCGTGATGGAAGCTGATCGTTTGAAGGCACAAATGCTTGGGTTTGTGTTGAATTCTGGCGATTTGATATTTTTATTATCACGCAACCACTGAATTATGAAGTTCACGTATTGAGAAAACAGCATCATACGTGATCAAACGCTATCATTATTATCCCTGCATTACGACGGTATCATTTTAGAAGGGGCATCTATTCGCATCACACAGCATACATCGGATTTTACTGTCGGCTCAACAAAAGTCAGCAGGTCCTGCTATCACTGTCGTTACCATCTGACTCCTAGATTTCAACAAATGGTACTGCGATGAGCAGGGATACTCTTGGGCTATTAAAGGTGAAATAGATGTTACCTCACATGAGGAGATGTATCATATAGATTGTTATGAATTGCTTCAAACCTGAAATTATGAATTTTACAAGCAATTCTAATTACATTGGGTTTCGCTCTCTGAGAAAGAACATCTTGCATTGTAATTGAAGCTTTTCGTGAGCTTCACATATTGGGTGTGACTACGTTCGGTCCCGGAAATCTGATCACTTTTTCTTTACATGCGATGGTATATTTGTTTACATCAAATTCCTATCATCCAACTTGATTCAGCAAATAAAGTTGTTATTGATGATTTGCTTGTGTAAAATGTATGTCGCAATACTAGCAGACAACACCTCCTTTATGAAGTGAAGCTAAATGGCAGATGTGTAACATAAAAACATGGCAAATAAATTCGTCTACTATCATTTTAGCAATTCAAAAATCATTTCAAACATACGAAAAATAGCGTAGTTATAATTTTCCTTTGACCGAAGTTTTGAAGTTGCAAACCAGCCGTGAGTGGAACTCCGTTTGAACCTCGGCTCATTAATTGTACGTAGTATATATTTTAAAACAATCGCACTTGCACCACAACCAATTAGCACAATTGAGTTAATCCCTCGTGGCGCAATTGGCTAGCGCGTTCGACTGTTAATCGAGAGGTTGGTGGTTCAAGCCCACCCGAGGGAGATGATTTCCTTTTTAGCAATCTTTTTGGGTAGTAAAAGATTGCTTTTTGGTGGTTTGACTTTTCAGCCAAAAGAACATTTTTTTGGCGAGTTTGCAGGTGCGTCACTGGGTGGAAAGGCCATGAGCATAGGTAATCCTATTGGGGAGGGGATCAGGTTAATGGAACTACTGGAAAGTCTTGATTATCAAATCTGTACTCATTTTCAAGTATTCGGTTTGTGTTTTGTTAGCATTTCTTTTTCTACGTATCTTTTGGCTTCTCTGCATTCTGCTCGATTGCTGGTGACGGTGACTCGCGTATTAGTGTCGAAAGGGGCATCATGACATGCAATTAAATAACTCCACTAGGGGGATCACCAGCACTACATTCAAACCAATCGCTATGAAAATATTGAAATCAACGTCACCATAATTCTCCAGAAACTCAATATTCCTCCAGTATCAAACCTCAGAGGTATTGATGACTCCCAGCCGCTTCACTGCTCGGTTCGCATCCTGACCTCGCTTGACGACATGACGCATCCCGCCAGGCCCGCCAGCAAACCCTCACGGCCCCCAACTCCTTTTCGCAAGACCTTGCGGTGCCAAAGGCAGTGGCAGTCCACAAAACACCGCTGCTCCTTGCGATTCCCCCTTTTCGCCACCGCAGATCTAGTTCTTGAAACAGTTTGTTGCATGCCGCACTTCTGAGGCTGTGAGTTGCGGGTGGCCTTGCGGCCTGTGGCTTTGGATGCGCGGGTGTTTGCGTGTGGGGTGAGGATGGTTTGGGTGATGGGTTTAGGGGTAAGCGCGCGGTTCGGGGGGAGGGGATGGAGATGATGGGTTAGGTGTAAGGCTGGGTTGGATAGGGGATGGTTACCTGTTAGCTTGTATTTGTTTGTTGTTGGGCGAAGGTTGTGGCATACGATACAGGTGGTTTGCCTTCTTCCCTTCTAAATGAAGCCATCTTGAACTTCAAAGGAGAAAATCTCTATCAGCCATTCTTAAATTTTCGTTCCGAAAGCATAAGTCCAAGCAACAGGACTTATCTATTTTGGTGGAACTCTTTCATTCTATTTTAAGCCATCGGATTGTTAGAATCCCATCCCCCAACATCCTCTAATTATTTCCACGAATCACAACAGCATCCACATAATCCCAGATTTGCCACTATCAAAACAATAAATATTGGGCTAAGAAATAATAGTAGATACCTAGTCCAGTAGGCATCTCAAAAGGTTTGCTTTTTGGTAATAAGGAAAACAAATTCGGCTTTTGTTCCTCTGTCGCAATATCGCAATAAGTTTCATATAATCAAGACATGACCGTTGAAGGATCAAGGTTAGGACTCTCTGTTGACTAGAACTCGGGCTCAATTTGAATTATTCTCATAGGTTATTGTCAAACCTTCTAGCATTGTGTCGCAAATCTGACATGACATACAATTTTACAGTAGAATAAACCATTCAGCCTAAAAAGTTGAATTTTCTCAGTCTTTTCGAGCAAATATACAATGTTGCTTCCATTGTAAAGAGTGAGAATAACGAGGTAGGGAAGGAGGGTTGAATACTCCTTGTCTGGCATCGTAGGAGAAAAGTGTCCTGTCAGTCTTGCAACACACTGGTGTTTTGAATAGATTAACATCGCTTCTATCTAGATCCTCAACCCAACCATCGTGATGGTAGTATCTTGGCCTTTTGCTTTCCAATCATTATATCTGATTATCAGCCCCAAACATGACCCATAATACACTTAGCCTAAAACAACATCAATCTCCCTGGAAAAGACAGCCCGCCAAACACTCTCCTCAACTCTTCCAACAGCCTTCCTATACGCAACTCCATCCCTCCACTCCACCCACATAACATTGAAAAATGACTTGATATGCGTAAAACTGTCACCACCTTCCCAATCAAGTGTTTGACTATAATTTTCATCCCCCTCATCCTGCAACAAGCCGGACGAAAGTTCAATAAGCGTGCAGCTGTCTCCAATTTGTGTCTTAACGGTATTAGAATCTTCATTTAATCGTAAATAGCCAGCAAATAATTTGTCTGAATAGCCAAGTGCTGCCGTGACACAACCATGTCGAACAGATGGGATGCCGCTGAGCAGGTTAGTGATTTTTAGAGTAGCTGTGCGGGTGTGGCCGTGGAGGAAACCTGCCCGAATGGAGGGTTTGACTTTCGACTTTGCATTCATGGTGGGAAGGGGTTGTTTGAATGGTTGACGCGTTTCATGGAACGGGTTTCCAAAGGGTTGAAATGCCTTTGGACATTTGTAGTTGTAATAGTCATAAGAGCCGGACCATCCATCGGGTAATCGCTCTGGTCTGTTGGAGTCTGATTTTGACGGTGAGGAATATTTCTTTCGAAACACGTCGGCAGATACGATGATGGGTGTCTTTCGACTGTTGCTTGTAGTTGACAACTGCCATTTCACTGTCGAATGTGTTGACGATGGAATAATCCCTCCACTCCAGCCACTCTCGGTGATGATATAGTCGAAGCAAGCAAGCCAGCTCTCAGAATGCAAGTTTCCCTGCCATCCAACCCAGGACCAGCTTGGAAGAATGGATTCAGTAGCTGGTACAGTTTCAAATGGGGTTCGTCTTGTCAGAGGAGCGTAAGGTTGCCACAAGAGTGCCGCATCGAAGAACATCTGAGGTAGACCAGATATGAAACCACCGTCGAAAACCGCACCAAAAGATTGCAGAGGTCCTTCGAATGCGTCGAGAACATCCTCTTGTCGGGTCAAGAAGCGAACATTGAAGAGACATATTAGTCGGACTAATCGGTAGACATTAGGCCAGGAATTCGTGTCTATGCCAAGTATACTGTTCTTCCCCCCATAGCATGCTTCTGACGTTATATGTCGCTGATTCTCGTGCCACGATGCACAATGACAGTCCCAATTGACAGTATTCGAATGAAAAACGAGTCTTCTAGGTGAGAAAATGTATTCCTGAAATGTCCAACCGCGGGAAAACCATGTCGATTGAGTGAGTTCCACTGCCAAACGTTGCATTATGCCTTCGCTGATGAGCGATTGCCAGGTCTCTGGGCCGAATTGACTGAGAGCTGTTTTCAGTTCGTCTACATTGCCGTAATCTGGCGGAGAACCGCAGTCAGAATATGGATCGTCTTCCCAGGCCATGCCGCCAATAATTTCATCGACCTCGCCGCGTTTTTTAATGAATGTTGTCTCGAAGTCCTCTTTGAAAATGCCAGTTAGAGTTTTCTCGACGTCTGAAAATGAAGAGGCTTCCTCTGCAGTATTTTCTTCAACCTTTCCATTTTCATCCTGATCACACCTGGAATCAAATAATTGTAGACCTTCATGCTTCCTCGGGTTCGCCCGCTGAACACAGATTGGCTCGCAATCTTCCTCATTCACCAGGCTACTATAAATTGGAACCGAAGCATCTGAGCCCTGGGCTGCAACTATCGTCAAATAAGCGCCGGCATACACTGCTCTCATAGCATGGATCTGGGCCATCTTTTCATCCAAATCATCTTGAACGATGCACAGCTTATCCACCCACAAGTACTGGTAACCCAGTCGAGCAGTCAGATTAATTGCATCTTTCACTGTCCTGGCCAACTTAACAGCCGATAAAGATGCAGGTTTCTGTAGATCGCTAAGATTGCTCCGCGTCAGTGAGGTGCACTCTGCCGCACCCCAGGTATAACTCAGAGCAAAATAGGGGTTTGCTCCAGCTGGAACTACACATGAATTTACAACGTCAATCAGCCACACCGGCTTCCCGAAAATCCTGGCTTCTGAATTGACGCAGTGATTCTCGTGAGTAGATTCACATGTTTTGATCCAAGTTTTGATGGTTGCCAGTTTAATTGGATGGGGAGCTTCGGAAGCGCGGTGTTCGAGAGCATGTGTGCTTGTGGTTTGCTTCTCGAGATATGGGTAAAAAGCTCGAAGATGTCGTTTGACTTTCGGTGGGAAGAAAACTCCAGTGTTTTCCATGTAATCGTTCATTTAATAAGAGCGATAATATGCGTCGGAGTTGTATGATGATCCCGATAGGGGTTTTTAGTATTTACCTACCTATTTCACCTATGAGTAAGTTCTCTGTGTCGTTAGAAGAGAAGAGAGATTGGGAAGTAAGGTCGATTCGATGCCAGGCCTTGAGCGACGGTATTTAAATGTAGAATTACCTAAAATGGACAATCGATTGAGGGCAGAGAGGAAAGAAGGCTGAACCACAGCAGATTCGTTGGCACCTCAAAAGCAGACGTAATTTTACTCGCGAGTCAAGTTCAAAGAAGTTGATGAATGGTACCAAATTTGATTATTGAAGGTCGTTCGAGCAACGATGGAGAATAATAGCGAAGATCTTACGACCGCCCCACTTTTCGTTCTTCTGGAGGAGTGCTCTCTAACCTCAGGCTACGAAAGTCTGGACCGATCATGCGCTAAAAAGATTGTATGTCAAGCATACGTAAAAGTTTACCTAGGAGGTAGGTGTGTAGCTAGGTAAGACTAAATTGGCGATGTATTAGACGAATCAGTGTGCGTTGAAAGTCGAAGATGCTGTAGAACTTGCAGCGACATATTAAGCGAAACCACATACCAGCTTGACACCGTATAAAATGCTCACATCGTCCAGAGAGGCGCAGAGATATGAAATCCAAGACACGTTGTGTCTATGTAAGTAACTTATTGGTCATCCGCTGCTTATTAAAAACACAATATGCTCTGGGACAGTAATGCTCCAATATGACTAGATAAATTAGGTACCTCACACTTGGTCATAAGTGGTACTCCGAGTGAGATGGTTCAAGCTGCTCCGTCTGTTTCCACTAATTTAGTAGACACTGATCTAACAATGCGACATTGGAAAAATCATTATAGCAGCCCAGTTGGTAAGAATACCCAAAAGGAACAATGCACACCTGCCTTAATGCTAAGTTCAATACACCAAATGAGCTGTAATTGTTGATGACCTGTTTTAAGGTAGAATCACCGCCCATCGAAAATTTACTTGACAAAACTCACTAAACTGGCCGCACTCTGAGCAGCAAAACTGACAAAAGTCCCCGCACCGGAAGTTTGTGTGTTGGAGACCTTTTCACAAAGTACAGAAGCTTGCCCCCTTAGCTCTGTCAAAAGTGAGTTACTGCAAATTCTGAGCAAGCTTCTCCTCCACTAATCTGCTGGGCATCTCATCTGATCTCAAATGTAGCTTTTTCAGCTATGGAAGGCCTTCTTCAAAAGACACGATCCAGGAAGATCACGCTGCAAGCGGAAGAAGTGCAATTCTTTGCATTACAATCCACAAACGTCATATGTCATTAAAATTAGGGACTTGTTTCAAGATAACATTCAAATCAAACCCATCTTGCTCCAGCCTATTGATTATCAGAGATCAGTTCTTGTGTTCAGTGGGCATATTAAACTCACGTAACCGCAGACACTGGCATGTCATAGTTTTGGGGTTCGACGGCGAGTACTTGATGCCTTGAATGGGCACTTTAGAGACGTCTAATCAGCATTAATTCTTGTCTTTTTTCCGACCTTAATACTGGCTCACTCCCAGGTCGCGAGCAAGGTATACGTGATACTGCGTTCTGTGAATAATTAACTTTGATCGGCAAGGCGGGGAAGAGAAAAATCCTCCGCACTATCTCCTAGCGCCTCGTTCTAAACAAGACGACTATTTCCACAATTGCCAACAATGATCTGAACATAACTTGATCACCAATTGCCACTCTACCAGAATAACCTCGTGATTCATTGTGCAAAGTATAATAGGCTCTTCAAAACGCCTCAAAATGTCGCATTTGACAACGTATACAAGCTACGAGGGCTACGGAGAACGCAGCAAGAAGAACCTCTGGTACAGCCAGGCAGTTCGAATTGGGGAGACGATCGAGTGCTCCGGCCAAGGTGAGATCTCCTATCTTTGAACAGGACAGCATGTTAATGAATGGCGCCTCAGGTGGATGGGATCGTGAGACAGATAAAATCCCGACAGAGCTCAACGCCCAGATCGCGAAGGCTTTCGACAATGTCGAACATACTGTCAAGACAGCAGGTGGACGCGGCTGGGAGGATGTGTATTTTGTACGATCATACCGTATGCAGCCTTCTTATTGATTTTCCTCTTCAAGCTCCTATCCTTCATGGGCGCGAAGAGAGTCATGCAAGCACAGCTCTTGGGATCAAGCGCAAAGAAAATGCCTGCTAACTTGCTCCAGATGTCGCAATGAATGATGAGGCGATGGCGACAATGGTTAAATGTTTGAAGCAGTACGCCCCAAATCATCAACCTGCATGGACTGCTATTGGAGTTGCGAAACTTGCTTTTGATGATATGCGTGTAGAGATCGAAGTTAGAGCTCATGTTCCAGCCGACAGGAAGTGAAGGGGCGAGAGACATGTATCTCGATACTGGTGCTGTATCAGAGACTAGACAAGTTCAAAAGTCTGAGTTTGCGCCCGGATTGCTATCTTCTATGACAGTGTGAGAACCCTAGTTAATTAGTGTGAAGTTGGTGTTAGACAAACACCTGACGTCGTTCCGTTCGTGTCTAGAAAAGGTCACTGTCTGCCAGGCTTAAGGCACCTCAAATCACGAAGAGTCCATATATCCGACCTCGGTATTGAACAGTTTTTAGAATGGCTTTGAGTCTGATCTGACCGAGTCGTAAAAATGCATACTTAGGTAGGTAACTAGTTATCAGTACGCTACTGCCCAAGAAATCCCCTGCTGATATTTCAGCTACTGTTTAAAGATGTATACCTACCTGGAGGCTTCAATTTATTTTGAATTTCTTGGCCTGAAGAGAAAGTTTTACTGACAAAACCCCAAGTTGAATAATACATATACAAGTCTGTATCACAATTTAAGAAAGACTGCTTGTTGTGAAATACTACCCCACCGCGACGCTACTATGGTCGCTGTGACAGAAAGGCCAGAGCTCGCTGTCTGTGGTCAGCGACGGAACTTTAGATGTATGGTCTCGATCGATGCCCTCGAATCGTTGAACTTCGACTTCAGATATGTTTAAAATGTTGCTAAAGAGATGGAGACCAAGTTTCAACCTACTCCGGTGCGACAAGGATGAGGATCTGGCACGTGATCTTCGGGGCCAATCTGAAAGTTTCGCTAGCCAAATTGTTGGTAACTTCATCATCATTTTTAGCAAAACACAAAACAGCTATCAGTAAGTCATTATTCGCTTTCTTCATTTGGAAGACAAGTCATATGAATTGGGGAATCAATCAGATGAAACAGCTCAATCTTCTGGGTAATAAGCTTGCTCGCTGTTGCAGAGTTTGATCTACATCATCGACTCTCAACTGGGTGATCGCGCACCCGCGAACCTGATGCATCGCAACCAAGCACACCGCGGTCTTCTCTCGGTTGAATCAATAGACAATGAGTCATGTCAGACAGTAGCAATGGACTATATCCTTCTGTAAGTATTCTATGTAGTTTTTCGTATGATAAGACGTTAATGTGGTCTTGTTCAGTGTGACCTATGTAGAGACCGCAAGTTGAAGGTAAGTTACGTTTCCATAGCATGAATTTCGGATCAATGCTTAGTGTAGGGGGAAACAGTGTTCCAAAGAGACCCCTTCGTGCAAATCCTGTATTAGGAACAGATGGCAGTGCAATTACAGCCCGAAACTGGTCCGGACTCCACTTACAAGAAGGTAAGTCCAAGACTGAGATTTTGCCTCGTCTCATGTTGACACAATATAGCAACCTTACGGCAGCCGAGGAACGAGTGAGAGAACTAGAAGCTGTTATCTCCAAGTTGGTTCCAGGTATCAACCTGAAATCCGTCTTGAAATCTGCTCAACATGTGCCGCAAGAATCTAGCGGGACTGAAAATCCATCTCTACAGACAGGATCTGGAAATGGCATTGCATCCGGAGTAGAAAGTCTCCCGAACGAAGCAAATGGGTTTGATTGGATGGAACACGAACTCACATTTGACCGACTTGTTGATGGAATGGCTGCCCTATCAGTAAACCCCACGGGTGCAGGATATCTAGGTTAGTAGTAATCTGATCGGCTGCAATAGCTGCTAATTCCGTTTTGTAGGGGCAACATCTAGTGTCGCCCCGCTTCGAGCACTTCTGAATGGAGGACAAGGTCAAGAGTCTGGCTCTTCCTTCAATAGCCTACAGTTACCTTTCGGCAGTGATGTTCCGTTCACAAACCGTGTACCTCAGAATCTGATGCTCTCGCATGTTCATGAGGTCAGCTATATTGATGCATATTTTAGCCATTACCATACTACATATCCGTTTCTACATGAAGCAACCTTTCGAGCACAATACAATGGTACCCATCCAAAGCCCGATGGGCTTTCCTGGTTCATGCTTCTCAATACTGTTTTAGCTTTGGGCGCCTGGTGTGTTGGAAATGACCAAACATCCATGGATGACTACTTTTATCAAAAATTGCTCAAAGTCACTGCTGAAAGCTCAGTGTTTGAAAGTGGAAATCTCACACTCGTGCAGGCATTGCTTTTATTGAGCAATTATACACAGAAACGAAATCGACCAAATACAGGCTGGAATTATTTAGGTCTCGCCGTTAGGACAGCCGTCAGTTTAGGGTTACACAAGGATTTCTCTGCCTGGCAGATCACCCCTCTTCAGCGGGAGATGAGACGTAGAGTCTGGTGGGGCCTTTTCATCTTCGACAGTGGAGCGTAAGTAATTTTTTTCTACCGGCAACTAAATTATAGTAGGCTTACACTTGCTCATTATCAGATCCATCACTTTCGGTCGGCCTGTCCTCTTGCCTCAGCCTGGATTAATGGACGTCTCTGAAGTCCTAAATATTGATGAAGAGGTAACTTCGGAATCAGGAATGCGGTGTTTCAGATTATACTAACTTAGTGTAGTCTTTGACAGCAACCTCAGCTGCTCCCTCGTCAGAAATTGAAGGTCCTACAGTATACACAGGTCTGATAGCACAATCGAAGTTCCACCTTAAAACGAACTCGTTACACGACCGCCTCATCTCACGTCCCGGACCATCAATCCAAGAGATCCTCGAACTTGAGTGCGAAATTGACAAGTGTGGTAAATACCCGCCGATATATTTCCGACAGGATTCCTCATCGATAGGGCATTATAGCGCATTTCTTTTCAGTCAATACCGCTTTTCCTGGCGAGTGTGGAACATGAAGATAATGCTTCTACGTCCAGTTCTTCTCCGATGGTCAGCTAAACACAAAGCAGCAGAAGGCAACAATATAACGGAGACTGAAGAAGAAAAGCGCTGTCGTCAGAACTGCTTGGAACACGCTCGTGCTACAATTGCATCAATTTCCGAATTCATGTCAATATGTAATGACTCGAGATTGAGCACGTGGTATATACTGTAGGTTTACATCTCCTGCCTATTTCTAAATTTCTGCTGACAATAGATAGATATTTTTTATTCCAAGCTGCACTAATTCCAATCCTTCTCCTAATGACCGACGCATCCGACGCAGATGCTCAATCGTGGTTACAAGACATCCTTACGGCACATGGACTTATTCAGCGTACAGCAGTCGACAATGACCTGGCGTTGAGATGCTTGTCAATGCTCAATCAGCTTTGCTCCCCAGTGTTTGACGCTCCGATTCCTGAAGACGTTCTACTGAATCCCGAGCTTTTTGAAGGAGGGTTTGCACCACAGTCATTTGATGATTTTGGTTTGATGGAGTTTGGCGACTGGCAAGGGCGAGGCTATCAGTAAACAGCCCGAAGACGTCTTTTTCGTGTCTTGCCAGAAGCCAGGCAAAGTTCTGGAATCGATTGAACAACAGCGCTTCACATGTAATGATGGCTCAAAAATAGGGGTTGTAATGATAATCCGGCTTTCAAGGTTATACCATTTTACTTGACCTAGCGACCCTTTTCCCTTCAAGAAGGCGGGTTCAACTCATTCAAACTTATTATCAACCAGTTGTGCTCAGAAATATACAATGACTATCATCAGACCTCCTCGTCATTGTTGAATACAGCCTCACTAGGTCCCTTCTCAAGATCATTTCCGTTCACACGTACGCCACAAAGTTGCACCTCGATCTGTCGAAGTCTTTCCTTCTCTTCGTGTGCCGCAGTGTCACCAAACACAAGATCCATATCTTCAAGGGTCTAGCAAAGATGTTAGCTAATCTGCGAGACTGTTGGACATCAAGAGAATCTTAAGGAGTGTTGTTACCTGTGCGCATGTTTCTGGAACAAAGAAATACGTGAACGCGAAGGCGATGAGACAAAATGCTGCAAAGAAGATGTAAGTTCCCCAAGTTATTTTCGCAAGCATGTCCGGTGTTACAAGTCCGATTATACTAGGAACGCATTAGCTATGAGCGATTGTGTCGGGTGAGAATTGGCTGTGAACTCACAAGTTGCACATCCATGTGGTCGAGGTGGTGATTGAGATTGCCTTAGATCTAATTGTGAGGTTGAAAATCTCAGATGGCAAAACCCATCCGATGGGAGCTACATTCATCAATTAGCTATGTTGAGAAAAATGCGTGAATTGTTGAGACTTACCGAAAGAGTAAGAAAAGTTAACATCATAAATATAGATGAATGCAACAGCAACCCAACCATCGACTTTGTTATCGGCCAATGAGGAGCCATAAGCTCCTATAATGGCGCCAACAATTACCAGAGAAATGAAGGTCCCTGCGGCTCCTGCCATAAGGAGAGGTCGGCGACCCAATCGATCAATGAGAAGAATGGCGGGAATTGTGCTCAAACAATTGACGATTCCATAGACACCAGTGGCAAGCAGCGACGTCTGGCGAAACATTAGTACTAAAAACCGAAGCTGAGAAGAGAAGGCACAGTATTACCGCTCAATCCTGGACTCTGGAACATAGTTGGAGCGTGGGAATGTAGCACCGAACGATTCCATCGTTAACACCCCGGAAACAACACCTTGATCATATCCAAACAGGAATCCACCAAGAGACGCGAACTGTTCATGGTGAGCCAGAGGTTTGCTCAAGGTGACGAAATGTATTTACATACTGCTGCAAGACCTAAGAGATATGAACTTTGGAAAAGTAATTTGAGACTTTTCGGCTTCTGGGCCAAACTAGACGGTGGAGTATGGGTGTCCATGATGGCCTGCTGAGATGGAATTCGTTTCAAGTCTAAATCTCTGAGAGAAGGACTAAAACAGCAGAGTAATAGACGAAGTAAGAGTTGATTACCCCTAATATACTTTTCTAAAGAACCTACACCTCAACGATAATCCTCTGTGCACCCACCCCAATTCCAGCCTCCCCACACAATGTAACATCCCCAAGATGTGACAGCGGGGTAGTCTCCGAGAAATCATTACAATGTTGAATTTCAATTCGCGGACTACAGTGAGCCGCTGGACTGACTGCAAAGACCCCAAGCTCAGTGGCTCGAGAGTGGAGGAGTGGAGGAGGTGGGTGTCGGGCAACAGTCATCCGCCAATCAGCAGCGATTGTAGGTCGAGCTACATGACTACGGTTAGGGGAGTAGTCCGCGGATGACTGACAAGAATTATGGCGTGTCCAGTGCCGACAGATCGCGTAACTTTAAATTGTTATGTGGCCGAGAAGTTGCAGGACTGGTTGAGATGGAGTGTGATCCGATAGGATGTGGTTAGTTAGAGATGGACGACTGTGATCCGATTGTACGATGTTGTACTGTAGAACCAGGAGTTATGTTTGAAAGGTAAATAATCTCCTTCTCTGAACGAATTCTGAAAACGATATCAACTATCGTTAGTTACTCCAGCCGGCAGCATTCGAAACTACGCCTTTTTCATCATTCTTCCTTTTATACAATTCTTTTTTTTGAATAATGCCGCATTCCACAGAGAGTCCAGAATTGACGCTGTGTGAGCGGCTAGAAGCACTCCTGAAACTGTATCCTCCGTCAAGCAAGAAACGAGTAATAATAGCTATGGCTGGTGGTACTGGTTCAGGCAAGTCCACACTCTCTGCAGCAGTAGAAAGGTTGTTCAATCATCGTAATACCGAAAAAATGAAAGTGATTCCCTTGGTACGTATGAAAATCACATTTTACTAGGTCACATCGGCCTTTTCGACCTCTTTTTAGTCCACTTTGAAGCAAATTGATCATTGGTTCGTTTTCTTACTTACCTAACAGTATGATGGATTTCACTACTCCCAATCACAACTCGCAACCCTTAATTTCAATACCAACGAATGTCCCTTCCAACGCCACGGTGCACCATTCACTTTCAACAGTCCAGCATTCATTCAACCCATTCAAAAACTACGTCAAACCCCAGTAACGGAGGAAGATCAATCTACGAATGGTATCTGGGCACCTAGTTTCGACCACGCCGCGAAAGACCCCGTAAACAATGACATCTACATTCCTTTCTCACAACGGATAATTTTACTCGAGGGTAATTATCTCTTGCTGAATGAAAAGCCTTGGAATGAGATTCGGGATGTGGTGGATGAGACGTGCGTATACGTTCTCGATATGTAGGAGGGTTGCTAACTTTGATTATATCTAGGTGGTTCGTCGATGTATCGAGGGAAGAAACAAAGAAACGGTTAATCAAGCGACATATTGAGGCTGGAGTTGAGAGTACTTGGGATGCCGCGGCTTTGAGAGTGGAGAACAATGATCTGTTGAATTTGGATTTGGTTGGTTTGAGTAAAGGTTGTTCGCAAGTGATTATTAGTAACTCAAGCAATAGTTCCGTAGACATCAGCACGATTTGCAGGTAGCACTCACGAATTATCACTTCCGAAGTAGCACTGTATCTCTTTATGTTTGACCTAGTCGTCTTTAGCGTTCGACTGTTCTTCTTGTTATTGCAAAAGACTCATGTTCGGTTTTGCAAAGTTGAAACAACCCAACAAGACTCATTTACAGTAAACTCAGTAAATCTCCCAAAAGTGCAGCAGGTATGTGAGTTGGTCTTGGCAGATACCCACGGTACGGGAAGCTAGCTCCGAATAATTGCAATAAACATGTTATCATGGGACGCAGACACGGACACAGAGTGAAAACAATTTAAAGTATTTGTCGAATTACAAAACAGAAAACTTAAATGAATCTAACTATATCAACCTGGGTATTTAACATTTCTTGAACCGCCTATACTCTTTATGCGAGCCCCGAATGAACACCTTGCCATAATTCCTAACCATTATTACCACCCAGAAACCCTTCAACGCCAGAGTGAAACGAGACATGAAAGGTTCAGCAAAACAAATCTACACCAAGTAAACCTCATCCCACACCCTCCCATCCCCAACAGCCTCACCCGCCATAACTCCTTGCACATAACAATCACCCACCAGTCCCCAAACCGCTTTCGAACCCTTCCCCGGAACCTCTTCCTGGCCATTACTTCTCAGCAGAAACGGCGTATGTCCCCTTTGAAACACAAACACTACATCTCCACTCTCCATTTTTCGCGGGCCAAGTCCCATATACCCGTTCATGGTACGGAAGAAACACTGACCAGTTGTGGCGGAGTGTACCGACTCATCGATCGCAACAGCTTCGTTGCGTTGCCGGTCGATGAAAGTTGTAGATGGTGGAGACTGTCGGTGTCTCAATGAGAGGCCGGAACGTGTAGGGGTCGAAGGCTGTGGTGTGTTGATGTCGAATTGAGGAAATGTTTGGGTGCGGCCTTGTCTTGATAATGGTGATATAGCTTGAGGATCTGACGAATCGCCGCCACGACCGCTCTGTGTTGACCTTCTACTCCACACGGTATCGAACTCTTGACCGTAATCCCGATCCGTGAGCTCATAGTCCGACTTGTTGATGTGGAGGTTATCGTCGTCGTTGACCTTGTCGAGATGTTTAGTATTCATGCAGAGAGTCTTCCAGTATGCTTGGCCAAGAGAATCTCCGTCAATATATCGCGGTGATGATGAACTATCCATGCCGCTTAGCATCTGCCATTGCTTGAACACGAGAGCTGCAGAGATGTCATCGGCCGGCATCATGTCTCCAACATCCGTGACAACGTCCAGTTGAAATCCTTTCAGCTGAAGATATCTCTGCTTGATGGTTGCATAGAACGAGGTCTTGCGACCATTGTTGTTCATCAGAGAAGCGTTGTACAGCTCAGCCCGTAGTTGTCGAGCGAGCTCATAAGTTGGTGGCTTGACGGTCCAATCTGGAACCCAAGTTGGCAGGAGCTCAGACAGTTTTGGAGAATTGGGATTGTAAGGATCGCTCAACGTGGAGGACTTGTCGGTAGTGCCCATTAGGATGAGTAGAGATTGATCGACGTCAAATATTTTGACTGCGACATCGCGATACACGGCAGCTATATTCCAACGATAGTTTGCTTTGACTTGTAAAGCGGTGCCCCAGTTGACCAAGGGAAGTAAAGCGTACACGTTGTCTTTGGGGTTCGTTGTCTCGCGATCTCGAAATTGCCACAACAGGCGACGAAGGCCAATGTGTGAGTTATCTGCTTCGTTCCAGCTCTGTCTCCAGTCATCTAAACCATGGACAGTTTCCGCGAAATGAGTGATTCCTCGGACGATCTCGACAGGTAATTGAGCATATTGACTGGAACAACAACCTTGTCGATGAACTTTGTAGTTCTTTGCAGCGACGCTGAACATCTCCCAGGATGCCTTGTACCTTCCATAGTACACGCTTACTGACGGTGGTAAAACAGTCTCTTGGATAACCCACTGTCGATTCCACCAAGGTGTTTCCATGATTTTGTGTAAGACTCGAACGACATTCTGCCGCACTACGTGTGCTAAGAAGAATGGAATATCAGCGTCGTTGAGGTGTTTGTTCTGCGCAAGAAGATGAATTAAGCAGAATGCGCCTAATTCAAAGTCTTGCGTCAGGTTGTGACGCCAAGCTATCGGAGTTCTGTAGTAATGTAGAAACTCGTTTTTGTAGTCCTCGATTCTTTTCGCATCGTCCGGATCGACAGCAACGTCGCCAGTCATAGGATCGACGGGATGATTTCTCGTGAAATCGGTATTCCACGCCACCTCTTGCTCCTCGGACGTTGTGTTGTGTATCGAGTCGCCAAGCCAAATCAATGCACGGCTAGTTTTCTGATAGATTGTTCGCATGTAAGCAACTTGTTCGTTTCTCTCGTCCTTGTCTGCTTGGTTTATGCTTAAAGCGTCGACCCATAGATAGCGTATCCTATCTGGCAAGCGAAACCTCCTCAGCGCCGTGAAAAGGTTGGTTGTCACTTCGTGATTGATGCCATTGAGGAATATTGTCTGTTTAGGACCTGCGGGATCTCCCCAGACATAGGAGAGAGCTTCGAAATCCGGGTTCTCTCCAAGATCAACCAACTCGAGTTCGCATTTGATCGGGTCTGCAAATTTACCAGGTAAGAGTGAGACCCGGCGCGTCTCGGAGAGTGTAGGGTCGACTTGCAAACGATTGTAAAGGTCTGAAGCAGAAATAGGGACTGATGACATGGTAAGGTTGCTCGGCCAAGTGTCTCTGATGCGATACGTATAATTGCAGTCTAGGTGATATGGAAAGAAATCGAATGGCGGAATAACAAAAGTCTTTTGACCTTTATTGCCGCTCTTTTAGTACTGTTTACCACTCGATAGATCAGGTTGTTTTAACCCTCTTGCACTCACCGAGAACCGAGAATGTCGGCTCATGATTTCAAACCATGATACCGCATTCTGACCAACGAATAGCGTCCGTTGAGATTCGTAACAGTTCCCGTAACACATAAATTCAAGCTTGAGCCTCCATGCATGGAGCGTGTCATCAGGTACACGAGACTGCTGATTCGAGGAGCTCGAACATCGGTCAGGACAGGGACGGCGGTGGGCTTGTATGAAAGAAGGAGGAATTCAACGATCTCTGTGGTCAGAAAGATGCTACTAGCAGGTGACATGAGATCCTTTCCTTCTTGGCGGATGCAGACCGAAAGATGCGCAACGAAGATTCGTCGCCCATGGACGACGGAACAAAAATGGCTGAAAAAGGAAAACGATCAGCAAGCATTTGACATGGGACATCAATAGAATTGAACAACAACCATCCACACTCCTTTTCAAACACCCTGAAGCTCCTGCTAACACATTGAATCATCTGCCAGCACAAAAGACGGTAAAAACCCAGATGCCTCTCCCCGGACGCGAAGCTGGGTTGAGTCACACCTACTCTATATTTAGAGTTAAATTTGCACCCTCTTAATGATAGCGTTGTCGAAGCTTTTCATCTGGCGCAGCTGTTGACGGGGAGTAGTGGCCATCAGCCCCGAAGAGGAAATTCGGTAGCGGCCCCTGTCCGCTGCCTCCCTCTGCTGTGTCATCGTCCTTTCAACGACAACTCTGTGATTATCTTGGCATCAACCTCCTCGCCCGGTTTGTACTTTCAATAGTCGAGAGCCAATACCGTCATAGAACGGTGAAAACAAGGAAAGGCTCGACCCTTGTGACATTGCAGGTTTTCCTCCTCCATTTGCTTACTCCATTTGCCTTCGTGAGGGTTGGAATCGACATAAGCTACATTGTCCGAGCGCGAAAAGTAACGCCGGGTTTTAATAAAGATAGGGTACTGTTTGTGTATGATCTCGGTTTATTAGTTGCGCGTTATAGCCCCCACGCTGGACACCTTGCTCTGGTTTCTTGCCCATCGCACACCATAGTCACCTGGAGTATTTAGCTTAGCCAACTGTATCACCTCCACCTGCTAATTGAACTTTGTGCTCCTAGTCGTATCAGCTTTTGGGGAATTGTGCACTATTCCGTTGGCGAGCACTGAACCAATGCTTTCTTACTGAATTTAGGTGTTTTATGCCTATGAAACAAATGATCAGCGGCTGTGCCTCTACTCCCGCGTGCAAATTCTATTGGGCGTGATTAGCAAGTAGGGGGGATATATTGTGGCCAGACTTTTGAAGCTACCAGACACACCGTAGCCCAGACAGTTTGCGGAAGGAAGCATTCGGGAGGAGTAGAGTTAATCAAAAGACATACTAGGCTCCAGACGTCCCGCCTTTGCTACTCGGTGAGGATAACAAGGCAACATTCTTGCCGCAGCTTACATGGATGATAAAAGAACGCCATCGGTGCGGCGTCTGGGGTATGCGGAGGCGTGCGTAGACGAGCAGCGGGCGGCGCTCACTTGAACGTTAGGTTAGGTCGTGGTGTATCACAAGGCAGACTGGCACGCGGGTATCTGGCATTGTGCGTCTTACCCCACGATTTGTGCTCCAACGTTCGCTCCGTAGTGTTCATTAGTATCTAGTAGTATCAGACAAGCCCCAAATGTATTTACACTGTGTAATTAATAAAGAAGGAATTATCACTCACCTTCTATACTGAAATGGATAGATCCAGGGTATGCAGTACCAAAAGTGACTATATTCTAGCATATCTATTCGTAAGCTATGCTATTGAAATGATAATCTTATATACTGAAAAGCTACATCGTCAAAACCTGATATCATAAGCCACCTACGAAGAAAATTATAACCCTCCTGAACCTTATAATTACACATAAATCCGACTCTGGTCAACACATATATACCGTGAGGTACCCAATAACACAATCTTATGATCAACATCCACAGCTCTCACGCCACGAATCCAAACGAAACAATTTAATATAAAGAAAAGGCTCAACTATAACAGTGAAATATGACGCCGGGTATATCATTCCACGCCATCATCCCAGCCTCCAGAGTAGGGATTCCATTCTTGGCCCGGGTAAGAGGTAGCACTCATGCTCGGCGTCGGATCTGCATCCATCTCGTGGACGATTCCCGACGGAGCATGGCCGGCGAAGATCTTCTCCTCGCTCGCAGGCGTCAAGCTGTTTCTTGTGCTGTGGCTACCGGGCGCGAGGGTGTTTGGCTCGGGAGAGACCATGCGTATAGGTGCTACTGGTTTGGGAGACGGGAATGAGGTCTGGATGGGCGAGACTTTAGGGCTCAGTTTTGGCGAGGGTGCTGTGAGGGTGTGGGTTACTGGGAGTCGCGGCGAGGCGTCGTAGATATTTGGTGATGCACTGCGCATTAATTCCGTAGTTTTGATTTGCGCCGAGGGTGTGGTATCGCGAGATATGTCCGCATCGAGATTTCTTCTATGGTCGAGGGGTATTTCAGGGCTGACCATCCTCTCTGGTGTAATACTTAGACTACTTCTTCTCCTAGAGTTTTGATAGACACCCTCGTCTTTATCTTGCATGGCTCTACGGTCGAGGATTGGGCTATCATCGTTATTTGAGAGGTGAGAAACTTGTGAGACAGCGGAGACGGTAGTGCGATGTGTGTTTGACCGATCAACACCGAATCCGCCTTGATTTAATAGAGGGGAATTAGCTGAAGTGTACTGAGGATCTAGATGTGAAGACTGAGACTCCCAATTCGGTGGCATCACAGGAGGTGTAGGAAGATCTTTTGTGGCGTGGTTTGAAGGTGAGAATGGCCTGCCATTATTGCCATATCTCGCTGGAGAACTTGGATGATTAATTGTCGGGTTCTGATGATGTTGAGCAATTGCATGGCCCGGCTCCCGAGAAGCTAGTCCGCTTGAGAAACGAGGATTAGAAGCTACAACTGGCGAATCCTTCTTGATGGGTGCAGGTGGTTGTTCATCATCATCTCCGGGAAGAGAAAGTGTATATGGTCTCTGTTGCCCTTCCGCCAAGCGTGCTGGAGAGCGTGCCAATACGTCCTCGGAACTGATACGACGACCAGCTGAACGTGCTTGATATGTCTCATAAGTTTCAAGTGCACCAAAGCTTGGAGGTTTATGACGAGATGCGGTCTGAGTTGGACTAATATAATGTGGCGCATGGATCTGAAAATTAGCGCCGTCACGATCAGTGGGATAGTCTTGAACTGGCGAGCTGGTAGGATTGGACTGGTTACCCGTAGAGTTATGGACGAATGGTACCGCTGATTCATGTTGGCTCTGGCCACGAGACGGAGCCGGATACATCTGGGGTTGGCCAGCTTGAGATTGCGTTGGTTGTGACATGTGGCTGGGATTTAGAGCTTGTTGTAGATGATTAACACCTCTCGGGTCATAATTTGTAGGCGAAGCTGTAGCCCCTTGACCGCGCACAAGATTATAACCACCGGGTATAGGGACATTATCATACTCTGGCTCCCGAGCGGATTGCCGACCACGCTGTGACCCGCCTTCAGGTCCGCCAGATGGACCACGCCTTTGCTGTGTCTGTTGATGCTGTTGCCCGCTGAAAGGGTCGCTTTCTAGCCGATAGGGCCGATCATACAGTTCTTGCCCTTTTTGCTCTTGTCGCCTTTGCCCTTGCTCTTGCCGCATTTGCTCTTGCTGCTTTTGTTCTTGCTGCTTGTGCTCTTCCTCCAAGTCGGTGTAAGTTTGCGCCTGCGGTAAAGGTTGGGGCGTGTTGCTTGTACTAGCCTGCGATCGAGACTCGTCGGTTTTTTCTCGTTCCTGTGGATATGACTGTTTTCTTCCCATAAAGCCGCCAAACAGTCCTGAAGCAGAAGGACGACGGTTCTTGCTTTTCGAATCTAAGACAGTTGATTTAGGTGTACCGTCATTTTGGGGTGAAGCGCTACCACCAAACTTGCTAAAGAGTCCCGAGCGACTCGAAGACCTTCTTCCGTTGGCTACTGGTCTGCTAGCTTTACTACTACTCGCCGAAAATTCTCGTTGACCATTTGCAGGCCTGGTACTGGCCGATTGTGGAGTGCTAACATATGCGGACTGGATATCAGGATTTGACGGAGCTGTGGATAAATTTTGTTTTTCGTTGTTGGAAAAGGTCCTCGACGCCTCAGTTCGGCCCGCCGTCGGAGTTGAAGGTTTAGAGCCCCCGTCAGATTTTCCAAATAATCCTGTCAAGCCGGAGAATCGCTTCTTCTTACCACCATCCTCGAGGTTCCCAGATGTCGCAGCTTTTGCAAGCTTACTACCCTTTGGTTTTGCGCTCGTAGATGAGCTTCCGAAGAAAGAGCGTTTCTTAGCATCCGGGGCAGGCGATTGCCTTCCAGATGAAAGCAGGTCGCTTCGAGAACCTGAGTGATGTGCCACTACGCTTTCTCGACTCTGTGGTGCTCCCAAGCCAGCTGTAGATGCGCGGTTCGCACCACCAAAGAAGCCTGAACGCCGTTTTTGCTGCTCTCTGGCCTCTTCTGATGCAATACTAGACGCTGATTGATCGTTACCACGCGAACTGAAGGGCCGTGGAGGGGTAGCCACAACACCATCTCGAGACCTAGATGAAGCACGTTCTCGAGACGTGCCACGAGACAATCTTCCTGATAGCTCCCTGAAAAATTCCCTGGAGTTACGTCTTGACGAGTTTGAACGGGGTCTTTCGGTTGGCGGACCAACACCAGAAATTTGATACTCGTTGGTCTGCTGCCGAGGCAAGAATGCATCCTCACGAGCGATAGGTTGCTGGTAATATTGAGCAGGTAAGTCTCCACCATCTCGATCTAGGTTAGGCTGGAAAAGGCCCGGGTATCGTTGAGCGGATGACGGTGGTTGCTCGAAAGGCTTGGATGGCGAGTTTGCCCATGGACGCTCCCCATATGCACCCTGTGGAGTGGACCCAGAAAAGCCTCGAGCTCTTTGAGGTTCCCACGACGCTCGTGGTTGGGATACGGGCACATCAGCCCTTGAAATTTGAGTAGGCTCGGTCAAGGGGGAGGCTGCATTTGGACGCCACGAATCTTGTGACTGCCGACGATTCGTAGCTGAAGGCTGGCCATTGACCGCTCGCGCCGAGAAATTGGGGTCGGATTGTTGCGCAACAAGTCCACGCGGACTTTGTTCTGAAGAGCTTACTCGAACCATCTTTGGCTTTACAGGAGAGGACTGTATGATCGAGGCATGTTCCAACGTAGGATCTTGCCCGAGGCTTGTTTGCGAGTCACGTTTATTCTCATACACCGCTTGAGCATTTTTGACTGCTATACAGTTATCGCCATGCTGGTGATCAACGTGACAGCTCGAGTCGTTCCAATCTTGAGACGTCCTTCGGGAAGTGTCTTCGTCGTCTTCGATTGGGAATCTTGTCTGTTTCTGACGAGGCCCAAACCCAATACCAAACGTAGACGTTCGACGAATAGGAGGAAGAAAGGTGGATTTCCCTTGTTGCTGAGAATCTGGTGGCAATTGGCTTTCGTTCAAATTCCGGGTTTGTTGTTTGGGGGAAGAGTGAGGTCCTGCGAAGTTTGCGTTTATTGGACTGATAGCTGCCGAAGAAACGGGGTTTTCTGACCCAACCGTTGTCACTCCACGAGGCCTATCTAAGACACTGATGCTGGAGACATTTCTGCTGTGAGACTTTGGTCCTGAACTTAGCCAAGATGCATTTGTTGGGTTGACGTCCCGCTCAGGGGATACATCACGGTCACCTGCGGCGGTCATTTGTGTTCTATCGTACGGTATCTCACTGACATCCCGAGGAGCTGAGTACTGGTGTTCAGGTCCTCTGAGATCAATTGAGGCCCGTTTTACAAGATCCAAGGAAGCTCGCTTATGATGTAAAGCGTGCTTTGGAGGTATAGGAATATAATCAGAGTCTGGGAAAGTCTCCGTTCTTGATACAGTTGATGAAAGAGGTGGATTCACTTCTGGCTCGATAAGTGCTAACGCCTCTTGACTGCTGGTAGGGATCGATAACGATACCTTCGAGGATGCCCGCGTACGTGGCGCGTCAGGTTTTGAGTTGGCCTGCGCGCTTGACTGGCTTGTTAGAATAGGAGCTGCTGTTGGCGATTCGCCATCGTTCTTGGATTCTGGAAGCGTAGGGGTCACTTGAGCCTCTGCGGGTAATGTAGCTGCGGGCGTATCATGCGAGTCCGTTTGAGGCGACACCATCACCCAGTCGGTCTCCCCAGGTGAGTCATTTGGTGGTGGGTTGAATTCAGTATCAACAGCATCGGGATGGTCGCCTCCGAATACGACTTGCTGGGAATGAGAAACCGAACTAATATCAGAGTATAAATTTTGTGAATGTTCGTTTGGCTGTGACACAGGAGCGGCCGAGTCTTCGCGCTTGTCGTAATGAAAGGCGTCCTCTTCAGCAATAGGGGTGGCATTGAATCCATCCCAAGACGGCTGATCTTTAGAGACTGGAGCCGGTATAGCCAGGCCGTGGCTATCTTTCATTTCTGGCTCTACATCTTCCGTTGAATGAAGCTCGTGGGATAGCAATGGGGCGCTGCGATGAGGTGCTGGAGAATTATGCGCAGAAGAGGCTCCGCCTGTGGAAGCAGCGCGATCATTACCACTGAAATTAGAAAGCTGAGACATAGAATTGCGTTGGGAGTGTATGGTGGAGGTTTGTGAAGGTTGTCCCTCAAACGTTGATAGGTTGGGTTGCTGACTGTCCGAATCAGGTTGACCGGAAGAGCGGGATAGCGTTTTCAGGGGGCCCCATGATGAGCGACGTTGAGGATTGGTTTTAGCTGGTGGGCTTGTCTATAAGGAGCAAGAGAGCTTAGTAAATTTTTCATTCAAGGGCGAGGCATAATTGTAAAGAGCAAAGATAAGAAAGATGTAGGATGCAATTTCCCTTAGACGTACAAAGCCTGCCATGCAGGTCGACAATCAAACAGGTATATCAAGAATCAAAACCACAACATTGATTAGTTCTCGGATATTCAAAAGCAAACGCGAAGCGCCCAGAAACCCATAGTGGTCCGTCAAAAAAGGAGATGTCATTCTACCTTTTCACCTCCGCCTGAGCCTCTCAATCGACTCTTTCCCTTTGCAAGCAATCCCTTTCCAGCCTTGCCGGCTTTGCCTCCAAATATACCAGCAGTATGTAGAAATTCTTTCCCCTTGGCTTGTACTTGTTGACCTGTCAGTTTCCCACCTCCTGGAAGTGGCAAGCCTTGTTGTGTACTACTAGATGGCCCTGGTCCGGGCTTCGAACCACCAGCCGATGCAGGTGTATTAGGAGAGTTTGCATTCGGGTGCTGTTGATAATACGGCGCTTGCTGCTGCATACCTCCAGCGCTCTGTCCAAACCTCGAGGCCATGCCTGCGTGCTCAGGATTTTGCGCTTGAAGTTGAGCCATCCAAGTTTGTAAGCCATGATCAAATTGTGCATGGAGTTCTCGTTGAGAGTTGTAGGCTTGAATCCGCTGATGGGAGGAAGGCAGCAGTCCAATCTGCTTAAACTGCATGAGACCAGATGGGAGCTGTTGGTTCAAAGGCGGATTGACTGTCGCTGCAGCTGTAGTGTCTGGAAGGGGTGCCTGAGAGGTAGTCGACGGAAAGTAAGGATCAGGTGACCTCGATGGGTGGTCTTCTTCTGGTGGGGATGGTGAGACCGGATATGAAGATGATCGAGGGAGTTTTTCTTCGGCGAGAGATAGTGACGAATCTTCTTGCCCAGCAGCAGGCCGAGTCATGGTTGCTGCGGCTCCAGCCCCAAGAGCACCAGCCCCAAGAACTGCACCTCCAGTTAGAAATGTTGACTTTCTTCCGAGTGTTTTTTCCTCCGGTTGACTATCGGGCGTTGGAGGCTGTCTTTCGTCAAGCTCCAGTCCAATGTAGGTAGGTGCTGGTATTTGTGCGGCAAGCTGAACAGAATTATCCAAGTCGAGGTCACGTTCGTCAGGTGAGAGGGATGGTTGGTCAAGTTCATGTGACGAAAGTACTCCAGCGGCTGTGCTCGAGGCAACAGTGGGTTGAATTTGTTCACCCTCCTCCTGTGTGTCCGAAGCTCTGTACGGTGGGGCTGCAGCATCAGTGAATGCTTCAGTACTCCGCTCCCACGAGAATTTTTGCTGTAGCTTAGGAGCTGTGGGAGGCTCAGATAAATCTGATTTTCGGGTATTGAGTGGTGGAACAGATTGCCTCTCCACCTCATTACTCGCTGGATGAGATGCAACATTAATGTTAGAACTCTCATCGGACATGGTGCGTTGTGCAGTGGGTTTGACAGCACCATCATCATTATCCGTAGACGCCCAATAGTTATCGTACTCGGAAGGTAGGTATGTACTTTCTCTCTGGCCACCAGACTCGTCCCCAGGGGTTCCTAGCAGTGAATTTTCGTAGTGAGTTGAGGTCGAGGGCTGCGGGCTCAGATGCTTCACGATCTCCTTACGAAGTCGATCGCTTTCTTCTTCTTCTGGCGATGCATCAGAGCTCATCGTTGACACATGTTGCAGTCTATTCGTAGTTTCAATGGTCTCATCAGATACGGTTCGATCAAAAACATTCGGCTTGCTAGATTCCGCTGGAGGAGAGAAGTAGCTGGGGGCTTCAGCAGACGTTTGCATCTGAGGTGTATCTTTTGGTGGAGGGGTAGGTGCAACACTTGACTGTGACGAACCAGCTCGATGAACAATATCTGGACGTAGCTGAGTTTCCGCTGGAGCTTGTTCGAGTTTTGGTAAAAGTCTTGGGTCTAATGGGACTTTAGAATAAAGACTGCCGCTCGGAGCCATTGCAGGATCTGGTGTAGGGAGATCATCATATCCGCCAAATCGGGGTGGTATCGCAGAAGATTGCGCATGTTGGTGATTTCCGTCATGGGTCCCAAACGCGGCTCCTGAGGCGGCTCCTTCCATAGAAGGCCCAGCAAGAATACCACCAAGGGTAGATTGGGGTAGCCGCTGCTTTGTGGTGGTTGGAGTTAGCTCAGGATCGTCGTCATCAACGCTGGTCCGACTTTTTGGCTCATGTGGAAATTGCTGCATCGATTGACCCTGTTCAATACTTTGTTGAGTAGCATCGCTTCGAGTTGATGCTGCATATGAGTTCCAACCTCCTGGGAGATGAGGACGAAAGCTGTGTTCCCGTTCAGCTACAGGGCGAGCAGCATCCTCATGAGACTGAGGTTGCCGATCGGGGTCACTAAGATAAGCCTCATAGCCTTGTGCGTTGCTTGTTGATGTTCCCCAGTCCGGAGCTCTAGCTGGGCTATTTCCAGGGCTTGGGGTACTGATGTCGCGTCGATGACCTGGTTTGAAGCCGGGTACGACAGGCTGAGGTTGAGCTACCAATGTACCGGTGTTTTTATTGTCTCTTACAGGTGAGTTCGCTTCGTTTACGACTTCAAGGACAGCAGGCGTTGAGAGATCCGGATGCCGACCCTCAGCTACCGCGGCGCTTGGTGCCCTGCTCATAATCGGACTGATCCCAGTCGTGCCTGTGCTTTCACTGTCAGTTCGACGAATTCCACTCTCGGTACGCGAAGCAGGCGTGGGCGGCACTGATGAGTCGTCAGTTTGGTCGAAAGCTTGTTGTACGACGGAGCGCAAGCCGATAGAGGGTTGACTATGAAGCGAGTGACCAGTCTGCTGAGACGCCGGTATTTCACTCCTTGTGGGAGCGGAGACAGGCGCATTAACAGGCTGTTGCGATTCTGAACCGGATGGTGTCGAAAACATATCCATTCCGAAACCAGATATTCGATTCAGGTCTGGCAGCTTAGGACTTGTCGACTGTCTGCGCTCATCCTGCACTGCCAGGTTATCTACTCCGGATGACCTCGGAGCGCTACTTGAGTCCCCAGGTTGGTTGTTCACACTGAAGCCATCAAACCCATACTCGCTCTTTCTTTCAGTAACTGTATCAAGCATAGGCTGTAGACGTCGTCCGGATTCTGCACCTTCGTCGTCCCAGCTATTTCTGCCTGCACGTTGCTTAACTGGGGAATCAATAGTGTTTCGATTGCCCATTAAAGAGTCCATGCTAGGTCTACCAGATTCCATTGATTGTCGTTCTTCCTCTGCCTTTTTGTAGATGTCAGCTGGTCGAATGAACGGAAGATTTTTGCCAGCGCTGCTTGGTGATGTAGGAGTTCTCATTGCACCGGCAGGTGAAGCAGATCTACCAGCATTCGCCCATGGCTTAGGCGCAGTGGCATCCGCTGAAGGTGGCATAACCGTATCCAGATCTGGTCTTACAGCTTGGGTTAAGCTACTCTTTCGGGCTGGAAATCTTGTACCAGATGTCGATCTTTCTCGATCACTTGCAGGGGCAGGGGAAGCACGCGCAGACAATGGCTGAGGCATGGCAGATGGAGAGAAATCTCTTCGGGCTTGAAAATCACTTGATGGCGTCCGCGTATCTGATCCAGGTGTCATCGCACTTGCAGGGTTCGAACTCACTTGATGGGTGGGTTCAATCGATCTAACGGGTATGTCTTGAGACGAAACTTCCGCGACTGGTGTTATTGTCTGGCTTGCTTTTCGCAGTCCAGTAGTAGGTGTCGACTGAGTAGAGATGGAGAGAGGCGGAGGTCCAGAGGGATCGCGAGTAGATGGGAGTCCAGTGATCTGAGAAAATCTTGTTGCGGGACCGCTCGTATGGGCTGCGCGCGGAGCAGGTGAAGGCTGTCTAATTGTAGCATTCGAAAAGTTCCTTTCTTCCCCAGCATCAAATGAATTCGATCGCTCTCTCGGGTTGTTTGTTGCGCCTGGGATTCCTGGAAGCTGTCCGTAGGCTTTTTTACTGTCAACACTAAACTGCTCCGATTTTGGCTGATTTGGCAGAACCTGACCTTGCTGTCGTAATCCAGTGGGCTTCGACACGGGGGCTTGCGGTGCAGGATCCTCGTAGCCATAACCATAATCATCTTCGTCTCCCCAATCGTCTCCTCCATAATCTACCGCCTTCGCTTGAGTCCATTTGGTCGTTTTCTTGCGATTGACGTCGGCGCGATATGAGATGGGCGTATTGCTTCCTCCTGCGGACTGCGGTGACCTGTGGAAGATATTAGCTCACGTCCCACTCGAATCGATCTCTCGTGGGTGCATACATTGGCGAGCCATCGTCAAAGGTAGTAGGAAACGGTCGTGCCATGGCGGGCGATGCACTCTCAGGCGCTCATTAGACAGATCTCATTGATGGCCGTTAAAATAACATTGACGGTTTTGGTTGAAATTGAAGTCCAACTATCAAACTGTCAATAATGCGCGTTGTTTGCTGGCCGGTGGCAGGAAGGAGGCGACCGATGATGCTAGTTTGCGTACTGGAGCAAGCTTGAGTTGTCGTCCCAGCCTTGATTTGGCCTGTGCTCGTAGCTTTCACGTCACTAGGCTAGACCCAAAGGAGACAAGATGGTTGCCGGCTACAAGCAGAAGTTGTAGCTGTGCTTGGAGGGGTTATTGAGAGAAGGGAAGGCAATCTTTTCGAGAGAATATTACAGTTAGTTACAACATTGGAATTCAAAATGTTAGATAATACAACTTTATGGTACGACGTGAGCTCAAACCCTAGGTAGGATTTGCATTCTGAGGGTCTCTAAGTTTTGACGATGCTGTGCCCCAAAAGGCCCGTCCAATTCGAGATGCACAGCCACACGTGCGACGCTCCACTACATCGCACTGACATCTGGTTCTGTGGGTTGCCCAGGTGGTCGTGATCCATCTGCATCTTTGTTCCAAACCGGGCTTCGAGTCGCAAATACTCCGACATCTCACGAAACAACACCTGTTCCTCTGACGAAACCGACCGCACAACGCCCATCACCAACTTCCCATTCACAGTAATTAGAGTTCACCTCACACACTCCTTCGCAGATTTCCTATTCAACAAAGCCACGGGATACCGGCGCAAAGCGATAGAGCATTTACATTACCTCAATATTACGCAAAGAGACCGGGGATTAATTACCATTGGACGCGGTTCGCGAGACGAGGACGGATTCTTGTAATTCTCAGGAGAACCACGGGTTCGACACACAACGCTTGATTTTTATCCATTTCATTTGCACTCTTTGCCAGGATGGCGGTGTCCTCGATTCAAGACAGGACGAATGAGTTTAGATCCGTTCTTTCTCAGGTACAAAAGCGACAAGCGTCATCTAAAGTTGGATCACAAAGACAATCACTCCTCACGGATGCACAAAAAGCTGCGAACGGTAGCGCAAATGGAGATGGGAAACCACGGAGGTCAGAATTCGCAAGGAGGGCGGCTGAAATTGGACGCGGGATTGGAGGAACGATGAGCAAATTAGAAAAGTTGGCACAGTGTAAGTTTGGCAGAAAGGGGTTGGGGAAACGTATTCTAACAAGCTACAGTGGCTAAGAGGAAAACACTATTCGACGACCGGCCGGTGGAAATTAATGAACTCACCTTCATAATCAAACAAGACCTCTCATCCCTCAACCAACAAATCTCTTCCCTCCAAACCCTATCCCGCGCGCAACACCCAAAAGCCGACCAAGAAGGCGAACACAACAAAAATGTAGTCTTCCTCCTCCAAGGCAAACTCACAGACGTCTCCGCAAACTTCAAAGACGTCCTCGAAGTCCGCACAAAAAACATCCAAGCCTCGCGTTCACGGACAGAAAACTTCGTCTCCTCAGTCTCCGCCCACACCGCGCCCGCAATCTCCCAATCCGCATCTCCCTTATACAGCACACCTCAAAACCGGGGCTCACCAGGCCCCGGACAGGATCTCCTCTCCCTGAACCCCGTGGGCGACCAGCAGCTCCTGATGATGGAAGAAGCGCAACCACAGAATCAGTATATAAACCAGCGAGGCGAGGCAATCGAGGCAATCGAGCGCACAATCAATGAGCTAGGCGGTATATTCGGACAACTGGCATCTATGGTCTCGGAACAGAGCGAGATGATCCAGCGGATAGACGCAAACACGGAAGATGTGGTGGACAATGTACAAGGCGCCCAGCGGGAATTACTGAAGTACTGGTCACGCGTATCTGGCAATCGCTGGTTGGTTGCTAAGATGTTTGGTGTATTAATGATATTTTTCTTGTGAGCCCCCAATTTCCCTTCCCTATCTAACAAATTGGCTAACGGATCTAGACTCTGGGTGCTTGTAGCAGGATAGAAAATCCTTGGGATCGTTTTGAGATCCTGTTCTTTTCGATGCATATATTCGGCGAGGGAGCATCTGTATCATCATTGTAGAAAAAACATATTAGTACAAGAATTTTAATTATCAGCCTGTTGGCTATTCTCAGAGTTTTTAATTATGGTTTTGTCCTCGTTACCTGATATGTGCTGCGTGAAAGTAGGGTTCTATGTTATTTACACACTTTTCGGGACTAGTCACTAGTTCATAGGGGGTAGTAGATCCCTCCCTCAATAGTGCATCAGAAGGGAAGTCGGGAGATGCGAAATTAAAGGCAGTAATATAGTACGGTATGATGTAGCTATACGGTACGTTGATTCTGCCATCAGGGGTATTTTCTTGTTCTCTCTTTAACAACACATTGTAATCTATCGAGTCATCGAGTTATCTAAACACGAATTTCGCGGATGGAGGTAAATGAACAGCTTTGTTGAGTTGATGGGAAGACAAGGTTAGTGTTAGTCGAGTGTAGCTGAAATCTAAGTCTAACTTGAAAGTCAACGTCTCATGGCTCGTAATCGCTCTTGGGAACAGATAGGTCAGACGCTGTGAAGAGAAAGTTCGGATTTTCGATTTCAAATACTTGATGCATTGATATTGGAGCAGAAAACGAGATATCTTAAAATGCTTTAAACGCCTGAGCTGAAAAGTGACTGCATGTAAAGCATCCATCAGAATTTGGATTTTCCATCGCGTAATTTTTAGCATGTTATGACAGAGCCCTCGTATCCAGCAGACCCTATTCTCAACCTTTACAACAAACTGTATAGCCCAAAACTCCAAGCGCTTCCCTTTGAGAACCCTGACACTCACACCCACGGCACACCCTTGCTATCATACAATTCGACCATTTTAAAGTCTATTCTGGTTGTTCGCGCCAGTAGCAGCGTAATCATTGCTCCAATGCTCATCATCATGTCCGCCCAAAGCTCCAATCCCCTGATGTAACTGAATCTGCGGTACGGTAGAAGGTCCAGCAGCAGGTGGGGCAGCAGCCTTAGTCAATGGCTCGTCGGCACCGCTGTCTCCTCCGCCTCCAATACGATATGGTTTCACCGTCTCAATATCCGTCATCGCACTCTTGTTCCCGCCCAGCAGCGCGACACGTTCGCGGGCGTTCTTCTTGGCTTTGGATTTCTCGACACATGCCATGCCGATGAGCACGGCGATTGTAGCGACGAGACCGACGACGAAGATGATCGCGACGATAAGACCGGAGGTGGTGAGTTTGTTTACTTTGGTCATGCAGTCGCCTGCGTTGGGGCCTTCATCGAAGCAGATCAGGCCGGCGGCGCAGACGGAGGTGGTGACGAGCGCGGAGGAGCAGGAGGTGGTCTTTTTGTTGTCGATGGTTTGCACTGAGCATACTTTTGCCGATGAGGAGATGGCGGTTGAGCAGACGAGAGGTCCGGCTGTCGTTGCTGGCGCTGCGGTGGTTTGTCTGGCTAAGAGAAGGGGTGCTGCTGGGGGAGTGGGCGCGATGGCCGAGATAGCTGTTGCTGCGAGGAGAGCGAAGAGGACGGTACCACGCATTTTTGCGACGGAGTGGGAGGCTGTAGAGATTGGGTTTGAATCCTCGTGGATACCGTGGACGGCGCGACGTGAAGATGGAGTATCGCGAGCGGTGTTTGTTTGGACAGAGCGCTCGACGTCGTGAAGGAAAAGGAGACGGAAGACAGATGAATATAAATCCTTCAGCCCCACAGCTGATGTTGGACGAAGAGCCCAAGCCACTTTTGTCGAGATTGAATTGGACGAAATTGGAGACCCTTCCGCACCCTAGTCAAGTTGTTAGTGCTGTGATTGGGGAATTTTGTGCTGATGTTTTACGGCACCAGTAAGCCCTGTCGAACTCAGCCTTCTTTATAACTTTACGACCTAGAAGTTTAGAAGGTTTCTGTTCTCAGTTTCTCTCTGTCTCTTTGAGCGACGAGCGCAATTCTGGATATTTCAATGTTGACTGAGTCGTTCAAGACGGGTAGAAATGGATCCTGTCGTCGTGGATGGACGCGCCATTGAACGCTAACAAAAAAGGGGTCCGGGGAATTTGATTAAGGTACGCGCCGATATTCGCGCTGACCCGCAAAGTGAGAATCAAAGTCGATGTGCCTAGTACGTAAATGATCGTACAACAACAAATTTTCAATTGTTGGTTCCTTGAATGTGTTTAAATGGTTCTTCTTCTATCTTGCTCTCAAAACAGTACTTTTAGCTCTTCAGCAAGCTTTTTACCAGAGGCACGAGTGTCGATCAGGCACCGTACAGCTTGCATGGTCATCCAATGCAGCAAGGGAGAAGTCTAATGCAGCGGTCTTCATAGTATTTTCGTATGATGTGCCTAGAATCTTGTTCATGGCACTCGTATGTCAGTAGTCAAGACTCTGTTGTGTGGAGCTACACGTTAATGTAGGGAGGGCATACTGATGTGTGTCTGGAAATGGTATGGAAATACCAAAGGATGTTCTTCTAAGAAACCGACTCAAAATAATTCAGGTTACTCTTTTGTTTCTATTACTTACCTGAAGAATCACAAGATTATTATTACTATTATTCGTTCCTAGCTCTTGTCCTACCTAGGGTAATTTATAGAAGAGGGTCATCAGCCAATCACGTGGGATACGTCATCCCTCAAAGGCAACCTGAATCAAGGTGAAGGCGACATGTGTATTTACTTATCACCCCACTACCCCTCCTTCAACTTCATACACTATATGCTCTTCAAACCTACAACAACTTTCAGAAAATACATCATCCAACATCAGACTCTTTCAAAAGTACAAAGAAGCTTTACCTCTTCAACTAAACTCAACATGCCTCTCGTCGTCCCAGGAATCACAAACAAGGGTGATGGTGCCTCCAAGACCGAGGATTGGACCAACAAGCTAGTTGGCAAGAAGCTTGGATCTTCATCTGATGCTACAGTATGTTCTCAGCTTTTTGATTCGCTATATGAAACAGTATAGCTAACTATCAAGAAGACATTCGCAAGAGCCGACCTTCCAAAAGAGACGCGCGTTATCGAGCCAGGATCTATGGTCACAAAAGACTTCAACCCAGAGCGGTAAGTAGCTTCCAAATTGGCTCGCAAACTTCTCTAATATGTGTAGATTGAACGTTCATTTGAACAAAGATGGCACTGTTTCCCATGTCAATCACCAATAGATGTGTTTTCAAGTCTGGGTGGGGATCAAATGGGCGTTGGTAATGGCTAGCAAATGAATTTACGGACTTTTCCGCACTTTGGTCGTTTAACTTTCTTGCTGATTCGGTGCTCCAACTGTCACATCTTTATCTACTGGCAGTAATCTTACGAGATGGTGACCGCCGAAATATCCTCGTTTCTCCTTCACCCTGTACTATGAAGTAGCCGAGCACTTCGTCTCCTTCGCGACACTGAACATTGGCTGACGCAGGCGTACCTATGCAAATCAGCTTGTTTTGATTCCGCTATCGTGTGCTTTTCATACTCAATTCTGCTACGGCTTCTTTCCTTCTGGATTTTTTCAGTTCTGATTCCTGCATACTTTCTTGCAGGAGTTGAGCAATGTCATGAAATCCACGTTTGCTTGCCATCTCTTCCGCAGTCCAACCCATCTCTTTGGTCAATGAAGAATCTGCGCCAGCTGTCAAGAATTTCCGTACCAAATTGGATCGGCCATATATGGCTGCCAGTTGTAGTGGCGAATGTTCCGAATTGGCTTGTGAGTTGACATCTACCCCATTTTCTATCAGAATATTAACTGTAGCTTCATCTTCATCACGCATATCCATCTCAAATCCTCCATCTAAAACCAATGATGTGTTCCTCTGCCATGCTGCCAAGTGGGTCAAAAACTCTCCATTTTCTGTGTCTGGAAGATTCTCCTCTATCCACGGCCAAAGATCTCTCCATTCAAGGTTTCCTAAATCAAAAGGCTCCTCGGAACCCGATTGTCTAGTAGCAATGGCAATCATTGCCTCGTCCTCTAATCTGGCAATCTCCAAGTTCGTTGTCAGCCAAGGTCCTCCCATTATAACATCTAAAGCGGTCCTGCCACTATAGCTGGTGGCATTGACATTTGCTCCATGTTTGATTAGCAATTTAACGGTGTCTACGGAGCCCACACGAGAGGCAACATGTAAAGCTGTTTCTTGCTTGTACCCCTTTTCATCCAGTACATCTCTTGGACTGGTAGTTACCAATTCTTGAACCAAAGTTTCCAGATCACAAACGATTGCCATCTGGAGCTGAGGTAGTTTCCAGTGGGGAATCCGCGACGGCCATAATAAATTCAAGACTTTAGAGGAGATTACTTGAAGCGAGCCAAGTGGTATCGCGTCAGGTTTAAGGAGCTTAGTGATCTCCGTATTCAGATCACTGTCGCTGCTCTTTGTCACGTGGTGTCCCCAATGTAAACATGCATATCGAAGGAAAGGATAATCTTGGTACCGTTCCACCAACTCGTCTTGCTCGCAGGCCACTTCAAAGTCCCTGAGCTTCAAATATATTATGCAAGTCTGCGCCATGTCTTTTTCGGCCCCAGGGAAGGCGTCAATATCGATTGAGCTGAAATACTCCTTAGTGGTATGATGGACGAAATGTATTTCATCCATCTGTATCGTGATTAGTCCTTTAGTAGTTCCTAAAACGAGAGACCCATCGAACATTCCCTCTTCACTAAACCATTCGTCGCCATCTTCTATTGCAAGTGCATGGCGTAATTCGTCAACTTGAAGTGGTCGGACTGCGTGGAGTACCCAAGATAAAATTCTAAGACCCACAGTCGCCCATCCTGCTGGCTGTTCGCTCTTTACTCGTTGGAAACTGGCTTCGTATAAATCGTTGATTTTATTTGGCAGTGTCTTTAGCTGTGCTTTACATTTCCTTTCGCTAATTTGCTCTGCGAGATGATTGATGTGAAGGCTTGGAAGCAGGAATCTGTCTCTGGTCAGCGTATTTTTCAGCTAAAGTACTCGGATTATTGAACACTTACTGCCCATGTGCTCTCTCAGCAAGAGTTTCTATGATAGCTGTTGCAAAACTCGGGTCTTTGTTGACTTGCTTCGAGAATGGAAATCGACTATCCCGAATCCTTGCGTCAACATACCGTCTGACGTCCTCTGACTTTGCCGTGATCTCAATCTTAGTGGACTCAACATAGTTGAACAGTGAAAGGCTATCCTCTCTAGAGGTTATGAGAATCCTGCAACTTGGCTCACATTTCGCAATTTTGATCAGTTCATCTAGAAACTTGTTTGAGCCCGGCGTTTCATCACTGGCTACGTACTCATCAAGAGCATCCACAACAAGAAAGCATCTCCGAAAGGTCGGCACCAGCTGTGAAAGAAGTTCTGCATATGTCGCTAGTGAGGCGGGATTTGCTCCATTCGCATGTTTACGGTATGCTTTCAGGGCACACTCGGGCACTTCTTTTGACTGAATTGTTACCTGTCTTACTAAACTTGCTAAAAGAGTCTCGGCGTTCTGTTCAAATTGGTTCTTGTAGTCGCAGTAGACGTAGGCGATTGCGACGTCATCGTAGGCGAATGAGGTTTTGAGATTTTCGATGGCCATAGACCTAGTGACTGTGAGCAAATGCCTTTGATGTTTAGGAATGAGATTTACTCATACGTTATAGTAGTCTTTCCAGCGCCAGCTAAAATAAAAGATAATGTCAGCTCCAAACTCCTACTCAGGCTTTCCAAACCCACAACCGCTTCAAAATAAATCAAAACCTAAATCAAAACTTACGAATCCCATAAAACCACAACACACCCCCAACCACTCCCCCATCCTCTCTCACCCCAACCCCATTCCGCCAATCCATCCACCCCTCCTCCTCAAGCAACCACCCTCCCGTCCCCTCACACCACCGCCCCAAATAGTCCGCATGTCTCTCCTCGAAACCCACCCGCGAAACCCAGGCCAACACATCCACAAACTGCGCTTCCAGATGCCATTCCCACACTTGAGTTGCCAGCTTCTGTATCTCGACCCGTGACGCGCGAACTGAGGAGGCGGTTTTGAGAGTCACGAGTTGGTTCACTTGCTCGCAGTGCCGTCCCACGAGCGTCATGGATTGGCGTAGTGAGTCTGCGCGTAGGGCGCGCAGGATGCGTGTCCATCCCCTCTTCGCCGACGACCCAGGACTAATCATCAACGCATCGCGCAATTTCCACAATTCCCTTTTTAATGCACATAATATTGCATTAAACTCCTCATCCGTATCATCTATCACTACTTCCTCGCTCCGCTGGAGGATAACGAGCAGCGTATTCGTTTCATCCACGAACGTGCGGATGCTGGACGGGACGTCTTTCCAGTCTCGGGCGAAGCGGTCAAGGATTTGGGTTATTTGGATGGAGAGGGAGATGATGCTTAGGAGGGAGGTGGAGAGGGAGAGGGGGTCCATTGTGGATTGGACATTACTGGGTATAAGGGGGATGATTAGGGTTTTGTGGAAGTTAAAGATGTGAGATTATTAGGGATGTTAAAAAGTTAGAGGTTTTTTGAGGTTGTGGTTGTGGTTGTTGAAGCTTGAATGCGGTTTGGCGTGGGGTGGTGATGCTGCACACAGCCTTGTGGTATGCTGCCTATAATTCGTCTTGACACAGCCACTTTTTTGCAAAATCTAATTTGTGGTTTTCTTCTTTTTGGCCAATGATGTAGGTTTTCTACACCGAGGGCCTCGTTATGCGGCCTTAAAGGTCGCTTCACAGGGGACCTCGCTTAGGGAATTAGGGAGCCATCGACGACCTCTAATGGAACAAAAAAGGTAATTGTTAAAACACGATGTTTCAATTGATGTAGCATAATACAAAATATATTCTCTTCTAGTTTAACACGAATTGAGAAGATCCAGATCTTATACTTTGTCGGATATTTTAACTTTCTAATGATAACTCAAAAGTATCTGTCGTAAGACTAGACTCTGTAATCTATATAAGAAAAGTTATGACAGATAATTTGTAGTATTCGCTTTTCTTGAGCTACTGAGAAAAGTGGTTTTCAATGCTTTGAACGCAGAACCGCTTTTTACTCTATAAGTCTGGCCGGAATTTGTGGGCGTTTAGTCTTTTGGGCTAGAATCGCAGGAGATGTAGTGGGATTCCACGAGTAAATTCCCAAAATTTCTAAGTGGTTTGAAAATTCATCTTCGCGGGTTTGATGGGGTAAGTTGAATTTCGGGGTGATCTGATATCTGACCTTTTGACAGAAATGATAGCAACATCCATAGTTGGTAGCAAATCTACTTCCCCTACCATTCTTTTGAAATTTTCCTTCAAAGCATCTTGCAAATACCATATACCTCCAACTCCCTCATTCTCCCAGTTCCCTCCGCTCAAGCACCTCGCGCAACAGTGATTCTCGCATTCTCCACCGCCGTTTCTCCGTCTTGGCTTTGTCGATTTCTTGTTTTAGGTTTCGAAGACTCATTTTCTTACCCTGTTCTAAGATGTCCTTTGGTCGTTCTTTGCTAGATGGTGGTAAAACTTCTCTTGCGATCAAACCTAAGCCTGGACGAATGTTGGCATCTGATACTGTCACACTTCCCCGAAGAGGATCCCCTACGCTTTCTGATACAGGGTTTTCACGATTGCCTGGAACTACCAATGTAGAACTTTCAGTTGCCTCCCTATGCGGTGGCCGTAGCCAAGCTGGTATGTGGGAAGCATCGACTGGTATACTTACGAGCATAGCTTCGGGTCCAAACTTTTCCACCCATGTGTTGGACTGCAAAGTATCTCTAATGTATCTGAGCAAATTCCACAACCGGTTGAATGTTTCGATCTTGTTTTCGTGCGGAAGTACGGGCCCCAACAAAAAGTCCACATTACAGAATGCCTTTGAGGGGTCTGTGGCGGCGGTGGGTTCGAAGTTGATATTTGGTATTGAGACTATATTACCAGAATTTTCTCTTAGAAGTATGGAACCACTGAATGTGTGTAGTCTCTTCTGCAGTTCACCGTTATTTTGAGCGGTATCTGACTTCAATTTCTCTAGGTCCCACTTTAAGTTGACAAGGATACATGCTAGATGGCGTACAATATTTTCTGGGTCTGCGTCCTTGAAAATGCCGAATACTGGCCACTTGCTATTGCGGTCCACCACGTTGTGAAATGTCAGTTCCTCGTCATCTAAAAGCCGTAGGGTTGGCTCCTTGCTGAGATTCCTCGCAATGTATTTGAAGCTGTGATACACCCATAGGACATGATATGACATAGCTAGTGCCCGAAGGTGTGCTACATCGCTGTAGCCGAAATAAGCAGCCAACTTCTGTTCATCGTTGTCAATGTCTATGTATGGAACTCCTGTGGTGTGGTTTCCAGGGCTTTCGCCACGGGACTTCTTTGGCTGTCTAACTGGGTCTTCTCTGGTCTAGAAGAGTCAGTGAAAAGATGAAAATAACTTGAAGAACTGGTAACGAAGTTAAAGAAACGCACCTTGTTAGTTTCGACTTGTAGCAACTGTTCTTCGGACACCGCCATTTGGCCACCCCCCTCTTCGCTGCTCTGACTTGCTAGATTGGTTTTTTTGAGCCGCTTACTAGGTGGCATGTCTTTCTCACTTGCTTCGTCATCGACTCTAGAACGAATCGTCTTCGACGACGAACTTTTGATTTCTCCACGGACAATTGGACTAGCTCTTTTCTCTAGAACTTTGGGGATGGTTGCTTTGGATGACTAGAATCATGTTTAGATGTATGAAGTGATCAAAAAGTTGTCTGGGTTTAGAGCTTACACTCGTCGCAATGTCATCTTTTCCCAATTTGACATCTATGGTTTCCAATTTGACTTCTATATCTTCCAACTTTATCTTCGGCATTGTCTTTCTGTATTGTGTTAAACGCGGGGGTAACGAGATGTGTGTAGACAATGATGAAGAAAAACAAGATTGCAGAAGAAAAGAAAGAAGACTGTGAGGTTCCCCAGAAAATCGTGAAAGAGGAAGGAGCCGAAAAGTCAGAAAGATTGCTCGAATCGAAAGATGAACGAGATTTTCTGCTGGCTATAAACATTGAGTAGTAAGTGAATCGGAATGTAGTAAAGGTGAACAATTGAAAGTGAAAATTCACTATCTTACTTGTGCCATGATTAGGGTGTCACGTGGGTGTGTTCAACAGAACCCGGCACATCTTTTTACACCCAGATACTTCAAGGTACAAAATACTCCAGAGACTTTAATCGGGTGCTTTCTCGAAACCCAACAAAGTTCGAGAGTGTGTCACTCAAACGCCGACAGATCTGTACACTACACACTCAAGCTTCACCATCTTGCAATGTTCATGTAACAAAAAGATAGAACAATTTCCATGTTCCACCACACATCACTCTCAATCAACTGGGAGAGGTCCTGTTAACGAGTAGTTGATTCTCCTTAAATTACTCATAAAAGTACTCGAATATTCTCAATACCCTGTGTATCCATGCATGAGAATGAAAAATTTCCTAATGACGAGTCTTCAAATACTACATGGTTTTCACTTTTCAAAGTCGGCGGTACAGACCTGTGACGAGAAGAACAGTTGTCGCAATATGTCATTACATGCAGTCGCACTCACTCACCATCTGCGATAACTCAATTCCGAAATCCGCGAGATGTCGCTGCTCAAGCCTCTTGCTCGAAGTAGATGACCCACGAGGAAAGTTTCGTGGTTTTCATTCGTTTTTCTTCAAGCTTCCCTGTCATCTTTTCCTAGGTATTATTGCACGATTTAGTTACTTCGATAACATCGCCACCGTTAGGACTGAGGGTCAGGTAGTTTAAAAGTTTGGACAAGGGGAGTCACGATACTTGCTCGTCAGTCGGTTCCTTCTTGATAGCCCAGATGTTGTTAAGGTGCACCGGCTGAATGCAAATCACTTTTGATAAGAGGAAGATCCAAGGCGCCATTTAAGCTGTAAGACGAAATCACTTCAAGATTCTCTAATTTCTATATACAGATCACAGCCTTACACGACCATCTTCACCTTTCCCCCTTCTCCCCCTCGCTTAACCCCCTCACCACCACCCCCTATCCACCCGTAACTAAAAAAAAAAAACAAATTCCTCCTACCCCGAACCCTCGCATGATTCATTTTCTAGCTGGACCTCCCCACCTCAAACCCACACTCTTCACCCATCAGGCCAGAAGCCATTCATGCAATGTGTCTGCCCGGGCACCCAGCCTTGCATAAAACTCGACGCAGCTGACCACACATCCACTCTGCACCACCTCACTGCCTAGAAAGCCTCCTCATTCATGCCGTCATGCCAGAACATGAGGCTCTGCTAAACATTCTAGCATCATGTAATTGGCTGTGTGAATACGCCGCTGCACGACATCGAACCCAGAAAGACGGAAGTCGGGCGAGAGGCTTGCTTCTCATTTGATATGAAAGACACTTAAGTTCACGCCCGCCCCAACATATCCCAGTCCGCCTAATCCCCAATTTCCCTCGAGCCTCATCTACCAAGGAAAAATGCACCACGCAAATCTCGCCTGGATCACGGAACGTGATCTCAAGAACTACTACGTCCTACGTAGCACGCACCGTGGGGCGTGTTATGAGTTAGAGTATCCGCTGAGGGGATGGCCTGAGAGTTTTTTGTCTTCGAATTGGTTCGTCGCTTGTTTCTGAGATGAGGATGAGGATTGCTGATGTGGATGTAGGGAGAGAGACGTGAGGTTACGCGACTTGTCTAATACCGAGAGTGAATTCTCGACGGACGATCAAGTGTGGGCGCGACCGCATAGGAGGGTTGATCTCACAGCCTACACACCACAGCATTACCCTCTATCAACACCCAGACTTCACGCCCAGCCACTCGTCGAGCTCGGCAATGTAGTCGGTGCCATGGGCGTGAATCTGCGTTCTTTGAATCAGCAGTACTTTGAGATGATACAGAATATCTCGAGAGTAGCGACGTCGCAAACGTATAGAGAACCGGCGGGGATTGGAATTCGGAGGGTGATTGAACCTGCGTATGAGAGGGAGGAGTATGGAGGGGGGTTTGGGAGACATAGACACGCACACGGACATAGGAGGAAGAGACGGATGGATCGGCGGTATTCGGGGTATGTTGTGCGTGATTAAGTTAGTGGTAGTTATTTTATGGAGTTTGATTTTGGGAGTCTGGGTATTTGGAAAGGGATATATATGTATTGATATATTTGGGTATTCGAAATCCATAAAAAAATACAGAACGTCACGAGTGCATAGCAAGTAAGTCCTCAGTAGCCAACGCATACTCCGGACACCACTCCCTCACCTCCCCCAAATGTCTCTCATTCCACCTCTCCACCTGATGAAACCCAAACGGCCGTCCAAACCACACCGTCTCGACCGAGAACGTCCTCGCCACCTCGAAACTCGGCAGGTTCGCCCCGGGCCACTCCTTCAACTTGTGGTAAAACCACTGGTCCTCGAATTTCAGACACGGAGATGTGGTGTCACATGCGATGTCACCATACCGCGCTGTTTGCATCTCGGCTTTCCAGTCGTGCGCCGCGAGGACGTCGAGCATCATCTGGCGATTGCGCAGGGAGAAACCGCCGTTGAAGCCTTCGCCGTGGCCGTTGCGGGGGTTGCTGGGGGTGGCGATGGGCGCGCCGATGAAGTCGTATTGGAGGAAGTCGTCGATTTTGGAGGGGGAGTTCGAGCAGACTATGCTGTCGGCTTGGAAGACCAGCACGTGAGATGCGGGCGCGAGTTGTTCCCATATCCAGGGCGAAGTGAGGAATTCCGAGACGGACTCCTGGTCTGTGAATGTGATGTCGTCGGGGAGTTGTCTTATTTCGATGCGGCCGTCGTCGATAGCGCGCTGGAAGGAGGAGGAGTTGGTCGGGTTGGGGGAGCGGGTGTAGAAGATGATGGGCCAGGAGGGACCGAGAACGGTGGAGAAGTGAAGGAGGAGGGGAGTGAGGGTTGGGAGGGGACGATCTTCGATTATAACGGCTATGTTGTTGGAGGGGATAGCTTTTGTTAGACTTGCGTGTTTGAGGTATCCCGAAAGGAAAGAGACTTTCAAGGCCCAGACGTAGACGAGGAGAACGATGGCGATGACTGCAAAACTGTAATGCCTGCTCGATGCCATATTGATGTCCCGAAAAAAAAGAAGAATTGAGAGAGAGGAAGGAAGACAAAAACAAGGAATAGAGAGGGCTTGTAACTGTTGGGATTACAGTTTAACTTCTTATCATAGCTTAACTCCTACGTAAATTATGCCTTTACTCATTCGGACTCCGAAAGAACCTTATACTCCCAAACCGGCTTTGGGAATGCATCGTCCCAATGAATTCATATTTCTTGTCCTAACTAGGAAATTATTCGACGCGAATTACCCTCCCTTGCGCGCTAAATTGGTGAATCGAGTCCCAAAAGCTCCAAACAGAAGAGAAAGAACACGTAAATACCTAAAGAAACCAACGAAGATATTTCGTTCCACGTACGCAAGTTGGGTCCGTCGTACAATATGTTGGTGTTGGGCTGACGCGGCGTGACGAGTAAAGAGCGGAGCCTTTCTAGTAGAGTTTTCCAACAGTGTCTGAAACAGGAGGCTCAGATTTCTGTAAGGCTACACGAACAGTTCTTTGAGACCACTCACATATATTATCGGGATAATTCACTGCTCGAAAGTAATGTCTGATGCTGACGACGTTGTGCCGTATGTAAAGCTTGACCAAACGGTTAGCTTTTGAAATTGCGTACTCCGTGAATACAGGGCTCGGACCTCGATATCTCAGTTGGCTATCGCTATACTTAGATAATAGCTTTGATGTCGGAGAAATGTCATCTTGAAGTTCGTTGTAAGCGTTGTAGGCAGTCTAAACCCAATCTAGACGTAGGAAATACTTATCCATTAACTGCTCAACAACCCCTCCAAAAAGACGGATTCAATGCGATATCCAGCAGATAAAATCCATGGGTAACAGAATCACTTTATTATGAGACTGTATAAATATCAAGCTTCATGATTACATTACCATATCACTATATAATTAGTGGAAAGAGGTAATCATAGATACAACATCACAACTTTGATCGCCATAGCCATTGTAGCTAATCTACCACGTCCATGCCATCATCCAGAGAGAAAAGGAGAAAATGAATATCACTGCCGTGTCCCACATCTGATAATGCTGCCGAGTAATATTCTCTCTTCTCCAATCCCAATCCAATAAGCAAACCCCCCTGAACTGTAGTGGTTGAAGCACGCTCATCGTCCCTCAACGAAAAGCGTAAAGCCAAGAGTAGATGGCAGCCAGAACCAAAACCCAACGCTGCGTTAAACTTGAACGACGAAATAAAATATTTCGCAAGATGATGCACTCCAGCAAGCAACTCGTATTTCTTTTCCTCCCCCAAATCATGATGATGATGATTGACAATGCCATATGATGTACATTGGACTTGCCTATTCATCCACACGAATATGACAGCCTAAGCTGATGCCAATGCCACGGTTAAGGAATCTGCTTTGTGATTCTTTAATTTGAGTTCAATAGCCAATTTGTGCTGCTCCAATTGCCACCCAGACTCCACCCGATGCAATGAAAAACAAACGACTCCAGCCCAATGCGAACTCATGTAACCAGGCTTCATGGACGAAAATTTATGGTGAAATAATTCGACTCCAAAGATTATATGCAATTTACAGGTCAAAATGTCCGCCGTTAAACATGCTGCTGTCTTCGTTGGTGTTCGTCTTTTGGACACCACTCATGCGATCACTGCGTCGCTGATCAGGATGCTCAAATGGCTCTTCCCAGTCTTGTTCTTTCTTTTCATCCTCATCCATATCATCATAATCGTCCTTAATATGACCACGAGCCTGCATATGTTCCGAAAGAGAGCTCTCATCCACAAAGGTAAAACCTTTGAAGTTGGCTTGCATTCCTGGAGACAGTGGGGTCGAGGTCTCGATACCTGCAGCTAGAGCTGCCGCTCGCGCATTTAGTGATGATGCTCCCATTAAAGCATTTGTAAATTCGGGGTCGAAGTTTTGGGTGTCTGTCTCTGACTTCAATTTTGGCTTAAATGGAGGCGTGATAGTCTTTCTGGTCAATGCATCCCAGTCGATATCAGCGAAGAATGCATGTCTCTTCAACTCCTCGGCATCATCTTGTGCTCCGAGTCTATGTTTGGGATTTCTGTTCAAAAGCCCTTTGACAAAGTTACGACCTTCGGTTGTCAAAGTGTCTCTTGGGAATCTGACTTTGCCAAACGCAATGTTCTTGTACATCTGTTGAGTGTCTTCAGCGTAAAATGGACTCCATCCACAGCACATCTCAAAGACTAGAACACCCAACGACCAGAAATCGACCATTTTCGTATAACCAGCTTCATCTAGTAGAACCTCAGGAGCAAGATATTCGGTAGTTCCACAGAATGTGTTGGTGGTTGCGTTCTTTGTCAAATTGGCTTTTGATAGACCAAAATCGCACAGAGCAATATGTCCGTTGGCATCTAGGAGGATGTTTTCCGGCTTCAAGTCTCGGTAGACAATGTCGTGCATGTGAAGATGTTGAAGAGCCAAGATGAGCTCGGCAATGTAGAACTTTGCACGTTTCTCGTCAAATCTGCCCTCTTTCTGAAGATGCCAGAACAGCTCGCCGCCGGACATGAAGTCAGTGACGAGGTAGAGATCTGTTGGCGTTTGGAAGGAGAATTTGAGTCCAACAATAAATGGCGAGTCTGCCATGGCTGTTCTGACCAAGATATTTCGCTCTCCGACTGTGTGGGCGACCTCTTTCTTTTGCACGATAACCTTCTTTTGAAGCACCTTCATAGCGTAGATACGTTTGGTATCCTTCTTCCTAACTTGATACACTTGGCCAAAAGTTCCCTTGCCAATTAATTTCAAAATCTGAAAATCCTCAGGTCCATAATGTCGCTTTTCGGTCCTTTGAAACATGATCTCCACGAAAATCTCACCAAAGACACCAGTTTCGGTGTCATTTTTGCCGCGAAGGGGGAACCATCCACTGAGTGGTGGTGAACTCTCGGAGAGGTTGGCGCTCAGATCAACGTGGCCGAGAAACTCCTCAGCAGCACTGCTCTGATCGTATATAGTCAGGTTGATACGTGTATCAGCGCCAACAACATCACTAGAATTTTGTTAATGCTTTTCTCAAAAATCGGGAGGTCCTCTTACAATACGGCTTCTGTGTCCCATTTTGGATTTGTGAAGGACTTTCTTCCTTTTGACTTGAAATCGCGATAATCAGATAAACTTGTGTTACTGCTCTGTCGACTCTTCATAGGAATCGCCCTTGGACGACCCGAATCACTCCCAGTCCTCGATATTGGGATTCCACCCATTGGACTGCTCGTCACATCCTTGTGCTCTTCTTCTTCACCATCTTCATGGATTGGACCCTTGGACACCAACTCATTGCGTTGAAAGACTGCAACGACGTATGGCTCCCGGCTCCTCTTTAATCCTCTGGCTTCACTGATCTTCACGGTGAGCTTTCCTTTGGTGACTGGCGCCGGTACCGAGGCGCTAGCGGTGATGTCTTTTTTCGCTTCTGTAGGAGTAGCCTCCTCGTGCCGCCCATTCTCCTTCTTTGCAGTTTCTGAGCCCGCGCTGACGTCTGATGTTGCGGTGACAGTTGACGATGCACGTGGGGATGCGTGTCCGCTCTTTTCGGCCGGGAGGTCATCAGTTAGCTTTTTGAGCTTCTCAATGGACGGTGACTCGTGGAACTGAGAACTTAAACGAGAAAGTATAGGAGTGCTAGGTCTGGTATCGGTGGGGTTCGAGAAGTGTGCAGCAAGTACATTTGAAGTCGTGACAATGCTAGAAAGTGGTAATAATGAAGGTCTACGAGCGTGCTGGGGTATGGAGTCGGAGATGCTCTTGTGATGAAGGGAAGTTGAAGTGGGAGTCTTCTTTACTTCGACATCATCCTCGGAGCCCGACTCGTTCAGCCTTAACTTGTGCAGTGAGGGCGTTTTGGAATCAGGTGGTGTTGGATAAGAATGAAAGCCAGCATCTTTCTCTGTCTGTGTTTGTGCTTGGAGGGATCCCACCCCATTATTAGATGATAATGGTGGGACTTCCTCATGCTTGTTCTCGTCTGAGTTCACGACCTCGCCTCTCGAGTCTGAGCCTGAAGCGTCTGACAACCCCAGCTCCTTGGTCACCATGCTTCCTCGGCCTCGAAGAGATGAAGCACCTTTGGACGCATTGCTCCTGGGGATGGCTGGGGGGTTCAAAGGACCAAAACCGGGACTTGTAGAAGAACTTGTACCAACCTGGGCAAAATAACTGTTGTGATCTATACTGGGAAATCGCTTGTCCGAGGGGTCTGGCTGTGGGGTTGCGATGCCGGAGCGGGGGGTATCGGAATCAATATGGTCATTGGCGTCATCGTCTCTCTCTGCTCTGTCTGGCCTACGCAGAAGATTAGCAAAAGCCATAATTAGATTGGACATGCCACCAGGCTGGGACAGGACGGTCGGAACGTGATGCGTTGAGGCAGAATGGCATTTCGGGACCGCTTGACGACGGCAGGACAGATGGAAAAAGGGAAATGGCTCAATTCAGAAATTTCTCTTTTTTCTCGGCCCATTGCACGAAAGCGCCATGAATGGAATTTTTGGATTTGACCTGGGTGGGATGAGATGCAACACCACGCACCCATTCACCAGTCGCCGATTGCCGCTTCGATAAGGCCCGAACGGTACCCCTCGTCAACTTTGACAATGAGTGGCATGTGGGAGCACCTCCAAAACGCAGAGAAAGAGCCCACGAAGGAGAATAGTGACTTTGCACATGCGGAAAAAGTCTGCCAGACCGAGAAGCCATGTGCAAAGGGCAAAAAACTCCATCAGCTCCCTGTGTATACTTGGAATGCAGAAACGCTTATCCCCGAGCCTTGCCAACTGAATGAAATGTGGGTTTTCGCCTTCGTACCTTGCCATCAGATGTTGTGCGGCCTGCCGCAGCAAGTCGCCCTCAGGGCCGGTCATGGTGAATGATTTCGGGAGTGAGCGGCGGGACAATGGAAGAGGTCAAACGATGTGACTTTGATCTGAAGCTTCGTGGAGAAATCGATCGCGGGCGGGAGGGAAGTGGGTGATCACCGGTGAGGTTGTGCGGCGCACCGAGAGGTACTTGACGTCGAGGTACCTTGAATTTCGATATGGGACCGCTTCTCGAGGGGTGGGATGCGTGGAGGGAGTGGTGGTGGTCGGCGTGGTGGTGCGAAATTGCTTGTTTGAAGCTTCTCGAGGGGAGAGGAGAGGAGAACGAGAACGTGCTGTTCGTGGTGACGATTGGGTTTTGCAGATGTGACGCGCAGAAGGGTCAGGAAAGGGCTCGGAAAGTCGTAGTCAAGATCTTGTTTCCTCCGCCTAGTAGCTTAGTCGCCCCACGATTTCGCTACGGATAGAGTGAATGTTAATCGTAATGAGATGAACCTTATGCCCACCATCACCATGTTTCGAGCGGCGCAATGGGGGTGAGGATGATGTTTGATCAATGCAGATGCAAGAGGACAGACGAGCAGAAGAAAATGGTGTCGTTGTCGTTTGCCGTCGTGAGATTGTTGCTGAGAAAGCGCAGTCGGTCGTGGGCAGGCAAGTTATGAGCTGGGCTGGGCAGTGGGCAGTGGGCAGCCCTGGGCTGGTCAAGCGGACCGTAAAAGCACCTGAAGACGGAGCAGTGCGGGTGTTTGCGCCTTACCCTGCTGGCCCTGGTGCCCTATCCAATCCTATCCTGTGACCTGGCCAGCCTGATTCGACGGCGGTCGGGGGGCTCTGCTGCTCTTCTCTCTCCTGACTCCTGTGGCCCGATGGCTGTTGGCGCAGGAGAGGAGGGGAGGAACCAACAACACCAGCAGGAAGAGCCCTGGCTGGACGTCGCGCCGACGATACGGATTGAGCACCGCTGCTTGCCAGGACGCTGCTGACTCTGACTCGTGCAGCGAACTGAGTGGATTGCCGCTCCTGGACTCTGCGTCTCTGCAGTGGCTGGTGCGAATGAATACTCGTGCTTCGTTCAGTCGACGATACGAGTAGCGAGTAACACTTCTGTGGCAAGGTGTTGGGAGAAACGAATGCAAAACATACGAACTAAGGCATCAACAATGTGCAAATGATTGGACGCCAGCAACTCCGGAAGCTTTATTGGATACTTTGCGTTTGTGAGTGGTGGACAAGAAAGGTCTTATTTAGCGACGCCTTTCAACTCTTTCCGCTCTTCGATATTGAAGAAAACCTCGACACCGACTTTATATGTCAGCACCGGCAGAGTCAGAGTGATAATGCCAGATGTGTGGTCACTTTGATATTACTTTGTGCTGCTTGCTACATCTAAAAGTAGATCCATTATGTACGTTTGAGGGATTATCCGTCTCTTTGATAGAGATCCGTACCTGTCCGAGATCTCTCACTTTTTGTCCAGCTATCGAGTACAAGATCCATCGAGTTGGAAGAATACGAGTCTACCGCCACATGCAGCACAACCACCTACCCGGGTTGGATTCATCAGGAAACAGAATCTTGTGTCGCTGTCACAATACCTGCCCGCTGCCGTGGAGGGGTCCCTCGACGTCATTTCCGCTGGTGTTTAAGATCCAGAGGCTATTTATATGCTTCTTCTTGTACAACAGGACATATAACTGCTTTTGCCGAGGATCACATCTGGCGAGCCAGTCGCGCCATTTGACTATATTAACAAGCTGACCTCCAAGAACGTTATATGCTTTTGTACTGTTTACGTCCGGTATGTAAGTTCGATGGTGCTGATCTCAGCCCCCTTTACGAAGCGTAGACAAGTAAACACAATCCTCCCAATGTGACCGTCGACGAGGAGAGCTGACCTCAGACCTGCTGAGGGTGACACTACCGTCAGCCAACACAAACCGATAATGGTCTGGCATCATTGTCAGACGGAAGCAATAAGAAGCAATGGATGCCTCCTTTCCGTCCTGTACACCGCATATGATGCGGACGGTGTGTATAGACGGTGTGCGTCTTCAAGTAAAAGGCCGCATCCTGGCCACAAAAAGGTAGAGTACACAAATCTGAAGAGGTGGTTGGTGTCAATTCGGGTCTGTTTTCCAGGTTCCTGGGTTTTCCATGTGTGAGCTCCTGTTGTCAAGTGCTTGTATGCTCCATCAGAACCATCTTGAATCCCAATACTCAATTTCCCATGGGCAACGGGATTGGTACGTTGCTCAAAGAAACAGAGATGTTGTTGGCGTCATCTTACTTCCGTCATATTCGTCTCAACGCAAGACGATGAAAGACATAGGCCTTCAAAGTAACCAAATATAAATCTCGAATCTCGATAAATCGTTGTAAACTGGCATGAAGCGAGGAAGAGGAAGGATCAAGTTGGGTCATGTGACTTGTGCCCGAATCATGAGGCCGCATGTAAGGCCGAATCAGTGTCAGCCAATCAGGAAAGCAATGGTTTGTCGTTCATGAATTCATGCTCACTGCCGGCGCGTCTCCCTCAAGCCGCGATAGGATTTACAGATTCTAGACAAGAGCCGCAACACCATCCACGAACTGGTTCCTAACATTCTCAACACATCGCAATGGGTCGTCGACCAGGTAGAGCTGCTGCAAAGCACGCAGCGGCAGCATTGAGTAAGTTTTCATCACTCTAGGACTCCTGGCGCATCCAGCTAATTCGCATAGAAAACACCCCCCAATACGACGAAGCCGAAGAGGATGAGCAAATGCAAGATGCGCCCACGCCAGATGCCAGTAGCCCGCCACAAGATGCGGAAGACGATAACGAAGATGAAGAAGGCACACCCGCCCAAGAATCCGAACCTGCATCCGCGCCCGCGACACCCGCTCCCGAACCAGTTGTGCGCAAACGACGACTCGGTCGACCACCGAAGAACAAGCCTCCAGATTGGGATGCTGATCGCGATGAAGCACGCTCTGATGCTGGGACACCCAGACGAGGTCGCGGTAGAGGAGGATTCGGAAGAGGTGGTGGACGATGGGGAAAACGGGGAGGTGGTCCTTCGCATGTCACACAACAACCTATAGATAAGGAAGGAAATATGGTTGATGTGGTTGATGATGAAGTGGAATTGCCTGAGGATCCTGCTGGTGAGGAGAAAGTCGACAAGTTTGGTAACCTTCAAGGTGGCCGCGAATATCGGTGCAGAACTTTTAGAATGCCTAATAGAGGTAAACGTCTTTACATGTTGTCGACCGAACCAGCCAGATGCGTGGGCTTTCGAGACAGCTATCTATTCTTCACCAAGCACAAGCGGCTATACAAGATCATCATCGACGATGACGAGAAGCGGGATATGATTGAGCGCGACCTCATTCCACATTCTTACAAAGGACGTGCTATTGGTATAGTGACGGCAAGATCAGTGTTCCGTGAGTTCGGTGCGCAGATAATAGTTGGGGGGAAAAGGGTCATTGATGATTACGAGGAGGCGAAGGCCAAAGCAGATGGTATCACAGAAGGAGAGCTTGCTGATCCTAATGATATTATCAAAGAGGGCGAGGAGTACAACAAGAACCAATACGTGGCATGGCATGGAGCAAGTTCCGTCTACCACACCGGTCAACCTACGGTCCCATTACAGACAGGCAAGGTAGTTGATGGCAAAAAGCGCCGGATTATGGTCAACGATGTGAATTGGATGTTAGAACACGCTCGAGAAGCAAGGTACGTGATACAACTAAACTCTACCCCAAGTATATACTAACATTCCCCAGCCGCTTCAACTCAGGCCTCGCCCTCCAACGCAAAGCAATCCTCAACGGCATCTACGACCCCCACACAAACATAATGCAATACCCCAAAATTATGCAACCCACCCACGCAAAATGGATCCAAATCAACGACCACTCGCCCCCGTCCGACGCACCCTCAGACACCATATTCACACCCGTCGACCCCATCATCTCCCGTAACTACATGGTCGTAGACACCGTCTACGAATCCGCCCCGGCTTCTAATCTTGGTGTGCCTGGCCCCGACGGAGCGGTATACGATATTGGGTTTAACGGCCTGGAGGGTGTGTCCGAGGATATCAAGGCAGAGTTGCCCCCGGAGTGTTTGAAGGCTTTTGAGGAGGCGGTGGGGAAGGAGAGGGTGTGGAAGGAGAGTTGGGGGAGTGAGGGACGGGATGGGGCGAGGAGGGCGCCGAAGATTGATAAGGGGCCGATGGTTTGAGGGAGTGCTGGAATGGGGTGTGAGGGGGGAGTATGGGTGTATGGGTGTATGATTAGGGGCGTTACGGGGGAGAAAGGCATTTAAGTTAGTATTTGTTGGGGTGTATGGTGTTAATTGAGAGTTTACTGGAGTTCTTAATCCTTCAAAGCCATGTCTGCTCTAAGTGAAGCTCCTTCTCTTGCTCAACCCCCCTGACTTGTTCTTAGACACTCCATTTACTAGTCCTACCCTTTACCACCTCTCTAAAATATGCACGAAATCGTTAACGCACTTACCATCTCGCATTCACTTACAAGCTACAACTGTAAATCTACTTACATATGTACATCCTTTCAACTTCGTATGTAGAAGGAGCATTCAATACACACCTAGATCCTTGTGCTCAATCACATGGCCTTTGGAAATGAAATAAAAACAGTGTTTAGAATCACGGATACGAATTCGTGTGAGGCCGTATGATAACGTCGATGCGAGCTGGCAACACGATTTAGATTTCTACGCACGAAATCATTCTTCCCCTGTGCATGAACTCGAATTGGGTCTTGGGTTATCGTTAGAAGCCGAGATGAATGATCCAGCGTTTGATTCTGTGGAAGTGAATGTTGATCGAGTCTTCGAAACTTGCCTATCGGTCGATGCTTAAGGACACAGCTAGAGCGATGATCACCGTTTGGAATTCCAGAACGTGTGTTTAGATGAGATATCTAGCTCCTTGATCCTTTGCTCGCAAGTGAATGAAGCACTCCGCGCATCCCCCCCGACCCTCCCAATCATACCATCTCTCTTCCCTTCTCCCGGCATCATGACAAGCAAGTAAAGCACACCCTCGAACCACTACCCCAGAAACCCAGGTAAGTAACACCAAATCATCCTCCACAACCCAGTCCGACAGAATCCAACACAGAACTCATGAAATAACATCTCCAGGCAGTCTCCAACACAGAACTCATGAAATAACATCTCCAGGCAGTCCAAAAGGGCACTACAGTACTGGAAAGAAAGAAGCTAAACCCATGGTTTCGGTTGAAATATGACGGTCCTGCCAATCTAGATTATTATGCAAGGTACGATGCTAGAAATCAGCCAAGTTCGCTGTTACGGTACAGATGCTAGCGTCTACACATCAAGTAAGCGACGGCTCTCTTTTTAGTCAGGTTTTCCATAGGAGGGTTTCGTCATGACAGTGGTGGGTGGGACTGCGATTAGAAATGGGCTGGCTGTCTTCACTGCTAGCTCGGCGATGTATTGAAGCCTAGCAAGACAAGATGGTACAAAGACGTAAGGATACAGTATAGAGTCTGTACTCCGTCATCAGAGCGATGTTGATTTAGGATTTTGTTTCTTCATCTCGCTCCGCAAACTCCGGTGGAAGGAAGCCCAACTAACAGAATCCATCATCGCACCAAAAGCCACCATCTCTGAACCTAAACTAAAGCAATTCAGCGCACACTACCAAGCATACATCACACACATCATCACGATAGACTCATAAGTATACATATTCTTTTCTTGTCAGACGACAACAAATATCTTCATTATATCTAAGAGGTATGCACCATTCGTCGCATGACCCACTAACTAGCCAGTAAACCCGTTCTAATAAACGAAGCGCCAGGTCCATAAAAGCCCCAAACAGCCAGATCGTTGTAATGTACTAGTAGTATGTGTGTTTGTTTGTTCCGAATTCAGAAAACTAAAAAAAAAGAAAGACGATGTGTCCATCATAACGTCATGCTTTATTTCCTCCTTCCCCCCGCTTGCCCATATTTGTTGTGCTCCAGCTCCATCAAAGTGTAAAAAACAGGAAGAACAAATGCTTTGTTGTACCGGCGGCAAATAAAAAAACGTTTTCCCAAGGTCCCCCAAACTACTCCTTTCTTTCAAATGCCGTCCATTTTTTCCATGCTTTGTACGCGAGTTGATTCAAATCCCATCATGGTTGTGTGTATCGAGGTGACTTGTTGGACCAGATCAAATGAATGACCAGCCCAGACGATACCATTCGAAAGTTATTGCCGATGACGTGGCTTTTTCCATCTATGAATCAAAAGCAACTCAAATCATTCCCTTTCTCCCATTCCGTTTTTTTGTGCATGCCAGAGCCCTTCCATAGCAAGAAAGCCGGCGAAATCCAATGATCAGAAAAATTCATGTTACAAGAAGAACCCAAAAACCAGGATATATGCCTTTAAAGACAAAGTAATAAAGAAAAGGCAAAAAGGAAAAAGAAGAAGCCGCTTAATTACAAATTTCTCGATGGCGAGCCGGAAATCGGCATTCCAATATGGTGTTTTGATGAGACCCGTCCGTAATGAAGAAGTCTAGAAGAAAAAAAGTAGAAGAAAAAACAAAATCCGTAATGTGCAAGAACAAGAAAATAGAAGCCAAACTAACGCAAGATTAATCCACGCACGCAAATGACAAGGTGCCTCTCCCTACAACCCATAACACCTGACCAGATAACCACCTAGTCCATGCCAGTTGGTTCAATAACAAACGAAAATCTAATAAACGCTAATGCAACGCCAAGCCAAGAAAATGTAAAGGAAAAAATGGTCATAAGATCGAGGCGGCCACCCAAATTAGAGCGCGCGCAGTCTCGAGATCGTAAAAGTATGCGTTTCCGTGTGTAGTCGAGACAACTTGACGCAAAACGTATCGGTTGACCGAAGAAGCAAGTGATCCTTTCTTGAATTATTTTTGGAAACCTGCCGGATATGACGCGATGTAAACGTAAAGTGCGCCGGGAAACGCGGACGAAGTGAAAAGCAAACTTTTGTGTCGAGCACTAGGCATCGAGGGTATTTTAGTCGTGTAAAATGAAACCGAAATGATGTGGAGATGCGGCAAACCACATTAAAGCAAGCGCTTTATTTCTAGGCGGCAATTTGCTGTCCATATCCGTGTGTAGCAAAATGTGGCTGCTTCACATATGGGTTGCAGTGTGGGTCGTTGCAATCGGTCATCGAGAAATCCCAGTTGTTGGCAGCATACTGATTACCGTAATTGTTGGAGAACGGGGTGTGGTATGGAGCAACACGAGGTTGAGAAACGTATGCCGCATGGTGTGGCGCTGGATATCCTCTGGGATATGGATTGTAAAGAGCCCAGTCGTTGTATTTGGGACCTCCGCCAGTCGCACTCATGTATTCAGGGGTGTGAATCGCCGAATCTGGTGCAGATGGAGGCGTGTGATGGGGAGTAGGATATGTGTTCCAAGAGGCCAACTGATCATAGCTCGAGTTGTAACCAGAGTCTCTTTGAGACGGAGTCTTGACATATCCACCGTGCGTCTGCGAATATGGTCGGGCTCTCTGAACATTGGTGTCGATTGGGGCTAGCGGTGCCAGACGATCGAGGGTTGCCGCACGCTGGATGTTCTTGGCCTCGCGCCAGACTTTCCAGTTCTGGAGCCATGCCTGAAAATCTTTGCTCTCATCGAGGTTGACGTACAGATTCCACTTGATACTTCCTAGCCATTCCCGCTCTAACGTATTCAATTCGGACACTGAGATGCCACTGACTTCTGACCATGATCGATTTTGGAACGTGTTGTCGTCGAGGAATTTGCTTCCGAGAAGGAGGCCAATTGTCAACATACGCCAGGCTTGACCATCGCTAGGTTTGAATTCACCATGCTCAGCAGTGAGCATATTGAGTCGTCGAGACAAATAGTTCAGTCCGAGTAGGATAGTCGTACTGGGCAATCGAGTGGATGATAGGAGACCCGAGACGAACTTGCGGAAGTCTGGGGAAACTGGAACCGCCGCATTGCACAACCGCTGGGTCATCTCCGCAACGTAGTCGGTCATTTGAGGGACTTCATAGTCCAAAACGGCACACACGCCACCGGGAAGCATATTGATAACGGGTTGGGGAGGCCGACAAAGATTCGATTTGAATCTTGTCGGATACAAGAAGAGTTAACTTCTTGCTGTTGTTTATATGCGTTGGAAGAGCGAAATGCTAGCTGATCAGAGCTTTGCGAGTCGATGTATTTCCTTTTTTATCTGGCGTGAGGTCGTGATGGACGAAGAGCGAAGTTTTGATGGGATATTAGTTTCGTGAATCCGCCATAAGTTGGTGGGTCTCGAATTGAATGACTTTTTGGTTGAGATGCTCGAAGGTGAGGGTGGTTGCGACAGTGAACAGAAAGACTCCAACAGCGCGCTTGGGATTACTCGACCATGCAGCGGCGAGATATTCGCTCGAGTTCGGAGGGTATTCTGGGAATCTCGAAGAATGTTAGCGATGATTCTCGGAGTTGATAGAAAAAAGTCTGGTGATTTCCTGATACACGACCCTCGCTCGGACCAAAGAAGCTGTGACAATGATGCGACTCCAACTGACCGGAAACACAACAAATCGATTCAGAAGACTCAGAAGACAATCGTCGTAGATACAATTTATCTTCTGAGCCCTCGGGATGTTTGGTTCTGTTCTCCCGGTGCGGGTATCCTTTTTGTCCAGTTGAACAATATGCAATCAACCTTTGTTTTGATTGCGTAGGGCCCATCTACCGCAAGCGCCACCCAAATAACAGTGAATCAAACGACAGTACACACCTTATTCCTATTATTCGTAAACCGTGCAAGAATTCGCGTTTGCAGAAGGGTGCCCAGCAGAGGTCGGAGTCGGATCGCTAACCTGACAGTAGCACTGCGATTCGTTGTGTTGAAAGCAGTCTGCCGTGCAAGGCGTTTGAGAAATTCGAGGTTCGACGGGCGAGAGGAGGACAGGAGAGAGAACGTTTTCTGTTGCGGAGGGAGAGAAAGTTCTTGGAGGATGGACGAAGGTGGTGATGATCTCACTCCAGAAAACAAGAAGGAGAGGCAGGTGTGAGGAGGATGAGGGAATGAATAAGATTTAGTGTGTTCAGGGAGTGAGTGGAGTGGAGACGGCGAGAGAAATGAACTCAGAGGCGAGAAAGCCACGAGTAAGAGACGAGCATCGAGTGGGCGAGGGCCAGAGTGGACATGCAACTGGCAATTCGGAAGCACTGGAGAAGGCGAGAAGGACGCTGGCTGGGGGGGTGGTGACTGGTGAATCGTGACTAGGGGGTGGTCAGTCCGCCAGTGGGCAGTGGGCAGTGGGCAGTGGGCAGCAATTTGCAGGCTCAGTGGTTTTTGCAGAGGGAACAACAAGCGTGCGACGGATCGGGGGGCCAGCACCGAGTCGCGGGCTAAGGGGCACTTGACAGGCCTGTGGGAGAGAGACAGGTCTGGTTATTGGCGGTGACCGGTGCTGGCCCTGCTAGTGACTCTAATTAGGGGGAATTCACGAGCGATGGCGTGGATGGCCAGAGAATGGGGGTGGGAACAGCCGACGTCTGGCGGCCGGAGGGGGTGGCAGGAGCGACGCATGGCCAGATGGGGGTGTGATCAGCTCGTGTGCTAATTTTGATGACTGGGCAACCACCACACACTGCTTGCCGACGGGTGGCCGTAGTCAGATGAGGGCGTGCCATATGAGACCCCCGTTTCCCACGGTGGAAATCATCGGCTTCACAAACGCAAACGAAAAAATCAAACTGGCACAGATGCAACAAGCCACACTGCTACGTCCATCGGTTCAGGGCCAGAGTGCACCTCCGTCGCAATGAAGAATCCGAATTCACCCTCGCACTGGACATACATCGGCATCGGCACAAGCAGCCTGGGCGCGAGTGGGAGTGACAGAAAAGCAACGAGAGGCAGGTCTCGGGCACAAGCAACTTGAGCAGAATAAGACAGGAAACCTGCCACATCGCGTCTGCTTAACAGGAGGCGACCACGGAGTGTAAAGGTGTTGCCGTGATGGTAACAAGACACCCCACGAGTCCCGGCTATACGCTATGAAAAGCCCTCCGGATGGCGAGAAACAGTCATCATTGGCATCCGTGAAGCCGCTTTGCAAATGTACGAGAATAATGACGGTGTATCAAGCGTGGAGGCCAAGCCAAATGAGGGTGCGACGGCGAGGGAGACGAGCAACGGTAAGGTCGAATCACTCAGACACACCAAAAAGAAACACCGACCGCATCCTGGACCAACGATAATCCATCATCACTTCTCAAGTATCAGCCCAACACAGGTCTGGTATTTCAATAATGACTAACGACAACATCGAGGCACCGACACGGTGACAGGCAGAATGCAGCCGACGAGACAGCCCGCGGTAGGCGGACACTTCAAACTGGTGCGGTTGAACGGTTGATCATCTTCACGTTCGTGGCTTTCCAAAATTCAAGATGCAGCCGGCTCGCCCAGAGTATGGCCAGAGTATGGTTCCCCCAGCTGCTGCTTTGAGCGACGATGGTTGAGCTCGTTGCTCCTTTGAGACATGCGCGAGACCGCACAGCAGGATGAGCCTTCTTCATCCAGAGGCTGCCAATTTACAAGCGCAACAGCACTGCAAAGATCACCCCTTTCCATTTCTTGATTTTGTCCCTTTCCACGCGCATCCTCCGAAGCCACGAACCATCTGATTCATCACCAAACAGCCTGCAATTCAGCATAGAGGACACATCGTGTCACCCACATGCACTTTACAGATAGTACAGTGTGATGGAGGAGTGCTTTTTCGCCTCCCGCCGTTGACGAACATACTCCGTACCGCCGGAGACACGATACCACAACACTTTGCTGTTGCGCGGCAGCAACATCAGCCTTCACAAGCGTTGCAGGTTGCCAATAATGATGCTAGACGGCTTCCTAAACTGCCACTCGCTCTGCCACCGGCGATGCGTGTTCGTGTCTTGCTTGCCTTGTTCTGACCACTTACGGCATTCTAAGATCGAGCTGACCTGTATTCTTTGCGCGCTTCATCAAGGCTTCTCTCTTGTGATGGCTTGACTGATGCAACTTACGTCTCCGTACGGCTTCGGGGAGATGGATGGATCACGACTGGTGGGTGTCCTGAATCTTACCCACTCGTGGCACAGGAGCAAGACTCCTGGCGATGCACCAAATAATGGTGTCTTTAATACGGTGGTGGTGTTCGAGACTATCAATTCCTTCAAACCACTCACAATTTGTCCTTGGCAGCCGGTCGTTATTCGCGGCATAAGCAAGCAGAAAGGCGGTGGAATCAACAACATCTGATTCCCATTGGTACGTGTGTGCCCGGCCTCTCTTCATTAAGCTGATCTCTAGTCTTGATATTCTATCCACTCACAGAGCTCTCCCTGTGTGGCTCTTGCAGACCTGGCTTCTTTGGTTACATTTGAGGATTCAAAGTTGTGGTCACCGCGCGTGTCGGACAGATGTCTCTCGCCTGGATCCTTTGTGATTCCTCCCGTATCGCTCCATGGTGCGAGTCAGAATCATAAAGCTCGTCGAAACCTTACCGCCCAGTTGAGCGAAAAGAATAACATGATTCTACAATACCCAGCCCATCATCCGGACCCCTACATCCTCATTACGATCAATATCGTTCACTCCGCCAAAAGCTTCCGCTGCCTCTGGCGGTACGTTTCCATTTCGAGAAGGCCACTTCCCGTTGACCACTCACAGGATCACTTTACATGTACTGTGATGTACCCGTGCCGCGGTACAGTGACTCGAGTCTAACCCAAATGTTCCTCTCACTGTTAGGTCATGCCCTGAAGTGCATATTTCTTCAGTGACTGAAGTGGAGATATCTCCTTCAACGTATTGGCATTCTGGGAATGCGAAATACTTCTACCTACGGAAAGGTTTGGAAAGAGCCGGTTTTGAGCAGATCCAATACCAAATCCCATGTGCTTTAGTAAGTTGCCATGCGTGTTAAGTACTACTAGCAGGTTCTGCCGTTGCACAGCAATAGCTGTTCCTGAGGAGATGATGGTCATACGAAGTACAACGGTATCCCAAATTCCAGCTCTTCTGCAGTTCCACCGGTTGCGTTAAAGTTGATTGGTCTATACGACCTAAACCCGGCCCGCTGGCCGGACCATGTGGGAACCATCCAGCAAAAGCATCTTCACCAGGATCTGGCGCCCAACATCGTACCCCTTGTCTCACTTGAGTCTCTCCATTTAACATTTCCGATTCTACCTCCGGCTCTCCGATTACCCCGACGTTCCGGGAGTGCTGTGCAGATAATCCGGAAGAGTCAAGCCACACCTCATCGTCCACGGGTGCAAAGGACCAAAAAGTCACGCGGATCCGCGGCGCTACCAAATGGATTCCCGGCGCAGAACACATGTGAACGCTCACGCTGGTCATCATGCTCAAGTCTGACTTCGTACTCGAGTTCTTCGTATGATGCTACTCCTAGAGGATACCAACCCAACCCATTCGTCGTTGTCCCTAAACTGCTGATCTTTAGGTCTCGGCCCTAAAGCTTCATAACCCAAAGAAACGACTTCGTACGTTAGTGTTAAATCTCTTCAACTACCCACTCTTCAAGTACCAGAAGTTAAAAATACAATGCGCTACCTGGCGCACAGCATCGACAATAAACGCAGAGCATCTGAGGAGCATCCGTCATCGGTAAAGATGAGATGACACTCATGATCTGGACCCTGACTCTCGATCTCAAAGTTGGGCTTTTGATTCATATCGACGAACAGGTGCATCAGTTGGGTCGAGTCCAGAATACTGTTCACATCATGCGAGTGATTCTTGGGCCGATATCTTACACCAGAGCTCCAAGACTCATTGATTGCCCCCATGGTTCGATTTTCACCCGTTGAGGTTACCTATTAATGATCAAACCCTTTCAACCACCACTTTCAGACATCAGCCTTTCGGATTGCCGGCTTGATGTCGGTCGCAATGAGCGAAATGGGAATGTAAGACTACTTAGGTATGATCGTTCAACCTCGCTTTCAGTAGTCATTATCTGCTGGCCAAACAACGGTCGCTATTTTATTTTTTTCAACCGCCAGCCTGATCATCACCACTTTACAACATGCACCCCAACCACGTGCATGTCCTCGATATCGCTTACACCAAGGTCCAATGGTACGCAGTACGCAGAGTAACGGCTCATACAAAAGATTTTCTCCCCCACGGCCAAGTGGCTGTTCACAAGGTTCAAAGTAGTTAGGTACTATGTCGTCAGTAGGGGATTTGTCAGTGCTTCTGCATACGGAGGGTCCTTTTCACCAAGCAAGTGGAGAAGCTTGAACCAACAAAAGGCACACATACATGAACATGAACTAAAAACTTACAGTACAGTACATCATGAACCGCGGCCCGATGGCTCTGAATTGACGACTGCCGGTTTTCATTTCCCATGTGAGGCCAGGCTGACGTTCTCAGTCACGGACGTTCTAGAATAGAACCTGGACCAGGTAACGACAAATATCGGACTTCTCCAAGGTACCACCACGGCACCGATTATCTGTAGCAGTATCTAGCATCAGGATTTCTTCCTTTACACATCAGCATCTAAAAGCGATGGCCAGTAGGAATACACGAATACCACCTTACATACTGCAATCCAGTGACACGACTGTTGGCGTCGCTCACTGTACCACCCAAGAAAGCAGGATATTACATTCTGCATCAAGCAGTCAGACTCCAGTCACTCCACTCTCGAAATGGAAAAGATCGAGAACCACCTCTCCGCGCAATCGACCCTCCACGCCACTCACGAGCATCTCCTGCAGTTGGTGGGACGTTTTCCACTGGGTGAAGATGGTTACACCGGCAAAAGCTGCAGCGGATACCGAGGACATCCGTTCTTTTATTGTAAGCTTGCAGTCTGCAGCTTCCTCATTTTTTCTGGGTGAGCTGCTGAGGGAGTTGAGTTTTCTGTTCTATTCTCTGTCATTTGTGCGTTTGCGATGTTTGGTCGAAATAGCAGATTTAGGATTCCAGGGCAAGTGCTTGGATCCAAATCTAGGCCGTCGCTCTGTCACACTGCTTGCTCAGGCGATTTGTTGTCAGCGGGTTGATGGCGAGGCTGGCGAAAAGGCAATACGGGAGGCTGGATTGGTGTTTCGTTTCTCTTGTGGCTCCGGTCGTTGATCAATTCTGCGTACTTTACGCGCGACACATGTGCGATACATGTTTGAATATGCTGTAATCTCCTAAATGTCTCGGCACATTGTGTACTTGGAGGTCTCCGACATCGACTCACTTTTACCTACTCGAATCACGAGATTGGCATCCGAGCAAGTGGAGATGTTGTTTTATCTCGACAACAAAGTTGTGTTTTTTTCGCTTATTTCCAAGTCACACTCCGTCGTTCCCAAGTAGTAATTGAAACGAATCGAAATGCGAGGATGAAGACGCAATCTTCTTAGCTGGTTGTTAATATGCTTGCTGCTTGTAATCACTTCATTTATTAATAGCTGTATCTGATCATTGAAAGATCAGTTTATCTAGAATATCTTTTAATTTGCTGGTTTTTTTCCAAGATACTACTGTATCCGTTCGAAGTTGTACTTGGGTTGAGCTTAATATCTCGTCAACTTCATATCAAGTGAGGATGGATATTATGATTTACAAATATATCTTTTCTATGCTCCTCCACTTGGGGTCTTTTCAATCTTGTTCCTGTATCCAGAGAGGATCTGTAAATATATCATATATATCCTATCTGTATTTCACGGTATTTCAAGGTATTTCACTTATATTTCAGGCTCCTACGGTAATGGCTATGTGGTGTAATTACGTTTGTATGAATTTGGCCCATGAGATATGTATTATCTCTTTGCCCTGTGTTCATATGAATAAGCCAACATAACTTAGGTGCTAAGTCATGTTAGCTTTTCTAGAACTGGTGGCCATTTAATTTTTCTTCTTCGCTATTGATTCAATATTTTTCATAATTCTCCACATGAGAGCTAGTTAAGAGAGGTAGTCTTGTCATTCTAGCTAAACCCACACAAGAGTTATGATTCCTGCAATGCTTCAATAAGAGCTACATTATGTTGCTCTATCTTTGATTCGTTTTGCTAGGTCCATCTTTTTCTTGACCCAAACAGTCCTTTCCACCGAACATTGCAACTTTCTCCCCCACCGAACCGCCGCGGATAACTGCACCAGGCGATGCTCTTCTCGAAGACCCCGATACCATGGAGTACGCTACAGATGAATCAGCAAGAGTCTCATCACACGACAAACGTCTTTCGCAATACTGACGTTCCAACTCCTTCTCCCCATCATCCCATCGTTTTATGGCTTCGAACGTTGCAATCGTCGCTTTCACACTTGGTCGACCGCGTCGTCTTGCTTCTTGCATCGCTTTCTGAACTTCTGCGGCCTGTTTTTCTGCTTCTTTCTGATGTGCGATTTCTATTCTAGCCCGCGCGGAATGCCAGGGCTTCTTTGGTGCTTTGGAGGCGCTGCTGAGTGTAATTCTTGCTGACGTCGTAGCCGTAGGTAGAGGCTAGTCGTCGTTCAGTAGAGGCCCAGAGTAAGTGATGGGCCATGGGTTGGGCGAGATACTCAGGTGTTAGGGTGTTTGTGAGTGGAATGGACTTACTAGATGACGAGGTTGTATCTGAAGCTTCTTGTCTACCTGACGCTTCTCTTCTAGTTGCCTCCTCGTTCCTTGAAGCTGCGTGGATCTTACTTACCAGACCTCTTCCTAGGACGACGTACTCAGCTACTTGCTCGTCCCCCGCCTTTCGGTCGTCGCCCATGAACACATCCGCTGTCTTTTGTGCCAATTCCTCGTCAGATGACAACACATCGTCGACGAGGACGAGAGACTCGCTACTATGCCTGGACGACGGCTTGCCTACAACACTTCTTTTACCATGAGATGAGGAGGATATCTCCGTCCAAGACGCTTCATCGTCTTCATCTCGTGGGTTCTCTCCCCTTTGCTTTGGCGGAATTGTAGCTACTGCCTCTCCTAATGCTTCTCGCCTGGGTTCAGATCCTCCGCCTACCACCTGTTCATCACGCTCATGAACATCTTCCATCTTACTATCTTCCCGTTCACCGGTTTTCTTGAAAATCGCACGTTTACTCCTCTTTGCCATTTTGATCGCTGGTGTAGAAATTTGTCTTGAGATGGCGATGGAGAAATTGTTGGAGATGAAGTTGGTGATTGTGATGGCGATGGCGATGATGCTGGCGAAGAGGGAAAGAGAGATACCTGATCACTATATAACCCTATTCTTAACACTCCACTGAACGATGATTTCCTTGTTCTGATCTTGTTTGTATGGTATCCCCTTTTTTCTTTGTTTGGTTTTTGAAAGGCTGCACTGAGTCTCCTTGGGGTCTAAGGCGGGTGCTTACATTAAAGAGAATGCAGTTTTTGTTTAGGTGGGTGGTTTTCTTGGCGCCGGGAGATGTATGTTTGGGGGGTTTGATGGGGTCAGATGGGTTTGAGGACTTACCTTTATTTGAAGTGATCGCTTTGAAGTGTGTTTGTAGAGTTGCGGGCTCTTACTACTGGGGCAGGAAATTGCTTTATTTCTTCCTTTTCAGAGAATTTAAGGGATGGCTTTTCTTTAGAGAGAGTGATTGATGATTTTATTTCCTTTCGATATTTTGGGTACGTGCGGACGATTGTTTTTTTTTTTTTTAATTCTTTTAATGCTATTAATACAAAGACTTATATACGGTTTACTATTCTTTCTTGCCTTAGTAGAATTCAAACAAATGAACTTATCTCAAGAAAGTAATTTAAGTTTTATTGTTATATTTTGTATAGTATATAGTACTAGACTTTAATATTAAGCCGAAACCCGAAATCCTACTAAACATAGCCGTTTTTTATAGTTTATAAAGATATATATCTTTTAATCTACCGAACCGATTTTATTAATTTTAATTCCTGATTCTAATTCGAAAGCTCTAATTAAATATAGTCTAAGGGCTTAAAGTATTAAGTAAGCGTCGTCGTCGTATTCTATTAACTTAAAGTTCGAGTACCGAAAAAAGTCGCGATTTTAACGTATTTTTACGATAAAACTCGCGAAAACCGATTTTACTCTACTTTCGCTAGTTATATTATACTTCAATTAAATATTCTTATAAAAGCTAAGAGATAAGAAGTTTAATTTTACTAAGAACTTCCTTAAATTATAAGAGTTTATTTATTAAGTGTTAGGGTAAGTAGATACTTATAGGTGTTTATAGTAACTTTTAGTATAAAAAGGCGCTTCGGCTTAATATTAAAGTCGGTTACTGTGTATACAAGAAGCACGTAACAGTATTTAACTTCAAATTTAAGGAGTCTAGAAGTAATAAGATATCTATCATCTTTTGTACTTCAAATTTCACAATTTCACGTATTTCAATCAATTTTAGAGGATTTTAAATCTAACATTTTTTGTATTTTTCTTTTTTTCCTGGGAGGGAAAAGGGGGGAGCGGGCTACTTACCATACTTATACTTTCCGTTCTTGTACTGTACTTGTACTTACCATACTTGTACTTACCTTACTTACTTACCAAAGCGAACTGAACTCCGCGCAAGCAAACCCCAAAGCAGATCGCAAACTCAAAGAACCCTTACAATCCCACCCATTCGGCATTCATACCAACAATCCTCACAAGCCCCATGTCCACAAGCACAACACTCCTTCCTCCCCTCCCCCACAAGCGCAAACCCCTGAGTCCCGCATGCACAGCACCCTAACTCATGATCCATCTCCAGCGTAGCTGGGGCTGGAAGCATAGCTGGCGAGATCAAGCAGCTCTCGCACTCATGCCCGCACTGTCCGCACCCGCTGTCGATGCGCGAGAGCGCGCTCGTGCACGCGCACTGGCAGCAGGTCATCGTGTCGTTTGTGCCGGGCGCGAGGAGGGCGGTGGGGAGTGCGATGGAATCGACGGGGAGAGAAGTGGTCATGGGTGGGAGGGAGGTTGTCATGGGTGCAAGCGAGGTGCCAAAGGGAGAGGCGCAGAAGGAGAGGAATTCATCTTCGTCGAACCATTCCGGTAGACCGTCAGTTGGTACAGTACTGAAATCAGGCTGTTCTTGGGCGCGGATGTACTCGAGTAAATGATTTACTTGCTCCTCGGAGAGGATCTGGATTCGTGAGTGCAGTTCCTCGCGGGAGGTGGATTGGGAGTAGACGGAGTAGTCTGATTGGAGGGGAATGGATTCGGAGTAGACTGAGTAGTCGGACTCGAGGGGGATGAAGGGGGTGTTTAGGAGGCTGGCGTTGAGGTCTGGGTGGTAGGTTTCGGTGGAGAGGTTTTGAGATTGGGATTGGGCGTTCATGGTTTGGAGGTATTCGAGGGAGAGGCCGGAGGTTGACTCGAAGTCGGTGGGGGTGTCCATGATGGTGTGTGGATGGAGGTGGATGGTTGAGACTGGGTGAAAAGAGTTGAGACGGGTTGAGGTGGTTGGTTGTTGAATTGTTGTGTGTTTGGTAGTGGAATCTCAGAAGTGTCTCGGTGAGGTCTCTGATGAGGTGTCTGGAGAACATTAGTTGGGGGGATATTTAGGACTTTTTCAACCTTGTGCAAGTGATGTGTTCTGGTTCGGGACCTATTTTTGACTGAGATGCAATGTTTTGCAAGTTTCATTGTTTGGCGAGGAAGACTTCATTGTCTAGCGAGGAAGAAAGCAAAAGTGTGAAAGGAAATTGCGAACTTGTGATGATGTCTTGTTGATGGATATAAGGAGTCTTTGTTGAGCACAATGTATTGTATGAGTAGATCAAGAGTTGACTTGATTTGGTGATGTAGGTAGTACAAAGAAAAAACTTACATGCTGAAAGGATTTGAGTACAACAGAGAACTGTGTGCTCATTCTGAGATAGAGAGAGCAACATTATTCTGATTGCAAATTTGCAAGTGCCTATCCTTTGAAGTAAATGGACTAATGAGAAACGAATTTACACATTGGTCGACTGTCTGAGATGCTCTCTTGAACTAACTGTGTATATGTCAATCAAGAGACAGACGTAAATCAACAAAAACTGCTATAGAAATATAAATTTACTCGCCTATCTTCTCAAAAGCATGAAAAGGTTGTCTCTAATGTTAAAAAATAAGGTAATCTATGTTATAACGCAAATAGAAACGAAGAGAGCCGTCACTCAAAGTCAACCCAGTTACTATACTCGAATTGACCATCAGTGTTATGAGAGAAATCTTTTAAACACTTCCAACCTTTTTCGCACATGTCGGCATTATCATACAAGTAGCGGGAGTTGAAGTGGAAAAATATAAGCCTATTTTGTTAGACTTATAGAGTTGTGAAGTTGGGGAATCTCATGTAATTCAGTATATTGAAAACTGGTTGAGCTAGCTCTGCGACGACGCATCAAATTTCCTTTCACGGCGCCGAAGGCCAAACGACGTAGAACACAATTCTCTTTTTTAATTAGATAATAATAATAGGAAAGTTATATTTATTCTTCCGAGGAGAATAAACAAGGTCCTTAACGTAACTTTAATCACAATAGTATAGCTGAGTATAAAAGTCGTGTAAGTTTTAAGTAGGGAGTGTGCCAAGGCGACGTAAAAGGAAATTTAATGTATCCGCGTAGAGGCTAGTAGGTGAATGTTGGGTGATTATGGAATGTGCTGACAGATCGCCCTAGAAACAAGTTGTTTACTTGGACTGTAACTTTGTTCAGTGAATTAGCATTCATTTACTGGCGCCCTAGCTCCTATATAAGTAAAGTGCGGCTCATTTTACGAGAACTCCTTTCCAATTACGCACTCATTTGACAACGCGTTAATAAATAGCTCCGTACTACACATCAAAAACTTACAGCACTAAAGTCATGGCTTCTTCACAAGATTCCAGCTATTCTCAAGCTCCTCGAGATAAAGCCACATCCTCCAGTCAGACCCTTATCCCCGCACTTCCACCCTATCAGACCCAATATGCCCTTCGTCCAAGACCAGCTTCTCCACCACCAGAGCAACCTTCTCTACGCACGATTCTGGATCGAGCACGCCCTAATACCGGAGGCTTGGGTGGTCAATTGCCAGGAGGGAGGCGCCTTCCAGTGTCGAGACTGGCGAATGTTGAGAATGTGGAAGGTGAAGTGAGGGATTCTGTAGATTTGGGTTCAGCCGCTGAGCAGGTTGAGGGGATGGCGGAGCAGAGTGTTGGGGAGGCAGTTGAGGATTCAAATCTGGCACAAACAGAGGAAGTGGTAAGACAGACTGCCATGGACGAAGAGGACGACACAGTTCTGACACAAGACCATCAACAAGGTCATCAAGATCGACAAAGTCAACAAGACGACCCAGCCGAAGAAGGCATAGCGGAACCAGTTCCCGATGAATACGATATGGAGGACCTAGTACGGGATTATCCATATGAAGCCATCATTGGGAGTGCTGATGATTCTGGAGCTCCTAATAATTCTTCTGTTCCTGCCATTTCTGGAGCTCCCTCTCATCTCCCGACTCCTGATGAAGCTTCTCAAGTTGCTGATGATGACTTGGGTGGGAATGATTTATCAATGGATCTGGATTCAGACGCGGAATATGGTTTTGAAGGTGGTGATCTGTTGATGGATCTGGATAGCGAGTATGGGGATGATTTTGACGATGATTTGAATTTCGATTTGGAGGATGACTCTGAAGAACATGATGAGGAGGAGGAAGAGGAAGATATGGATAACACGATTCGGCAAATCATCAGGGAAGGGGGAGAGGTGGAAATGGATTATATGGATGCGGATGATATGTTGGAGGATGAGTCGCTCGACGGAGATGAGGAGGAGAATGAAGTGGAAGAGGAAAGGGACTCAGTAGCAGCCGGTGTAGATCTCGTCGCATCGTCTTCGATGGAGAATAGCACAACTGAATGACAGAGTGGATTCTTCGAGGCTCTTGTTAGTCGCGCCCACTACTTCTTATTTAACCAACCACGAAATGAAGAAATTCGCATGTTGTCTTAGGCACTATTGTGCAGAGTCCTGGAAAATTAGTAAATGAAAAAACAAAATATGCTGTAGGCCTGAGCACAACTCCTACGAAGTGAAATGCCGGATCTTAATGAATTACTTTTTTGGGCGATGAGGTTTCTTACCTAGATTTCTCTTTGGCAAAATGAAACTAGTGACTTTCACGTCTTATGATACTATTCAGGCGATGCTAAGTCTCTATTGTGAGTACAAATTCCGCTTCTGCTGGAAACTCTTCTGGGATGCTTTCGCAACCATGTATATGAATGTTCGGAATTTCAATGTAGCCCGGTCATTGTCTGAAGTCTGTGAATCCAATGTTTAGTGGAAGGTTTGGAATGATAAGTCGGGTCATAAATGTTGAGGAGTAAGGCGTTCATTGATTTCATTACTGGCTTTTCCTCTTTCACAGTTAGGAAATAAACTTTAAGAAAGAAGCTCCGAACGATTTTATTTGACAAAGAAGAGGTCGATATCTTCCCTCGAAGAAAGGACTCCAATTTTGATCCATCAGTTTTAAAGTGACACGACAGTTGTCAACTCATGCACTTCACTCGCACCCATGAAGAGAAGAGTGTCGGATTGGTGACCGCCAGCAGGAATTTCGAGTCCTAAATAAATGTCAATGCTTTATGTTTGTTTTGAGATTTGCACCTATCCTAGGAGCTTAGCTTCCGTCATAAGAAATGTGAAAAGCCGGATTCTGTGTGACGTTTCTTGATGCAGTACATACTGTGCATATATCAAATAGCATCTCTGAGGAAAATCAAATGTGTACTCCCCTAACAATGAACTTGTGATATAATTCTCGTGTCAACAGAATTATTTGTTGCTAGTTTCCACGACGACAAAATCGGGCATTAATTATATCATCCCGACTAATGCACCCCTGACGGGCGGGCCACGTCGGTTTGGTGTTGTTGCTGCCCCACCCGGTGAGCGACCTCACGAAAAAAGACGCGACAAAAAAGTTGGAACTGACAATTGATTCACACCCAATCCAATCCAGACCGTTTCTTCTGCTTCACCGTCACAAGGAAAGACACGCAGCTTTTCCGAGTGACAAGTGCTGACGGCAATTGCACTCATCGATGAGCACATATAATCCACGGCCTCGCGGCCTCACCACACGATAATTCTCAGACGATGTCGTTCAAAGGAGGGATCAAGCAGTGGAGGGAGCGGAATCGCCAGTCCTCATTTCTCAATCGACCAAAGACAGCGGCGCCTGATTCGGACCCGGATGAGGAGCTTCGAAAGCTGTTCGAAGGAGCTGTGTTGGGCGCCTTCAACAGCGAGGCTTTCTGCGAAGCCATCTCCAGTCAGGTCAATCCGGCATTAACCAAGCAGCAAGAGAAGCTCAATCAATTGAAAACCGCAAACCTCAATTTGGAATCGACCTTTCAGATACAGATTGACCGCCTCATCGAGAGACTGGAACCACCTCTAAATCACGTGATATCACTCAAAAATCCGAATTACGAAGATGATTTCTCGAGTCTCTTTCATGGGCAGCATGTTTTCTTGGAGAGGTTGGAGGCCATCGATCAAAGATTTGGGACGCTTGAAATTCCACGTTACGATGATGAGATGGGGAAACTTTTGGTTGGCCAACAGCAGCTTGCGAAGAGCATTCAGAAACATGTAGATCAACGATTCGATGCGATACAAATTCCTAACTACGATAATCAGTTCAAGCAGCTTGCGGCAGGCCAGGAGGAACTATCCAGAAATTTGAGTCAACAGCTTGAACGGCGTATGGAAGCGCTTGAGACTCAGCTGCAGGAGGTGGAAGAAAGTGTCAAAAATCACCACAATGAATTGCAGGAATCAGAACTGAGATCGGCTCTTCGCTTTGGCGAATTGTCCAATGAGCTCCAGGACCGAAATACCATGTTGGGGAATCGCCTGACCGAGACCGAACGAGGTATCGGAAAGAAGATTGATGCGCAACAAAGAAGGGTAGTTGGTGTATGTGAAGAGCTGCGAAACGTCAGCGATGGGACGCAAGATCGACTCTCTGCCATCGAATCCGCTCAGGCTGAATTCAACGACAAGATGTCTTCAAACGAAGAGGTTTGTAAGAAAACGAAATCTATCAGTGAGGGCATAGCGGCCAAGATGGACAAACTCGACAGAGGGATTCGTCATGATATTGATAGCTTAAGAGAAAATGTTGCTGCTCTCGATACCTCACCTATTGAAAATCTTCCCCGAAGACTGGACGCCATTGACAGGGCCAGTGCGGAGATCCGGAAAGAATTAGAGAACCAAAGATCGTTGGCTGCAGTCGATTCAAAGATGCTTTCGAGCACTACCGCACGTATGGACTCTATTTCGTCGAATATCGCAAACATGTCACAGGCGCTGGAAGCCGTGGACGAGAAAATCTCCGATGAATCTGAGCACAATCTACAGATAGAAAAGCTAGACTCTATTGATAACAAAATCAGTTGGATAAATAACAGCGTGGATAAGGTCCACAAACGTGTGGGCTCTTTGGATATTTCTATGCTTGCCGACCACACGAAGAACCTTGAGGAAATCGCGGCCACAATTGCTACCATTGAAGAGAGAACGGGCAATTTGGATAAATCGACAACCACTCAGGGAGTACATCTGAGCGAGCTTAAGTCTGCCCTCAAAGAAGTTCGTACCGATCAGAAGCGGGGATTAGATGAGAGTGTATCGTCACGGAAGACGACAGTTGATGAATTGCGAGCCAGTATATTAGAGTTGCAGTCTCACCTGGATAATGAGTTGAAATCTCATAATCAGAAAATTTCTGGGATCTCTGAAGATATCGCCGCACTACCAAGCTCTGCCTCTATTAGCGCGATTTCAGAAGCAGCCAAGGGGACCAAGAACCTGCTTGAAGTTTCTTCCGACTCGATCATCGAATTCCAAAAAGAAACCGTGAAGTTATTACGACCGATGCAGCCCGAGCTCGAAGGCTTAAAGGCTGGAGTCCAGTACGCTAACAATGCCATTGAGGCGGTCAGCTCCGAGATTCACGAGATTTCTTCGAAAACAGAGGCAAACAACTCCTCATTGTCATTTATCAGTGAAAAGATACGTGCCATTGAGGAATCCGTAGGGAGTGTACATTCAGGGACCGAAGATCTGGTGTCAAAGGTGGACGAGAGCCGTACTGTCTTGAACGAGCTCCGGGCTTTAGACAAGACACATGATATTCTCGCTCATCTTGAGAAATCCCAGCAGTCGCAGACAGACCACAACTCTAAACTCGGATCTCTTTATAGCGTTGTCGTAACACATGGTGCTACAAACGAAAAGAAACACGACACTTCTATTTCAGAACTACAGACCGGGGTGAAGAAAATGATCTCACGTTTCGACGAATCTCACTCTGCTCATGCCAAAGACGTTGCTTCCATCGCAGACTTGGGCAAGACCCAGGCAGATCAGATTAAGGAATTTGAAGAACGTATCAGCGAGCAATTGACGAAAGTTGAGAACCTGGCTTCTGAGTCCAAGAAGAGCATTCGGGAAAGTAAGAACAACATTTTGGCATCCATATTAGACAACAACCAGTCATATGGCGAAAAGCTTGAAGCCTCATCAGAAGATTTGATGAAGGGTCTGTCGAAGATTGAAGCTGCGGTCACAAACACCAATAAGAACGTCTTCGACACGAAGAATAGCGTGGCATCAATTGTACCATCACTCAAAAGCTCCGCCGAATCCCACTCTCAACATCTCTCATCATTAGTTTCTGCTAATTCATCGCATGAGCAGCATATCAAGGACCTGGGAGACCGTCTTCGGGATGGTCTTTCAGCTCTCGATGCCGCCATATCAAAGTCTCAGACCACGATCACTGAAACCAAGACAAGTATTGCGTCACTTATGCCAGTATTGACTGCATCCAAAACATCTCACTCTGAGCATCGAAAGGCTTTGGAGCAAATCATTGACACAAGCCATAGGCATGAGGCTACCCTGGGAGGGATTCAAGAAAGCTCCGTTGACATTAACGGGCTTCTTATGTACGCTCTTACGGTGGCTGAAAACAACTCAAATTCTTTGCAAGACCTCTCCACTTCCGTTGCTCGACGAGATGATCTGTCAACTGCGAACATTGCATTACGGTCTGTTTCTACAAAGATTGAACAACAAAATGCTGTGCTTGATAAGCTTAGTACTTCGGCGGCCGTACAAGAACTCAAAGATAATATCCAATCGAATCAAGATGTGCTCAGCTCCCAAACCATCACGTTGTCTGAATTGATGAAGGCTGAGACGGGCGAGATGCTCCTGTCGGCATCGAGAGATATAATGAGCGCTGTCGAAGATGCGGCGGATCAGGTCAATACTATCAGTGTCGCTAACCACGCGACCGCAGAAGAGCTGAAGGACCACCACTCAGAATCTCAGAATGTCCTCGCATCGCACACGTCGATTCTATCGGGTCTCGTAAGATCTGCGATGAGTACAGACGTTCTTGCGATTTCTAGAGACATCAAGAGCACTCTAGATAGCGTGGTTGAAAAACATGATGCAGCAGACGCGGTTACCGTTGATTCATTCTCTGATGTAAAGAGCCAGATTTCAGAATCACAAATGGCTCTTGAAAAACAGACAGCCCTCATTTCTGAGCTTTCAAACTCATCGGTCGGCGCGGATACACTTGCAATCTCAAACGAGATCCGCAAAGCTGTCGCCAATGTGGCCGAGAGAATTGATTCCGTCGACACCAGAATACAGGACGAACATTCCTCAATAAAGTCGATACTGGAAGGAAGTAAATCGGCGATCAGCAATGTTTTGGACGAAGTGGTCAACAACAAAAGTTTACTGGAAAATTCATCTTCAAAGTCTGATATGAAGGATGTTACCTCGAGACTCGAATTGCTCAAGGAAGAACTCTCTGGCGGATCACTGTTACTGCGCATCACAGACTTGACCGACAACGTGAAAGACCTCAGGAGTGCATCCCAGCAAGAAGATATCCTGAGGTTAACAGAGAAAATTGAGTCAATAGTCAAGGATAACAAAGACTCTTTAGCAAAGGCTCAAGGTCAGATCGGTCATGTTGAACAGCTACAGGCAGATACTCTCGGCAAAATCAAAGAGACCGCCGAAGAACACACTGCATCGATCTCCACAGCACGACAGGCTACCACTGATCTTGCATCTAAGTTCGATGCAAGTAGTCAGTCAATAGAGTCAAGTGTTCATAACTTCAAATCCGCAGCGGAGCAAGACCACACTGAGACCCGGTCAAAGATTGCCGAAACCATCAATGCGGCTATTCAGGAGCTTTCCGAAAAGCAGGCCTCCTCACATGCTTCTAATCATGAAGCTTTGCTTGCAGTTGACTCGAAGATTGAAGCTAGTGAGAAGGCTATTACAGCCGCAGTTCATGGGATGAAAACCAGCGTGCAGTCGGAGCACTCGGCAACCATTTCCAAGCTGACAGCTGTGTCCACGGATATTTCTAAGGAGATTAGAACTGCTTTGAATGATAGCGCGTCTGCTACAGTTAACGACGTGAAGTCAAGTATAGCGTCTGAGAACGCAACAACCATTTCAAAGCTCACAGCTGCTTCCACACATGTCTCTGAAGAGATCACGACTGCTTTGAAGGATAGCGCGTCTACTACACTTGCCGAGATGAAGTCAAATATGGAGTCGGAGCATGCCATGACCGTTTCAAAACTGACAGCCGTTTCCACGGATATGTCTCACGAGATAAAGACTGCTCTGAATGACAGCGTCTCTGGTCTCCAGGATTCCGCCAATTTCATTCGGAAAGACTTGGTCGATGTCAAGAAAGTCGCAGCTACAATCGAAACATCTGGAAACACGCTTAGCGAAGAGCTCAAGGAACTTGGAATTAAGCTCAGCACCGAAGTGGAAGAAAATGGCAGCAAAGTAGAGATAACCACAGCTGCGCTCAAAACAACCCTTGAGAAAGCGAATGAGAATCTTGCCAATATCATTGCGGAAGATAGTTCCAAAACGCAGGCTGCCACAGCTTCGTTGCGGGAAGAGGTGAAATCTCGCGATGCCGAATTCAAATCCCAAGTTGGAAATTATAGGGATCTCATCACGACATCAACTCAATCGAACCACGACGACTTGCAAGCCCACCTCGATTCAATCCAAGGCCTATTGTGCTCCCTGCGCGAAACGGTTGATGACGCTCAGAAAGCTGATATCGCTAGCTCTGAGGATGTTAAGGCTGTTGTGCAAGCATTCAGCGCCCTCGATAAAGTAGTTACCTCCGATGCTGCGAAGAGCATGGCCTCCATCAACGATGTCACCTCCAGATTGACATCAATTTATGAGCTGGTCCAAGACAATGGCAAATTCACGGCCGAAAACGTAACAACCCTGGCTAACATCAAGGAGAGAGTTGATGGCACTTCGGAGGGAATGGGCAGCCTTTTTGATGATAAATTGGCTAGAATAAGCAAGGAGATCAACGCACTTGATCCAAACGCTGCGTTAAGCAAGCTTGCTGAAGTCGTAGAGACCAACGGCAAGCAGTTGTCGGATGCCAAACGAGAAATCCTCGGGTCAAACACGGATATTCAGAAGGCTCTTTCACATGAAATTTCTGCTCTTAACACGACAACTACAGAGACGAAGGAGCTCGTTCAACTCAACAGTAAAGAATTCACAGAGTTCAACAATATGTTCTCAGAAACCAGCACAAAGTCCCAAGATGCTATTCTCCAAAGAATCTCCTCTGCGGATGTGAGTGATGTCGTGGGCAAGCTTCCCTCAATCATAAAGAAAACCAGCGTTGAACTCTCGGAAGCGAATGACAAGGTCTTGAAGCAAAGCACTCAACATATGGACAACATTATTCAGGAACTATCTTCGGTTCGTGATGCACTTCGCAAATCGGATGCTACTGCTAGTTCTACAACCGAAGACAACACCAGACATATCAAGTCTGTTGAAGAATTTATGCGCACGATACCGGACAAGACAGAGGCTATCATCTCACGCGAGGTTTCAGGTCTGACCAAAACAGTCAAAAATTTTGAAAATGGATTGAAGGAGTCAAACAATGGGCTGGAGTCACTTCTTACTGGTCATGGAACAACGCTTGAAACCATTCAGAATAGAGCATTAAAAACTGACACTGACATTTCAGCAACCTCGAAAAGCATAGTGGAAACTCTCGACGCTGTAAAGGACCTCCGAACCTCCAATGTCTCTTCCCTAACGACCCATACCACCCTTCTCGGTCACATCCAGGAAACCCTCGAGTCTACTCCTACGAAGATCGAATCCACACTATCGCGAGAATTATCTAGCCTGGAAAACACGCTACGGGACTTAGTAACAACCTCAGGCCAAGAAACAGTAGAAGCGGTAAAGGTAACTCAGAATCTCGTTTTGGAGGCTAAACAGCATATTGGGCTTTTAGTACTTGACGGCACGGCAAATCTGACCGTCGCTGTAGAAACCTTGGATTCAAAGATCGGGAATTTATCCGACGTCGCGTCCACTAACACCCGTAAGCATCTCTCCTAATCTAACTACTAGATATGCGAAACTGACAAATGATCAAAAGACATCTCAACCGAAAGCCAAAGCCTCACCACAGCTGCTCTTACGAAGCTTGGGGGAGAGATCTCAGAATGTAGATCTTCACTCTCCACTCTTGCCGCCGACATTAGAGACCAGCACATCCCCACCATCGTCGACGCAATCCACACCGACCAGGACAGCACAACCCAACACCTCGAATCTCTTTCCTCGGACTTGAGCCCACTTCAAACACTTTTGGGGACCATAACTACCGCCATCCGCGTAAATCTCGCCGCAATATCGAGGGTCGATAAGGCAGTTTTGGATACAGGGGCTCAGATTAAAGGTGTGATATTTGAGGGGAACCGGAAATTGGGAACGGAGATCGAGGCTCTGGATGAGGGCATCCATGATGTCGGTACGAGGATAAGAGGAGTGTCAGAATATGACCTTCCAAGACTTGAAGATGAGATTAAAAGCCACGTCAGGATTTCGAGACGCCAGAATGATGGTTTAACTGTGATCGGAGGTCGAATCATCGGGACGCAGAATAAGTATGATGAGATGGTTGATGCGCTTTCAAGTCGGGCAGATGGAACGGAGAGTCCTGGGAAGATTGTTGGACACGCAAGAGGGTTTCATAGCATGGGAAGAAGAGTTGACAATCCTTTGTTGAAAGGTGGATCGAGAAGTTTTAGGGGGTATAGTAGTGCGACCAGGAGTAGTTCAAACGCTAGTGGGTCTAGGTTGATTGAACGGGCTTTTGAGAATGGGCCATAGAAGGCCGGATTTTCTCCTTTTGTGTTTCATTTTTCTTTTGTTTACTGGCGGGCACGGTGGATTTTCTTATGTGGATATCAGATGCGGCATTGGTGGAGTTGGCGGAGGTTAATAGATAGGTAGCATTGGGGATGATAAGATGCGAGTATACATTGGAGAATTTGATTCTTACCTTTCCCCCGTTGGTATTGGGGGATCTAATTTTAGTTGAATTTCCGCTAGTGGTTTCCACGCTGCTGCCCCCTATCCGTTCGCTTAATGTCACAAAGCCGTGCTAACAGCTGTTTCTCCATACCACAAAGACAACGCGGCGTAACAAAGAAGAACAATTGTATTCGCTTACATGCTGTTCTTCCAAACAATGGCATTGTCCGTACTGAATAACTGGTCAACGGATTTATATAACAGTACCTTCCAAACCTCTCTGCTGTCTCCCTATCATCAAAGTTCCCTACTGTAATAAATCAGGTACATCTCAGCACTCAACGAACATCATCATGTCCACCCAACAAACCCAAACCCGCCTCCAGACACTCAGAATGCAGCACGAAGTCCTCAAAACAGAACTCCAAGCTCAAAAAGCTTATGCTAGCAAGCCCCGACACAATCGTCAAGCCCAACTCAGAAACACAAATCACACTCATGACTTGCTTATCGATGACTATCTGTCTAATGCTACGATGACAGTTGATTCTAGAAACAATTACGAGGACACGACTTCTGCGTTGCGAACTTGGTTCAACGACCTCTCAGGAAAATTCGAAGGCGTAATGGGCATAGTAGGTAACTGCGGCACCATCGATAAAGCCGAGCCCTTCCCCCCCATAACCCCCTATTCATCCACCTATCCCACCCCTCCTCTTCCCTCCTATCCCCTTCTAACCCCGCGCTCCCTCCTCTCCCACGCCTTCCCGCTCCTCTGCGTCGAAGACCTCGTGCAAGACTTCTTTACGCTCGCACCATGGGAAGACAACGACGACCTGCGCTACGCCAACGACCGCTTCAAGAACCATGAGTTCTTCGAGGGCGGCAAGTATCGCAGTCTGCATTTCATGCGCATGCACTGTAAGTGTGAGGAGTGTCGCCGTTTTCGGGTTAAGGTGGGGAAGAGTAATAAGGAGTTGGTGAGGATGGGGGAGAGGACGAGTAGGTTGGAGGCTGTTGAGCCGGGGTTGGGGGGGAGGGGGGAGAGTGTCGGGGAAAGATGGTCTTAAGAGGGGGCAGGGGGGTTGGAGGGTTGGTGTTGGAATGGAATAAGAATGGGTTTTTTGATAAAATGTTAGTTGAATTAGAATGATTGAATCTGGATTGTGAATGCGTAAAATGATGATCTCTTGTGAGAAGTGACTTTAGTCCGGCTAGCGAACACTGCAAAACACAGAATCGTCGCGTTACTTACAACTGATTTAGTCGTCGAGACAGTAGCTCGTCTCAAATTTCAATGCTACTTTGATGTCTCAGTTGTACACTGTACTTGGAACTTTACTCAACTTAGCTCTAATTAACTTAAATACTTTTTTTAATATACATTATTTAGAGCTATTATCTGTTAAACTGCTAATATAGTTCGACCAGGGTATTAGAAAGAAATCTTCCATTGGGAGAATTTAGATCTTGTAAGATACATGTATGAGATGTGCGGATGTCCTTCCGATGGATCGGCACAGCCCTTCAACCGGCCCGATCGCTCGTCCCGACATCGGGTGGGTTTGCACGTGCCAAGTCCTCGCCAATTCAAACGATGATGGGGATCGGGCCATCGATTACCGAAAACCCGAAAACAACCGTAAGGAATCAACTGCACCAGCGGTGTAGGTTCCTCTATTACCAGCTTACTGTTAGTAGCTAAGTTATTTAGTAAGCTCATATACTTGCCTATCTTTGTTTTTCAAACTTCCTTTTTACTTTGGAACATAATAATGGCTCTACCATATTCTCGATTTTGACCAGCCATTCATCGGATTGTGGAGTAAGACTAGGATATCATATCTTGTCACTGCATATCCCGGCATTTCAAGGTATTTCGTATTTACAAAGTCTGTCCCCATGGAGACTCCGCTCCGTTTCTACTAGTGTCCCTGTCTACGGGTGCTAGCGCTGAAAACAAGCATTCAACATGGGGAAATAAATATTCTGGCATCGGGCCTACTATGGACATTTTGGACCTTGAACACTTGGCCTACGATACTTTTGGGGAAGACAACAATGGGGAGTCATGGTAGAGTTCTTTAACTCACGTACATGACATGTTTTTGCCCCGCGTTTTGCTCTGAAGGGTCGTTTGACGGTCTTGGCGGTCACCACCTTTGATGAGTTGAGGAGCTGTCTAAGACCGGTGGTGGGAGTTCTGCTTGGATGAGCATTTACAAAGCACGAAAACTCTGTTAATGGCATCATGAGAGCCGGAAGGCCCGGATTGCTGGAGCACGTCTGTGGGGTGCTCTCTTGCTCTTGCCAGAGTATAACTACTGCTTTCCCTTCCAAGTCATGTTGTTCTTCATCAATTTCACATTCGACCAAATAGCTCAGCATGGTTCTCTTCACGTCCAAGTTGGCAGCTTCATGCCTGTCACTAGGCATTTTCGCTGGTGCAGCTCAAGGCCAAAACATCACAAATGATAGCTATTTCTATGGACAGTCTCCGCCGGTCTATCCATCTCGTAAGGCCTGATTCAATCTTCAATTTTCATTTTGCTAACAATTTTCCAGCCCAGATGCCAGGCTCTCTTAAATGGCAAGTTGCACATGAGAAAGCAGTAGCTCTGGTCTCCCAAATGACCATTGAGGAGAAAGCCAATATCACTGTTGGTTTCGCCCCTAGCAATGGATGTTCGGGCGTTACTGGCTCAGTTCCACGTCTTGGGTGGGAAGGGTTATGTCTTGTAAGTGTTTTTGAGCAACAATTTTCCACCATTTCGAAATATGTTTCTACCTCGCGGATTGGCTCCACGTGCACTTTCTGCAGCTCCATAATTCAACAAATCTAACTCGAACACAGGCGGATGCTGGCCAAGGTCTCAGAGCAACTGATTATGTCAATGCTTATCCTGCAGGTATCCATGCCGGAGCCAGTTGGAATCGAGATCTCACTCTCCAACGTGCTCGTCATATGGGCGCCGAGTTCAGAAGAAAGGGCGTGAATGTCCTTTTGGGACCGGTCATTGGAGGCATCGGAAGAGTAGCATTAGGTGGACGGAATTGGGAAGCTTTCTCGAACGATCCTTACTTGTGTGGGAAACTCGGATATGAGACCATCAAAGGCATTCAGGAGGTTGGAGTCACAGCATCCGTTAAGCGTACGTATTTCTATCTCTCCTTAGATTATCCATTGGTAGAGTCTGGAAACTCACCGATATTTTTAGACTACATCGCCAACGAACAAGAAGACCACCGCAACCCTCTCATCGGTGGAGGTGACGGTGGTGGTGCTGTCGGAAACGAGCCTACCGGATGGTACCCTGCTGTTGGAAACCCAAACAACTACACTGTAGAGGCACTTTCTTCAAACGTCGACGATAAAACCATGCACGAGCTTTATCTCTGGCCATTTGCTGAGGCTGTTCGAGCCGGTGCCGGTTCGGTCATGTGTTCTTACCAGCGTCTCAACAATTCTTATGCTTGTCACAACTCCAAGGCTCAGAATGGCTTGCTGAAAGGCGAGCTTGGCTTTGAGGGTTTTATTGTTACTGATTGGAGAGCGCTACGTATGATTTTCATTCTCCACCAAAATTTGATGGTAGCTAATTGTAATAGATGCCGGAGTGGCGGCAGTTGAAGGAGGTCTCGATATGGCTATGCCTAACGGTTCCACGTATTGGGGCGCTGGTGGTAACAACCTTGTCCGAATGGTACAAAACGGTTCCGTTGAGGAGACCCGGATCACCGATAGTAAGTCAAACAAATGTGCCATGCTTGAGGTAGAATATTGACGTTTACAAAAGTGGCAACTCGCATCGTTTCTACCTGGTATCAAATGGGGCAAGACGTAAGATACTCTCAATCATTTTCACCACCACAACTTTCTAACACAGGATAGAATGATTTCCCATCTATTGGTCTCCCAGCCAGCTACGTTACACCACATAAGTCTGTCAGAGCTCGTGATCCTGTGTCGCAACCAATCTTGCTCCAAGGAGCTAGAGAGGGCCATGTGTTGGTGAAGAACGTCAACAAAACACTTCCGTTCAAGACCCCTTCAATGCTCTCTGTGTTTGGTTACGACTCTGTTGCTCCGCCGGAGAGCAACCTGGCAGCGCCTCTAGGAGGCTACCGTCTTGGCTTTCTATCAAACTATGGCTTCCCATGGTTAGCTGCCATTAGATACCCATTCACAAATCCGGGTCCAATTGCACCAAATGGAAGTAAGTTGTCTTGATATGTGTCTTAATCTAAAGCTTTGACTTGAGCAGTCAGGGTAGTTGAAATAAATGCTAATAACGTTTTCTCTAGCTTTGATTACCGGAGGAGGTTCAGGAGGTGTCGCACCACCATACATCTCGGCACCCTTAGACGCCCTCCAAGAAAGAGCATATAAAGACGGAACTCAGATTTTCTACGACGCTGTTGCCAACAACCCCGCCGTCCATGCCGAAAGCGATGCATGCTTGGTATTTATCAACGCATACGCCACCGAAAGTGTCGACCGTGAAGCTCTATACGATGACTACAGCGATGCTCTTGTCATCAACGTTGCCAACAAGTGCGCAAACACTATTGTAATCATCCATAACGCTGGCATCCGTCTGGTTGATCAGTGGATCGACCATCCTAATGTTACAGCTCTTATCTTCGCTCATCTTCCTGGACAAGATTCTGGTCGATCGGTTGTTTCGTTACTTTATGGTGATGAGTCGCCTTCTGGAAAACTACCGTATACTGTTGCGAGAAATGAGTCTCAATATAACGTCCAGGTTGCTCATCCTGAGGGAGAGTTCTTCCGCTTCCCTCAAGATAATTTTACTGAGGGTGTCTACATTGACTATAAGGATTTTGACCAGAAGGTATGTCCAACGACCATTCTCCATTTGAATATTCCGTGAATATTTAATATTAACACCCCCTTCAGAACGCTACACCCCGCTACGAATTCGGCTTCGGCCTAACTTACACCACATTCTCCTACTCCAACCTCGCAACTTTAATCAAACAAGGTGCCAACACCAGCTCCACCGCACCCGCATCCCGCATCTCCGAAGGCGGCCAAGACAGTCTCTGGGAAGTCATCGCGACCGTCTCCGCAACCATCACTAACACGGGCGACGTGACCGCCAAAGAAGTCGCGCAGCTTTACGTGCACATCCCAGGTGGGCCCGTAAAACAGCTTCGTGGGTTTGAGAAAGTTGAAATTGTTGCGGGAGAGAGTGCGGATGTCACGTTTTCGTTGACGAGAAAGGATTTAAGTGAGTGGAGTGTGCAGGAGCAGGCTTGGATGCTGCAGCAGGGGAGCTATAATGTTTGGGTTGGGGCGAGTAGTAGGGATTTACCGCTTGCTGGGGAGGTCACTATTGGGTAAGAATAGGTGATAATATATGGCTTGATGTGGATGGCTTTATGATATTATGAATATGCCGAATAAATAGAATTATAATGGATTATCACATAACAAATTTCATAATTTTCTTTTGCGTAGACTATATCTAATATGCTGCATTATTTGTAAACTTTTCTGTTTCTTGAATCTCCTTCACTATCTTAAAATCCAGCTCCGGCTTTGGCTGTTCTCGTATGTGAGAGAATCGGCAAAGACGCGAGCAACTTAGGATGTATCGTGAGGGTTGGTCGTCTTTTGAGATGACATGGAATAGCCTTTGTATGATAACTATACCGAGTTTATCGCCGGCAGATATCTCATCCTTTATGTTTTGAAAATCATTTTGCAAGTATACACTGAAGGCTTGATGACGAATTTCGATGACTTCTAACAGAAGGCGCTTTGTAGACTGAGTACCTCGACCTTAAAATCCTGAGATTTCTAGCTGAGAATCGCGGTCATATCCAGGTTTATCTGGATGAAATCCTTCCACAGTCTTTCTGAAATACTACTTATCTCCCCACAAATCTCTCAACCAGTTGCATAGTTTCCAAAGGATTGATGAGCGGCTAATCGTTGGCTTTTCAGCTGTGATGGTGTGGATAGTCAGTCTGTACTAGATCAAGTGAGGAATGGCTTGAAAAAAACTCTTGGGCCCGGAATACGTATATAACATCTCCAGATTTTCAGCGTCATAATGCTATAATTACCAACAAGTCTTCTTACCCGTGCCAAATTATGGTCGTACACAAGAGGAGTGAATTCTCTCACTTTGTATTAACTCTATTATATCCTAACCATCGCAAATGATTTTTATCGCTAGAATCTATAAAGAAGATATTTGCTATTCATCGGAGCTATAAACTCGACGTTTAATGGAGTTAATATACATTTTTGACTTCGCTAACACAGAGTACAGCAACGGTACTTGATATGCTCAGTGAACTTTTCAAAATCCCTTTATATGCCGATATAAAGTCAATTACACTACCAGCATAACTGTAATTGTTCAATTCCTGTCACAATTTCCAGCCCTGTCTCATCCGAATATGTTGTAAACCATTGCTCAACCATCAGTTACACTCCAAAACAAGTATGGAAAATGCAGGCAACCTCCCAAATTAAAACCTGCAAATTTCTCCTAACGAAACGTTTTCAAAGAGTATACGTAGCTGTCATTTTGATCTGACATTACACGACTTGTAAAACTCATTCCATTACACACACAAGACAGACCAGTTGAATCTCGCTTAAGCGCCTACGAACAAATCGAGCACCGATGAGGGGACGGTAGTTAGCCTATATCAGCCACTATATATCTCGACCAACCAAGAAAAAGAAGGGATCTTACAGTAAGCAGAACAATTCTGTGCGGTAACATGAATCTAAAAAGCCTGAATTCAAGGTCACTTTATGGAGCCCCACAAAGCATGGGTGAGGTCGTACAAAATACTGAAATTGGATATATAAATTTCAGAGACCCTTTTGTGATGAGGTGGAAATTTTGTTCAAGTTTTTATTACTTTTAATTGCTTGCTCAAACAGTAATAATACGATCGCCCAAAAGCCATTCCGTCACCAGAAGCTACGACCATGACCCTCCTCGCCATCCTCTCCCTTTCCCTCCTCCTCCTCCCTAACGCACTCGCCCTCCCCAACGTAACCGCAATCCCAGCCGGTCCCGGTGACTGCTCAGCCTACCCGAACTTCTACGGCACAAACGGGCGCACCTCAGACGCTTTCATCTTCCTCCCCTCGCAGGCCGACAACCCCTCCGTCAACAACCTCAAAACCAGCATTCTGAACAACACACTCGTTGTTCTCAATGACCCCTCCGCAGACCCAACGATTTTCTGCTGTATCGCCCCGAATATCTTTGATGGCTGGGCGGAACGCACGTTGTTGCTCGAGGGCGATCGGAGGATGAGATATACAAGTCAGGGCGTTACGCCGGAGCTGTATGTACATGAGATTGAGGGCGTGAAGCAAGAAGGAGTATTTTTGGGGAGTGAGGGGGTGACGAGGTGGGTTTTTGGGGAAATTGAGGGAGGATGGGGTGTTAGGTTGGATGGGGATGGGGTGGTGAATGAAGGGGAGTTTAAGGGGTTCTTGAGGGCTGAGTTACCTTGAGGAGGTTCTTGAAGGCTGAGTTGCCTTGAGGAGAATCTTGGGACGGCAATCTCAATATTCGAGGGTCAAATGTGTTTTAGGGTTTATACTAGGATAGAAACAGGAAGGAGCGTAGAAAGAATATTGATATCGTTCCTTGCGTTGATAGAGAGAAGTAAATATGAGCAAAAACAACTGAAGAAGCTTTACTAAGGCTAGCATGACTGATTAATCGTGCAGAAACGTGTAGAAGTCAATCTCGTCCATGCTAATGTGACTCGATTCTCATGAAAAGGGTGAGGGGGTAAGTCACATGATACAGTTAAGCGAGAAAAGAGTTAGGTCCCAAATCGTGCTCTCTATGTCATAGGGACTTTGAATGAACGTAATTATCTAGGTTCAATTTGATATTAAGTCGAACGAAGTCGGAAAAATGGAAGCTAAGGACGAGGAGTATAATAAAGTATGCCACCATTACCCGGAAGAGCAATTGGCAATCTCCATCTTTCTGAATTCTTCTACAACAAGAGAAACAAAAGAAGCATTTACTATACAAGGTTTTGCGGAGATATTTCATATATTTCTAAAACTTTGTTTCGCAAAATATAAGCTAGATATTAAGTTTCTATTTCTGCAATATACGTAACACTATGGCTTTTCTCTATACGCTATTGTTTTAGTAATACTAAGATACTAGCAGAATAGTAACTATGACTGTGTACTGAACATAATTATTCGTCCCGAAATACAAAACACTGAAATTTATAAAAGTAAAAATCCCCACTTTGAGTTGTGCCATAAAACTATTAAAACCAAACCCCCTTAACGACTGTCAAATGAGAGCCCCATAGAGTATTCGTGACGCTGGGATACAATCTCATTCCGCCCCAGACCACTCATCCAAAACTGCAGTTGTTAAATTCAGTCAAATTAGTGCATCTGTTATATGGACAAGACATTTATCCAAATAATCGCTACTTAAGTCTATTTACCTATCCTAATAAACACACACAGGTCTTTATTGTCTCTGTTAATACCTTTCATCTGGAAGATTATGGTGAGGTTGGTGTACACTAAACTAAGCGGCACGAGTTACATGGTTCAGCATGATTGTTGTAGTGTGTGAGGACTTGATGTTTTCGTCTAACATACCTTCTAAAATTTCTGCGATAAAAGGTTTTGGCTTGATAAAATAAGTACCCGCAAAACAAATTTAAAGCGTGAGCACATTAGGATGGGTAGTGCCTGCCAGCTTTTGCAATTGAAAGACCTCCAATGAAAAGCCTAATTAAATGAGATATTCGAATCCATTTCCCCTACTTGCAACTTCAAACAATTACACCTTCTCCTCTTCTCTTCGGTCAATCCCAGAACTATTAAGGCTATTAACACGAATCATCCCTGATGAATCACGAGTAGTCGACCTGAGAGATAAGATAGCGTATAATTTCTTAGTTCCCGCGAGTAAAAGGGGTCAACTTTTGGGCGAAGGACGTCGAAGAGAAGATAGGCAGACTACGATAACACTGGGTCCACACTCTTACATTGTAAGAAGTAGCAGACGAGTTATCGGCTTTTATGCGTCTGCTTGTGAAAAAGCGATGATGGTGTTGTCGTGAATCACCGTTCGTATTACCGATGATGTTATGGGACTGTGATTCATTATCATGGATGCGGGATGCTGAATGGAAATGTAAATTTACAGTATACCAGTAGGAAAGGTCGTGGTGGGTTCTATCATATCATGGCTCGGCATCTGAACTTTCTCTGTTTCGATTTGGACTGTCTACGCAAAGTGGTTTACTTCAAGTAAATCTAACGGCGAACTTTATACCAGATCGTGTGCTTTGTTTCATCTCTGGCTGATACAAGTAAACAGAAAACCTGAAATTATCAGATGAACTTAACTTCAATCAACTGAACTCAACTTCCTCAGCCATTCTCTGTTATTCAAAAAAAATGTAAAGTCAGCATTCCTCCCACATAATTTATAGAAAAGTCCGCAGAACTTGATTCATCTCCCTCCGAAACAAAACAGTACATATCCTCAAACCAGCAGATTAATTCAACATCACTCAACTCATCTTCTATAACTTTTTCTTTGTATCGACACAGAGCTCGGTGGAAGGAATTCTAATAAGACCGAATTCCCGAAAGCCACGACACAAACTCAACGTTAATCACCTCATCTTTCTGAATCGTATCCCCGTTCCTTACATAACACCCATTCCAGATGGGTCTCTGGACGAACCATATGCAGAAATCCTTGTACACTCCATATACATCTTTCCTTACCGCACAAATACATTAACACTCGAACCACCCGACTTATTTAATTTGACTCACCTGAACTCGAATTCCCTGAGTATGATAATCTTCAAAGCTTATATCAAACAAATAATACTTAGAATAAGGTACTTTCACCGCTTGAGATACTATTCCAAGTCTGCTCCTCAAACTTTCACGTCTCGATCTTCCATCACTGTAACCACCACCTTAAATCGCGAATTATACAAGATACAATCAAAGAATAAACATCGCTATACCAACGGTCGGAAGAATGATGAATATCCGAGCAGACTACATCCCTCCACCCCCTTTCAGCACACCTTACATCTCAAACTCATCGCATTACCAACACTATTAAATTACCTCTTTCCACCAATATAACCACCGATATGCACCTCTCTTCTAAAACCTCCAAGCTTTACCAACTGACCTCGAACTTATCTCTACACTTCTAGTCTCGCTACCAAACACCCCTACCACTCCTCATTTCACCCACCATCTCCCCTTCGGAATCCGTGTCAAATGAGCTCTCATAGCCGCTCTAGTCTACGAAAATCCCTACCAGCGCTTCCTCTATTAACTCTACCTTCACACTCTAAAAATAGACTACTTTCTTCCTGCACCATCTATCCATCCCTATCGCAAAACCATCAATATTCCCCAACCCATCAGATATATCCACATCATCAGTATCCTCCTTCCTCAAAATCCACTCAAAAACCTCGAACGCACCACATATATGTAACGATCTGCCTCCACCTATCTCCCACAAACCGAAGCATACCCGCAAAAACCACAGTAGCCATTTCATTATCTGCTTAACTCCATCTAAAACAACGCACAAACCACCAAGCCCAACCGCCAACCCCCCAAATCTTTCATTCCGCGATCAACAACACTTCAACTACTTTCCCCACCATCTACAGACTGAAACTATCAACCATCAAGAAAAATTTCATAGAATTTCGAGTGTTCAAGAACGAGTGATTTCTCCAATTGAGGAGTGATCGCGGTGTGCGTCCCAAACCACACATGATCACCTAAACTTAAATTTCAAGTAGACCCAACAAACCACTGTCTGTTTTCTAAAGGCAAAAAGATTAGGACAAGACACGAATCCAGGTGCAACGGAACCCGTACTGCTAAATTTGTATTTCGAACATAACAGCTTGAGAAGTTGTCGTTGATGTATGGATGAGCGACGCGTTCCCAGGAGTCCAGGAGGGTTTGATTTTTAAATTGAGGTAGAGGACTTGATTCGTTTTCTTGGTCGCGTTTATCTACGTATGTTATCCCATTGATTTCCGGTGAAAACCTGTCAAATAGAACGCGTCGCAATACCGAAGTTGCATCCATCACCATAGCTTGCACAAGGTCGGGATCTGCACGAACCATCATAATATCACCGGGGTTCCATAGGGGCAAACACACATCAATCTAACAAACGTTCAATTCTCTCGAATATTATGCACAATCTCAATCTCAATCTCAATCCCAATCCCGAACCATCTGCCATCAACCAGCCGTCCATTCATCCAGCTGCACCTCTCCACCGCCCACCCAACAGCATTCGCGCATGGTAGGATCAACTACCACATAGGGAATATGCAATATCGACAAGCTAGAAAAAAGATGCAGGTCAAAAAGATGCATGCAAAAAACGTAAGCGAAAGATGCAGGGAACAGTGCGACAACGAGTACAAAAAACATCTTGGTACATGATTAACCATCTCCTCTTTTTCTCCAACATTTTCTCTCCCCCACCACCATGCAGTTAACAACCCATTCTAATCCTCTTTATAACACTTTCCATCTCCAAGTTCAACCTTCTTTCATTCTCAATATGTATTCACGCAAGGATTATGAGGTACCGTTCGTGATGACTGCCTCAGCGGGGCTTGTTGGCCCGGTCGCCTTTTTTGATCGAAGGGTGAGCGGGAAGGGATACTCTTCTGGGTCTTCCTCTTCTCTGTTAAATTGTCAGTGTAATTCGGGAATTTGGGAAATGAATTAACTTACGGGAGCTTCCACGCGACATAGTCCTCGGTGCTAAGACCCTCTCGTCCTTCCTGTAGACTAGCGAAATCACCAGGAGTCATCATTCCACTGCGATCTCTTGGCGAACCAGGTACGGAGAATGGTCTTGAAATCTTCTGCTCAACACCTGGAATGTAGTCTTCATCGTCCTCGCCCTCGAACGATGCTGGGTATGCTCTGCGAAGTGCTAATTGTCTCGCCTTGACGTATTCCATTCCCATTCGTTTCCAGTCGAGAAGATCGCTCAGTCGCTCGGTACGGTTACGTTGGTTGATACGTTGACGTCTTGACTTGTTGGCGAAATCGTACATGAAAGAAGTAAGCTGGTTAACTGAATCATCAACACCCTTCATCCGGCGATCGACGATATAGATTCCGTAGTCGGTAGAGTTCTCAATCAATTCTTCCATGTAACATCCGAAACCTGAGAGGTTAGTGGTAATGCTAGGAACTCCCATAACCGTACATTCGGCGGGTGTGTATCCCCATGGCTCGTAGTAAGAGGAGAATACACCAAGATGGGTACCTCGAACGAAATCATCGTAATCCATTGGCAGAACTGGGTTGGCCGAGTTCAAGAACTCTGGGTGGAAGACAATCTTGACTCTGTCAGATGGGTGGTTGAAAAGTTGGACTCTTCGGATCTGGTTGAGAATTGGATCCTCAGCATCATTTGCCATGTTGTGTGTAACAATTGGAGGAAGTCCATGTCTCTTCATTGCGAACAGTCTTCGGCGGAGGAGAATTTTGTCCTGGCTGCTAATCAAATCCTTGTCATCTGGCATAGCATCTCCATCGTGCCATTTCAGCGCACGCTCGAAAATTCGTTTTCCTACTCCACGTTCGATAACATCTACCGTGTCGCGCAGAGACTTGATGACGGCCTGACCCTTCAATGCCTCAACAGTCAATGACTGCGTTTGCGCAGGCATAATGATGAATGAGACAATAGTCATTTTAGATCCAGCGGACTTGAGTCTGTGGTTCAATCTCGCCAATGATTCAATAAACATGTCAACGCCCTTATTCCTGTACTCGTAACGACCGGCAGTGAAAAAGTAGAGGGTATTGTCTGGATCGAAATCGTTATGTCCGTAGAAATGACCTCGAACAAAGTCATGGATCTTCTCTTTCGCTTGCTGGTGAAGATTCTGGAACTCGTGCATGGCGGAGAATTTTGTAACATTGAGACCATTAGGAAGAACACCGTCTGGCTTGCGCTTTAGGAGATGCTCCGATTCGTATGCAGTAATGTGGGAAACGGTGGTGAAAACATCGCAGGAGTGTGCAGAAGCGCGCTCAATGCAGTAACGATGGTAGATACCACGCTTTCCAGCTTCAGCATCTACATCAAAGTACTGTAGGTTATTGTAGAAATCAACGGAACCGGCGCAGAGATATCTTCCTAGAAGGGTTGCGTGTGTGGTGAAGATGGTGGTGACATCGATTCTTCGCTTTTTGCATAGAGGAAGGGCTACACCAGATAACCATTCATGGAAATGCGCAATGACGGCCTTCTCTGTCTCGTGTGCGACGAACTACAAAAGTTAGCCTTCGGATGATCAATTGACTTTCTCTTGCTTACCTCTCCCAAGAACCACGCAACCAAGTAACCGAAGACGACAGCTTCATTGGTCTCATCGTCTCCTGGAGGCGAAGGAATTCCTGCTGTATTCCACAGATCCGCTTTCCACTCATCCAAGAATCTGTAGGCAGTTTTTGTATCAATTAACAGGACTCTGGGAGCTCCCTCGATCAACCATCTTCCGTAAACCATGCTGATACCTCTCTCTTCCATCGATTCGATTGTCTTAGCTAAGTGTGGATTGGTAGGTGTAAGGGCTTCAACTTCGACAGCAGCCTACGAGAATTAGCTGTGTTTTCACAAAAGGTATGTGTGCTGAACTTACTGAGGCTTTGTTAAGGGGGCCAATAAGGCAGTATCGGTCGCCATATTCGGCGGTTGTAACTGGAGCTTTCGATTTAATGACAGAGTAGATACCACCAACTGTGCGCTGTTAGCATGTGAAGCTGCCCCCTCAATGGGCTCTGCTGCGTACCTCGATTCGCAACTTCGGTTGCGATCTCAAAAAGGTAGTGATCGCGGATATCTCTCTTCGGATTGTGTATGCTCAAATCTTGGGCCATCGTGTCGGCTTGGAGGATGCAGTCGCACCCGTTTGTGGTTTGTGAAGAGAAATGTGGAAGACAAAAGGGAGGAGTGCGATGCTAGGATGACGATAGTCTAGACTGAACCACGCACGGAGGGTTCTGGTCTAGGTCGAAATTAGTCTGCCGTAATTTCGAGTGGGCAGCGCGATTAACTTTTTACGCAAAGTGTCAGCTTGAGCATCAGAAGCTTGAGAGGAAAAGTTTGTGAATTCAACCGTGATCGAATCTTCTGGTCTTGTGGTACGAATAGAGCTTTCCCCTCACAATGTGCAGATCGCAGCGATTCTGATCGGCAGACCTCGAGATGATGGGCTGTTGGAGGAGGACCTACCAAGCTAATTGAACAGCGGCAAGTGGACTGCAAATATGGTTGAGAATTCAATCAATCGATACACATTCCTCCGTCGCGGGCGAGAGTTTGAAGAATGGAAGAACGAAGCAGAAGGAGTGAGGAAGAGCAATTGAGCGAGGAGTTTGGTCCAAGGAGCTCTCAGGTATTCTCCACACCACTTTTAAAGACGGGTTCGTCGCCTTCTCCGGGTTGGATATCAAGAAGGTTGGGGCAGGGATGGGGGTGCTGAAGCGGGCTGTGATTGGCTCTCTGACAGCTCATGTGGACCTCGCTTCATGCCAGTCGCTGGCTCCCCATGTCGATGAGATCACAGCCCCGAGCGAGGTCGTTTACTGTCTGTTTGCAACCAAAATAATTCAACAAAGTCCAACAATAGCAACAATGCGACAAACCAGTGGCACAGGAGACGAGACCATGTACAGATCACTTTAGAGGCGGAACAAGGTTCGACTGAAATTCCTCAATATCTTCATGGCCAGATCTCGCCTGTAGCTGTCGACTACTGAATTTTGTGCAGCTAATCATTAGTAGTCTCCCCGCTGGTGGTAGAACTAGCAATCGGTCCTCCTCCTCCTCGTGACCGCGTTTGAACCGTCTTTGCGTGCAGCAGCCCAGATGTTGAATTGACTGAGAATGCGGGGTCAAGGGTTGAATGCCACCGAATCAAAAACCTTCAACGATGCGGGATCAATTGGGTTCCAGCATCGAATTTTTCATCCCATCAATCGCATTATCCCAACACTTATGATTCTTCCTTCATTTTACCGCCGCTTCGTGGTCTGCGCCTTGCTAATTATCTGGGGACCAGATCCGCAGCACGTGGAATTTTGATGTCAAATTTTACTTGCAGTTTCACAATAACGACTTCCATAGTTACGGATACGGTTGTCGCACTGGGCAATTTTTGGATTCCAGCAACCCCACCTGGATTGAGCGCTAATGTCACATGATCCACCTCCTCAGTGGGACTGCTCCGCATTCCAAGATTTATTTTCACCGCGCTCGACCTCCGCATTTCTGCAAACATCTGTTTCTCCACACACGCAGCATTTCATCATTGGCGCTTTTGATACGAGGTGGACGACTTTTATGACGACTGGCTTTTATAATCACCAAAGGCTGTATCAATTGTGAAGTTTTACCTGCGAAAGTAATTCAGTTTAAAATCTAATTAGACCTAAGAAGAATCTTTGGCATAGACTAACAGGTAGATAGTGGTATACTGTTGTGGATTATATGTGATATTTTGCATCAGACCTCAAACCTCCCATTTACTATCATCCACGTCTTCCTCATCTTTGAATATGCGCTCCCTTTTCCTCCGCTTATTTGAGTATGAATCCATCTCCTCGTTTTTGACAACGCGCGGTCTCTTGCTCTGTCTATTGGAGTGTGGATTTGTGTCCTCAGTTTTGATTAAAACATCACTAGTCACCGGCTCATTCTTAATATTCGCTTTACTACTCCTCGCCATTTCCATCCTTTCTTTCTTGACAATCGGACTTCGAATCTCCTCCTCTTTTTTAATAACTAGCTTCTTAGCAATGGGACTTCGAATCTCCTCCTCTTTCTTAACAACTACCTTGTGAACAATCGGACTTCGATTCCACTCCCCGTCTTTAATATCCACCTTCTCAGCAATGGGACTTCGAAATTCCTCCTCTTTCTTGATAAACCCCAGCTTGACTCTCGCCATTCCTATCCTCTTCTCCTCCTTTTTAACAGCCCTTCTCTCCTCCTTCATAACCACCTCCTCATCACTGCTCTTGCCATCAGTAAACTCAATCTTCATCCCCACATCCCCATCCTCATCAATCACCTCCCCAGTCTCCACGCAAACCTTCCCACTTCTAATTGACTCTGCATACGCAGCCGGATCCTTATTAAACGCCCTCCACATCTTGGACGCCCACCGATTCGTCTCCTCGAATGTCGCGTCAGGCCTCAAGATATCTCCATCAGCAAGCCGTCTCCCTTCCTTCTCTGCCTTTTTTCTCTGTTGTTCAAACCAAGATTGCACTTGTTTCTTCGTCAGGCCGGTATCGTGAACTAGCAGAATGCGTTCTCCAGTCAATGGCCAGGCGTTTTGCTCGAAGACTTCCTGCAATTGAGCGAGTTGCGCGGGCGTTTTGCGAGTAGCTCGTGGAACGCCGTTGGCGGCAGCGAAGCGGTTGGCAAAGTATCTAATGGATTTGTGTTTGTTCTAGTAATAAGTAGATAAAAGTTCCTTACCTCCCGATTTCTTGGGATGTGACAAAGGGTCCGAGATGACTGCATTCCACGGCGACCCTGAGACAGCGCTTTTTCGGCGGACGCTCATCATATTGACTCCATAATTCCCATTCTTCCTCAATCACAGCCTGTTGGGCTAGGTTTCCTGGGATTTTCATTTGCGAATTCTGCAAATGCGTTTTGATGCCATTGAAGGAAACATTCTTCGATCTTGCGATGAGGTGAGGTGAGCTAAACGGGGAAGACGCGTCGCGCGGTCACGAGATGCTGGTTCGAGGTTATCTCCCGAGCGACCGGAGATTAGAACTCCACGACGACAATTCGAAGATTGATGAATACTCGGGACAGAGGTTATGTCCTCTCCTATGGTCATTAATATGGCCGTGAACCAAATCTTCACTCACAAGTCTCAACTCTGCGTACCTGCTTTTGATCAATGCATCACCGGTATATTGCAAGACTGACGGTACACCCCTCTGGTGTATCAATGCTAGAAAAGGACGTTTTAACACTCCTTCTTTAAATAGGTATATCCATTCTTTATAAGAGAGGCAATCTTGCATATCTATTAGAAGGATTGAAATTTTTGGGGTAGAATATCGTGCTTCACTGCGAGGAGTGTCCCGCCAGACTTGCAACCCACTGGTGCATGGGCTGGAGTTCCAGGCGCAAGACTGCCAGAAAACCTTGATGGAGATCTGCGAAACTTGCGAGTATCTAGATAAGTTTCCACTCGGTTTTCAGATTTATGTCGGATTCTTGGAGTCGATGTGCCAACGGAATTGGTCAGACCGTTGGGTGAATCGAGGCTTACCCCATGTGACTGACGACAGTAAAGCACAAATGAAATGGACATCGAGGTTGATGGCTGATTGAGTATAGTGAATACTGAATACTCTTCTACTTTAGCGTCCAAAGTTCGTAACAGTCCTCTGAATTAGCATTCTCGGTTGTGTCCCACTGTTTCTCTCTTGCAAATTCTAGCATAATTGTCGTGCTACCTACATCTGTCTCAACTTCTTTTATTTTCGACCATAACACCGATCTCCATCAATCCTCAATTTAAAGCTATCCGCAGAAACATCCTACGATATCAGAGAGTTCTGTATCACCTTCTATTCATTCCCAATACACCATGGAGGATGCTCAGGTGGGCAACCAGCAGATTCAGCCTCCCACCACAGAGTCCCGAACCCAAGGTCAAGCGGACCCGGGACCGTCGTCTATCAGAAAGAGGAAAAGAAGAAGGGCCAGTCGCTATTATCCTCGGGAGAAATTAGGACGCCCTTTCAACGCATTTCTTGTAAGTGGCAAGATATCCGGTTTGCGTACTCTTCTACCAGTCAGGTGGCTGAGATACAGATGTACTCAAGATTAGATGGGATCCCCGTGATTGTTTACAAATTAGCTAATTATGTCCACAGAAAAACGGAGGCAGATATACCAAAAGATCTAATCAGTTGTCGATTGAAAAGGAAGAAGGAATACATGTGCGTTTCTACTATGGAGCCTAAACTGTCTTCCAACTTATACATCATAGTCTCAAGCATGGGTGAACGCGATAAATCCGCAGCCTGAATCCTCGCTATTAGCTCTTCCATACGAACTGAAGCTAAAGATATACACATACGCCCTTAGGACTGATTGGAAACAACCCATTCTTACACCCCACAAGAACGGTAGACATTACCGTAACATGCACCCATACCCTCATCTACCGCCATCCCGTGGCGAAGGTGATTTTCCCTGTGTCAGGAAGCGTCGTATGGATGAATACAATAGATCTTGCGAGACAATCAAGACATATAATGCCCTGTCAATATCGTGTCGCCAAATCTATTTCGAAGTCGTGTAAGTCTCCACACTTGATTTGTCTTATTACCCTGCTAATAGAGTCAGTGGTTCCGGAGTTCTCTATCGAATTTCTATCTTCTCGTTCAACTCTGTCTACTTTCTCAAAAATTATGTGAACTTCATAAATCCACGATTCAGACCCCTCATTACGAATCTGCGAATGAAGGTTCAGGACGATGGTAGTCGCGAATGCACACTATTCTGCACTCCGCTTTTCAAGGCATTAACCGAAAACTTGAGACTGCCAAAACTAGAAATAGTCATTGATGTCGACATAGATAGCTGTCAGGTCATTTACGTACGACTTGATAATAGTACAAGTATATATCGACGAACCCTTTTTGTACGGCAAGATTGCCTCGCGCCCTGGGCTGCTGGACCTTGGCATTTGCTAGCGGGAACTGGATTGAAGGAATTAGCGATCAGATTTAGGAATGATTCAAGGCTGCCCTTCGCGGATGATGATGAGGAAGCCCTAGAGTTCGTTAGGGGTGTGGGGGCCATCATTGGATGTGGTGGAGATGATGAGGGCGATGGTGTGGAGAGGAGTATCGGAGCCAATTGTGGTAATCACCTTTGTAATTATCTTTGCGGGGGGTGTGTTGTGACAGGTATTTTTGAGGACCCGATGGACGAGTAGATTGGGTCTGAAGTGTTGGTTTGCATACTCGTCAGATTTCTGGATGAAAGTATGTACTATAAAGAATGACCATAGTATGCCTCCACGAAACATCTAGGCTCAGGAATGTCTATGCAATACTGAGCCATCGCGAGATAATAAAATATATTGCACAACATTCTTAAAACAAGCACAACCTCTAGCTAGCATGTTATGTTTGGGCTCAAGTTTATTAATATGAGCGTTGTGGCTCCGACTTCATGTCAATTTTGAAGCTGACAGGGTAAACTATCTTTAGGATAACAAAAATTTGGGTATCAAGGGTTAACTAATCGATATAATAGATCTGTGTATCTGTAAGCACCTCATGAACTATGGTGATGTTAAAGTGACACGTGACAGAGCCTCTCCGTCCCTACCTATTCAGGCAGACGTCCATCCTGGAGCTTTGCAGAATAACACTTCTCATGGACTCCAACTTCTCTAACTACATTTTTCTCATCTTAAGAGTGTCGTTACTGCCATGTCAATTTTCTACGCTACCCGGATTATGATCGTCTCATCTAATCAACCTGCGATTGGATTTTGACACTTCCGCACCCACGGCGATGAAGGTGAATTGTAAGAACACTATTCTTGTACATACAACATTCACCTTAGAAGACTTTTTAGCGCGTTTTATTATGCCCCACTGCCAGGCTTGCCATATTTCTCCGATGTACCACCTTTTCACTTGCTCCTCACCTGCTACCAGCAACCGCGCTGCTGCAGTCATCGCCTCATCAACCGACATTCTAAACTACGAATTTTCGATACAAGCTCTCTAAATTAGTTGCATTTGAGCGCAACGCCCCTTGATCTCATCATTTCATACCGACAGTTCATCTGCTATTCTACTAATCTACGCAACTTGCTCTACAAGTCGCATAGCGTACCCGAAACCGCACATTCATCACACCAGTTACCATATTTCAGATGTCTGAGCCTTCAAGACCTTCCGAGGCGCCATCCACGATCAAGCGGAAGAGAAGAAACAAAGCAGCTTACAAGGATGAGTCAACGAAAAACCGAAGGCAAAAAAGGAACAATGTGCAGAGATATGACGCGTTTACTGTGAGCATTCAAGACAAATCATCTCCGATCTAGACATCAAGCTGCTCTACTAAATATTGTCAAATGCGATGACATTTGGCGCTGACAATCTTCAAACAGGTGAAAAAAGCAACACCTTTTGGAGGCACCGAAATCGCCAGAGTTGATAAGCAAGAGGGAATTCATGTTTGTTCAATTCTATCCTTTGTCTATGGTATACTTATAAGACATAGTCTCAAGCATGGGTAAACGCAATAAAACCACAGCCGAAATCAGGATTTTTGTGTCTGCCTTTGGAGTTGAGGAATAAAATTTATATTTACGCTCTGACGGACAATGCAACATCACCCCTCCTCAATCCGCGGAAGCATGGTCGCTTTTATCGTCAAACGTACCCTTCGATCAATACTGAGCACTTCTGCTCTAAGTTGTGTTATCGCGCCCTAAGACCTTGGGAACAATTTAATGAAATTGCTGAGCTTCCTCCTGACTCGGTATATCACAAATCATGCCAAACAATCGAGTTGTACCACATTCTAGCAACTCTCTGCAGCCAAACCTACCTAGATGTCATGTAAGAAGGCCTAGAGTTAAATTATTCTTGCTAACAATCTTAGTGGCTCCGGAATTCTTTACAAGATCTCCAAATTCTTTTTCACTTCCAAATACCAACTAAAGAACTACGTCGAATTTATTAACCCACGTTTTCTTCCTCTTCTCACTCATGTTTGTTTGACACTTCCTGTTCACCAGAAACAAATTTCTCCCTTCGATAAAGCTCTATTCGACGCGCTAGTCAAGTCCTTGACGCTAAAGAAGCTAGAGATTAACATAATAGTGGCATGGACTCTTTGCATCGAAACATTTCAACAAATCAATAAGGAACGAATCTACCGGTCAGCAGTACGCGACGAAGTGCTGGCTAAGTGGGCTTCAGGACGCTGGGAAATACTCGCTGACAGCGGACTCCAAGAATTGATTATCAGGATTCGGTGCCCTACAAAGCGGGTCATCAGAGACAAGCGAAGTGAATCTTTCGTTGCGGATGTAAGAAAGAGAATAGGGTGCGGTGGCGAAGACGATGGTCCTGGAAAGTTGGAAGTCTATACAGGTAATCTAAGATTTATTGAAAAACGGATGATTGATGAGGACTTCATTAGTCTGTTTGGATACTAGGACCGGATCTTGTGTAGACACAAATTACATTCGACAACAAGATTCGGGATAGATGGGTCGAGAGAATCGCAGTTGTCAATCTTAGCCAACGCACTAATAAACTTCCGAACCCAAACAAACCGAAATCCCCAAGCTATATATTCGTGTTCTAACTGTCAACATCGTTCCTGGACCCGTCACTTGTCATGTGTAAACCTGTATCACACATCTCCATGACGAATCAAAAGCTGTTACTTACCCGCTGCATAACAATATAGACAATCAGAAATAGTACACGAAGAGCAGTCTGTAATGAGTCCTCCCAGAAATGCGAAGGCAATAGAACACACAAATAAAACTGTAAAAGGAGAGTTCTTCAAGTATGTCTATGAGAATGAGGTTCTTCGTCAACAAAGTTTATTTGGGACTGCTTACAGAATATTTAAACCGAGTTGTGTGGGAGAATATGTCAGAACATCGCAACACCACATACTGACATCGTGATTGGGACAGACGCGCTCGCAATCGAAGATGTCTTTGGAAAATAAACGTTCCAAACATTCCTCTTCCTGGGGTATATTGGTGAGCAATATTCGTGGCGTTTTGTTACCGTGTTAGTATATATATGTGGCCGTGTCTTACTATTCTACGAGAAAGTAAATCGAGTGTAATTGTACCTGAACTTGAGAACAACCCTATGCACTGGATGATGTTTGGCTCACAGTATTGAAGTGAGTACATGACATTCACACTCCAATCTGCGATCGGATAACGGTATTGGCTTACCGAATAAAAAGCCTAGAATCGCCTCGTTGCATATACAAACCCTTACCCTTGGCAATCTCACGTCAAACGTAAGATGCCTACAACGTGGCGAGTGGCCGCGAGCCACGTGGGTTACCTCCCTCACCTAATCTTGACTTCATTGTTGGTGGCTAACGGATACAGTGAGATAAGTCGTGGCGTGCTCTGTTATATCCCTCTGTGAATGAAGTTGTTGAGTTGCAAAACTTCATGTTTGTTGGAGTGAATAGGGGTATCGCGTCAGGTGATCACGATCTCGCTTATAGATACAGGGGGGAGAACTGTGAATGGGAGACACATCAATCACCTCACCTAAACCTTCACTACTTGCAACTGAAAGTCTTATAAATATCCAACAGCATTCCAGTCCATTACCCAATAGTCTTTTGCCAACATCATCCAAACCCAATCGCCACAACTCAATTCACACATCTCGGCTGAAAGCAAAATAACGTGGTGAATGCAAGCCAGCGGCGTAGCCAACATAAGCAATACGTGAAGTTAATTCCGTTTTGGGGTTGGAAGAACTATAAGACTCAACCTCGCTCCAGAGACTTCTTGGTTTGTTGACGACTCCCTGATACTTGAGTCTGCCCTACTTTTTTTGTTGGTGAAAGCGATTGGGAACCTTCAGTTTCAAAACGATGTCTGTCAATCGGGTACTTTGTTTGGGTGGTATTTTGGCTGGCTGGGTGACTTTAGGTACCTGTGGGGTTGCGCCGCCTACTTATGATGGTGAGTACTTTTGTTATGACTTTTTCAAAGTCGTTATTATTCAGTTGCTGATTCAGTGATGCGTCCTAGTTGTAATTGTTGGTGGAGGTGCAACAGGCACATATGCTGCTGTTCGTCTACGAGAAGACTTCAAAAAGAGCGTTCTCGTTGTCGAGAAGAGCACTGTTCTGGGTGGTCACGTTGATACTTACAGTAAGATGAAATTAAAACCATTCAGATCCCTTGTTGCTAACTCACCTTTAAAGTCGATCCTATCACTCAATTTCCAATTGACTATGGAGTTCAAGCCTACCACAATTATTCCACCGTCACCAATTTCTTCGGTCGCTTCGGAATTCCACTCGAAACAGCAATACAACCACCTGTAGACACCCGCTACATCGATCTTCGTACCGGAAAGCCCTCAGCGTTCGTCCCTCAAGATCCAACAGCAGCACTAGGTGCATTTGCTGCTCAGGCCTACCAATACCCCTATCTCGTAGACGGTTACTCACTCCCTGACCCCGTCCCAGCCGATCTCCTCCTCCCCTTCGGCGACTTCGTCAAGAAATACAACCTCGCCGCCGCCATTCCTACATTTTTAAGATTTGGCAGCAACTTAGGAAACATGAACACCGCAACCACACTCTACGTGCTCATGAACTTCGGCATCCCTCAATTAGCAAACGATTACCTTATCACCTCCCGCCACGATAACAGTGAACTCTACCGCGCAGCCGCTAAACTTCTCGGAAAAGACGTGCTATACAGCAGTACAGTAAAGGACGCGGAATGCACTGCCCGCGGAACACACGTGCTCAAGATCAAAACGAAAGACGGAACTCAAACGGTATATGCTAAGAAGTTGCTCATCACCATTCCACCCACAAAAGACAATATGAATCCCTTCAATCCCACAGACGCAGAAGCGAAATTGTATGAAAAGTTCAAGTATGGAACATACTGGACAGGTCTCGTACGCGGTGGCATCCCAGACGGAATCAGCGTTCAGAACTCGGCGAACGGATCACCCTATTACCTACCAGGTAGTCCTTACGTCGAAAATTTCGACTTCACGGGAGTCCCGGGCTTACATTCATTCCACGCCGTTTCCACAGATGGATTCCCATTGAATACAGAAGTCGGTGCCACAGTCTTCACAACCGCTCAACTTGTATCCATGACGTTGGCGAAGACGTTCAATGTGCAAGGAGTGCCAAAGGTGGAGGTGATTAAAGATCACACGCCTATCCAGTTACGTGTTGGTTCTGATGTGGTGAAGGGCGGGTTTTATAGGAAGTTGTATGCGTTGCAGGGACAGAAGAATACATTTTTTACCGGGGCGGCGTGGGCGCCTGATGATACTGGGTTGTTGTGGAATTTCACGGAGGGGATTTTGGCGAAGCTTGTGGCGTCTTTTTGATGCAGGATATCTTTGGGATATTGAGATATTGGGTAGGGGAATAGCGTAATGATGGGTGAGCCAACTAATGGGTGATGCATAGATTTGCCTATATTCTGAGGTTATTCTTGATGAAATATATTTAGAAAAAGAAATCAGTAATATGTTTGATTCAATTCAAGCAAGTTGGCAGTTCAAGAATTGTGAAACTGTTCTTTTTAGTTGAGATCTTGATCGCATTTTTTACAATGAAATTTTCAGTCCGACTTCTAGATCGATTGAGTTGTTTTGGGTCTCTTCTTATTCGCACGGAATCAACTTCAAGAATGCAATACTCATTTTCCCTCTAACGACGGAAGTAAAAGAAAAAGAAGTCTGTGACCATAAAATGGGAATTTCTTCGGATTCATTAAAAGCACTTTTGACTAAGATGGTGCTTAAGCATTCGTTTTCAGAAGCTCCTCCAGGCACATATCTCTTGTTCCTCCCATTTGAAACGAGGTCAGCCTTCACATATCCTCCTTTCCAGCGATTGTGGAGCCGAGTTAATATTTCCAATATTTTCGCTTACAACCCAAAATCACTCTTTACCTTTGACTAAAATGCCCCTCTCAGACTTGAAACTTTTCACCGTCTCCACGCTAACGTTCAGTATCTGTGCGACAAGATCTGGAGGTGTGAGCGCGAGCCATTGCTCGAGACCGAAGTCAACCACCTTGTCTGACTGGAAGATCTCAAGGTAGCGAAGTGTCTCGGTCGGATGTGTGTTCTCTACGTAATGACCTAACGCACCCTTTAGCGGCCGAGAATGAATAGAAAAGGCACAAAAGAGGTAAAAATTCCTCAGAAAAGAAATATTGAATGCAACGAGAAAGAAAATGAGTTGTTGACATACCTGAGTTGTCAGGAAATACAGCAGTATCACCAGCCTCAAAATCGAAAGTTCGGGCATTTCCGCCACCGAGCCATACTGTAGCACGCGCGTAACCAGATTCGAAGTACAACCATTCGACTCCCTAAATACAGTCAGCATCATGTTACTAGTTTGACTCCAGCAGTTTGGCGCGACGGAAAGTCAGAAAAGTCATGAGACTCACAGTCGGATGCCAGTGCAACTCTCTCATAGCTCCTGGCTTAACCTCAACTATCATAGCTGCTAAGCTAGTAATGATTGGAAAATTGTTCTTATCCACAATCATGTACTTGCCACCTCCTCCAGGCGCGTCTTTCATCGGCATCTTGCTAGCCTGGAAGTGATAACTCGAGTTCCCCTCCAACTTTCCATATGGGCTCAAGATTGACCCGCTACTCAGGTTGCCCCTGAAAATACTTCCCAACGCCTTTGGAAGAGTCTTGAAGGTATTGTTCGAAACGCCGAAGTTCTTGGCGAGAACGGATGGAGGAGTGTGAATGAGCCAGTCTGCAACATTCAGAGTTCTGCTTGTGGAATCGAAATCGCCGGCATCGAAAACGAGGAGATATTCTGCGCCTGGGTCTGTGAGACCTTGGATCGTGTGACCTTGTCCCTTCGGAAAATACCAAATGTCACCCTTGTCGGCTCGGAATACTTGATTCTTGCCTTCGTTGCTCACTGCCGCAATCTCAATAATCTCATTAGTTCTAAATTCAATGTTGAGAGTTGGGAAACTTACAAGGACAGACCCAGCTGTGACTAGACCCCACTCATTCTTATGCTTATCAGATCAACCTTCCTGTACTCAGCAACCCAGAGAACACTTACAAGAGAATGCCAATGCATCTGCCTAATAGCACCTTTTGCCAAATGATTTTGTGCAGAGGAAAAGTCCTGGCTCGATGGTAGATCACTGGCAACTTGCTGTCTTACGAATCCGCCTTGCTGCAAGTTCATCATTGATTGCGAAAAGCTCCATTTGAGATTCATGACCAACCCAGCATCTGATGGTGGTACTTGAAGAGAATCCCGATTTTGAGAATCGATCGCATGATTTTTGGGGACTGACTTCCGTGAGTATCTTCAATTTTCCAATACGGACGTAAAGTGGCATACCTAGTATCTCTGCGCCTTTGTCGCCAACGATGGGTTGCAGTACCTGCTCCTCTCTTCTCTCGAGGACAGGTCTTAGGTGTTTAGTTCTTTTTCCATTAAGGGCTGCAGTCAGTACAACGTAAAGAATTACTGTCGAGAAAATGGTTGTCTTCATTTTGGACGCGTCGATCTAACGTCCGTGAGGAATGCTTCGCGATTCCGACGTTAAAACTATATTTAAGAAGTTAGGACCTGAAAGAAATTATTTTCTTGGACTCAGGCAAGTTTCAAAATGAGCAGTTCTGAGTATTCGGCGGCTGGTCGATGCTCGACGAGATGCAAATGATAAATAAGTAGGATGAGGAGGTGGCTATCGAAAGTTGTCGGAAAAGAGTATACACGCTTCGCTTAAATTGCCCAAGAAATACTCACCATCAACGAGTCCTCAGCCCTGGATTCTCAATGATAACTGCTCAACCCTTTGCGACTAATCCTGAGTATCCGTGTTGTAGTGATTTGAGGTGGCCAAAAAGGAGTCACTCATTATCTTATAGCACTCTCGAACCCGAATCTTGTCCAGCGTGACCTGCGGTACCCCGATATTGGCCAGTGTTGCACATATCCATTCTTCCCATTGCACAAAGTATCAATGCAGATCACAAAGTTACAAAAGATTGCAGCACGCAAGTTTTGTGCTGTCATAGCCACCATATATGCTCGCTTATATGCGGTCCGTTTGTCCGTTGGTGCAACAAGAGTAACGTCCTCGTGGTTGCGAAGTATCGGTGTGAGATTTAAGGGTTATGCCGTGCTTCAGACTTTCTCACTCCTCATTAACCCTGGTCTCTATAACGAGAAACTGGAGTTGATGTGAGGTGTATGTGATTAAGGGTGGGCAATGGAGATGGTACCATCTCGTGGGAGACATTGAATCATTAGTCGTAGGAAATTGCGGCCAGATCAAAGATGCTCTATCGAGAAAACGTTCAGGACTCCAAGACCTTGGCAACTCAAATCGTCATCATCAGCGTTGACCGAAGGTCAAGGGGTTTGCAACCCCATTCGGTTCTAGCTGTGTCTTTGAATCGACATGCTTTCTCGGATCATCTCTAAGAGGACGGTCGCTCTCGAAGGTGATACATAGTTTTTGAGGATTGTATCTATCCTGATCATCTTTTGGTTACCTGCTTTTCTCCGAATTTAAGAATCATCAAGGGCTATCAAATGATTTCCCGTATGTGTGTAAAGTTCCGGCGGGATCAGATATCGATCCATTAACTCGGGCCGTAAACAATAAAGGTCGCCGTGTTAGCCGGCCCGACATCCCCATCAACTGACCAGAATCTTCGAATACCACGGAAATCTCTTGGTGCTACTTCAAAGTACTTCGTAGATGGTGTACTTCCATTATCTTAATGATAAGAGCGCTCCTGGTTAACTGATGTGTAACATTATTGGCTTTACTCGGGTTTGCTTCAAGCTTGGCCTTGTTTGCATCTTCAAACCCGTGACACTTTGCTCGTACTACCTCCGTATTACCGAAAGCAAATGAGTCAGTTCTAAATAGCGTTGCCGAAATAATGGTAATCAGAAAGGACTGACTACAGCAGATGCAGTGCAGTTAAAAGTAAGAAAAGATAGCAAACAACTTCGTGGGGTGGGCGAGGTGGACATTTTGCTCTAGCGGAAGACTTCTGCCAAGACCAACAACAGACGACAGCGTAACGACCCAAGAATCTCGTAGACTTTTCAAAGAGGTTACCAAACGGCAGGAATTAAGTTCGAGACGAGGTTTTCCTTTCTCTACACGACCTTTCCACTTTCGACCATGGACGAAAATCCCAAGACCCTTCGCGACGCGACGGATAAGGATCAAGAGCCTGCCTCGTCTTTTAAGTTCATCCATCTCCCACCAGAAATTCGTGACCACATTTACACATTGGCACTCTCATCGCCCTCTCCAATAGTCGTATGGAAAGGAAAATGGGGCTTTCTCAGCAGACCTCCCGATTCTTCTTACACAACGGTCATAGATGTTGTCAAAAGATCTATGGCAACAGATGCTCTATGGATCGATGCTTCTATCACCAAAACCTGCCTCACGAAATATTCCACGAATCTGTTTTACTGTAACAAGAAGCTTGGAGGAGAAGCCGTCAAGGTCTTTTATAGGAAGAACGTGTTTGCCTTCGTCGGAGATCACAATTGGGATTATATTCTGTCTTGGCTATTTAAGATTAACGAGCGAAACAGAAGTTACCTATCTAGGCTAGAAATTGACGCCTGTCGTCCCGAAGAGGTCTGGCAGAGTGCTAATGGCGAGAGAAAATCGGGTCTTGACCTTTTCAAAGATCCCATATTCCCCCGCAGCCCACATCTTCAATTTCGTACTCCTCTTAAATATGGATGGGTTGAAAATATCAGCCCTACAGTGGAAATAATCTTTGAATTATTAGGAAAGAAACGATCTTCACAGCTTGCGATCGATTTTAAGTTGAGCACCGATTATCCAGGACAAGGAATGGTTTTTCGTGTAGATGATCACTATCCGCAACAGGGCTGGTGCGGCATGGACTTACCGAATCTCATAGAGAAGTTTAGATCACTTTATTCAACACCGCTGCAAAAGTTGGGCTCGTCCAAGCCTCTGATAGACGTGATCTGGACTGGGAAATGTCCAACAGTGATAGTGGAAAGAGAATACAAGAAGTATAGTAGAACCACTATCGAAGATCACATGGAAAACATCGCGGCTCGAGGGTGGGAGATCAAGTTATCTCCAATGGAAGAAGAACATTGGGAGTGGGGTTTGTGTAATTCTTACGACGATGAGGATGACCTGGAGGAAAAGCACATTCCAACCTTTGTGCTAAGAAAGAAGCTTCTCGAAGAGCCGCTTCTGGGAGATGATCCGAACCCGTATTCAGGCGCCGGCGAGCCGTTTACAGCAGAGGAACGCGAACTTGAACGGACAAATCACTATTACGATCAAGCAATCCCTCCCTCGACTTTCGTGAAGTATCCTCCTTACGGAGTCTTCTAACATCAAAAGTGAATGGAATGGTTGCAAAAGCTAGTTGACTGTCGACTGCCTATTGTCTAAAGACTCAAAGAGCTAAGATGACAGGGACTTGTAGAGCACAAGAACCGATTGGCAGGTGGAGGCCATAGCACAGAAGCTGGTTGTTGACAGCATTAAGTGTACTATGCACAGACTACTACTCGCGAAGGTATATCTAACAAGCTTGAGATTGAATAACAGTAACTATATAAGTCGGTAGATACTCTAGGTCGACATGTCTCCTCATGCTTGTTCCTATTCAAATAACTCCTCGCAACCACGCCACCATGAATTTATATTATAACAAAAGTTTTCGCAACAAACGCAGTCATACCTGACTCTGAACCCGCCTCCTGAGTTTTGCAACCTCCGTCATCTCGCCAGCGGACTCCTCCATCTTTACCTGCCCGCCATTCTTGAATATGTCTCGGGTTGTTGTGTTCCAGGGCCCCTCATCGCCTTATATTAATCAATGTTCGATACATATCGAGCTTCGCGTTCAACTCAACAACCTCATCTTGCAACCTCTTCCTGTGCTCCTCCGAGGAACTCTTTTCACCCTTTAGCTCATCAATATCCCTCGAGTATTTAACCATCATATCGTGATCAGCTAATCTTCCCTGCTCAAGAATCTCAAGCTTCGCCTTCAACTCCACATTCTCATCATTTAAACTCTTCTGGCTCTCCTCGAAAGAGCTCTTTTCGCTCTTAAGCTCATCAATATCCTGCGAGTACTTTACCATCACTTCATGATCCGCCAACCGTCCCTGCTCAAGAATCTCAAGCTTATTCTCGAGTTCCGCGATCTTCTTGTTCGGTTCGATAACAGCCTTCGCGGCAGCGATATCGCTGATTTTCTTCTCCATGTCCTTGCTAGTCTTCGAATGTGATCGGAGTACGTTGCACTCGGCTTTCAATTCTTCCAGCTCTTTCTTTAGCTTGTCATCTGTTTGTACTTGAGGATCCTGATCCAGCTGTGATTGCAGAGTAAGAATCTTTTCCTCGAGATGCTTGTTGTCTTTTTCCGCTGTAGCAAGTGACTGCTTACGTTTCTTGCAGATATCCTTCATAGCGTCAAAGTTTTTGGAAATTCTCGCGATCTCCTCTGCGTGGCTTTCAATTATTCGAAGCTTTTCTTTCCCGACATCGTTGATCGTCTGCTCGTGTTTCGCAATGATCATGTTTTTGGCTTCTATATCCTTCAGGTGCTGTTGTTTCAAGACCGACTTTTCATCTTTAAGTTCGGCATTTTCAAGCTCGAGTCTCGCGTTGACCTTCTCATAATTCCCTGTTGCTTCCTTGTAATCGTTTATCCATCTTCTCAGATCAGACATGTAATTCTTGAACCTCTCCGCAGCGACTTTTCTCTTCTCTTCCTCTATTTCCCGGCGTTTATCAATTTCCTTGACGAATTCCTGAACTCGATAGTAGTACTCAACGTCGGTGCCAATCAAGCCGATGAAGATTTTCGCCATGCCATCCATAGCTTTTTGCGACTCGGGGTACTTTTCGCGGAGTTCATCAAACTTTCGCCAAGTGTCTTCAGGCAAATCCTGGGCGCGGCTGAGCTTTCCAACATTGGTTATGTTGTGAGTCAGGGTTTTGTGAGCTTTTCGAGAGGATTTAGTTTCTGATCTGAGAAGTGCTGGTAGGCCATCGACAAGAGGGCCTTTCGATTCCGGTGCTTCGAGAAGAGGTCAGCATGCTAGGTATCTGACAATAAGGAACCACTCGCAGGACGAACACAACGAAGAAAGTGTTTACCTGCACCCAAGTTTTCTTCCAAGGCGGCTACAATCCTACGGAGTATTTTTTTGGAATCCGACTTTGAGGAGCCTTTGTCCATATGGATTTGTTCTATAATCAGTCAGGATTGAACATCATGCAGCCAACATTGAATCGGCTGCATTTGGACTCGTTCAAGCAACAGAGAACTTACCTGTCTGGGATTGAATCGAATCCAGGGCATCTTCGAGATCCAGGTTGTACGGAATATCAGAAAGAGCTACCACTACACCCAATTAATCCCGATTATCATGGCGATTCCCGATTTTTGGAACTCAGGAAAACCTACCTAATAAGGACACCATGGAGTTTGTCATGTTTTCCATCACGTCGGAACCGTCATCTTTTTTGCTTTGATCTACAACAAATTAGCTACGAACATCATACCAGGTCGGAGGCCCGATCGAGCGCAGGCTGACTTACTCGTTAGAGTATACAGAGTGTCTATGACATTCGACCTTTTGACACTGTTGGTATCATTTTCACCTGTGCGTAATTAGTAACATTATAGAGGCTCCAGGCTAATTCACCAGTCTGGGATTCCAAAAGAGAGGGTTAACAACATACTTTGGGTTGTTTTACCCTCCATTGTTGAGAATGGATTTGTTTGCAGTGTTGAATGTAACAAATGTGTCAAGAAATAGTATTACCTAGTGTACAGGTTCGAAGTCTAGAGTCTATTGATTTTATTGCGTTTTAGGACTCTGTATCGTCGGGCTCATCGATGTTGTAGTCAGGGATGTTGTTGATGTTGTCAGAGTCGGGAATACAGAACACAGATCTTAAATACCTGAAGATTCACTAGGTTGACCAATTATCAGTGCTTTCATTCACCATAAACTTTGAAATGGCAGCTCACAGTCTTTCTGCCTAATATTTCTTCTCGAAGATAATCCTCAGCGTATACCAAAACACTGTAAGCGACGCACCAGAGAAGATATGAGATACATGAGAGCTCCATGACTTGATCCTTACAGTATACTGAGTTTTCAACCTGGAACACACAATATTACCAGGAAACAAACATGTGCGATCATTCTGAGTGGCTAAAGCACTGCTATCGTTCCGATGAGAGGGTTCATGCTCACGGTCCAGAGTCCGATGATCCCACCCTACTCCTTCATACTTGATGGCAGTACTACTGCGAACAGTTCTTGGTTACCGTTCAAGTACGAAAGTCAAACGTATACAAGATTCGGACGGGAAGAACTCACGCAAATAAATGGGCCAGCACGATTCTAGTCATCAACGACACGTGAGATGAATCCACTGTAAACCTCCCCATTGAGTTTTCTTTTTAGAAAGATCCAGCCAACCAGAACATCCTTTCACCTTTTTTCTTTAAATGGCAAGCAACTTGTTGGGTACAGTCTGAAATTAGTATATATTTGTCATTGCTAAAGCCTCCCTAAACAGACATCTAATGTCCATTGTCCCGAGCTATGGTACTGACTCCTGAGTAATATACCGCTTCCAGTGAGCCATTCATATTGTCATACAGACATTCCGCCGCCATTGACGAGCACCGCAGATCCCCGCCGCTTGTGGTGCTAAAATTAAATACAACATGCGTCTAAATGCAAAATCTTGGATATAAAAACGCCGTTGCTATGCTGAAAAACAAACAAAAAACAAAGGATCAATAGCTCTAGCAAACTAGCATGGAATTGTAGTCCGGAAGCTTTACTGTTGTGCCCTTGCCAACATGACCTTGCGTAAAACCATCAATGATCGTTGGACCCTAGGCTAACGTATTCCTGGGGGTCGCTCGCCAGTAACATAAAATCTTCTCCGTCGGAGAAGTTACCAGGCATGGAAGTTTTTGGGTTAGGGGCAGGGGACGACTGGGCACCATTTATGCAGGCTTGGGTAAGTCTGTTGGTGATTGACTCACTGTCATCATCCGATGGAAGTGGTTCATGGTTTTCTGCCGAAGGTTGGACGATCTGTGATCGACTCGTGTCTAAATCATCTCCACAGTCAGGCTCGTCAATGCTCTGCGGGCTTGAATCTGCACAGAGTGCATCAGCACCCCCCTCTACACGCGGCAAAGGCTCATCCATGATTACTGACATTGACAATCCGGGAGTATGGGAGTCGCTACGCCTTCCATCGCCGACAAGCGGGTATCTAAGACCGGGTGTACTTGGAGGATCTGGAAGCATTGATGCAGCAGACTGGTGCACCGAGTTGTCACCCTCCACAACATCCTCGGTCTGCCGCTGAGGTAAAGTCGATGAAGATTCAGCAGAATTTTGAGAAGACGAGGACTGTGATTTGGGTGAGGGCGCCAACGCCTCACGAGCTGGACTTCGACGGCCTTGTTGCGAAGCATCTGTAAAGCGCTTGTTCTCCGGCGAGTCGTCTATCTCCATTGGGCACGATTCGGATATACCAGCGTCTCTATGGATTTCATCCTCTTCGCGATGGCCGGATGATGACGGGCCAAGCTCTGGACTTCTGCCACCTTTGGACTCCGTAAAGGTCTGCTTGGTAGCATAAGTGTGCACTTCCGGTTTAGGGCTCAATGATTTGGTCAAAGGAGTAGCTACATGATCCTGCTCTGCTTTGGAAGTTTCTGTCTTGGATGGAAGTTGTTGTGCATAATCCTGAGTCTTGAGGGATCCTTGGCGTTCTTTGGCAGCTTTCTCGGTTCGCTTAGATCGACTCTTCCCTGATTTCGGAGTCACAATGTTCTTTTGGAGGTTCAACAGAAGGCTACGAACATCGTTGCGCATTTCTGAGGCTTTGGGTTGCCATACAAGATCCGTCCTCTTTTGATAAACCCCGGAAACGAAATCATCCGGTGCTTCGAGGAACTTCGTAATGTAAGCCAACAAGTACAAACCACAATCACTGTGGTTATCCTGAAGAGAAATATTTCGTGCAAGCATACCAATTTCCTTTGGTGGCTCAACATTTTTGCCTTTCTTGTCTTTAATCTCCGCAACCAGATACTGTTTGAGATTTGTGCAAGTGGCAGAGTGCGGAAGCCCGAGAGAGTCGAGAATGATAATCCTGGGTTTAGCTGGATCACGTAGTGGTAGTCTTGAAATCCTCTTAGCCTTCCGATTTGAAGCAGCTTTTTTCGGTGGGGACCTAGGAAGTATATCAGACTTTACATTAGCAATAGGATGGTCTTCGACAGGCACGATGCAATCCACATCTGAGGCATTAGTCACAGCTTCATCGCCCCGATGTAGAATTGGTAAATCCGAAATGCCATCGGAGGAGGACAAAGTCGTTTCCTTGTTTTCGTCCTTGGGATGTGCAACAGACAACTTCGATTTACCCAAATCACAATCTGTATCTGGCATCCGGACGGGCTTTTCTTGAGATGAAGCTTGAGCGGATAAACTCTCTACCTTATTCTCTCTAAGATCTGCATCATCGGGTACTGAAGCAGGAGAATCATTAGTCTCCTTCACACTCCCATCGCCGTTGGTGTTACCACGATCCGTAGATAAAGAGGGCTCAAATGGACCGGCTGGCGCTTGGGCATCTTTGCGATCTTGCTCCGCGGCGTCAACGTCTTCCTCTGGTCCCTTTGATTCGAGCAACTTCGAGGCATTGCATATAATAGCTACGTACCAGTGAAGATTCTCGCATACCGGAACTATAATATAATCCTTGGCAAAGATATCAACGGTTCTGGTCCATCGCTGAACGGCCTGGTAGTTGATCCCTTTTTTTACTCCTTTCGTCAGAGTGGGGTAAAAATATGAATTCTGAAAGTAGATCCTATTGGCAACTTCTGGCTTGGTTTGCTGAAGCTCGTGCTCTAGATACCGGAGATAGAATGTGACAAGGTTGTCATTGAGGAATTCTCCTTCGTTAAGGCGTAGAATGTCATCACGCTCTACGGTGACTTGTCCCTTTCTCCCCCCTGGAGGATAATAAACGGTACCATTCCAATCTTTATGCCATTCAGGATGCACCTCAGTCCATGCTGGTGGCGGCGGGGGGGTTTCGGCGCGAACTCGAGGAGCGGCGTTTCTTCCAGGCACGCGTAACGAGCTCCGGGTTGGCACCATATCTGGCTCGGCAGCTGAGCGCAAAGATCGCTGTGAAAAGCCATTTCCATAAAACGCTTGTGGTTCAACGGGTTTCGACTTGGTGGACTGGATCATTGTGTGAATCGGCTCTTGGTCGACCTGCATGTTCCGAGCGAGACCTTTGGATTTCGCAACTTGAGGAGTATCCGTGGCTTCATTTCTCAACGTTGAGCTGCGAGTTTGGCCGCCTTCTCTTGCCTTTTGCTTTTCTTTCCATTTCTGCTCATTTCGAGCATGAGAATTGCTCTCAATCAACTGCAAATCATCTGCCTCAAGCTTGGACGGTTTAGTCGGAACAGGCATTAGCCGATGATTATTGGGTCGTTGAAAGACTCTGTCCAGGTAATTTTCCCCGTCCTGTGCCAGGCCTTTTGAGATCAGATTGATTGTGGGTTCCACCTTTTTAAGCCGACTTCGAAGATCGGTGCTCGCATCAGCGCTTTCAAGTTCAATATGTATACGAGTGCCAGAAGCACGAGTACCAGAAGAAGTATCTTGATTAGCGCTAGTGAAAATGATCGTTTTGGCGCTATCTTGACCGTATTCAATCTTCAAAATTTTCGATAAATCAACGAGGAGAACTTCCTTCCCATCTGAATCTCTGAACTTCAGGGCGTTCTTCTTTCGCTGCGTATCGCCAACATCATACTCGAGAAGCCACCTCTCTTTTGAAGGAGCTAGTAGGGAATTACCCTGGACTGGGAAAACCTGCTTCACAATACAAGAATTGTTGTTCGTTTGCCCGGTAGATCGTGATTTTTTGGAAGGAAGAAATTCAGATGGTTGAATATCGATTCTTCTCTTGTCGGCCTCGTCATCGGTGTCGCTCGTAATTGCGGCAGGCTCGGCCGGGTCAGCTTTGGCAAGTAACTCGTCGGCTGTAGCTTTATGCTGCAAGTCTAGCTGTTCGTCTGTGATAGAACGCTGCGACTCTAGCTCCTCTATGCTCTCACCAGATTTGCCATCTGTTCGTCGTCTCTTAGCAGCTGTCTGCACAAAGGCTGGGGCGGCAAGCTCATCTGGAGACGTGCTTGCTGCGTCGTAGGTTTGCGACTTGGCATAGGATGGAAAATGATGGGACTTTAGTCCTGTTTTGCTAAAATTCTGGCGGTTCGAGGTAGGCATCTTCCCTGTTGCCGTTGAACGTGGAGGAGCTGAGTAAAATCCCCGTGATTTCTCTGCACCGCCTACATCGCTGATAGGATCACTGTTATCTTCATAAATCGATAGATCACTGTTGCTGTCGTGTTTCGTGTAACTTGCGAATTCTTTATCCTTATGTGATCCTGCCAGCAACTGCTCAAGTCCATTGAGAAGAAGTCCATGTTTTTTATTGTTATGCTTCGCTTGCGAGCGGCTAGGAGCTGGATTGACCCTGTTTTCGACCTTTTGAAACTCTGATACGCCCGTGGGTGGCTTGCTTCTTTGCCGCAGGCCTCCACTACCCTCACTCTTCAGTGATCGTGTAGTGGATCTTTCTCGGAACGCTCGAGTTGGCTTATTATCTTCGAGGTCAATAATTTCGGTAGGATATGTGTTGCTAGCGTCCGCCCTGTCGTCAGTGCGTTGCCTTTTCGGTGGATTTTTTCTAGCTTGACTAGAACTTGACTGCTTAAATGTTTCTCCATTAAACTCGGCAGCCGTTATATTAAAGGGACCCTTCTGACTGGCGGAGCTTAAAAGCGTATTCCTAGGCTTTGGGCCATAGGACGAGTATTTCCTCTAGGTCAGATCAGAATTGATCCAGGGCGAGAGAAGGGGGTTGTTTACCATCAAGATCTTAGTTTTGGGTTGCGCGCTTTATAATTGAACATCAGCGAGTTCTAAGACAATACGGAAATTTTTAGCCTACCTAAAACTTTCAATATCAGAAGTACGTTTGATGCTTTTGTAGTAGTCTACTCCCAGCGAGGCCCTGTCAATTGAGATTAGAAGGGGGGAACGGCGCGTAGAATGTGAAAGATACCATTTCTGCGCGCGAGCATTCCCGGTCCGCTCAGGTCTAGTCTCGGGAGATGCTATTACAACTTGGACTTGGCTGCTGGTTGCGTTTTCGCTGTGCGCCTCGGCTTCTTCAGTGTGCCTTTTCCGCTTCCTTCCAGACTTATCAAGCTCTGCAAAGTCCGTCAATGTAATCGCGTCGTTCGCTAGTTCTGTAGATGTTCGGTCGTCAAGATTATCGGTCTTGAGCAGAATCGAATGGCGTTCCGCACCGCGTGTCTCTCCAGACAGGCTCGAAAAGCCCTTAACAGTCTCAGAATTTGGCGTAATATGGCGAGATATCTCCTCCCTCCGTTTGGCAGATGGTCTCCGTTTTCTAACACTTCGTGCCTGGACTATTTCGCTCTCGTCGTCGCTCTAAGATGGATTAGCATTGCTCCAGACTCCCCATCCAAATAAATCGCCTCGCACGCAGCATTGTGCAGAGAAAACGCACCACTTCGATCCCGTCTTCTATTTCCACTGCATTTGTTTGTGGCGGAACCTGCCCCTCTTGGTCTGATTCTGGAATTTCTTGTGATTTGGTAAGGTCGATATGTTCGGATTTAAGCTTGCGAGGCCTGCTCCCAGGGCTTCTGCTCGGCATGATCGGTGGTTCATGCTCTACTACCGGTGCGTGGGTCCCTTTCTTGGGTCGATTACATGGCGTATTATTAGGTATGTCTATTTGAGCGGCTCCAGGCGTATTAGGTGGAAGGCATGGAAGCGTAAATGTATTCGTGGTGTTGAGTTGTTGGTTGTTAGAGGTGAAGAGGTGAGTGACCTGGAGGGGCAATGCGCTTTGATTGGTTAACGAAACGGATGATGCAGTTCTAGCCATTTCGTCGGCAACGTTGAGAGTTATCAATGCATGGTCAAATCGAAGGATTCGAGACGTCGAGCAAGATTGGCTAAAGGTAGTCAACGTGAGCTCTCCGGAGAGGGTAAATCTTCTGTCTATTGAAATCGAAACTCCTGGTAGTTGTTCCAAAGAGGGATCTAGAATCTGCTTGATCGCGTTTGCTGCGCTGTTTACTGCTATATCAACAGGCTTGCTGATGAAAGAATCCTTCGCTCTGCTCAAGCTTCTAGCAGGAGTACTGCACGGTCTCGCTGAAGTGCTCGGGATTGTATTTTTAGCAGCCACCTGTCGACAATTTATTTGGCGGTGGTGAGAAGGTAAATTGTCCATGGTGACGGTGATAACGGAGTGGCTAGTGATAGCAATTAGTACGAAGTGGGCTGATTTGGAGCACTGCTAATGTTCATCGAGAAGTGAAATAGAAGATGTTATGTGGCTGCCGATATCTCTCTATGTAGAATGCTGAGATTGTCGCCGAGACCTCAAAGGGTCCGGATGGGAAAGGTCTTGCCTGATGAGTCTGATAACAGCTATAAGTAAAGGTAAAGCCACTGTCTTCGATAATAAAGTTTTTGAGCAGATCGTGATTTTGCAGCGTCGCCGGAAGCAGAGAAACGTGCAAGCGATTACTCGAAATGACCACAGTTAGAGATATAGTTGTAGTCGAAGTCCCCGAAATGGGATGATCGTGGAGGCAAGACCTGTGATAATTTCCAAACACCAGCTAGTATCTTAACCGTTGAGTTAAGTCTCGAGGTCTACCAGAAAGATTGTAATTTACCACCTTGATAGCATCACGTCAATATCATGACCGACGGTATAATCTCCAATAAGAACGTTCGGCCTCCACAGTCCATTCCTTACCGCTCCTTATGGCTCATACACACAGTGCAATATCCACAAAATCTGTTTGAAAAGGGGCAGCGATAGTCGAAGGAAAATGGATGCATTGCAGTTCTTGATACAGCTGTACATATAAGATAGCTCCGGCAGCACAGAGCCTCCACAAGCTCCAACCCCACCTTGGATTTACTCCTCCAACCTATACATCTATTCTTTCTTCTCGCATAATACAATCGCCAACCAAACGCTCATCTATTTTGACTCTTCTGGATAAAGGTCCTCCTTCAAACTCACACCTAGTTCTTCTCGGAGTGGCTTGAGTTCCTCCAGGTATTGGTCATATTGACCCTTGTTCTCAACCTTTGCTTTGATACCTAATATCGCCAATCGTTAGCCAGTAGTTCCGCAGTGCCCCGTGAATTCAAGTATTTCAACTACTCTCGTCGTGCTGTTGGCCTAAAGATATGGAGACGTACCCTCGAAGATCCGCACGGCGGTTGGGTAGTCGTTGACTCTTCTCGCTGCCTTCAACGCAGCTGTGAGAACAGATGGAGAGGGGACAAGATCGTAGGCGAATGCGTTGTTAAGGTTTCGCTGTAATTGGTCCACATCAGTGACTATCCTGATCATCGGCTCGCCAGGAGCTCGGGAAAACAAACCTGAAGCTCAAAGACATCATTTACTTGATCGAATTCCTTCTCGTATCTGTATATGGGCGCGGAAAGATCAGCAATCGAGCTTTTCCGGGAGGTTGGATCACGGTGATGTTTCGGTTATGTGGAAACCCCCCAAATAATCCCTAACATGCAATTGAGGGCGGCATACCGGGCAGTGAACTCCTCGAAGCTCTCCTCGTGACTTGTAGATGCCTCTTCTCCATCCTTATCCACTCGGCGAGCACTGCTGGTGCTGAAGCTATTTGCTGATCCAGAGGTCGCGAACAGAGCTGGAGCAGCGTAGATGGCGTTTGAAGCGCGAGGGGTTAAGCTGCGGATGCCATTGGAGCGGAAGAAGGTAGACGGCTGAGCGCGCGCAGCGATGCGCAATATTGAGGACGACGACATTAGGAAATGGGTGTTGTGGGAGGCTGTAGTTGTGGTTTACGAGAGCTGTAATTCAAGAACTTACGATTTTCGACGTTGCGAGGAGAGTGCATTGGCGGTTGTTTGATTGGAGGACTGTTACTAAGCCTTATGAGGAAAAGCGGGAGCTTGCCAGAATTCAACGTCACAACAACATGAAATGTCGGCGACATGTTTACTGTATTTATTAGAATGATTATCTAGCTTTGTTTAGTTGTTCAATTTTCTGGGAGACAATTTGTTGTTAAGATCTATCAAAGTTTACACCCCAGAGCAGCAAATTCAAGTAGCTCCCAAATTTTCGGGCTTCGTGACTCACCCCAGGAGCTCGTGAAGCTTCAGTCGTATTACCGCTGTTGGTACTATTGATGGAAATCAAACCCAAATATGTCAGACCTTTGTAGGAATAAACGACCGACTCGTCCTCCTGGGAACATGAGCGCCTCCAAGTCTCATTCCAGTGGGATGATTCCACTCTGCTCACAGATCAGCAACAACATCCATGCTTCCACCAATGGGTGACACAATTCTCTGCGCACTCAAACAGTCCGAAAGTAGATAACTCAGCACCACAGCTCAGTGTCGTATTTTTGTTAACATAGGCTTGTTCGTGAGGCTCAGAATTACGATCTGATAAAAAAATTGAAAAGATTGGATGTTGTTTCGTCATTAAAATATTACTTCTAGTTCTTGGCTACGCAGAGAGTTATGCCACCCCCTGGTGTTCCGATCTACATATCTCCCTTTGCAATTGACACTTTGACCAGGATTGTTGTTGCGATCACTTCCTATCCCACCTTTCAGCTTTACTAAACTGCTTCGTCGCGAATGAATGACCCTGACATTCAATCTCGATCTAATTCCAGCCAACGCGTTTTACATCTCAAAGAGGAAAACAATTCAGAAAACAACATCGATCTATCTCCCATTCACACAATTCAACCCACATCCCCATCAATCTCAAATCAAACTCTTCTTCACAATCCTGCCCAGCAGAATTTGCAATGAAAAGGTCGCGTTGCTTGGAGGCAGTGTAAGACCAAGAACACAGTAGGAGCAGACACAGGCAAGCCTGGAGGCCTCCCCCTCGCGAACAAAAATAAGTATAATCTTGATGTTGACCGTGGCCAACTTTCAGAGATTAAACTGAAAAGAACAGATACTACACTTGATCTAAGCCAAAATTGACGAAGAGAGCTGGGGAGGAAACGATCAAACGGGCGAGCAATCCCTTCCTTTATGGACAACGGAAAGACGCTAGTGCTAGCGTCATACGCAGTCCATGTGACAGAGGATGATGTATTATCTGTAAATGGAGGCTGTTGATTGGGTCCTGTGCGATGTATTGTCTGTGAATGGAAGCTGTTGATTGGGTCTTGTGGCCTCCGATTCATTTTCGTTGACATCTTCATCTTTGAAAGAATTTTTGTTGACAGCCTCGATTTATTGTTGACAGCCTCGGCCTTACGAATGTGTAAGTGAATCATTCTGTACTCAATCAGGGTTGAATCATGTGTGAAGGGTCTCTCTGTGGCAGCGCGGAGGACAAGATGGGTGGTGGTAAATTAGCGAGACGACATCGGAGACTTCACTTTCGAGACTTAACATTATCACACAGCTCTTTATTAAACTTTGTAAGTTTTAGTAAGTAGGTATATAGAAGAGAGCTTAAGTCTTGATATCTAGTTTATATACCTATAAAAGTAGTTTTTTTAATCTATCCACCCGTCTTCGTGTCCTGCCAGTGTGTTGACAGTCTGACGAGACACCGACTTCGACATCGATACTTCGTCCAAGATCCTATCATTACTCAACTTGGTTGAGGGAATGCGATATTGTCTCTATAAGAAAGACTAACTGTGTCTTCTGGGGAAGTGAGTTGAAATGTCGTTGTAATTAGTAGGTGTCCGTCAGTCTTGCGGCCCTACATATCCACTTCTCTCAAGCAGAACCACTCAAACTCAATATTCTTTTTTTGGTATCTGATATTGATATTTCTTAATAAATTAAATCAAGAACATTCTGGTCCAGTAGCTTTGTGAATGAAACCAATGTTTGTTACTTCACTTATGAGTTGCAAGATTGATAGCGCACACTCCATTTGCGTATCGACACCCCAAACTGACTTTCTAAAACTCCTTCCCTGACAGGAATATTTCCCCCTTAAAATAGAGGCAATATAGCATATTCACTCAAAGGTTTTAAGCAAATATAAATTTTTCCACTGAACTATCGCTGTTCCACCTTGAGAATATGCCAAGTCAGACTTGCAACCCACTGTTGCTTTGTTCAAAATTTCCAAGGATTTCAGATCTGTCAAATTCGGAGAATCGAGATAGTATGGCGATAGTGTATCTTGAAGTTGGCAAACAGGATACAGTGGAGATGAAGTTGATACTTTGCCAAATTGATATTCTAGAGCTTCGTTGTATACCAACACTACTCTTGATACCTGCTCACGGTAGATAAAATAATTGACAGTCGAAAGGAGATATTTGCTCAGACAAATTGACGAAATATCGTATATTTCGTCTAGTATTCTCGGTAAATAAGATATTCCTACCTAGGTAAACATCCTCACCAGCTTCACATTATGCCTTTCAAAACATGGAGTTGAGGAGGTTCTGCCACTCTTTTGTCTTCTGTGAGACCTGATACTTCCTTCATCCCTACAAGCACAGCCGGCTATGACCTTCAACATATTCGTCCGCACTTACCAGACATCACCTTTTCATCCCTCACTCCAGAATCACCATTCTCCAAGTCCTTTCGACTTTCACCCAGTCTTCCTCATACACCCTGCAGTGTCCCACCCTCATTGCGACATTCTCCTCGGTCTCACTCCAATCTATAATCAATAGGTCCAGATATTGGGACTTGCGTTCCCGTGAAACGACGATGACGTCCAGGACCGTTCCTTCTGGGAACCCTGTGACATCCTCGTCCTCGCCACGAAGAATATAGTCTTCTCCTTGTGCGTTACCGTCAATGGCTCGGCGCGTTATACGTGCGTGACTTGTCCAGAAAACGATACGGCCTGTATCTTCGAATGGGTCCATCGCCGTGCTTTCCGGGTTGGTTTCTGTGAGTGGTTGTGATTTGCTGCGAGTACTACTCTGAACTATGATCTTTCTTGCAACAGTCCTTGGACCACTCCATTGACGACGCAAAGCATCGAAGCCATCCTCTGGATGCGAATCCAAGATATCATGGGAGACATCAGAAGCTACTAAGCTATCCGGATGTTGTACAATCTCTTGCGTACTCCCGTCCACACCAAGCTTGTAAAATAATATCTCTGGATAAATTCCCTGCTTCGACCATTGCCCATCCATGCCATATCTAAGTGAGAGGAATGTGATGGGCCCAACCCAGCCAAGCCATGACCAAGAGGGAAATGGCACATAACGCATACGTTCTTTTTCTGTAACGATTTGGCAGGCTGCTTCACGACGAACTTTTGTACCTCGCCAACAAAGCGCCTTACCGAAATGCAAATGTGGCAAGCCCCAGTGAAAGCTCACGTTGTTCAAGAAGCCTATACGCCGAAGCACTGCTGAGATAGCAAACAGAGCGTCTTCTTGGAGAGTAAGGTGCCGCGAGCTGTATTCGGTCACATATCGACTGAATGCTTCCATCGAAAATTCCCTTGGAAACCTTTCGGATGCCTCTGGGCCCACGATGGAACTAGGGATCATCTCCTCACTCCAACTAGATGTCCCGCAAGTCCAGTAAGTTTGAGCGCGGGTGAAAATAATGGTACGTCGGGAAAGCACTTCCTCTTGAAACGTCCACGCTCTTGTGTTCCAGAGTGAATGTCCTGTTTGCCCGTCTTTGCTGTGTTCCACAAGTTTCTTCAAATAAAGATTCTTATCGATCTTGACAGGTCCTTGATAGATGACTCGGCTTTCGTTCCTCATTCCGGGAATTCCTGAGCTCAGGCCATGACCTCCAGCGGCTATGAGCGTCGCTGTTGCTCTAGAATATATACGGTCCATCTGTTTGATTTGTTCGAACTTGTCAAGCTCATCATCTTGAATGATACACACAGCATCTACCCAGAGATATTTCTCCCCGGCTCGTGATACTAAGTTCATGGCATCCCGAATGGTTATCGGGATGTCAAAATCGCGAAGGCTGTTTTCTTTGTGCAATCCGGTAGCAATTTCAGTTGTGCAACGAAATGTCCATGAAGTTCCCCATACATAGCTCAATGCAAAGTATCTACATCGAGGAGGAGCCTCGACAACGCAAAATTTTGTCACATCTATAACCCTGAGAGAATGAGCTTCTTCAACACCTCTATGCCATGATTCACTGCAGTCTCCATCATGCTGTTCCTATAATTACAGTTAGCCCATATTGGTTTCATTGTGTCATCGATCGCAAACATGAGGAGCATACAGCTGCATGTTTGTCAACCAAAGCCTATGTATGATTTAAATATTTAATGTAGTAAAGAGATAAAGCCGCGAGCCAGAAACGCCTGACTGCAAGTGCTACGAGTCGAATTTCTGCTCTTGGACGATTTCCATACCTCACATTGACGAAGCCAGTCTTTCAGCAACTTTGATTGGGCGTAATTACCCAGTAGGCGACAGTAACTGAGTTCTTTGGATAGACGTTGTTCTCCTGGAAATGGTTCTCTGTAAGGATGGAATAAAGCCATGTGTCGCATTTCAGTGCACCATGCTTTTGTGGAGTCCGTACGATAGTATAGCACGACATGCAGCCGGGAAATCTCCTCTCCAAAACATCGAACCCCCATCTCAAAAGTGTCTTCGAGTTGACAAAATAGTACGCGGTTGGCTTGCACCAATACCTCTGCACCATTGATCCTGGTCGGCAGTACTTGTGAATTGTTATATTCGGTAATGGACTCCAGGAAAAGAAGACAAAGCTGACAACGAGAGGACGAGCTTATCAGGTCCGATAATGTTCCCAGTTCGGTGCTAGTAGAGGCAAGTGTTTCCCTGATGCTGCTCTTTGGTTGGTGGACCATGTCTAATTTCAAGCCAAGACAACGAACGCAAAGGCCTTTATTCTGCTGGTCTGCACAATGAAGAGCATTTGGCAAAAATGGTACTTCATTACCTAAGTCTAACCATTAGCAAGGGTTGTTGATGTGAGACTTGGTTGTGGACGGCTTAAGGAATCTCCAAAAGTCATCGTTTATCGAGCATTCTAGGCTCTGAGGGAGACGTACTTTTAACAGGAAGACTCTTCGGTACTCTTACAAGATCCTCAATCACGCCGGTATATAATGAGCGGGCGTTTGATAAAAGCTGCTCCTCGTCGCCATTGTAATCGTCATTTGTCTTTAGAGCTAGGAGTAGATACTCCCATCCTCCGACAAAATCCTTTCCACATGTAACAACTGGCCCATTTCCCCAAGGTTCTGGTATGTTGGAGTCCATCGTCGATTCGCGTGCTCACCCCAAGCCACAGTTTGTAGATGAGATTATATATTTCAAGCTCTTCAAGTAGTTTGAAAGGAAATGGAAGACTTCAGCTGCCTATAAACATATCAGCCAATTTTAACAGCTCGCTTATGAATCGGTATGATCACCCCATTCTCTTCATCGATCTGCAACTGCCCACTCTCGCAACCAAAAAAGTGGCCGTCGAAACACGATATTTCTTCGATTAAGTCGACGAAATATCGTATATTTAGTGGATTAACTTAGAACAATGTCAAGTTATCCATCAATTGTTTTTAAGTAAATAAGACTTATTCTGTCCAAGATTAGTGGGCAGGTGACTGACACTTATAATGTCCTCCGCCAGCCACCCAACATATCAAGTGCGTACCGGACAAGGAAACGTAGGTACGATTCCTTGCTTTCTCTAACGAAAGCCACTTTTACCTGCCATGGTAATTTGGAGGCGTGAGTACTGAGAGAAGGCTTCGCTGGATAAACTTTTCTGGACTACTTATAATTGCAATGGATGTTATCAAGTTTCCTGGTTGTTTCAATTCCCAAACAATTCTTTGGTGGTCATCTCTGAAGCCGTAGAGCCAACAGTCTATCTAGCACAAGTACTGGTAGCAAAGCTCGTGCTAGAAAACCCAATAGGCGGTGTGATGATATGATACCACGTAATTCTTCCCAATTCAGATTCGCTTCTGTATTCTTCCATAAATTATAACACTCCATCAGAAACACCACACGATCCAGATTGCACGTCTCGACGATCCTACCTCGGCTACCATCATAGGCTGCCTCATGTGCTTCGTTCCTGGTCGTTGGAAATAAAGCTGAGCTGGGGTGGTATGTGATCTGCAGAATGGGGTTCAATTGGGTTTTGCCCGGCCAGTTGGCCATTGCAACGTACCCCATATGAGGCTGAATGTCGGTTTGTTTGTATTTACTTGAGCTTTTGAGCTTTTCGTAGCAGGCAATATCAAGTTGAATACAATACATACGGAGTATTGAAAGCAACCACCGACCGAGGTAATTTCATGGTGGATCTTGACCGTGAAATTCCCCATCATTGATAGGACGTCGAAACTCTGGTCACATGTCAGGCAACTCCAGCCCGGTTTTCTACTGGACCTCCCGAAATGCTGTCAAATTAGCCTTGGCGTCAACCCCTTTACGGAAACTTCGACTACTCCAACTTATTTTTCACAAACACCTTCGTCCTCTTCACCTTTTTACCATCGTCAGATCAGCTTCATTGTTGATCCGTCGTCTTCTCGTCACTCCTTCATCGAGCTTCTTCTTTGACAATTCCTTTTAATTAACTTGATTACGTCCTCCTCTTCATCTTCCCCGGCGCAACGTGTCGAATCGAACTGCACCTTTTCCCTAGCCTGCATCGCATCGCGTTGTCATACTGAGGTCACTCACTGAGTAATCCGACGGTGCCGATAACGCGTCAAACCACCTCCTTTTTTTCTACCGATACGAAGACACATTTTTGTCAATTGCGACCCAGTCTCCTTTTTCAACGCCATCATGTCGAGTTCGGATATCCTCAAAACCATTCCTCTTCCAAGCATTGAGCGGCCTTTTGGCGTGCATCTATGGCCTCTTTTCGACAAGGCTTTCACATCCGTGAAGGGATATCATCCCCAGGACTTTGATTTCCAGCCACGGGAGACACCAATGTCAACTTTGAAGGAGACTGGCATTACGATTCTTGCATACTATGTTATAATATTGGGCGGGAGGGAATTGATGCGGAACAGACCCGCATTCAAGTTGAAGATTCCCTTCATCATTCACAACTTCTACCTTACAGCAATCAGCGCTACTCTGCTGGCTCTGTTTGTTGAGCAATTGGTGCCAACTTTGGCTCACCATGGTCTCTTTTATACCATCTGCGATGTTAAGGGAGGATGGACACCACCTTTGGTTATTCTGTACTATGTAGGTTGGTGTGACGAGGCTGAGTTCTCGCGCTGACTTTGATCCTAGCTCAACTACCTCACCAAGTACCTCGAATTGATTGATACCGTGTTCCTCGTTTTGAAGAAGAAGCCATTGAGTATGCAAACTCTGCATATAATCCAAGTCGATAATTGCTAACATCTGCGAAGCTTTCCTACACTGCTATCACCACGGCGCCACTGCTCTTCTCTGCTACACTCAATTGATTGGTTTGACCTCAGTCTCATGGGTTCCAATCACATTGAACTTGGGCGTTCACGTCGTTATGTACTGGTACTACTTCCAAAGTGCACGAGGTATCCGCATCTGGTGGAAGCAATGGATCACCACCTTCCAAATCGTCCAGTTTGTTATTGATCTGGGTAAGTTTGATAGGCATTCCGATTTATATGCAAATCTAACACTTTTAGTCTTCGTCTACTTCGCATCCTACACCTACTTCACCTCTACCTACTTCCCATGGATGCCAAACGCTGGTAACTGCGCTGGTGAAGAGTTCGCTGCTTTTGCTGGTATGGGAATTATCAGCTCTTACTTGGTTCTCTTCATCTCGTTCTACTTTGCGACATACAAGAAGGATGGAAAACGCCCAACTGGTCGCAAAGCTGCTCGTTCATTGAAGGATGCTCAACTTCCAGATGTTCACTCTCTCATGAACCACGGCAAAGCTTCTCCAGCAATCACAAACGGAGCTGCCACCAATGGATTCGCTTCCAGCACCGCAACTCCAAGCCGAGTCACTCGATCCCGAAAGGCTTAAATCTACTCTCTCGGGAAATGTACTTTTCTTCGGAACAGAGGGCGGGCGGGTTAAGACAATCTTTCGGCTGCACCGATCACGAAACCAATGAAAAATAGCTGTGGATACTGTAACAACACGGTCTGTTTGAGATTAGAGGGGGGAATCTAATTCTCTGTATAATGTACTTCTTCGAATTGCAAGGGGGGGGTCTTTTTTGTCATAGAAATGGGTGGGCGAAGAAGAGAAGAAAATCAAAACTATAATAATGTCAATCAAAGAAAATGAGAAATATGCATGCAACTTTTTTATTGGGACATGAATTTGGGATAGTGAAGAGTGAGAAATGAAGAGAATCTGTTGATATGTTTGATGTGATTCTCTTTAGAGTTAGAGGATATGGGAATGGGAGACGTGTGCTTCACTATGGGTGAGTGGATAGTAGACTCTTGCTTAGTGATGCCTTCTTAGGAATATAGAGGCTTGTGGTAGGTTCTTGGCCCCCCTTAAACCCTTCCTTACTAGTGCTCACATTATCCAAATTTTGCTCAAATAGGTATGATCAAAACAACGAACGAGAAATCATCCATACAGCGCCACATGCAGCAGGAGTGATTAAATTGAATGCCAGAGGAGAGTTTATTTGTCTAACCTTGTGGACGAACGCCTCTCGCCCATAGATTACAGTATTTTCCAAAGCTTCTGACAGGTGTACGTTGTTTCTTTTGCTCGACGGAAAATCTTGATCGGTGGTGTGATGTCAGCTGCTCAAAGTCACGCCAACGGGATTTTAGAGACAATGTGAGTATCACGACCTCATGCCATGATTTGTGTTAGCCATTTCGAGAGCGTGTACCTGAAGATCTTATGACTATGACCAGAAACTTGGATGTTGATTGTCCTAGAGTTATACTACCGGATGTAAAGGGGCGCTTTGTATGGTATTTGTACTTTCTTGGAGGTAGTCCGGGGGGTGAAATATGTTGTTAATCCCGCTGAGGAGCTTGCTTGTGTGATGTTTAAGCAAGGAAATGTTGAGATGTATGGTTTAGGTAGTAGTTCAGATTTTCTGCGTAGGTATGTTGTCAAGATTCTATAGACGAAGGTACTTGGTAAATTCATCCTGTTCGACTTACCTTGTTGCCTTATATACTGCTGTATAAATCTCTTGAATTTCTCTAACTCCTGTCTTTATAAGCTATTCCGATCTCCTATGCCGAGGAAGTCATTAACAAAACCTCAAAGTCTCACTCCAAGAACAACTCCACAGCGAACAGTGCAGCATTAGCATCGCGGCCAGAACCCGAGTTTCCAGCACCCATTTTTCATCTACCCGTCACGATAGAGGCAATATTGTGTAGTTTGACGGATTGAGCATGGTTAGGTAGATTGATGTCCCAAGGAGGTGTTTCTTCAGACTTGGGACTCACTGGTGAGGGTCTTCTTAGATGGTTGAGAAGATCTCTGTGTAAGCTGATCTGCTTCTGTGATGGTGTTATCTGTTTAGATTACTTCCATTGAGTGATAAACGGACTTATATCAATCTCGGACTCACAAATATATCTCAAACCCTGTAGCTCACCTATCCAGTGTCGACCTTTTAATTGAAAATCATTTCCTCGTAAACAATCTCAATTCCTCCGAAATTAAACAACACAAAAGCACAGTTCCGAAACTGCAAATTCAGATCGGGTCATCCATTAACTCTCGGAGAGATATACTCTCCTTCATGATCTGGAGATGTAGGTATGTAGGATTTTTGAGGGAATCCTACGTGATCCTGCGAGATATGGGGGTGGTGGTACAAGATATGGTGATGAGGCTCTTGCGTGGGGACGGAATATGGGTTTATTGATTATGACAATAGAGTGAGTGGTTTCGGATGGTGTATGGTTCGACTAGGTATGTTGTGGACTTTGTAGAGAGTTATGTCGTCGAATTGGACTTGGAATCCAGAATCCTATTCTACTTTCCATGTCAACACAAAGGCATGACCAAGAGCCATTTCGAAAATCACATAAAAGTCAAAAATCAGAAATCACAAGACCGCATCCTCACCCATCCTCTCCCAAATCCCAAACCACCAACCTCCCACCAACCCAACTCATCCGCAAACCCCGCGTCCAAACCAACCTAACAAACCCGCCATCCGCTCCCGCTCCCATCTCCCCGTTCATCAGCCTCAACCCAGAAATCCCTCCACAACCACCTCCCACACTCGGGGCTGAGCAGAGTCACACACAAAGTCACGGAGGTAACACAGAGTTCTGACTGCATCCCGTCCGTTCATCCTTCGTCTATGCACCCACCACCTCTACTCGCGAGGCTAGATCCTACTCGCTTAGCCATCAAATCCAGAGACAGAGAGCTGGGGATGTGAGTTCAGAACTTCACGAGTAAAGAAAATTCAGAGAAGCTGGGCGTTGTAGAATAGCAGGCATGGAGTTGGAGAAGGTCCGAGCTGAGCGTGAATGTGATGGTGTAAGTAAGACAAGCAAAAAGGTGAGATCGTACTCAGCCCTACGCCAAACCCCACAAACACTCTCACAAGCACCAGGACGGTCAGCACACATTATCCCAGGCCTACGAACTAAACTTCCCAGCTCCAACTTAGAATTCAGCTCTTACATGTCTCAGCTACCAACTAGTCGGGTATGACCAGACTAAACTGTGCTTGCATGTCAGACCTTAATCGCAGAGTGCCGGAGCTGTGTCGAGGGCTGAATAGTCTGGCCGGTCATGCGAGATACAGTAGTCAAAGAACCTCGTGTTGCAACACGAGCGTATTCTCAAGCTTGTATTGTAGAAGGAGAAGCAGACCAAAGTCACATCTTAACACAAAATAGGTAGATAGATAGACTGTAAATATAGCCATAAAATTCCACTCAATTCAACTATTCCTAAAACCCTTCCACTTAGATAAATGCCATGCGTCCATAACTAAAACACACCCAAGAAAAAAAAATTGCTACCAAGGCAAGAATATATTACAAGAAATAATATATCCCACCCTACCTACCATCCCATCCTACAACTCCATATCAAACCCAGCAAACGAAAACAAAAAAATAAACATGCAAGAAATGCTGAAAAGGTGAAATTGGTATCCATATTTGCCTCCGTACGCCAGCCATGCCCAATGAAGATGTGAAAAACGCCGGCAATGAGATGATGATGATGATGATGTGAAAGGCCGTGATAGATGCAAGAGTGGTGTATATACAAGTGTCGAAATGAAAATTTAACTGGTTGAGTGTCTTAGACGACTCTCATGCTCTTCCGTCTGCCCAAGCCGCCAAAAACGCTCATCCGTGATTTCGCAGGTGAAGATTGTGGTGATATAGCTGACCTCAGTGGTGTCTCTGGGACTTCCTCTTCAGGTAAGGGTTGTGAAGGGAAGGCGAGAGATTTCCTCCGTGATTGTTTTACTGGGGAGGCATCTGCTGTTTCTGGGCTGGAGAGATTCAGGGCGGAGGAGTTACGGGAGGAGAATGCGGCGTTGAGTTTTTGCATGGAGGGTTTGCGGCGGGAGAGAGAGCGGGAGAGACCTTTTTTGAAGGCTTCGGCTGCGAGACGTGTGGGTGTGGTTGGGGTTGTAGGACGCTCTGCTGGAGAGGGTTCGGCGGAAGGAAAGGGGTCTTGGGAGAGGAAGGCGTGGGAGGAGGTGGATTGGTGGGAAGATGTTGATTGATGGGAGTGGGTTTGGTGAAGAGAGTTTGTGACAAGCTGGGCGAGATCTGCCATTCGTGAGGTTTTACGGATTGGTGCTGAGGTTGTAGATGTAGAGGAAGAGGTTTGGGAGAGTGCAGTCGTTGAGGAGACCGATAATCGACGGAGGGAGCTTGGGTAAAGCTTTAATGGTGAAGGCCGGCGTGGTTGTGGTCTGGAAGGAGAGGCAGATCGAGCTGAGGATATAGATCCAGTTCTCGACGACTGTAGTTCGACGGCAGAGGAAGGTCGCTGTGGCAGATGAATTTCGATAATCTGCGGCCGTACCAATGTAAATGATATAACCCTCGCCGTAACCTCTTGTGATTTCCTACTCGAAGCTCTTGACGATTGTGCCCTTTCCTCTGTAACCTCTCCATCCTCCAATGGTTCGAAATCGAGTAATGAATCGGCATAATCGTCTGAAAGGGAACCCTCCTCCTCACTCGACAGATACAACTCATGAGGATCATCCTCTACCACCGACTTCTTGTCCATCTCCTTCTCCTTTGGCACTTCCATATTCTCAAGATCCATCATCAACTCCTTGAGCAACTTGGAAGCTCTCTTTTCACTCCTGGCAGGGACCGCAGGAGCTCTGACCACACTCTTCGGCATGGAACGCTGTAAGATTGAACCCTCCATATCGCTATCCACACTCTCGCGATCGTCGAAATCCT